TAACACCCTAACACCCTAACACCCTAACACCCTAACACCCTAACACCCTAACACCCTAACACCCTAACACCCTAACACCCTAACACCCTAACACCCTAACACCCTAACACCCTAACACCCTAACACCCTAACACCCTAACACCCTAACACCCTAACACCCTAACACCCTAACACCCTAACACCCTAACACCCTAACACCCTAACACCCTAACACCCTAACACCCTAACACCCTCAACACCCTAACACCCTAACACCCTAACACCCTAACACCCTAACACCCTAACACCCTAACACCCTAACACCCTAACACCCTAACACCCTAACACCCTAACACCCTAACACCCTAACACCCTAACACCCTAACACCCTAACACCCTAACACCCTAACACCCTAACACCCTAACACCCTAACACCCTAACACCCTAACACCCTAACACCCTAACACCCTAACACCCTAACACCCTAACACCCTAACACCCTAACACCCTAACACCCTAACACCCTAACACCCTAACACCCTAACACCCTAACACCCTAACACCCTAACACCCTAACACCCTAACACCCTAACACCCTAACACCCTAACACCCTAACACCCTAACACCCTAACACCCTAACACCCTAACACCCTAACACCCTAACACCCTAACACCCTAACACCCTAACACCCTAACACCCTAACACCCTAACACCCTAACACCCTAACACCCTAACACCCTAACACCCTAACACCCTAACACCCTAACACCCTAACACCCTAACACCCTAACACCCTAACACCCTAACACCCTAACACCCTAACACCCTAACACCCTAACACCCTAACACCCTAACACCCTAACACCCTAACACCCTAACACCCTAACACCCTAACACCCTAACACCCTAACACCCTAACACCCTAACACCCTAACACCCTAACACCCTAACACCCTAACACCCTAACACCCTAACACCCTAACACCCTAACACCCTAACACCCTAACACCCTAACACCCTAACACCCTAACACCCTAACACCCTAACACCCTAACACCCTAACACCCTAACACCCTAACACCCTAACACCCTAACACCCTAACACCCTAACACCCTAACACCCTAACACCCTAACACCCTAACACCCTAACACCCTAACACCCTAACACCCTAACACCCTAACACCCTAACACCCTAACACCCTAACACCCTAACACCCTAACACCCTAACACCCTAACACCCTAACACCCTAACACCCTAACACCCTAACACCCTAACACCCTAACACCCTAACACCCTAACACCCTAACACCCTAACACCCTAACACCCTAACACCCTAACACCCTAACACCCTAACACCCTAACACCCTAACACCCTAACACCCTAACACCCTAACACCCTAACACCCTAACACCCTAACACCCTAACACCCTAACACCCTAACACCCTAACACCCTAACACCCTAACACCCTAACACCCTAACACCCTAACACCCTAACACCCTAACACCCTAACACCCTAACACCCTAACACCCTAACACCCTAACACCCTAACACCCTAACACCCTAACACCCTAACACCCTAACACCCTAACACCCTAACACCCTAACACCCTAACACCCTAACACCCTAACACCCTAACACCCTAACACCCTAACACCCTAACACCCTAACACCCTAACACCCTAACACCCTAACACCCTAACACCCTAACACCCTAACACCCTAACACCCTAACACCCTAACACCCTAACACCCTAACACCCTAACACCCTAACACCCTAACACCCTAACACCCTAACACCCTAACACCCTAACACCCTAACACCCTAACACCCTAACACCCTAACACCCTAACACCCTAACACCCTAACACCCTAACACCCTAACACCCTAACACCCTAACACCCTAACACCCTAACACCCTAACACCCTAACACCCTAACACCCTAACACCCTAACACCCTAACACCCTAACACCCTAACACCCTAACACCCTAACACCCTAACACCCTAACACCCTAACACCCTAACACCCTAACACCCTAACACCCTAACACCCTAACACCCTAACACCCTAACACCCTAACACCCTAACACCCTAACACCCTAACACCCTAACACCCTAACACCCTAACACCCTAACACCCTAACACCCTAACACCCTAACACCCTAACACCCTAACACCCTAACACCCTAACACCCTAACACCCTAACACCCTAACACCCTAACACCCTAACACCCTAACACCTAACACCCTAACACCCTAACACCCTAACACCCTAACACCCTAACACCCTAACACCCTAACACCCTAACACCCTAACACCCTAACACCCTAACACCCTAACACCCTAACACCCTAACACCCTAACACCCTAACACCCTAACACCCTAACACCCTAACACCCTAACACCCTAACACCCTAACACCCTAACACCCTAACACCCTAACACCCTAACACCCTAACACCCTAGCACTTCGTAATGAATTTTAAAATGCATATATTCAATTACTAATCTCTATTTCAGCAAGCTTACATAAAGTGAGTTCTCATAAGTATTATAGTCAATTTTAATACCCTTAATTATCTGAAAATTAATTCTTCCTGCTTAGCTTGATAAATTGAAGTTTTTTCTGTTTCGAAAAGGAAGAATTCCAAAGGAAATTTGCGGAGTGTGTAATCAGTGATCTTTTGACAGTTTATATTGTTAAGAGTAGCATTGCTTATAGAACTTCGAATTTATAATTATGTTCTTCTAGAAAGGTCAGAAGGATTTTACTTATTTTAGCACTTTTATTTGATAAATAACCCTTGATATGTAAATTAAAGACCTTCAACATTGCCAATTTGTAACAAAAACCACCTATGAAGCAAACAAATTTTTTGATATAAAAATTTTTTTATGAAAAAAAAAATGACATATGAGTAATAATTATTATAATAAAATTTCTAGCTAATTCTGCTTAATTTTAAACAGCTTATCTAGCACCTTTTGCGAAATTTGATAAGAAATCATATCCAATTATTTTAATTTAGCTTGAAAACTTTTATCTACTATTTATTTATGGCTAAGAAAGTCATTTTTTATTCAATTATTATAAGGCATAAATAATTATCCAGAAAGACATAAATTTTACAACTACAAATTTAAGATTAGCAATAAGCATAAAGGAGCAGAATTCTTATATACTCATATTAATTATAATTAATATTTAATCCCTTGCAAGATCTAAAGCAGATATTAGGCAACGATAAGTTTTATAGACTCAATTAAAATTTCCAGAGAAGGAATTCTATTTATAAATCTAGCAATTTCTAGAAAACCATTGATTAAATATATTAAAATTTAATGCATAAATAAAAATTATTTCTATAACTCACCCCCCCTCCGTGAGCAAGCAAAACAATCTCGCTCACGAAGGGGGACTAATTTTTTTTAAAAAAATATATAGTCAGTGTCACTAACTATATAAATTTATTAGAAATTTTTTTTTCGAAATTTTAAAAAAAAATCATTCTCAAAAATTGGAAAGCAAATATTAATAATTTAATTTGTAAATTTATATTTTAAAACGCAATTTGTTTAAAATTAAACAGAATTAACTATAGATTTCACTATAGAATTATCACTTATATATATATCTTTTTTTCATAAAAAATTGTTCTATTAAAAAAATTTTTGTTCGCTCACGGAGGGTGGGCTTTTGGGCGAAAAATAGGGATTTTCTAATAGTTTTGTTCACTAACGGAGTGGGGGAGTAAGTTATTTATACTATTTACTTGTATTTCTTCTATTACCTTGCTCTTAAAATCAAATCTCAAAAAATAATTGATTTTATTGGTTTTGAAATCAATAAAAACTGAATCTAGCATATCATTTTTATTAGTTTCTTTCTCATCAAAAATATAAGGCTGTACTGCTACTTTTCCAATATAACTCCAATTATATTCATCATCAGTGTTACTTTCAAAAACAGCAGGAGGCCACTGAATTATATACACCCTTGAGTTTCCTATAAACAGATTTTTTTCTTTTCTCCATTCCAAAGGCTTTACACGAATTTCAGAATAGCTCTCAATTTCTGTATCAAATTTGTATACAATTTTATGGCTGACTCCTGAAAGGAGAATTTTCCCTTTAAAAACCACACATGAGCAGTAATCACTTGCCTTTGGCAGATCAGGAATATTAAATCATCTATTTTTGGTTAAATCGTATCTTTTGGCAGTACTTTTTAGGTGATGGCCATCATAGCCTCCAAAGGTGTAAACCGCGTGATTTAAATAGGCTCCTCCTGAGTATCTGATACGAGGTCCAGGACTTAGGACTTTTTTTATGGTAAAATTGGTAAGATCGATGATGCATGAAGTCCCTGAAATTTCTTGAGGCTTATATCCATATGGCAATTGTATGCATTAAAACAGCGTGACGAATCAACCTGCTTAGATATTGTAGTTGACATCCTTCAAGGCAGTCAGGGACCTTGAGGAAGGGATGATGGTGTATCCGGAAAGGTTTTTCTTGGTTCGGCGAAAGCGCAATGTCTGATTAGCCGAAGGCAGGCTTTAGCCCAATATGGTGCTATCCTGACCAATCGGGACTATTTCCTACTGTGGAACTAGGGTTACGTCCTGGGATTTGAGCTTCAGTTTAGCTGAGATCGACCAAAAAAATTCAATTCTTTTAAATTTTCCATGGTGGTTAGCTGCACTTCATAGCGGTGTAACTCATCCAGCTATTGGGTAGCATGTGAGGGCTCTCGTCCGGCTAGAACAGCATTCGTGATATCGTAGCGAGCAGCTGGAAAGCATTAGGGTGGAGATAGTCTTTCAGGAACACACAGGCTTCTTAATAAGCCTAATAAATGTAAATGCATATGGCCAATTACCAATGCAAAAAAGTTCATAATTAGGAAGCCTTACAGCCAATGTGCCGTTATCTAATAAAATTTTGCTTTCAATATACTTTAGCTTTAATTATTAATAAATTATTCCCAATTCTTTTAAAAAGTTATTTCCTCCAGAAGAGGCCAAATGTTTTAGATAAAACAAGACAATTCTCTATCAGATATTTTTATTGATCATATACTTTTCCACTGTCTGGTTTTCTACTATATCATACACCAGAAACTGAGTCCCATGTATGTTAGATTCCAATCTGTATAAAAATCTTTTTTCAAAGCTAATTTGCTGGATAAAGCGCTCAAAATCATTGCTAATTTTTTCAACTTTTTCATTGAAATCTTTGCAGTCTTTTTTGACTTCTATGTCCTCAATGATAAAATTAGCTGGTTCTTTTTTATCTAATGATCAGTTTAGGATTTTTTTAAATTCACCTTCGTAAATTATTCTTTATTATATTATATAAATATTAAAATTCAAAATTTTATGGTTGATTTAAACAAAATTCCTTTTATTAATTTTTATAAGCTATTATTTAATTATTGGCTGATTTATCTTAGTCAGGTATATTTGTGTCTCTTTTCTGCTGCCCTTCATTCATGGCTTGTTCATTTCTGCCACTTTAAATTCAATAAAAGCTCATTATGAATTTTTGCCTCAAAGTGCGATATTTCTTTCAGTTTTTGTTCCATTTTTTTTTAATGTTTTATAAGAATGATTTTTGAGATACATCAGAACAATGCGTTTTAAAAAACAAAAATTAAATTTTAGAAATAATTGAATTATATATATAACAAGAAAAATCTTTTCTGATTAATTTTGAATTATTTGCAATTATTAGTTTTATAAAAATTAATATAATTATTTGCTTTTGGCTATTTAATGCTTTTAAAATCTAATTAAAATTATTTAATCTTTCTCTGAGGCCAACAATTTATAAAAATTTAAACTTAAACAATATTAAATATATAAAATATTTTTTGCACAGCTATTGCCACTCTAGAAGTTAGCTCAGGCTTTTTATTGATTTTCTTCTTTGGCATTTATACGAATTTAACAATATATGAAAATAAAAGAACTAAATTTAAGTCTATAAGTCTACTTTATAATATAAAAGTTATTCAAAATACAGTTAAAAATGAGGATCTACAAGATGCTCAATGTTTATGTAAACAATAAAAATTCTAAAATTATTATTGAAAACTTGCTATAGATATATATAGTAGTAAAGCTGTAATTAAATATTTCTACTTTTATAATATTGAATCTTCGATTGTCTTGCCTGAAAAATCAAATTTCTAGATGAAGTTAATTTCATTAGCTCTAAAATAAAGAAGGTTGCATTTTTATTAAATTTTTCTTGACTGAATATAAGGCTGAACTTCTACCTCGCCAATATATCGCCAGGAATATTCATTATTAGTCTACTTTCATGAATAGTAAAAGGTCATTATGTAAAATCTTGAATTTTCTAAAAATAGCACCTTTTCTTTATTCCATTTTGAGTATTTTACATGAATTTCAGAGTAGCTCTCAATAGCTTTTATAAATAAAATGGGAATTATATTAAAAAATTAATTGTAAATCATTTGGCAAGAATTTTTACTATGATTTTCCCAAATCTAAATAATAACTTCAGCCTAGATTTTAAAATTTCAAATAAAGATAAGCTTTTCAATTAGCATGATATTTTAAACTTACTCCCCCCTCTGTAAGTGAACAAAACCACTAGAAAAATCCCTATTTTTTACCCAAAAACCACCTCCGTGAGCGAACAAAAATTGTTTTAGAAAAAAAATTGATATATAAGTGATAATTATTTTAATAAAAAATTCTGTTTAATTTTAAACAGTTTGCATTTTAATACATAAATTTTACAAATTAAAATAATTTTTGCTTCTCAATTTTTACAAATTGGAATTTTTATAAAATTCATATATAGTGTTTTTGTAAAAAAAATATTAACCCTCTTCTGAGCGAACAAAAGGTTTTGTTCGCTTACGGAGGGGGGAGATAATAGATTAAAAAATAAAATTACTTAAAAAATATATATCATGATCTATATAATTTTAATTTTATATTGCTTTAACTATAGATTTTCAGCATTTAGCTCTCGAATCATGATTTATATATTTTCAATGGCTTCATCGTATTTATATAAAGCACATGATGAGTTCCTGTTAATTTTTCCATTCAAAGCCACACATGTGCAACCTTCACTTACTTTTGGAGAGCAGGGATATCAAATCATTTATTTTTTTTCAAATCAAGCCCATTGCAGTGCTTTTTAAAGAGATCCCATCATATCCTCCAAAATGAATAAATTGAATCATTTAAATAGACTCCAACTGGTTTCTAATTCCAGGCCCAAGGGTAGAACTTTATTTCAGTAAAATTAATGAGATAAATTCTGCATGAAGACCCATAGCAAAAAAGTTAGCAATTAAAGCGCTGCTGGTATATATTTTGTCACTTTTAAAATACTTTTTCGTTTGCTTATGAGTCAATATGTCATATATAACTATTTGGCTTTCAATTGCATTTAATTCAAGTCCGTATAAAATCTGCTTTTAAAGCTGACTTTCTGGGCAAAATGTTCAATATCATTGGAAATTTCTTTAATTCTTTAATTAAATTTGGTCTAAGCTTAAGCATGTTATTCTCTATAGCTCTTCTTGATATTGTATTCCTAGCTGAATTGGATATAAAAACCTTCTAGAATTGGCTTGCACTATATGAAATCAATAAAATTAGGAGAAATTTAATCTGGTATGTAATTTGCAAAAAATTATAATTTTAAGTTCTTTATTAATATTTTTGATATAATTTTCTATTTTCTTCTTTACGTATTTTACTCTAAACTTACTCCCTCTCCTCTGTTAGCGACAAGCTATTGGAAAAAACCCTATTTGCTGTCCAAAAATCACACCCTCCTGAGCGAGCAAAAATTGTTTTATGAAAAAATATTTGATATATATAATTGTTAAGTTAATTGCATTTTAACATAAATTAACAAATTAAATTAAATATTTGCTTTTCATTTTTTTTAAATTAAAAAAAAAATATAAACTCCCCTCCGTGAACGAAAAAAATTTATTCTCTCACGGAGGGGGGAGTCAGTAAAAATTTTATTGCACATTTTATTTTTAAAATCAGAAATTCCATAATTTTCTCTCTAATTCTTTAGAGAAATTTGCCTGAGAATTATCTAAAAATATTTATCATGGAATTGCTCAATCTAAAATGGCTCCTTTAAGAAAGCTATTCTTTAGCCGATTTTGCCATTATTATTATTATTATTATTCAGCAATTAAATAAAGCGTAAATAATTTTAGTCCTCACTCCCTTGTAGGATTCTTCTAAGATATTCTTATCTTAGTTATTTAATGTTTAAAGTCTCAGGCCATAGCAGAGCTAAATTGTCCTTTGGGCGAAAAACTAGTGACTTCACCAGCTTCCGACGACAAAATGGCCTTGGGACCAAATGCGTCCATACCTAGCCAAATGACTCCACCAGCCGAACTCGCGACTAAGACTGGGCAAGTCACATCGCCCTTGTCTGGCGTGCTCTGCCAAAGGGTCATCTTCCTCAGGTGTACTGAGAGGTAAAACCATCAGCGTTTTATGCTTTCTATTTCAAATTTTTCTTATTATTTTCGATTTATTTGGCTAAGATTAGTCCAGACATATTCACTATTCTCTTAAGATTAAAAATTGAGTGAGAAATTCATCCTGTGAGTTAAGTAAGTTAAATGTTATAATGCCAAAAGCGGATAGACCACTAGTCTATCTATCTGGCATAGACCCATCTAGCCTAAGAATTAGCTCATTAGAATGAGCTTTCTTGTGGATGCCTGATAGTCCCGATAAGCAAAGATTAAGTGGAAGGCAAAACCTGTTTAGGCCATCTAGAATGGATAGGGAAAATCTTGAGGGAGAAACAAAACTTCCTTATGTCAAATTCGAAGGCCTACAAAAAAAGTGACAAAGACACTATTTTCAGCTTCATCAGGATGAGTCCTACCTGCTTCATAGAAGTGTGTCTCGGAGTCTGTCGAAATTACCATTTTATTTCTCATCCAGTGAGGGTTTTATTGTTTTCGAATTGTCTTCCTCGCCCTATTAAAGAGTTATGAAGAAATTCGCATTACGTTATAAGTTGAAGTTATAATAGTGGGCAATTTTATTCATCCTGCTAAAGATACACGTCAAGCACTAATTTAATATAAACATAAGGAAAAATTAATGAGAAGAGTTCAATTCTTATGAAAATGGTGCTTGTGCTTTTGAATTATTTTATGATGTTTTCTTATTAAATAATGCAAGTCAATGAACACTTTAAATAGATTTTTCATAATGGATAAAATAACTTTGATCAAGGTGAGACCTCAGAAAGTTATTTTTCATTTTGATTTTTCAATAATGAATTTCCCAAAGCCTCTTTATATTTTAATTTATCTAACTTTGATAATTTTCAGATGTAATTTAGCTATTTTATCCGCTTTATTCTGATCAAAATTGCATTTGAAAATTTATAACTCAAAAATAATAAATGCTTTTTTTGAAATATAATATGCGGCCATAATTACTTTCTAGCACTCCTCGCTTCAAGTTAATGCTGATATGAGGAGATCTGATCAGTTCAAATATAATGTATTGGTAAAATTTCATTTAGCTTATCTATAGTAAATTAATTTTAACATTTCAAAAAAAAATTGGCATGGTATTGCATATAAAATTGAGTTAATGGCATGCTAAATATTTTTTGAAATTTTAAAAATCATTTCACTTATGAAAAGCTGAAAGAAATTTATCCAAAGATTATATTTAATTACCAATTTATTTACACATTGAGCTTTAGTGATATAATTATTGCAAGTCATTATAATTGATTTATAAAAATTCATTATTTTATTATGCTTTAGGATAGCTTTAAAATCATTATCATCGTGATTTTAATTCTGTTTGGGTAAACAAATTCTGCATCATTTCTTTGAAATTTTGTTGGCTTCGGCCATTTTAAAATTCTCTTTAATAGAAACTAATTCCTAAATCCTTATTTATATTTCGAGATATCATTTCTCTGAAATATCTCAGACATCCTAAACTTAGATATTAAATTCTAAACTGCTAGCTGGGTGAATTTTATACTCAAAAGTCTAATAGCATGTTCCAACTTATGAGAAACTTGCCATTTTTATCTTTATGACCAGATCTTTAAAAATTTAAAAATTATAGATATAATAAATTTGAAATTTAATATATAAACTACTTCAATTTCTATTTTTGACAAAAATATAAGCTAATTTAAGAGAGCCACTGATTATAATTTTTAAACATAGAAAAATAAAACAAATTCCTGATTCCATTATCGTTCCTTTTAATTGTATGAAAGGGGAAAATTTTGATAAGAAGAGATTTTAAAATATGAATACATTAAATTAGGCATGATTATGCATAGCTTTAGAAGTCTTCGCAAAAGTATTTCAATAATTTCATGATTATTATTTGATATAATAATAAAAATGAAAATTATTATAAGCTCACATGCTTTATATGTCCATGGCTTTGTATAAAAACTATAAAGAGATTATCGATAATTTTTTGAAAATTGATGTCCAAAATAATAATGCTTTTATAAATGCTGCCATAAATAACTTCAAATACTCCTTGTGCTAAATTTATGCCTACATTTGGAAGCCTGATGATTCAAATCTTCCTTGAAAAAAAATTATTTTGAATATTGTGTTTCAGTATATAATTATTGCAATCCATTTTAATTGATCTATAAAAATTTATTTATTGTATTATTATTGCTTAGTTAATTTTCTTAAATACCAATTTAATCTTTAGCTGATATGCAAATTTTTTGCGTCATCTCTTTGAACTTTTGATGCTTCTTCATCTTTAAATCCTCCTTAAAAGAAGCTATCCCTTTACCCTTAGAAATTTAAATTGTTCTATCAGAATATGCATGAGGAGAAACTGAGCCCGAATATGCATATAGCATAGCTTTATCGGCTTATTTACTATTTATCTGCCTTTATGATTAATGTTTAGCTTTCTAATGATTGTCTTCATTTCTAAGACTCTCAATTGCGCTAATTTCTTGGTTATAATCCTTAAAAGTAATTACACATTTTCAAGCCTTCTTCTTAATCTTTTATCCTTCCAAGAAGGTAAGGCTTTTGGAGGACTTTCTCCCTTTTTAAAATAATTTAAAATCTTTTAATCACGTGCTGCTCATAAAGAAATTGAATCAAATTTAAGCCTAAGATTCCTGACGTTTGCTTTAGCAATTTTACAGGAAATCTTGCCCTTCATAAAATTTTAGTAAATTTGTAACGATTATGTTTCTTAAGCCATTTTCGAATAACATGCTTGCGTCATAATTACTTCGCCTCTTGGAATAAGATAGTAATTGACAAATAAAGCTCTAAGATAATTAATAAAAGCTCATCGGGCATTTTGCCTAAATTTTTTAGTTAATCTTAAGAAATTCTCCAGCTGAATTTTCATGAGCATGAATAAATCAAAAACTACAAAATTATAAAATTAGGAGATTAATAAAAATAGATGACAATATAAAAATTAAAATTTATTGCTGCAGAAGCAAGGCATCATCTCCTTATTATTAGCAGGCAAAAAGCATAGCAATGAAATCTCCAAGATTTCTTCAAGCTGAGGAAAGTTTTGCTATTCAATAAGGCTTCGAAAAGGGGAATAAAAGAATTGTTCTGAATCGGCCAAAAGCCTTAAGAAAGGACTTAATTTAAAAGTATTGTTATGCTGGTCACTAGGACTTAGCATTTAAAGGTTAATCAAGGTGAATTTTAAATTTTTATAGAGACTTAATACCAATGGCCATTATAATTCTAAAAATCTTTAATTTAAACATTTTTGAACATGTTTTCGAATGGATAATAAAAATGAAAACCATTTTATTGCCTTTGTGTGTTTTCGTCTTTCTGCAGCTCTACGTCGCAGGTGAAGACTCTCGTGACACAAAAGAAAGCTTAAAAGGCCTCAGCTTTGACCCTAGCTCATCCGGCAAAAGCCCTAGATTCATCCCTCCTTTAGTCCAAGACGACATTGTCAATAATAAGGATGGCGAAGCTGAAGCAAACGAAATGGAATCAAGTAAAATAGACTCTGAGCCCCTCATACAATCCACCCAGAATACTCAAGAGGACATTACTTATAACGAGGATACTGATAATGTGGAAAATGAAGCAAGACCAGTAGCTGACAGATCCATTCAGTACCTTACTGAAGAAAGTGCCATAAATGGCGGGGGTAATGAAAAAAGAGGGCTTGAAGAAAATTCTGATGAAGAGGACTCTTACATACCAAGCAAATTCGAATGGAACCTCACTGAATCCTACTCACATCATCAAGACACAAGAAGTTTGACAGAATGCACTACTCCATGCTCAACTTGTAGTTCTGATAACACGAATTGTACAGCTTGTGTAAGCGGATATTACTTAGATGGGAATACTTGCAACAATTGTACATCATCATGCTCTGAATGTCAAACAAGCTCAACAAATTGCACAAGCTGTAAGGATGGTTATTACTTGTCTGGCAATTCTTGCGAGCAATGCACATCACCATGCTCTAAATGCTCTACTATTGCGACAAATTGTACCGAATGCCAGTCTAACTATTCCTTAAACGGAAACACATGCACATTGAACTGTACCTCACCATGTTCTGAATGCCAAACAAGCACAACTAATTGTACAGCATGTCATGATGGCTATTACTTGTCTGGAAATTCCTGCGATCAATGCACATCACCTTGCTCTAAATGTTCTGGAAGTGCTACAACCTGTACTGGATGCTCTAATGGCCTAATCTTAAATAATGGAACTTGCAGTAACTGTACTTCTCCATGCTCTGGGTGTCAAGAAACTGTTACGAATTGCACAAGCTGTGTAACTGGATACTATCTTTCTGGTAATACCTGCACCCAATGCACAAAATCTTAATTTCAATTTTTAAGCTATTTTTAAATTTTTTTATTCTTTAAAAATTGATATTTTTTTAAAGATTTTATTAAAATCCAATACACATCTCCTTGTACAGAATGCTCGAGTGCTACAACATGCACAAAGTGTTCAAGTGGCTATAATCTTACTAATTCAGCTTGTGAGTGTGGCGATGGGTACTTTTCGAACAGTACAGCTTGCGTGCAATGCAGTTCACCTTGCTCTAAGTGCCAAACGAGTTCTACTAATTGCACAAGCTGTGAAGCTGGACACTATCTATCTGGTAATAGCTGTACTCAATGCACAAGTCCTTGCTTAGAATGCTCTAGTGATACAGTATGCACAAAGTGTCCAAGCGACTATAATCTTACTAATTCAGCTTGTGAGTGCCCTGATGGGTACTTTTCAAACAATTCTACCTGCCAGCAATGCACATCACCATGCTCTAAATGTTCTGGAAGTGCTACAACCTGCACTGGATGCTCTAATGGCCTAATCTTAAATAATGGAACTTGCAGTAACTGTACTTCTCCATGCTCTGGGTGTCAAGAAACTGTTACGAATTGCACAAGCTGTGTAACTGGATACTATCTTTCTGGTAATGCCTGTACTCAATGCACATCCCCTTGCACAGAATGTTCGAGCTCTACAGTATGCACAAAGTGTTCAAACGGTTTTACTCTTGCTAATTCAACTTGTGAGTGTAGCGATGGGTACTTTACGAACAATTCCACTTGTGAACAATGCGCATCACCATGCTCTAAATGTTCTGGAAGTGCTACAACCTGCACTGGATGCTCTAATGGCCTAATCTTAGATAATGGAACTTGCAGTAACTGTACTTCTCCATGCTCTGGGTGTCAAGAAACCGTTACTAATTGCACAAGCTGTGTTACTGGATACTATCTTTCTGGTAATACCTGCACCCAATGCACAAAAATGCTTATATCATTTTTAAGCAATTTTTTATTTTTTTATTATAATTTAAAAAAATAGATATTTTTAAAGATTTTTTTAAATTCAATACACATCTCCTTGTACAGAATGTTCGAGCTCTACAGTATGCACAAAGTGTTCAAGCGGCTTTAATCTTACTAACTCAGCTTGTGAGTGCGCTGATGGGTACTTTTCGAACAGTACAGCTTGCGTGCAATGCAGTTCACCTTGTTCTGAGTGCCAAACAAGTTCTACGAATTGCACAAGCTGTGAGACTGGACACTATCTATCTGGTAATAGCTGCAATCAATGCACAAGTCCTTGTTTAGAATGCTCTAGTGATACAATATGCACAAAGTGTCCAAACGGCTATAATCTTACTAATTCAGCTTGTGAGTGTGCCGATGGGTACTTTTCAAACAATTCTACCTGCCAGCAATGCACATCACCATGCTCTAAATGTTCTGGAAGTGCTACAGCATGCACTGGATGCTCTAATGGCCTAATCTTAGATAATGGAACTTGCAGTAACTGTACATCTCCATGCTCCCAGTGTCAAGAAAGCGTTACTAATTGTACAAGCTGTGTAACTGGATACTATCTTTCTGGTAATGCCTGTACTCAATGCACATCTCCTTGCACAGAATGTTCGAGCTCTACAGTATGCACAAAGTGTTCAAACGGTTTTACTCTTGCTAATTCAACTTGTGAGTGTGGCGATGGGTACTTTACGAACAATTCCACTTGTGAACAATGCGCATCACCATGCTCTAAATGTTCTGGAAGTGCTACAACCTGTACTGGATGCTCTAATGGCCTAATCTTAGATAATGGAACTTGCAGTAACTGTACTTCTCCATGCTCTGGGTGTCAAGAAACCGTTACTAATTGCACAAGCTGTGTTACTGGATACTATCTTTCTGGTAATACCTGCACCCAATGCACATCTCCTTGTACAGAATGTTCGAGCTCTACAGTATGCACAAAGTGTTCAAGCGGCTTTAATCTTACTAACTCAGCTTGTGAGTGCGCTGATGGGTACTTTTCGAACAGTACAGCTTGCGTGCAATGCAGTTCACCTTGTTCTGAGTGCCAAACAAGTTCTACGAATTGCACAAGCTGTGAGACTGGACACTATCTATCTGGTAATAGCTGCAATCAATGCACAAGTCCTTGTTTAGAATGCTCTAGTGATACAATATGCACAAAGTGTCCAAACGGCTATAATCTTACTAATTCAGCTTGTGAGTGTGCCGATGGGTACTTTTCAAACAATTCTACCTGCCAGCAATGCACATCCCCATGCTATAAATGTTCTGGAAGTGCTACAGCCTGCACTGGATGCTCTAATGGCCTAATCTTAAATAATGGAACTTGCAGTAACTGTACTTCTCCATGCTCCCAGTGTCAAGAAACTGTTACGAATTGCACAAGCTGTGTAACTGGATACTATCTTTCTGGTAATGCCTGTACTCAATGCACATCCCCTTGCACAGAATGTTCGAGCTCTACAGTATGCACAAAGTGTTCAAACGGTTTTACTCTTGCTAATTCAACTTGTGAGTGTGGCGATGGGTACTTTACGAACAATTCCACTTGTGAACAATGCGCATCACCATGCTCTAAATGTTTTGGGACTGCTACAGCATGCACTGGATGCTCTAATGGCCTAATCTTAAATAATGGAACTTGCAGTAACTGTACATCTCCGTGCTCCCAGTGTCAAGAAACCGTTACTAACTGCACAAGTTGTGTAACTGGATACTATCTTTCTGGTAATACCTGTACTCAATGCACATCTCCTTGCATAGAATGTTCGAGCTCTACAGTATGCACAAAGTGTCCAAACGGCTATAATCTTACTAATTCAGCTTGTGAGTGCGCCGATGGGTACTTTTCAAGCAATTCCACTTGTGAACAATGCACATCACCATGCTCTAAATGTTCTGAAACTGCTACAACATGCACTGGATGCTCTAATGGCCTAATCTTAAATAATGGAACTTGCAGTAACTGTACTTCTCCATGCTCTGGGTGTCAAGAAACTGTAACCAATTGCACAAGCTGTGTAACTGGATACTATCTTTCTGGTAATACCTGTACTCAATGCACAAAATCTTAATTTCATTTTTTAGGATTTTTTATTTTTTTATTATAATTTGAAAAATAGGTATTTTTTAAAGATTTTTTTAAAATCCAATGCACATCTCCTTGTACAGAATGCTCTAGTGCTACAGTATGCACAAAGTGTTTAAACGGCTATAATCTTACTAATTCAGCTTGTGAGTGCGCCGATGGGTACTTTTCGAACAGTACAGCTTGCGTGCAATGCAGTTCACCTTGCTCTAAGTGTCAAACAAGTTCTACGAATTGCACAAGCTGTGAAACTGGACACTATATATCTGGTAATAGCTGTGCTCAATGCACAACTCCTTGTTTAGAATGCTCTAGTGATACAGTATGCACAAAGTGTCCAAGCGGCTATAATCTTACTAATTCAGCTTGTGAGTGCGCCGATGGGTACTTTTCATACAATTCTACCTGCCAGCAATGCACATCACCATGTACTAAGTGTTTTGGGACTGCTACAACATGCACTGGATGCTCTAATGGCCTAATCTTAAATAATGGAACTTGCAGTAACTGTACATCTCCATGCTCCCAGTGTCAAGAAACCGTTACTAATTGTACAAGCTGTGCAACTGGATACTATCTTTCTGGTAATACCTGTACTCAATGCACATCTCCTTGCATAGAATGCTCTAATGATACAGTATGCACAAAGTGTCCAAACGGCTATAATCTTACTAATTCAACTTGTGAGTGCGCTGATGGGTACTTTTCGAGCAATTCCACTTGTGAACAATGCGCATCACCATGCTCTAAATGTTCTGGAACTGCTACAGCATGTACTGGATGCTCTAATGGCTTAATCTTAAATAATGGAACTTGCAGTAACTGTACATCTCCATGCTCTGCCTGCCAAGAAACTGCTACTAATTGCACAAGCTGTGAAACTGGCCACTATCTTTCTGGTAATACCTGTACTCAATGCACAAAAATGCTTATATCATTATCAGGCATTTTTTGCTTTTTTTTATTATTTGAAAAATATTTATAAAGATTTTTTTAAAATTCAATGCACATCTCCTTGTACAGAATGCTCGAGTGCTACAGTATGCACAAAGTGTTCAAGCGGCTATAATCTTACTAATTCAGCTTGTGAGTGCGCCGATGGATACTTTTCGAACAATACAGCTTGCGTGCAATGCAGTTCACCTTGCTCTAAGTGTCAAACAAGTTCTACTAATTGCACAATCTGTGAAACTGGACACTATCTATCTGGTAATACCTGCATTCAATGCACATCTCCTTGCTTAGAGTGCTCGAGTGATACAGTATGTACAAAGTGCCCAAATGGCTATAATCTTACTAATTCAGCTTGTGAATGTGCTGATGGATACTTTTCAAGCAATTCTACCTGCCAACAATGCACATCACCATGCTCTAAGTGTTCTGAAACTGCTACAACATGCACTGCATGCTCGAATGGCTTAATCTTGAATAATGGCACTTGCAGTAATTGCACATCTCCATGCTCTCAGTGCCAAGGAAGTCTTACCAATTGTACAAGCTGTCAAACTGGATACTATCTTTCTGGTAATAGTTGTCTTCAATGCACATCTCCTTGCTTAGAATGCTCAAGCAGCACAACTTGTAGTAAATGTCCAACCGGATATACCTCTAATAATACAACTTGCGTATGTGCAGATGGATACTATGAAAGCAATTCGACCTGTGAGCAATGCACATCACCATGCTCTAAATGCTCTGGAGCCGCTACAACATGCACTGCATGCTCTAATGGCCTTATCTTAAATAATGACACTTGCAGTAACTGTACATCTCCATGCTCTGGGTGTCAAGAAACTGTTACCAATTGTACAAGCTGCGTAACTGGACACTATCTTTCTGGTAATACCTGTACTCAATGCACAAAATCTTAATTTCCCTTTTTAAGCAATTTTTTGATTGTTTTATTATTCGAAAAATATTTATTTTTTAAAAGATTTTTTTTAAATTCAATGCACATTTCCTTGTATAGAATGCTCGAGTGCTACAGCATGTACAAAGTGCTCAAGCGGCTATGATCTTACGAATTCAACTTGTGAGTGCGCCGATGGATACTTTTCTAATAGTACAGCTTGCGTGCAATGCAGTTCGCCTTGCTCTGAGTGTCAAACAAGTTCTACGAATTGCACAAGCTGTCAAACTGGACACTATCTATCTGGTAATAGTTGCATTCAATGCACATCTCCTTGCTTAGAATGCTCTAGTAGCGCAGATTGCACTAAATGTCCAAATGGCTATAATCTTACTAATTCAACTTGTGAATGCGCCGATGGATACTTTTCAAGCAATTCTACCTGTCAGCAATGCACATCACCATGTTCTAAGTGTTCTGAAACTGCTACAACATGCACTGAATGCTCGAATGGCTTAATCTTGAATAATGGCACTTGCAGTAACTGTACATCTCCATGCTCTCAGTGCCAAGGAAGTCTTACCAATTGCACAAGCTGTCAAACTGGATACTATCTTTCTGGTAATAGTTGTCTTCAATGCACATCTCCTTGCTTAGAATGCTCAAGCAATACTACTTGTAGTAAATGCCCAATCGGATATACCTCTAATAATTCAACTTGCGTATGTGCAGATGGATACTTCGAAAGTAATTCGACCTGTGAACAATGCACATCACCATGCTCTAAATGTTTTGGAACTGCTACAGCATGCACTGCATGCTCTAATGGCCTTATTTTAAATAATGGCACTTGCAGTAACTGCACGTCTCCATGCTCTGGGTGTCAAGAAACTTTAACCAATTGCACAAGCTGTGTAACTGGCCACTATCTATCAGGTAATACTTGCATTCAATGCACATCTCCTTGCTTAGAATGCTCTAGCAGTACAGATTGCACTAAATGTCCAAATGGTTATAATCTTACTAATTCAACTTGTGAATGCGCCGATGGATACTTTTCAAGCAATTCTACTTGTCAGCAATGCACATCACCATGTTCTAAATGTTTTGGAGCTGCCACAACATGCACTGCATGCTCTAATAGCCTTATTTTAAATAATGGCACTTGCAGTAACTGCACATCTCCATGCTCTGAGTGTCAAGAAACTGTTACCAATTGTACAAGCTGCGTAACTGGCCACTATCTTTCTGGCAATACCTGTACTCAATGCACAAAAATGCTTTTATCGTTTTTAGATATTTTTTTATTTCTTTTATTCTTTAGGGATAGATATTTTTTAAAGATTTTTTTAAGTTCATACACATCTCCTTGTATAGAATGCTCGAGTGCTACAGCATGTACAAAGTGTTCGAGCGGCTATAATCTTACGAATTCAACTTGTGAGTGCGCCGATGGATACTTTTCTAATAGTACAGCTTGCGTGCAATGCAGTTCGCCTTGCTCTGAGTGTCAAACAAGTTCTACGAATTGCACAAGCTGTCAAACTGGACACTATCTATCTGGTAATAGTTGCATTCAATGCACATCCCCTTGCTTAGAATGCTCTAGTAGTACAGATTGCACTAAATGTCCAAGTGGCTATAATCTTACTAATTCAACTTGCGAATGCGCTGATGGATACTTTTCAAGCAATTCTACCTGCCAGCAATGCACATCACCATGCTCTAAGTGTTCTGAAACTGCTACAACATGCACTGAATGCTCGAATGGCTTAATCTTGAATAATGGCACTTGCAGTAACTGTACATCTCCATGCTCTCAGTGCCAAGGAAGTCTTACCAATTGTACAAGCTGTCAAACTGGATACTATCTTTCTGGTAATAGTTGTCTTCAATGCACATCTCCTTGCTTAGAATGCTCAAGCAATACAACATGTAGTAAATGCCCAACCGGATATACCTCTAATAATACAACTTGCGTATGTGCAGATGGATACTTCGAAAGTAATTCGACCTGCGAACAATGCACATCACCATGCTCTAAATGTTCTGGAACTGCTACAACATGCACTGCATGCTCTAATGGCCTTATCTTAAATAATGACACTTGCAGTAACTGTACATCTCCATGCTCTGAGTGTCAGGAAACTGTTACCAATTGCACAAGCTGCCAAACTGGACACTATCTTTCTGGTAATACCTGCATTCAATGCACAAAAATGCTTATAGCGTTTTTAGACATTTTTTTATTTTCTTTTATTCTTTAAGAAATAAATATTTTTTAAAGATTTTTTTAAATTCAATTCACATCTCCTTGTATAGAATGTTCTAGTGAGACAGTATGCACAAAGTGTTCAAGCGGCTTTAATCTTACTAATTCAACTTGTGAGTGCGCCGATGGGTACTTTTTAAGCAATTCAACTTGCGAGCAATGTAGTTCACCTTGTTCTGAGTGTCAAACAAGTTCTTTGAATTGTACAAGCTGTCAAACTGGACACTATCTTTCTGGCAATGCCTGCATTCAATGCACATCTCCTTGCTTAGAATGCTCTAGTAGTACAGATTGCACTAAATGTCCAAATGGCTATAATCTTACTAATTCAACTTGCGAATGCGCCGATGGATACTTTTCAAGCAATTCTACCTGTCAACAATGCACATCACCATGTTCTAAGTGTTCTGAAACTGCTACAACATGCACTGAATGCTCGAATGGCTTAATCTTGAATAATGGCACTTGCAGTAACTGCACATCTCCGTGCTCTCAGTGCCAAGGAAGTCTTACCAATTGTACAAGCTGTCAAACTGGATACTATCTTTCTGGTAATAGTTGCCTTCAATGCACATCTCCTTGCTTAGAATGCTCAAGCAATACAACATGTAGTAAATGCCCAACCGGATATACCTCTAATAATACAACTTGCGTATGTGCAGATGGATACTTCGAAAGTAATTCGACTTGCGAACAATGCACATCACCTTGCTCTAAATGTTCTGGAACTGCTACAACATGTACTGGATGCTCAAATGGCCTTATCTTAAATAATGGAACTTGCAGTAACTGTACATCTCCATGCTCTGAGTGTCAGGAAACTGTTACCAATTGCACAAGCTGCCAAACTGGACACTATCTTTCTGGTAATACCTGCATTCAATGCACAAAAATGCTTATAGCGTTTTTAGACATTTTTTTATTTTCTTTTATTCTATAAGAAATAAATATTTTTTAAAGATTTTTTTAAATTCAATTCACATTTCCTTGTATAGAGTGTTCGAGTGCTACAGCATGCACAAAGTGTTCAAGCGGCTTTAATCTTACGAATTCAACTTGTGAGTGCGCCGATGGGTACTTTTTAAGCAATTCAACTTGCGAGCAATGTAGTTCACCTTGTTCTGAGTGTCAAAAAACTTCTACGAATTGCACAAGCTGTCAAACGGGCCACTATCTTTCTGGTAATAGTTGCATTCAATGCACATCTCCTTGCTTAGAATGCTCTAGCGATACAAATTGCAGTAAATGTCCAAATGGCTATAATCTTACTAATTCAACTTGCGAATGCGCCGATGGATACTTTTCAAGCAATTTTACCTGTCAGCAATGCACATCACCATGCTCTAAATGTTCTGGAAGTGCTACAACATGCACTGAATGCTCTAATGGCTTAATCTTAAATAATGATACTTGCAGTAACTGTACATCTCCATGCTCTGAGTGTCATGGAAGCCTTACCAATTGCACAAGCTGTGAAACTGGATACTATCTTTCTGGAAATAGTTGTCTTCAATGCACATCTCCTTGCTTAGAATGCACCAGCGCTACAACTTGTAGTAAATGTCCAAACGGGTATACATCTAACAATTCAACTTGTGTCTGCGCAGATGGATACTTCTCGAGCAATTCGACCTGCGAACAATGCACATCACCATGCTTTAAATGCTCTGAAACTGCTACAACATGCACTGAATGCTCTAATGGCCTGATCTTGAATAATGGCACTTGCAGTAACTGCACATCTCCATGCTCTGGGTGTCAAGGTAGCCTAACCAATTGCACAAGCTGTGAAACTGGATACTATCTTTCTGGCAATAGTTGCCTTCAATGCACATCTCCTTGTTTAGAATGCTCAAGCAATACAACTTGTAGTAAATGCCCCACCGGATATACCTCTAATAATACAACTTGTATATGTGCAGATGGATACTTCGAAAGCAATTCGACCTGCGAACAATGCACATCACCATGCTCTAAATGTTCTGGAACTGCTACAACATGTACTGGATGCTCTAATGGCCTTATCTTAAATAATGGAACTTGCAGTAACTGTACATCTCCATGCTCAAGCTGTCAAGAAACAGTTACCAATTGCACAAGCTGTCAAACTGGCCACTATCTTTCAGGTAATGCCTGCATTCAATGCACAAAAATGCTTATACCATTTTTAGGCATTTTTTGTTTTTTTTTATTATTCGAAAAATATTTATTTTTTAAAGATTTTTTAAAATTCAATTCACATCTCCTTGTATAGAATGTTCTAGTGAGACAGTATGCACAAAGTGTTCAAGCGGCTTTAATCTTACTAATTCAACTTGTGAGTGCGCCGATGGGTACTTTTTAAGCAATTCAACTTGCGAGAAATGTAGTTCACCTTGCTCTGAGTGTCAAACAACTTCTACGAATTGTACAAGCTGCCAAACTGGACACTATCTTTCTGGTAATGCCTGCATTCAATGCACATCTCCTTGCTTAGAGTGCTCTAGTAGTACAGATTGCAATAAATGTCCAAATGGCTATAATCTTACTAATTCAACTTGTGAATGTGCCGATGGATACTTTTCAAGCAATTCTACCTGCCAACAATGCACATCACCATGTTCTAAGTGTTCTGAAACTGCTACAACATGCACTGAATGCTCGAATGGCTTAATCTTGAATAATGGCACTTGCAGTAACTGCACATCTCCGTGCTCTGGGTGTCAAGAAAGTCTTACCAATTGCACAAGCTGTGAAACTGGATACTATCTCTCTGGTAATAGCTGTCTTCAATGCACATCTCCTTGCTTAGAATGCTCAAGCAATACAACTTGTACTAAATGTCCAACCGGATATACCTCTAATAATTCAACCTGCGAATGTGCAGATGGATACTTTGAAAGCAATTCGACTTGCGAACAATGCACATCACCATGCTCTAAATGTTCTGAAACTGCTACAACATGCACTGGATGCTCTAATGGCCTAATCTTGAATAATGGCACTTGCAGCAACTGCACATCTCCATGCTCCCAGTGTCAAGGAAGCCTCACAAATTGCACGAGTTGTCAAACTGGATATTATCTTTCTGGCAATACTTGCACGCAATGCACATAATTGTTTTTTAGTTTTCAGGCATTTTATATTTGCTTTTTTTTTATTGCTTTAAAAATACTTTTTAAAGATTTTTTTCAACTCAATTCACATCTCCTTGCTTAGAATGTTCTAGTGCTACAGCATGCACAAAGTGTTCAAATAGTTATACTCTTTCTAATTCAACTTGTGTCTGCGCTGATGGGTACTTTTCCAGCAATTCAACTTGTGAAAAATGCACATCACCATGCTCTAAATGTTCCGGCACTGCTACAACATGCACTGAATGCTCCAGTGGCCTAATCTTAAACGATGGTGCATGTGCTAACTGTACATCGCCATGCTCTTCATGTCAAGAAACTATTACCAATTGCACAAGCTGTCAAACTGGATATTATCTTTCTGCAAATAGTTGCCATCAATGCACAAGTTTTTATTTTTATTTTAACGCACTTTTTTATTTTCTTTTATTTAAGAGAAATAAATATTTTTCAGAGATTTTTTTAAGGCTTCAATTCACATCTCCTTGCTTAGAATGCACCAGCGCTACAACTTGCAGTAAATGCCCAACTGGCTACACTTCTAATAATTCAACTTGCGTCTGTGCTGATGGATACTTCTCAAACAATTCGACCTGCGAAAAATGCACATCACCATGTTCTAAATGCTCTGAAACTGCTACAACCTGCACTGAATGCTCTAGTGGCTTAATCTTGAGTAATTCAACTTGTCTTAACTGTACATCACCATGCTCTGAGTGCCATACAAGCACTACTAATTGCACAAGCTGTCAAACTGGATATTATCTTTCAGGCAATAGCTGCGTTCAATGCACAAGCCATTTATTTCATTTTTAAGGTGCTTTTTATTAAAAATCTATATTTAGTTATCTGAAAATACTTTTAAAGATTATTTTAGAATTCAATTCACATCTCCTTGTTCAGAATGTTCTAGCTCTACTACTTGCACAAAGTGCTCAAATGGCTATACTCTTTCTAATTCAACTTGTGTTTGTGGTGATGGATACTTCTCAAGCAACTCGACTTGCCAGCAATGCGCATCTCCATGCTCTAAATGCTCTGACTCTGCTACAACATGCACTGGATGTGAAAGTGGCCTATTGTTGAGCGGCAGCTCTTGTGTTAACTGTACATCGCCATGCTCTGAATGTCAAGCAAGTCCTACCAATTGCACCAAGTGCGATACTGGGTATTATCTGTCTGGCAACAGTTGCATTCAATGCACATCTCCTTGTCTAGAATGCTCTAGCGCTACAACATGCACAAAGTGTTCAAATAGCTATACTCTTTCTAATTCAACTTGTGTCTGTACTGACGGATACTTCTCAAGCAATTCAACCTGCCAACAATGCACATCACCATGCTCTAAATGCTCTGGAACTGCTACAACATGCACTGGATGTGAAAGTGGCCTACTGTTGAGCGGCAGCTCTTGCGTTAACTGCACATCGCCATGCTCTGAGTGTCAAACAAGTCCTACCAATTGCACCAAGTGCGATTCTGGGTATTATCTGTCTGGTAACAGTTGCATTCAATGCACATCTCCTTGTTCAGAATGCTCTAGCTCTACTACTTGCACAAAGTGCTCAAATGGATATACTCTTTCTAATTCAACTTGTGTCTGTGGTGATGGATACTTCTCAAGCAACTCGACTTGCCAGCAATGCACATCACCATGCTCTAAATGCTCTGACTCTGCTACAACATGTACTGGATGTGAAAGTGGCCTATTATTGAGCGGTAGCTCTTGTGTTAACTGCACATCGCCATGCTCTGAGTGCCAAGCAAGTCCTACCAATTGCACCAAGTGCGATTCTGGGTATTATCTGTCTGGCAATAGTTGTATTCAATGCACATCTCCTTGTTTAGAATGCTCTAGCGCTACTGCATGCACAAAGTGTTCAAGTACCTATACTCTTTCTAATTCAACTTGTGTCTGTGCTGATGGGTACTTCTCGAGCAATTCAACCTGCCAACAATGCACATCCCCATGCTCTAAATGCTCTGGATCTGCTACAACATGCACTGAATGTTCCAATGGCCTAATTTTGAGTAATAATGCTTGCGTTAACTGCACATCTCCATGCTCTGGATGTCAAACAAGTTCTACGAATTGCACAAGCTGTCAAACTGGATATTATCTATCTACTAACACTTGCATTCAATGCACATCTCCTTGTTCAGAATGTTCTAGCGATGCAGTGTGCACAAAGTGTTTAAGCGGCTATACTCTTTCTAATTCAACTTGCGTTTGTGCTGATGGATACTTCTCAAGCAATTCAACATGCAAACAATGCACATCACCTTGCTCGAAATGCTCTGGATCCGCTACAACATGTACTGCATGTGCTGATGGCTATGTTTTAAGCAATTCTACCTGCGTTAGTCCTACCTGCACTTCGCCATGCTCTAGCTGTTACTCTACTGCTACAAATTGTACTTCATGCGTCGACGGGTATTATTTGTCCTCTAATTCTTGCCATCAATGCACATCACCATGCTCGAAATGTTCAAGTGCCTCTATTTGCACTAAATGCGCAGATGGATACTCACTTAGCAGCAACTCAACCTGCAATCAATGCACATCACCTTGCTCATTATGTAGTACCTCAACATCAACTTGCACAAGTTGCATAGCAGGATACTATTTAAATTCAACAATTTGTAATGCTTGCACAAATCAATGTGCTAATTGTACTTCAGAAAGTGTATGCACTAGCTGCGTTGCAAATGCTAGCTTTAACTCTGCAACCAGTTCATGCAAATGTAATAGTGGTTATGCTCCGGTAAATGGGAAGTGTTCTCAGTGTCCAACATCTTGTGCAACTTGCAGCTCTCTTACAAATTGTTTAACTTGTAATTCCAATGCCGAAGTAGGCTCAAATGGTCTATGCTCTTGCAAGAGTGGCTTCTCATTGGATTCGAACAATAACTGTATCGCAACTTGCAATAATCTTTGCACTTCTTGCTCTACTTCTAATGGGCAAAACTGCACTGCATGTATCACAAATGCAGAGTTATCTGGAATTACTTGCTCTTGCACACCGAATTCTTCATATGACTCACTCCCCCCTTTAAATTGGAAGAATAAATTTTGTTCTTATTTAAAGTGGGGTTGAATTTTTTTCAAAATTTTGTTTTATGAAGAATTATTCAAAATAATAATCGATTCAGTGCTAAATAATGCATTTTTATCATAATGTTAGGTTAAAAAATAATTCTATATATTATTTTTACATATAAAATTTTATATAAAAAAAGTTGTTCTATTTGAAGAGAGTATAAAGCACCCAAAAATATAAAATAACCAATATTTTGATCCAGTTTAAAGGGTGGAGTCAGCTTCAAAAAGCTGTCTCTGTAACTCTGGATACACATTGTCAAATAGCAAATGTGTGGTCTGCAAAAAGTATTTAGCTTCTACAGATGTTGTATCAGCATCATACAGCTCATCATATGTATATGTCTTAGTATCATTTAAAGTACCAGTAGATACCACAGTTGATCCTTCATGCAGCAAGGTTTTGACCTATGACACTCTTCAATTGATGGGAACTGGCCCAGTGTGTTCTTGGTCTGACGCTAAGACTCTCAAAATTGCTTTGGGTACCCAATTTAGCCTCAGGGATTCTACAATTAATCTAGACGGCACTTGGATCCTTAAAGACACTCAAGATCCATGCACCATTAATTACCAGCCGCTAAGCGTATCGATTAAAATGCCAACAAGTCCTAGTCCAGTCGCCGTGATAACAGGACCTCAGACTATTTCACTTGGATGCAATAATGACGCAATTGTTTACTCTGCTGATAAGTCAACTGGCAATTATGGAGCTTCTTTGACATACAAATGGAGCTCCACATCGGTAGATTTGATTTTACAGGCAACAGGATTCTCTATTTCAATTCCTAAATCCCCTCGCTTCAGAAAACATCGGGAAAATCCTATTTTTGGGTAAAAAACTACGCTTCGTGAGTATAAAAAATTCAATTCATATATAAAAATTTTATAAAAATATATTTTTGATATCTCAGTAATAATCTCTAACAATTTCTATTGAATTTTAAAAAACCTGCATTTTTAAACATAAATTTTGCAATTAATAAGTTAATTTTTACTTTCAAATTTTCACGAATCGAAAAAAATTCTACTATTATATTTTTAACAAAATTATAATGGGGAGTAAATCAAGCATATCATCCTCTTTAACATCCTTAACTGTGACAGTTCAAATAACAAATACCTTTGCGCTCACTAGTTCTGCATCAATGACAACAACAATTTCTCCTCAAGAAACTTTAACTGTTTCATTTGACTCTGGAAGCACTATTTCTATGAAAGCTTCAGAATCAAAGACCGTAAAAGCATTGGTTGCTGCCATTTGTGGAAGCTCTGCAACGTCAATATCTTGGCAATGGGCTTATACATCAGGCCCATCCAGCACTGCAGCCACTAATCTAGCTTCTTCGGCAACTACACAAAAACTGTCTATTTCAAGCAATTTGCTTGCTGCAGGAGGTCCATATGTTTTCACTGCCACAGCTACTCAGAATACTAATAGTTCCCCTATAACTGGAAGCGCCAGCGTATCTATTACAGTGACTTCATCACCTCTTGTTATTCAGCTATCCAAAGGTAGTGGAGATGTCAATAAAAACTTAGACTTTATTATAGATGCAAGCAGTTCTAAAGACCCAGATACTAATTCAGCAGATGGCCTTGCCTATGCATGGACCTGCACCAATCATTTAGATGGAACAGCTTGCTCTATAGCATCATACCTTTCAAGCCAAAGCAGCAGCGCCTTGACCATTCCTAAAGCAAGCTTAGTTGTAAATCAATGGGATTTAACTTGCACAATTTCTAAAGATTCAAGAACAGCAAGCTATACAATAACTCTCAATATCATAGATATTTCAGCAACTACCAATATAGCAATTCCAACAATTAGTGTAAAAGCTAACTATCAACAGTTAAATAGATTCTCAGCAAGTGTCTCTGGAGGCGATGGAACCTCAATCCTATGGTCTCAATCATCTGGAACTAAAATACAAATATCGCCAAATAACCTTTCTTATCTGTCTTTGACTGCAAACTCTCTTGCTGAAGGTATGTCGTATGTGTTTTCTTTGACTATTACATCTGGAACTTCAAGCTTTAGCGTCGACTTAGCTTTGAATGTTAACTTAATTCTTCTGAAAAAATTTGGCAAAAATTAAAAAATTAATTAAAATAGTTAAAGGGCTGGAATTTTTTAAAACAAAAAGTTAGGAGCAGCTTGCTCAGACACAGTCCCTTCAGTTAATCCAAGTTCAGGAACAGCTTTGACAACTTCATTTTCAATATCAATTTCTAATTGTTATGACCGTGATGGTGAGGATTACCCAATTCTGTACACCTTTGAATATTCTACGGATAGTGGAACAACTTACAGGATTATTGGATCGACTACAGAACAATCTCAAATCTCCTATTACATGCCTGCAGGCACCATCACTATTTTAGCACATGTTTGCGACCAGCTCAATACTTGCATGGACTACACGACAAAATCATCTATATCAGTCAAAGATTACGTTAGCAGGCGATTGCAGTCAGATGCTTTAAGAACTTCTTATTCAACGCTGACTCTTGATCCAGACAACATACCATCAACCATTACTTTGTTCTGCAGCAGCGCTTCAATTGACAGTTCATTGTTCTCCACAATGTGGAGTGATTTGAAATCCTATGTCTCCAGTCAAAGTATGCTTCTATCATTAATAATTTTTTTTTTTATTTTTCTAAATTTTTTAATTTTTGTTAAAATTTAGGAAAAAAAATTTCTTCATTGCAAGATAATTAATCAAAATTGCTTACTATGACAAATACCCTTTTGGACAGTGTTCTAGGTGCAGTTTATTCTTTGTCAACCCAAAAAGGATTAATGACGCTCAACACCTGGGAAGAGTTCATTGTGTGGGTAGACAACCTTTTGACGACCTATACATCCTTAGTACCAACTGCAGATAATTTAGATTCTATAGTGGAAATAGGCGAAAGCTATTTGAATTATGGCATCAATACTACCTTCTCTGAGCAAACCTTTGAAAAGTACGTTCTCTATGTCAATAACTTCTATACAACCTGGGCAATTGCATCTACCGCAAATGACTTACTATATTAGACCAAATGAGAGCGAATTATTAATTTTATTAAAAATATTATAATTTTTAGCAAGAGAAAAGTTAGTTACCCAGTCATCAATTAATGATGCTATAAGCACCGCTAAAACTCATATTTATAAAGACAGAAACTTCCCAGAAGATATGCAAAATACTACTCGTTATTATTCTACCGTTGCAAATCTTACATATCCAGGCACTTTGGATTACTCTAATACAAATATAATGAATATGAGAGCTAATTTCTATCATGGGTTTACTGATGACTTTTCAGCTATTGCAATCTTTAGTCTCGCAAACTCAGGAACTTATAAGGATTATTCACTTAATCCGGCGACTGAAACTTATGTCCCATTCTCATCATCAGATTACCCATTCCTTATTGAGCTGCCTTATAGCAAAAACATTGGAGAAGGCATGGTCTGGGGTTGTGTATATTATAATGAGACAAGCTCTAATTGGACTGAGTCGAACTGCAAGATAGTAAGTATCAACAATTCCACCTCAACCGTCACATTTAAAGTATACCACTTCTCAATGTACAAACTTACTGAGGTGAATCCTAGTGTCAACCCACCGCCTTATGTTCCAATAACAGATAGCTCATGTGACGATAATTATGCTCCTCTCTACATCCTTGTGGTAGTTCTGTTTATTGGTTTGCTATTAGCTCCAATAATGGTTATAATAGACAGAATTAGTCCTTCATCACCAACTCAAGCTCCTAAGGATGCACCTCCCAACACCCCAGCATCTCATTCTCCTAGACCAACTCTAAGAGGGCTCATGCGTCCTAACATAAGTGTTCATGCTTCTCAAGGCGAAGAATCCATTGAAGATGACGATGTAGACAGCTCAGACGAAGAAGGTGTCCAGTCCCAAGATATCGATCTGACTGAAAATTCCGTTGTCGAACAAATCGAAGCACCTATTGAAAAACCAGAACCTGAAGTCAAATATGAGCTGCAAGAATTAATTGAAGGACACTTGGTGTTTGGACTTATCTATTACAGACCTATTTTCTCAAGAGTCGCAAGAGTATTTACCTTAATCGTTGCTATCGTCTTTGAGCTATTATTAGAAGGCTTATTGTATTATGGCTCTGAAGACATTAACTCAGGAAGTGAAACTGCGACTCAGACACTGTTTGATAATTATGAAGGAAAATACTTTGGGTATATGATTTTGGCTTTGGCGATCACAATTCCTGTTGAAGTGTTTATGATAGTTGCGTTTAGCATTGATAGAAAGAAAGCGCCAATCTGGCCAGCGATTGGAGTTATTGTGGGCCTGGCGGTACTGATTGGGTCAATTGTAGGGGTTGTTATGCTAAGCTATGACTTCTGCCATGAGTGGAGTGGGTATTGGGCTGTCAGCTTCTTGTGGGGAATTTTGATTGAGATCTTTATTATGGAGACCATTTACATGATTGTTAGATACTTCCTCATACAAGCTTATCCAAGCAATGAAGCCATTAAGTCTTAAACAAGCTTTATTCTTAATTATGTGTTAATAATTAGTATCATAACTAAATCTTCTATTTAAGTTAATTAATTTAAATTTTGTGACAGTAGCTGACTCTATATATAAGGGTTCTAAGCAAAGTTTAAAATGCTTTGCCCTTGAAATAGATATGAAATTATAAAAATAAAATTTTAAAATTACCATTTTTATATATATAAGCTGTTAAGTCTTAAATAATCTTCATCCTTAATTTTGTGTGAATAATTTAATTTTTTAGTTTATGCTACAAAAATTCGCAATAGTGACCCTGATAAAGAAATATATACTCACCTCTGAGATATTATTGCAATAGGGAGTACTCATATTAGATCAAAATTGATAAAAATCGAATGCAAAGGGACGAAAATTCAAACTGTCATTATGCTGCTGAAGCTTTTCAGTAAAAATAAGTAAGTTGGTGAGGTGAAAATAATATTTTTGCGGATAACTATAGCTAAATGGGAGCCCTTCAACTTTAATGCTAAATTTCTAGCTGGACAAGCCTAATTCAAAATGCAAAACGATTTTTAAACCTCAAGAATCGCTTATTGCTATATAAAATTTCTAAAATTAATATCAGTACTTAATGGTGACTTAAAGTTTATTTAATGCAAGCCAAATTTCCAATATATATTTTATTTCTTATCAGCTTGATTATTTTATAGGTTTATTAACTGGACAGTTTTGGTTATCTGATCCCTAATTCATCCTATTTATATATGCTGGCTACCTGCCAAAGGGCATTTATTTAAATTCTCGTTTATTGCATAACACATAAGAACAAGCTATTAATAAATGTAGTTAAAATTAAAAAATTCAGCAAGATTTAGTTAATTTTTATAAATTTTGTATATAAAAATGCGTAATGTAACCGCTTAGTGATTCTTAATTAAATTATAGTGCAATTTAAAGATCTTAAGGCGGCTATTTAAATTTGTTTAGGTTTGGGATTGATAGTGCTTTAAAGAATGATAAGATATTTTCTGCTACATTTATAAGAGAATTTATGCTTAAGTATTGAATGATTGTCTTTTTCTTTCATTTTATTAAGCTTTTCTTTTATTCTGCTATTGAATCATAGTGATCTTTGATTTTTTATACAACACATCTTGCACTCTTGAATATTTTTCACTTGGCTTATGATGGTGTCACTTTTTAACTTTTTCATCTCATTCCTATTTAAAAGCAATCATATTTTTGCTCAAATTTTGATTCTTCAAATAAATTATTGCTTAATTCTTCATGTGAATTATTCAGATGCTTTAATTTTTCAAGAGTAATAAGTTGGTCATCAAGATAGCCATACCTCTTATGGGATTGTATGAGCGGTATCAAAATTATCATGATGCTCTGCGGCATTTAAGCTCAACGATATTCAAGATCTATTATTTTCTGCTCAGTCCCTAAATCTCTTATCTACTAATGAACTGTTCTGCGAATTATTTTCACATCTCCTGTTCCTACAGATTTATTATTTCGTTCTTCTTCGTACAATTCACTTATTTTCTCTTCAATATTATTTATTCTTTCTTGATAGCTCATATCTTATGATCTAAGCCTTTCTCTAAAAATAACAAAAGGTTTTGGTCCAGCAATTTTATCAGCTTTTGGGCGACCATTTCTCTTTCACTTCTTGTATCAGCCCAACATGCAGAATTGCAAGCCAAGTTCTTCAGAATTTCTAAGCTGCTACACATATTGCATCAATCAGCTTTTTTCTGAAATTTCGAAACAACTAGTGTACAGTTTAGCATTTATAATGGATTACTTAAAAATAGTTGGCCTTTTAATTAAATAAAATCGGAATTGTAATCAAGACAAAGAATGAGTAGCTCTTAAGCGCCCAAGATTTGAAGATTACTGCTAATGACTATAATTTTAAAGTTTAAGAGCTGCCAATTTTTAAAATCCTGAATTCAGAATTTTTATTCTGGGAAAGCAGACCCTGGATTATCCAAATTTCCTTTAACTTGATCAAGATCAACTGCAAATAATTTTGTTATGAATTCCTCGAACTATAGGTGCTGTTCTATTAGGTTTATCCTTTAAGACTGTACTAATAATGGATTATCCTTCTAGTTGGACCTGATAAAAGATATATTTTTGCGAACTTCTTTCGCTATTCCTTTTTAATTGTGCTAATTCGAAATCCTTTTGCTTTTCCTAAATCAAGATAAACATAAAAATCGTAAAACGTAGCATAAGAAGCCTGATGGAAGTGCATTTTTGTAGTCATGAAGCCTTTATTAAATTACTTAGTGGTGTCGACATAAATCCATTGATATTTCAGCAGTATATAATTTCATTTAGATTGATAACTCAAAGAAAATGACACTTGCCTGCTCCACAATATATAAAAATAAGAAAATAAGCATTATTTGAGAAGTTTATAAATTTTGACTTAAAGATAAGGAATTAAATATCAAAATTAAATTTAATATCCTCAATAAAAAGCAAATTTAGCAAATAATTTATAAAAATCGCCCAGTATCTAATAAATAATTAAGAATTATTATCAATAAAAACCCCCTGTGGCAGACTTCTAAAATATTCCTCCCCAAGCTTATCAGCACAGCTACTCTCATCAGGCAATCTCGCATACTCATAAACATTAATCACATATTGCACAAAATCAGTCAACCCATCCACTTTAACTGCCACAGCAATTTCATCGTCAAGACTCACGGTCAGATCAGCGATTCCACTTTGGAAATCCCAATTAGCAATACTTGTGACCATCATAATCCTCCTCATGTCATTTTTCGAAAATTTTGTATTAATCCATTTCGGATTTGCAAGCAAGGTAGAAGGGAAATTTAGTGGCTCGCTCGTGTAAATTATTTTGAACTCTCCTCCTTCTAAGGCTTCTATAATAGATAAAGCAGGCCTATGATGAGGCTTTATGAAATCATATTTTGTCTGGGCAAATGATACGAAATAATTTGTATTTAAAAATCTAATGTAGGGGGTTGAACCAAAGGTGCGACTAGATCCTTTGTCAGAGCCGAATTGCCTTTTACAAGGGAGGTGCTCCTCAGTGCAGTCAATTACCTGCGTGTCCTCATACTTATATAAAAAATATAAATGCACGCTATCAATTATGAGTGGGCTTCAGTTTTTTTCGACACGCCAGGTCTTTCCAGTGTGCTCTTGTAATTCCAGCTTTCTATGGGTTGCTGTTGAAAACCTATAGAGGTTTATTTGTCGGTTGAAATTTGGCTGGCCTTCCATTAAGGTGGCAATAAAAAAAATTTCGTTTGACAAAGCTCGAAAAAGGCGAGGATCCTCAGGACCCCACCATAATTCTTTTTTCATTTTCCCTAGTGTGATTATGCTGGGCACCTGGGTTTTCCCTACAAATTCAGTATTTCTGACTTCAATTCAGTCAGAGTTAAAAAAGGTTAAGTATACATAGCTATATGAGTCTAAGATAGAAACCCTAACAGCAGCTAAATAAAGCTGTTTTTCAGGTAACCAAAGGGCAGAAGGGAAAAATATACGAGTTTTCTCTTTGTCTGATGGGCGAAACTCATTGAACCTAGCTTTTTCTTCATCACAAATATGAGGAGGCAATAGGGTGTAGATATTTACTTTGTTTATAATTTTGAAAATTTCCAGGTCATTGACTGTACTGATGAAAGTCCTTGCACCAGGGTTTCGGGGAAATTTCAAAGAGAACCTGGGATTTTAAGAGGTGGGACTGCTTTTCAGCCATATAAAAGCACTGATTATTATTTTTCCTTTGGTTTTACCCATTTAGGATACACCAAAAACGGCTGATGCAAGCTTTATAGACCCTCACTTTTGCTAATCAAAGCTAAATACCAAGACTTTAAGCTGCTTTATACGAGTGAGCCAATTGATTTTATGTACAGGATTATTTTAACCCCAGTAACCAAATATAAAAACCCAGGGGAAAGAGTCTTTTGTGGGCCTGGAGGATGGCTGATTCCCAATTCTATCGCAAAAATTGACGAAAATTCGGATATAGCTGACCTCACACTCAGCGTTGACGATGAGCTCCAGCTTGTCGTTAAAGCCAAAGGACTGTTAAAATATATAGGTAAAATAATTGAGGCTTATGAAAAAGAGATACTTCCTGAGGAGCGAAAATGTGCTGAAAAATTCGCATATGATTACTATGAGAAAAAAGAATTAGTCAGCCCACTTAAAGGGATTGAGGAAAAGGAGTTTGAAAAGAATGAGGCTGCTGCCAGCAAAGGGGGCTGCAAGGAAAAGCATTTTTTGAATTTCCAGTCTAATAAATGTGAAAGTAAGGGTAACTAAGAATGCATTGAAGTCTGTGCTGAATGTGAAATTTATTACTATTGTACTAAATGCAAAGATAAAAATGCAGAAATTAAATGAGGATATTGTTTCTGTAAGGACGGGTTCTATATAGATAAGAAGGATAATATCTGCAAAGGTAAGATTTAGACAGCCTGCTCTAAAAATTGTTTGACATGCGCATCGGCAGACAGATGCTTAAAGTGTAAGGCTCCTAATTCTGTGTCTGATGATGGTATTTGTAAGTGTTTAGAAGGCTTTCTCGAAGTTTTAAATTCTAATGAGCACTCCTGTGAAGATCCTATGTCTTTCTACAGCAAATACGGATGCTAAAGAGGCCATTCCGGAATCAATAAAAATGAATACCCAAATTTGTTTGGCACAAATTTCGGGTATTATATGAGCCCAGACGAAAATTCTTTATCAATGATTTTATCAGGCATAAATCCTATAATAGCCACTCCATCAAAAGAAACCTTTTACTGCGACTTTGAAATGGCCAAGGGAAGCGTCCAGAAGCTAGAAGCAAGCTCAATAAAAGGAGGATATCTTATAGACCTAGAAGTAAAAGTTACTAAACTTTAAAGTCTTATCTAACTATATTTATTCATTTTAAAAAGATTCCTAGGCCACAACTGTTTGTGGTAACTAAAGGACATTAATATGGCGCAGTCTTCTTTTTCTTCAAGCCTCCCATAGTCATACATATTGATAATGTATCTAACCATATCAGTCATCCCCGTCACTCTTATAGCTAAAGGTACCGAGTCATTTATAGACAGAGTTAAATCGACTATATCATCCGCATAGTCTCACTTTGATATAGAATGGACCATTAAAACCCTTGCAAAATTACAGTCGAGAATTTCCTTGATTGATTTATGCTTGGACACTGGAGACAAAAACACTTTATTTTGAAAATCAATAGGCTCACTCGTGTAAATTAGCTTAAAATCTGGCTTGTCGCCAGGAATAAACTCGATTATAGACAAGGCAGGGCGATAAGGCTTGCATGAAATTTCAGGAGCTTCGGTGACGACATTTGTAAATATAAAGGAGACAAAATAATTGGTATCAGCAAACCGGACGTATGGAGAACCACCTTTGATAGAGCTCGGGGCATGATCGTAAGTTCCTCTAACTTTTTTGCATATCTTGTTTTCTAAACTGCAGTCTATAACTTGTAAATTCTTGTAATTATAAATGAAAAAAATATGCTGGTCATCAACTATTAAAGGGGTCCAATTTTTCTCAATGACTTTTTCTTTTTTGGCATATTCCTTAATCAATAGTGGTCTCGCTATCCCTGCAGAAACGTCAAAAATATGCATCAGCCTTTTTTTATCCTTCATCAGCAAATTAAAAGTCATAAATAGCTCACCTTTCAGCGCTCTAAAAATTCTTGGGTCCTCAGGCCCTGAGCTGTGCTCTTTTCACATTTTTTCGATTTCAATAATTCCTGGGACTGTGATATTTCCTATTGTTTCATTTTTCCTAACTTCATTTCACTCAGAATCAAAAAATGTAGCATAAAGAAAACTATAAGAATTAAAAATACTAACCCTTACAACTGCAAAAAATGTATTTTTTTCTTCTAGCCATATAGCAGAAGGATAAAAAACTTGAATGTCATCTGGCTTATTTTTGAATCTTTCCATCTCTTCAGGGATGATATATGGAACAAGCAGGCTCCTAATTTGCTTTGGATCAAATAAGATTTTAATAAATTCCTCTGACTTTTGAGCATTTTTGTAGTAAAAGGTGCTATTTTTCAATATTTTGATATGGCTATTGGGGTCTAAAGCAGGGCAGCCTCGAAAAGTTGGAACAGTTTCTTCATAAACGAAGTAGCTTCAGATAGGTCAGCTTAAGAAAAATGCGATAAATAGCATTCTTTCATTAAGCTCCATTCAAATTTAATGAAATTCCAAAATATAAAATGGAACGCACGGGTAGTTGAAAATAAAAAAACTGTTTAATATTAGAACGCTGCTTTTAATTAGCAAGGCAAATGCCAATCTTGTAGGAGAGCTTCAATTGATTAATTGATGCCCATACTTCAATATAAACAGCTAAATCCGCATATTTATAAATTCAATATAATAATAAAGAAAACTGAATATTTACGTAAAAGACTTTACTGATAAAGAATACTTAGATAATATTGTAAAAAAGGCTATCCAGATAGTTATCAGACAAAAATAAAGACAAATAGATTTACTTTTGCTAATTTTTTATTTAAGTTTAAAGATGGAATTTTAATGAGCTCATGGTCACGTGTCCTGAACTTTAGGCAACTCAATTGCAAATTTCGACACCAAAAATGACATTGCAGACCTTCTTTTCACTCTTGGTGATGCTCAACAATTTCTATAAAAGCAGTCGGACTGTGCACAATTATCATCAATTAACTAGCTTATACAAATTAGGAAACCTTCCTTCAAAAATAAATGCTCACTCACTCCTTGGCAGGCGAACAATATATTAGAAATCTCTACTTTTTGAAAAATTAATTGAGAAAAATTTTAAAAAGAATTAGCCTTGCTTATTTTGCTCACTTACCAATCATAGGGAGTCAGAAATTTTATTTTAATTTATATGATTTTTCAATGCATGAATAGTTACGAAGAAATTCGGTCAGAAAAATAATCCTAAAAATTGTGAAAAAGCTTTATTTAAATTATGAAGGAGAATTTAAAGGTAAATTCTACATAGTCTGCTGTTACACTGCTCTGAATACCTTAATTATACTTAATTAAGGCTTATGTAGTGTGTCCTGAGGGTTGTGCTAAATGCTTATTCTCCTCCTTGAGCAATAAACTTGCTTGCTAACGGAGGGATTATTTTTTTTAATTTTATTTAATAATGCTATTAAAATTAAATAGATTTCATTTTATTTAAAATTTTTTTTTTGCTCTCTCATAAAGGGGCAGAGTTAGACTATGAGATTTGCTTGGAAAGCAAGAAGGCGAATGCAATTGTGGATAATCAAGTTTGTACTTGCCTCAAAGGATTTTTAGAAGTTATAATGAAGATATAAACAGCTATTTATGTGAAAGTAAAAATCATAGAGATTATGAGAGAGCTAAAATGTGTAAATGCTACAGACCGAATGAAGTTTTAGAAAAATAAAAATTATATATGATATAAAATTTAGAGTGGAAACTGAGAAATAAGTTTTATCTCTAGTTCTATCAATAAGTGTATATCTGAGCTTCTTATCTGGGAGAAACTGAATATTGTGATTCAGATTTAAAAAAATAAAACCCAAACACTATAAAAATGCTTTACAAAAAATGGAATTCTGCTTGAAATCTGCATAAAGATAGCTAAAACATAAGTTTTTTTAAAAAATTTAAATTTAGAAACAAAACCCAATTAATACCATTTAACCTTATTTATCTTTTCCAAAAAAATTCCAGCTTTCTTTTATCCAAAAATAACTTTCAATTAAGTTTTTTTAATTTTATAATTTTTGAAAAGGTAAAAATGCCAAAAGGCTTACTTCTATTATTAAGCCTTTTATGGGTTCGTATAAGTTCAGAAACAGAATTCCAAATCCGCAATGGATGCCCATTCTTTGATATAAACAGCAAAATAAATCTACTGCAAGAGGACACCTACTTCAATGATAATGAAAAGCTTGAAGTTTATATAAAAGGCTTTATCAACAAAGAATCTCTTTTCAGCACAATCCACCAGGTAATTCCTAATGACTGAAAAGAAAAAGTCCAAATAAAAGATATCAGATACCTCCACCCTTCAGCAGTCTGAGTCCCTGAAAGAAATTTATTTTTAGTAGCTATGCGGGTATGGGTCTTATCTAGAATTTGCTTTATTTATACTACTTTTTATGATAAAGACTGGAAAGAAGTTAAAGATGAAATTATAATTGGGTCAACAAAAGTCCCTTCTGTATTAGACATACCTATAAATAAAAATGCTTTTTTTGAGAGAAGTTATTTCTTGCTAACTTTTTCTCCCTTATGGAATTTTTAATATAGGGTCCAGTTTATCCATGAAACTTTTCTCTGAAATATCATGGGACTCATTGTAAGATGAATGCTTGGCACAGGGTAATGGCATAGATTTTGCTATGGGGAGGGAGACTCTAGGTGAAAAACAGCTGAGCCAAGTTAGGGAAAGGCAAGGTAACGCAGCCCGTGGGGTAGCTAACCGCCATTTGTTCAAAATGTTCGACAAGATCAAAAGGGTCACTAATTTGGCGATCTCATGGGGCTTTGATAGTTATCCTGCAGATCAGGCAACACCCTAAGCACTTTAACTATTAGACATTCCTCATTCCTGGAGTATTGAAAACAGCGGCCCAGAAGACGGACGGCTTTTCAGAGCGTTTTCTGATCAATTTTTTATTGCTTTTAATATGAAAAAGCTTGATTTATCAGCACGGCCTATGTTTATTTATAGCTATACCACAAAGAAAACCCAGCAGCTTTTTATTCCAGAGCATCAAGGCAAAGTCGTAATTATGGAAAAAAACTGGTCGCCTCTCATTATAGATAACGAGCATTTATATTTCGTATATAACTTCGAAAATTTCCAAATAATTAACTGTAAAACTGATGGAAATTGCATTAGGGTACATGGAGATTATAAATGGAAGCCAGGATTCCTAAGAGGTGGGTCCCCGTTTGTCAGGTTTAGGAATTCTAATTATTATATTGCTCTCAGCTGGACCCACACAGAGCTCCCAAAAGAAGGATGATGCTATTTATACAGGCCAGCCCTTACAATAGCATATGCAGCTGCTGCAAACCCTGATTTTGATCTAGTCTACACAAGTGAGCCAATTGATTTTCATAAAAGGCTCTTTATTAAGCCTGCAGGGCCAAAAGACTCTCTTGATGACATAAATAGCTGCCATACCTGGCTAATGTCCAATTCTATAGCAAAATGAGACTTTGAAAATGATATAGTCGACATCACGCTTACACATCAGGACAATTATCCTGTAGCAGTAAAAGCTACAGGCTTGACAAAGCTAGTGAAAAGCATAATTGAGCTATATGAGTATGGGAAACTCCCACAAGAAGACCATTGTGCTGATAAGCTGCTTTATTTTTACTATAATAGAGATGACTTGGCTTATCCTGGAAAAGGAATGGAAGAAGGAGAATTCGAAAAAAAAATCAAGCCGAACTGCCAGAAAGGGGAATATGTTGAGAAGACGTCAAAGAATAAAACAGAAGAGTGGCCCTGAGTTTTTGAAGAATAACTTTATGCATATCCAGATGTGGCTTTTTTGATGCAGAGAGCTGCATGAGTGCAAGCTAGAGGGCCAGCACATTTCCGCTGATTTCAGCTTTGCTCAAGAAGCAGTTTTTGTAAAAAAAAGCTAGATATTTATAGAGATGGTTTCTCAGGCTCTCAACAATGACTATTAACTTAAAAATCGGCCTGGCTCCAATCTTGCAGCTTTCCTGTTGCTAAGTGGAGCCAGCATAAGGGCTTAAATGCACATAACTTGCTATAATTTAATCTGAGCCGGCGTCTGATTCCTGTCAAAGTAAAAAATATTTAGAATGCCATAAGCTTTGTGCTGAGTGTGAAGTTTACGATTATTGCAAAAGCTGCGCAGACCCAAATTCAAGCCCAGTTTCGGGCTATTGTATCTGCAATGACGGGTATTATTCAAAAGGTGATATCTGTAAAAGTAATTTTCATTATAGAATGCTCAAATGGCTGCGCAAAATGTTCAGCCAGAAATAATTGTTTGGCTTGTAAAAACCCAAATACTGTTATTGATAATGGTATTTGCAAATGTGTTGAAGGATTTGTAGAGGTGTATGACCAAGCCAGCTCAGAATTTGTGTGCAAAAGTAATAGCTATGTAGCTTATGACCCAAATCAAAAGTTTGGCTGTTATAGAGGTAGGTCAGAAATAGAGCTAAGCGAGTATCAAAATGTAATGAAAATGACTTTTGGGTATCAGGAAACAGGCCAGCGATTGGGTGTATTTTTATCAACACAGAAAGAACTTCCAAGCATAGAAGAAAATAAATTTTGTGAATCCGATATCACAAAAAATAAGGTAGAAACCCTGAAAACTAGCTGAATTGAAGATGGCTTTGAGATTGAAGTCGATATAAAAATTACAAAACTAAAATAAAATATTAATTTATTTCTAGATTTCCCTATAGAATGCTTGTTGAGTGTATAAAGATTATCTGATAAGAATCAACTAGCTTTTCCCACCCATTTTCCAATAAAAAATTAGCTGCCAGCTTGCATTTTCCTCCTCCGGGAAGTGTACAATCATCCATCAAAATAATCGAATATTTATGTAAATTCTCATAAGCAGCCTTAATTTCTTTTAAATTTTGTTCCTGTGATACCCTCGGATTTCTAAAATCATAATCTACACTATCCAAATACAAAAAATCAATTGGCCTTTTATATTCTTTTAAGTACTCCACTGAGTCACTTTTTATAACTTGTGCGTTATCAGCATAAAGCCTTATTGCTTCCCTTGCTCTTTCACAATTTTTCTCACTGATATCGATTGATGTAAAGTGTCTCCCTGTAAGAAAAGAAAAATGTGCAAAAATTGGGGTCGAACATCCGTCGCCTCCACAACTGCCTTCTCCTTCACGGGCAGTCCCAAGTTCTATAAGAGTAAAGGAATTGCGGTCTGCCATCAGTTTTAAGGCCTCTGCGTAGCTATTGTACCTTTTATCAGTTTTTGGGATTCTTCCAGACAAAGAGGAAAATATAGCTGTTCTTATGAGGGTGTCGGAATAGTCTCCAAATTTTTCAAGGTCAGGGTTGGGAGAGCTTCGTAAGGTGTAAGTTTGGGCTTCTACAAGATAGTTGGTTACAAAAAAGAGGACAAATAGGGAGATTAATGACATTTAAAAAATTTTTAAAAGCGTGAAAATGGGATTTTTATTAGTCTAGAATGGAGATTTAGCTAGGAATATACCTAGAAATTTTGTTACTTTGAGAGGATATGCTTATTTTAATTTTTATTTAATTGCTGCTTAATAATTGAGCAATTGAAGAGAATTGTTAATTAAATTAAAAAGAAAAAATAAATATTCATCCTATAGCACTTTTGGCTCCTGCTAGCTGATTGGCCTCCTCAAAAAATTTGATATAATATGATTTATGTCTGATTATTGCGATTTTTGTTGGCTTCTTTCGCTAAGTAAAAAGGGTCATATTATTATCTAGCTCCAGCTTATTATTTCTGCTGCTACCACAACTAGACTTCACTCAATTCTTCTAAGCCCCCTTCAGGATTTAGATTAAAAGGTATCGTTTCCTTATTTAATTTTGTAATTAATATGTGGAGGAGATGATTATGGCTCAGGGCCTGCCTTGCATCGCCCTGGGCTGCATTGCCTCCTTAATTTGCGGGGTTGGCTCGGGCAATATCAGTTGTCACAAGCTGGCAAGTGAAAATATATTGGCACTTACCAACTTGCGGAGTAGGTTTGGCAACTGAACCCGATTGGCTGAGGCGGAAAAATTTAGCTCAAGGCGATCTTAAGTAGGCCCTGGGCTATATGTCCTCGATAACTCACCAATTTTGGAGCTAAAATGGCTTTATAGCCTAAACTAAGGTCTGACCCTTTAATAATAACCCTGGGCTTGCATAGAGTGGCTTTATGGGGTGAGAAAATCTTGGGAGTTAGCTGGCAGCAATTCCAGTCCAGGTATTAGCTATCCGGATGGCTGTTGGCCACGGGTTGTTTTCCTGGTTGTTTTTTCCCGAGCGTCTTTTTCTATCAAGTTGGCTGGCTGGAGGCATCAGGCTAATCTTCGCCTCCATAGCATCCATCCGCAAGATGTGAAGCAAGAGGAGTCTTTTTAACCCATTGATATCAAGTCCGTAGTAGACTGCTGTTGAGTAGGGTTTAGGCGACTGGACACCTCCGCAAGCAGATTCTGATGGTTGCAAGCGTATGGATTTCATCAAATCTAGAAGACTTTAAGCTCTTTAATCTTAATCTTAATATTGCTTAATATCGTATCCAAGAAAAGCCTTCAGACAAGGCTTGCTAAACTGAGGTCAAAACTCGCTTGTCTTGTTAACATTTGCCAGAGATAGCCCTGGCATTCGGTGACTTCACCATTTTATTTGTGTCTCTTCTAAGCCACTATCCTTAGAGTCTCTTGTTGAGCCGAATTAATATAAATATTTTTTATTATGAGATTTAATTTTTCAAAAGTTCTTGGACAAAAACCTAAATCTCTCAAGCTTGGCATATATACATAAAATAGCAGATAGAAACGCTAAACATTATAAATCTATACCTGTAATTATTGATTTTTGGGATATAAGTTCCTACATCAGTTCTTTCTAAAAGTAAAATTGCCTAATGTGTGCTTTTCCTCAATAAATTAAAATAGATAGAGTATCATCAGGAATTTAGTAGGGAATCGAATGGGTTATTTCTCGCTCCCCATCATCTGCAAGTTTTTCGCTCGCAACAGACTATATATCTGGATAAGGCTTAAAATTTTATAGTGGTTTCATATTGAAATTAAATTGGCTTGATATTTTTATATATCCTCATCTTAACTAAACCATCTATTTCTTATATTAAAAAACTAATAAAAAGTTCAATATATTTTAGTTATTATTCACAAGTAAATAATTTATTTTTATATTCTTAATTTATTTAGGTTTGCAAATTCCCATTATTTTATAACAATTTTATAATGAGTAGAGTTCTTGAAGCTGTCTTTTTTGGAATGAAAGACCCAAATGCTATTTTTTACACGCGAGCTCTTTCTAGAGCCAAAAAAGGTGTCATAACCAGAAAAGAACAAGCAGAAATAAGTTCTCGTCACATATCCAGCATGTGTGTTAGATTTATTGGTGCTCCTATATCAATAGCTGTTGCTTATTATATTCCTATTCCTGATTTTTTTTACCCTATCTTTTGAAGATCCTGCACATTTATATTATGCTACCGCTCTATAACAATCCCAGTTCTCCTCAAAAATCGTAATTTTTTAAAAGAAATTGCAATAAAATACGATTTATTAAACAAGCCTGAGCTATTGAACCCTCCAAAGGGTAAAATTGATACGATAGATCAGAGGCTTGATAGCGGAAAGGATGGAAATAATGAGACCTTTGCTGAGTATATAGAAAGGATTAAAGAAACTGAAAAAAGGCTGCGCGAAGAGTATGAATTTGATAAGCATTATAAGAAAAGCGTAAGATATGAAAGTTATGAAGAATATAGGGATCGGAAATTAGCAAAGAGAAAATAAAAGCTGCAAATAAGTATTAAGATTTAGATAGTAAATGGGATCCTAATTAATGAATAAATACCCTAAATAATGATTATTTAATATTAAGTGAATTCTTAAATAAATTATGAGATTAACACTTTAATCGAATTACGTATCATAACAATTGAAATAATTGTTAAAATTGATAGAGTTTACTTTTAAAAATAATACGGTTTTCATATAATCACTGTAAAATCACTCCTATGGAATTAAATTTTAATTCCTAGAATAATCGCTAATTGTTTTCATGTTCGATTTCATTTGAATGCGCATAAAGTTTTATTAAATATTTATATTTTCAAAGTGTTTTTACCACAATGCAAATCGGTTAGGGGAGATAGAGGAGTATAATCAGCATAAAACTTCTAATCAGCATAAGAAATCAGTGAGATTTATAAAAAATATAGATTCTAAATCTTAGGCTTATTTTTAGTAAATTTCGAAAAATTCAAAACATAAGACTCTTCAATTGTTTTCGACAATTTTGTAAGAATTCTTCTTTTGATCTATAATTATTTTTTAAGCTTAATATCTAGCTTTTAGTGACGTATATGGCTATAATTTAGCATTTTACATAATTCAATAATTTTTTGGCAATTCTAGATCTTTCCATCTGAAGAAACTAAGTCGAGTAAGGATAATTTTAATAGGAATTATCTCCTATAAAGCAGGAAAATTGTTGACTCCCCCCCTCCGTGAGTGAACAAAAAAATTTTGTTCACTCACGGAGGGGGGTTAATTTTTTTTTTTAAAAAAATTTATATATAATTTTATAAAACATTTTTTTTATCCTGGTTCGCAAAAATTGGAAAGCAAATATTAATTTAATTTATAAAATTTATGTTTTAAAAAGCAATTTGTTTAAAATTAAACACAGAATTAGCTCTAGATTTCGTTATAATAATTATCATTTATATATCAAATTTTTTTTCCATAAAAAAATTTTTGTTCACTCATGGAGGGTGGGTTTTTGGGCAAAAAATAGCGATTTTTCTAATGGTTTTGTTCACTCACGGAGGAGGGGGGAGTGAGCAAAATGATGAAAGCTTTTTAATTTCTTTTCAGATTAAAGTTTTCTAATTTCAAATAAACTATAAAACTAAAAATTAGATAATAAATATACAATCAGGTGAATAAATTAAGCCATAATATTACGATAATACCCATATAAAATCTCAAGAACACCAATTAGCCAGCCGTCTCTGATCTGCCCAAAGCATAATTACTGAAAAATCAAGGTAATTAATATCCTCTGCTCATCAAGAATCAAAAATCTAAAATTTAAAATGCATTAAATATCAAAAAACCTTATTAACCCACAAAAAAGTGAAAGCCTGAAAATTCACTTACAATCTTAATTTTTAGTTTAGCCTAATGATTATGGTCCTAATAATTCTAATTATCTGCAATTTATGCATTTCTAAACCAAATTTTGAATGGGTAATAAAATGGCCAACTTTTTCATGTTTATACCTCTTATTGCCTTTCAGCTACTTTATAGTGACGGGCGTGAGGAAAATATCATGATAAAAGACCCTCAATTTGACCTATATGAAAATACTTTAAGATCCATGATCCAAGGAGGTGGCGAAGTTAATGAAAATGAGATGAAATTAGGCGATATTGGCGATGAGATTATTTCCAAAATAATTAAACATGGTGTCTCAGCGCTTCGCGGTCGGCTACGCCGACTTCCTTCGAGCACATATTTAATTATATCCGGCAAGGTTTTAACATGCCAGAGATAGACGGCAACTGTAGATAAGCAATTCTGGTGGTGTTCGGAGCCTAGCCCAAGTCTAATCTCAGGGATGGCTTTTTCTTCATGGGAAAGGAGGGCATGTTAGTTGAAAAGGGGAAACTCAGCAGTGTCCTTAAGACCATTCGGACAACTCCGTGAAACTGGGCGTTACGTCCCGGGCTGCATGTTTTCCCTTTTTGCCGAGAGTCGTTTTTGAGCAGAAAACCAATGTTCAAGTGCAATTAGCTCATCATGAGCCGTCGAAGTCGGTGACATCATCTGGAGGTGCGTGGTGCGCTGGGCGGTACCGGGAGGTTGTGCTTTCAGATCCCTACATATCAAGAGGTGGGGGTGAGCCTACCCCGTAGGAGACTTTAAACGTGATATTAATTAAGTAAGTAAGAGATTACTTCCAAAGCCACCCAGAATCTGATTGAAGATGCTACAAATAATGACAACATGGAAAATTCTGCAAAAATAGAAAGTAAAGGTGATGATAGACATACCCAGAAAAATAGCATCATTTATAGCAAGGATGGACAAAATAAAAATAATAGGAGAAATTCAGAGGAAAAAGACTTTGAAATAGCTCAAAATTTTAATCAAGTAGCTTCTTATAAAAATAATATCAACGAATCAGAAAGACGCTTGGATCCATCAGCATGTGACCCTGGAAAGTACCAGATAGATACAGGAGATTGTGCTGATTGTCAACATCCCTGCTCTACATGCTCCACGGTAGCTACAGATTGTGATGAATGCGACGATTCTACTCATATGACTTATGATGCAGGCACAAAAGCATGCACATGCACTGATACCAATGCTTCTTTTGATACCGCATCTCTTAAATGTGTCTGTAATGCAGGATTTTTCTTAAATGACCAAGAAGTTTGTACTGCATGCACAGCTCCATGCTCTTCATGTAATTCAGCTACTTTTTGTACTACATGTCAAGATGAAACCCATATGACGTATGATTCAGCAGCAGGAACATGTACATGTACTGATGTCAAGGCTTCTTTTGATATACCTTAAAAAGGCATATAGCCTGCTCTATGGCATTATACAGCAAAAAGCTCAATCTCTTGGCTTGCCAGCTCTATAAAATTACACAGTTAGGCTATAAGCTTTCCTTAGATATACTACGACTCTTAAATGTGTTTGCAATACAGGATTTTACTTAAATGACCAAGACACTTGTACTGCATGCACAGCGCCATGTTCTTCATGCAATTCAGCTGCCTTTTGTACTGCCTGTGAAGATGCAAGCCATATGACTTTTGACTCAGCTGCAGGAACATGCATATGTGCAGATAGCCATGCTTCTTTTGATGCAGCGTCTCTTAAATGTACCTGCAGCACAGGTTTTTACTTAAATGACCAAGACACTTGTGCAGCATGCACCGCGCCATGCTCTTCGTGCTCGAATTCAGCTACTTTTTGTACTGCCTGTGAAGATTCAACTCATATGACTTTTGACTCACTCCCCCCCCCCCTTAAATTGAAACAAAATATAGGTAAAATTCCTACTTTTTTGGGAAATTACCCCCCCTTTAAATTGAAACAAAATTTTATTATAATAAAAAATTTTATAGGTAAAAATCATTACTTTATATGTAAATACGTTAATACCCTATTTAATATGCTTCAAACATATAAGATTTAGAAATTAAACTCTATTTTGTCCAATTGTTCAATTTATTGTATAATTTATTTTCTATAAAATTTTATCTCTGAAAAAAATTTTTATATATAAATTTTTTTTATAAAAAAATTTTCTTAACCCCTTTAAATTGAAACAAAATTTTTTGTTTCAATTTAAAGGGGGGGGGGAGTCAGCTGCAGGGACATGCATATGCACAGATAGTCATGCTTCTTTTGATGAAGCGTCTCTTAAATGTACCTGCAGCACAGGATTTTACTTACTCCCCCCCCCCCCTCCGTGAGCGAACAAAACCATTAGAAAAATCGCCATTTTTTGACCAAAAACCCACCCTCCGTGAGTGAACAAAAATTTTTTTAATAGAAAAAATTTTAATGGAAAAAAATTTGATATATAAGTGATAATTAGTATAATGAAATCTAGAGCTAATTCTGTTTAATTTTAAACAAATTGCGTTTTAAAACATAAATTTTGCAAATTAAATTAATATTTGCTTCCCAATTTTTGCAAATTAGGATTTTTTTTAAATTTTCGAAAAAAATATTTTTTATAAAATTTATATATAAAAATTTTTTTTAAAAAAAAAATTAACCCCCCTCCGTGAGCGAACAAAATTTTTTTGTTCGCTCACGGAGGGGGGGGGGGGAGTTAAATGATCAAGACACCTGCACTGCATGCACAGCGCCATGCTCTTCATGCAATTCAGCTGCCTTTTGTACTGCCTGTGAAGATTCAACTCATATGACTTTTGACTCAGCTGCAGGAGCATGCACGTGCTCTGATTCCAATGCTTCTTTTGATGAAGCGTCTCTTAAATGTACCTGCAGCACAGGATTTTACTTAAATGACCAAGGCGCTTGCACTGCATGTACAAGTCCGTGCTCTTCATGCAATTCAGCTACTTTTTGTACTGCTTGTGAAGATTCAACTCATATGACCTTTGACTCAGCTGCAGGAACGTGCACATGCTCTGATTCCAATGCTTCTTTTGATACTGCTACCCTTCTATGCACGTGTAATACAGGATTTTATTCAAATGACCAAAATACTTGCACTGCATGCATCGCACCATGCTCTTCATGCTTAAATTCAGCTACTTCTTGTACTGCTTGCGAGGATTCAACCCATATGACTTTTGACTCAAATGCAGGTACCTGCACATGTACTGATACCAATACTTCTTTTGATACTACAGCTCTTCTATGTGCCTGCAATACTGGATTTTACTTAAATGACCAAGACACTTGTGCAGCATGCATAAGCCCATGCTCTTCATGCAATTCAGCTACAGCTTGTAAGGGGTGTATCGATGGCTACTATTTAGATTCCACAACTTGTAAAGCTTGCACTAACCAATGCGATAATTGCTCTTCAGCACAGATATGCTCTAGTTGCGTTATAAATGCTGATTTGGACTCTAGCACGAAAAAATGCATATGTAAAAGTGGATATGCACCAGATAATGGGGCGTGCTCCCTATGTCCGGCTTCTTGTGTAACCTGCGACTCTTTAAAGGTTGCGATTAATTAGGTAATTATAGTGATACCTTCTTCCGCAGGACGGCGAGCCCCCCTTTTAAAAACCCAGCTGTTTGATGGTGACAGTCATCTTGCTCCAGATAAGCCTTCCAGAAGATGACCGAAAAGGTCCAGAAAGCCTTTCCTGATGGCATTGACCTCGTTGAGGGTCACCCTCCTCGGGTGTGCCAAGCAGTGAAATCATATGCCTCCTTTTCTTTGGCCCAAATGGTTTACATTATGCAATAATCCATATTTGTTAATGAAGGTTCACCTGGAAAAATAAACCCTATAACAATAAAATTGATAAGGGCGGGCTAATTCCAAACCAAGCCATTTTATTATTTTGCGACTCTTTAACAAATTGTTTAACTTGCAAAAATAATGCTGCAAAAGGGTCAAATGGAATATGCTCTTGCAATAGTGGCTTTTCTTTAAATACAAATAACGATTGTGTAGCAACCTGCAATGATCTTTGCACTTCTTGTTCTATTTCTAATGGGCAAAACTGCACTGCATGCATCACAAATGCAGAGCTAACTGGTTCTACTTGTGCCTGCACAGCGAATTCTTCATATGATTCAGCATCAAAAAGCTGTGTCTGCAATTCTGGGTACTCTTTATCCTATAACAAATGTATATCCTGTAAAAAGTATTTGGCTCCTGCTGATGTTTTATCAGCAGCATACAGCCCATCATACGCATTTGTTACAATATCATTCAAAGTCCCAATAGATACCACAATAGATTCTTCCTGCAACAAGGTTTTGACTTATGACACTCTTCAATTGATGGGAAGCAACCCACTATGCTCTTGGTCAGATTCTAAGACTCTTAAAATTATTTTGGGAAGTGGATTTAGCCTTAGAAGCTCCACAATAAATCTAGATGGCACATGAATTGTTAAAAATTCACAAGATGACTGTACCAATAATTATCAGCCGCTAAGCATAAGTATTTCTATGCCCACAACTCCAAGCCCAGTTGCCAAGCTATCAGGACCAGATTCAGTCTCCCTTAGCTGCAATAATGACCCACTTGTTTACTCAGCTGGCAAGTCAACTGGGAGTTATGGTTCTATTTTGAGATATAAATGAAGCTCAACAATTTCAAGCTTAAAAACATTTTTAGACGCACAGTCAGGATCTTCTATTTCAATTGATAAATCCAGTATAAGTTCCTCATTGACAGTGACTGTTCAAGTTACAAATGTCTTTGGCCTAACAGATTCTGCATCTCAGACAACTACTATTTCTCCTCAAGAGGTGCTGACTGTTTCTTTTGACTCAGGAGATACCATTTCAATGAAAGCCTCAAACTCTAGAAACGTGAAAGCTTGGGTTACAGCTGTCTGTGGAGGATCCACAAGTACAATTTCTTGAAAATGGTCTTATACATCGGGGCCAGTCAGTGCTGCAGCGTCTAATCTTGCTTCTAGCTCCAATACACAAAAGTTATCAATTTCAAGTAACTTGTTGTCTCCAGGCGGTCCATATGTATTTACTGCAACTGCTACTCAAAATAATGCTGGAGCTCTAGTTATGGGGAGTGCTAGTATTTCTATTACAGTGGCTTCGTCACCTCTTTTCATTCAATTATCCACGGGCAGCGGGGATATTAATGGAAATAAGGACTTTACTGTTAACGCAAATGGGTCTAAAGACCCGGATGATCCTGATTCAAAGGTTCCTCTTGGGTATAAGTGGACTTGCAGCAATCATATAGATGGGACGGACTGCTCAGTGGCTTCATTCCTTTCTGGACAAAAGGATAAGAGCTTGACTATTTCTAAAGAAAAACTGACGAAAGGAGTGAAGTGGGATTTAACTTGTACGGTCTCTAAGGATACTAGAACAGCAAGCTATACAATAACGCTCAATATTTTAAATATTCAGGCAAACATCTTAACTTAATTAAGATTATAGAAGCTTCCGTAGGCCCGAAGGCCACATTCATCTCCAGTATAGATCTACAGACTGCTTGCCAATCCGAGCACAGCCCTCTCGCTGTATTGTTCATTACGGACGAGTGTTTGTTCTCTCTAACAGTAATCCAGATTCACTGGGCCACTATCCTGTGCGTCAGCAGGGTTCAGCATCCAGAAAATTTAAAAAATCGGATTTTCTAGTTAGGACCAAACGCCGGTATCTAGCTGGGAAACTTACCGATTGATCATGAGTGGCCTTACTGGTGTTGCTGGGATATCCCTGCCTAACCTTGAGCACCATCTCTACAAATTCGGCCGAATACATTACCGAACTCCATCCTCCTTCCACAAGTCACTGAGCTACCCCTAGATGCAGGTGCTAAGAGGGTGGGCTGGTTCACCATACCATTATAATATATTTTTCAGGCAAATATCTCAGTCGAAATTCCGACGATCTTCTTAAAGGTAAACGGCCAAGCAAAAAATCAATACTCAGCTCTTGTCTCAGCGGACTCTGGGGCTTCTACTATTTGGTCTCAGTCTTCTGGATCTAATGTGAAAATTGAGCCAAATAACCTTTCAGCTCTTTCGCTTTCTGCTGGTTCTCTAGCTGAAGGTATGGCATATGTATTTACTTTAACTGTTACATCTGCAAGTGTGAGCTGTAAGACAAGTGTATCTATCAGCTCTAACTTAACCCTCCGAAAAATTATTTTTATTTCAAATATTATTTAATGTATTGGTAAATTGCATTTTCCTTATCTATGGTAAATTAATTTTATTGTGTCAGGAAATTGTGACATGAAAATGAGTCTAATGACATAACATTTTTTTTGATAAAATAAAAATCATTTTCACTTATAAAAGCAAAAAGAAATTTATGCAAGATCTTATATAAATTAAAATTTATAGATAATTTTATGAATGGAAAGCTAGGCGCAGCATGTTTAGACTCGCAGCCTTCTGTTTCCCCTGATTTTGGAACTGCTTTAACCACCAGCTTTGCCATATCAATATCTAATTGCTATGACCGTGACGGCGAAGATTATCCACTTTTGTACACCTTTAAATACTCAAATAATGGCAGTGAAAAATTCAATATTGGGCCAACCACAGAGAAAACTCAAGTATCATATACCTAATTATGCTAATTAAAACAATTAAAACATTTGGCTATTCCCTACTTTTTAAGCCAAAAGATTTTTAATAAGGCATATATCTTGCCTCAAGGCAACAACTACATTTCAGTGCATGTATGTGATCAGCTCCATACCTGTGCAGATTATACATATAGTAAAGCTATTGCAGTCACTGCATATACAAGCAGACTTTTGGACTCTGAAAGATTAAGAACGGCTTATTCATCAATGATTCTGGATCCAGACAACATCCCCTCTACTATTATTTCATTTTGCAATAGTGCTACAATTGATAGTTCATTGTCTACCACTATGTGGAGTGATTTAAAATCTTATGTCACCAGCATAAGTATACATAAATTTATTGATTTTGGTAGCAATTTTCTAATAATATATTATTTTATATAAAAAAGATAACTAACTTTGTGGTTTTAGAAGCTAAATTATATATATTAGCTTACTATGACAACCACCCTTTTGCAAAACGTGCTAGGTGCAGCTTATTCATTGACGAAGCAGCCTTCATTGATGACTTTTGACATCTATAAAGAGCTTATTGATTGGCTAAATAACATTTTGAAGACCTTCCCATCCTTGATACCAAGCCAAAGTAATATTAATATTATTTTGTTAATTGGTGAAAACTATTTGACCTATGGCAACAGTACTAGTTTCTCAAGCCAAAGCTTTGAAAAATATGTCCTTTATATCAATAATTTCTATACATCTTGGGCAATTGCTGCAACAGCAGAAGACTTAGTTACTCAATCCTCAATGAGCGGCGACCAAAACACTGCAAAAACCATGATTTATAATGATAGAAATTTCCCTAACAGCATGCTAAATACTACACGTCAATATTCTAAGTACGGAAACCTTACCTATCCAGAGTCTTTAGACTACTCTCCAACAGATATTATGAATATGAGGGCTTGTTTTTACCATGGATTTACCAATGACTTGTCAGGTGTTGCTATTTTTAGCTTCGGGCAGTCAGGAACTTATGAAAATTATGTGCTCAGCCAGTCGCCTGAATCTTATGTCCCATTCTCAACTCCAGACAGCCCATTTATTATCGAGCTGCCTTTTAGCCAAAATATTTCAGAAGGAGCGAAATGGGGTTGTGTTTACTATAATGAGACAAGCTTTAAATGGACTGAATCAGACTGCGAAATAGTCAGTGTTAATTATGATGCTAAAACAGTTAAATTTAAAGTGTATCACTTCTCAATGTACAAGCTAGCCGAAATAAATCCTATTATTCCACCTCCAAATGACCTGGATACGAGTTCAAGCTGTGGTGATAATTATGCTCCTATTTATATACTTGCTGTAATTTTGTTTATTGGCATGATTTTAGCTCCAGTAATGGTTGCAATTGACAGAAATAAGCCTCCTTCATTACTTGTGGATACTTCTAAGGAAGTGTTAAATAATTCTCCATCTCATACACCAAGATTATCTCCGAGACACAGTGAAAAGGAAAAATCGTTCCAAGAAGAAGAGTCTGCTGAGAGCATAGAACCGACGAGGCTAGATGGCGAAACTGCTAAGCCAAGACAAGTTGACTTGAGCAGAACTGTAATTTCTGAGCAAGTTGATGGAATGACTGAAATAGAAGTGCCTAAAAAAGAAGCCAACCGCAATCTGCAAATTTTAATTGAAGGACACTTGCTACCTCTTTAATAAATGTGCGTTCTGCAGATATTTTTCAAAGAAATTGTTGGGAAGTTTTGTTTTAATTTTTCGTTATAGCCTTTCTTTTGGCTTAGGCGATAAATATAAAAATTTTTTTTGAAAAAATATAAACTTTATTCTTTGCTCCACCCCCCTTCCGTGAGTGAACAAAACCATTAGAAAAATCCATCCCAATGAGCGAGCATAAATTTTTTAATATAAAATTTTTTACGAAAAAATGTTTTGATACATAAATGATAATTATAGTGAAATCTCCTCCTAATTTGCATTTTTAAAACGTAAATTTGACAATAAATTAATGATTGCTTTGAAATTGGGATATTTTTAAATTTTGAACAAAATAAAAAAAAAAATTTTGAACGAACAAAATTTTTTGTTTTTGAAGAGGGAGTTAATAATTTTTGTTAAAAATTTCTCAAGAGAGCTAGCCCTTGGAGTTTTGTACCATTGTCCATCATTTTCAAGACTAGCAAGACTATTCACGTTTGTAGTGGTTGTCATCTTTGAGCTGTTGCTAGAAGGTTTATTGTATTTCGGCTTTGAAGACACTGACTCAGGAAGCGAAAAGTCAACTCAGACATTGTTTGACGACTATGAAGGAAAATATTTTGGCTGCATGATCTTGGCTTTGAGCATTGCAGTCCCAGTTGAAATCTTCATGGTAGTTGCCTTTAGCATTGACAGAGCTAAAATTTCAAAGTGGTCAGCATCCGCAATTGCTCTAGGTATTGCTATACTCATTTGTGGGTAATAAAATGGCGATATTAATTTTTTTCAAAAGAGCTCTAAATATTTCATAAAACTAAAAAAAATAAATAAATAGAAAAAATAAGCTCATATTTTTCATATGCCTTAACTAAAATTTATGAAAATTAAATAGCTTTGCATTTATTTATAATCATTTAGCTAGGCATGGGGAGGCGGAGGGGCATAAATAGCTTAAATTCGCTACTCATTGGATCAATTATAGGCATTATCATCCTGAGTATTGATTTCTGTCATAAGTGGAGTGGGTACTGGGCAGTTAGCTTCCTTTGGGGAATTTTAATTGAAGTATTTATTTTTGAAACCATTTTCATGATTGTTAGATACTTTCTCATAAAGTCTTATTCAAGAGTTATTACAGTGAAGCCTAAAGTTTAAATAACCTTTTATTTTGTGTTTAGATTTGAGCGGTAATCATAAAATGGCGATATGCGTTCTTAGCTGATCTGCCAATCGACGCTGCTCACTTTTCATTTTATGATTATGAGGCTTGATTTTATATCAAGTAAGACTAGTAAGTAGCTTTGAGGAGAGGCACCTACCCTCTGGCCAGAACAATAGAATCGAAAGGTTTATGGTTTCTTTACTTCCAACGAAGGTGTCTTTAGTCGGTACACGGCGTCAAAAAGACAGAAGTCGCTAACTCTTGAGCTGTTCAAATTGGCAACACCAATTCTAAGCTTTCCGAATCGAAGCAGATCAACCTAGCAGCCTGTGAATCGGCACATGAAAAAATCGCGGAATTTCTAGGGTGGAAACCCCTTAATAGTGTTAAGAGGTTTAGATTTGAGCCATTTAAAATACTATCGTTAATTTAATAAAAATAATTAAAACATTGAAAAAATTGTAAAATATTCTAATTAAATATAGTGCAGGAAGCTGCTCGCATGCTCTCACTCTGAAATTTTCTTGGTGATTCTCAGAACTTTATTCAAATATCAGCCCATCAATAGACATTTGATGCTGCTCATGCTATTTTTGGAGGAATTCAAAAGGAAAAGGACTTGCTGCAGTGATCAACAAAAATATACTTTTCAAATTATCTAAGGGGTCGGATCAGAAAAAGAAGAAGGATCTCTGCCTAGCATTTGCACAGAAATGTGCAACATATTTCCTTCAGGATCGATATTGAGGTCCTATAGGTCCCTCAGGCTATGTGGTAGTTCCTTCTGGTGGAGACAAGCTATCGAGAGTTCTCATAAATCAACCTGTTCTCCATAAGGTATAAACGGAAAGGAATCACTGTGCCGATTTGTCCTTTCACGCTAAGAGGGGAGATCAACTGAAAAAGGCATTTTATAGACTGCACCCTCCCCCAGATGTGGCAATCAAAGAGATAATTAATTCGTTGTGATCGAAATGCTAAATAAAAGAAGTTTGTGTGCAGTGCAGGCAATGCATGAGGAAAGATCCAAACCTTTAATTTCACCCCAGAATCAAAATATTCAATCTACATTAAGTTTGCATATCTTGAAGAAGCTTTGAATATTATGTGTAGCCTTCGATACAACTTGTGGACTTTGTTCAGGACAAACCAATTGCTCAAATTGTAAACAGCACATGCGATTATATCAGGAGACGTCTGCAAGTGGAACTTAGGATATTACTGGGATGCTTTTTCTTATTTTTGTCCAAATGCGATGCAACTTGTGGGAAATTTACGGGTCCAGGCAGTTCGAAGTGTGATGCTTACAAAGACAGCCATGCTACACTAGAAGTGGTACCTATCCATACAATTCAAGCTTTTATTGGGATAATACGAAAAGTATTTGTAGAGCGTAATGAATAGCTATATGCGATAACCTCTGCTCTTCTTGTGATGCAAATGATTGTAATAAATGATCTGCATGCGTGACTGAGGCTGAGTTAAATGGAGTTGCTTGTGCATGCAGCATATGATGCATCGACAAAAAGCTGTCTTTGTAGCTCTGCTATACATTTTCTAATGGAAATATGTTGTTTGGAAAATATCTAGCTCCTTCAGATGCGATTTCACAGCTTATAGCATCATATACCTCTGTAACTATGATCAACCAGAAAAAATTCTTCCATACCTGGCACATAGAGAAATATTTGATTGAGCATTGCAATTATGCTTGTGTTTTTAATAATCTCTAAATGCTAATTTTGGGATAAATCTTCTTAAAGAAGAATATAACTTTTAAGGTTCCAGTAGATATCTCAGTTGATCCTCTTTGCTCCAGGGCTCTGTCTTATGAATCTCCTAAGATTTAACAGGCAGCTTAGGCTATTCTAGGTCCAGATTAAGTGCAAGCTTGCATCTTATGAATTTCTTTGCGCCTATTACCAGGATTCAAAGGCAAGAAAAGCCTTTCTTATGTAGGATGGAAGTAAAATTTTGAAAAGGCTTTGTCTCAATCCCTAATTTGAGTGATTTTAGGACAAGATAATCAAAAATCCCTATATTTTATTTTTTATTACAAGTTTATTCAATTCGGGATACTTGAAGGACATTTAGCTCTCGGACTTATCGACTATAGGCCTTCCTTTAGTAAAGTCACCTTTACCTTGGTGATAATTATCATTTTTGACTTACTGCTTGAAGGATTGCTGTACTTTGGATCTGAAAATATTAGCGCAGGGACTGAAACACCAACTGAGACCTTGTCTGATGACTATGAGGCTTTATACTTTGGAGGCATGATTGCCGTTTTGGTAATTGCAATGCCTATTGAAATCTTTAATGTTGTTGCCTTTAGCACCGACAGGGATAAGCTCTTCAATGCTCAGCAGCTGTAGTATCTATAGGAGTTTTTATCACTATTGGTTCCATTATTGGAATTTTGATGCTTAGATAAGTGTATATTGGGCTGCAAGCTTCCTTGGGGGACCTTAATTGAGGTTTTCGTATTGGAAACAATTTATAATGATTGCAAGATACTTCATCATAAATTTTTTCCTCCAGTGATGAGAGAAAATCTAAAACTTAAATAACCTTTTCTATCATAAATTTGGCTAATTATATTTTATATACGTTAAATTTAGGAAATATCTGAAATTTTGGATGCTTATTTCAATATCAACGTTTTGAAGTATTAGCAGTATATAACTAAAATGATAATTAAATAAATTTTAATAACTATTTTGAGTTTTAAGGTTCTTTTTCAAAATTATTTGGTTTTTAGATTAGGTATGCGCTTTGATTTTTAAAAAATATCTTTTGATATACATTTAAATAGCTTGTCTATAATTTATTCAGCTTAAATAATATAGAATGCGAATATGTTTTATAAATAATAGGAAATGGAGATGAAGCAGTATTTCAACTCAGAATGCAAGGATTAATCGTATATGCATGCAAACGTTAGTTCCCTTATACTTATTCATGACCAAAATTTGTATCAATTTTTCGATTTTCGAGGGTTTTAGATATTTCTTTGAATTTAATAGATAGATTATGCTTTTAGCCATATCTACCAATGAAAGAAGGCTTTGGAAATATCATGCCATAGAAAGACAATTAGAGCAAGATAGAGAATCGACTTAATTTTAAGAAAAAATATTTTTGAAGTTAAATTTCAGATTTTTTATTGATATTGATAACGCTAGAAGAAAAAGAAACAATGAATTGAAATAGCGAGCTATCCAAAATTAAAAAAGCGATAAAAACCTCATCAAACAATTTAATAATTTTAAAAAGTTATATATATTGAGCATAATAATAAAGTTTGAGAATTTACTCTTATATTTAGTCCAAAAAATAGATTTATTTATTCCTCTAGCCTCACCCCAGCCAACAAAAAAATTTTGTTAGCTCACGAAGTAGATTAATTAATTTAAATATTTTTATTTAAAAATTTGTAGAATTTATTTTTCAAATTTAAAACATTTAAATTTGTAAAAAATTGTAATTAAAAATTAATTAATTTTCAAAATTTGTGTTTAAAATGCAAGCTGTTTAAAATGCAAGATGTTTAAAATTAAACAGAGATTTCATTATACTAATTTCACTTATACATAAAATTTTTTTTCTAAAAAATTTTCTTCGCTCACGAAGGGTGGGTTGATAGGATTTTTCCAATAGTTTTATTCGCTCAAGAAGGGGGAGTAAGAGAGAATCCTTGCTTATCTCCATGCGAAAACCTGCTTCACTTACTGAAGCATCATCACAAAATAATTGATTTGAGAAGAATTTAAGAAATAAAGTGCAAATAACTTTAAACCAAAAAATATGGTCAATTAAATTAATTTTGGTGCATTCGATATATGACTAAACTATGTTGGTTTACCAAATTTCTTGACTTATAAGAATTTTACACGATTTATTTTATTTTAGTTTGTCAACAAATTTCTAACCAGAAAATGTTTGCTTTGTTTTTCTGATGCTTATTTTTGTAAGCAATTTTTACACGATACTGAAGTTGGCGGTCTGAAGTATTTTTTCTAACTCCCCCCCATCCTTGATCGAACGATTGACTGTAAAAATTCCTAAAAATTGGGGAAATTAACCCCCATCTTTGATCGAACGATTTTCATATCATGAAAATTTTTTATAATATAAAAATATATTAGTTATCAAAAGCTTGGGAAGATATACATAATAAAGTTGTTTTCAGAGACTTTGAGACGACAAAAAGCTTCGGTATCAACCGTATGAAGTGATTCAGTCATCAGCCTAGGCTTAAAAACTCAATAATTTAATAAAATAGAGATTTTTAAAATTTTTTAAAAAAAATATATATTTAATAAGGAACAAATTAAAATTTATACAGTTTATAGGGGTAACTAATAAATCAAAATATTAAAAATTGGTATTTTATGAACTTAATTCAATTTTTTGCTTTAAAATAATTATTAAATACTCTTAACCCTCTTATTTAAAAGTAAATAAAAAAATAAATATATATATAAAAATTTTTTTCTCCAAAAATTTTTTTTTAACCCCCATCCTTGATCGAACGATGGCGAGTCGTTCGATCAAGGATGGGGGGGGAGTAAGAGAGGATAAAGAACCTTTGCATATTTTCAAGTGTTTTTTGACTGTTTAAAGTTGTATAATTTTATAAAGTAAATTCTAATCATCTATTATGCAGTATAGCAAATTTTTGAATTTATAATTTAAATTTAGATTTTATCAGTAGTGTATATGGAAGCTTTAAAGAGATAAATCAATTTAGTGATTATTCAGAAATTTTTTGAATTTTTTAATAACTATCACTTTTTTATAGTTCAATATAAATTTTACAATGCAATATAAATTAAATCCAAATTAAATTATAAGCTATCTAATTTGTAAGTCTGAAAGTAATTCTGATGTCTTTACTTTAATTGATTAAGCAGATCAAATATACTAATGCATGTATATTGATAAAATTATAAGTTTTTATATCAAATTTTGCCATAAACGATTAAATGAAAACAACAAATTTCTGAATATCAGAAATTTTTGCAGCACATTATTTTTGGCAAGCAAACATCATTAAACTATATTGGCTCATTAATATTTCATTATGAATTGATGTTTAAGTCCAAAATTTCATGAATTAAACATACTTGAGAATACTGGCAAGAGCATTATTTAACCCTTCATTTTTTTATTTCTAATAAATGATTTATTTTGAAATTTGTAACGAATGGTCTATTTATAAGGGAAAGAGTCAATAATATCATGAATAAAAGAAAAGATACTCTCACTAAAAGCTTATAAATGATCAAAAAGTGAAAATTTCAAATATTATACCTGTTAGAATTTATAGAACTTATTATAAAGTATTTACAGTTCTTTATTCATCATTCTAATATCAATCAGCAGATAATTATTATCTCTATATCTATTTTATATCATTCTTTTTCATTCTTAGATAAATATCAAATACCTTTAAATACCGATCGAATCCGTTTTTCCATTTTAAACAATTATCTATCAGATCATAAAAGAAAGAGTTTCAAAATAATAAAATGAGCTTAAAGAGTTTTTCAAGCAGCAGTAGCATTCTTATAGCAGAAAGTGAAGAGCCACATGATATTGAAAGGCTACAAGGAGAAATCAGTATAATAAGCTCCTTGAATGTTTATTATCGTTTAAACAGGGAATTCAAGATGATAGGAAGGCCAGAATTAACAGAGCGAATGCTTAGGCGTATCACAAAATGTGATCAAATCCCAAAGGACTTCCAAACAAGACCTTTATATATAAACTTATCAGGAATTATTGATGAACTTATGCTAAATGAGCTAGAGATTGCACTATGGGCAATTTATTTAGAAAACTTAGTACAGCATATAAGGCAAAACAGTTTTTCAACTCAGATAGCATTGAACCTTTGCGCATGTACTTAAATCTAAAGATGAAAAATTTTGAAGAAAATTTTCAATCATGGATGACGAGATATGAGGGTGATTTTAAAGTTAACTTGAAAATGATTAATGAAAAATTGAATATGCTGAAAGTTGTCAAAGATAAAAATAGTGATTATTGCACGTTAGATTATAACTATTATGTTGACACTATTTTATTGACTGCGGTTCCTTATGCAGATAGAGGAGAGCAAATAGTCATATTAAAGCCTTCTGAAAAGAGAAAAAGAAGAGAACTTAAAAATGAAAATACTAAACATCCAAAAAAAATAAAATCAACTGAAAAAACTCAAAAGATAAGTAAAAAAAAAAAGAAGATTGAAAACGATGGCAATTTTATAAATGATATAGATTCTACTGATAAAGATCTTGGGAATCTTATAAATAATATAGAACCTACTGATAAAGATCTTGGCAACGTTATAAATAATATAGATCCTACTTATAAAGATCCTGATATTACGAAGATAGAAAAATTCTGTGATGGTTTGATAGATTATAATGACCTGGATCCTGATCATTTTTTTACAAAATATTAGGTATAATATAATGATTAATTTACTTTTATTAAATGTTTTATTTTTTTTAACAAATCAGAAATTTTATAATATTAATTTTTAGTGTCAAATAAATTCATGAAATAAGAAAATAAGCAAAGAGATGATTATATTTTGTTAAATTTTAATTTTTTCCTTAAAGAATTTAATTATAATGAAATTTAGATTTTATCAGCCATTTGCTTTTACAGCAAATAGGTCTATGAGTTCATCAAATTTGAAATATTAATCTTTTAAAATCTGATTTGATATTTTATTGAATTTTTGTACTTGAATTATTAATAAATTTTTAAGAGATTGCATAAAAAATATTTCTCATGATTTGGACTAAGTTAATCTTTATTAAATTGTTTCTATTCTTCTAAATATTTGATTTTCAAATCAAGTTTTTAGATCAATTGAAGGATATTTATAGTATATAAAGCACTAATTCTTAAACTTATTCGCATTATAATATAAAAAATCTATCGTTCTTATTTAAATTATGCTAGAAACTTAATGTCTAATAAATTCCAAATAAAATGCAATAATAAATTAGCTTATTAAGTAATTCAAATAATGAATTAAGAGAAATTTTTAGCAGCTTATCATTCAGATATATTGAAAATTCAAGTTGGATAAGCAATTTTTGAATGCGAGAAAAATTTCTTTCTTGCTTTATATCTATTTTCGATGGATCACCAATTTAAACTTATTGGAAGACCAGAACTCACAGAAATAATGCTCAGAAAAATTATGAAGAGTGAAAGCTCTCTTGGGTCTTTCAAATAAAATCACTATACATTAATTTATCTGGAACAATTGACGATTTTAAGATGAGTGAGATCCAAATAGCGCTCTGAGCATTTTATTTAAAAAATATAGTTGGAAGAATTTTGATACTTTATCTGAGCTAGTTTGCTATTTTCATCCTAGAGAGCAAAATTATTATTAAATGGGAATAGCATTAAGCAATCAAAAATTTTATTTAATAGAAAAATTGAAGATTTTCAAAAAAATTTTCATATATGGACATGAAAATGCATTCGAAATCGATCTTAAAACGATTAACAGTAAATTGTATCACTTAAAATAGTTTGAGGTGCAGAAATTGATTATAGGACTCTGAGTTACATTATTATGTTGGTGTAATATTGTTAAGCATAATCCATTAAGGAAAGGACTCCGGAAGATAAAGAAGGATACAGCGATTATAAGAAAATACACACAAAAAATTTAAGCTAATGAAAAAAGCTAAGATGGAAATGCAAATAAAATATTCGCCAAAGCCAAGTAAAATAAGGAAATTGAAAATATTGATAAAAATGTAGCGAATATTTATATCAGAGAAGAATAGCAAGTATTGGAAATGTAAATTCTGCCATGGTCTATTAGAAAATAATGATCTCATCCTTATGAGTTTTAATAGCATTAATATAAATCAATAAAAAATAATTATTTTATATAGGCTGTTTTGATTTAAAGTGGATATAGAATAGTTCAAATCTTGCTATTTAATTTCTGTTGAAATAAATTAATAGGGATTTTGCCGGAATCAATTAAAGATTATTAATTCCATATCCAAAAAATCTATACAAATTTAAAATCAATTTTATATAGTTGAGTCAGATTTTCTGATGCCGTCGTTATTTTCAATATAAGTGGTAATTGAAAGAATAAAATATAAGCAAAAAATTTAAAGATTAAAAGAATTTAAAACTTACTTTTTAATATTAGCACCATTAGAAAACAAATGAAGGAAATTTGGAGGATCTTTTTATCGAAAATGAAATTTTTTAATGAAATTTTCTAATGAAATTAAATGGAGATTCTATGGATAAATATGAAATTTTTGTTTAATTCTGCTTTAATGATCATCCCAAAGTTAGTGAATTCTGTATGCAACTTTGTGGAGTGTTCTTTATAATTTTGAGACTTTTTTACCAGCTTCATTTGAATCTTCTTAAGGGTCATTAACCGGTCTCTTAAGTCTTGATCTTCTGGAATTAAAGCGACATTAAAATTTCCCAGTGGCTGAGTCTATCTAGCTCTTTGTACAATTCCTTAATATACTAATGCATCTAAGCTTACAGAGAAAAACGCATGAGTTAGCTGGATTTTGAATTCTTTTAATAATCTTATTTGTTCGATTGATTTTGATAATCCGTCTAGAATCCGTTCGCTTTTTTTGGAATTTTTTTCTTGAAGTCTATTTCATACTCGTTTTCTAATAATAAAGTCAGGGACTATATCGCCAGCCGATATTAAATTTGTCTCTTAGCTGCTGGCTTGTAGAAACTAATGAGAGACTATATCAGCCAAATTTTGAGTTTTTGATGATCTTGCAGCCCTTACGTTGTAAAAAATTACTTTAAGTGCCTTTTTGGAGCATTGGGCTTTCCTTTCATTAAGAAAATCCTAGCTACTCTGTCAGCTATTTTTCTTCTCTAATCCCAAATGAGTCTATTTCGTTTCATTGATTTTTGTAACATCTATAACACCATTTTAGTTATAGGTAAGCTCTATCACAGCTCTTTGTGAAGCTTCAACAGCTATACTGTTATCTAAAGGCTTTACTTCTTGTGACTCGATGAAATTCTGTCTAAATTTTAATAAATGTTTAGCTAGCAATGTAGCCTGGGATTATCCATGCCTCTTGGAGCGCAAGACTTTGGATTGGATGTATGGGCAACCATTTAAGATTTAGCTTTGCCTTGATCTGGCACTATAATATCAAGAACTGTTTCCCCAGTAAAATAAGTGCCCTGAGGTAAAGTCATAAGGACTCCTTCTGCATGTTTACCTTGCTTTATTGATTTTGTTTTAATAAGTTTATTCGACTCGAAATCGTAAGGCTAGCTCGCAGGCTATTATGCGGCGAGAGCTCGAATACCTCCTTAACCGCCGACGAGAGTTTTCTAGTTTTTGAATCAGAAAATATATGAACTTTTTGAGCAATTTTGAAAGAGCTTTTTACAGAATACTCTTAAACACCATTTAGTACTCAAATTTTTGCTTTAAGACCATAATTAAAATCGAATAAATATGAAATTTTATGCAAGAGTATACATATACTCTGCTATCCTAATCAGATATAAGTATTCGATTCTAAATAGTATTTATCTTTTTAATTAGTAAATATAATAATTCATAGATAAATTAGCCAGATAAATTCTGTGCAATTCTTTATTTAAGGCATAAATTTCAAGTTAGATTAGAAAGGGAATTTCATTTCATCACTAATATTTGCATTAATATAAACTAAAACAGATTATTTTTGAATTCTTAATTTTTATTTAGTTTTGCTATAATATTATTATGCATCAGGATTTAAATTAGTTTGGCTAACGATTATAAAAATAACTTTTCGAAATTATCAAAGAACCTTCTATAATTTTATAAAATTTATAGAAGAATCAATTTTTCTTAATGTTATAAATGCTGCTACTATAAAATCTAGCTTAGCGTCATTATTAACTTTGTGAAGGTCTTATTAGGCAAAGGATTATCTTGTATTAAATTTCAAATAATTTCTAAAGAGTAAGAAACGAAGAATCGAAATTTAGACGATGCAAATAGGGCTATAAATCTTTAGAAGAAGCGGGCATAATTGCTATACAATTAATTTAGATGAAAGACTTGTGCAATAATCTGGACTTCACAATTTTTAATCTAAATCCAGAGATTTTGCAAAGCTTTATATAGATATAATCATTCTTAACCTCAAATATTTCAAAATATATTATTTACCATATCAGAGCCTGTTTATTTAATTGATGTTTTAGGCTAAAGGATTAAAACGAGATCAACATTTATTGGCAGATCACAGTTACTTATCTCAACAGAAGCTCATAAATTATATTTATAATGAAAAATAAAAAAATAATAATAAATTATTATTTTCAAACTGAGTTTATTATTCATTCATTATAGTTGCTCATTAATATTTCATTACGGATTGATGTTTAAGTCCAAAATTTCATGAATTAAACATACTTGAGAATACTAAGCAAGAGCATACTTAACCCTTTTTTTCATATAAATAATTTATTGGAAAATTGTAAAAAATGGTCTATTTATATGGGAAAGAGTCAATAATATCATGAATAAAAGAAAAGATACTCTCACTAAAGCTCATAAATGATCACAACGTAAAAATTTCAAATATTAGACCTGTAGATCTTATATCAACTATTACTTAAAGAATTCACAGTTCTTTATTCATTATTCTAATATTAATCAGCAGATAATTATTATCTCTATATCTATTTTATATCAATCTTTTTTATTCTTAGATAAATATCAAATACCTTTAAATACCGATAGAGTCCATTTTCTCCATTTTAAAAAATTATCTATCAGATCATAAAAGTAAGAGTTTCAAAATAATAAAATGAGCTTAAAGAGTTTTTTAAGCAACAGCAGCATTTTGGCAGCAAAAAGTGAACAACCGAATGAGATTGAAAGGCTACAAGGAGAAATGGACATAATAAGCTCCTTAAATGCTTATTATCGTTTAAACAGGGAATTCAAGATGATAGGAAGGCCAGAATTAACAGAGAGAATGCTTAGGCGTATCACAAAATATGATCGCATCCCAAAGGATTTCCAAGCAAGACCTTTATATATAAACTTATCAGGAATTATTGATGAACTTATGCTAAATGAGCTAGAGATTGCACTATGGGCAATTTATTTAGAAAACTTAGTATGAAAAAACTTTGATACATATGCAGAGAGGTTTCTTTTATATACAGCATATAAGGCAAAACAGGTTTTAAACGAAGATAGCATTGGGCTTTATCGCATGTATCTCAATGTAAAGATAAAACATTTTGAAGAAAATTTTCAATCATGGATGACGAAATATGAGGGTGAGATTAAAGTAAATTTGAAAATGATTAATGAAAAATTGAATATGCTGAAAGTTGTCAAAGATAAAAATAGTGATTATTGCATGCTAAATTATAACTATTATGTTGACGCTATTTTATTGACTGCGGTTCCTTATGCAGATAAAGGAGAGCAAATAGTCGCATTAAATACTGTTGAAAAGAGAAAAAGAAGAGAACTTAAAAATCAAAATACTAATCGCCCCAAAAAATTAAAATCAATGAAGAGAATTCAAAATATAAGTAAAAAAAAAATGAAGATTGAAAAAGATGGAAATCTTATAAATACTGAAAAATATCCTGAAAATCTTATAAATAATATAGATCCTACTGATAAAAATCCTAGCAATGCTATAAATAATATAGATCCTACTTATAAAGATCCTGATATTGCAAAGATAGAAAAATTCTGTGATGGTTTGATAGATTATAATGACCTGAATCCTGATCAATTTTTTACAAAATATTAGGTATAATAAAATGATTATTTCACTCTTATTAAATGTTTTATGTTTTATTTTAGCAAATCAGAATTTTATAATATTAATTTTTAAAGAAGGCAACACTGCATCAAAATAGTGTCAAAGAATTTCATGAAATAAGAAAATAAGCAAAGAGATGATTATATTTCGCTAAATTTTAATTTTTACCTTAAAGAATTTAATTATAATGAATTTAGATTTTATCAGCCATTTGCTTTTACAGCAAAAAAGTCTATGGATTAATCAAATTAAAACTATTAATCTTTTAATATCGAATTTTCTATTTGAATTATAAAGAGATTGCATCCAAAAATATTTCTCGTGATTTGGACGAATTATCTCTATTAAACTTTTTCTATTCTTCGAAAATAGTTGATTTGAAAATCAAGTTGTTTAGATCAATGAAGAATCTCTATAGCATATAAAACATTAATTCTTACACTTTTCGCATTATAATATATAAAATCGGTCGTTCTTATTTAAATTATGCTTAGAAACATAATCTTTAATAATCCCAAATAAATTAGTTTATTAAGTAATTTAAATAATGAATAAGAGAAATTTTCAACAGCTTATCATTAGATATATTTGAAAATTCAAGCTGAATAGACAATTTTTGAAAGCAAGGAAAATTTTCTTTATTGTTTTTATATCTATAATTCGATGAATCACCAATTTAAACATATTGGAAGACCAGAACTCACAGAAATAATACTCAGAAAAATCATGAAGAGTGAAAAATCTCTTGGGCCTTCAAATAAAATCACTATACATTAACTTATCTGGAACAATCGATAAGTTTAAAATGAGTGAGATCGAATAGCCCTCTGATCATTTTATTTAGAAAATATAGTTGGAAGAATTTTGATACTTTATCTGAGCTAGTTTACTATTTTCATCCTGCAGAGCAAAATTATTATTAAATGAGAATAGCATTAAGCAATCAAAAAAGTTTATTTTATGGAAAAATTGAAGATCTTCAAAAAAACTTTTAGTATATGGGCAAGAAGATACATTCGAAATGGATCTTAAAGCGATTAACAGTAAATTATACGGCTATAAAAAGTTTGAGGTGCAGAAATTGATGTAATATTGTTAAGTGCAATCCATTAAGGAAAGGAGTTGCGGAATATTAAAGAAAGATCCAAGGATTACAAGAAATAGCACTCAAAAAAATTCAAGCTAATGAAAAAGCTAAGAAGGAAATGCAAATAAAACACACGTAAAAACCAAATAAAATAACTCCCCCCCCCCCCCTCCGTGAGCGAACAAAACCATTAGAAAAATCGCCATTTTTTGACCAAAAACCCACCCTCCGTGAGTGAACAAAAAATTTTTTTTTAAGAGAAAAAAATTTTAATGGAAAAAATTTTGATATATAAGTGATAATTAGTATAATGAAATCTAGAGCTAAATTCTGTTTAATTTTAAACAAATTGCGTTTTAAAAACATAAAATTTTGCAATTGAATTAATATTTGCTTCCCAATTTTTGCAAATTAGGATTTTTTTAAATTTCGAAAAAATATTTTTTTATAAAATTTATATATAAATTTTTTTAAAAAAAAAAATTAACCCCCCTCCGTGAGCGAACAAAATTTTTTTGTTCGCTCACGGAGGGGGGGGGGGGGGGAGTAAGGAAATTGAAAATATTGATAAAAATCCAACGAATAATCATATGAGATAAGAATAGCAAGAATTGAAATATAAATCTTGCTATGATTTATTAGAAAATAATGATCTCATCCTTATAAGTTATTAATAGCATTAATATAAATCATTAAAATAATTATTCTATTAGGCTGCTTTGATTTAAAGTGGATATAGAATAGTTCAAATCTCGCAAGTATGTTTCTGTTGAAATAAATTAATAGAGATTTTACCGAATCAATTAAAAATTATTAAATTCCATATTCAAACAAATTTATAATCCGTTGGATTATTTGTGATTAGGATGAGACATGAAAAATTATTCCTATTTCGAATCCAAATTCTAATGCAAAGCATTCAAATATTGGGGCTTCACATGTGGATTTTGGGTTCCACACATGGAACAATTTTTCATATCTGAACAAGATCACATTGAGATTTTGTATTTTTTATTATACTTCTTTATTAGTTAAATAAGTAAGTCATTAATAAAATTAAAACTAAAACTAAATATATCTCAACTTAATTAAACTTCAGCTATTAGATCTTTCGTATTTCTAGGATATAAAATCAATTTTTATAATAAAATACATGATTAAGAATATAGTTGATTAAGATTTTCTGATTGCCGTCGTTATTGTCAATATAAGCTGTGATTGAAAGAATAAAATGTAAGCAAAAAATTAAAAGATTAAGAGAACTTAAAATTTATCTTTTAATATTAGCATTATTAGAAATAAATTAAGGAAATTTGGAGATTCTTTCTATCGAAAATGAGTTTTCAAATGAAATTAAATGGAGATTATAGGAACAAATATGAAATTTTCTTTAATCTACTTTAATGCTCATCCCAAAGTTGGTGAATCCTGCATGCAGCTTTATGGAATGCTCTTTATAATTTTGAGTCTTTTCTCTCTTAAGTCTTGATCTTCTGGAATTAAAGCGACATTAAAATTTCAAGCGACTGAGCCTAAATCTTTGTTTTTTTCCTTCATATCATAATCCATCTAACTTATAAAGAAAAAGACATGAGTTGGCTGGATTTTGAATTCTTTTAATAATCTTATTTGTTCAATTGATTTTGATAATCCTTCTAAAGTCCATTCGCTTATTTTGTAATTTATTTATTGAAGTCTATTTCATACTAATTTGGTTATAATAAAGTCAGGGACTATATCTTCAGTTGACATTAATTTGGTCCCTTAGCAGCTGACTTGTAGAAACTAGTGAGAGACTATATCAGCCAAATTTTGAGTTTTTGATGATCTTGCAGCCCTTAGGTTGTAAAAAATTACTTTAAGTGCCTTTTTGGAGCGTAGGCTTTCCTTTCATTAAGAAAATCCTAGCCACTCTGTCAGCTATTTTTCTTCTCTAGTTTCAAATGAGTCTATTTCGCACCATTGGCTTTTGCATACACCTTTAACGCCATTTTAGTTATAGGTAAGCTATAAAACAGCTCTTTGTGAAGCTTCAACAGCTATACTGTTATCTAAAGGCTTTACTTCTTGTGACTCAATGAAATTCTGTCTAAATTTTTTGTAAGTGCTTCGCCAGCAATGCGGCCAGGATTATCCATGCTGTTTGGAGCACAAGACTTTGGACTTGGATGCATGGGTAGCCATTTTTGAGGTCAAATCATAAGCACTCCATCTGCATCTTTTCCCTGCTTTTATTGATTTTGTTTTTATAAGGCCATTCGATTCGAAATCGTAAGGGCTAGCTCGCAGGCTATTATGCGGCGCAAGCTCTAATACCTCCTTAACCGCCGACGAGGGTTTTCTAGTTTTTGAACCATACATATATTGGATCTCCTTGTTTATCTATAAAATGCTCTTTCAAAATTGCTCAAAAAGTTCATATGAATCGTTGGACTCAGAATACTCTTAAACACCATTTAGTACTCAAATTTTTGCTTTAAGACCATAACTGAATTCGAATAAATATGAAATTTTATGTAAGAGTATACATGTACTCTGCGATCCTAATCAGATATAAGTATTCAATTCTAAATAGTATTTATCTTTTGCAATAATACATAGATAAATTAGCCAGATAAATCCTGTGTATTTCTTTATTTAAGGCATAAATTCAAGTTTAGATTAGAAAGGGAATTACATTTAATTGCATTAATAAAAACTAAAGCAGATTATCTTTGAATTCTTAATTTTTATTTAGTTTTGTAAAAGTCTTAAGAAAAGTATTATTTAAGATGAGTGCTATAATATTATTATACATCAGGATTTAAATGAGCTTAGCCAAATAAATATTATAAAAATAGTTTTTCAAATTATCAAAGAACCTCCTATAATTTTATAAAATTTATAGAAGAATCGATTTTTCTTAATGTTATAAATGCTGAAGGTATTTGAAAAAACAAAAGTTACTATAAAATCTAGCTCAAAGCCATGATTAACTTTGCGAAGGTCTTATTAGGCAAAGGATTATCTCTTATTAAATTTCAAATAATTTCTAAAGAGTAAGCAGCGAAGAATCGAAATTTAGACGATGCAAATAGGGCTATGAATCTTTAGAAGAAGCGTGACATGATTGCTATACAATTAATTTAGATGAAAGACTTGTAAGAAGAATTATGCAATAATCTGGACTTCATAATTTTTAATCTAAATCCAGAAATTTTGCAAAGCTTTATATAGATATAATCATTCTTAACCTCAAATATTTCAAAATATATTATTTATCATATCAGGACCTACTTATTTTATTGATGTTTTAGGCTACAAGATTAAAACGCAGATCAACATTTATTGGTAGGTCACAGTCACTTAAAGTTGTATGAATATAATAGTGCAAATTGTCTATTGACTCTAAGGTACTAGAAGAGGTATCATATATCTTATTATCCCCATACTTGATAATAAAATTATTCTTCTGTAGTGTCCTTCCTAAATTTGCTGCGAAATTAATCATTATTTTTCCTTCATAGAAATCAAGCTCAAACCCAACTGAAGAATTGCTGCAAGCTAGCTCTGTACGATTTCCACATAAATAAGTTGACTGATCGCAAGCTAAATTATTATTACATGTGCAGTTTACAATATCTCCATAATCATGCAAATAAAACTCGCTTTTGCATGCTGTGCAATTTATTGATGAAGTGCATTCTGTGCAGCCATCTGGGCATGCTAATTAGTTATTACCAGTACAAACTTGATTATTTATATAAAAGCCTTTGGAGCATTCACAATTTGCTGGATTTGTAAGCTGTGGGTCTTATAGTTTAAAATTTAGGATATTTGCTTTATAAATTTCTAAATATATTAAATATATTTGCTTTAGTGCTTCTGATGAAAGTATTTTTGCAATTTACGCACTGGGAATTATTGCAGGATAAGCAATTTTGACCACAAGGAACGCAGATCGATCCATTTAAATAGTAAGCTGAATTGCATGTTAGGCAATGAATACTGCTTCCAGAGCATGTAGCACAAGGTGCTGTGCAAGCTTTACATGTCGAAGAGCCAGAATCAAAGTAGCCAGTTTTGCATGTGCAAGTTGCACCTGATAAATCCATATTTGATGAGTCCATGCAACTTAAACAAGCAGTGTCTGATCCTGAGCAAGTAGTACAAGGTGCAGTGCAATCTTTACATGTAAAAGATCCATAATCAAAGTAGCCAGTTTTGCATGTACAACTCCCACCTGATAAATTCATATTATCTGAGTCTAAACAAATTAAGCAAGTAGTGCTATATCCTGAACAAGTATCACAAGGAGCTGTACAAGCTTCACATGCAGATGATCCAGTATCAAAGTAACCAGTTTTGCATGTGCAAGCATTGCTTTCTAAATTCATATTATCTGAGTCCATGCAACTTTCACAAGCAGTAGCTGATCATGAACAAGTAGCACAAGGAGCAGTGCAAGCTTGACATGTATTAGATCCAGTATCAAAGTACCCAGCTTTGCATTTGCAATTGAAAGCTGATAAATCCATATTATCTGAGTCCATGCAACTTTCACAAGTAGTAGCTGATCCTCAACAAGTATCACAAGGAGCAGTGCAAGCTTTACATGTATTAGATGAAGTATCAAAGTACCCAGTTTTGCATGTGCAAGTATTGCTTGAGAAATTCATATTATCTGAGTCTAAACAACTTGAACAAGTAGTGTGTGAGCCTGAGCAAGTATCACAAGGAGCATTGCAAGGTCAGCATGCAGAAGATCCAGTATCAAAGTAGCCAAATTTGCATGTACAAGTACCTCCTGATAAATCCATATTTGATGAGTCTATACAACTTAAACAAGTAGTGGCAAATCCTGAGCAAGTCGCACAAGGCTCAGCACAACACATCAAAGATACCATATCAAAGTGCCCAGTTTTGCATATACAAGTCGTACCTGATAAACTCATATTTGCTGAGTCTATACAAGTTAAACAATTAGTAGCTGATCCTGAGCAAGTATCACAAGGTGCTGTGCAAGCTTTACATGTCGAAGATCCAGAATCAAAATAACCAGTTTTGCATATGCAAACACCGCCTGATAAATCCATATTATCTGAGTCTAAACAACTTAAGCAAGTAGTGGTATATACTGAACAACTATCACAAGGAGCTGTGCAAGCTTTACATGTTTCAGATGAAGTATCAAAGTAGCCAGTTTTGCATGTGCAAGTATTGCTTGATAAATCCATATTATCTGAGTCCACACAACTCTCACAAATAGTGGCTAGGCCTGAGCAAGTAGCGCAAGGAGCAGTGCAAGCTTTACATGTATTAGATGAAGTATCAAAGTAGCCAGTTTTGCACGTGCAAGTATTGCTTGATAAATTCATATTATCTGAATCTAAACAACTTAAGCAAGTAGTGGCTGAGCCTAAGCAAGTATCACAAGGAGCAATGCAATCTTTACATACTTCAGGTGAAATATCAAAGTAGCCAGTTTTGCATGTGCAAATACCGCCTGATAAATCCATATTTGATGAGTCTAAACAACTTGAGCAAGTAGTGGTATATCCTGAACAAGTATCACAAGGAGCAGTACAAATTGCCACACATTTCGAAGATATAATATCAAAGTACCCAACTTTGCATGTACAACTGCCTGCTGATAAATCCATATTATCTGAGTCCATGCAACTATCACAAGTTGTTGCAGATCCTAAACAAGTAGCACAAGGAGCAGTACAAGCTTTACATGTATTAGACGAAGTATCAAAGTAGCCAGTTTTGCATGTGCAAGCAACGTAATATAAATCCATGTTATCTGAGTCTAAACAACTTGTGCAAGTAGTGGTATATTCTGAACAAGTATCGCAAGGAGCAGTACAAGTTGCCACACATGTTGAAGATGAAAAATCAAAGTAACCAGTTTTGCATGTGCAAGTATTGCTTGAGAAATTCATGTTATCTGAGTCTAAACAAGTTAAGCAAGTAGTGCTATATCCTGAACAAGTATCACAAGGAGCTGTGCAAGCTTCACATGTATAAGATCAAGTATCAAAGTAACCAGTTTTGCATGTGCAACTGCCAGCTGATAAATTCATATTATCTGAGTCCATACAGCTATCACAAGTAGTGGCTGATCCTGAACAAGTAGCACAAGGTTCAGTACAAGATGAGCAATTACTACCATCTAGTCAATAGCCATCGTTGCATTCTAAGCGCCTTTCTATTTTTTTTGACTCATTTTTTTCATTTTGATAATTAGTATCAGCTTGTTCAGAATTTGAGCTGAATTTGTTGGAGAAACTTAAGCCTGTTTCCTCGAATTTTTCTTCACTTACTCCTAATTTTCTTTTTTCTTCACTAGAAGCGCCATCATTAATAAGGTTCTGAGTTGAGCTACTCAGCCCTGAATTTTCAGTTTTTGCTTCACTCTTCCCATTGTTCTCATCCCCATGATAAATGATTTCTCCTTGGATTTGATGCTGAGTGAATTGGGTAAGTGATTCTAAATCCCCTTCTATGAGCGAGCCCGATTTTTGCTCTCTCATGGCGAGGGTTAAATTTTTTTAAAATATTCTTAATAGCAATATTAGAAGAAAAATTTCAAATTTTTCGTAAATCCAAATAAAATTATAAGACCTTTTGCTTGCATCTGCTGGGTTTTAAGTTTATGATTATATAAGCCAATACTATAATAATTGCTATTTTATTTTTTATGTTTAATATAAATTTATATATAAAAAATTTTTACTAGGAGAGCTAAAATAGGGGGGTTTATAATGGTTTTATTCTGTCATGTTGGAGGGGAAGTAAGTCAAATTCTCCCGATTTCACTTCATTTCCTTCAATTTTGCCATCCTTATGAGAGACGATGCCTTCTTGGATCGAGTGATGGATGGAATCTGGGCTATTGCCAGATGAACTAAGGCCAAAGTTGAAGTTTATGAAGCCTTCGTTTTGATCTGAATGGTCTTGGCCTGTAGCATAGAGTAGCTGAAAGATAAGAAGAGCCAAAGACAACAAAAGCTTTAGCATTTTTTATTACCCACTCTAAATTTAGTGAAAAAATTACTTAAATTGGATAAAAATTAGTAAGATTTTAGTAAAAATGAGTAAGTTGCTAATTTATGTAGAAAGAAAAATTTTACTTAAATTATCCATTATTAAATATTTAATAGTTGCTTGTAAAACAGAGTTTGGCAAAAAATAATAAAAAATTGAAAAATTAATCGATATCTTACCTATAAAACGATAAAATGGGGAGTGTAACGGGCCTACCCTCTTTTGAGGGCTTACTGCAAAGTAAACCAGTCTAAAAAGGAATCTACAGTGCTAGGTGTTTGCACTCTGGCTAGGGTTCCCTCCCCTCCAGCAATGGAAGCTTCTGCCTTAGCAGGATAAAGTAGAAAAAGGTTTGCTTCTGGAGACTACTGATCCCTCGGTGAGGAATATGCAGAGTTTCTGACTCGCTTGGGTTAATATTTAGCTCAAATTTCCTTGCTCACGTGCTCACTATTTGGCACATCTTTTGTAACTCTTCTTTCGATGGTAGAAGTAGCGCTATATCATTAACATATAAGCCCTTCTAGATTTATCCTATAAACGAATCCAACCTCTAACTCTTTTCAGTCCCTTCGTGAGTGGAAGCAGTCGTGATTTCCTAAAATAGAAGCTCATCCACTCCATTGTGTGGATCTCGTATAAATCGGTGATAGCAGAATCCTTGGCCATCAAGATTTTTAGTAATTGGATGATCAAATTGTGATCCTATAGGAATTTTAGAAAGCGGATTTGGAGAATTGTTTAGCACAAAATTTAACAAGATCTCAAACTGGATATTGGGGCTTACCAATTTATGCTATAGATAGTAATAATTGGAGAATTTCGGAAAAAATAGCATTAATTATTACCAATTAGCAATTGTTAAAGGTCTAGGATTTAAAACATGTTTTGTTGACGTGAAACCTAAATGCAATCACAGGATTTTACAAGACTTTTAAAAAATATTGAGAAATATCAATCTATGAAATAACTGGATATTTTAATTTAGATATCATGGATTATTTATCAAATAAAATGATAAAATAAGTAATAGAAAAATGTAATCATAAAATTAGAAATGAGCAATGCAACTTTTAAAAAGATAAACTTTCAAAAGATTATTGATTACAGATTTAGCAAGTATCTTTTGGATCTCTTCATTTTTGAAACAAAAAGCTTCACGTATGATTCAAATTATCAAGCTTAGACTTTCAGATTAATAAGAGTATTAGAATGGACTATAATTCCTAAGAATGCAAAACTCACTTTATTTAAGCTTGCTAAGGATGCTTCTAAAACCATTTTGCATAATTCATATTTATGCTCGAGCAGCTTAGATTTATATTCGCTTTATTATGAAAAGCCAAGCCTAGTAAGCATTTCCAGAATCAGTAATGCTCCTAATGGGTTTGAGCAATCAGAATCGACTTAAGGGCAAAAGCTTCTGAAACTTTTAAAAAATTTTTAACTACATTTTTATGATCCAGATAGCTCAAGAGAAAAAAATTAAGTAATAAATTTAAGCCTATTTGCTAAATTTAGAATGGCGAAATAAATATTTATTAGCAATAATAAATAATAGCACAATGACAAGATTATCTGCTCAAAATTATTCAAGCGCGTACCTATAACATTATACATAGATTTTAAATATTTCTTCAAATCATCAAGCCATCTACTGCCCATAAAAGCTTAGAAGAAACAGAAGTTTAAATTGAAACATAAATTTCTAGGGGTAGTTAGAAGAAACAGAAGTTTAAATTGAAACATAAATTTCTAGGCCAAGTATAGTGCTCTTTTTACTTAGTTCTTTAAACTTCCTATCCAAACTATTTTTAATTTTTTGTTAAACTTAATTTAATGGTTAAAATAATTCTAAAAATCCCTAATTTAAAAATTTTTTCACTAAATTTAGAGTGGGTAATAAAAAATGTCAAAGCTTTTGTTGTCTTTGTCTCTTCTTGTCTTCCAGCTGCTCTATGCTGCAGGCCAAGACCATTCAGATCAAAACAAAGGCTTTATGAACTTCATCTTTGACCTTAGCTCATCCGGTAAAAGCCCAGACTCCATCAATCACTCGATCCAAGAAGGCAATGTCTCTCATAAGGATGACAAAGTTGAAGGAAATGAAGTGAAATCCGGAGAACTTGACTCAGAATCACTTACCCAATTCGCTCAGCATTATATCAAAGAAGAAAAGAACAATGGGAAAAGTGATAGCTCGACACAGAACCTCACTATTGATGGCACTTCTAGTGAAGAAAAAAGAAAACTAGAAGTAAGTAAAGAAAAATTAGAGGAAGCAGGCTTAGGTTTCTCCAGCTCAAATTCTGAGCAAGCTGAAGCTAATCATTATCAAGATGAAAAAAAACGAGTCAAGAAATAGCCAAAAAAATTAGCCGTTATGAAATTGCCGTCATGTAAAGACACGATGCAAAACTGGTTACTTTGATTCTTCATCTAATACATGTTTAGCAAGTTGCACTGCTCCTTGTGAGACTTGTTCAGGATCAGCTACTACTTGTGCTAGCTGTTTAGACTCAGATAATATGAATTTATCAAGCAATACTTGCACATGCAAAACTGGCTACTTTGATACTTCATCTAATACATGTAAAGCTTGCACAGCTCCTTGTGCTAGTTGCTCAGGATCAGCCACGACTTGCTCAAATTGTTTAGACTCAGATAATATGAATTTCTCAAGCAATACTTGCACATGCAAAACTGGATACTTTGATACTGGATCTAATATATGCAAAGCTTGCACTGCTCCTTGTGCTGATTGCTCAGGATCAGCTACTACTTGTTCGAGTTGTTTAGACTCAGATAATATGAATTCATCAAGTGGTACTTGCACATGCAAAACTGGGTACTTTGATAGTTCATCTAATACATGTAAAGCTTGCACTACACCTTGTGCTACTTGCTCAGGATCAGCCACTACTTGCTTAACTTGCAAAGACTCAGATAATATGAATTTCTCAAGCAATACTTGCACATGCAAAACTGGCTACTTTGACTCATCATCTGAAAAATGTAAAGCTTGCACAGCTCCTTGTGATACTTGTTCAGGATCAGCTACTACTTGCTCGAGCTGTTTGGACTTAGATAATATGAATTTATGAAGCAATATGTGTTTATGCAAAACTGGGTACTTTGATACTTCATCTTCAACATGTAAAGGTTGCACTGCGCCTTGTGCTGATTGCTCAGGATCAGCAACTACTTGCAAGAGATGTATGGACTCGGATAATATGGATTTATCAAGTGGTACTTGCACATGCAAAATTGGCTACTTTGATACTTCATCTAATCCATGTAAAGCTTGCACAGCTCCTTGTGATACTTGCTCAGGATCAGCTACTACTTGCTTAAGTTTTTTAGACTCAGATAATATGAGTTTATCAAGCAATACTTGCACATGCAAAACTGGATACTTTGATACTGGATCTAAAACATGTCAAGCTTGCACAGCTCCTTGTGCAACTTGCTCAGGATCTGACACTACTTGTGATAGTTGTTTAGACTCAGATAATATGAATTATCAAGCAATACTTGCATATGTAAAACTGGGTACTTTGACTCATCATCTGAAACATGTAAAGCTTGCACAGCTCCTTGTGATACTTGCTCAGGATCAGCCACTTCTTGTTCCAGTTGTTTGGACTCAGATAATATGAATTTATCAAGCGGAACTTGTACATGCAAGACTGGTTAGTTTGATTCTGGCTCTTCTACATGTAAAGCTTGCACAGCTCCTTGTGCTACTTGCTCAGGATCAGCAACTACTTGTTCAAGCTGTTTAGACTCAGATAATATAAATTTATCAAGTGGTACTTGCACATGCAAAACTGGCTACTTTGATTCTTCATCTAATACATGTTTTGCAAGTTGTACTGCGCCTTGTGCTACTTGCTCAGGATTAGCGACTACTTGCTTTAGTTGTTTAGACTCAGATAATATGAATTTCTCAAGCAATACTTGCACATGCAAAACTGGCTACTTTGATTCTTCATCTAATACATGCAAACCTTGCACAGCTCCTTGTAATACTTGCTCAGGATCAGCCACGACTTGCTTAAGTTGTTTAGACTCAGATAATATGAATTTATGAAGCACTATGTGTTTATGCAAAACTGGGTACTTTGATACTTCATCTTCAACTTGTAAAGCTTGCACTGCTCCTTGTGCTGATTGCTCAGGATCAGCAACTACTTGCAAGAGATGTATGGACTCGGATAATATGAATTTATCACGTAACACTTGTACATGCAAAACTGGGTACTTTGACTCTGGATCTTCAACATGCAAAGCTTGCACTACTCCTTGTGCTACTTGTTCAGGATCAGCCACTACTTGCTTAACTTGCAAAGACTCAGATAATATGAATTTATCAAGTGGTACTTGCACATGCAAAACAGGCTACTTTGATACTTAATCTGAAACATGTGTGGCAACTTGCACAGCTCCTTGCGATACTTGTTCAGGATCAGCTACTACTTGTGATAGTTGTTTAGACTCAGATAATATGAATTTCTCAAGCAATACTTGCACATGCAAAACTGGCTACTTTGATACTTCATCTAATATATGCAAACCTTGCACTGCTCCTTGTGCTACTTGCTCAGGCTCAGCCACATCTTGCTCAAGTTTTTTGGACTCAGAGAATATGAATTTCTTAAGCAATACTTGCACATGCAAAACTGGATACTTTGATTCTTCATCTTCAACATGTAAAGCTTGCACAGCTCCTTGTGTTACTTGTTCAGGCTCAGCCACTAATTGTGAGAGTTGTATGGATTCAGATAATATGAATTTATCAAGCAATACTTGCACATGCAAAGCTGGGTATTTTGACTCATCATCTGAAACATGCAAAGCTTGCACTGCTCCTTGCGCTACTTGTTCAGGATCAGCCACTACTTGCTTAAGTTGTTTAGACTCAGATAATATGAATTTAGCAAGCAATACTTGCACATGCAAAACTGGCTATTTTGACTCATCATCTGAAACATGTATGGCAACTTATACTGCTCCTTGTGATACTTGCTCAGGATTAGCCACATATTGCTTAAGTTGTTTAGACTCAGATAATATGAATTTATCAAGCAATACTTGCACATGCAAAACTGGCTACTTTGATTCTTCATCTAATATATGCAAACCTTGCACTGCTCCTTGTGATACTTGTTCAGGCTCAGGCACTAGTTGCTCAAGTTGTGTGGACTCAGAGAATATGAATTTCTCAAGCAATACTTGCACATGCAAAACTGGCTACTTTGATTCTTCATCTAATACATGTAAAGCTTGCACAGCTCCTTGTGCTACTTGTTCAGGATCAGTCACTACTTGTGAGAGTTGTATGGATTCAGATAATATGAATTTATCAATTGGTACTTGCTCATGCAAAACTGGCTACTTTGATACTTCATCTGAAACATGTAAAGCTTGTACTGCACCATGTGCTACTTGCTCAGGATCACTCACTACTTGCTTAAGCTGTTTAGACTCAGATAATATGAATTTATCAAGCAATACTTGCACATGTAAAACTGGTTACTTTGACTCATCATCTGAAACATGTAAAGCTTGCACAGCTCCTTGCGCTACTTGCTCTGGATCAGCTACTACTTGTTCAAGTTGTTTAGACTCAGATAATATGAATTTATCAAGCAATACTTGCACATGCAAGACTGGTTACTTTGATTCTGGAACTTCGACATGTGTGTCAAGCTGTGATGCAACATGTTCAACATGCTCTGAAACTACCACTTACTGTGAAACATGCAAATCTCATGCAACAGCAGCAAGCGGTGTTTGCACATGTGACTCTGGATATTATGGAACTGCTGATAATTGCCAAGCTTGTGATGCAGCTTGTGCTACTTACTCAGGATCAGCCACTACTTGTTTAACTTGTAAATCTCACGCAACAGCAGCAAGCAATGTTTGTTCATGTGACTCAGGATATTATGGAACTGCTGATAATTGCCAAGCTTGTGATGCAACTTGTGCGACTTGCTCAGGATCAGCCTACTTGTTTAACTTGTAAATCTCACTCAACAGTAGCAAGCAACGTTTGTTCATGCGACTCAGGATATTATGGAACTGCTGATAATTGCCAAGTTTGCGATTCTACTTGTGCTACTTGCTCAGGATCAGGCAGCTCAGCATGTGTAACCTGTAAAGACTCATCAAATATGAATTTATCAGGAGGCACTTGTACATGCAATACTGGCTACTTTGATTCTGCGACTTCTACATGCGTAACAAGCTGCGATTCAACATGTGATACATGCTCTGGAAGCCCAACTAACTGTCTTACATGCAAATTGGTAACCAAGAATTTATGTAATAAATATAAAATAACAAATATAATATTAAAATCATGAATTAAAAATGACTATCCAAACTTGGTGAAAATAATCTGACGTAGAGTTAAAACAAAGTGAAAAAGCTTCAAATACAGGATTAAATATTATATACTTTTTTGAGAATAAATTATGAAGGATAGAAATTGCTATTTCTATTTTTTTATTTTGAGTATTTAAATTATTTAGCGACCAATTATCTCACAATCGCAAAGATATTCAGTCTTGATCCTTCGTTTTGCTTCCAGTTTCTGGATTTCCCAGTAATAATTTCATTTTTTTCAGGTAATTTATCTCTTGTTTTTAATTTGTTTCAATCATTAATCAGCTGATCAGCCAAAATTTTTATAGAAATTTTCGTGATTGAGAGCTACTACTAAGCCTTTCAACTGGAGGTAAGTAGCCAAGCACAGATCCCACACCCCACCCAACCCCCGTTATATAAATTATATATATTAATTTAGAAGCACATATTTATTGTAATATAAAAGAATTTGTAGCCGTGATTTTGAATATAGGTTTTAGCTTGGATAATTGGATTTATTTTAAATCTTGCAGTGGAGATAAATGCAGCAAACAGCTTGTTTTTAAGATCTCAAGATGCCATTACGTATTTCTCCCATGCTACTCTTCTTTAATCATTAACTAGTAAGTGCAAATTATTATATTAAATTTAAATTTATATTGCTATTTAACATTTTTAAAATTATTATGTTTAACATCGAATTTTTATAGTGTAAAATTTTCTGTGCTGAAAAGTTATTTTGCATAAAAATAAAATAATAAAAAATACAACATTACTTTAAAATTTTATCGAAATTTTTGAAGTAATAAAAGTTCCCCTTTTTCTGCACCAGTTTTAGATTATATTCCCTATCGATCCGTTTGCGAAAAAAAAAATTTGTTCGCTCATGAAAGGTGATTAATTTTATTTTGAGATTTAAAAAAATAACAATCTTCAAAATTAAGTTAATTTGCAAAATTATGTTTTAAAATGCAAGCTGTTTAAAATATATGGTATTAATCTTTCAAAAATTAGCCATTTATAAATTTTACAGACTAAATGGATTCTTATATAAAAATGATTTAATCTGCTAAAATGTGAGTCTTTCTAATGCCCATCATCATCAGAAATTTTGCTCTTCATTTCTATATAATTTTTAAAAAAAATTATATTAGAATTTAATTTTTACAGTTTAAAAATTCTTTGGGAAATAAAAACTAATTTAATTTATAGTATTTATACCTTAAGCTCTCAAGTCTATGAATTAACCTCTCTATGAGAGGTCAATAAATTTTTTTCTCTCATGTGAGGAAATAATATTAAAATGCTTGGTCTAAGTAAAGTAGTATTAATTTCAACTCATTTAATGAGGAGAATTTTTGATATTAATAAGGCTTTAAAAAATTTAAATTTTATTATCTTTAAAAATATTTATTTATTAATTTGAGTTAAAGAGAAAATAAAAAATAGAATTATACCAAAATATTTTTGTCCTGAAAGCTTTAAAATACTTTAAAGCATTATGCTAATTTTAAGTTTGTGCTTAAATTGTAATTTAAACAAAATATTTATTTTAGGCTTTGTGCATTATGTAATAAGGAAGAAGGAAAAATAGGCCTCTATCGAATTAACTACTAATTATTAGAATAGGTTAATTAAAATAACCGAGCATGCAAATCCCACGCAACAGTATCAAATAACGTTTGCTCATGCGACTCAGGATATTATGGAACTGCTGATAATTGCCAAGTTTGCGATTCAACTTGTGTTACTTGCTCAGGATCAGCCACTACTTGCTTAACTTGTAAATCTCACGCAACAGCAGTAAGCAACGTTTGCTCATGTGATTCAGGATATTATGGAACTGCTGATAATTGCCAAGTTTGCGATTCAACTTGCGCTACTTGCTCAGGATCAGCCTACTTGTTTAACTTGTAAATCTCACTCAACAGTAGCAAGCAACGTTTGTTCATGTGACTCAGGATATTATGGAACTGCTGATAATTGCCAAGCTTGTGATGCCACTTGTGATACTTGCTCAGGATCAGCCACTACTTGCTTAACTTGTAAATCTCACGCAACAGTATCAAATAACGTTTGTTCATGCGACTCAGGATATTATGGAACTGCTGATAGTTGTAAAGTTTGTGATCCAACTTGTGCTACTTGCTCAGGATCAGGCAGCTCTACTTACTTAAGTTGTAAATCTCACGCTACACAATCAAGCGGTGCTTGCACATGCGACTCAGGCTATTATGGAACTGCTGATAGTTGTACAGCTTGTGATCCAACTTGTGCTACTTGCTCAGGATAAGCCTACTTGTTTAACTTGTAAATCTCACGCTACAGTATCAAGCAGTGTTTGCACATGTGACTCAGGATATTACGGAACTGCTGATAGTTGCACAGCTTGTGATGCAACTTGTGCCACGTGCTCAGGATCAGCCACTACTTGTGTAACCTGTAAATCTCACGCAACAGTAGCAAGCAACGTTTGTTCATGCGACTCAGGATATTATGGAACTGCTGATAGCTGCAAAGCTTGCGATTCAACTTGTGCTACTTGCTCAGGATCAGGCAGCTCAGCATGTGTAACCTGTAAAGACGCATCAAATATGAATTTATCAGGAGGCACTTGTACATGCAAGACTGGCTACTTTGATTCTGCGACTTCTACATGCGTAACAAGCTGCGATTCAACATGCGCTACATGCTCTGGAAGCACAACTAATTGTGAGGCATGCAAAGATTCAACTCATATGAGTGGGACATTGCCAGGACCATTCAGCTGTAATGCAGGATATTATTGGGACTCTTCAAAATCTACTACTATTTGCCAAACATGTGACTCAACTTGTGTTACTTGCTCTGGATCTGGTAGTTCTAAATGCAATAGTTGCAAAGACAATATGAGTCTTTCAGCCACTCCAGGAACTTGCACATGTAAAGACGGGTTTAGCTGGGATGCAGCATCGAAATCATGCAAGTGCTCAATCTCCGGCTGTGCTACATGCTCAACAACCACATATGGTAATTGTGATGCTTGCCAATCTGGATTTAAACTGAGTTCCGATTCAAAATCTTGTGCTTGCTCAATAACTAACTGTAAAACTTGCTCAACAACTACTTATGGAACTTGTCAAGAGTGTCAGAGCGGATTTAGTTGGGATGCTACATCACAAACTTGCAAATGTTCAGTATCTCTATGCGATACATGCTCTACTACTACTTATGGAACTTGTGATAAATGCAAAGAAAATGCTGCCTTGGCTACAGGAGCTTGCATTTGCTCATCTAATTACTATAAAGATGCAGACAGCTGCAAAGCATGCACAAATCAATGTATAACTTGCACTACTGCTACAAAATGTATAGCATACGTTACAGGTGCCTCTCTAAGTACTACTGATAGCACTTGCTCATGCAATAACGGATATTATGCTTCAAGCGGGAAATGTATTGCATGCCCAACTTCTTGCTCTAATGTACTTCAGCTACAGCTTGCACAGGGTGTAAAGCCAATGCAGGACTTTCCAATGGTCTTTGTGCTTGCAAATCTGGCTTGTATTTGAACTCTACAAATGACTGTATTGCTACATGCAATAACCTTTGTACTGCTTGTGATTGATGCAAATGATGGTAAGAAGTGCTCTACATGTATTACTAATGCTGAACTAACTGGAACAACTTGCGCATGCACTGTTAATTCAGCATATGACTTGACATCCAACAGCTGTCTTTGCGGCTCAGGCTATACTTTGTCAAATAGCAAATGCGTTGTTTGCAAGAAATATCTTTCTCCTTCTGATGTGATTAGCGCAGCTTATAGTTCATCATATACATCTATCACTATAGTCCCTCTGAAAATTTTCTCCCATACCTAGCATATATAGAAATATTTTATGTGAAATGACATTTTTCTTAAACACCTAAGGTTCCAGTGGATATCACAGTTGATCCAACATGCTCCAAGACGCTGATTTATGATTCTTTCCAAAAAATGGGAAGTGGCCTAGTTTGCTCTTGGACTGATTCAAAGAATTTGAAAATTTCCTTAATCCTCTTTCTTTAATCACCATTAGAAAGAGTAAAATTTAAATTATTTATATCTCATAATTAACAATTATTCTAATGGCTTTTATTTAGCCTGCAAATTTGCTATTTATTACTTTTTTAATGCAATTTATTATTAAATTTCTATTAATTTTATGTTATTTAATTCATAGAGTTAGGCTCAGGATTCTCAATTAGAAGCGCCTTTATTGATTTGGATGGGACATATATTCTTAAGGATACCAAAGACACATGCACAACTAACTATCAACCATTAAGTGCTACAGTATCAATGGGAACTAACATAAATCCAACAGCTAAGCTATCAGGCCCATCATCTGTTTCCCTTGGATGCGGTTCTGACCCAATTTCATATTCAGCTGGTAAGTCTTCTGGATCATTTGGAGGCAATCTTACCTACACATGCAGTGCTACTATGTCTCCTGCTCTTTCAAGTTTGACTTCTTATATTGCATCTACGAAAGCATCATCGTCAACTGTTTCGATTGATAGAAGCTTGCTAACCTCAATATCTTCTGCGGCAACCTTGACAGTAACTGTAAAAGTCAAGAATTGGTTGAGTGATGAGACAAGCTCAGCATCGGTAACCACATCGATTTCAACTCAGCAATCGTTATCCGTTTCATTTGACGCAGGAACTTCAATTTTGATGAAAGCTTCTGATAGCAAAGATGTTAAGGCTAAAGTCACATCTGTTTGTGGAGGATCAACCAGTGCAATTTCTTGGAAATGGTCTTATGTTTCAACACCAGATAACAGTAAAGCATCTTCTCTTGCTGCAAGCACTACAACTCAAAAATTGTCAATTTCTAACTCCCACCTCCGTGGGTGAGCAAAATCATTGGAAAAATCGCTATTTTTGCCCAAAAACCCACCCTCCGCGAGTGAACAAAAATTTTTGTAATGAAAATGTTTTTATGAAAAAATTTTTGATATATAAGTGATAATTACTATAATGAAATCTAAAGCTAAGTCTGTTTAATTTTAAACAAATTGCGTTTTAAAACATAAATTTAATAAATTAAATTAATATTTGCTTTCCAATATTTGCGAATTAGTATTTTTTTAAATTTCTAAAACAATTTTTCTATATAAATTTTTTTAATAAAAAAAAATTAACCTCCGTGAGTGAACAAAATTTTTTTTGTTCACTCACGGAGGGGGGGAGTAAGAGCATGTTTACTGCTGGTGGTCCTTATTCGTTTACGGCAACTGCTTCTCAAGACTTAGTTTAATTAGTTATTAGAGGTTTCTATCTTAGCAGCAATCTCCTAATGCCAACTCAGCCTTTGAATGCAATTTAGAAATAAGTATGCCTGGCTATTAACATTTGCTTGAGAACATGCACACAGGAGAGACCAGTATATTCACTATAATGATGAGTCCAAATTAAAACAAAAAAAATGGTTTTGTAAGCAGGAGAGTTCAAATTAAAAGGAGCTTACCAATTATGAGAAGAAATTTTTAATAGTTAATTCTCAAGATAATGATGGAACTACAGTTACTGGAAGCGCTACAGTGTCGATTACAGTTACATCATCTCCTTTGTATATTGAGTTGTCAAAAGGAAATGGACAAATTTCATCATCAAAGGACTACACCATCAATGCTAATAAGTCTAAAGACCCAGATGACTCTACAACATCTCTTATTTATGCTTGGACATGTGCTAATCATGAAGATGGATCAGAATGCGCTGGCGCAGACAATGCAGTCTTGCTAACTTGCACGTCTAATAAAATAAAGTGATATGCAATAAACATATTTTTAAATTATTTCCTTAAAACAAGACATATTTAAATAATTGCTTTAAATAAAAGATTTCGATCAAATTAAAAGGGTAAGCAACGAAATAAAGAGCGAGCTCACTATTCCTTCTGCAAGAATTGTAAAGGGTGCGAATTGGGATATAACTTGCACAATTTCAAAAGACACTAGAACTGCAAGTTTAGCCATAACTCTCACTGTCCTAAATGTTGCCACAGCTAGTTCAATTGAAATCCCAGCCATTGCTACGAAAGCTAACAGTCAGAGTAAGAATAAATACTCAGCTAGTGTTTCTTCAAGTGCTGATTCGAAATTTGAGTGGTCGCAGAAATCTGGATCGTCAATTGATATATCACCAAATAATCTCCCAACTCTTTCAATTCCTTCAGGATCAATGGCTGATGGGATGACATATGTTTTCACTTTAAAGATTACAGACTCTAGCGGTGTGAGCTTAAGTGTTGACTTATCCATCTCAGTTAACTTAGGTGCATCCTGTCAAGCTGATCCCGATATATCTCCATCGAGCGGAATGACCTTGATTGATACATTTTTAATTTCTATAACTAGATATATAAATCTTAATAACAAAAACTATCCACTTCTCTACACATACAAGTATTATCTGAACAACTCAGACACAAAATACACTATTGGGTCTACAACTGAAGAAAATCAAATTTCAACTAAGTTGTCTATAGGTGATCAATATGTTTCAGCTCATGTTTGTGATCAGCTTGATACTTGTAATGACTACTCATCTAAAGTGGTTTCAGTAAGCAAATATTCTCCTTCAAGGGGTCTCGATACTAGTTCATTAATGGATGCTTATATGTCAATGACTCTTGATCCAGATAATATTTCTTCTTCTATTACTTTGTTCTGCTCCAGCGCTACTATTGATAGTTCTTTGTTCACAAAGATGTGAAGTGACTTACAATCTTATATTAAAAGTCAAAATGACATGACGACGACACTATTACAATCTATTCTAAAATCTGCTTACTCAATGACAGGACAAACTGATTTAATGAGCATTAGCATCTATGATAAGATAATCACTTGGCTTAATAGTATTTTGACTACCTTCAGCACACTCTATCCAAGCCAAGATAATATGAACACAGTTGTTATGATAGGTGAGAGCTACTTGAAATATGGAAACAGCACCAGTTTCTCAGATTTGACCTTTGAAAAATCCGTATTGTACATCAACAGCTTTTATCTTACTTGGGCAGCTAAAGCTACCTATGAAGACTTAGTAACTCAATCTTCACTAAGCGGAAAGCAAAATACTGATAATACTATGATTTATAAAGAAAGAAACTTCAAAGCGGATATGGAAAATACAACTAAGACATACGCAAACAATAGAGTTCTTACTTATCCAAGTACTCTTGAATTTGATGAGGAGAGTATTATGAACATGAGAGCCAATTTCTACATAGGGTACACAGATGATGTCTTTTCTGATATTGCTTTATTCAGCTTTGGAAATTCAGGTACATACAAAGATTATACTCTCACTCAAGCAGATGAAACAGAAGTTCCATTCTCCTCTTCAGACTATCCATTCCTCATTGAACAGCCTTTCTACAAGAATGTTTCTGAAGGCATGGTATGGGGTTGCCAATATTACAATGATACGCTCGGAAACTGGACTGATTCAAGTTGTAAGGTAGCAGAAATAAATAATACTAACTCCCCCCCCTCCGTGAGTGAACAAAAAAATTTTGTTCACTCACGGAGGGGTTAATTTTTTTTTTTTAAAAAAATTTATATATAAATTTTATAATTTTTTTTCGAAATTTAAAAAAATCCTAATTCACAAAAATTAAAAAGCAAATATTAATTTAATTTATAAAATTTATATTTTAAAAAACAACTCATTTAAAATTAAACAGAAGTAGCTCTAGATTTCATTATACTAGTTATCATTTATATATCAAAATTTTTTTTTCCATAAAGATCTTTCCTATTAAAAAAAATTTTTGTTCACTCACGGAGGGTGGGTTTTTTGGCAAAAAATAGCGATTTTTCTAATGGTTTTGTTCACTCACGGAGGGGGGGGAGTAAACACAAACGATTACTTTCAAAGTCTACCACTTCTCAATGTACAGATTCACTGAGATTAACCCAAGTGACAATCCTCCTATATATTTCCCAAGAGCAAGCTCGAGCTGTGACGATAGCTATGCTCCAATCTACATTCTTCTTGTTACTTTGTTCATTGGCTTGATACTTGCTCCGATCATGGTCATTATTGACAGAATTAGCCATCCTCAACTTACTGAAGCTCAAGCAAAGAATGCATCTCATAACTCATCATCTCATTCTCCAATACCATCTGAGAGAACGCTAATGCGCCATGACATAAGTATCCATGCATCTCAAGGAGAAGAGTCTGTCCAAAGTGGAGAGTCTCGTAGTTCAGATGACGAAGTCGTAGAATCTCAAGAAATTCATTTAACAGAAAACTCGATTGCCCAGCAAGTTGCAGGTCCAACTGACGGCGAGAAACCTGAGGATGAAGGAAAGTATGAGCTTGAAGAATTAATTGAAGGACATTTAACTTTTGGATTATTCTATTATAGATCATCATTTACTAGGATTGCAAGATTATTCACTTTGATCGTAGTTATCATCTTTGAATTGCTACTTGAAGGACTGCTCTACTTTGGATTTGAAGATATTAAATCAGGAAATGAAACAGCAACTCAGACGCTATTTGATGACTATGAAGGAAACTACTTCGGATGCATGATCTTGGCTTTGGCAATTACAATCCCAATTGAAATTTTCATGATAGTTGCATTTAGCATTGATAGAACTAAGGCTCCACAATGGTCAGCAGCTGCAGTGACTCTCGGAGTTGCTATTCTTATTGGCTCCATTGTTGGTATTGTGATGCTAAGCTATGATTTCTGTCATAAATGGAGTGGATACTGGGCTGTGAGCTTCTTACGCGGAGTCTTAATCGAGATCTTTATTATGCAAACAATCTACATGATTGTCAGATACTTCATTATACAAGCTTTTCCTCCAGTTGAAGAATCCAAATCTAAGGCTTAAATAACCTTTCATTCTTAATTTTGTGTTAGTAAAATATATTAATTTAATAATTACATATTGCTTATTTAATATTCTATATTAATATATAAAGTTTATTTCTAACAGATAAGAAAATATTGTTATTATAACAAAGTTCTTTACTTGAAATATTAGAATTTCTATCATTTTTGATATAATTTTAATAAATATTTATAGCCTTTTTGAATAAATGGCTTTCATTATTTCATTTTAATGCTACTTCATTTATAGGCATAAATCGGCATATGGAATTAGTGTTAAATATGTGGGTTCGTATATTAAAACCACAGTTTTATTATGAAAAATTGTGATTTCCTTAGCTGTCATCAAAAATATATTCCTCCAGGAGTCTCTGCTAAATGTCTAAAATAGAATAATAAATAAAAATTAACTTTTGCATGCTCTTGGCTACCTGAAAATTACTAATTTTTATCTTGCAAAGTGTTTGAATTCAAATTCTAATCAATTTCAATAAATTGATTGCACATGCTGCTAAGAAAAATTTTTTCTAAATATATGGTCTATTATTTTATCATATACCCGAGCCTAAGCAAACTTAATGCTACTCAAATAATTCTTAAATATCGATTTATGATTTTATATTTTCTAGCGAGCTACTATCTTATATTATGTCAAAGAAATTTAGATTTAAATTAAATCATATAATTGCCTCAAAATATCATGAAACTCAAAATTTCCTCCTAGTCTCTAGATTTTTATTAATTTTATATGGAATTAGCTCACTTACATTATAAAATTCATTTTTAATACAAAGATAATAGTTCTAGGATAAAAAATAATGCAAATGCAAATTGAAGAACTGAAGGAGAATAATAGCTGCACGGAGTATATTGAATTAAGGGGTCCGAAAGAGAGATTTATTATAAGAGTTAGGTGATTATATAGGCCCTTCCTATATTTATTTAGGGGTTTTTGTTGTGAAGGATAGCCAGACCAAAATGGATAAATAGTATAGGTTATTAGGTGTAGCTATATTGACTAAAGGCCATGATAATTATTAGAGAACATAAATAGATAAAAGCCAGATACTGAGCAAATGGGATATTTTCAACTTTATCTTTAAATTACTTAAGTTCTGTAGGTTTAGCTTTGCAATTTAACTCAATAAAACATTTTAAATAGCAATCGTCGAGCCTCTAAATGGTTCAGACAAATAGTAGAGAATATTTATCTCGGCTAACCTGTTTTATTGTTCTGCTGTTCCATTAGAAAGTCTCATAGGATGAATATTTGGAGAAGCTATTCTTTAGCTATAAAAACATAATTATATCAAAATTACCATACATTATTGATTAATAAAAGAAAAAACTTTAGATCAAGCATGACAATAATATATAAAAATATCGATAACATTAATAGAAGCCTTTATCCAGTTTTATCTGTAAATGAAAGAACTAATATATAACTCTAAACATGAATTCAATGTAAAGCGGCATAAACTATATTACAGTTCGAAAAGAGTGAATATAAGTATAAAAGGAGCTGGGTTCATATACATGCAGTGATGGAGGATGCTAATTTACTCGAGAGTCAAAAATTTGCAGCAAAAGATTTTGAACTTCTTTAAGGCTATAAAGAAATATTAATGTTGACAAATTTACAATAGATTATGGCAAAAGAACTTATGGCTGGAACAAAATTAGCCAAAAGTGCATCTTGTATAAGCTTATAATAAAAAGATCATACAACATTATTGTTGAAGTCCTAAGGTATTTTTCAGTAAGAAACTTTGTGTTATGCATGATTTTCCTTTTCTAAACCCATGTTGTCTATCTGAGATCTTAACGTTGTTTTCAATTTTTCTTAGTTCAGCCTTGTCAAGAATCTTCATAAAACTGTTCATTAATGTTATAGGTCTGTGATTCTTCAGTTCTTTATGATTTCCTTTACCTTTATATATAAGAATAGTCTTAGCTTCATTTGCAACATCCGGTATACCATAAATTCTGCAAGTATTTAAAAAATGTGTTATTGCTTCTACCATTATATCTCCTCCTTTTTTTATTATTTCATTCGTTATATTATCTGGTCCAGGAGCTTTTCTGTTAGGCAAAGATTTAATAATATTCTCAATCTTTTTTGAGTTTCAAAGTTCATCTTCTAGACAACCTGCTTGTGGAATAAAAGATATCGTACTCCTAAATTGATCTTCAAATTCTTTTGTTCAAGATTGAATCTCAAATGCATTCATTGGTAAGACCAGTTTGTTTTTATTCAATAATCTTTTTATTTTGTTTCAAGCTCCATAGGGATCATTTATGCATTGTTTTAATCTATTTTCACTTATTATTTCATATCTATCTAGTCTTTTTAACTGATCAATGCATATTTTCTTTACTTTCCGTATTCTTTCAATAAATTCATTATTTTTCTGAGAATAGCAAAATTTGATTCATTCTTTGAGTTTGTTAATTCTTTTCCTTAAAATTTTCATTTCTGGAGTTTTAAAATGATCAGGCTGTAATTTAGTTTTTAGAATAATTGATTCTTCATCTAAGATAGTCTTTATTTCGGTATAGATTTGAGAAGGGTTATTTGTTATGAAAATACCTTTTTCTTTGAATTTAAGGAAGAGTCTGCTTTTAAAGGCTTCATGTTCATCTCCTTCTAGTTTATATCATGGAATAATTGCTTTTTGAGTTCCTAATGATATAATTATCGAAATGCGTGATAGGAGTAAAATATGGTTAGTATTTAATTGAGGGACTTCTATATAAATAATTTCTGATGTTGAGTTTGAGAGAATGTAATCAATAATTGTGTGTATTATGACCTCTAAAAGTTGATATTTGCATATCATTGAGAATGTATAGATGAGAATCTTTTATAAATTTAGAAAATATCTCTCCTGTTAGATCATCGATTTCAGATAAATATCCTTTTAGATGTGCATTAAAATCACCCAATAGTACTATTTGACGTCTATCCTTTTGATTCTTTTGAATAATTTCTTGAACTTCTATGATAAAGTTAATATAGTCATCAATTGATTTCTTACTTTGGTGATTTGCTACTACTGGGGCATAAGCTACTATTATTAAGTAATCTTCAATTAATGTTGCTGTTATTCTATGATTGTTAGTTTCAATTGATGTTATTAGATTTGCAAATGTTTCATGTATTAGTAACCCAGTTCCGCCTGATCCTCTGTTGCCAGCAATTGGCCCATTATTTCCAATTCAGATAAATCCTTGAATATATAAGGAAGTTTTCAGTCATGTTTCAGCAATTCCAAGAATAGAAATATCATTAGTAATCATTAAATTTCTTAAGCTTAATACAACTCAAATAATTCTTAAATATCAATTTAGGATTTATATCTTCTAGCCAACACACTATCTTATATTATGCCAAATAAATTTAGATTTAAAATGAGATCATATAATTTCGTCAAAAAATCATGAAACTCAAAATTCCCTTCTACTCACTAAATGTTTATTAATTATATAATGAATTAGCTCACTTACATTATAAAATTAATTTTTTAATACAAAGATAGTAGATGACAGTATTTCTAGTATAATCAGCGTTATAAAAATTTTAGTAATTTTAAGAACTAAAGGAGAATAATTGCTGCACGGAATATATTGAATTAAGGACCCTGAAGGAGAGATTTGTTATAAGAGTTAGGTGAACTATATTTAGGGGATAGTTTTGTTGTGAATGATAGCCAGACTAAAGAGGATAGGCCCTGATGTAGGCATCCTTGGGAATTCTTTCTGTTGAACTCTTAGCCGTGTGCTCACCATCTTTAAAATTTGGGATGTTTGCATCAATATAATAGGTATCTACATATGAGGTGCAAAGATTTTAGGAGCCAGACATTTAACTTAATTTTAGAACAAAAATTGTTTTGCTCTAATAGTAGAAAGGAATTAAGAAAAAATTTTAAGATCAAGATATCAAATAAACCTCATATTTTGTTATTAAACGGATATTTGTGTAGTAACTAATTCTTTAATACTATGCGCAATTATAAACACTGATAAATGCTTGAATTTATGACATAAAAAAATATAAAAGCTTTTTCATCAATTCTAAAAAAATCATATGAAAAGTATAATATAAGACGCAAGTCCTGCCTTAATTTTGATAGATTCCTTCATTTTTCTGCAAACTCTATCAGTGTTTCCTTTGGAAGAACAGAAAATTTAAATTGAGTAAAACAATATTAATAGATTTTTTTTTTCTCACTATTTTGGTATTGATTTCTACGAAAAAGATCTTCTCACTAATTAGCAGTATCATAATTATACAAGAAAGCTTGATCGATTAGTTTTTTGGGTCTATGCAAATCATAAAAGAAGGGCTGAACAAGAAGACACAAAAATTAATGAATGGCAGATCAAATTAAAAAATCAAAGAAAAACCAAGAACATCAAAAATATTTATTTGGCAAATCAAGAATTTTAGAATATAGAGACAATCATCGTTATGCAATTGGCGCTTTATAGGATCAATATTTAGAGTAAGCTATTCTCTAGTCATAAAAAAATGATAATATCAAAATGACCGAACATTATTGATTACCAAAAGAAAAAACTTTAGATCAAGCATGACGATAATATAAAAAATATCGATAGCATTAATAGAAAGTTTTATCAGCTTCATCCGTAAATGAAAGAACTAATATATTGAACTCTAAACATGAATACAATTTAAAGCGGCATCATATATATTACTATATGAAAAAGAGTGAATATAAGTATAAAAGGAACTGAATTCATCCACATGCAATGATGGAGATACTAATGTACTCGAGAGTCAAAAATTGCAGCAAAAGACATTGAGCTTCTTTAAGGCTATAAAGAAATATTAACTATTGACGAATTTACAATAGATTATTGCAAAGGAACTACAGTTGGAATAAAATGAGCTAAAAGTGCATCTTGTATAAGCCCACAATAAAAAGATCATACAACGTTATTGATGAAGTCCTAACTCCCCCCCCCCCCCTCCGTGAGCGAACAAAAAAAATTTTGTTCGCTCACGGAGGGAGGTTAATTTTTTTTTTTAAAAAAAATTTATATATAAATTTTATAAAAAATATTTTTTTCGAAATTTAAAAAAAATCCTAATTTGCAAAAATTGGGAAGCAAATATTAATTTAATTTGCAAAAATTTATGTTTTAAAACGCAATTTGTTTAAAATTAAACAGAATTAGCTCTAGATTTCATTATACTAATTATCACTTATATATCAAAATTTTTTTCCATTAAAATTTTTTTCTATTAAAAAAATTTTTTTGTTCACTCACGGAGGGTGGGTTTTTGGGTCAAAAAATGGCGATTTTTCTAATGGTTTTGATCGCTCACGGAGGGGGGGGGGGGGGAAGTAGTAAGCTGAAATGGGATTTTAGCAGCAGCAATTAGAGAAAATAGCAATACCCAAAAATCTAATCATTTTATTATTGCTTTAACAAGGCATTTATTTGGAAAAAATCAAAAATTAAGAAGCTATACAACGTTTTTTATTAGATAATTCCAAAATACATATATCAGAAGAAAGTAAAATACGTTATGAAGCACTATGATTGAAATGGCCATAAAATCATATGCAACAGTAATAGGCGTTTGCTGATCATTGATTCAAGATATTATGGAGCTGTAAATAACTTGCGATTCAATTTGTGCTACTTCTCTAGGATCAGGCAACTCTGCCTGCTCAACTTGCTATTTAAAATCAACAGAAGAAAGCGAAGTTTGTTCATGATGCTCACTTCCCCCCTACTTGAGTGGCCAAAAAAATTTTATTATGCTCATGCAGCTTAGATACTATGGGACAACAGATAATTGCTAAGCCTACGACTCAGCTTGTGCTACTTGTTCAGGATCAGGAAGTTCGGTTTGTTTAGCTTGCATCAATTATCAAATATAGATTTATCATCAGCTACTTATACATGCGATACTGGCTACTTTAATAAAGCTTCTTTATATGTAACAAGCTGCGATTCAACATTTTAAACTTGCTCTGAAAGCACAACTAATTGAGCAGCATGCAACGTTGGCTTCCAAAATCTAATATACTTTTTTATATTGAACAGACCAATAAGAAGTATCTCTTGAGTAAACTAAATAGATTTTAATCTATGAGAATCTCATTTTGCCTTTTGTGGGTAAATAAATTACATGAAATATCAATTTTTTCAACGTAATTTAGAGTAATAATAACGTATTTTTTTATATTATTGATAGCATGCACATATAGAGGTTTTGGTTCGTAAAAAAATGCTTAACGAGCTAAAACATGAAGGCACATTGTTTCGTCAACGAGAACTCATATCATGTATTCTTAGCAACCACATATAGGTTTATAATGCATCCTAATATGGATTGGCATTTAATTCCTGTTCAAAATCTTGTGAGTGTTCAATAACAAGCTGTAAGACTTGCTCAACAACTAATTATAGAACTTATTAAAGATTGCTAGACTGGATTTAGTTAGGATGCTATGCTGCAATCCTGCAAATGCTAGTTTTTATAGCCAACCATTGTACTACCTATTCAGATAGCACAACGTGTGGCACATGTGATTCAGCAACAGACTTGTCATCAGGATCTTGTGTATGTACAGCTGGAAAGCACCATTGTGAGACTTGTGTAGCTGATAACTCAGGTATTGCTCAAAACGTGGCTAAGGGACGACACTGACATCAGGATCTTGTCTATGCACAGATGCCCAGAATAATTGTAAGACTTGCGCAACTGATAACTCTAATAATTTCGCATCATGCGCTCATGGATATAAGTTAATGTCTGGACATTGCACTGCTGCATGTGCAGTTGAAAATTGTAAAATGTGCTCAGGATCTAATTCACAAATTTGCGATACTTATCAATCCGGGTTTAGCTAGGATTCTACTTCATCTAAATGCTTGTGCTCAATTGCTAATTGTGCAACCTGCTCAACAACTGCACATAGAAATTGCGATACATGCCAATATGGGTTTACTTTTAACGACTCGACCAAGTCTTGCGAGTGCTCAATTAGTACTACAAGACTTGCTCAATGGCATCATATGGAGTATGCCAAGAGTGCCAGTCTGGGTTTAGTTGGATGCTACAACATCATCTTGCAAATGCTCATTGGCTCACTGTGAAGCTTGCTCTACCACTAGTTATGGAACTTGTACTACATGCACATCAACATTTGAGGGATCTGAACATCAACTTGTGCCTGCTCATCTACCAGCTATTTAGATACAGATACCTGCAAGTCATGCACTAATCAATGTTTATCTTGCTCAACTGCAACAAAATGCACTAAATGCGTTGATAATGCAAATGAAATGATAGCACATGCTCATTCAATGATGGCTATTATCCATCTGGCTGAAAATACACTCAATGTCGATTTCATGCTCTTAATGCACATCTGCTGCAGTTTGTACAGCTTGCAAGGCAAATGCATCAATATCGGATGGCCTGTGTGCTTGCAATACTGGTTATACTCTGAACTCTTCAAACGACTGTATAGTAACTGTAACAATCTTTGCACTTCTTGTGACGCCAATGATGGCAAGAAGTGCTCTGTATGCATCACTAATGCAAAGCTAACTGGAGCAGCTTGTGCATGCACAACCAATTCTTCATATGATTCAGCCTCAAAAAGCTGTCAGTGTAACTCTGGCTATACTTATTCAAATTGCAAAAATGTTGTGTGCAAGAAATATCTCGCACCTTCAGACGTTGTAAGCGCAGCATATAGCTCTTCGTACACTTCTGTGATTATGGTGCTTGCGAAAATTTTTCTCTTAGCACAGCACGAGTAAAAATGCTTGGCTCTCAGATCCGATTTCCTCTTTTTTTCGAGGAGTTTATTTGTTAGTAATAGTATTGATTTTCAAAAAGAAGAATATAGCATTTAAGGTTTCAATAAGTATTTCAGCAGATCCAATTTGCTCCAAGACATTAACTTATGATTCTTATATTATGATGAGAACCAGCCCTGCTTGTTCTTGGACTGACTCAAAGATTTGAAAATTGCCTTAGCGGAAAAGATTGATGAATTTCAATAGGTTTACTCAATATGAATGGATGAAGTTAGGCTTGGGATTCCAGCTAAGAAATGGGTCTATTGATTTAGATTGCACGTATATTCTTAAAGATACAAAAGATGCATGTACAACAAACTAGCAAGCATTAAGTGTTTCAATAGCTATGGGATCAAACACAAGTCCAACTGTAAAATTATCAGGCCCAGAATCTATCTCTCTTGGATGCGGAAGTGACTCACTCCTTTACTCATCTGATAAGTCTTCTGGGTCTTTTGGAGGTAATTTCACTTATACTTGGAAAGCTAAAATGTCTTCTGCTCTTTCAAGTTTGACATCTTGGATTGAAAAGCAAGCATCACCATCTTTAGCAATTACTAGAGACAAACTTTCCTCAGTATCTTCTGCTGCATTTTTAATCTAGACTGCAGCAATCAAAAATGGCTCAGTGACAGAGCAAGCTCTGCATCCGTAGTAACATCAATTTCTCCTCAACAGTCTCTATCCGTTTCATTTGGCTTAAGCAGTTCAGTATCAATGAAAACTTCTGATATCAAAGAAGTGAAAGCTAAAGTGGCATCAGTTTGTGGAAGCTCAACAAGCGCCATATCCTGGAAATGGTCTTATGTTTCAACCACAGATAATAGTAAAGCATCTTCTCTTGCTTCAAGCACTAAAACTCAAAAATTATCGATACCTAAGAGCACGTTTACTTCTCGAGGTCCATATTCTTTCACAGCAACTGCTTCTCAAGACAATAGTGGAACAACAGTTACTGGTAGTGCTACAGTTTCTATTACAGTTACATCTTCTCCTCTATATATTGAGTTGTCTAAAGTAGCGGACAAATTTCTTCATCCAAAGATTATACCGTCAATGCTGATAAGTCCAAAGATCCAGATGATTCTTCAATTCTTACTTATGCTTGGACCTGTGCTAATCACGAAGATGGGTCGACATGCAAAGGTGCAGATGACTCAATCTTACTAAGCAATGAAGCAAATAGCGCACTTACTATTCCTTCAGCAAAGATTGTAAAAGGTGCTGAATGGGATATAACTTGCACAATATCGAAAGATACTAGAACAGCAAGCTTAGCCATAACTCTCAATGTCTTAAATGTTGATACTTCTAGCTCAATTGAAATACCAGCTATTGCTACAAAAGCCAGCAGCCAGAATAAGAACAAATACTCAGCAAGTGTTTCCTCAAGCACTGGGTCTACGCTTATATGGACTCAAAAATCTGGATTATCGATTTCAATTTCACCAAATAATCTTTCGTCTCTTTCAATTCCTTCTGGAACAATGAGTGATGGAATGGCATATGCTTTCACCTTAAAGATAACAGACTCTAGCAGTGTAAGCTTAAGCGTTGACTTGTCTGTCTCGATTTACTTAGGAGCATCTTGCTCAGGAGCGTTCGCTGTGTCGCCAACAACTGGAATGGCTTTAATTGATGCTTTTACAATTTCAATAAGTGGCTGCGTTGATCGTGATGATGAGGACTATCCACTTCTTTACACGTGCAAGTACTCTCCATCTGGATCAAACTCGAAATACACTATAGGATCTACCACTGAAGAAAGTCAAATTTCATCCAAACTGTCTTCAGGCGAGCAGGTTATTTAAGTCCATGTGTGTGACCAGCTTGATACTTGCGAAGATTACTCATCTTCTAAACTTACAGTTAGCAAATACTCGCCTGGAAGGCGTCTAGACACTACTTACTTGCCCATGACTCTTGATCCAGATAATATCCCATCTACTATTACTTTGATATGCTCAGGAGCTACAATTGATAGTTCTTTGTTTGCAAAGATGTGGAGTGATTTGCAGTCTTATGTCCAAAACAAAAGCAGTATGATAGTCAGTTTATTTCAGTCTCTGCTGGGATCTGCTGGGATCTGCTTACTCTATGAACAGCCAAACAGATTTAATGAGCATTAGTATGTATGAGCAGTTGATAACTTGGCTTAATAGCATTTTGACTACTTACAATACACTTTACCTAAGCCAAGATAATATGAATACAGTGATTTTGATAGGTGAGAGCTATTTGAATCATGGAAATAGTACTAGCTTCTTAGATAAAAGCCTTTAAAAACCGGTTTTGTACGTCAACGACTTCTATCTTACTTGGCCAATCAAAGCAACCCATGATGGCCTAGTGACTCAATCATCGCTAAGTGGAAATCAAAATACCGATAATGTCCAGATTTATAAAGATAGAAATTTCAGAAAAGAAATGCAGGAAATATGCTAGCAATAAAACACTTACTTATCCTAGCACCCTTTAATTTGATGATGATAGCATTATGAACATGAGAGCTAATTTCTACCAGGGATATTCAAACAATAGCCATTCTGATATCGCTATATTTAGCTTTGGAAATTTAGGCACATATAAAGACTACACTCTTACAAATACTGATGAAACTTATGCTCCATACTCATCTTCTAACTATCCATTCCTCATTGAGCTGTCTTTCTACAAGAATGTTTCTGTAGGAATGGTGTGGGGCTGCAATATTATAGTGAAACGAACTCAAATTGGACTGAGTCAAACTGCAAGGTTGCAAACATCAACAACGAAAATCAAACAGTAACAATCAAGGTCTACCATTTCTCAATGTACAAACTTGTAGAGATCAATCCTAGCGACAATCCACCTCCTTATGTGCCAACTAGTTGCTCAAGCTGCGACGATAACTACGCCCCTCTCTATATCCTTGCTATCACTTTGTTTATTGATTTGGTTCTACCCCAATTATGGTGATTATCAACAGAATTAGCCACCCTGCAGTCACTCAGATCAAAACTAAGTCCCTAAGAATGTGCCTCACAACTCACCATTCCATTCTCCAAGACCAACTGAACGAGGACTAATGCGTCATGATATAAGTGTTCATGCATCCAAGGAGAAGAATCAGTTGAAAGCGGAGAGTCTGGCAGTTTAGACGATGAAGTTGTTGAGTCGCAAGAAATTGATTTGACTGAAAACTCAATAGTCCAAAAAATTGCAGGACCATCAAATGATGAAAAGTCTGAGGATAAAATCAAGTATGAGCTTCAAGAGTTAAACTTTTTCAATCAGTTAAGCAATCTGCTTTAAGATAAATAAGTAATATTCCACTCATTATAGGTTGCTCAACTTTAAAAATATTGCAAAGTTATTCAAACGAGCATAATTGAAGGCCATTTAGCTCTTGGATTATTCTATTATAGGCCAACATTCTCGAGAGTAGCAAGGCTCTTCACTTTGGTTGTAGTCATCATCTTTGAACTATTGCTTGAAGGATTGCTGCACTTTGGATTTGAAGATATCAACTCAGGAAGCGAAACAGCAACTCAGACACTGTTTGATGACTATGAAGGAAACTACTTTGGGTATATGATTTTGGCTTTAGCAATTGCAATCCCTGTTGAAATCTTTATGATTGTTGCGTTTAGCATTGATAGAACTAAAGCTCCACAATGGTCAGCAGCTGCAGTGGCTCTTGGAGTTGCCATTCTCGTTGGATCTATTGTTGGAATTGTGATGCTAAGCTATGACTTCTGCCATAAATGGAGTGGGTTAGCTTCTTATGGGGAATCTTAATTAATGTCTTTATCATGTAAACAATTTACATGATTGCCAGGTATTTCATCATTCAAGCTATCCTCCGGTTGAAGCAAGCAAATCTAAGGCTTAAATAACCTTTTATTCTTAATTTTTTGTCTCCTCTAATTAATGTAAGCTTAATTAGGAGTAAAAAATAATTCTGTTTATAAAATAAATCTATATAGACTCTATAAGAGATATTGCTTTGAGAATCACATCAAACATTTTATAACTTACTTTCCCTCAGGAACGAGCAAATCCCTATTTTTTGGGTTAAAACCTTGCGTCTTGCTAGCAAACAAAATTTTTATGAAAAAATATTTTGATATACTTGATAATTAATATGATGAAATCCTAGCTAACTCTGTTTGAAATATAAGCAGCTTGCATTTTAAAACATAAATTTATAGATTAATTTAATTTTTTCCAAATTTTTTCAAGAACTTCAAACACAAAGTTTAATATAAGAAAAAAATTTTGGTTCGCACAAGGAAGGCAGGAAGTTAGTGAAAACTAAATATCAAAATTATATTACTTATAAAGCATTTAGTAATTTAAAATTTTTTTATATTTTAAATAAAAGTAAATGTATAAAAGAAATTTTCTGTTTAAGTTAATTTTAAATACTTGATAATTAATTAGCTGCAATTAATAAAAATTTAGTTATTTTGTAATCGAAGAGATATCCTGCATTAAGTCTATTATAATTTATTATTCGAATTATAAATAGCTAAAGAGTAACTTGCTAACTCCACCCTCCTTGAGTGAACAAAACCATTAGAAAAATCCCTATTTTTTGCCTAAAAGCCCACACTCAGTGAATAAAAATTTTTTTAATAGAAAAACATTTTTTATGAAAAAATATTGATATATAAGTGATAATTAGTATAATGAAATCTAGAGCTAATTCTGTTTAATTTTAAACAAATTGCGTTTTAAAACATAAATTTTATAAATTAAATTAATATTTGCTTCCCAATTTTGTAAAATTAGGATTTTAAAATTTCGAAAAAAAAAAATTTTCTATAAAATTTATATATAAATTATTTTAAAAAAAAAAATTAACCCCCCTCCTGAGTGCACAAAATTTTTTTATTCACTCACGGAGGGGGGGAGTAATTAATCTCTTCTTTGCAAAAAAATTATTTTTAATTATTTCTTCAAAAATTTATCCAGTAAGACCAAAAAGCTCATTTAAATCTCTGTTAAAATTATAGACTCATCAGCCTAACATTTAAGCTCAACCCATATTCAAAATCTGTGAAGATTCGACTCATATGACCTTTAACTCAGCTGCAGGAACGTGCATGTGATCTGGTTCCAAGGCTTCTACCCTTCTATGCATCTGTAATACAGGATTTTATTCAAATGGCCAAAATACTTGCACTATATGCACTGCAAAATGTTCTTCATGCTTAAATTTAGCTACTTCTTGTACTGCCTGCGAGGATTCTGTCCATATGACTTTTGACTCAGCTGCAGGCACCTGTGCATGTACTGATACCAATACTTCTTTTGATACTACAACTCTTCAATGTACTTGCAATGCTGGATTTTACTTAAATGACCAAGACGCTTGCACTGAATGCATAAGTCCATGCTCTTCATGCAATTCAGCTACTATTTGTAAGGGATGCATCAATGGCTGCTATTTAGATTCCACGACTTGTGAAGCTTGCACTAATCAATGCGATAATTGCTCTTCAGCACAAATATGCTCTAGTTGCGTAGAATGCTGATCTTGAAGACTGTTCAACTCGCAAAAAGTGCATATGTGAAAAGGGATGCTCACCAGTTAATGGTGCTTGCTCTCTATACCCTGCTTCTTGTGTAGCATGCGACTCTTTAACGGTTAGGGTTAATTAGGGATTATAGAGATACCTTCTTCCGCAGGGACGACAAGCCTCCTAAAAAACCCAGTTGATGACGTTGACGGCCCATCTAGCTCCTGGCAAGTATTCCAGAGGATGGCCAACATTGACTTCGCTGAGGGCCACTCTCCTCTATGTGACAAACAGTGAAATTGCATGCCTCCTTTCTTTCTTGGACCAAATGGTTTACCTTACGCAATAATCCATATTTGTGAATGAAGGTTCACCTGGAAAACTGAACCCTTCAATTATAAAATTGATAAGGGCGGAGCTAATTACGAATCAAGCAATTGCTATTGCGCGGCTCTTTAACACATTGTTCAACTTGCAAAAATAATGCTGAAAAGGGTGCTCTCTTGCAATAGTGGCTTTTCTTTCAAAGCAAATAACGATTGTGTAGCAGCCTGCAATGATCTTTGCTCTTCTTGCTCTGCTTCTAAAGGGCAAAACTGCACTGTATGCGTCACAAATGAAGAGCTAGCTGGGACTACTTGTACTTTCAGAACGAATTCTTCATACGATTCACCGTCAAAAAGCTGTGTCTGCAATTCTGGGTACTCTCTATCCTATAACAAATAAATGTATAACTGTAAAAGTATTTGGCTCCTGCTGATGTTTTATCAGCAGCATACAGCCCATCATATGTATTTGCTACAATAACATTCAAAGTTCCAATAGATATAGAAATTTCCCATAGATGGCGCTGTTTGCCCTTGATTTGCCCACTGGGGAAATTTTTTGGGTTCGACCAGTCACATATGGTTTGGTCAAACCAAAACATTTTTCTCATGGGCAAATCAAGGGCAAACAGCGCCATCTATGGGAAATTTCTATATCACTCTTTGCTCCAGGACTCTATATTATAAATCTCCTACGATTTAGTAGGTAGCTTAGGCCTTTCTAGGTGTAGATTAAATGCAAGCTTATATATTATGAATGTCTTTGCGCCTCTGACCAGGATTCAAAGGCAAGAAAAGACTTTTTCTCATGTAGGATGGAATTAAAATTTTAAAAGGCTTGTCTCAATCCCTAATTTAGCACAAGATAATCAAAAATCGCTATATTTAATTTTTATTACAAATTTATTCATTTCATGATGCTTGAAGATCATTTAGCTCTCGGGCTTATCATATATCGACCTTCCTTTACTAGAGTCATCAGGCTGTTTACCTTATTCCCCCCACCTCTGTGAGTGAACAAAACCATTAGAAAAATCCGTATTTTTTGCCCAAAAACTCAATCGTGAGTGAACACAAATTTTTTTAATAGAAAAATTTTTTATGGAAAAAAATTTTGATATATTAATGATAATTAGTATAATAAAATCTAGAGCCAATTCTGTTTAATTTTAAACGAATTGCTTTTTAAAACATAAATTTTATAAATTAAATTAATATTTGCTTTCCAGTTTTTGCGAATTAGGATTTTTTTAAATTTCGAAAAAAAAATTAGCCCCCATCCGTGAGTGAACAAAATTTTTTTGTTCACTCACGGAGGGGGGGAGTTAGTGGTAATTATTATTTTTGAGTTGCTGCTTGAAGGATTGCTGCTCTTTGGATCTGAAAATATTAGTGCAAGAACAGAAATAGAAATTGAGACCTTTTCTGATGGTTATGAGGCTATATAGTTTGGATACATGATTGCCGCTTTGCCAATTGCAATGCCTATTTAAATCTTTATTGATGTTGCCTTTAGCATCGACAGGAATAAGCTCCAAAAAGCTCAGTAGCTGCAGTATCTATAGGAGTTTTTATTATTATTGGCTCCGTTATTGAAATTATATGCTTACTCCCCCCCCCTCCGTGAGTGAACAAAAAATTTTTTGTTCACTCACGGAGGGGGGTTAACTTTTTTGTTTTAAAAAATTTATATATAAATTTTCTAAAAAATTGTTTTTTCGAAATTTAAAAAAATCCTAGTTTGCAAAAATTTGAAAGCAAATATTAATTTAATTTATAAAATTTATGTTTTAAAATGCAATTTGTTTAAAATTAAACAGAATTAGCTCTAGATTTCATTATATTAATTATCATTTATATATCAAAATTTTTTTCCATAAAAAATTTTTGTTCACTCACGGAGGGTGGGTTTTTGGGCAAAAAATGGCGATTTTTCTAATGGTTTTGTTCACTCACGGAGGGGGGGGAGTTAGATAAGTGGATATTGGGCTGCAAGCTCTCTTGGGAGACCTTCATTGAGGTTTTCATCATGGAAACAATTGCTATGATTGCAAGATACTTCATCATAAATGTTTTTCCTCCAGTTGAAGAGAAAAAATCTAAAGCTTAAATTACCTTTTCTATCATAAATGCGGGCTAATATATTTTATAAGTGATAGAAGCTTATTTCAATATCAACGTTTTGAAGTATTATTAAATTAATAATTAAATGAATATTAATAGCTATTTTGAGATTTTAAGGCTTTTTCCGAAATTATTTGGCATTTAGATAAGGTAAAAATATCTTTTGATATACATTTAAATAACTAAGGACCCCCCTCATTTGTCCAATTTTCTAGTCTTTTATCATTTGTCCATTTTTCTAGGTTTTTTTATGGCCTCATTTGTCCAATTTTCTAGTCAAAATTTGATAGAGAAAAAAAAAATTTTCAGGACCTCAATTGTCTCATTTTCTAGCTTTTTTAAAGTAAAAAACTAGAATTTAGGGCATTCGAAAAAATCCAAAAAAGACTATAAAATTGGACAAATCATTTTTGACTAGATTTTGGGACGAATGAGGTCCTGAAAACAAAAATTCTTATAAAAAAAAGACTAGAAAATTCGACAAATGAGGGGGGGGTCCTTATGTCTATAATTTATTCAGCTTAAATAATATAGAATGCGAATATGCTTTATAAATAATAGGAAATGGAGATGAAGCTGTATTTCAATTCAGAATGCAAGGATTAACCGAATATGCATGCAAGTGCACTTTCCCTTACACTTATTCATGACAAAGATGTGCATCAATTAGTTCGGCTTTCGAGGGTTTTAGGTATTTCTTTGAATTTAATAGATAGATTATGCTTTTATATATCTACCTATAATTTAGTCTCTAAAATTCTTAGCTGAATGCTTCTTTATCTTTTAAGATCAAAAATTTATAGTTCTTCAATAAGAAAATGTTTACACGAATTTATTTATATATTGCTTTATCTAGAAATAGTTTATTAAAATCACTTTTTAAATAACAAATATTAATGAAAGACTTTAGAGATACCATGCCAAGAAAGACAGTTAGAGCAAGATAGAGAGTTTACTTAATTTTAAGCAAAATATTTTGAAGTTAATTCAGATTTTTTATTGATATTGATAACGCTAGAAGAAAAAGAACAATGAATAGATATAGTGAGTTATCCAAAATTAAAAAGTGCTAAAAACTCATCAAACAATTTAATAATTTTAAGAAGTTATAAATATTGAGCACAATAATAAAGTATGAATTTAACAATTTTTCTTACTTGAAAAGAATTTTTCATTTCTAAGTTTTCAATGAATGAGCAATTTTATTCAAAGATATTTAAAATTAATACTAAAATTAGTAGTCATCAATGGAATGGATTAATTAAATGTCTAATACTTATTAGAGCTTATTTATCTATATTCTGAAATTATAAATTTTTAATTCTAAGTTTTTATAAATGAAGTTCCAGATTGATGATGCTGTAATATCTCTATATTTTGTATTATCAAGCCTAGGCTCCATGGTTAAGCATTTAGCATGCTCTCAAAGCAAATAAACACAAAAATCTAGACTTTTAGCAAATGCCCTCTTAATGGCTTCTCTCTCTGCAGATTTAAAGGCTTATTCAAAATGTATTAGCAGGCCAAAATCCAGATTTTATATCCGATATTCCAGAGACACGCTACGCAGATATAAGAGCTATATGAGATTTTAAACCAATTAAATATTTGAGCTAAATTTCGAGTTGATAATAAAAATGTTAAAGTTTTTGTCTCTTCTTCTGCTTCTATTAATTCATGCTGATGGAAAAAGTACTTCAGATTCATCCAAAGACTTAATAAACTCAAACTTTGACTCTAGCTCAATCGACGAAGGCCGTAAAAGTATCTATCATCCAGCCCAAGAAAGCACTGCTCGTCAAAAGGATAACAATGCTGGAGCGAGTGAAACCATAAGAGGAGAAACTTCTTCTGATTTACTTAGCAAACCAACAGTTTATGAAAATCAAAAAGATGGTAAACTTCAGAAAGATGTTCCACTAAAATCAAATAAAGCAAGCCTATAAGAAGCAGAATCCAGAAATGATGGAAAGTTTATAGAAGACAAAAGCATTATTCATCAAAAAGATGAAAGAGAATGAAGGAATAGCATGCAACCCGAAAAAGTTAGCAATAGCTCTACCCATAATGAAGATGAAAAAAATACTGTAAAGAAGCTCGAAAGGCATTTAGCGTGTACAGATGGGCAGAATCATTATCAGACATGTTCAGGTGATGATTGCAACCAATGCGACTCAAGTGATTACGCATTAACATCGTCATCACCAGTAGTTTGCTCGCCTAAATGCAATTTTATCGACTAGTGTGAGTTTTATTGAGACCGCATGCTTAACCATCCACTTAGAAGATGAGTAATCTTCGCAAGTATCAGGCTGATCGCACACATGGACTAAAATAGCCTACTCGCCTGAAGACAGTTTGGATGAAATTTGGCTTTCTTCAGTGGTAGATTCTATAGTGTATTTCGAGTTTGATCCAGATGGAGAGCACCTGCACGTGTAAAGAAGTGGATAGTCTTCATCATCACGATCAACGCACCCACTTATTGACATTGTAAAAGCATCAGTTAAAGCAATTCCAGTTGTTGGCGACACACTGAACGCTCCTTCACAAGATGCTCCTAAGTTAACTGAGATAGACAAGTCAACGCTTAAGCTTACACTGCCAAAGTCTGTAATCTTCAAAGTGAATACATATGCAATTCCATCACCAGATTTTTGAGACCATATAAACGTAGAGACAGTGCTTGCAGAAGCATTTGCTGAGTATTTGTTCTTCGCATGAAGGAATAGTAAGTGCGCTATTTGCTTCGCTGCTGCTTACTCCCTTAATTTTCTAATTATTTTAGAATGCTTTATTTATACTTCTACCTAAAATATCTGTAGTTTTTTTAGAAAATAAATGCTGTAAGTTAGTAAGATTGAGCCATCAGCTTCAATACATTTCAGGCCCAAGCATAGCCTTAGACAACTCAATATATAGAGGAGAAGATGCAACTGCAATAGAAACTGTAGCACTGCCAGTAACTGTTGTTCCACTATTGTCTTGAGAAGCAGTTGCTGTGAATGAATATGGGCTGCTGGTAGCGAGCATATTCTTATTTCCCTTTAATTAGTATAAAAAAGTCTGTTCTAATTTGAAGAGGGCTGATCTTTTTTTTTATAGAATTTTTTTCATAAAAAAAATTATAGCATAAAATTAATTAAGTTTTAAATTTTTAAAAAAACTTATTGTAAAAGTTAATCAATTCAGATGCCAGATGCATTATCAACGCATTTAGTACATTTTGTTGCAGTTGTGCAAGATAAACATTGATTAGTGCATGATTTGCAGGTGTCTATATCTAAATAGCTGGTAGATGAGCAGGCACGAGTTGATGTTCCAGATCCTTCAAATGTTGATGTGCATGCTTTGCAAGTTCCATAACTATGGTAGAGCAAGTATCACAGTGAGCCAATGAGCATTTGCAATTTGGTGTTGTAGCATTCCAACTAAGCCAAGACTGACACTCTTGGCATATTCCATATATGCCGTTGAGCAAGTCTTGCAGTCACGTATTGAGCACTCGCAAGATTTGATCGAGTCTTAAAGTAAACGCATGTATCGCAATTTCTACATGTAGTTGTTGAGCAGGTTGCACAATTAGCAATTGAGCACAAGCATTTAGATGAAGTAGAATCCCAGCCTAACCCGGATTGACAAGTATCGCAAATTTGTGAATTAGATCCTGAGCACGTTTTACAATTTTCAACTGCACATGCAACAGTGCAATATCCAGACGTCAACTGATATCCATCAGCGCATGATGCGCAGTCATTAGAGTTATCAGTTGCGCAAGTCTTACAATTATTCTGGCCATCTGTGCATGGGCAAGATCCTGATGTCAGTATCGTTCCTGAGTCACATTTTGAGCAACCATCTGAGTTACCAGCTACGTAAGTCTCACAATGGTGCTTTCCAGCTGTACATACTCAAGATCCTGATGACAAACTGTTGCTGAATCACATTGCAACACGTTGTGCTATCTGAACAGGTAATGCAATTAAAAGAAAAGAGCCACATCATAAGAAATCATTATGTCTTGCAGATAGTATTTGCCAGATTGCAGCGTGGTAATCTTTAATAAGTTCCATAATTAGTTGTTGAGCAAGCCTTACAGTTTGTTATTGAACACACACAAGATTTTGAACCGGAATTAAATGCAAATCCATATTAGGATGCATCATAGACCTATATGTGGTTGCTGAGTACGCAGTGCGGCTAATGATTGAGCACTGATATCATTAAAATATCCAAATTTTTTTAAATACTATCTTACTAAAAAATAAGCTGAATTGGATTTAGAGGAGCACTTGCATATGATGAAGCTGTACCCCAGATAAACCCGGTGAAACTAGATATTAATACCATTTAGATTAAATTTCGTTGAAGCTCTGCTTATAGTCCTATTTTAATAGCAATATGCAAGGAGCAAGCATAGATTAAGAAAATATGGAGGGTGAAGTGGAAAAAATCTCCATGTAGTTTTTCCACCTACTTTTTCTAATCAAAAATGACTGTAAAGAATTTAATAAATTTTTTTTAAAATAAAGAATTCTTCAATGCATCGACCAAAATAAATAGCTGATAAAGTATCTTCTTGAATGCATAGATCATAAATGGAAATAATTAAAAAGAAAGACCAAAAAACTCCTGATTCCTAAAAATTAATCAGTAACGAGCAATCTCAGCCTCCTTTAACCCATAACGACCGTATTCACACTCTAAAAAATTTCAAAGTCTCCATTCCTCAAATTTTTAATATTTCATCAAAATAAAATCAAAGAATCCTGGTATACCACTTTTTTTTCACCCCAACTATTATTTTTGTATCATCTTAGGCATTCTGATCCTCTGCTGCCCTCTCTAACTGGCAATTTCAATTCCAGTTTCCTTGTATTTTGTCATTCCTGTAGAAGACGATTATTTTAAAAATCAGCTAGCTTTCATTTGATTTTTATTTATTAAGCTGCTTTAACGTATTTTATTAATTGCACACTATGCAGCTTGCTTGTTCTTTTATTAAATATAAACATTACAAAGCAAAGCGATAACTGGATCATGAATTATCAGATTCTTGATGGATAAAGTCTCAAAATAAGAATTTTAATTTCTTCAATATATTGGAGAATTATTAAAATGGCGTGATCTGATGTGGATTTTGACGTTCCGAGAATTCATCCAGATCCAGAGAAGAGAAACTGCATGGTGATAGTCCTCTGGGATAGGTTTTTTGGTCCAGGGGATAATCCTCAACCTTTTTTCTCTGTCTTGCAGATGAGTGTTCCTGTGCTCCCCCCCCATCCTTGATCGAACGATTGACTGTAAAAATTCCTAAAAATTGGGGAAAATTAACCCCCATCCTTGATCGAACGATTTCATATCATGACAATTTTTTATATATATAAAAATGTAATAGTTATCAAAAGCTTGGGAAGATGTACCTAATGAAGTTGTTTTCAGAGACTTTGAGACGATAGAAAGCTTCGGAATCAACCATTCAAAGTAATTTAGTCATCAATATGTGCTTAAAAACTCAATAATCTAATAAAATAGAGATTTTTTAAAATTTTTAAAAAACAAATTTTAATTTAATAAGTAACAAATTAAAATTTATACAGTTTAAGGGGGTAACTAATAAATTAAAATATAAAAAATTGGTATTTTTATGAAATTAATTCAATTTTTTGCTGTAAAATTAATTATTAAATACTCTTAACCCTTTTATTTAAAAGTAAATAAAAAAACATTTATATATATATAGAAAAAGCCCGAGGATCGGCTCCACACGGGAACGATTTTCCGTATTGCCAGAGAATGGCGCAAATAGCGCCATTCTCTGGCAATTATTATATTTTATTTTATATATAAAATTTTTTTAACCCCCATCCTTGATCGAACGATGGCGAGTCGTTCGATCAAGGATGGGGGGAGTTAGTACTCCATGGGAGAATTACAGAGCCTGTGATACGTTTCAGACAGGCGATGAATGAGGCAAAGGCGGTATATCCATGCTCATAATTCTTTCGGAGGTTGAGGAGTCTTTATCGTTTAGTGGGACCCAGAAGACAGGTCTGGCGATCTCCTCGCAAGAACCCCTACGCCACCATTTTTTGATGAAGTCAGAAGTAAAAGGCAGGTGTGGGGATATCGCTTACTCTCCCCTCTGTGAGCTAACAAAAAATTTTGTTGGCTCACGGAGGGGAGTTATTTTTTTTTTAAAAAAATTATATCAATTTTATAAAATATTTTTTTTCAAAAATTTAAAAAAATTCCAATTTGTAAAATTGAGAAGTAAAAATTAATTTAATATATAAAATTTATATTTTAAAATGCAAGCTGCTTCAATTAAGCAGAATTAATTAGAGATTTCATCATAATAATTATCACTTATTTATCAAAATTTTTTGTTCGTTCACAGAGGGTGGATTTTTGGGCAAAAATTAAGGATTTTTCAAATGGTTTTGTTTGCTCATGGAGGTGGGGGGAGTTAGCATCAACGCGAAGCTATCCGTGAGATTGAGATGAGACTGAGATAATCCCTGAAAATACGTGATAATTTAACTGAAATCAATGTATTGGGCTATTACATTAATGGTTTCAGCTGATATGGAGACCTCATCCACCTCAGATGTGGAAAGGTTTGACGGGATTCTTGCTATGGTCTGCATATCAGCTACATTTTTAAAAATCATAGGAAACCTATCTTCATTAATATCAGAAGCAGTGCAAAAGAAGATAAATATAGAATCATGATTCAAGCCATCAACCGCTATGTGAAAAAGAAAGCCTATCTACAGATCTCCAATTCCGATTCAGAAGCTATATTGACTATATGCATGAAGTAGGTGTAGACTACGAGCATGATGAACAAAATATCATAGATTTATCCAGTGGGCCATTAAAAGATGAAATTTACGACCACTTTCATTGGCATGTCATCAAATCTTGCATATTATTTAATAGTGGGATATTTTCAAAGGAATTAGTAATCCACATCCCAAGGCTACTTACATATCAAGCTTACGCCTCTGAAGATTCAATATTTGAAGAAGAAGAAGAAGAAGAAGAAGCAAGCAGATCACTTTATTTCATCATGTCAGGAGAAGTTGAAGTTTACATCCAACATCTAAAGCTTGATATACAACTTTAGGCACGATAAATATTTCGGAGAAATCGGGTTTCTTGTTAATGCCCCACACTGTGCATCTGTGAAGTCCATGTCGTTACCGAAGTGTTTTTGATTTTTTTTTTCAGAGGTTTTATGAAGCCCTCTGTGTGAATCCTGAAGATTATAAAGCTTTAATATTCCTCGATCTTTTGAGAAATAATTTCTTTTATGTCATTAGAGTTCAATAAAGCTCACTGGGCCTCTATAGCATAAAGGACTTCATTCTCCCAGTCTCTCACAAGTGCGTGGACTTTATTGCTCAGGAGTTCCCAAGTCAATAATCCAAAGTATCAACTGCTGCTGAAAGCTTCTCTTAAAACTTGGAGAAGCTGAGATCTGCTTAATTGAATGCCAATACTTTCAGCAATATCTAAAAATTCAATTGAGTATCACAGGAAAATAAAAATGAAAAAAGCCCAATCAAGTGAGTTCAGATATTGACTAACTCATTATGGATTCTTTTGGTTGTGCTGAAGTTGATGCGATATCCTGAGTGAATGAATTCGTTGTCCTTCAAAAATGTGTGGGTATCGTCCAACACCAGAATAGTGTGAGTCTCAGAAATTTGCAAATCCTACTCAGAAATATTCATATTAAATTTTTATAATAATAATTTAATTAGCACTTTTTAAAACTAATGTAGGATTAAAAAAGTTTTATTAAAGGCTTAAAATATATGGAGGATCGATGACCGATATTTTGCTTATCTTTGTCCAAATAGAATTCAATATGAAGTTTTTATGAAATTAAACTCAACAAAAATCTAGAGATTAAAATCTATATAAGAAGTGATTTTTAGATTAGGGCCAAACTCGTCTCTGAATTTCCACATTTTAACTGTTTTGTCTGAGCTTGCTGAGCTGAAATAGACCCCAGAATGCGAAAGAGAAAGACATGTCACTCCTCTTTGGTGGTTGCCAAATATTTCAGCTTCTTTTTGGCTGTCAATGTCTCATATTCTTATGTTTTGATCATCACTTCCAGAAATAAGGTGCTTCCCTGAAGACAAAAATAAAATTGAGTTCACTCTTAATTTATGCCCAGCAAATGATCGAAATATTTCTTTTGTTTCAATGACCTGAATTCTTATAATCGGTCCTCAACCAACTGAAGCTAATTTTTCTTTCTGATCTTTGATTAATATTTATTATTTAATTAATAATTCAAAATTATTAAAATTTTCTTAAGTGTAGAGTAAAAACCTTCCACATGGCGAATAAATAACTTGGTAAGCCGCACAGCTTTCTTTAGCAAATGCTTCTTGCTGATATACATATTTTTTAATGTCATGAATAAATATCCTTTTATCTGAACAGCCAGAAGCAAGAAAATTACCACATGGAGAATAGCATACTGAGTTTTCGTCTGATTTGTGCGTGTAATATGTATTAATTGCAGAATAGCAATTTTCTTTAGTTCAAATCATTATTGTTTTGTCAGTGCTTCCTGCTGCTTGATTGATAGAATTTGGACTAAAGCAAATCGACTTAATTGTTTTTCAATGCTCATTGCAGCTGCTAAAGAAACTAGTATCACTAATATTTCAGATATTAACGATACTCTCTCCCCTTGAGCCTACATTGAACAACGAGATCTATCAATTCAATCTCTGAAACTTGAATTTGTCATGACGAGTCTATCACATTTAATGAACGCTATAAATATGCTATATGTTTTGTGATTAGCAATACTAACTAGCTTAAAATTATCCATATTCCAAAATTTTATTGCTTTATCTTTCCCACAAGTCTCAAAAATTTCATCATTATGAGAAATGGCTACTGAAGAAATCCCATTTTTATGTCCTTCAAATTGTCCATTCTTAGCCCAGCTATAATGCTTTGGCATTATTTTGTAAGCGCCTCAACGCTTCGGGATATTTCCCACATATGGAATCCAAATACCACATGTGGAGTTTTCACACTTGAGTGGCTCCACATGTGGGAAATATCCCGACGTGTTGAGGTGCTCACACAATAATGCCAAAGCATTATATCAAAGTCCCACACTTTTATTTTGCAATCACTACTTCCTGAAATCACTAAATTCTTATTTAGGTGAAAACAAACTGAGTTTACAGCCTTATCATGATAAAATTTCCTGACATTTCTATTTGATTCTAAGTCTCAAATAATTATTTTATTATTATTTCTAGCTGATATCAAATATTTCCCATAAGGAGGAAACGTTACAGAATTGAAATCGCTTTTGTGCCCTTCAAAAAATTTGGGCATCTTTCATAGTCTTTATTTCTCATAAAACAACTTTCAATCATTAACAAAAGCGAAATATTTCCCATAAGGACTGAAGCAAACACTTTTAATATTTTTTGTCACGTTGCATCTGCCTATTTCTGCCTCATTTTCAATATCCCAAGTTCTTATTGACTCAATAAAACTATCTAAGGCAAGAAATCGTCCGCATGGAGAAAGTGATAGAGATCGGATCTCATACCTATGACCTTTTAATATTTTGGTGGTTGGTCGTTCTCAAAATCCCATCATTTGATAACTCATTTTGAGATGCTTGAAATTGCATATTTATCTTATAAAGAAAATATTGCACAATAGACATTGGATTGGTGCCCAGTAAATTGATGAATTTCTTTGAATTTTCCCAATCCTAAACTTTGACTGTCTGATTATATGAGCCTGAAACTGATAATTTCCTATTATGAGAGAGACATACATTAAAATGGCGACACGTGTCAACCTGCCCTCTTTGTGCAACAGTCCAGACCTTATGGCTATGGCGAACTGGTTGGAATCCAAGCGAGAATCAAGTACAGGCTTATGAGGTATGCATCCGGGTAGGTTTTGGCTGCTTTCCTGTGGTTGGAAATGGAGGTGCTCAACAACGCCCTTTTGGATCTGAGGACCATGGGCATTCCTCTACTAAGAAACTGGGGATTTGCCCACGCCACAGGGGAGTAGTCTTTTTCCTGCATCTGTCGAAGGAAGGCATTTTGGCACCCAACAGACTCCAAGAGTTGATACATGGAATCAAGCTACTCCAATCCTCGTAGCAGGGCCTTAGAAATCCATAAGCCGCCCGCTCAAGACTGAAGCCTCAAGGCAAGGAGGAGGCAGAAGGCGCTGGAAGTGGCACAGAACCTCTGGTCTGGAGTCGAAAAGTGTAGAACCTCCCATACGGGAGGTCTTTGGTGACTGCATCACCAATATGGTTAATGCCTGATTTTTAATAAATCCTAAATCTAATCCTATTATGAGAGAAAGAAACCGATGATATTGAATTTGTATGGCCGTTAAGACTTATAAGAATTTCTTGAATATTTAAATTTCATATTAATATTAATGGTTTTGAACCTCCAGATACTATAAAGTTCCCATATTTTGAAATAATGGCTGTGCTAATGTAGTCTTCATGAGGAAATCTGCCCTAAAATTAACATTTTGCATCATAGCACTTTTGAAATTCAGATTTGTATTACTGGAATGAGAAAAATTCGCGTTATTTAAATCATAGTTTTCAAAATCAATCCTAGTAAATAATGTTTCCGAGAAATTTGCGTACGGCACTGATATTACTTACTATCCTTATTAGAAATATTAATTTAAATATTAGAATTTAATTAGAATAATAAAAACTATTAATAGGAGTTAAGCCCTTATAATTAAACCTTAATCTGATGCATTTAAAATTGTTGCTGCATTGCTTGCTGCTGTAAAAATACTTTGAATTTCTTTTAGCATGAGTAAAATATTGAATCATTGAACCTTAAATTATTTGTTAGTAATTCTTTCAATTGTACACAAATTTGTTTTCTATTATTAAATTTAATGATGCTAAAAGAGCTTTTTTTAGAATTTCTATATTGTTTCATTTTGGAATATCTATACATATGTTTTTTGCCACTTTCAACTCAATCTGATTTGCATTTACTGGCTTACAATTCATATTCAAAGTCAATAATTTACAGCTTTTTAATCCTTCCCGAATTTTTCATTAAAACTTTGATATTTAATTAAAATATCTGATAAATGAGGAGCTGTTTTATTTCTTTTCTCAATTTTCGAATGTAAGCATTCAATAACTTTATATATTTAAAGATGTGAATATCAATGAAGCAATTTCTTTACCAAACTTAGTTTAATATTTGGTAAATCTTTCCATTTCTGATTGTATTAGATAATGCTGAAATATTTTTTGATAATTTGAAGTTAATTTCATATGGGCTTCTTGAACATAGATTGAAATGCTGATTATTATGAAGTTTGCAAAGTAAAACTCCGGGTTCGGCGTAAGCACAAAGATACTTTGGGAATTCTGAGGAGTTTATAGTTCCACAATGCAGCATATTTATAATAAAGCTCTTATTTATGTGAAACTGACAAATAATTATATTTTATTATTCCCACCACAAACATAGAAAAATAAATCTATAGATTTAAAATTTTAAAAAATTTTTAATAGGGATTTATTCCCGAGAAAAGCTAAAAAATGGCTGCGGAATTTATCCGATAGGTAAATTCAGCTCAAACCGCAACAATTCTTCAGCTGGGCTTGAGCTTGATTTCTATGAAAGAAAAATTATGATTAATTTCGCAGCAAACTTATAAAGAACACTACAGAAGAATAATTTTATTGTCAAGTATGGAGATAATAAGATATATAATGCCTCTTCTAGTACCTTAGAGTCAGAAGGCAATTTGCATTATCATATTCTTAGTGATTATATTTTATCTCTTGTACGCAATTATGACTCGATTTTTTGTGTATTTGATGATATAAAAATTTCCAAACAAATAAAGACTTATAGATAACTTTGTTTTAGAATTTTTTTATCCTATACTTAATCGAAGAATGACAATAGATTCGATCAAGGATGGAGTGATGAGCTAGCAAATAAAAATCTCACTGAAAATCCACTATCATTATAATATAATTTGCTAAAAGCTTTTATAATTCTATGAGTATCCCAATATGTGCTTAAGCATAGAGAGGCTCTAGGTCTCACATAGAAATATGGTCATACAAACCCATCCTTATTTCAGCATTAATAAAGTTGAAAAAAGAGCCCAAGAGTGCACAGTCAAACAGTCAAATGAAAGTAGCAATTTAAATGCCAATAAACTCTATTTAAAAATTAATCAATAAATTTATTACCGCAATAAAAATCTAAACTATTGTTTACAAAAAGTGATTGAAAAGCTGAGGATCTTATATAAATGAGCATAAAATTGATCAATATTAAGATAAACACAGAAGAAGCGAGATAAATCTTAGAGCTATAAATAATTTATAATTTTGGTGGAAATTTTTGAGTCCAATTAAGCATTGCCATCAATTAATTTTTCTTTGGAATATATTTTTATTATCTAAGTAATTAACTAAATTAGGCTGAATTTCAGATCGATAAAAATAGGCAAATCACATTCTCTTAAATCAGTATGAATTGTGTATTTTATCATGCTTTCCATTGCCAAGCTGCAATTTTCTGTAGAATAGTTAGTCCCATCAGAGAGTTTAATGCTGAAATTTTTCTTTTCCAAAATTTTACCTAAATTTGATGCAAAACTGATAATTATGTCGCCGTTATCGAAATCCAAACTATAGCCAACTTTCGACGTATCACATGTATTTTTAGTTTGATTTCCACATAAATAAGTATCAGTATTTGGGTTATAGCTATTATAATCAACGCTGCAATCTAAATATTAATTACAGGCACAAGTTATGGATTCTCCAATAGTATGCAAATAATGTTGGCCCTTGCATTTAGTGCAAATATCTTTGTTCTCTGAACACTCAATGCAGTTTGTATCTGTGCACTTTTCACATACGCTTGATGCGATACGATACCCATCAGCGCATTTTTCACAAGTATAGATATTACTGCATGCATCGCAGTTATCAACTCCAATTGTGCAATCCTTGACGCATTTGCCCCCACTAATTATATGGTAACCAGAGCGGCAACTCATGCAAGCATCTTTGTCTCCATCACAGATCAAGCAGTTAGTGGAATCTGCGCATTGGATGCATGCCCCTGACACTATACCATAATGATCTTTGCACAGAGCGCATTTAGATATATCCCCATCACAATTTAAACAATTATCCACGTCTGCGCAGGCAACGCAGGCACCTGATATTAAAGCATATCCATTTGCACATGATGCGCAACCGTTTGAGCCATCTGATGAGCAGATCTTACAATTGTTCTGATCTTCTGTGCATTTTACTATGCAAATGTTTCCAAATACTACATAATCTGCTGATAAGCAAGACCCACAAGTAGTGCTATCTGAACAAGCTGTACACTCATTTAAGCCTTCTGTGCATTTAGGTAAGCAAGTGTTTGGAGATGTTGAAGATACTGCATCGCTTGCTGAAGTGCAAAACCCGCAAGTAGTGCTATCTGTGCAAGTCTCACAGCCGTTTGAGCCATCTGTTCATTGCCCTCTAAAAAATTATGAAATAAAATATAAAAATTATGCCTAAAATATTCAAACGCTAATTCTTTCTGTGCATCTAGGTAAGCAAATGTTTGGAGATGCTGTAGATACTTCGTCGGTTCATGAAAGGCAAGACACACAAATAGTGCTATCTGAGCAATATGCACAGCCGTTTGATCCATTTGTGCATTGTCCTTCTAAAAATATATGAAATGAAATATAAAATTATGCCTAAAATATCCAAACGCTAATTCTTTCTGTGCATCTAGGTAAGCAAGTGTTTGGAAATGCTGTAGATACTTCGTCGGTTCATGAAAGGCAAGACACACAAATAGTGCTATCTGAGCAATATGCACAGCCGTTTGATCCATTTGTGCATTTAGGTGAGCAAGAATTTGGAGATGTTGAAGATACTGCGTCGCTTGTTGAAGTGCAAAACCCGCAAGTAGTGCTATCTGTGCAAGTCTCACAGCCGTTTGAGCCATCTGTGCATTTTGGAGAGCAAGTGTTTGGAGAAGTTGAAGATACTGCGTCGCTTTCTGAAGTGCAAGACGCGCAAGTAGTGTCATCTGTGCAAGTTGCGCACCCGTTTGAGCCAACTGTGCATTGCCCTCTAAAAAATTACGAGTTAAAATATAAAATTGTTCCTCATTAACGCAAAAGCTAATTCATTCTGTACATTTTGCGGAGCAAGTGTTTGGAGAAGTTGAAGATACTGCGTCGCTTTCTGAAGTGCAAGACCCGCAAGTAGTGTCATCTGTGCAAGTTGCGCACCCGTTTGAGCCAACTGTGCATTGCCCTCTAAAAAATTACGAGTTAAAATATAAAATTATTCCTCATTAACGCAAAAGCTGATTCATTCTGTACATTTTGCGGAGCAAGTGTTTGGAGAAGTTGAAGATACTGCGTCGCTTTCTGAAGTGCAAGACGCGCAAGTAGTGTCATCTGTGCAAGTTGCGCACCCGTTTGAGCCAACTGTGCATTGCCCTCTAAAAAATTACGAGTTAAAATATAAAATTATTCCTCAATAAACGCAAAAGCTAATTCATTCTGTACATTTTGCGGAGCAAGTGTTTGGAGAAGTTGAAGATACTGCGTCGCTTTCTGAAGTGCAAGACCCGCAAGTAGTGTCATTTGTGCAAGTTGCGCACCCGTTTGAGCCAGCTGTGCATTGCCCTCTAAAAAATTGCGAGTTAAAATATAAAAATTATTCCTCAATAACGCAAAAGCTAATTCATTCTGTACATTTTGCGGAGCAAGTGTTTGGAGAAGTTGAAGATACTGCGTCGCTTTCTGAAGTGCAAGACCCGCAAGTAGTGTCATCTGGGCAAGTTGCGCAGCCGTTTGAGCCAACTGTGCATTTAGGTAAGCAAGCAATTGGATATGCTGAAGATACTGCGTCGCTTTCTGAAGTGCAAGACGCGCAAGTAGTGTCATCTGTGCAAGTTGCGCAGCCGTTTGAGCCAGCTGTGCATTGCCCTCTAAAAATTTTATGAATTACAATATAAAATTAATCCTAAACAACAAAAATGCCAATTTTTTCTGTGCATTTTTTAGTTGAGCAAGTGTTTGGAGAAGTTGAAGATACTTCGTCGTATTTTGAAGTGCAAGACCCGCAAGTAGTAGTATCTGAGCAAGTTGCGCAGCCGTTTGAGCCAGCTGTACATTTTGCGGAGCAAGTGTTTGGAGAAGTTGAAGATACTGCGTCGCTTTCTGAAGTGCAAGACCCGCAAGTAGTGTCATCTGTGCAAGTTGCGCACCCGTTTGAGCCAGCTGTGCATTTAGGCGAGCAAACTACTGGTGATGACGATGTTAATGCGTAATCAGTTGAGTCGCATTGGGTGCAGTCATCACCTGAACATGTCTGACAATGATTTTGCCCGTCTGTACACGCTAAACGCCTTTCTAGCTTCTTTACAGTATTTCTTTCATCTTCATTATGGGTAGAGCTATTGCTAACTTTTTCGGATTGTATGTCATTCCTTCATTCTCTTTTATCTTTATGGTGAATAATGCTTTTGTCTTTTATAAACTTTCCATCATTTCTGGATTCTGCTTCCAATGGGCTTGCTTTATTTGATTTTAGTGGAATATCTTTCTGAGGCTCATCATCTTTTTGATTTTCATAAACTGTTGGTTTGCTAGTACCTGTGCTGAAGAGCAATTAGCGCATTGATTAGTGCAAGCTTTACAAGTTGTGGAATCTAAATAGCAGCCATCGATACATCCCTTACAAACTGTAGCTGAATTGCATGAAGAGCATGGTTTATGCATGCAATGCAAGTGTCTTGGTCATTTAAGTAAAATCCAGCACAGCAGGCACATAGAAGAGTTGTAGTATCAAAAGGAGTATTGATATCAGTACATGTACAGGTGCCTGCAGCCGAGCTGAAAGCCATATGGGTTGAATCATCGCAGGCAGTACAAGAAGTAGCTGAATTTGAGCATCAAGAGCATGGAGTGGTGCATGCAATGCAAGTATTTTGGCTATTTGAAAAAATCCTGCATTGCAGGTGCATAGAAGGGTAGCAGCATCAAAAGAAGCCTTGAAATCAGAGCACGTGCACGTTCCTGCAGCTGAGTCAAAGGTCATATGAGTTGAATCTTCACAAGCAGTACAAAAAGTAGCTGAATTTGATCATGAAGAGCACAGGCATGCACATGCAGTGCAAGCGACTTTGTCATTTAAGTAAAATCCTGTGCTGCAGGTACATTTAAGAGACGCTTCATCAAAAGAAGCATGGATATCTGCACATGTGCACGTTTCTGCAGCTGAATTAAGAGCCATATGGCTTGCATCTTCACAGGCAGTGCAAAAGGTAGCTGAATTCTATGAAGAGCATGGCGCTGTGCATGCAGTACAAGTGTCTTGGTCATTTAAGTAAAATCCTGTATTGCAAGCACATTTAAGAGTAATATAGTCAACCTAGTTGACTATAGTATATCTAAGGAAAGCTTATAGCCTAACCATGCAATTTTATTGAGCTGATAGTCAAGAGATTGAACTTTTGGCTGTATAATGACCCAGAGAAGGTTATATATTTTGTTAAGGTATATCAAAAGAAGACTTGGTATCAGCGCATGTGCATCTTCCTTCTGCAGAATCATACGTCATATGGCTTGAACCTTGACATGCAGTACAAAAAGTAGCTGAATCACATGAAGAGCATGGACTATGCATGCAGTACAAGCGCCTTGGTCATTTAAGTAAAATCCTGTATTACAGGCACATTTAAAAGATGTGGTATCAAAAGAAGCATTGGCATCAGTACAAGTGCATGTTTTTGTGCTTGCATCATGAGTCATATGAGCAGAATCGTCGCATTTATTACAAGTTGTACCAGTTGTGGAATATTTTGAGCATGATGTTGTGCATGTAGTGCAAGTGCCTTGGCCATTTGAATAGAATCCTGCCTTGCAGGCACACCGAAAAATATCAGTACTGAAATTAGCATTGATATAGCAAAGGTTAAGTTAATAATAAATTTGGCAAGCTCAGATAACCCCTAAGGCTGTTAGTCCCCCATAGCTGAGGGCGATAGAAGGCTTAGGGCTTAACTGTGTAGCACTCCAGAAGAAGGAAAATTTAGGCAGGAGATATTTTTCAAGCCAGGAACAGCGTATGAAATATATTCTAGATTATGAGGACTGAAAAGCATAGGAAGGTCTGCCAATTTTTTGTGACAAGTTCGGCTCAAGCCTATTAAAAGGTCACGTATAATACCATTAAAATTTATCTAATGAAATGAAATCAGCATTGGGTCTTTGCATTTGCAAGAATTTGTGCCAAAATCCATATGATCAGAATGGACACATTCGTCACAATTTGTAGCTGCTGCGGAGCATTTAGAGCAGGAGGTTGACAATCAGCACAATCACCTATGTCTGGTACTTTCCAGGGTCACACGCTGATGGATCCAAGCGTCTTTCTGCTTCACTGATATTAGTTTTATAAGATGCTGCTTGGTTAAAATTTGGGGCTATTTCAAAGTTTTTTTCCATTGAATTTCTCCTATTTTTTTATTTTGTTCATCCCTGCTATTAATGATGCCATTTTTTTGGGTATATCTATCAGCACCTTTACTTTATATTTTTGCAGAATTTTCCCCGTTGTTATAATTAGTATCACCTTCAATCAGATTCTGGGTAGCTTTGGAAGTAATCTCAGCGCGCCAATATCGCCTAATTTCATCTCATTTTTATTAACTTCGCCACCTCTTTGGACCATGGATCTCAAGGTATTTTCGTATAGGTCAAATTTGGGGTCTTTTATCATGATGTTTGGCTCATGCCCGTCACTATAAATAAGCTGAAAGGCAATAAGAGGTATAAACTTGAAAAAGTTGGCCATTTTATTACCCATTCAAAATTTGGTTTAAAAATGCATAAATTGCAGATAATTAGAATTATTAGGACCATAATCATTACACTCAACCAAAATTTAAAATTAGTTTAGATTGTAAGTGAATTTTAAGGCCTTCACAATTTGCAGCTTAATAAGGTTTTTTTGATATTTAATGTAGATTTTTGGATCTTTATGAGCAGAGGATATTACTTAGCTTGATTTTTCGGTAATAATACTTTGGGGAGCTACAGAGCGGGCTATCTAATTGTTGCTCATAAGATTTTATATGGGCATTATCTTAATATTATGAATTAATTTATTCAAGTGATTGCATATTAATTATCTAATTTTTAGTTTTATGGTTTATTTGAATCAGAAAGCATAAGTTCGAAAGAATTTAAAAAGCTTTCATAATTTGGCCATCAGTTGCAAAATTTTTCTGCTTTATAGGAGATGATTCCTATTAAAATTATTCTTACTCAAAAACTTTCGGCTTAGTTTCTTCAGATGGATAGATCTAGAATGGCCCAAAATGTATTGAATCATGTAAAATGCTAACTCCCCCCCCCTCCGTGAGTGAGCAAAACCATTAGAAAAATCCTTATTTTTTGCCCCAAAAAGCCACCCTACTTGAGTGAACAAAAATTTTTTTTAATAAAAAAATTTTGATATATAAATGATAATTAGTATAATGAAATCTAGAGCTAATTCTGTTTAATTTTAAACAAATTGCTTTTTAAAACATAAATTTTATAAATTAAATTAATATTTGCTTTCCAATTTTTGCGAATTAGGATTTTTTTAAATTTCGAAAAAAAATATTTTTATAAAATTTATATATAAAATTTTTTTTAAAAAAAATAAAATTAACCCCCCTCCGTGAGTGAACAAAATTTTTTTGTTCACTCACGGAGGGGGGGGAAAGTAAATTATTGCCAAATACGTTACTAAAAGCTAAATATTGAGCTTAAAACTAATTATAGATCAAAAGAAGAATTCTTAAAAAATTGTTGAAAACAATTGAAGAGTCTAAAGTTTTGAATTTTGCGAAATTTTACTAAAAATAAGTCTAAGATTTATAATCTATATTTTTTTATGAAAGCTCACTGATTTCTTATGCTGATTAGAAATTTTGTGCTGATTATACTCTTCTATCTCCCCTAATCGATTGACATTGTGGTGAAAACATTTTGAAAATATAAATTTTCAATACAATTTTATGCGCTATTACCTCTTCTGTAAATGTGCGTTTTAGAGATATTTTTTAAAAATTGTCGGGAAGTCTTTTTTAATTTTCGCTATAGCCTTCCTTTTGGCTTAGGCGATAAATATAAAATCTTTTTTTTTGAAAAATATAAACTTGTTCTTTACTCCAACCCCCCCCGTGAGTGAACAAAACTCCTCCTATTGGAAAAATCCACCCCGTGAGCGAACACAAGTTTTTTTAATATAAAATCTTTATGAAAAAATATTTGAAATATAAATTATAATTATAATGAAATCTCTTGCTAGCTCTATTTAATTTTAAACAGCTTGCATTTAAAACATAAATTTTGAAATTAAATTAATGTTTGCTTTAAAATTATATCTAATCGGGATATTTTAAAATTTGAACAAATAAAAAAAATTCGTGAACGAACAAAAATTTTTTTGTTTTTTTGGAGGGCCCTTGGAATTTTGTATCATTGTCCCTCATTTTTAAGACTAGCAAGGCTATTCAAGTTTGTAGAAGTTGTCATCTTTGAGCTATTGCTAGAAGGTTTATTGTATTTCGGCTTTGAAGACACCGACTCAGGAAGCAAAAAGTCAACTCAGACATTGTTTGACGACTATGAAGGAAAATATTATGGCTGTATGATCTTGGCCTTGAGCATTGCGGTCCCAGTTGAGATCTTCATGATAGTTGCCTTTAGCATTGATAGAGCTAAAATTTCAAAGTGGTCAGCATCCGCAACTGCTCTGGGTATTGCTATACTCATCTGTGAGTAATAAAATGGCTACATTTTTTTTTTTCAAAAAGGATGAGGGTGCTCTAAATATTTCATAAACTAAAAAATAAATCAATAGAAAATAAAACACATATTTTTATATGTCTTAACTAATATTTATGAAAATTAAATAGCTTTGCATTTATTAAAAATCGTTTAGCTAAGTCTTGAGAGGAAGAGGGGCATAAATCGCTTAAATTCCCTACTCATTGGATCAATTATAGGCATAGCCATGCTGAGTATTGACTTCTGTCATAAATGGAGCGGGTACTGGGCAGTTATTTCCTTTGGGGAATTGTAAGTGAAGTCTTTATTTTTGAAACCATTTTCATGATTATTAGATACTTCCTCATAAAGTCTTATTCAAGAGTTATTACAGTGAAGCCTAAAACTTAAATACCTTTTATTCTTTGGTTAGATTTGAGCAATATTCATAAAATGGCGATATACGTAAGGTGCTGATGTCCCGATCGATGCTGCTCACTTTGCATTATATGATTATGTGACTTGATTTTATATCCCGACAAAGACTAGTAAGCAACTTTGAAGAGAGGTGCCTACCCTCTGGCCAAAGCAATAGAATCGAGAGGCTTATGGCTTCTCTTCCCAGTGAAGGTGTATTTAACCGCTAAACGGCGCCAAGAAAGACAGAAGTCGCTCACTCTTGAACCTTCCAAATTGGTAGCACCATTTCCTAGCGTGCCTTGCCGAATCGAAACAGATCAGCATAGAAGTTTGTGAGCTGGCACATGCAAAAATGACGAAAGCTTTGGTGTGGCCATCCCTTAATAGTATCAAGCGGTTTAGATATGAACCACTTAAAATACTATCGTTAATTTTATAAAAATAATTAAAACATCGAAAAAATTTTAAAATATTCTAATCAAGTATAGAGCGGTACACTTTTTGCATGCCCTCACGTTGAGCCTTTCTTGGTAACCTTGAGAATTGCAAGTAATCAAGAGGTGAGAGTCTGCTCCAAGTCGAACGAGTCCTAGGGACCTTTTTAATCTCTTGATAAGTAAAAAAAACATTTTTAAACATGGAGGACATTGGACAGGTTTTCCTCAACTTCTTTACTGAATCGAGAATATGAAGAGAAGACTTTAGCAGTATCTCGGAAATTTATTCAATATCAGCCCATCAATAGGCATTTGATGTTGTTCATGCTTAGCGAGGAATTCAAAGGAAAAGGCTTGTAACAGTGGTCAACAAAAATAAACTTCTCAAAATATATAAAGGGGTCGGACCAGATAAAGAAGAAGGACCTCTAGCTAATCTTTTGCACAGAAATGTGCAGCAAATTTCCTCCAGGATCGATACTAAGATCCTATACGCCCCCTAAGGCGATGCAGTAGTAGTCTTCTGGGAGGAGACAAGTTATCGAGAGTTCTCAGAATCAACCTGCTCTCCGTTAGGTATAAAAGAAAAGGAATCGCTGTGTCAGTTGGTCTTCCTGCTGGAATGGGAGACAACTATAAAAGATATCGAATAAACTGTACTTTGTCCCCAGATATGGCAATCGAAGAGGCAATTAATTCTTTGCAATTGAAGTGCAAATAAAAGAAGCTTGTGTGCAGGACAGGCAATGCATGAAGGAAAGATTCAAACCTTTAATTTCATCTCAGAATCAAAATAATAATTCTATGTTGAGCTTGCAGATCTTGAAGAAGCGTTAAATTTATTGGATTATCTTGTAATAGGGCAGATGAATATGAATTGCCATGTCGGAACTATGATAGTCTCGATAGAATCATAAAACTGAGAGAGTGGAAGAATCAGATAAAGGTCTTGAAGAAGCCCAGGAGAAATAACTTAAATACATCCAAACACTTAGGGTCTCAGTTTAATAATAAATTGGACAAAAATGGGAAGCCTAGGCTCGCTACAGCATTTTGAGTAATGAAGGAAGGTGAAGATCGGCAAAAAGATGAAACCAAAGACTTAACTCCCCCCTCCGTGATCGGACAAAACCATTAGAAAAATCCCTATTTTTTGCACAAAAACCTAACCTCTGTGAGCGAACAAAAATTTTTTAATAAAAAATTATTTTAATACAAAAATTTTTTATGAAAAAAATTTGATATATAAGTGATAATTAGTATAATGAAATCTCGAGTTAATTCTGTTTAATTTTAAACAAATTGCGTTTTAAAACATAAATTTTGCAAATTAAATTAATATTTGCTTTCCAATTTTGCGAAAATGGGATTTTTTTAAATTTCGAAAAAACATTTTCTATAAAATTTATATATAATTTTTTTTTAAAAAAAAAATTAACCCCCTCCGTTAGCGAACAAGATTTTTTTGTTCGCTAAGGAAGGGGGGAGTAAGCATTAATAAAACGATAGTATAGGAAGAAAAAAGTGAGGTGGTACAAGCTGAGCAGAATAAAAAAACGCCCAGAATTCATTCATGTTAGAATGATATCACAGAGAGAGATTGGGCATTTTTTTTGAAATTAGTTCACGAGAGAAATTAAAGTACGTGTGAATGAGGAATCAGAAGCAAAATTCCCATAAATGCTTATCACTATGAGATAGAGACCTATAAAGTTACTAGGAAATCTATCTACGAGATAAGTGCCAAAGATGAGCATTATGAGAACGAAAATTGGGTAAAGGTTACACAAATAAGACCGAGGAAGGGTATTATAATGCCAATGGAAACCACGGAAAAGGTTTACCTAATCCGAGAAGGATTTGTAGGTTCCTTGCTAGAAAAAATATTGGCTAAGCTATATTGGGATAATTCTAATAAAGTTTGTACAGTCTGCAATTATACAATCCTATTTGCTTCCCCTATATTTGCTAGACATTAAAGGAGGTCCAAAATTTTAAAAATTATTATAATTTTTTTCAAAAACAAATTGCTTTATAAAGATTCATATTAATATTGGGATAATACGAAAAGTATTTGTATAACATGTGACTCTATCTGTAGAATTTGTTTGAGACCACACAGCTCAGATTACTTAACCTGGAAAGATACAGTAAACATGGCAAGTTCAGGTTCTTTAGGTACTTGCACTTGTAAGGTATGCTTCCAGTTTCAATCTCCATCATGTAAGTGCTCGCTTTAATTCTACTTGTCAGCTTATTATTCTTGTATTATATTAAAAATAGAATTTTTTAATAATTTTTAATGATACTCAGTGCTCAATTCCTAACTGCTTAACATGCTCAAAAACTAATTGTGGAAGCTGTGAAACATGCTAGCCTAGATTTATTTGATGCTGAATCAAAATCTTGCAATGATATCTTTATTGCTAATATCACATTTTTGAACTATTTTTCACCATTAAATATATTTTAAAGTGCATCTATCTGCACTCTATCAAGACATAGATACCTGTAAACCTTGCACAAATCAATGCACGACCTTAACACCGCTGCAAAAGTCTTAAATCTGCTGACAATGCAAGCCAAAATATTATTGAATGCACATTCTCTCTAATACTGGGTATTACCCATCAGGCACAAATGCATTCTTTTCTGCTCAAAATGCTCTTCATCAACCAATTGTAATGCACACAAAGCTAAAACATTACTAACTCCCCCCCCTCCGTGAGCGAACAAAAAAAAAATTTTGTTCGCTCACGGAGGGGGGTTTAATTTTTTTTTTTAAAAAAAATTTATATATAAATTTTATAAAAAATATTTTTTTCGAAATTTAAAAAAATCCTAATTTGCAAAAATTGGGAAGCAAATATTAATTTAATTTGCAAAATTTATGTTTTAAAACGCAATTTGTTTAAAATTAAACAGAATTAGCTCTAGATTTCATTATACTAATTATCACTTATATATCAAAATTTTTTTTCCATTAAAATTTTTTGTATTAAAAAAAATTTTTGTTCACTCACGGAGGGTGGGTTTTTGGTCAAAAAATGGCGATTTTTCTAATGGTTTTGTTCGCTCACGGAGGGGGGGGGGGAGTAAGAAATAAAATGTGCGCCTGCAGCTTTGGTATTGCATTAAACTCGGCAAATTAATGAATAGCTATATGCAACAATCTCTGCACTTCTTGTGATGCAAATAATGGTAATAAATGATCTGCATGCGTTACTAAGGCTGAGTTAAATGGAGTTGCTTGTGCATGCAGCTAATTCAGCATATGATGCTGCGACCAAAAGCTGTTTTTGTAGCTTTGCTATATATTTTCTAATGGAAAATGCCTTATTTGCAAAAAATATCTTGCTCCTTCAGATGTGATAGGCACAGCTTGTAGCATTATATACCTCTGTGACTATGATCAACCAGAAAAATTTCTCCCATATTTGGCATATAGAGAAATATTTGACTGGGCACTTCAATTGTGCCTGTGTTTTAATAATCTCTAAATGCTAATTGGGGGATAAATTTTCTTAAAGAAGAATATAACTTTAAGGTTTCAGCAGATATTCCAGTTAATCCTCTTTGCTCTTGGACTCTGTCTTATGAATTTCCTACGATTTAGCAGGTAGCTTAGGCTTTTCTAAGTGCAGATTAAATGCAAACTTATATCTTATGAATTTCTTTGTGCCTCTTAGCAGGATTCAAAGGCATAGGATGGAAGTAAAATTTAAAAAGGCTGGTCTCAATTCCTAATTTAGGACAAGATAATCAAAAATCGTTATATATAATTTTTATTACAAATTTATCAATTAAGGATACTTGAAGACCATTTAGTTCTCGGACTCATCTACTATAGATCTTCCTTCACTAAAGTCACTCGACTCTTTACCTTATCATTTTGAGTTACTGCTTGAAGGATTGCTGTTCTTTGGGTCTGAAAATATTAGTGCAGGAACAGAAATAGACACTGAGACCTTGTCTGATGGTTATGAGGCTATATAGTTTGGATGCATGATTGCCGCTTTGGCAATTGCAATGCCTATTGAAATCTTTATTGATGTTGCCTTTAGCATCTACAGGAATAAGCTCCAAAATGCTCAGCAGCTGCAGTATCTATAGGAGTTTTTATTATTGGCTCCATTATTGGAATTTTGATGCTTAGATAAGTGGATATTGGGCTGCAAGCTTCCTTGGGGGATTTTCATTGAGGTTTTCGTCATGGAAAACTTTCTATGATTGCAAGATACTTCATCTTAAATGTTTTTCCTCCAGTTGAAGAGAGAAAATCTAAAGCTTAAGTTACTTTTTCTATCATAAATTTGGGCTTATTATATTTTATAAGTGATAGATGCTTATTTCAATATCAACGTTTTGAAGTATTAGAGCATATAAACTAAAATGATAATTAAATAAATATCAATAGCTATTTTGAGATTTTAAGGTCTTTTCCAAAATTGTTTGGTGTTTAGATAAGGTGAAAATATATTTTGATATACATTTAAATAGCTATATCTATAATTTATTCAGCTTAAATAATATAGAATGCGAATATGTTTTATAAATAATAGGAAATGGAGATGAAGCAGTATTTCAACTCAGAATGCAAGGATTAATCAAATATGCATGCAAGTGCACTTTCCCTTACAATTATTCATGACAAAGATGTGTATCAATATAAATTTTTTAAAAACAAAAATATTTTGCTTACCTCTGAAGAGAGGCTAATTTTTATTAAATCATAATTGTTTTACCTCACTTAATGGATCTGAGTTCTAAAGAAGGAAAAGATTGATATCTTGTCCTGGAAATCATGCATTTGGTGTGGAGAATAATGGAAGAAGCGTAGATTTGATAAGGAGAAACTTGGAACGACTGGAATTTAGAGAAAACATTGATTATGAAGTGGGCATACAGAATAAATACAATGCATGATGCTTATGCCTGAAAAGATTGCAATCCAATTACTGAAATTTTTACATTTAAGCTTTTTATTTAAATTTTGAAGATTTTTAATTTGATGGTTTTGCTTTCTAATGGAGGTAATTATCTCTATATTTTGTATTATCAAGACTAGGTTCCATGGTTAAGCATATAGCATGCTCTCAAAGCAAATAAATACAAAAATCTAGACTTTTAGCAAATGCCCTCTTAATGGCTTCTCTCTACAGATTTAAATGCTTATTCAAAATGTATTAGCAGGCCAAAAGCCAGATTTTATATCCGATATTCCAGAGACACGCTACGCAGATGCAAGAGGTGTATGAGATTTTAGACCAATTAAATATTTGAGCTAAATTTCGAGTTGATAATAAAAATGTTAAAGTTTTTGTCTCTTCTTCTGCTTCTATTAATTCATGCTGATGGAAAAAGTACTTCAGATTCATCCAAAGACTTAATAAACTCAAACCTTGACTCTAGCTCAATCGACGAAGGCCGTAAAAGTATCTATCATCCAGCCCAAGAAAGCACTGCTCGTCAAAAGGATAACAATGCTGGAGCGATTGAAACCATAAGAGGAGAAACTTCTTCTGATTTATAATTTAAGATCGCTTATAGATTCTTTAATTACGAACCAAGCCATTATATTATTACGCAACTCTTTAACAAATTATTTAACTTGCAAAAATAATGCACAAAAGGGTCAAATGGAATATGCTCTTGCAATAGTGGCTTTTCTTTAAATGCAAATAATTATTGTGTAGCAACTTGCAATGATCTTTGCACTTCTTTTTCTGTTTCTAATGGGCAAAACTGCACTGCATGCGTCACAAATACAGAGCTAGCTGGGACTACTTGTGTGTGCACAACGAATTCTTCATATGATTCAGCGTCAAAAAGCTGTATCTGCAATTCTGGTACTCTATATCCTATAACAAATGTATAGCCTGCAAAAAGTATTTGGCTCCTGCTGATGTTTTATCAGCTGCATACAGCTCATCATATGCATTTGTTACAATATCATCCCAAAGTCCCAATAGATGCCAAAATAGATCCTTCCTCCAATAAGGTTTGACTTATGACACCCTTCAATTGATGGAAAGCAACCCACTGTGCTCTTGGTCAGATTCTAAGACTCTTAAAATTATTTTGGGAAGTGGATTTAGCCTTAGAAGCTCCACAATAAATCTAGATGGCACATGAATTGTTAAAAATTCACAAGATGACTGTACCAATAATTATCAGCCGCTAGCATAAATATTTCTATGCCCACAACTCCAAGCCCAGTTGCCAAGCTATCAGGGCTGGAGTCAGTCTCTCTTAGCTGCAATAATGGCCCCTTGCTTATTCTGCTGGCAAGTCAACTGGGAGTTATGGTTCTATTTTGAGATATAAATGAAACTCAACAATTCCAAGCTTAAAAACATTTTTAGGCGCACAATCAGGATCTTCTATTTCAATTAATAAATCCAGTATAAGTTCTTCATTAACAGTGACTGTTCAAGTTACAAATACCTTTGGCCTAACGGATTCTGCATCTCAGACAACTAATATTTCTCCTCAAGAGGTGCTGACTGTTTCTTTTGACTCAGGAGATACTATTTCAATGAAAGCCTCAGACTCTAGAGAGGTGAAGCTTGGGTTACAGCTGTCTGTGGAGGCTCCTCCACAAGTAAAATTTCCTGGAAATGGTCTTATAAATCAGGGCCAGCAATACTGCAGCGTCTAATCTTGTTTCTAGCTCCAATACACAAAAGTTATCAATTTCACATAATTTGCTGTCTCTAGGCGGTCCATATGTATTTATTGTACTTGCTACTCAAAATAATATTGGAACTTTAGTAAAGGGGAGTGCTAATATTTCTATTGCAGTGGCTTCGTCACCACTTTTCATTCAATTATCCACGGGCGGCGGGGATATTAATGGAAATAAGGATTTTACTGTTAACGCAATTGGATCTAAAGACCCGGATGATCCTAATTCGAGGGTTCCTCTTGGTTATAAGTGGACTTGTAGCAATCATTTAGATTGGACCGACTGCACCCTGACTTCATTCCTTTCTGGACAAAAGGATAAAAATTTGACTATTCCTATAGAAAAATGGTTAAAGGAGTGCAGTGGGATATAACTTGTACGGTCTCTAAGGATACTAGAACAGTAAGCTATACAATAACCCTCAATATTTTAAATATTCAGGCAAATATCTTAACTTAATTAAGATTATAGAAAAGCTTCCGTAGGCCCAAAGGCCACATTCATCTCCAGTATATATCTACCGCCTACTTGCCAATCCGAGCACAACCTCTCGCTGTATTGTTTATTACGGACGAGTGCTTGCTCTCTCTAACAGTAATCCAGAGTTGCTGGGTCACTATGCTGTGCGTCAACAGGGTTCAGCTTCCTGAAAATTTGAAAAATCAGATTTTCTAGTCAGGACGCAACGCCGGTATCAGCTGGAAAACGTTCCCGATTGATCAGGAAGAAACTTACTGGTGTGATACACTTACCATCCTCCTAACCATCCACCTAACCCAATCAACATAAAAAAATCTAATATTGATAATTGAAATTATTTGGAGATATCACAGCACACTCAACCCTAAGCTAATCTAGCGTGGTTTATAGAATATTTGCTTATATTCAAATGCATAATTAAAATATGGCGTCTCAGCCAGGGCATGGGCTCCCCCATGCAGCTTCGAACACGTATTTTAATTATATCCTGCAAGTTTTTGCCATTCTGGAAATGGGCAGCAATGCCAGGTATAAAATATTAACTAAAACACTTCAAAATATAATACAACTAAAAATAATACAAAATTTTTCTTAGTCTAATCTGAGTAGCTTTTGGCATTTTTTATTTATGGTCTCCCTTTAACTACACTATGTACTATGTTTATTATTTAATAAAAATTTATTATAACCAGGTGATATAATCATGAGATTTAGTGTTGGAGATATTTACAGTTGCATAGCCTGGAGTTTCATGGCTAAATTTATCTTCCTTAATTCCCCACAGTTTGACAGAGCAATCTTCAGCTCCAGATACCAAATATTTCCCACAATAAGAAAATGCGACTGACCTGACATTCTCTGAATGCCCAATAAGCTCTTTGATAATTTCTCCAGTTTCGCAATTCCAAATTCGAATGGTTTTGTCTCTGCTTGCCGATGCAATAAATTTTCCACATGGCGAAAATGCTAATCCGTCAACTCTATCTTCATGCCCAATAAGTTCCCTACAAGGTGATTCCTTTTCAACGCTTCATATAAAAATTAATCCATTAACATCGCAAGAAGCTATTTGCTTTCCATCAGGGGAAAAAGCAACACACCTTACTTCACATGCATGCCCTTTATATTCTTTCAAAATCTCTTTTGTAGAGATTTTCCACAATTTTACTGTTTTATCTCTACTCCCAGAAGCAATATAAGCTCCATCGCTTGACATAGAAATTGATGTAATCTCATCTAAGTGACCATTAAAACAGACACTTTTATAAGTTTTTAGATTTCAGTATCTTATTGTTGTGTCATTGCTTCCAGAAGCTAAAAATTGCCCACAAGAAGAGAAGACAACTCCCCTTACTGATTTTTGGTGCCCTTTTAAAACTTTGATAACTTTTTGCTTGTAAACATTTCACAACTTAATTTGTTTATCTGAGCTTGCTGAGGCAACGCAGTTCCCACATGGAGAAATTGCACATGAATTAATTCGCCTATCATGGCCTTTTAGGACTCGTATTTCTTTTTGAGTAAGCAAAGACCATAATCTTACCGTCTCATCCATGCTTGCTGAAATGATATAGTTGATATTCCTATAAGGGAATAGAACTTGTCTAACTGACTCTCGATGCCCATTAAATGTATATAAATTGGAAAAATTTTTGTAGTTGATTTCAGATCTAACCTGAAAATCATAACGAGTTATAGAGGTTTGTAGGTTTTCTATATTTTCAAGTGGCAAACTTATTGTTTTAACTCTTGAGTCAGAGATTAAGGTTTCTGCCTTAGTGATAGCTTCAGAGTAGGGAAGAAGAGTTATTTCCTGCAAATAAGTTCGCCCAATATTTGGAATGTGTTTAGTGGAATGCAGTTCTTTTATAAGAAATCTGTAGGAATTTAATTCCTTGTGAAGATTTTTTATGTCAATTTGTAATTTTTGTTCAATATCATTGATTCGCTTTGTCGCACTTTGAATTAGATTTGCTTTGATAAGCATTGATTCAGTTATTCGAAAATTAAAGTACTTTAGTAATGCTCTTTTTGTCTCGTTTGAGGCTTCTGAAAAAGAAAGAGGCTTAAATTGATGCTGGATTGAGCTTGGAAAAGAGCTGATATGTTCAGAAATATGGCTATTGCATACTAAAGTGATCTTTTCATTGCACTCACATCAAAGAATTGACTTTTCGTGGCATCCATTCTTGAAGCAAGACATTTGCAATAGATAATAAATTAAATTATTATGCTTTGAGTAATTTGCAAGCTCTAATCCTATTACAATTTTTTAGAATGTTTTGTAATTTTTCGACAATTTTTAAAGTGGCCAAGCTAATATGCAACGAATAATTTCATATTTGGGAATCTTTCTCCCAGAACAATCAGTAGAGATTAATGCTTGTCCTTAAGGCATCATAAATTTCGATGATATTATTTACGAATAAATTTATATAGCTTTAAAACCCATTTAGATCACAGAGAAATAATACCTTAAGAAGTAAGTAGCGATTTGACAAGTCATAGCTGCAATTACAAAGACATTTTTTTGACAAGCGTGGATAAAATTTGAATATAGGATCTCTTACCATGCTAGCATGAACTTGGCATAAAAATAGGATTTGCTATTTTCACTCGAGATTTTCAGATCTCACCTTACCTCTTTAAGTATTGCTCCAAAGCGATCCAAAAAAATAGATAAGCCATATAACGATTAATATTTTAAATTCATTTGGGTCTTGATCAAATCCTTCATTGACTTAGCAGCATGCGCAGATATGAAGTGAGAATTAGCTTTTTTTCTAAGTGATATCATCTTTTGAAATAGATCAATTTCAAAGTCTTATGAAGCTTGCCAGATAAAATAAATATAAGCTATACCAGCACCAGTTTTCAAGAAATGTTTTGATCGATAGAAATACTGAATGCAATTAACTACAGCTATATTCAATAACTTTAATATGAATCCATAATCAATATCTTCACATATTTAGCAATTTCATCTTGAAATAAGCACAAGTTCCTTGCTTTGCATAATAATTTGTTCAGGCCTGATTTAATTATATAAACTCTTGAAGTTTATGGTTCTATACGCCATATTAATTGGATGAAGCAGAACCCTTCTGTAAGTAGCTCAAGAAGAAAATCCAGACAAGCTCATTTCGCAGCTCCTTCACACATTCGAAGAAAACTCATGAGTTCTCACTTATCTAAAGAGCTACGCGATAAACATGGAGTAAGATCAATGCCAATCCGCAAAGGTGACGAAGTTGTCGTTGTTAGAGGTCTTAACAAGACTCACGCTGGCAAAGTCATCACTGTTTACAGAAGAAAATTCAGAGTCCACATTGAAAGACTTACAAAGGAAAAAAGCAATGGCCAAACTGTTCACATTCCAATCGACCCAAGCAATGTTTACATCACCAAGCTTAAAATTGATAGGGATAGAAAGAACCTTATTGAAAGAAAGGCTGCTCACAATAAGAGCAAAGGAAAATGGGCAAAGAAAGACATTTCCTCAGTCGATTAAGCTAAACTTCTCACTTTTCTAAATAGCAATTATAAAAGAAAGGGATAATAATAAAAAATTCTCTATGAAACAGAATTAGCTGATGATTGATGCTAATTTTCACGAATGACAAAATAATTATAAACTTATATAAATTTCTTAAATAGTTAAATAAATTTCTTGATATTTCAGGATTTAATTTATTTCCTGATAGCATATATGCATCAAGGATATAAGTTTATGGATTTTGCTTATATTTTATATTGTTAAGAACGATAATTTAAGAAAAACGCTAATATTCGTTTAATTTCAACCATATTTCATATTTAAATAGCAAGAAATGCATTAGAATAAAACAGTCCTTTATATTTAATACATATTTCTAAAATAATGATGTTTACAGAAGAAAGTGATGATGGCCGTTTATCAAATGGCTCTATTGACTTATGCCCTTTTAAACTATCTGGCCAAGTCTCTCCTATGAACAATGAAGGTTTCATAAATCTCTGCAAATCGAAGCTAAAAACCAATCCAAAAAACAGCAAACTCTGACAAAAGACAAGGAAAGAGCAGTATAGCAGCACCGAAAATAAAACTCCAAGACTTTCCCAATTTAACTCAGAAGTCATGGAAGAAATCATGCAAAACGAAATAAAAGCCAAAAAAAGACATAGAGAGCCCTTTGCTTCTGATTTTGAGTCACATTCAATTGATGCAGCTGTTAAATTAGATATCGATTCCTGCTTTATGTGATTTATTGTAGAGAGAAAAACAATTGGAAATATCATTCCTGACTATGAATTTAACAGATCAAAAGAAATTTTCCTGCAAATGCTCAGCAAGGCTGATGATTCCCATGAGCTTCATTTCGGGATTGCAAAACTTTTGGCGTATGAAAATAATTTTGAGCAGGCTTTGAGACATTTGAAAAAAGCAATTGAGATTTCTGAAGACAAAGCTTATAAAATATGATATATCGTGCTATATTTAAGAGCATTGAAAGATCCAAGCATAAATGGCGTGATCAGCTCAGTTGAGTTGGGGAATTCATGGAAATGATATAACTGATTCTGCTGCACAAACCAGAGAAAAGCTCAGTCATTCCATTTAATATATAGAGAATTATTGAGCATCCTGAATAAAGTTAATCCCAGCATAGAAAATCTTTGAGCAAATATGATAATAGCTCAGACTAAAACGCTTTTTGAGGGGCTAGAAATTGAATCTCCGATGTATTATGCGACAAAAATCAAGGAAATTGATAATTATTATGGATATCTTGCGTGGGCAGAAATTTATGCCCAAGACAGAAATTATAAAAAGAGCATTGAAATTTTAAAAGAGTTAGTTAAAATTTATGCAAATAGGCCAGAAGCTTACATGAAGCTATGGCAAATTTATTATTATACAATCAGAGATTACAATGCTTCTGAAGATATTGCTGCTGAAGCTTTTATCAGGCTTGGGGGTACTGATAATTCTCAATATCATTCATTATTATGAATTAGTTATATATATATAAAATGGTCTTGACAAGCGATCCGTCCTCCTCGTGGCAGGTCCCCTTTTGTATATCCGGACGTGGTTTTGGGGTGCAAGGAGCTGCCCAATGTCTTGTTAGCCCTAAAGCAAGAGGCCCAGCACTATTCCGCTGATAGTGGCCTGGCTTGAGCGACAGTTTTTTGTACCTTTTAGACAGCAGCACCCAAGCCCAGGTTAGGCCAGAAAAGGGGGGCTTAAGCTAACAGCAGAACGCCTCTCCTCAGCTCTTGCCTTGGAACGCATGGGCGCCTTAGGAAGTGGGGACTATAAAGACTCATCACTAATCTAATGAATTAAATTAGTTATGCAAAAAGTTTCTTTAAATTGAGGAAATACTCTAACTGTTTTGAATTGCTGCAACAAAAATATATAGAAAACTCGAGCTTTCCTATATTCTTATACCAATATGGGAGACTTTGTATTAAATCAGAAGTTTATTTTTTTACGGGCTCTGCGATTGGTGCTCTGCAAGAATGTCTTAGACTATGTGATAAAGGTAGGTATGGAAGCATTTATTATTGGCTATCCAAAGGATTATTGATGAATAGGCAATATACAGAAGCTCTTAAAGCGATGAAAAAAGCTTTATTCTTTTTGAATTCCAAAGAGAAAAAGAAAGCAGACGAAATTAAGAGAGCAGTCAGTGTTCTAGCTCCTACTATGAAAGCATATGAGCTGCTAAGAAATGAATTATCGTCAGAAGAGAAACCCAATTTAAAGCATTGCAAATCACTCTGCAACGAATTCCAAATTTATAATAAACCTGTAGCAAATGTTTATATGGCAAAAATTATGTGGCTCGCAGGACACAAACAACAAGCAATAGCTGATTTAAAGGAAATAGTTGAAAATAATGACCCTCCCTTAATTGCTTACTTTATTTTACTAGAATGCTTAAAGCAAGGCCAAGACTACGAGCAAATGAAAGAAATCGGAAAAGAAATGATAAAATTTTGTAATAACCCTCAAATTTCCACACCTGACTGAATTAAAGCTCATCTCCTATACTCCAAGATTTTAATATATAATAAGCTTCATAGCAAAGCCATTTTTGTATTAAAATGTTTAGCTAAAGTCTTTCCTCCAATGCCATATGTTGAGCTCCCATACACAAAATATCTTCAAAAAGCTACTACATATGAAGAATTAAATAGTATTCCTAATGGCAGTTTTCAAGCAGAAGAAAGAATTGACATTCACCAAAATTTTATTCCTTCGTATAAGACATGAAATAGAGAAATATCTGTAGACTTTTTAGATGATGAGGCTGCACCTAAACCGATAATGAGCCCTCCTGTATTGAAAAATAAAAGAAAAGCTATTAAAAATTTTAGTGATCAGTACGGCAGAAGGAAAACAAGCAGAAAATTTGATGGTCTGTCGATTTTAATAGAAGAAGAAAAATGGAGCGATGATGAAAATGAATATTATGAAGAAAAGGTTGAATTTAGCTCAATGCCAAAACCTGAAAATAGATTAAACTATTTTGCTGGCCATAAGAGGGTAAACACACTCGCCGTCGCCCATCTTGACTCCAAAATGTCGCAATTATAGATTTTCGACCTGAACCGCTTGTCCAAAGGATTAGCTCCTAGGGCAGAGCAACTGTCTATAGGTGCTCCCAATGGTCCCGATGAGGAAAGAATATGTGGTAGGCAAAACTTGTCTAGCTTATCCGGCAGAGACAGGAAAACCTCTGGGGAGAAACAAAACTTCCCTCTTCAGCAAGGCATCACCAAACCTGAAGGCCTACTTAAAAAACGGACAGAGACTCTATTTTCAACCTCATCAGGATGGGTCCGATCTCCTCCATAGGCACTGCGCCTCACTTCAAATTTTTTTCAACATCACTATTTTATTTTTCCATAACCTGAAAAAGAATTTGCAGGATTTTCTATATCGTCGAATCCCATATTTTTATATAAAATCGCAAAATATTCAGCCAAATATAGATCAAATATTGATGATGGGCTTTATGCTGTTGATGAGTTTATAACTTTGTTAAAATTTGAAAAAGATGAAGATAAAAAAGAGAAAATTCTCAAAAAAGCCCTTCATTGGAAGTCAATACTAAAAAATAATAAGAAGATAGCAAAGTTTGACTGACATTAATTATGCCTGATTGAGATACTATTTAAGCTAACAAGTTATAAGTTGAAATTGTGTTCATAGAGTCTAAAAAGGGACTTAGTTGGAACTATTAGTATCACGGTGCATCCTCTTACTTAAAATAACGCAACATATCAGCAGACATTCTAAAGTAATAAACAGCCACGCACGTCTCACTCAGCACCTTGCTATCGCTTGTTGCTCAGCTCCTGCACGTGCTCCGCCTAAATGTCTCCCTCCTCGGGTATGCTGAGCAAATTCATCCTAAGCCTTCCAAATACCCTTGGATAAGACAAGAAGGCTGTGTACCCGTCCCAGTTGTTTGCCTGAAGTTGCTGATAAGATTGTCTAGGAAGGTTGAGCCTGATATTAAAAACGAGTTCAAGAGAGAAATCTTTTAGCAATTTTCACATAGTCCTATTTTATTATAGCTTATTTAAGCTAACAATTTATGTAAAATGAAATAAACTTCTAACTTATATCATTGAATTCGCTTTATTCTCTGGCTTCATTTTTATTTTTAATTAAATTTGAAATTTTCACATGACTAAATCATTTTTATTCAATTAGCTATAAAAACTATCAAGCATATATGAATTTTCTTCAAATATTATATTATTAATCCAGATTTTCTATGATTAGAGAAATGTGATTAATAAATGGCCGAATCATTGGAGACTCAAATAGGAGATGCAGATGATCTTGAAGACAGACTCAGCGTAATGGAATCAGTCGTAGAACAGATGAAAGCCCAATCTATCACACGAGCACAACTTGAAGTTTTACTTAACCAATACATAATTCTTGAGGATTCTATACTGCTAGGTCTTCAATCTCTCGCAAAAACTGCTGACGACCCTTCAGTCCAACAGCAAATCACAAACTGTGCGGAGAAATTTAACGAATATGGCTCAGATTACCAAGACACATGAAGTGAGGAGTTTTGGAGCATTTACGAACTAATTCGTGAAGGATACCAAAAATCAGGGAAGAAAAAGACAGGTGCTGAAATTGCAAATCAAATTGCAGACGTCCAAGAAATCGCTTTGACGCTAAATAGAATATCTAGAGGAGGAACAGTAGAAGGGTCAGGGAAAAAAGTCCTTGAAGAAGTAGATGAGCTGTCAAAGAAATATAAATCAAGCACAATTATTGTTCAAGAAAAAGAAGAAGAGCCTAAGCAGCAGCAAAAATGTGTAAACAAGTGTGCAGTCATGTAAAGAAATTAATATAAGGAAAATGACTTTGAAATAATAAATCTACTCCTTTAAATTGGAATAATAAATCCTGTTCTAATTTAAAGGGGGTTATTAAAAAAAAAATTATATCGCCGCTTGAGCCTATTTGGGCATAAGTTTATTACTATGCTGATGGTTAATTTAGTATTTTCCCAAGTTTGGGATACAAAGCTTGCCCATCAGTATGGGTAGTAACTTGTGCTCAAAAAGACACAAGTGCAATATTAAATTTTTCTCAATAAAATTTTAAAAAAATATAAATTGAATGCAATATTTTGAATTTTAATTATTTTTATAAAGAATTAATTCTTTATTTAGTGTGAAAATTGTTTAAATAATAATGCTTGAACCTTATCTATTAAATTAGGTTAAAAATAATGTTATAAAAATTAGTATCTTTATCTATAAAATTTTTCTATAAAAAATTTTGTTCCAATTTAAAAAGTGGGTTAGCACCAAAAAATGAAAAATTTATCTATAATTTGTTTCAAAGATAAAGGGGGGAGCAAGTAATTAAAAATTTTTTACTTTATTAACCGTTAAAGTATAATAATTGAATTTTAGAGAGTTTTCCTAGTTTCTGGAAGTCATATTTTGAATTATGTTTATATCAATAGAAATTAGTTATTTGGCAATCCATCTTTAATCTCCAATGTAGGCTTCTTTTACCTATTTTTGATGCTCTCTTAAAAATAAAATGATAAATTATCATAATCATCAACAAGAAGAAGTCCTCTCTAGTCTTCATAGTCATAAAGCTAATCGCTTGTATTTGGAATGAAAGCTTCTAAAGCATACTTATTAATTATCACTGCTAGAAGTGAATCAATTTTATCATAGGATTAGATGGGTACATAAATCTATTAGTTCCTCAACTCAAAAAAACCTAAGACAGCCTCTCTCTATCTATATGGAGAGCATGCCAAGCTAGTTGAGAACTTTTCGAGGAGTTATATAAAGCTATATATGTTGAAAAAGCAATCAATTCTCTATTCATCTGCTGCAGAGACAGGCTCTGATTTTACTCTTAAAGTTTAGTACACAAATTGGAGATGATATATAAATCCATAAATCAAAGGCTTAAATTCAAAGGAATATTGATTTTACGAAGAAAGTTCAAGACTTTTTTCACTTACCCTATAATTTTAATTTTTATATATTATCCTCAATTTTTTGGATTTCGCTTATTTGCTCACTCCCCCCCCCCTCGGAGTTCGACCAAGATATATAGGGAAAATTTCCTATTTTTTTGGAAAATTAACCCCCCTCAAAGTTCGACCAAGACCTGTATAAATTTACTAGGAAAATAAGCAATTTTTTCAAAAATTTTAAACTATGTGGGGGTGAGCTTGCGATTTTTGTATTCAAGTTCTAAAAAAGCATTACAAAACCATCTTGCACTAATTTTTCTAACCCTTACACCTTCTCAACCATACAGAAGAATATGATAAATTTTTTTTTTTTTAACTACTAAATTATATAAAAAAAAATCTATATAATTTTTTTTTAAAAAAAATTTTTTTCTTAACCCCCCTCGAAGTTCGACCAAAAAAATCTTGGTCGAACTTCGAGGGGGGGGGGAGTCAATAAGTTTTTTTGCATATAATTAGCCTAAAATTATGTTCTTGCAGCTTATTATATAAGAATAAGTAAAATAATTCAAAAGCTTAAATAGAAATAGGCTCGAGTTAATTTATTAAGTTTCTAAAACTTGCAGCAAAAGACAGTTACAACGCAGTTCAATGTTTTGTTTGCTTGGTCTTTTGATTTTTCTTTCGGCCAAATAAACTGCTGTGACATATCAGTCCCGCCTTCGAAAAAGCACGCAGTACTTGTTTGTAGGCCAGCTTCAGCTTTTTGCATTATCAAGCAGGTTACTGTTTAAATCTTACCTATATATTTAAAAGGTTTTCGAGTATCGTAAAGTGATTTTATAACTCTTTCACAAATTTCGTTGATTCATCTTTGAACTTCACGTTCTTCATAAGTTCTGTTTGCCAAGACAGCTTCAACAGATTCCATGACCTTTTCCTCAATTTCTTGATGTGTGAAGGTTAGCTAATTGTAACTTACATCATCTGGGCCTTGACTTTCATCGACCATCTTTAACTATTTAGAAATGAATTTTATAGCTAAACCATGTTAAAGAGAACTAAGGTGCTGGAAGTATTGAGAAGGATTTTATAGAGAAAACCTGGATTATTTAATTTTTTATTCCTCATAAGCTGTAGTTTGTCTTTCCCTTAATGAATTCATGATAATTTACTCAGATTTCAAGATAAATATTCGATTAAAAAATAATGGCTCTTTAAACCAAAGTTTGGCCACTGTTTTTCATCTCTCTTAATCTCGCCATAGCAGCTACCGCATCTGAAACTCCAAGTAATCCGGTCAGCAATTGAGCTCTCATAAACACATTAATTTCCATTTCTTCTCCAATAAACTTTTTAAAAGATGGTAAGTTAAGTATAGGTCAGGGGAGAGTTTATCCCTACTCAGGTAAGGGGATCCCATCATTTTAAGTAAGTTTGGGGTGGATTTTTGCATGGCGAAGATTCTATGGCTATTTTTTTCCTTGCCCACACATGAGAAAATGAAGGATCAGTGCCAATTCACACTTTGGGGGAGGACATATTTACTTCATACGGTATGCTAGCCCCAGAAGGTAGCTTTAGACTGTAAGCTCATACTTGGAACACTATCAGGGCTTAGAGAATCCTTTGTTGTAAATTAATACCCTAATCAAGGTTTGGTGAGTCATCCTAGGGATAGTGACGTAAAATTTTTTGTTGACGTCAACAGAAAACGGACCTTATGTATGCATGCCAGTGCCTTAGGACAACCTTAGTCCAAAGCTTGTTAAATGCGAGTAGAGGCTGGAATAATCCTCCGCGACCCGTTACAATCTTAATCTAATCGAATCTCCAATAGTTGAAGGCACAGTTGGCTGGCCTCTTTCTCTCTGAGCAACAGCCCATTCAAGCTTGCTCTGAATAGCTTGATTTTGATGCTCAACCTTAGCGCTCCATTTCAAGTTGCTCTCTGTATATTCATGCCCGCAATACACCTTTGTATCTGTAGGCAAAGTCTTCGCTTTTTCCATTGCAGCATGCATTTCTTCAGCATTTCCTTCAAAAAATCTTCCACAGCCTCCAATAAAAATTGTATCGCCAGTGAAAACTGCTCTATTGGTGCCGTCATTTGATGAGTAATCTTCAAAATAATAGAGAATGTGGCCTCTTGTATGGCATGGGGTATGAAGAGCTGTGATTCTCAAGCCATTATCTAGAACAATTACATCTTGATCTTGGACTGAGTAATTGCAAGCTGGAATCCCATCAGAAGCTCCTCCAACAATTTTTACGTGTGGGAATTCTGCAGCAATTTGCTCGTTGTTCCCGCAGTGATCTGCATGCTTATGGGTTGTAAAAACATGAGTAAAGTTCATAGAACTCAGCTGTGGGTTACCCGATATGAATGCTTTGACTCCTGCAAGGTCAGCTGGATCCACTAATGCATAAGAATTGTGCCCCTCGACAAATACTGCATAGCTGTAGTTGTCTTCGAATAGCTTAATAGGGATAATTCTCATAATTTTTCTTATCATTTTTGATATCACATAATGCCAATAGATGATATGATTTTTTGGCGTTATTTCTGATCGGCTCCACGAACCAAAAAATGGATTTCCACGTGGAATTTCTGGATTTTCACACGTAAAATCGATCTTTACTCGAGGGACCCGATCAGAAACTTTGAGCAACTGATTATAATAATTTAGTTAGCTGATTATTAAAAATCCTTAAAAAGCGATTTCTCTTGTCCTATTCATCTGTCTATAGATATATCAGCCAAAAAAGCTACTAAAATTTAATATTTCTTGCTTTTTAATAATGTATCTATGTTTAATGATATTATGCTGTATTTTTATTAAAAATCAATCATATTAACTTCCCCAGCTTATTTTTTATTAAATGATTCTTAATATGTGATTATCTTTAAAGATTGAGAAACCAATAGTTACCTGATCATAATTTAAAAATATTATAATTAACCAATTAATGAAAGAAGATTATCAATTTCCTGCTATTGGTACAATTCCAACATCTGATACAAATTATAAATCTCTTACCACCTTAACTAGCAATAAACCTCCTTCCTCCTCAAGAAGCCAAGTCCGAATAAAGAAATACATGAAACTGTACGGTAAATCATTAACTTTGAAACCTACTACTTCTCACATAAGCCCTCCGTGAGCGAACCAAACCATGGAAAATACCTATTTTTTGGGTAAAAAACCCATCCTTCGTTCTCGTAACTCCCCCCCCCCTCCGTGAGCGAACAAAAAAATTTTGTTCGCTCACGGAGGGGGGTTAATTTTTTTTTTTAAAAAAAATTTATATATAAATTTTATAAAAAATATTTTTTTCGAAATTTAAAAAAAAATCCTAATTTGCAAAAATTGGGAAGCAAATATTAATTTAATTTGCAAAATTTATGTTTTAAAACGCAATTTGTTTAAAATTAAACAGAATTAGCTCTAGATTTCATTATACTAATTATCACTTATATATCAAAATTTTTTTCCATTAAAATTTTTTCTATTAAAAAAATTTTTTGTTCACTCACGGAGGGTGGGTTTTTGGTCAAAAAATGGCGACTTTTCTAATGGTTTTGTTCGCTCACGGAGGGGGGGGGGGGAGTAAGTAATTTTATAAAAAAATATCTTTATAAATAAGTGATAATTACTATAATGAAATCTCTAGCTAATCCTTTTAGAAATTGATAAACTTAAATTTTACAAATTAAATAAATTTATGCTTTCCAATTTTACGAATTGGTATTTTTTTAATTTTTCAAAAGATAAATTTTAAGCAAAATTTTTTTGTTTGCTCTCAAGGTGAGGAGCCAGGGAAAATCAACTGGACGATTTTGCAGCAATCTTAGCAATCAGATAGAAACAGAGCCAAAACCTACTTCATTATCTCATAACATAGGTTTTGCAAAGCCAATAAGTCATCCTTTTACTCGCTATTCTCAACTGGTAAGCGAAAAAGAGAAAACGGTGAATATAGAAAGGCTTAAGAAGAAAATTGATAAATTACTTTACGCAATACAAAAAGCTTCGAGCGATAAAATAGAACTTACGAGAGATTTAGCATCTTATGAATCTGAATTCTCAAAAGAAAAGCAATTATCTGTTGAATTAGCAAGATTAAGGGTTTCAGCAATGGATTTACCTGATATCACATACTTGACTAATGGAAATTTAAATGAAAATAAGACAGTGGAAAAAATAAATAATGGTTTATTGTTGCTTGGAAGCCCAGATTTAAATTATTCAAATGCTACTGCTAAAAATGATTCAGAAATTGACTGAGAAAAATATTCCACAAGAAAAGTTTTGAAAATAAATAAGCTAGACACAGTTTTCCAAGGAGTCGTACAAATTTCTTCAGTGAATTGTATTATAAGTATAAGAAGTGATCAATGGCTTGAAACACAAATAAAATGGCGATACCTGTCCTCTCCCGGATCTGTTTCGAGTTTGGGGACATTGCTGCTGCCTGAAGTCAAACCGAGCAGGAAACGGAGTCTATGGGCACTGGGCATTTATTTTCCGGCTGGGTTTTTCCTCCCTCGTCCGTCCGGCAATGAAGATTTTGTGTCTTCCCGATGGACATTTGGAAAAAAAAGCTTTTACCCCTAGAGACCACTAGTGCCGACGACAAAGGCATAGTTGGTACTGATATTAGCTAGGGAGTTTATCCTTAGCTGGAACTCTAGTCACTCAAGCAGCACATCAAGTCACTCCAAGGTTCCGAGACAGCATTAAGAGCAAGGCCGAAAGCCAGGTGAGAGCTATGGTGGAAATGCTGATTTGTCTAGGGAGGTTCGCTAGCAGCTGAACGAGTCTTCCACGAAGACTCGTCTCGGATGAGACGTAAAAATCATCTTCAATTAATGTTAATATTAATAATCAATGGCTTGAAGTCTTAGATTTGACTGTACAAGCATTTGAAGGTGAGCAGTTCCATTTAAATTTGAAGCTATCAATTTCAAATACTTACCAAGAGCCTGATCAAGTGAGGAGCACGGTTAGAAACAACATAGCTCCGTATCTATTTTTTATGAAGGAACAAAATTGCTTGAATTTGTTTTATGATAGTCGGCATTCTGTTTCATTTTTTAGCATTATTACAAAAATTAGGGGATATGGCCTGTGCTCAATTCAACTAACTGAAATTGAAGAAGACCATGTCCACATCCAAGTAGATTTCCATGAAGAAGCCTTAGAAGTTTTAAAAGAAGAAATCACATATGAGTCCAGTATCTTTTATGAGTCAATATCTAAGTTAACCAGGATAATAGAGCAGCATCTATGCTATATCAAAAAAAGCAAATCTCTTTACTGGCAGCAGGATTATTACCCAGGATTCATTTTTTCGATGAAAGAGGACTCTTCAAAGTTTATGGATGATGAATATTTGGCGGAGGTCATGGAAATGGTAAGCTTTGTGAAGCTTTACTCGTTTTTTGTGGTAATAAAGAAAGTGAGATTTGATATAGAAGTGATGGGATGAAAAAATTATTTTATGATTAAAATCAAGAATGAAGGAGACTTCATAGAAATTTCTAGTGACTCGAAAAATTACAGATACTTGAGAGATTTGCAGTCTTTTTATTTAGAAAAAGGGCTAAACACACTTAAAACTTCGCTAGAATTTGAAGCTTTGGTTCGAAGAGTTTTCCCAAGAGCTTTTAAGGCCATATAGCTTGTAATTAATTATAATTAAATTACTTAAAGTCTAGATGTGGCTGAATTATTCCTCTTGAATTAATTGGGCTATAGATTATTTCCTTTTGGGTTTTGCATGCTAGTATTTCATTAATAAGATTAAAATCAATCTTTTCAAAATATATCTTTATATAATTTAATATATTTTTGTCTAATTTTCATACCGTTTTGCTTCTTTATTTATGAAAATAAAATCCTTTTACAGCATGCACAGAAATAGATTCTGAATTTGATATTTGATAAAATAAATTTTTTAGAGCTTTCAGTGATAAGATCCAATAGTCTAGCTATTCATATAAAAGCACGCTAAATTGGATCTCTTTAACCTTTGTTTCATATCTATCTAAGTTTTACTATTCTAATCTAGATTTGCAAGTTATGCTATGTCTAAGTTTAGTTCATTTAATTTTTAACGTTCTTTTTTTAAAGAGCTCAATTAATAATTTAAAAATTCATAATAGTTTGCACAATAAGCAATCAAAATAATGTTTTTATTATGCTTCAATTCATAAATGTCATTTGATGAAGAAGATGGATTTGGGGATTTTGAAGAAGCAAAAGAAGAGGTTATACAAGTTCCGAAAATCGTTGAATGTGACTCACAAGGACGTCCGATAGTCCATTTAAGTATTGTAATTATTATTTAGTGCGATTCTTTATTCAGTCAATCATCTTTTATTTCTCTATGCGAAGCGCTCTGTCCTATGTGCCCTCTAGAAGAGGTTAGTGACCAAAGTATTGACATTGATTGTATATACGTCCCTCCCGAAATATCTGAAGAAGAAAAAACCTTATTAGTGAAATATCAAAAACACTTACTTTGTACTCTGAAAGAAAGAGTTTTTTGATTTCATAATAATGCTTATTTTATATAAAAGAACTATTTATTTTATGCTTTAAACTAAATTCTCTAGTTACACAGCTTTAAAAAAAATTAAAAAAACTGCTGCTTCTTGCTATTTTTTTTTATGTGAGAGTTAGAAAAGATGCAAGAGAAGCAAGAAATATGTGAATTCTTTAAACCTTTAGACAATACATATGCAGTTAAAGAAATGGCATTTATCAACAAACCAAAGATTCAGACAATTATTCACACTCCACAACTATCAAATTTGCTTACTCCCTGCTATTGAAGAGCTAAAATATTTTTATTAATTTTTTTCAAAACATAAATAATAATCTAAAGCCAATTTTTATTGCATTTTGCACAATTTTTTTCATAAGTATTAAATTTTATAATTCAATTCATTTTTATTTTTAATTTTTGAAAACGAGAAAAAAAATTTTTAATGAAAAAAATTAACAATTAAATTTTGCAAGCATTTAAAGGTTGGAATTAGTAGCCAAGGACAAAATTTTTGCCAAGAAATATGGCCCGATTTGAGCATTCGGTCGACATTTTTAAAAAATACCAGAATAAATGAGTGTCATACTCCTGAGTCTCCGAACGTTCATGAAGACATTACAATGATGACAGAGCCACAAGAGGTGGATGGTTCAATGGCATTTTTAAGAAGTAGTGTTGGCGGCTCTTTTTCTGAATACATCTCCACTCCACTTACAGCCAAAGATATTTTAGGCGAGCCTCTGCCTGATTTGACTTTTATGTTAAGTTCAACCATTAAATGGCCAGATGAATTTGTAAAGTTAAATGCACTCAGCAGGACTTAATTTTATTATAGTGCTTATATTAAGTATAGACATCATAATTTATTTCTTCAATTTTTATTATTTTTTTATTAAACCTAGAGAAGATAAAGGTTTCAGCTTATTTTCCCAGAAAATCACTTAAAGTTTAAGTTTTAATAGCTCTTCAAGCCCTGCATTTCTTGGCCTCAGCTTGGACCACAATTCTAATATGGTAGGTGGGTCGGCTTAACCGTTGACCTCTTTCTATCCCCAAGCACCTTCGAACTCTCTGATCTACACTACACTCAGTATAGATCATTCCCTTTAGTCGAGCCTTCAAGAAGTCGTGGACTTCTTTCACTTAGTTCAGATATATACTTCTACTGACATTTTTAATTGTGAAAAAATCACTTAACTAAAGTCTAAAAATGGTTTCTTTAATATTTGGGACCAGCGAAATCACACAAAGCTTCAATTTTGTGCTCGAGACAGACTTAGCGAATCCAATAAATGGACCGCCAGGTTTAGTTTCACTCAGGAGAAATGAAGAAAACATAAAAAGCTACTTCATTGGATTTACATCTCCAAAGCACAATGTTCAAAAATATCTTCAAGCTGTTCAGCTCTGTTTTCACCATTGAAGAGCCAGTTTTTGTGATCAAACTTTATTAGTTCATTGCCACAACTGAAAATCTGGCATTGGCAAGACGATGCTATCAGATATAATAAGGATTACCCAGCCTTCGAATATCATTGAATACTTTACAGAAAATCCAGAAGTAAATTCAATTTTAAAGGAAAAATCGAGCCTATTAGAAGGGGTTTACCGCATGTCTCCAACAAAGGTTACCACATTGCAAATACCAGAAAGCCAAAAAAATGATATAAAGGCAGAAAGAGGAAGAATCCTAGAAAAATACTTTGGGAAAACTGGAGTAGATTTGCCACACAACTATATTGATAAGCAGCCTTGGGTTTGCTTTGTTAGCGATGTGACCATAACAATAAATCTGAATCCAATAGAGGCAAGGTTTATTCCTGCATTAGTTCCTAAAATTTGTGGACTTTCAATTAGAGCAGACCCAATCCCAGAATGCAAAGGGCTGGGGATAATAAGGGATGTGAATACTGAGACTGGAATGCTTTATATTATCACGCCATTAGCAAATATACATGAGATTGATACTTTGGAAATCCATACAGGAGAAGGCTGTATAGAGCTGGAAAGAGATGCTTTGTGGAGCTCTCAATTTTATGATGAGTTTGAAGAAGATATTGGGTGCGTGCTTCATAATGTGATTTTGGCAGAAACACAACAGAAATATCACCCAGGAAGAAAGAACTAACACAATAATGAAATTTCATAATACTGCTATTAAGTATCGCACATAAGAGGGATAACTCGCTGGCAATCATCTTATCTTGACTCTAAAAAAAAGCCAGTCTTAATAAGCATCAGAGTTCAAATCAGGAAAAATGACAGGCTGCCATTTTTTATTTTCAATCTGAGCCTGCCCCTCTAGGACAACTGCCCTATTGAAGGTGCTCTTGTAGGCTCAATAGGAAAAGATTATGTGGTAATCAACATCTGTCTAGCTGAAGCAGGAGCAGGAAAACCTTTGATAAAAAGCAACTTCCCTCTTCAGCAGCAAAGGCCTACTGAAAAGCGACACAGACATTCGTATTCAGCGTGATTGATGAGATCAATCTGCTTCATAGGGAGTTCGCCTCGGAGTCTATCTTTCGTTAATGTCACATTTTATTTCTTAATACTGTTAGGATTAGTTATATTTAAGACTCCTTAAAATATTTTTATATTTTCATTCAATTGATAAAATGATTTATCAATTTTTTCGAATTTATTTCAAAAATTATCTGTCAAAATAAAAAATTCATATGATAATTCGAATTATTAATATTAAAAATATATATTCCAGAATATAATTCTGCTGAAATTCAAAATTTCTTGTCATCGGCAAAAAATAAGCATTTATCGAGACTCCCAAATTAAAGATATGATCATTTTTATGGCCAAGAAATCCTCTTAGTCTGCACCCTTTTAAATCGGAACAAAATATAGGTAAAATTTCCATCGTTTGAATACTTTAAATTGAAACCAAATATTTTTTTCATATAAAATTTTAAAGGTGAAAATATTTTTTTCATAAAAATTAGCTTTACCTAATTTAATAAAGGTGAAAAAATGCAATACTATTTAAACAGTTTTCAGACGAACTCAATTAATTTTTGAGTTAATTTTTCATAAAAATAAATTAAAAACTAAAAATATTGCATTCAAATCTGCATTTTTAGTTTTATAAAAATAATTTTAAAAATTTTAATCCCTTTTAAATTGGAACAGTATTTTTTGTTCTGATTTAATGGAGGAGTCATGAAAAATAATATAATTATTTTGAGAAATCCAACGTTATAAATTGTTAAAATGATAGCCTACACCTAATTTAAGGACCATCTATTTAAAAATTAATTAACTTTAATTAAACAACTATTTTTATAATGTCATCGAAAGAATCAGTAGAAGAATGGTGGAAAGAAGAGTTTTTAGAAAGCGTAAGAAACTACAGGCGCGTAATGCTGGTAATGATCTCTTTGGCCACGTCTATGAAATTGCTTATACCTCTTTGATACACTGCAGACTTTATCACACATAAATTAAGCATCATAACATCAGTGATAACTATGGTTACGGCTGTGTATTTATATAGAGTTAACCTCAAATACAATTTATTTACTGTTTGATTTTCTATACTTTCAGCTGAAGCAATGAATATTTTTCTGTTTTTAATGTCAAGACATATTGGAGAGGAAGCCAAAAACCTGCTTTTAATGGAAACGACTTTGATTACTGTTCTTTTGGAGTCTTCCTTACTCTCTTACTTAAATTGAAATCAAAAAACTGTTTACTCTCCTCTCCATGAGCGGACAAAAAAATGTTGTTCGCTCACAGAGGGGGATTAATTTTTTTTAAAAATGTAAGCTGTTTAAAATTAAACAGATTTAGTTATAATAATTATCACTTATATATCAAAATATTTTTTTTCATAAAATTTTTTGTTCTGCAAAAAATAGGGATTTTTCCTACTATTTTTGTTCGCTCACAGAGGAGTGAGTTAAATTTTGTTTTTAAAAAAATTGATAAAATTATTTAAGAAAAAATAAATAAATTGATTACATTTTTTCAGATTTAAAAGCAGGCTAATTTATCCAAAAAAAAGGATTTTACCGATACTTTGTTCCAATTAAAGGGAGCTAATAAAATCGTTAGTCCTTGTAAATATTGTCTTGCTGAAGCATGTCCTCATGTGGTATGGGTATAATTTCTTGTTTGGGCTATCTGCTCTGCCAAATCCGATCCAGATGATACCCGTACTGGTGGTATTAGGTATTCATACATCTCGAGAATTTCTCGTCAGGAACATTAGCTATGGTAGATATTCTTACAGGAAAAAACTTGAATTAACTGAGCGTAGGCTCGCAATTATTTTGCGTGCTTTTCCAGACGGCTTAATCATATTTGATACTAAATTCAGTCCTGAACTTATAAATGAAAAAATGCTTAACTACTTGGACTGCGGAGAAAGCGTTGCTGTAGACAAGCTAAGGGAGCTAGAGTATGTAGAAGACAAAAAGCTTCAAAATTTAAACTCCAGTTCAAGGAACCTATTTCAAGACTTGCAATCTTATTCTAATTTGTCAATTAATGAAGAATTAATACTTGGAATCGTGCAGATTGGCGAAATGATCTTGCAGTTTAAGGTCAAAAAGATATCTTTAGAGGGAGAGGAAATAGTGTTGGTGAGTGCGGCAGATTCAAGACAAATAATCGAGCTGGAGCAAAGTGCTGCTGAAAACCGCACGAAAAAATTCATGCTGAGAACGATTTCGCATGAATTAAGGACACCAATTTCAGCTATTATCTCATTTGCAGACCAGGTTTATGAGCGCTCTTTAGATGAAGCTGCAAGGGAAAAGATCTCACATATTCGCATTTCTGCGAATCTTTTGCTGCATTTTATAAATGGAATACTTGACTACACTCAGCTGATTCAAGGAATGTTCAAGCCAAGAAAAATGGAGTTCAATATAAGGGACAAGATTTCTGAATGCTATGAATTATTTCAGTATATGGCAAAGCGCAAAGGCATAAACTTGATTTTAAGAATCGACCCTGAACTGCCAGAAATTGTATATACGGATCCAGATCGACTAAGCGAGGTCTTACTAAATTTACTAACTCCGTTTCTCCCTGATATGAGATCACTCCTTGGATATTAATTTTTTTATTTTAAAAAATGGCATTGCCTAAAAAATCCATATTTGCGAAAAATTTGTAGGTAAAAAAAATTATCATATGCTTAAAAGTGAAACTGTTCAATTGAATAGAAATAGTTTTATTTCGTATAATAAATTATTACTTATATTAAAATTATTTTTATATTAAAAATTTTTTATTGCTTACAAGTTTCTAAAAAGTAGGATTTTCCCAAATTCATTATAATATATATCATTATATTATTGTAAAATATTTTTATATAAAAAAAAAATATTTCGATGGGCTATCCTAAAAAAGTGATTTTATAGGTTTTGCTCGTTTGGAGTAGCAGAGGGAGTAAGCAACGCAATTAAGTAATATTTATATAGATTTACAACGAAAGGAAGAATCGAACTTATAGCTATTTATGCAGAAGACGAAAGATTAAAAATTTATGTAAGTGATACTGGAATTGGCATTCCTGAAGAAAGATATAGCCAAATATTCAAATTATTTACTCTCCCTCCATGAGCGAAAAAAAATTTGTTCGCTAAAGGAGGGATTAGCTAGAGATTTCATTATAATAATTATCACTTATATATCAAAATTTTTTTTCATAAAAATGTTTATATTAAAATAGTTTTGATTTTGGAAGATGGGCTCTGGGCAAAAAATAGGGATTTTTTTCTGATGGTTTTGTTCTCTCAGGAGAGGGAGTTAGAAACTCAAGCGTTGATCAAGTTGCTCAGCATGGCTGTGGCCTTGGCCTTCATTTATCAAATCTGATCGCTTATGAGCTTGGAAACTCAGAAATCCAAGTTAGCTCGATGCCTCAAAGAGGTAGTGTGTTTGGCTTTAAAGTTGATATAGCCGAAAATAACTTTAAAGAATTCGAAAGCTTTGACTGCTCACAGGAATCTTTGGAGTTTGTCAGCTCTTTGAGACATTTTGACTCAATCCACAACTACGATTACCCTCAAGTATTAATTGTTGATGATAATGAGCTGAACCGGGAAATTCTTGTTGCCATGCTGGATAAACACAATATTAAATACTTAGAAGCAGTCAATGGGCAAAAAGCGGTAAAAAAGACACTGAAGCAAAATTTTAAAAAAATGCCTTTTAAGTTAATTATTATGGATATCAGTATGCCAATAATGGATGGCTGAGAGGCAACAAAAAGAATAAAGCAGTTATATGAGTTAGAGTTAAATTAAATTGTAGCTAATCATTGCATTACGTAAAATTAAGTATTTAAAGTATCTAGTAGATGTGCTAAGTGGCAAAAGCCTGAGCCTCTTAATACACTAAGGAGCAGTTCCTCTGATTATCCGAAAAGTTAAACCGCGTTGCTTTGCAGAAGTTCTCGAGGTAAAACCAAATCCCATAAATAAAATTCCATGAGGGAGAGAAAATTAGCAGAGCTAATTTCTTTCGAACCGAATGCCATTTATTTATAAATTATAGCTAATCACCTGGAACTATTTCAGCCTCTACTCATTCCAGGCCGGATTCAGGCTCAGCATCGGTATCGCATCACGCCCTTTAACTGTAAAGGTCGCCAAAATAGTGATTCCAGCAGTCTCTTGAGGAGAATCATCTGCCATGATTGGGCCTAACCTTGAGACAGGGACTCTCTTAGCCCTGATATTGCTCAGTACACAAAGAAAACGGCCACTTCCCTCCTTCTGGAATATTTTGCTTTTATCAGGCATATAATTGCTTCCTAGAAGTTCGAGTCGATTTTGCGCCTGTGTTCGTCTTCTGTAGGACAAGAAAAAAAGCTTTTGATGGTGTTTTGACCAGGCAAAACCCAATCCGAACTTTGTAAGTATGAAATCCACTTATCTGAGGTTGGGATCAACTTATTAGTCACTCCGATCTAATCATCACTTGCCGTCTTTAAAAAGGGCAGTTCTATGAAGAAGGCAAACTTAGCAGTATGCCAGCTATCGTTGGGCATACTGCGTATACATCTGATAAAGATGTGATGATGTGCTATGCTTCAGGAATGATTTCCTATTTAGCAAAGCCTGCGGCAAGTGAGGCAATATACAGAGTTTTACGACAATTCTTGCAATTGAACTAGATATTTTATATATAAATAGTTTTCAATTTAATAAAAAATAAGAGGGATGATTTTAAATTAATAATGAATAAATAAAAAATATGAATGATGGTTAAATTTCATTGAATTAAGATTTATTGGCAGGGCAATATTTAGGCTTATTTTAAGAATATTATATTCATTTATCAAAATGAGTTTAAAAGAGACCTGTGAGCTTCAAGGTTTTTGGCGGTTGAAGATAGAATAAAATCAATATTTGGTCTATTTGAAGTAAGTTTTGAGAGAAGAAATCTCCAGCCAAAGTTAAGGGATTTAGGAGCAGTAGATAAATAGGAAAGATCTGAGACAGTGAGATCATTTATAAACGGACAATAAAATCGGTGGGCTTTCACCAGGTCAAATTGCTGATTAATTCCAATGCTATCTCTTTGGCTTGAGGAGTTTATTACCTTTCCCACTTTAATTGTATATTCAGGCAGCTTTGTTTTTATCCCACAAAGTTTGCAAGAAATCTCTGTATCCTTACCCCCTTCCCTCAGTGAGCGAACAAACAAATTTTATTTGCCCTCGGCGTTTTTTTTTGTTGTTTAAAATGCAAGCTGTTTAAAATTTAATTAAATTAACTAGAGATTTCATTGTGATAATTATCACTTATATATAAAATATTTTTGCTTGCTCATGGAGGTGTGCTTTTACCCAAAACATAGGGATTTTCCAATGGTTTTGCTTGCTCACAGAAGGTTAGCAGAAAACCCAAAGAGTGCAAGTGCTTTATCAATCTAGGTAACGATTACTTCAATAATTGGGAACTCCTTAAAAAACCTTGACCAAATTTCATTATCAGCCTCTCCAAACACGCTAAAATTGAGAATAGGAAACAGCTGCCATTCCCTAAAAGACTCAACCCTACGGATAAATTCTTCCTCTTGAAACGCCAATATTTTTTCATAATCAAACATTTCAAATCTCCTCATTTTACAGCCTTTTGCATGGCTTTCCATTATTTGATATCATGAATCTGGATTTATAATTCTCACTCCACATTCTTCACATAGAAGCTCATTCTCAGCAGCATTAATATATCCCAGTTTTGCGCACTCCACCGGGTTAATGTCAATAGTGTTTCCATGCCAGGTCTTTATATGAAAAGTTCCTAATCTCCTTGCAACGCCTAACTCCATATTAAATTCCTATTAGAAAATATTATTGCTCTTGGTCTCTTTAATATACATTAAAATGGTGTTGTGAACCCAGCCTCTTAACACCTTTAGCTGGGAGGTTCAGGGGCATTGTGGAAGGGAGGATGGCGTTTGTTGATGCGCATTCGGTCAAGTTTACTTGGCTTGGAGGAGTGCGATGTCGACCGCAGCTCATTCGGGTCAAGGGCTACCTCTGGGAAGATGGGGTAGGGGGTCCTGGAAAGGAAAGACTTATTATAGAGTCCTCTGAACCAATCGAGCAGCTTCTTAGTGTGATACTGAAGTCTCGCCCAGGACAATGAGTTCCATCTAGTTGAACCTCGGCCAGATAATTCTTTTTCAATTTTCTGGGAGGGGCAGCTCAACTTAGGCGCACGGCACGGCTACCCATCCAACTGTACTCCAGCAAATGTTCGGGACCATTTCTGGAGAGCATAGCCGATAGAATGACGGCAGTCAATCGCAGAGATAAATACCTTTTGAGGTATCACATAGAGCTTCTAAATAGTCTTAAGAAAGAGCTAAGCTATTGGCCTCTTTCTTCTTTCTTTGGAGCTAACTCAATCATGTCGTCAATTCTCAGGATGGAAATGGCTGCTTCTGTCGCGAATTTCAAGCTCTTTATTTTGCTGAGGGTAGGCTCCAGGACTCCAGCTTTCAAGTTGTTTCTAACCTTTCCATTGGCTAAGTCAAGCCCTACGAATTTGTATTCTTGCTTCTTCTGCTCTGAGGAAGTTTGTGAAGCTGTGTGGTACATCTTAAGCTTGGCAAGCAAGTCGCTGGCATCTTTTGCTGCGTTTGTGGCTAAGACTTTTGGAATTACAAGCAAAGCTTCGGCGAATTCAGCAATTGCAAGTTGTTCTTTGGATCCAAGAGATCTTGCGAAGTTGTCAAGGTAAATGCTTAAAGCTGACTCAACTGCGCCTCCTCCTACGACGATGCTTTTGCTTTCTAAGACTCTTTTGATGACACAGAGAGCGTCATGCATCGATCTCTCAGTTTCGTCAAGCATGAATTCATTGGCTCCTCTGATGATAATAGTCTGAGCACAAGACTTACTCCCCCCCCCTCGAAGTTCGACCAAGATATAGGGAAAATTCCTATTTTTTTGGAAAATTAACCCCCCTCAAAGTTCGACCAAGACCTATATAAATTTACTAGGAAAATAAGCAATTTTTCAAAAATTTTAAACTATGTGGGGGTGAGCTTGCGATTTTTGTATTCAAGTTCTAAAAAGCGTTATAAAACCATCTTGCACTATTTTTTCTAACCCTTACACCCTCTCAACCATACAGAAGAATATGATAAATATTTTTTTTTTTTTAACTACTAAATTATATAAAAAAAATTCTATATAATTTTTTTTAAAAAAATTTTTCTTAACCCCCCTCGAAGTTCGACCAAAAACATCTTGGTCGAACTTCGAGGGGGGGAGTTAGGCATCCCTTTGAAAAACATGAAATCGTTGTCCCCAAGTCTCTCTTCTGACACTTCTTGAGCAGTTCCTAAGTACTCAGGTAAAAATACTTCATCTCCTTCAGTGTTCATAAGAGAAGTCAAAATTTCAGCGCCGCTCATTTTTGCGATTCTTCTGAGATCTTTCTTATCGACTCTCCTAATTCCAATTGCGTGGGCTTCGACGAAGTATTTCAAGGCCAAATCGTCAATTGCTTTGGTAGTCAAAATCACGTTTGCTCCAGCGCTGATGATTTTTTGGATCCTCTCTCTAGTGATGTCAATTTCTTTGGCTCTTATCAAAGCAAGCTGAGCTGGGTCTTTGATCAAAACTTGGACTCCCATTTGTAGCTTGAACTTGTTGAGGTTGAAATCAAGACACGCAATTTTAGCCCCTTCAATTTTAGTTGGCATTCCTTGGGCACTTCTCCCAGCCTGTAGCACATACCCATTCACATATACGCTTTCCTTGACACTTTGGCCTTGGCACTTCAGCAGTCTCACAGCTTTAATCGGGAACTTGCTTTCCCCTTTCAAGCTGGTCTGTTTTACCGTTTCCACAGCCCTGACAAGCATTTCTGCGAAATAGTGTGAATCCGCTCCAATAAGCTTTGAACTCAGCGTGGTCTTCGCAACATTCATGATTCCTTCTTCGCCTAAGGTGTCTGTTTTGACTGCGAGGTTGTTTTTGATATATTTGATGCTTTCTTTCATGGCAAGTCTGAAGCCAGCGATGACTGTGGTAGGGTGGATCTTATTTTTGACAAGATCATTTGCTCTTTTGAGAAGCTCGCTCGCGACAATCACCACTGAGGTTGTGCCGTCTCCGACTTCGGCGTCTTGAAGCTGTGCAAGCTCGACAAGGACTTTGGCAGCTGGGTGTTGGACTTCGAGGCGCTTGAGGATTGTTGCCCCGTCATTAGTGATTGTCACGTCACCGATCTGGTCAACAAGCATCTTATCGAGGCCATTAGGGCCAAGGGAGGAACGAACGATGTTGGCGATGGCGAGAACTGCGCGTACGTTGGCGTCACGGATATCTTGGCCTGATTGCCTGTTTCCAAGAATGCTGACAGACATTTATATGGATTTTGGGCATGAATGAAAATTAATTAATTTCTCATGATAGGAAATTATTTAAAACTTCTTTTACAGACTAAAGCTTAAAGTGTTTATTTTTTCTGGATCTTTTTATTATCTTGGCTTGGTCATATATTTTTTGGCATCTCTCAGCACACAAGATAGCAGCTCGCACATATCTTCTGGCTCAAATTGAGACAGCAATACTGTAAACTCACTATAAATTCCTTTTTCCTCAGGTGAAAAATTGAATTTAGCAATGTTGTTTTTCCTTTCAACTGTTCTTGAATTTCGAGTTCTTGTATTTTTAAATTCAATGGACCTTCCAAAGGTATTGAGAGAAGGAGATGCATGGAGATCCCTTATTTTATACCCTCCAAAAGTGCCAACCATATCTCCAGAGTTATCAAGATTAGCTTTCCTGGTCTGGTTTAAATTTTGAAAAATTGGCGACATCATAACAACTCTTGGCCCGCTGCATGGAGAATACTAATGTTTGTATAAGAGGGTATTTTCATCAATAAACTGAATATCATTTTCATTGCGAGGAGCTTGCTCAAAATCTGAAAATATTGAGTCACTATCGCTATAGATATCCTTAATTCCTGTTTAAATTTAAAGAGAATTTTCCTTTTTTGGACTATATTGTTATGTTTTATAGATAAAAATAATAATTTATATGTAAGTAGTTTTGATACCAACTATTGCTGCAAAATCAAAATTACCTATAACTTATTTTATTTTAAATGTGACAGCAGTTTATATATGAAACAAACCCCTAAATGCCGAAAAAATTATACATGTGAAGCCTGCATCTATGTAATGGATTTTTTTGATATGTGGAGAATTGCTCCAATTATCTTGTGAATTCCGAAATTTGTGCAGGACATACTTTGAACTAATAATTTCATAAAATAATTTTTATGAAAAATTTCAAAAATTATATGATCATATTGAATTGATAAATTAAATATATTTTTTTCAAATAAAAAACCCCTCCTTTAAAGTGGAATAGAATTTTTTTTTACTACTATTAAAAGGGGGTTAGATTTCTGCATATTCCTGATAATATTTTATGAAACTGATAAATAATATTTAAATTAAATGCATAAAAAGATAAAAATAAATATTTTGTGTGAATAATAATTGAAGCATAATTTTTTGCACAAAGGTTAATGATTTAATAAGGAGTTTAAAGCAATAATCCATTGATTTGTAAATAAATGGTAGACGTAAAGACAGCAGCTGCTATCAATGCCCAAGCAGCATTAAGGAACTATTTAGTCGAGCCTGTAATTGATTATCGCACTGTGATTGGTGTGGAAGGGCCATTGGTCATTCTAGACAATGTGAAGTTTCCAAAATACGCAGAAATCGTGAATGTTCACCTTGGCGATGGATCTACAAGACGTGGTCAAGTTCTTGAAATCGCTGGCAAGCGAGCTGTTGTGCAGATCTTCGAAGGCACGTCAGGAATTGATACTGTCAATACTAAATGTGAGTTCACTGGAGATACAATGAGGATGCCTATCTCTGAAGAAATGCTTGGAAGAGCATTTAATGGGTCAGGAAACCCTATTGACAAAGGCCCAAGAGTGCTAGCAGAAGAAATGATCAACATTCAAGGCCAGCCAATTAATCCCTTCATGAGGACTTATCCTAAAGAAATGATCCAAACTGGGATTTCAGCTATTGACGTTATGAACTCTATTGCCAGAGGCCAAAAAATCCCTCTGTTTTCTGCAGCTGGTCTCCCTCACAATGAAATCGGAGCTCAAATTTGTCGTCAAGCTTCTCTCGTCAAAGGAAAAGATACCCAGGACCACTCCAAAGAAAATTTCTGTATCGTCTTCGCTGCTATGGGTGTTAACACCGAAACTGCAAGATTTTTCAGGACTGATTTCGAAGAGAACGGGTCTATGGAAAGAGTCGCTTTGTTTATGAACCACGCCTATGACCCAACAATTGAAAGAATTATTACACCTAGGCTGGCTCTAACAACTGCTGAATATTTAGCCTACGAGAGAGAGCTGCATGTCTTGGTCATTATGACTGATATGAGTTCTTATGCAGACGCCTTGAGAGAAATTTCAGCTGCAAGAGAAGAAGTCCCTGGTAGAAGAGGATACCCAGGGTATATGTATACAGATCTTTCAACTATCTATGAAAGAGCAGGAAGAGTTGAAGGCAAAAATGGTTCAATCACCCAGTTCCCTATCCTAACTATGCCTAATGATGATATCACACATCCAATCCCAGATTTGACAGGGTATATTACTGAAGGACAAATTTTCATCGATAGGCAGTTGAACAACAGACAAATTTACCCTCCAATTAATGTGCTGCCAAGTCTTTCCCGTCTAATGAAGAGTGCTATTGGCAAAGGAATGACCAGAGAAGACCACCCTGACGTCTCCAACCAGCTTTACGCAAACTATGCCATTGGCAAGGATATTCAAGCCATGAAAGCAGTTGTCGGTGAAGAAGCTTTGACCAGCGAAGATTTGCTGTATTTAGAATTCTTACTCCCCCCCCCTCCGTGAGCGAACAAAACCATTAGAAAAATCGCCATTTTTTTGACCAAAAACCCACCCTCCGTGAGTGAACAAAAATTTTTTTAATAGAAAAAATTTTAATGGAAAAAAATTTTGATATATAAGTGATAATTAGTATAATGAAATCTAGAGCTAATTCTGTTTAATTTTAAACAAATTGCGTTTTAAAACATAAATTTTGCAAATTAAATTAATATTTGCTTCCCAATTTTTGCAAATTAGGATTTTTTTAAATTTCGAAAAAAATATTTTTTTATAAAATTTATATATAAAAATTTTTTTAAAAAAAAAAAATTAACCCCCCCCCGTGAGCGAACAAAATTTTTTTGTTCGCTCACGGAGGGGGGGGGGAGTTAGAAAAATTCGAAGGCAGATTTTTGACTCAGTCGATCAACGAAAACAGGCACATTGAGGACAGCTTAGACATAGCATGGAGTTTGTTAAGAATTTTCCCTATAAACAGCTTGAAGAAGATTACGAACGAAGAAATGAGGAACAAGTATTATTCCAGAGAACATCACTTCGAAAGAGTTCGCCAAGAAGCAGAAGACCTCAAGAAGAGAGTAAAAGGCGATTAAATCATAACCCCAAATTAAACCAAAATTCTCATAATAATTTCATAAGTTCTCGTTCTCCATTTACCAATAATCCATAATATGCATCTACTAGGAGAGTACTTCGACGAGCGTGAGTGGCAGCTGGACTTCGAGACCCCATTTTATATAATCAGGAAAGAAACTCTGACAAACTATAGCGGCTACTCAGCCACCAAAGGCATCAAAGAAACCATGTCAAGCATGTATCTGGCCTGCACTAAATATGATCGTATGTATAGGCAGTGCATCAACACTTTTGGCGCAGAGCTCATCACTGATATGTTCAACAAAAAGCACGCTGACTGCAACAGAATCTTAGAGTCCTTCAGCAACTGTGTGAGGAACCATCAGTGGTTCCATGAAACCAAAAAATACTTCCCTGAAAGATTTGGCGCTTGGAAAGGAATGAAAGACTACAAGGGACTTGGAGGCTCAACTTATATAACCCCACAAGATATTTAAAGGGTTAATAGATAAAGATTTATCATGGAGATCTTGAGTTAATCGAATTTAAGTTAAATAAATATGGGCTGTACTGTGAGTGTGAAATTGCAAAAACAAGCCATTCAGAAAAGGAAGGTAATAAACTTCGTCAAGCTGAAGCCAATTGTGCAAAATCAACTTTATAGCTCGAGGATCAAGAGGATAAATAGAAAATGTAATGATAGCGTTAAAACTGAATGCTCGGAGAATTTTGGGCTGAAGTACGAGAATATATAAAGGTCTGTGCTAAAGTAATTAATTAATTTGTTATTTGAAGGAATTCTAGGGTCTTTTCTAATTCAAAATTAAAAAATACGTTTTTTAAAAATGAATTTGGAGGGAGTGAGATGGCCAAATATTAAAGATTCTTCTTTATAAAAGGTTAAAATTAGCAGAGTTTTAAGCTACAACCGAGTATGAGCTTCTTTTGGGGTTTACTCATCAGAAGATTTGCTTTTAAAAGGGGAATTATTTAAAATCCCTTTTAAGATTTCTGTTAGATTAAAATAAAATTATGATTTGTATATCGATAATTCATAGATTTCTGATCAAAATCCATATTAAAACCTACCTAATTTAAATTCTGTGCAATTTTATTAATATTTATTAATGAATTAAAAAAATGTATTTTTATTATGCATCATTCTGATATGCTCATCCCTTTTAAATTCGTTATTCAAAAATAAATATATATTATTTGAATGAATCCTTTTAGATTAAATCTCAAAGGAAACTATCATTTATTATTTAATTTAAAATTTCCAAATTAAGATCTCACTTTTTGAAGCTGAAAAAGCTCCGTTTCTCATGAACCCAATTTTTCTAACCTCTCCACTACTTCCTGATAGCTCTTGAACAGTTTCTGTTTTTCCATTGTAGAAAAGGACTTTATTGTCAGAGCATCCAATTATCAAACAATCCAAAGACAAATTAGCATCCAATGAAATTGGAAAATGATTGAGAGCAAACCTTCGTGTAGTTTGATGGGCTATGAAATTTCTGAAAAACAGATATTGTTGGGCTGATGCTATACATACTAAATTTTCTGAATTCAAAAATGCAGCTGAAGTATGAATTTGGCTGAGCTGCTGGTAGAGTCTGAATGTTGATTTGATAGATTCTTCAGCATTGTCGATATCCAACCCATGTGGGCTTTCAAAAATATTGTAAATATCTACTATCTTTTCAAAATCCCAAACGGTGATTTTTCCACAATCAGAAGTAGCTAGTAAATATCCTTCGTGCCAGTCAAGTGCTAGCGCATTTCCTCCAGCTGTTCCGACCTCTTCAGAACTTAAATTTAAGTTTTCCCAATTTTCTGAAGTGATCATCAAAATCGCTCCATTTTCAGATCCCACAAATAATTTCAACTGATCTTTCCAACAAATTGATGAAACTCCACATTTAAATGGCTGGCTTTTTCCTAACTCTCCCACATAAATTGGAACAAAATATCGGTAAAATTTGTATTTTTTGGGTACTTTAATCCCCTTTAATTGGAACAAAATTTGCTTTCGATAGGAAAATTCTATCGATGAAAGAACTAATTTTTATAAAATTAGTTTTGACCTAATTTAATAGACAAAATACAAGTAGAATATTATTTAACAGTTCTCACACTGAATAGATTAATTTTTTTATTTTATTCTTCATAAAAATAAATTAAGATTCAAACTATTGTGCTCAATTTATATTTTTTTTATAAAAATAAAAAGTAGAAAATTCAAATTTTTATTGACCTAATTTAATAGACAAAAAACAGTAGAATGCTATTTTACATTTTTCACACTGAATCGATGAAATTTTTATTTAATTTTCAAATAAATTAAAATTAAAACTATTCAATTTATATTTTAAAAATTGTTTATAAAAAAAATTAATGATGAAAAACTAATTTTTATAAAATTAATTTATAGATAAAATGAAAGTAGATTATTTAAACAATATTTACACTGGATCAATTTATTTTGTTATATAATTTCATAGAAATAAATTAAAAAACAAGCTATTGCGCTCAATTTATATTTCTTAAAAACATAAAAAAATTTTTAAAAATAAAAATTAAAAATAAAATACTAATTTTTATAAAACTAATTTTGACCTATTTAAAAGAAAAATTGCAATTAATTATATTTAAGCAATTTTCACATTGAATCGATTAATTCTTTTAATTATTCTTCATTAAATAAATTAAAATTCAAGTTATTTTGCTCATTTTATATTTTTAAGATTTTAAAAATTATTTATAGAGAAAATATCAAAAATAATTTTTTAAAAAAAAAAAATTTAATCCCATTTAAATTGAAACAGGATTTATTTTTAAAATTTAAAAGGGTTAGTAAGCTTTTTAGTAAGCTTATGCTAAAAAATTGAAGTGAGCCATCAGCAAAGCCAGCTGCAAACATTCCACCATTCGAGCTAAAAACAAGCGATAAGCAGTCTAACTTGATATCGTATTGCATTATTTGAGAAAACGATTCAGTCTCCCAAAGCCTGATTGTGCCATCTGAAGCTGAAGAAATTATCATTGAATCAGCTGCGATTGCTCTAATCTGGCTGTCATAAAGATGGCTGCTTGCAATTCTAGCTGATTCTTTATCTTTCCAGTTAATATACCAAATAGTCCCAGAGGCAGTTGAAGCAATTCCTTCGTTGCCAGTTGGCTCAAAGCTTAAATATTTGGTATACCCATCCATAAGAATAACTTCAGCTTTCCCCATAAATGAATTTGAGCTTTGCTCCCAGCTCATAAGGTGGTTAGAATTTCCTCCTATTGTGGTTCTTTCAAAGCCAACTGCAACTGAGCTAATTTCATTTCCAAATAAAAAGTGAGCAGCAACTTGGCTGCAGGTCACCAAATCTCATATAATTAACTTGCCATCTGCAGTTCCTACTGAGACTAAGTCTCCTTTGATATCTAAAGAAGTGTAAAATGATTCCACTGTACTTAATTTCCTAAACTGCAAATCAAAGTGAGAATTTAAGCACCAATGAATCACTTCTTGCCCAGCAGTCACAAACTCATATGAGTCGGACTTCCATTTTGCAGTGGACGCATAAGATTCTAGTAAAGCTGTCGAAACTACGCGGCCTGAGTCTACTTCTCACATCACAATTATTGGCTCTTCTTGGACACCGAGCGACATCAAATATTTGCTATCGCAGGAAAATGAAAGGCTGGAGATACCTTTCTCGTGAAATGAAAGAGATTTTAAGAGCATTTGATCGGATATGTCCCATATACAAATGGGTGAGCTTAAAGAATGCTCAGATGCTGCGGCAATTAGCGATGAATCAGGGGAAATGGCTAATACTGTTAGGTTAGGGATAGGTGATTCAAAAAACCTTTGAGAGTTATTTTCTCTCAGCAGAGTTTGGATAATTTTTTGGCCTGATGTGTAAGCATACCATCCCTGTTCTGAAGCCCAAAGCAAATTGTTCCTGGCTGAAGAGTTGTGCCCAATCACGCGGGATAGAGTTAATCTATGATCTCTGTATTTTGAAAGTTGTGAGGACGGAGACTCACGTTTCGGAGAAGCTTGAGGCTCATAAGAAGGGGCTCTTTGAAACTCTTCGTTTTCTATAAAGAGCTCTTCTTTTGACCTTTCACTAATTAAAATTTCATTTTCAGGACTATTTTCTCGATGGGTCACTTCATTCAAATTCCCATCAAATTGCCATACAAAGATCCCATCATTTCCTTCTGCTGAAGAGAAAATTCATTTTTTGTCACTTGATCACGCTAAATTTGTTATTTTGTTTGAATGGCCAAGAAAGCTTTGCCCACTTACAGAATTTGGCTTCATTTCATAATTTCACACTCTCAAAGTCTTATCACTTCCTCCACTAATCAAATATTTTGAATTTTCAGAAGCAGCGATTCTTGAAATTTCTGAATTAGGGTGGATATTTTCGAGCTCTTTAACAGGAGTAGCCTCATTGTCTTTGATATTATAATATTTGATCTTATAAGATGACTTATAAGTCACAGTAAGGAATTGCCTTCCACTAGGAGAGTACATGATTTGGTAAACACTTGATGTGCAATTTATCTGAAACCGCCTTTTAATGGTTGCACAGTCCCAAAAATAAATATTTGACCGATTAATCCCTAATACAGCAAACTGTTCTGAATTAGGAGAAAAAGCCACATCAATAAAATCTCCTATACTTTCAGCTGGGATTGTCTTCAAAACTTGATATCCTTTATTAACGTCACAAAAGCACACACTTCCATCTTCACTTGCACTGAGCATATATTTCCCATCTCTAGAATGAGAAACTTTTACAATTTTTGCGTCATGATTTACAAATTCGCCTTTAACTGCAGTGCTGTCTACTTCAAAAATCCTAATTGTCCCACTTTCAAATCCGCATGCAAAGGAATTTAAAGTAGGATGAAAAGAAATCGAAATAGGAGCATCATCAATTGAAGTAAACTCATATAGCTCTTCAAAGCTCTTATTATTTCAGACCCTGATTGTTCTGTCATCACTCACACTTAAAATGCTGCCAAATTTTGGATGGATATCCAAAGCGACGATATTAGAGGCATGAGATCTTAAGAGAGTTTTGTAAGAATTTGTTGTCATTCCTAGAATCCCGATTGTACAGTTGGATGTTCCGCAGACTACATGCTGGCCATCTGAACTTATCGCTACAGCTGTAACTGCGTCCTCATGATGAGCTTCTAATATAAACTTACTCCCCTTCAGTCGTGAGCAAAATATCTTGCTCGGGAGGGGGTTTAATTTATAAATAAATATAGTAAAATATTGCTTTATTCGAAATAAAATCCCAATTCGTAAAAATTTGAGAAGTGAAAATTAATTTAATTTGCAAAATTTATGTTTTAAAATGCAAGCTGTTTAATTACACAAAGTTAGCTAAAGATTTCTTTATAATAATTATCACTTATATATCAAAATATTGTTTTCATAAAAAATTGTGTATGCCCATGGAGGATTTTTACCCATAAAATAGGGATTTTTCCAATGGTTTTGCTCGTACACGGAGGAAGGAGTTAGAAAAATCAAGTGGCCAGACTCTGATATAGCAATCTCTGCTGCCTGTCACACAAAACCCTTCACTCACTGCTATTGATGAGATTGCTGAGTCATGAAGTTGTAGAACATCTTCCAGTTCTAAGCTTATATAGTTGATTTGAAATAGCAGTCCTTGGTTATTGACAACAAAAACTCGTTTCAAATGCTCATCAATGATTTCAGATTTTGCACTTGAAGAAAAGGCTTCAAAGCTTAGGTCTAAAAACTCAGAAGCCTTAGACTGGTGATTTAAAACGACAGCCCCACTTGATAAGCGGTCACCATTAGCACGCCATGAACGAATATTTTCTTTTCCACATGAAATCAGCTTTAAAGTGTCGATTGGGGAGAATTTTATGGTATTTATATGGTAGTTTGAGGTCTGCTTTATTAGGAGTTCAGCTCTATTAGGCTGAGAAATGTCCCAAATTTGAATTTCATCTTTAATTAGGCTATTGGTTCCTGCAACTACAAGATATTTGCTATCAGCACTTATATCTATTGATTTTAAGCTGGTTAGTTTAGATAGAGACACATAAGATGGAGGCTTTCTAGTTGCTATTTGCCAGATCAAAACAAGAGGATTAGGACTGTCTTGGCCAGATGCAATAAATGCTCCGTCAGGACTTAACGCTAAGCATACAATTGGAGAACTATGGGCAAACAAAAATTGCTGCTTTTGAGTCAATGGGTTCATAAGCACCAGAGCACACCCTGAAGGATAAATTAAATATTTGGAAGAGTCTTTCGTAAATTCTAAAGGATAAGCACTAAAATCGCTTTCTGGCCGAGCTCATTTAATATTTCCTGGTCTACCACCTGAATAGCCTATAATATGAACTAATTTCATGATTGGATCAGGCAGTAATTGAGCTTCGACTTCATTTTCAGCTGTCACCTCCCCAAACCTAACTCCTTTGCTTTTTTGAAGAGAGAAATCGCTTTTAGCAGCAGTGCTGTTATATGACTCTCGCTTATCTTCATCAATTTGGAAGTTTCGAAAGGAGCTCGTGGAAGTTCTCTGAATTGTGTTTATTTCATTATTAATGCTGCTTGCCTGCTTATTTTCTTCTTCACTAGTCGTTTCTTCCCTTTTAGCTTTATTTTTATTCTCTTTTCCATTCCCTTTTCAATCTTCTCTTTTATTTTTCTTGAACTCTCCTCTTTCTTCTATATTGGGAAAAGAAATTCAATCATAAACATCTTCCCATCTCTCTTCTCTTGATATTTTTAGCATCATTTCTCTTGGCAAAGTATTATAATTGTATAAAATATCAGAAGTAAAGACTCCTCTCACAAGCATATTTGAGCATAAATTAATTGATTTCAAAACATGACCCACAATCCATGGCCCTATGTATTGGCTGAAAATAGCTTTAGTGTCAATGCAGGCAACAAACCATTTTTCACTAGGAGAGCAGCTCAGCTGCAGTCCTGAGGAAGTCAATTTGCTTTCTTTATAAATATTGCTTATTGATATCCTAAGTGGTTCTTCTGATTTTCTTTTTGAGCTGCTTAAAGCCAATTCAAAATGCATAGAAAAGTACTTATTTGCAGGGACTTGTAGCTGTGCATAGATATAGCGGCCAGTTAGTCCTAGACTTTTCAATTGAGATTTCGGCTTTGGGATTTGGATGTTATTTGCAGCTGAACTAGACCCAAAAAGCCTGAAAACTCTTTTCCCTGTGACTCTATCTAATACTTCAGTTACATCTCCTTCTTTTTGCACATTTTTCCAGTCACTAACACTGGTAAACCTAAAAACATCGACAAATGGATGCTGCCATAACTCACTTGATTTCATATCAATTTTTTATATAGATTTATGAGAGAAATTATTCAAATTCAGACAGGACAATGCGGAAATTTAATTGGCGCGAAATTCTGGGAAGGAATTTCAGCTGAGCATGGCATTGATTTGAACCGATCATATATTGGAGATTCTAATGCCCAGTTAGAAAAAATTAATGTTTATTATGATGAAGCATCTAAAAATTATATCCCGCGGGCTGTTATGGTGGATCTTGAGCCAAGGACTATCGATAATTTGAGGTCTGGACCTTTGGGAAGGCTTTTTAGAGCTGATAATTTTATATCAGGGAATACAGGAACAGGGAATGAGTGATCTAAAGGGCATTATTGTCAAGAAATATTTGACCCACTTATGGACATTATAAGGAAAGAGTCTGAACGGTGTGACAGGATCCAAGGATTTCAAATTTGCCACTCAATTGGAGGAGGTACTGGTTCTGGGCTAGGAACATTGATTTTAGAGAAAATCCGCGACGATTTTGAACATATAATTTTACAAACAAACTCTGTATTTCCATCCCCTAAAGTATCTGACGTCGTCGTTGAGCCTTATAACGCCATTCTTACAATGAATGAGCTAATTGAAAATGCTACATCATGCTATGCTTATGACAATCAAGCACTATTTAATATTGCTTCAACTTGCCTAAAAATCAAAATGCCAACATACAGAGATTTAAATTATTTAATAAGTTGCGGACTAACTGGGGCTACATCAAGCTTAAGATTTCCTGGACAAATTAACTCAGATGTAAGGAGGCTTACAGAAAATTTAATTCCTTTTCCAAGGATCAAATATTTGATGACAGGACTTTCACCTATCACTCAAAGAGACTATTATCAGTTCCGGCCACCTACAATTGTAGAACTTTCTGAGCAGATGTTTGACCCAAAGACAATGCTATGTGATGCTGATATCAGAAGTGGGAGATTTCTGACAGCTGCTGCAATGTTTCAAGGGGTCATGTCTATAAGTGAAATCGAACTTCAGGTCAAGAAAATTCAAGATAAGTTTTCGCCCAATTTCGTTGAGTGGATTCCATACAGTATTCAGCTATCCAAATGTGATATGCCTAGAAATAATTGTAAGGGAAATTTGACTACCATTTGCAATTCAACTTCAATTCAAGAGATTTTTATAAGAATCGAAAGACAGTTTAGTGCGATGTTTAAGAAAAAAGCCTTTATTCATCACTATGTCGAGGCTGGAGTTGAACAAATGGAATTCGTGGAAGCGAAGAACAGCGTGATGGATCTGATTAGTGAATATCAGCAATTTCAGGATATGAGCTCAGATGATAGTGATAAAAGCATTGAAGACGATGTTTTCAATAATTAATAGCTAATACGTTCAAATTAAAAACTCCTCATTTATTTTTAAATGGATAAGATAAAAATAATTTTATTAGAATTATACAATTAATTTCACCTCGCATCATATTTAAAATTTTCAGATGCAGATTTTAATTTAAAATAAGATTTCTAATGCCGAAATAGTTTTGTGGTTTTGCAGAAGCTTATATAATTATAATAGATATTCTTAGTTTACTGACTAGCGTTGATAATACTGACCAAGTGATAATTTTCGACGAAAAATTTAAAAAAATCGAAATATTATTTAAAACCTGGAATTGAGCTAATGCATTTTATTTTCCTTACTCCCCCCCCCTCCGTGAGTGAACAAAAAAATTTTATTCACTCGCGGAGGGGGGTTAATTTTTTTTTTTTTAAAAAAATTTATATATAAATTTGTTTTTCGAAATTTAAAAAAATCTCACTTCTATAAAAATTGGAAAGCAAATATTAATTTAATTTGTAAAATTTATGTTTTAAAACGCAATTTGTTTTAAAATTAAACAGAATTAGCTCAAGATTTCATTATAATAATTATCACTTATATATCAAACTTTTTCCATAAAAAATTTTTCTATTAAAAAAATTTTTGTTCACTCACGGAGGGTGGGTTTTTTGGCAAAAAATAGGGATTTTTCTAATGGCTTTGTTCACTCACGGAGGGGGGGAGTTAATATTAAAACAATATACACATGATACATGACCATAATGAAGACAGTTCGCATTTGGAGAAATCAATGGAGCTCCGAGCCATCCACCTACTTCATAACCATAATTTAGAACATTTGTCTCACAGCAACGCTATTCAAACAGCTCACTACACATTTTTAAATTTTATCCCTAAAAACATTTTTGAACAATTCCATCAGCTATGATGCCTCTGATACTTATTTATTTTATTGCTTCAGCTATCTTATTATGGTGAAATCGACAATAAACTGCTCGTCCTGATCCCATTTTGCATTTTAATTCTTTCCAGACTTTTGTCAGATGGGTACTTTGATAAAAGAAGGCATGACTTTGACGATAAGTTAAACAACCGAGAATATAGAGTATTAACCAGCGACGGCGACATAAATAAGAAAAGCAAAGATATCTGCGTAGGGGACTTGATTTTGCTCAAGCGAAACGATATTGCCCCTTCAGATATGATTATCCTATGCACTAGCAATTACAAACAAAAGTTTCACGTAGACATGACTGATATCACAGGAGAAGCCCAATTTGATATAAAAAAGCCGATAAAAGAAACGCGTGTGGCTTCTAATTCAAATGATATTTTGGAGACTGTTAATGAGCTGTCGAAATATTCGGCAACCATTAAGGTCCCTGAAGACCCTAGCTGTAAAGCGTGTGGATCAATTAAGTTGAAAACAAATCCCAAGTCAATCGAGCTAAGAGAAATGAATTATATTAAAAGTGGGGCGAAAATCCTGGGAATCGCGTGGATTTATGGAACAGTCATCTATACTAACTCAGAATTAAAGCAGCACCAGCACGCCATATACTCTTCATCGCTTTTTGAAAGAAGCACCAATAGGGTTGTATTTTGTATGATGCTATTAACCTTATTTTTAGTATTTTTGAGCTCGATGATCTGCATTTATGACTTTGGAATGGTGTTTAATGATACAGCTCAAAAATTCACAATTAATGCTATTTTGCTTTTCCATAGACTTGTTCCTCCGTCTCTTCTATTATGCATCAAAGTTATTCAATTTATTTCAATTTTGAAATTTTCGAAAAAAAATCCTGGAGTGCAGTTTAATAGCTTAATCGCTTCTTCGTTAGCGAAAAAATGCTTTTGCTTGCTCGTTGAGGTGGTGAAATATTATTTATTTTTTTTTTAAGTTTAATTTACTAGTTTAGAATACAAAATTTTAGATTTAATAAAATTAGAAGAAACTCACTATAATAATCATTATTGCATATAAAAATTTTTATATTAAAAAAAATTTTTTGTTCAATTAGAGGGTTGATTTTCCAAAAAATAGGATTTTCTCAGCGGCTTGCTCACTTAAAAGAAGGAGTTAGAATTTTGCGAGGAATTAGGACAGATAGAATATATTTTAACAGACAAGACAGGAACACTCACAGCAAACGATGTCCACATATCCATTTTTGTCTTAGATGGAGTGACCTATTTGAGGGAATCCCCAAAGCATCATCAAAATGAAAACAGCAAAGCCTTATTAGACTCTATTAATTTCAGTACTTTTTCTGACCTAAGAGATGAATTGCGAGGCTCAAAGGACGATTTTTCTTTGTCTTACTATTTCGTAATGTGCATGGCTATATGCAATCAGTCAAATACATCAGAAGAAATGGATTGCAATACTTTATCTATAGAGGATGAAGCCATGATTGAAGCAAGCTATGACTTAGGGATCAGTCTAAATTCAAGGTCCAATAAAATCATCAATTTAAGCTGCTTTGAAAGCGATGTTATTTTACAGATAATGAGCTATAAAAGCTACTCAGAAAAATCTCATAAGTCAAGGATTATTGTGAAAGATTCTTTCAAAAATGAAATTATTTTGTATGTCAAAGGGACTAAGTCAGAGATGCTGAAGTCGCTTGTGGTTTCTCCAAACTTTAAGCATTATTTAGAAAATAACGGGTATGAGAGCAAATTAAATGGGAAAAAGTTATTTTATTTAGGGTACAGAATATTGAAAGAGGAAGAGGTGGAAGAGTTTACATATAAGCATAGAATAGCTAAGCTCTCACCTATAAACAGTGAAGGCAAAATTGATGACATTTTTTCTGATTTGGAATCTGGGTTAAGTTTTTTAGGGATCATTGGGCTTGAAGATAAAGTTTTTGACGATACAAAAGAAACAGTCACCACCTTATCAAATGCAGGAATTAAATTCTGAATGCTGAGCGGAGACAGTGAAGAAAATTCCATCTGCGCAGGCATTTCTGCAAAATTGGTCGACCCTGACATCAAAATGGTCAAACTATCAGAAATTACCTCAGAAATGGATTGTATGCTTGAAATTGTCAATCAAATTAAAACCAATTTTATTAATCTTGACATCTCAGTTCAAAATCACAGTATGGATATCAATCAAGGCTATCGGAATTTAGATGAAAACCTTGCAAGTAGTTCATATGATGAAGAGCCCAAACAGAACAGCAGCAACTCGACTGCTAAAAGTGAATTGCAGACACATCGCTTGCACAGAATTCCAAAAATTGTGTCACAACTGGCAGGAACTGAAATAAAGATACCTATTTTTAAGCCTTCTGTTCATGAATTAATAGACTTTAATTTATGTGTGGATAGAACGGCTTTGAATTTTGGACTGAGCTCAGAAGAAAACAGAAAATATTTTGCTATTTTATTGGCAGCAGCCCGAAGTGTATGCTTTTATTCACTCCTGCCAGAAGATAAAACAAAAATCGCAAAATTTTTAAGGCACAATTTTTCATATAGTCCTACATTTCTTGCAATCGGAGAAGGACATAGTGATTTTGGGATGATTCAAGAAGCCCACATAGGGGTTGGGATAGTTAATTCAAGCATTGCCCATGCAGGGCATTTATCAATTACTCGATTTTCACAGCTAAAAGAACTGCTTTTATTCCAAGGGCGTTGGAATTATTTAAAGATGTCAGGCATGGTATTTATAATTTTTTTCAAGAATTTTATCTTGGTTTTCCTGATGTTTCTGCATTGCGTAGTTGGAAAATCATACGGTTATGAGCTGTTTGGAGAAGGGATGATAGCTGCTTATCTTTTATTTTTCACAATGATACCAAAGCTGATAGTTGGAATTTTTGATGAAGATTTAGATAGAGATCAAGTAGAAAAATACCCACAAGTGTACAGTATTTACATGAAAAATGCGCTGCTATCGTTGTGGCAGTTTCTGTATCTTGTTATAATTTCATTTATGCAAGCAGTAGTAATTTATATTCCTATTTTGTATATTACTAGCACAGATAGTGAAGGAACAACAACCAGTTTAGCTATGATTGAATGGCTGCTTTATTTTATAGTCACTGGGGTTTCTCTGTTATTTATTATCAATGAAACTCAAGCTTACAACTGATGGATAGTCATTTCTCACATTATCTCGATAGGATTTCTGGTTCTTTATAGCACTCTTGAGTCTTGGTTTAATGAAAATGATATTTCAGGAGCTCTTGAGGTCTTCAACAATTCTCCTTTCTATTATTTTTATATTTTGTGGGCTTTAGGGCTTAATTATTTGATTTTGTATACATGGAAAATTGGTGTCGGATTATTTCAGCCCACTTTGGTTGATTTCGTTAAGGCAATGAAAAATTTTGATTTATCAGTCAAAATTAAATCAAAATTTGAAATTTTTCAGCAAAACTTGGAAGCTATTTATAAGAAAACGAAAAATACGAATCAGCTCAATGATACATTTGATCTCAATAAAATCACAATGAAATTTATATCAGAAATGAGAGAAGTGCAATATCTTGACGATAATAAAGGAAACCGTACAAAAATATATAAGCTTCTAGTCTTTATGCTTGACATTTTACTCATCAACTATTTAATAGAATTGTATTTCGACGTCAGCAATAAACGCAACTACCTTTATTTTATGATTATAAATATCTTAATTTTCGCAGCCATAATATGCATCATTTTTTCAAGGTATTTCCAGACGAGCCAGAAAGCTGTAATAATTTCAACACGCGGCTTTTGTGTAGTTATATTAATCCTCTGTACATTTCTTTACAATACAACTGACTTTATTGTCTTTTTAAGCTGACCTCCGCTGTTTGTAATTGGCACAAGTATTTTTTGAATTGAAATGGTTATCATTTCTGCAGCTGGCGCACCTGTAATGATAGCCATCGAAATCTATTATATATTTCAAAACGTGCCAAGCTCAAAAGCCTTAATCCTTTCTCTGCAATTTTCAGTTCTATTCATATCGATTTCTCTTTTTTCATCTTTTGTAGCGTATTATTCAGAAAAATCGAATAGAAAAAGGTACATGCTCATGAAGAAAGTAGAAATTGAAGTCGAAAAATCTCAGCACGTCCTCAATGTTGTCTTACCTGCCTTTGTAAGGAAAAGAGTCAAAGATGGATGCAGGTATATAGCAGAAGACCAAGGAATGGTGACTGTCATTTTTTGTGAAGTTTGTGATTTCGAAGAAATAATTTCAGCTTATCCTAATACAGAAATATCGTATTTTATTGATGATATTTACAAAAAATTCGATGCAGTATGTGAGTCAACTGGAGTCACTAAAATTGAAACTGTAGGAAAAGTGTATATGGCTTGCGCAGGGCTGAATGATAGTGAGCAGGAGCTGTCTGCGTCTATGAGAGCTGTTTCTCACTCAAGGAGAGCTGTGGAAATGGGCTTAGGAATTATAAGTGCTGCAAAAAAGATAAGACTTAGGAAAGGGAAAGCTTTGCAAGTAAAAATTGGAATTCATACAGGGTCAGTTGTAGCTGGGGTCGTAGGATTTCATAAGCCTCAGTTTTCTCTTGTAGGGGATACTGTAAACACAGCAAGCCGAATGGCTTCAACTATTATTGTGCCCGATACAATTCAAATCTCTGATGAGACTTACCAGAATCTCAGTGATAAAACTGGTTTATCATTCAGAACCCAAACAATTCAAGTCAAAGGCAAAGGATACATGAAAACTCATTATGTCAAAGTCGGATTTCAAGAAACACGTTCAGGCCACCACCCTCCTTACCACTTTGCTTCAATGCCAACCCATTTAGGAACAACTGAAAACCATTCTCCCAAAAGAAACACTGAGCCGCCACATGTTCGGTCTTCAACGATGAGAAGACAGTCAATTGTGTTTTCAGAGCTCGAATTGGAAGATCCCAACATGCTTTTCGAACGAAAAGAGTCCAACATTATAGAGCCTGTCAAGCTGGTTTCCTGAAGATTCTTTGAAAATGAAAAAGAAAAAGCGTTAAGGATACAAATGACAGAAAGCAGCTACCCAATTTATTTTGCGGGGATCCTAATTATTACAATTTGCAACTTATTGCTAATGGTATTCAGCTGTTTGTATGCAGCATTAGAGCCAGATGAAGATAATTTTTACCTTTATACAATCTTTTATGCAATCCAATCCTTGATTTTTGGTGGACTTTTAGTGTTTCTGAAAAACAATTTCAAAAAGTACTGATTTGGGTGGATTTTACAGTTTTTTTATTTAGCTGCAATCATTTGGATTGTCTTGCTCAACATTGAAGCTAAAGATATTTATGAAGAAATTGTTGTAGAATCATACGCACTTTTTATGATCTTAGCATTAAACCAATGCTCATGCAGTTTTTTCAAGAATACTTTTCTTGGATCCATATTGGTGTCTCTCCTTCATATTATTTCCTTAATTGTAATTGATTGAAATTACCTCCGCTATCATATTGAGTTCACAGTATTTTTTATCGCTGTTTCCTTAATTACATCATACCACAGAGAAGACGACTTGCGGATTTCTTTCGCTTTAGAGCAATACGCCAACAAAGAGCTCAAAAAAACAGAAAATTTGCTTACGCAAATGATGCCGCCCCATGTGTATCGCAATTTAAAAGAAGAAGTAGCCAACACAGACACTATTACAGATGTCACCATTTTGTATGCAGATATTGCTGGCTTTACTGCATGGTCATCAGACCATAATGCTAGCGAAGTTATTGGCATGCTTTCTGAAGTCTATACAAGATTTGACAAAAAATGTGTGGAAAATAACGTCTATAAAGTTCATACAATTGGAGATTGCTATGTCGCTATTGGATTTGTGGGAAACGAAAGCAGAGACCCTGCAAAAGAGTGCCTGAATGTGATAAATTTTGCACAGTCTCTGAATGCAATTATAGATGATGTAAATGACGAGCTAGCATTGACACTTTCAATGAGGATTGGAGTGCATACTGGAAAAATCATAGGAGGGATTGTCGGAACTAATATAGTTAGGTATGATATTTATGGGGATGATGTGCTTGTTGCAAATAAAATGGAAAGCAGCGGAGTCCCTGGATCTATCAACGTCAGCGAAGTCACAAAGAATCTGATTGAAAGCTATAGGCCAGGAATGTTCAATTTTGAACTACACAAAGAGCTTGAAATCGACACAATAGGAAGGTCCATTAAAACTTTTCTAATAATTTCAAATTATGAATAATTTTGTCATTCAAAAATTATCATAATCTGAATCAGTCGCCTACCTTGCTAAGTAACTTATAAGAAAGCCTTTAAAAATAATTTAAAACTTTTACTCTGTTTTAAGACTTATGATGTTCAGTAAAAACGGAAACTATTTTTTGAGATTAAAAGTTAATTTGAGAAAAATGCTCTTGATAATTAAATATGGAGTCTCGGCCTGGAGCTGGCTTACTTGCTAGTTAGCCTCAAGCACGCATTTAATCATCGAATAGGTTTTTCTATCTCAGAATTAAACAGCAATACTAGGTGAGTAGCGGCACTTAGGCCAAGTCCGATTTCAAGGTATCTTTTTGCCTCTTGGGACAGTGAGATATGAAAATAGAAAAGGGTAAGCCCAAGCAATATCTCGGAATGTGGTAGATAGCGCTATTAGACCCATCTGGCATATGCCAGCGCTATTCTGGGCGTCCACCCCAGACTACGTATTTCACATCGAGCTGAAAGTAGGCCAGAAAATTCTTTTTGAATTCATACTGTAGACAAGTCTGAGTGTGTAGAGATTCAAGGAGATGCACCATGCTAGCGACTTGAGAAGACTAATGGAGTGACAAAACTGAGTGAACTGCTTCGTCAGGTGGTCAGCTTCGATAGAAGGGAAAACCCAACCTTACATAACGATTAAAGTTAATTAAGGTTAAGATTTAAAACGTTCTTATATTATTCTGATATACCTCTACAAAACTTTTTATAATATTACTAACCCATCCGTGAGTGAGCAAAACCATTGAAAAATCCCTTTTTTGGGCAAAAAAACAAAAGATTTGTTAACAAATTTTTTATTTTAATATATAAGTAATAATTATTATAATGACATTCTTTATAGAATTTTAAAAAGATTGCATTCTAAGACTAAATTGTACGAATTGAACCACATTCTCCTTTAAAATTTTAAAATAAATTATTATAAAACTTATCAAAAAAAATTATGAGCAAGCTTGCTGCAGGGGAGTAAATAGATAAACCTTCAAAAATCTGGCTTCTGTTTAGTTTAACCTGGCTAGATTCTTGAGCTATACTCTTTATAAGTAAACAAAATTCCAATTACTTCAAATGCATATCTATCTATTAAATAAAATATGCACAACCTCCACAACTTAAATATTAACCCAAAAGACAAGCCGAAAGACGTCAGAACAATCCACCTGCTGAACAGCAATTTCTCAAAGCATTGATCTCGAAATAACGAAATAACCACAGCCCGTTATAATTTTTGAAATTTTATCCCTAAAAATGTTTTTGAGCAATTTCACCAGCTCTGGTACTCTTGGTTTTTGCTTATTCTGATCCTAGATTTGACCTATTCAAGCTCTATTGAGAAATCATTTACAGATGTGTTTCCTTTTTGCATAATTCTTCTAATAAGAATCAGTTCAGACGGATTTCATGACTTGCGAAGGCATAAGTTTGATAATGAAATAAATAACCGAGAATTCAAAGTTTTGACAAATGATGGCGAAATTATTAATTTCCCTAGTAATTATTTTATTGATTATAAAACAGAATGGCAAATCTAATTTAATTTTAAAAATTATTTTTAAAAGATTCAAGCTATTTAAAATTAAATATATCTAAATGGAATTAATAAGAAATTTGCTGATTAGCATTTATCCTATTTTAATTAGATTAGAATAGATTTAAGCTAGTATTTGTAGTCCCACTTCTGAGCATCATGCGCTTCAAGGTCAACTTAAGCCAGCGCCGAAACCCCCGGTTTCTCGGCAGATGCATTTCACTCCATGGTCTAGTCTTGCGAACTTATTTCCAACCAAGCAATCAGCTTACCCAACCTTGCTTTGCTCAGGCCAGATCGCCCCTTTCACGGGATCCTTTTTGACAGGAGAGACTTTAGCCTTTGAGTCTTGTCTAGCCTTTCTTCCCTTTCTACCTTGTTTATCCCAGAGGAAAAAACTCAACCTCCTACAAGATGTGAGACAGGACACGAAGCAGTCTAAGCACCCAGCCCGAGCCTGGATGCTGCTTAAAAAAATACCATTCGAGCCAAGCTATCAGCCATAATAGTGGTGGCTGGCTGACCACAAGCTTTACTCCAATACCAAGTTTTTGCCTAAGTGGAGATGGGTTCGGAAGTTGGAAAGGGGTTTCCCAACAAAGTCAATAGCATTTGTCTGACCAAATCGGAACTATTCCCTAGCGTGAAACCGATAGTTACGCACTGGGCTACGGATTTCCATCATGATAAGGGTCGACCAGAAAATTCAAAGCTTTTTGAATTTTAATGGCGGACAATCCTGTTGACGTGCGGCACGGCGACGCGACTCACTCCATTATCTGGATGCGAATGCATGCCCTCGTCCGGGAGGAGCAACCTTTGACAGCTCATGTACGAACTGGCGAGCAGGCGAAGGGAGCGTTACGAATAGATATTGTCATCAAAAATTAGATGAGCCCCCTCAATAAGTCTTTATAACGATAACGGCTTTTATAGGCAAAAGAAGGTAAGAAAAATAAAAACATCTGTGTAGGTGATGTTATAGTTCTTCATAAGGACCAAAAAGCACCTGCAGATATGATAGTTATTTGTACTTGGGAAAATAAGACCAAGTTCTATGTAGATGTTACAGATATAATAGGAGAAGTCCAATATGATCCAAAAAAACCTGCAAGGGAAACAAAAATAATACTGAAGTCCCTTGATTTGTGCGAAATTGTGAGTGAATTAAATAAACTTAATGTTGTGATTAAGGTTCCAGAGAGTCCAAGCTTTAAGTTTTGGGGTTCTATTAGATTGAGGACTGGTCCAAAACCTACTTCGTTAACTCTCCCCACTTTAAATTGGAACAAAATATACGTAAAAATTCCATTTTTCGACACTTTAACTTCCTTTAAATTGGAAAAAAAAATTTTTTAAATTGTGAAGTTTTAAAGGTGAAAATACTAATTCTTATAAAATTGGTTTTTAAGCAGAATCAAACATCTTTCACAATGTATCGATTAATTTTTTAACTAATTGTTAACTTATATTTGTTTAATTTTAAAAATATTTTTTTAAAGAAAAATTTAATATAAAATTTTATTAAAAAATAATGAATCCCCCTTTAAATTTTAGCATATATTATTTCCAATTTAAAGCAGGGGTAAGCGAAATGAATTATATTAAAAGTGGCTCCAAAATACTGGAAATTGAATGAGTTATCGGAGTAGTTGTTTACACACACAGAGAAATAAAGAAATTCAAGCGAAGATATGCCCATCTGTCCCTTTTAGAAAAAAAATTAAACAAAATGGTTATTATTGTCGCGATTCTTGCATCAATCATGATAGTAGTTTCAGTGATACTCAATATTTTTGTGTATGGCTTAAAATTTGGAGACAACACTTGAAGCTTAGTTATAAGCACAATTTTTTTATTCCGAAGGCTAACTCCTCCATCTTTACTTATATCTATAAAGTTTATCCAGCTTTATTTTACCCATGGCGTAGCAAAAAAAATCCCAGGGGTAAAGTTCAACTCTTTAAAAGTGAGTGAAGAGCTAGGCCAAGTCGAGTATATTCTTACAGATAAAACTGGAACTTTGACATCTAATGAAGTCGAGCTACCTATTTGTATTATGGATGGCGAAACTTATCTTAGAGACAGGCCAATGTATGAGACTGAAGCATCCCCTCATAATAATGCAGAGACGGAGAGAGAAATGTTCATTGATTATGATTGTAAAAGTTTTTTTGATCTTAGAAGAGAGCTTATGTCATATAAAACTGATTATCCACTTGCTTATTATTTCGTGATGTGCATGGGCGTGTGCCATCAGTCGTGAACAACTGGACAAATGTGCTGCAACACCTGATCGATGGAGGACAAAGCCATGGTTGACACGAGCAGCAGTCTTGGCCTAGATGTTGTCACAGCGACCAAAGAAAAAGCGACTTTGACCCTTTTTAATCAAGAAATCATCCTAGATATACTTACATTAAAAGGCTACTCTGAAAACATACAAAAATCCAGAATAATCGTAAAAGATAACTTCAAAGGTGAAATAATCTTATACGTCAAAGGAACCAAAGCAGAAATGCTGAGATCTTTTAACGTCTCTAAGAAGTTCAGGCACTATATAGAGTTAAATGGATACGAGACTCAGCTGTCTGGGAAAAAAACTGTATTTTTAGGATATCGCATTTTAAATGAGTCAGAGCTCGAAGATTTTGTATATGAATATAATATTGCTAAAATTTCGCCTGTGAATAGCGATGGAAAGATAGAAGACATATTTTTTAAGCTTGAAAGTGGGCTCAATTTTTTAGGAATTTTAGGCCTTGAGGATAAAGTCCTAGAGGATACAAAAGAAACAGTATGAGCCCTTAAAAATGCTGGGATAAAGTTCTGGATGGTAAGCGGAGACAGTGAAGATAATTCATTATGTGCAGGCGTTGCTTCTAGAATTTTTGACCCTGATTTAAGAGTGGAGAGGTTGTCAGATTTCTCTTCAGAATTAGACTGTAAGCTGGGGATGATTAGTCAAATCAGAAAGAACTTTCTGACGGCTCAAGTCCACGTTGAAGAGAACAATTATAAGACAGACCACTGCCAGATTTCACCTGACGACAGCTTTGCAAGTATGTCCAACGATAAAATGGATTCAAAACACAGCACACATTCAACCCAACTGACAGTTCTTCCAAGCGAAAGAAAACACAGAATACCAATTGTTGCTCAAATTGCCCCTGAAAACTTGGAAACTCCTATTTTTAGCCTGCCGATCTATGATATCACAGGCTTCACCCTATCTGTAGATAGAAGTGGCTTAGAGTTTGGGCTTTGTTCAGAAGAGAACAGAAAATATTTCGCAGTCTTGCTCTGCGCGGCTCAAAGTGTTTGCTTTCATTCATTTCTCCCCAGAGATAAAACCAAGATCGCAAAATTTTTGAGACACAATTTTTCTTATAACCCAATTTTTTTAGCGATTGGAGATAGTCAGTGCGATGTAGGAATGATTCAAAAGGCTCATGTAGGGGTTGGAATTACTGGAACAAGGACAGCCTATTCTGGGCATATATCTATAGCAAAATTCTCGCTTTTGAAAGAACTATTGCTGTGCCATGGTCACTGGTTCTATATCCGTGCATCGAAAATGGTCCTTATGATATTTTTTGCTAACTTCTTACTTGGGTGAATAATGTTTTGATATACCACTACAGGCCATTCCTATTCCTACCAGCTTTTTGGGGAATATTTAATTGCCTGCTATCTGTTTGTCTTTACGCTGATCCCAGCATTGGCAGTTGGGATGTGGGATAAAGACTTAAATAGAGAGCAGATATCATTATATCCTCAAGTATATAGCACTCTTTTACATAATACACTACTTTCTACGTCTCAGTTTATTTCAATTCTTGCACTTGCACTCGTTCATTCATTTGTGATTTTTTTTGCAATTTATTGTTTTGAAATTATTAATGATAACGGATCTACCTTGAACCTTTCAACTCTGGAATGGGCAATCTATATAGCGATGACTTCAACAGCTGCAGTAATTATTTTCATAGAAAGTGCTTCCTTCAATTTGTGGACTATTATTTCTCATTTTATAGCAATTATATTGCTAGCAGCTTTTATCAATATAGCTTCAATCTTTATGGAGGAAATGTATGGGAATATGGAAGAGTTCAATGAGTCATTTTTGCTTATTTTGTTCGTTATTATGGGGCAGCTAGCTGTTGTGATGATTTCATATGGAATCAAGTCTTGAACTTCACTGTTCATCCCAAGCTTAGCTGATTTTGCTAACATGACTAAGAGCAAGCTTATTGTTAGAGTCAAATCAAAAATTGAGGCTTTCCAGAACAACTTGCAGGCTATTTATAAAAAGACTAAAAACTTTAAGGAAAGCCAAACAAGTTTCGATATCAATGCACTGACCTTGAAATTTACATCTAAAAGTAGAGAGGCTCAATATATGGAAGAAATCAAAGCCAGCAATATGAAGTCATATAGACTTCTCATGCTTTCATTATACTTGCTGTTCATTGATTTTTTTGTTGATTCATACTTCACTGTATCAAACCCTGATGAGTATTTTCCATTTATGATAAGCATTGTCTCTGTTTACAGTATTTTGATAATCACCATTTTTACCAAATATTTCCAACAGCATTTGGAGACACTGATATTTTTCACCAGGCTATTCAACACTGTGATCGTAATTATTGCAAAACTAGTTTATGCGACTTTTGACCCAATAATTTATACAAATTGGCCTCCGCTCTTCTTAATAGGAACCAGCCTTCTGTGAATCGAAATGTTATCAGCAACAATCCTTTGCTCAATAATCACAACAACAATAGTCACCTATGACTTTTTCTATGAATTGGATTTTTCTGATGCTGTAGTGGCTAGCTTAGAATTCTTTATTCTCTATGCTTCACTTATCGTTATAGCATCTCTTATTGGCTACGTAATTGAAAAATGAAATAGAAAGCGTTATATCCTATTAAAAAGGGTCGAAATTGAAGTGGAAAAATCCATGCAAGTTCTCAATGTTGTTCTGCCATCTTTTGTAAGAAAAAGAGTCAAAGATGGCTGCAGGTATATCGCAGAAGACCAAGGAGTTGTGACTGTCCTGTTTTGTGAAATTTGTGACTTTGAACGAATAGTTTCTGATTACCCACATACAGAATTATCATATTTTATTGACGATATTTTTAAAAAATTTGATACGGTGTGTGAGTCTACTGGGATGACAAAAATTGAAACTGTAGGGAAAGTTTATATGGCTTGTGGAGGGCTGAATGACAGCGATGCTGAAATTTCTCAAGTGTTCAGAGAGGTTTCTCATACAAGACGAGCAATAGAAATGGGGCTTGGACTCATTAGCGCTGCTAAGAAAGTAAGGTTGAGGAAAGAAAAGCAGCTACAGGTCAGGGTTGGAATACATACAGGGCCAGTTGTGGCTGGAGTTGTAGGTTTTCATAAGCCCCAGTTTTCCCTTGTAGGCGATACAGTAAACACAGCCAGCAGAATGGCCTCAACCATAATAGATCCTGACCGTGTCCAAATTTCGAAGTCTACTTATCATCATCTGGAAGAAAGAGATGGCCTTCATTTCACAAAACAAACCATCGACGTCAAAGGAAAAGGTGAAATGAAAACTTACTATGTGAAACCTGGAGAAATACTGCGCTGCAAAGCAAGAAGCACCACAAAAAATATGTTTACAAGCCCAATAAAGAAAGTAAGTAGTGGCTTCCAAAATCCTTATAATGTTAAAAGAAGCTCCAGCGATTTTAAATCTTTTACCCCGCTGAGCGCTAAAAAGACATCTACAGTTGCGCCTGAGCTGATGGAAGTTATGGATGCGACAGACCTTTTTGGCAAAACTGAAGCCAAAGTGTTTGAGCCTATAAAAATCTTTACTTCAATATTTTATGAAGATGAGAAGGAAAAAGAAATAAGGATGCAGATGCTTGAAAGCAATAAATCGATTTTGTTTTATGGGCTGCTTTGCTTTGTTCTGTGCAATTTATCTATGGCTGGGATTCAAGCGATTCACACAATGTGGTTTGGAGATGAAAGCTTTAAGGCCTTCCTTGATTTTTTCTTTTATATTGCTGACTCCCCCCCCTCCGTGAGTGAGCAAAACCATTAGAAAAATCGCTATTTTTTGCCCAAAAACCCACCCTCCGTGAGTGAACAAAAATTTTTTAATACAAAAAATTTTTATGGAAAAAAATTTTGATATATAAATGATAATTAGTATAATGAAATCTAGAGCTAATTCTGTTTAATTTTGAACGAATTGCTTTTTAAAACATAAATTTTATAAATTAAATTAATATTTGCTTTCCAATTTTTGCGAATTAGATTTTTTTAAATTTCGAAAAAAAATATTTTTTATAAAATTTATATATAAATTTTTTAAAAAAAAAAAATTAACCCCCCTCCGTGAGTGAACAAAATTTTTTTTTCACTCACGGAGGGGGGGAGTGAGGCTTTTGCTTATGGGATACTGCTGGTGTTTTTAAAAATAAATTACCGCAACAAGCTATTTGCTTGATGTCTAGAAGTCTGTTACCTTTTGTCTATCTCCTACAGCATAATCACCAATCTTGTCCTGAACAATCCTAACTTAGAAATTATAAACGAGACATACATCCTTTTTATGATTTTGGTTTCAAGCCAGTGCTCCTTCACCTTTTTCAAGAACACTTTTCTCTTCTCAATCTGCATTTCAATATTCTACGTTATCTCATTAGTCATTATTGATATAAACTACTTAAGACATCACATTTTATTTTCTGTGTTTTTTGTGGTTATTGTGATATCCACAACTTATCTAAGAGAAAAGGACTTGAGAGTATTTTATGCGCTAGAAGAGTATGCAAGTTCGGAGCTGAAGAAGACAGAAGACTTGCTAACGCAAATGATGCCGCCTCATGTGTATCACAATTTGAAAGAAGAAGTCGCTAACACAGATACATTTACTGAGGTCACGATTCTATATGCTGATATTGTAGGGTTTACTGCTTGGTCTTCAGACCACAATGCTTCTGAAGTTGTGGGGATGCTTTCAGAACTTTACACAAGATTTGATAAAAAATGTGTTGAAAATAACGTCTATAAAGTCCATACAATTGGAGACTGCTACGTAGCAATTGGACTTATGGGAAATGATAACAGAGACCCAGCGAACGAATGCTTAAATATAGTAAATTTTGCGTACTCTCTACAGGAAATCATTGGAGTCGTTAATGAAGAACTCTTTTTAAATCTCAGCATGAGAATAGGAATCCACACAGGAAAAATAATTGGCGGAATCGCTGGGACAAATATAGTGAGGTACGATATTTATGGAGACGATGTTTCAGTTGCAAATAAGATGGAGAGCCATGGAGTTGGTGGATCTATCAACGTAAGTGAAGTTACCAAAAATATTATCGAAAAATATAAGCCTGGAATGTTTAATTTTACGTTCAACAAAGAAATCGAAATTGATGCTATCAAAAGAAATGTTAAATCATATTTTATTAATTTTAAATAAAATTAACTAATTTAAGAAAAGTGATTAAAAAAATAAAACTGGCATTTTCATTTCCAGAATTTATAAATTGTCAGTAAATACTTTGAGTTGTATTAAGCTAAACTTTAAATAGTTATTAAAATTTTATTACATGAAGCTTTGAAGAGCAATTTGTGTAGCATAAATCTTGGAAAAGTCATTTTTTTGATCCACTGTCGAATAAATTAAACCATAAAGATAGTGAAAGTTTACAATTTAAGATTAAACTATAAATAATGCCGGATAAACACAAGAAAAGCTGCAAGCAACCTGAAAATGCAGCAAACATTAGGACTATCAACTTACTGAACAGCCAAGTTTCGAAGCATTTATCTCAAAGTAATGCGATTGTAACAGCTCATTATTCTCTAATGAACTTCATTCCCAAAACAATATTCGAGCAATTTCGTCAGTTATGGTACTTATGGTATTTATTTGTTATTATTCTCGAATTGTATTTTAGTGGATACACAAAGGACGCTATTATTGACTTGGTTCCTTTTTCTGCAATCTTCATTTTGAGAGTTCTTTCTGATGGATACATTGACCTTAAAAGACACAGATACGATAATGAGATAAATAACCTTGAGTTTAAATCGCTCTCTACTGAGAAGATTGAGACCAAAAAGAGCAAAAATATATCTGTTGGCGATGTCTTATTGATAAATGGAAATAGCAAAGCACCTGCAGATTTAATTGTTTTATGCACCTGTGAAAATAAGCAGGAATTTCATGTCGACATGACAGAAAACATAGGAGAAATGCAGTTTGATATAAAAAAGCCTACAAAGGAAACTAGATTTATATCAAGCTCATTAGGGTTATATGAAACAATGGACGAGCTCAGTAAATGTAATGCAACAATAAGAATTCCAGAAGAAAGGCCGGTCAAATTTTCAGGGTCGATAAAATTGAGGTCAAACCCGAAATCTACTCAATTGCAGGAATGTAACTATATAAAAAGTGGTGCAAAGATTCTAAATATTGACTGGATTTATGCAGTTGTAATATACACAAATGGTGACATTAAAAAGAATAAAAAGGTGATTAGAAGACTATCACTTTTAGAAACAAGGCTCAACATTGTTGTTTTTTGGATGATTGCTATATCCCTTATGCTGACTTTTTTAAGCTGTATGATTAATATATTTGGCTTTAGCCTCAAGTTTGGAGACGATAATCTTCATTTCACCATCAACTCCATACTTTTATTCCATAGACTTGTACCACCTTGCTTATTTATATGTATCAAGATTTTTCAGTTGATTTTTACTTTAAAAATCTCCAAAAAAATCCCAGGCATAAAATTCAATACATTTGATGTCTGCGAAGAACTGGGGCAGATAGAGTATATAATTACTGACAAAACAGGTACAATTACATCGAATAATGTACTTTTACCTATATGTATATTAGATGGTGAAACTTATATAAGGGATCGGCTAAAAGAAACAGAGCAATATGAAGAATCGACTAGTCAGAGAATAATGAACGTCAAGAATTTCAGCACTTTTAGTGATTTAAAGATTGAACTTGCAGAGCATAAGGAGACTTTTTCGCCAGCTTATTATTTTGTGATGTGCATGGCTGTTTGTAATATTTCAGGAGTTGTTGGACAGGAGGTGTCCAATACTTTCTCAATTGAAGATCATGCGATGGCAGGAGCTAGCAATGAACTTGGGGTTGAAGTAATTTCAAGGTCAAATAAAAAAATAAAATTGGACTATTGGGGCACTGAAGTTGACCTTGATATTATAAGCTCAAAAGGATATTCCAATAAGCTTCAAAAATCGAGAATAATGGTAAAGGACTCTTTTAAAGGCCAAAACATTTTATATGTAAAAGGGAGAAAAGCAGAAATGCTACGATCTTTTACAGCTTCACAGTCATTTCGGCACTATATGGAAAACAACGGCTATGAAACACAGATGTCTGGGAAGAAACTCATTTTTGTCGGTTATTGCACCTTTACTGACGTTGAAATTGAAGAATTTAAGTACTCTTATAAAATTGCTAAAGCCTCTCCTGTGAACAGCGAAGGGAAAATTGAAGATCTCTTCACTAATTTAGAGTTAAAGCTGAATTTCTTAGGTATTATTGGGCTTGAAGATGAAGTCCATGAAGATACAAAAGAAGCAGTTTCTTTACTCTCTGAAGCTGGCATCAAGTTTTGGATGGTAAGTGGGGACAGCGAAGAGAACTCTATATGTACAGCAATTTCTTCAAAAGTTATTGACTCGAATACAAAGATCGTTATGCTGAATGAGCTTACATCAGAGCTTGACTGTAGGCTCGAAATGATAAATCTCATTAAGACAACTTTTGCGAACGTGAATTTACCATTTAATGAGGAGGTTAGTGAGGAATCTAAGGAGAGTGCTGATGACGATGATGCAGCCGAAGAAATCAATTTATTTGCTACAGGGACAAACCATTTGGAAATCAGGAGAATGAGACGCATCCCGACAATTGTTTCTCATTTAGCCCACTCAAAAAATGTGGAAATGCCGACATTCGAGCCTCCTGTAGGCTAGGAGGTTTTATCCAAATTATGGTGTATGGCAATAGCAGAAATTAGATACAGTAGAAGATTAAAAGACAGGCTAGAAAAGTATTTGATAAAAAACAGATGTATGAAAGATATACAACTATTTCAATTTATAATTAATAGTAATTTTAAGAAAAAATAGTAATAATTACACAAACTCTGGAGCTTGAACTCTAGACGAAATAAGATAGAGAGGAATTTTACAAGATTCATAAGCTAGGACATTAATAAATTATAAATGGTATGAACTTATTGAATTGACAACGTGCTCCAAAAATAATTAATTTTTTTTGAATAAATGCCTGGATATACGCTTTTATAACTCCAAGAGATACTTTATTGAATTTCAGGGATAGGACCTTTTATAATTCACATTCTCACGGTACTGTTTATTTCAAAAATTTTGAAACATAGTGTATGACTTCTAAATATTGATGATGCCGAATAGTTATTCAATAAAATAAGTGCACAGATTTCATACAAATAGAACATAAAGTTTGCGGCAATCTAACTTAAGATAAGATAGCCTTCACAATATTTGAGATTAAAAATGCAAAATAATAATTATAAGAAACTGCACTTAATAAACTATATCAGGTTGAACTTTTGTAAATTATCATCCAAAGCATACATTTTTTTTTTAACTGTGAAAGCAATTTTGCAATTTTTTTGTTTTTATAGCTCGCATTATTGCACTCTTAATCTATTTAAAATAGACTAATAAGTGTAATATAATAATATTGCGCACATTACTAAATACCCTCCCTCCTCTCCGTAAGCTAACAAGATCTTTTGGCCGATCATGGAAGGGTTAAAATTTTTTTAAAAAATTTATATTTAAAATTTATAGACAATTGTTTTTCGAAATTTTAAAAAACTCCCACTACGCAAAAATAGAAAGCGAATACTAATTTAATTTGTAAAATTTATCTATTAAAACTCAATTTATTTAAAATTAAATAGAATTAGCTAGAGATTTCATTATACTAATTATCACTTATAAATCAAAAAAATTTTTCAATAAAGAATTTTTTATTATAAATTTTTGTTTGCTCACGAGTGTGAGTTTTTGGGTTTAAAAAAAAATTTTAACCCTTCCATGATCGGCCAAAAGATCTTGTTAGCTTACGGAGAGGAGGGGGAGGGTATTTAGTAATGTGCGCAATATTATTATATTACACTTATTAGTCTATTTTAAATAGATTAAGAGTGCAATAATGCGAGCTATAAAAACAAAAAAATTGCAAAATTGCTTTCACAGTTAAAAAAAAAATGTATGCTTTGGATGATAATTTACAAAAGTTCAACCTGATATAGTTTATTAAGTGCAGTTTCTTATAATTATTATTTTGCATTTTTAATCTCAAATATTGTGAAGGCTATCTTATCTTAAGTTAGATTGCCCGCAAAACTTATGTTCTATTTGTATGAAATCTGTGCACTTATTTATTGAATAACTATTCGGCATCATCAATATTTAGAAGTCATACACTATGTTTCAAAATTTTTGAAATAAACAGTACCGTGAGAATGTGAATTATATAAAGGTCCTATCCCTGAAATTCAATAAAGTATCTCTTGGAGTTATAAAAGCGTATATCCAGGCATTTATTCAAAAAAAATTAATTATTTTTGGAGCACGTTGTCAATTCAATAAGTTCATACCATTTATAATTTTTATTAATGTCCTAGCTTATGAATCTTGTAAAATTCCTCTCTATCTTATTTCGTCTAGAGTTCAAGCTCCAGAGTTTGTGTAATTATTACTATTTTTTCTTAAATTTACTATTAATTATAAATTGAAATAGTTGTATATCTTTCATACATCTGTTTTTTTATCAAATACTTTTCTAGCCTGTCTTTTAATCTTCTACTGTATCTAATTTCTGCTATTGCCATACACCATAATTTGGATAAAACCTCCTAGCCCCTCCTGTATGTGAGTTCACTGATTTTTCTCTTTGTGTTGATAGATCAGGGCTAGAATATGGCCTACAATCAGAAGAAAACAGAAAATATTTTGCTATTTTATTGTGTGCAGCTAAAAGTGTCTGCTTTTATTCTCTGCTACCAGAAGACAAAACTAAAATCGCAGGATTTTTGAGATACAATTTCTCATATAGTCCTTTATTTCTTGCAATAGGTGATGGAAAAAGCGACTTAGGAATGATCCAGTCTGCCCATGTCGGTATTGGTTTAGAAAATTCTAATTTTTCACATTTACCTCATATTTCTATCTCAAAATTTTCTCAAATTAAAGAACTTGTGCTGTTTCAAGGGCACTGGAATTATGCAAAAATATCGAATGTAGTGCTCATGATCTTTTTTAAAAATTTTCTGCTGGTGCTGATACTCTTTTTTCATTGCAACGCATCTAAGTCATATGGAGGGAGCCTTTTTGAGCCTGAAATGGTGGCAATTTATCTATTTTTATTTATAATGCTTCCAACTGTTACAGTTGGAATTTTTGATGAGGATTTGGAACGATGGCAAATTTTAAAGAACCCTCAAGTGTATAGCATTTACAGACAGAACCTTTTATTAAATTATTGGTCCTTTTTGTGGATATTTCTGATGGCTCTTTTTCAAGCCTTGATTATTTATTTTCCAATGTATTTGATTAGGACCACTGATGATCAAGGATTCACTTTAAGTTTGGCTTGTATGGAATGGGTTTTATATTTTTCAATGGTTGGAGGATCTCTGCTGTATGTCCTTGTGGAAACTCGATCATTACATAAATGGACTCTTCTTTCATATCTGATTTCGGTTATTTCATTAGTAGTTTATAGCATTGTATTATCAAATTATGATGATTACGACAACTACGGATATTTGGATGTGATAAATGGGTCCCCAGTTTTCTTTCTATACATTTTATTGACCTTGATGGCTTGCTTTGTGATAATTTATGTAAGGAAAACGTTCCGCTCATTATTCGTCCCAATCTTGACAGATTTTATCCAGTCGCTCAAAGATTTTGATCTTATAATAAAGCTCAAGTCCAAAGCTGAGATCTTCAAAGACAACTTAGATGCAATTTACAAGAAAACTAAGTATATCAATCAAAGCACCAGCACCTTTGAAATGAGCAAATGGACGCTAAAATTTATTTCTAAAACTCGAGAAGCTGAGTACATGGATGAAAAGAAAAAAGTAAGCTCGAAGACCTTAAGAGTGCCTTGGCTCTTACTATTTGTATTAATAATTGGCTTCTTGATAGACTCATACTTTAAGACTCCAGACCAAAGAGCTTATTTATCATTTATGTGTATTTCAATTTTCATCTATTGCATTCTAATTACTGTTGTCTTCTCAAGCTATTACGAGAAATACTACAAATGCATTATTATTATCATAAGAACTTACACAACAGTGATAGTTATACTATTAGAGCTCGTATTTGAGATATTTGATCCAATTGTTTATACCAACATTTCTCCCTTATTTACAATAGGAACGAGTTTTTTCTGGTTTGAAATGATTGTAATGTCATCTATCAGTGTCCCAATCTTGACGATTGTGCAGATTTATGCATTTATTATAGAATACTCAGTTGATATTGGCCTGATCTATGCAATTGAATTTATGACCATCTTAATATCCATTGTGCTACAAGCTGCAGTCATTGGCTATTTCACGGAGAAATCAAACAGAAAACGGTATGTGCTCATGAAAAAAGTGGAAATTGAAGTTGAGAAATCACAGCAGGTTTTAGATGTCGTACTTCCAGCCTTCGTCAGGAAAAGGGTGAAAGATGGGATAAGGTATATTGCAGAAGATCAAGGAGTCGTTACTGTGCTCTTTTGTGAGATTTGCCAGTTTGAAGAAATTATTTCTGCATTCCCTCAGTCAGAAGTATCATATTTTATCGATGATATCTATAAAAAGTTTGATATGGTATGCGAATCAACAGGAGTTGCCAAAATAGAAACTGTGGGAAAGGTTTATATGGCTTGTGCAGGCCTTACTGACAGTGATGCTGAAATGTCAGCTTCTTTTAATACTGTGCATCATTCAAGAAGGGCAATTGAAATGGGTTTGGGAATTCTTGGAGTTATCAAACAAATAAGGTTGAGAAAGCCTTTGCAGGTAAAAATTGGAATTCATACTGGACCAGTTGTAGCTGGAATTGTTGGCTTCCATAAGCCTCAGTTTTCTTTAGTAGGAGATACTGTAAATACTGCCAGTAGAATGTCGACGACAATTGAAACCCCAAACTCAATACAAATTTCTGAAGACACTTATTCATATTTAGACGACAAGTCTGGGCTCTATTTTACGAAGAAATTGATTGAAGTCAAAGGAAAAGGCACGATGAGGACTTTTCTTGTCAAATCAGATGAGCTTAATGATATTAAATCAGGGAGAAGAAGAACTCAAGGGCCAGCACCTCTACCAAATGAATTAAAAAGACTCAATACAAACTCATACAACATGGCTAAAAACCTATTCCTTACTAACGAGTTATCTCCGATCGTGCCAACATCAGGCAGAAAATCATCATTTCATGACTCGGAATTTGTTGATGATACTGATTATGGAATAATTTCAGCGAAGTTATCATCAGAATCTCCAGAGCCTATCAAGATTACATCATTTATTTTCTCCTACAGCTCAAAAGAAGCAGCTCTCAGGTCTCAGATGTTAGAAACTAATTACCCAATATTGGTGCGAAGCTTTCTGGTATTGTTGTTCTGCAATTTAACTATGACAGCATTAAGCATTGCTGAACTATTTATAGACGACCATGACGTTAAATACAAATTCTTGGACATTTTCTTTTACTTTGCCATGTTTTTGGCTTATGGAACTCTTTTATTCTTGTTCAAGAATAATTACGAAAATGATTAATTAAATCTTAAGGTGTCTAACGTCACACTCCCTAATAAAGGGACTGAGCTAAATTGGTGTCTTCATGGGCATTTTTGTAACCCTTTGGTCAAACTATCTCAAATAAAGCGCTAACAAATCTAACTCACGTTTAACCCTGAGGTTATTGAGTGCACTCGGAGCAGTATATTAGCCCTATGTGACCAGAAGTCTCTATGTAAAGCCAAACTCTGTTATAAAATTCCATGAGGTAGAGAAAATTGGCAGAGGTAATTTCAGTCATTGAATGCTTTTATTTATATTCAAGAATAATTATAAGTCCCTTACATTTGCTTGGGTTTTGAGATTTACATATTCTTTATCAATGATCTGGACAATCCTTATAAACATCCTTCAGGATGACTCCAAAATAGAAATAATAAAAGAAGCTTATGTGCTCTTCATGACTCTTATTTCAAGCCAATGCGTCTGCAATTTCTTCAAAAACACTTTCCTATTCACTGCCTTTATTTCAGCATTTCACGCAGCAGCTTTGCTAATAATAGATCCCTACTATATTAGCCACCATGTCTTCTTTTCCATATTTTTCACAATAATTTGCTTACTTATTGCCTATTTTCGAGAGCGAGACTTAAGGATATTTTTTGCCTCAGAAGAATACTCCAAAAAGGAGCTAAAGAAAACGGAAGATTTATTGACTCAGATGATGCCTCCCCATGTATATCATAACTTAAAAGAAGAAGTCGCGAATACGGACTCTTTTAACGAAGTCACAATTTTATATGCAGATATTGCAGGCTTTACTCTGTGGTCTTCTTACCACAACGCAAAAGAAGTCGTTGGGATGCTTTCGGAGCTTTATACAAGATTTGATAGAAAATGCGTCGAAAACAATGTATATAAAGTGCACACAATAGGTGACTGCTATGTGGCTATTGGGTTTTTAGGTACAGAAGAGAGAGATCCAGGCGAAGAATGCTTGAATATTATCAATTTCGCTAATTCTTTGAACGAAATTATCAGTGCAATAAATCAGGAACTTTTTTTAAACTTAGGCATGAGAATAGGCATCCATACAGGGAACATCATTGGTGGGATTGCTGGGACAAGCATTGTGAGGTATGACATTTATGGAGACGACGTGCTTATTGCCAACAAAATGGAAAGCAGCGGAGTTGCAGGCTCAATCAACGTGAGCGAAGCCACCAAAAACTTAATAGAAAGCTATAAGCCAGGAATGTTTACTTTCAATTCCCACAAGGCAGTGGAAATTGAGTCAATCAACCGCACTGTCAACTCTTTCCTGATTGTCAAAAATTAGAAATATTGTAATCTAATTTCAAAATTTAGAATAATAAATAAGCTACTTGAAGCTCCAAGTAAATTACATCGTCTAGATCTTGTTCATCAGGAGCTTGGTGAACTCTTCCATATCAAACTCTCCCCTTCCATCAGGGTTCGCCTCCCTGACGAGCTCGCTCCACAAGTTCAGATCGTATTCTTCTCTATCCGCAAGAACGCTCATGAAGTCTGCAACTGAAATTTTCCCGGTTTTATGCTTATCCAAAATTGAAAAGGCAGCCAAAAGGTTTTCGTTGGAAAGTAGCACCTTTTTGTCGATGGTGGCTCTTAAATACTCTGTAAACTCAATGTATCCGTCATTGTTGCTATCTACATTCATCAGGATTTCTTCAGCTTGGGTATAAGCAGCATCTCCTGGAACAATGCCACTTAATTGTTCGAAAAGGTCCTCTTTACCGATTTTTCCGTCCCCGTCATGGTCTAAAATGACAAAAGCATCTCTCAGCTCTTTGAGTTCTCTATAATTGACAAGCTGTGAAGTAATAAAAGTCAGAATTGCGTCTCTCAATTTCAAAGTGCTTCGGAAGTCTTGCAAGTTTGTGATTACTGCTTTTAGCACAGGTGCTTCAACTGTTGGCCTGCTTCGGTTAAGCCACGGGTGGCTTAAAGACTGCGAAGCAGAAATTCTTTCATTTAAAGGAGCTATCAGTTTTTTTATTAGGTCAATGGCTTCTGGTGAAATTAAGCTGAATTCTGGAGAATCTGTTTTATAAGCTCCCTCTTTTACTTTTGCAATGATTTCTTCATCAGTTTTGCCTCCAAACGGAGGATTGCCTGTTAGCAAAATATACATGATCACCCCACAACTCCAAACGTCACATGCTTCGTTATATGACCCAGCAAATACTTCAGGGGCCATATAATAGGCAGTCCCTATAACCCCAGTAGTTTCATGGTTTTGATCCAAATAGCAGGCAGTCCCAAAATCTGCTATTTTTATATTTAGCTTTCTGCTTCTCTCCTCAACCATGATATTTTCTGGTTTCAGGTCTCGGTGGATAACTCCCATTGAATGGCAAAATGCTACAACTGACATCAACTGCCTCATTATCAAGGCAGCATCGTCTTCACTGAACTTAGCCATCTTCTCTATTTTGTTGAAGAGTTCGCCACCTTCGCAGTACTCCATAACTAAATAGTAGTTCTTTGAGTCTTCGAAAAAGTCATAGACTCTGATAATGTTAGGATGGTCCAATTTCCTTACTCCCTACCCAGAGACTTTTTAATATATTAAATTTATAATTTTATTTCGTTTTTTGAAATTTTTTAAATTTAGAAAAGCATCTTTAATATAAATTTATTAATAAAAAAAAAAACTCTCAATAATCGTGTAAAATTTAATCATGCTCATTGAGGGGTAGTTAGAATTTCCATTTCTTCGAGCATTTTCCCTTGCTGAGTTGAATTTGGACCAAAAAGCTCTTTTGAGTAAATTTTTACAGCACGCAGAGCCCCAGTTATACGGTGGGTGCACCTTCTGACCTCTCCAAAGCCACCTAGCCCTATTCGATTTCCTTGCATGTAGACTTCAGAAAAAGGAGAGAGCTGCGTTTTTATAAAAGTCCCTGCACAAACTTTCATGTTTTTCTTCTGAGGTGAAGTTGTTAGTGGTGAAATTATTATTTGCTTATTTGGATTTGAAGATCCGCAACAGCCCATTGTTTTTATAATACTGATAGAAATGGTTTTAGGATTAAACTTAGATAAATCAAAGCAGAATTTTTTTATTTAACTCATTTTTTTAATATATATTTATTTTGGGATAGTGTCGTAAAATTATCTCAAAGGATAATTATGAAACTAGAAATTATTAAAATGGTAAATCAAGCAAAGAATAAGACTACAGATATACTCTGAAAATCAAAAGAAGGATAGAGCAATTCAATGCTATAAGAATGATGAAATAAACAAAGCAAGATAATTAAATCCCACTGCTGATATGAATTCTTTTAAACAAACTTTATAAGTCAGCAACCTATATCAAAGAGCTCTTGAAATAATAAAGCTTGAATTTCTCAGAACACACACAAGCCAACTTTTAATTTAAATTATCCTAAATCACAAGTTTAAAACCTAATTCACAAGCAAATAGCTTTATAATTCTCTAATTTTGAAATGATCGAAAAAGATCCCACTATTTTCATTTTGAAAGAATATCTGAGCAGAAGATATATATTTAATGAAGCGATAAAAGCCCATCCCTGCTATTTTCAGCAATCCTAGCCTTTATAATTGCATCCCGCTCGCGCCATACTTTTATTAATAAAATTATGGTGTTTTTACGGCTCACGTCTACGCTAATAAGAATAGGTAGCTTTTATTGCCGTCAGCCGGTTCGAGCATTCTCAAGCCACTATGACTATCCACCAGACGTGCCAGCCCCTCACCGCACATCAAACCCTGTGATCCAGTTAAGTATTCGCCTTTCTAAAGCGTCCAGTATTTTCGAAATCTACAGCATCCTAGAATCTCCAAAAGCAATCTTATCCCACACAACTTTCGCCCTCCGCATAATAGGCCGCATTATTAAGCACGCTCCATCAAAAAAGTACTATCTCCTAGACAAGAGATTTTTCGATTTATTAGCTAAATTGGAAGAAGGGATCGATCAATTGGGAAACCAAGAAATCAATGATATCTCATTTTTTTGGAGAACTTACCTATTGGTATGCAAAAGGGATCTTTTAACTGTGGAAGGAGAGAAAAAATACATAAAAAGAATGCATGAACTGATTGACGAAAACGCATTTATGTTCAGACACTTGGTTAGCATCATATATGACTTATCTGTTATTGGAATCACAAGTAAAAAGCTGGATGAGGCAATAATTAATGGTCTTATGAACAAAAACGAAATCATGAACGCAGCAGACCTCAAGCAGATCCTGATAAGCTGCATTAAGAATAAAAGAGAGTCATCAAAAAGCATGATTTCTTTGTGCTTAGAAAGGCTAGATAGCGTTGAGGAAGAAAGAATGGACACCATGCATTCAATCATTTTATTGCAAGAACTCCAACAAATTGGTTCGCCGGATGAATATCCTCAACTAAAAGACATATTTTCTAAGATCTGCAACATCATAGAGAAGAGAATATCAGCACTGACTGAGTTCGAAGTTCTCAACTCAATTGAATTTCTCGCTCCAAGGGTTCCTTTCAAAATGCCGCTCTTTATATCTCTTTTGGAGAAAATCAAGGTAAATCTGGAAAAAGACCCCGGAGGCTTTTCGAAGTGGTTTATAATTGGAGCGCTTCGGGTCGCTCTAAACACAGACAAAAGTATTTGCCCGACTGGGCTGGAAGATCTTGCTATACAGGATATTGTAGGGAAAATTAGGAATAATGTATTTCCTTTTACAGATATAGAAGAAATAATCACTGTTTATGAGAAGTCAAATCTATGCATGCCGTATGAGTTAGGCTTGGCAATCAAAAATATAAACGCGTCTGGAAAAATTGATCCTAAATGATTATTTGGAGAAATTACGAAAAGGTTCGGAAATGTGAAGGTTCTGGATAAGAACAAACAGGAGGTACTTTTAACAGATTTCATAAATGCTCAAAATAATAATTAATATGATTCAATTTTAATTATGCTATCTTAAGCTATTTTAACCATATAGTTATGCTAAATTTTGGTTCCCAGCTTGCATTAAAACTAATTAAACTATATTGGTCTATTAAGTTAGAAAGCTCACATTTATTTGTTAAATTAATAGCAAATGCTGCTCAGGAACCTTCGAAGAGGTGTTTTTTATTCCAAAAACAAGAGGTTCGACATCTCTAAGCCTTACTCTGACACTCGAGATGCTCAGCTAATTTACAGGTTCCAAGAAAACAACTTGGACTCCAACGCTGCTGGACTTCATGTCATACACATGCTCAAAAGAGCTGCTGTGACTGCAGCTTTCATCATTGGCACCGGCTATTATTTCATATTTCATGGCAGCTCAATGAAAGAAAAATTTGAAATCAAGTACCTGAGCAACCTTCCAGCTAAAGACTATGATGCTTCAGATTATGATTACAAGTTCTGGGAACTGGTTCTTACGAAGCCACACGAAGAATATGGCAGACTAATCAGCACAGACAACATTGCTAAGGATAGATATGCACTCGTGTATCATGGAGAAATCACTGGGAGCCATATGGCAATGCAAAGGTTTTCCAGGCTTCAGCGATATGTCTTACTAAGGAAAACTATTTTACTGGAGTCTCTTTTTGTTGCTATGGATGAGCAGATTTCTCCAGACACTCTGGCACAATATGTGGCGACTTATTCGAAAGATATGCTTGCTGCTTATCCTGCAAATGAAGAAGTGAGGAGCGGGCTGAAAGAGGTTTTCCAGAATATTGGGTGCATATATTTGCTGGAAAAGAACACAGGAAATGTTATTTATATCATCGACCCGAAAAAACACCCACTGGAAGTTATGAGTCAGAGAATCATTTATATCATTTCTAAGCATGAAGATATGAAAATGAGCAGAGAAATTGCTACGAGTGGCTTTGATTTTAGAAGAGGACAGGAAGATAAACTAGAGATGAAGTCTCCCACTTATTAGCTAAGTTTATTTTATTGCTAAAATGATTTGATCTAAATATAAATTCATCGTTTTCATAATATATTTAAGGTTGTCAATAAACCCAGAACTACCCTTAACTCTCTTAGATCTGACTTATAAACTGAGCCCTGCATCCTCTTATTAGAACTTCAAATCATTTCTCAATTTTCAAAATTCTCCTTGCATAATCATAGCGAAGCCTAGAAATCCTTATCCACTTTAACTAAAACACCTACAATTTCTTCGTCTCTTTCAAACTTGGCACTTTTTGGATAATTTCCCTTAAATATCAATATTTTCTTAAATAGCTAAAGATAACTCAGCAAATCAAGTTTATTAAATCTAAATAAAATTATATGATAAAGTGTTATAGCTTAACTTTAAAATATAATCAAAAATATTTTATTTATAAATATCTAATATTTTATTTTTTAGCACGTTTTACTGCTTTTCGCTTATTGGAAGCATAAAATATCATTTAGATAATACTAATTCTTAAAGGTGGAATTATTATAAGTATTATTAGTAATTTATTGCATTTTGCTTCATCATATTTATAGGAATTTTTATACGTCAAAAATATATGGGTATCTGCACTTCTAACGAGTACTTAAAAATTCAGCCATCCCATGGCCATTTGATATCTAAGTCAGAAGTCTCAAACGCCGCTCGCCTTGAAAGTATTTTCCATTTAGTCATAACAAAACATTACGATTTTATCAAAGTTCTAGGCTACGGACAATTTGGAACAGTCAGAGAAGCCATCAAAATTTCTCCCCACTCTAAAAGTGCAACAGCAAAAAGTGCCCCATCGAATCAAATTCACTACGCAGTAAAATCAATAAGCAAAGAGCGCCTTCAAGACAGCCTGGATCTATTAAAAAATGAACTCATGATACTTCAATTAGTCGATCATCCGAATATAATTAAACTTTATGAAACCTACGAAGATGCCAAATACATTCATCTGGTTACTGAATTGTGCGAAGGGGGAGACCTCTATGAATACCTTATCGACAGAGAAAATTTGTCAGAAAATGAAGTCACTCGAATCATGCAAAAAGTCCTGTCGGCTGTTAATCACCTTCATGCACTACATATTTGCCACAGAGATATAAAACCGGAAAATTTTATGCTTACTAGTAAAAAAGAAGGCGCGGAACTAAAATTGATTGATTTTGGACTATCTGTGAGGTTTGGAGAGGATGGAATGGACACAAAGGTGGGAACCCCTTACTTTTTGGCACCAGAGATATTAAGAGGAGGCTATGGAAAGGAGTGCGATATTTGGTCAACAGGAGTCATGATGTATTTCTTATTGGCAAATAAATACCCGTTTGGTGGGGCAGGTATTAATGATCTTCTTCGGAATATTCAAAAAGCGAATTACTCCTTTTCAGATTTATGCTGAAAGCAGATTTCTCCTCAAGCCAAAGATCTTATTGCTAGAATGCTAGTAGTCCCCCCTCCTGATCGGATTACCATTAATCAAGCTTTAAGGCATGAGTGGTTTACAATGGTCAAGGACAATTGCCAAATAAAAATAGATGGAAATATTTTTGATTCTTTAAAAAAGCACAAGGCCAGAGGTAAGCTGTGGCAAGAAGCAATGAAAGTTTTAGTCAGAAATCTTTCACAAGAACAGCTAGAAGGCCTGCAGAATATTTTCAAAGAAATTGACAGAAAGCAAACAGGATTCATCACAGCGGACGACATCAGAACATGCATGGATAAAAACGGGTTTTATATGGCAAGAGAAGAATTCAATATGCTTATATCAAATATAGAGTATCTTGGTAACGGAAAACTAAATTATACTCAGTTTTTAATTGCTGCACTTGATAAAAAAAAGATTTTTGATGATGAAACGCTCTGAATGACTTTCAATCATTTTGATATAGTAAAAATTATCTAGGATGGTAATGGCAGCATAAGTGTTCACGAATTGAGGTTTGTGTTGGAAAAAGCAGGGTGCTATATATCTGATACTGATATGGACGAAATTCTTGGAGAGTTTCAGCTAGAGTCTGGTGGCACGATGAATTTTGAAGAGTTTAAAAGCATCATGTGGTGTAAGAATTATGCAGGCTTTTCGAATGACTCAAGCGAGATCTCTACAGAAAACGATGATTTATTGTATGCTTCTAGGAGAGGGATGAGAATGCTGTCTCAGAGAAAAATGACAATCCGGAGGACGACTATGATGGGCTCCATGAAAAAGTTAAAAACAAGTTCTCAGTGTGACCTAAACAATTTTTAAATTAATAATAGCATCCTATAGTAATAATATTATACTTAAATTTTCATTAATAATTTGAAATAATATTTTAAAATAAATTCAGATTATTATTTTCAATAGCTAAATTAAATTCTATAACATATTAATTATTTTTTGCTTTAAATGAATAGCTATATGTGTACGTAGATTCTCCAACTGAGCATTGGGCATGCTCTAAGATTGCAAAATGCCCTGTCTCCATTTCCACTGTTATAACACCATTCCCAATTGCATAATTTACATTTGTGGAGTCATTCAAATCTAGCGTCACTTTTTTATTAACCACCGCATTGCTTTTCGCTATAAAGCTTGTGCCATTTGAATGTGTTACCGTATACAGTTTAATTCCAGACATCATTGCCACCTCTTTTCCCTTTGCCTCAGCCAGCAGTCCCCATGCTAAAATGTTATAATTCGGCGACATCAAAGCTTTATTCATATCAACAGGTACCTTTGAATGCAAAGTGAAAACAACTGGCTTTGACTCAATGCTATAGAAATATTCATCATGCCCCAGCTGTGTTACCCATCTTCTAACAGCTTCTTCTCCTTCTGCCTCAATCCCGACCAAAAACAGCTCATATAATCCTTGTAAAGAAACACCTCTTTCAGTCGAAGTATACTTTTGGCAGATTGCGTTGTAAAACTGGGCTTCTGAAAGCCTTTGGCCAATCCTTGCAGCAAGGCCGATAAAATCTCTAGCAGAGAGAATTCCGTCCATATCTGAGTCAAATCTTCTGAATATGTCTTTAATTGTGCTTTGGAAAATGGGATGGAGATCATCAGTTTCTGTTAAAAGCGGGACAAGATGTTTTTCGCCCTCTGGGACTCTGAAGCTGCAGCCTCCACTTATAGGCAGCACAACGTAATATCCTGGGTCAAGAGTTAACTCAAGCTGCACTTGTCTATCTAACAAATTTTTTTCAGTTGATGCAAAGAATACGTATTTGTCAACTTCCCATCTGATCACGACAATTCCTAAATCTAGGTATCTTCTATATTGTTTAGTTCCTACACATCTTTCATCTTCTTGATGAATTCCTAACGTGACCTCAGTCCTGGTCGCCACATTAATTGTATAATACTCATAAGCGACAGCCCCATGGCTTGGGTTTTTTATCATCCAATTCTTTTCTCGCCTTTCATAGCAAAGCTCAGTCTTTCCCATGACTACTCTTTGAAAATAATACAGGAAATCTTGATAGCACATCCAAAACTGGCCATCCGATTTATCAAAAACAGGATGTAGGGCATTAATCATCTCAGGCGTCCATTCTCTCGAATTATCACTCCATGCGCCTTGCCACTCAAAGCTTCCCCATGGGTTTCTGAGCTGAAGCAAGTAATTTCCATGAACTTCAACGACATCTCTAATTGAATAATAATGCCCTGACACCATACCTGAATTTTCATCAATTTCCCCTGAAGTTGCAGCCACCAAGCAATATCTTTGGCTATGCCAATAATTAAGCATCCTCCAAAACTCGCCTGAGTTTATTTTGTCTTCGATCTGGTCGAAATAATACGTAAAAGCAGGCCATCCTGTGATATCAATAAAGGCTTCTTCAGCATAGCCTCCTTTTAGGGATAAATAAGATCCATGAAGTTTCGCATAAGCTTTTTCGATCAGCAGCACCCATAGCTCAGAACCATTATTTTTGCTAAAGACTGGCTTATTCGTTTCAGCATCGCAAGGGATATAATCATCAATCGTTACATACTGCAATTCTCCGTTTTTATAGAGCTGGAGCCTATAAATGCCATTGACTGAGTACTCTTTGGTGCAGAAAATTTTCTCTATGGCTTCTTTTCGTTCTGTGAGGGCACATAGAGAGCTCATAAGCCAGCAATCCCCGAGTTTTCCTTGTAAAATATCGCTTTCTTCAATTCCACCTGTGAATACTGAAATTGGCTTCTTCATAAAGGTTTCTGGCCTTTTAAAAATGATTTCGCAGTCAAGACGACGTTTGGACTTATCGCCATATACAATATAGAGGGTTGGAGGAAAATAAGGATCTGTGTATTTTCTTGAGTTTAGTAGACTATGGACAAATTGAAGAGGAACATGGTCGATTGGAACTGATTGGATTTCTTCTTTTATTTTCTTGACCTCTTCTTTTATATGTAAGCTTGGAGACTCCATCTTAATTATATAGACTTGAGAAAAAGCTTTGAAAAATTCTGAGAATTCAAAGAAAATTAAAAAAAACACTAAAAGCAGATTTATCAAATAGAACGATTAAATGGTGTATAGAAGATTTTCTGCTAAAGAATCGCTTTTAAACATTAATAGTGAAGTTAAGCTAATTATTATTTTCATCTAAAATCCATTTGACTCTTTTCCCATCATTTCACTCTCCTTCTCTTTTATTCCCTTGTGCAGAGAATAATTAATATGGTGGTGATAGCTAAATATCAATTGACGATGATGCATAAATTTGGTTACAAAAGTCATTTTATAGCCTAAACCAAGTTAGGACGCTTTAATTCTAACTCTTGCCCATCGGAGGATTGGACTATGTAGTGAAGGTGGCCTTGGAGCCAGTTGGTGGTTACTTCATGATCATGTATTGGATTTCAGACGATTTTGGGCCACAGCTTTTCCGGCTGGTAGACACCTCTCTCAAAGTTGGCCGACGCAAGTATCGGGCTAACACTATCTCCATAGAACCCTATGGCGTACTGACAGGGTGTCTCCCTAACCCATCGAAACTCTTGGAAATTACTACTCCTAGAGAAAACCACTGTTCAAATAGCATCTGAATTTCCGCCCATAAACAGACTGGCATTGGTCGAAAGCGTATGAAGGCATCAAATCTAAAAATCATTAAGGCTCTTAATTTAATTTAATTTAATTGTGCAGAGAAATAAACACCTTTTCCATGCTGTTTCCCATTAAGCCAAAGTCCTTGGTATTTCCTTCCATCTGGCCAAGTAAAAGTGCCATATCCTTGTTTCTTATCTTCAGCATACTCACCTTCGTAGCTTCTCCCATCAGACCATTTAAATAGCCCTTTTCCATCCATTTTGTTGTTCTTTCACTCTCCTATATAAATTCTGCTGTCTCCCCATGTATATTTTCCGATTCCATGGATATTATTATCTTGAAACTCCCCATCATACGTGCTCCCATCGGCCCAAAGGAAAAGGCCTCGGCCATCTTTTTTGCCATTGATATAATCTCCTTCATATCTAGCTCCATCAGGCCAAGTTTCCATTCCTTTGCCATGCTGCTTATCATCTTGCCAATTACCTTGATACTTAGCTCCGTCAGTGTGCATATAAACTCCATAGCCATGGGCTTTGTCATCTTTTCAGTCTCCTTCATAGACATCTCCATCTCCATGTGTGAGTCTTCCTTTCCCATTTGCTTTGTCAAACATCCAGTACCCTTCATATTTCGAGCCGTCAGGTCACACTTGGACTCCATAGCCATGTCTCTGTTTATCATTATTCCATTCCCCTGTATAAATTGCTCCATTTTCAATCTGTGCAGGGCCATGCTTTGTTTTGGCAGTCTGATCGTTAGGAGGGGGAGAAGGACTGAAATTCCCAAGCTTGGATTGGACAGCTCTTGTTTCATTATTTGAGTAATCTGGGATATTACCATCAGGAATCAAGCTGATTTCGGTGCGTGTTATAGGGATGTTTTGCATATCATTTTGCATGAAGCCTCTGAAGAAGGGAGATTGGGATTCGGAGGCTGCCTTTTGGTTTCCTCGCTGCATTTCGACTTGATCAGCCTTTAGAGTTGTGTAAACTTCTTTTGTCTTTTTCCGATCACAGTATCCTCGAAGTACACTTTGAAGCTTTATGAGGTCAGCTATGGTTAAAGGACGGTGAGATTGGTCAGTTGCAATTGAATCTAGGCTTAGCATGTTTCTCTGAGCCTCATTATTTTTTTGAGGCTGTGATGCATTATTTATTATTGATTCATGACTTAGTATACTGCTTGCTTGGCGTTTTTCAACTTCGATGGAAGCGTGGTCTATACGAAGCTGGCTTTCTTCTGAAGGCTCTCCTTTGAGACATGAGCACTTTGCACCCATTTAAACGATTTATTTAACCCCAACTACTTTAATTTCATATTAAAAGAATAAGCGCAGTAAAAATAGAAAACATTCAAAAGCTTATATTTGGCTGAATTAATATAAGTAATAAGATGAAAGTCAAGTATATATAATGGATTTACTTAGTTGAATTATAAAAACAAAACAAAAAGCAAATCTAAATATTTCATATTTTAAATTTATTCAAAAATGGAAGAATATCATAAATTTATTCATAAGGTTCAAGATTATTAATATTCAAGAGACAAATAAAAGCATTTTTTTAATTAAGCTTTTTTTTGGCACTTCGTTACATAAGTTCCTCAATTTTTACACTTATAACCATTTTAATACACAATTATAGTTAATTAAATCACCAAATTATCGCAGTATTAATTAAAATAGATCTTATAAATTAATGAATTCCGCTGAGCAGTTAAATAGATTCGCTTCAAAAAGATACAGTGAACCTCAAAAATATCATCAAGACAGCAATAATTACTCTAATTCACTAAAGAATATCAAAAAAATCTACGCAACTCTTGACACTAGCGTTATTAATAATACAGAAACCACTGAAGATTCTGTTGGACAACATTCAAGGAGTTTTAAAGAGAGCTCAGGCAAGAAACCTCAGAAAGCTGGAAGATTAGTTGAGTATAACGCGACCCGATACACAATTAATCTAAAGAAAAGCAAGAAAAAAATATTACGGAAAAATTACGATGCACATCCAGGACCTGGGGCTTATAGTATTCAGCCAGTTTTATCAAAGTCTCCCAGAGCCACTATTGGTAAAGCCAAGCGATGATACTTATCAAGAAACTCTGACAATCCTGGCCCTGGCACATATGAAGATTCATTATTGATCAAACTGAAACATCCCGATTATTCTTTTACAATGACCTCAAGGGATGGATTTGTAAAAGCTGTTACTCCTGGCCCTGGGTCTTATAATACAAGCAAATCAACAAATGATGGGAAGCCCGCACTTATAATCCCTAGAAGACCTCAGTCAGCAGCTCATTCAACGCCTGGCCCTGGAGCATATTCATCAAAAACTACCAAATCAACTTCTCCAAAGTGAACAATTGGAAAAAGCCAAAGGTACCAAAATAACTATGGCAGATATCCTTCTCCAGCTGAATACTCTCCCAAAGGAGCACTTGAAGCGGCTCCTGCATATTCCATGGGGAAAAGTCAAAAACAAGACACCTTTTATCTCAGCAAAAAAGATTTAGAGGTTGAATACTTTCCAAAAGAAAAAGTCTCATACGGAAAATCCTCGACTACTGTAAAAACACATTTCACTTTCAAAAGCGAAGCACCTGGGCCAGGCCAGTACTTCCCAAACAGTGAGGTTGTGCTTAAAAAATCCCCTAAAGCTGCATTCGGTACCTCAACTCGGTTCTAATTTTCCCTTAATTCTTGAAATATTTTAATATGGCTGAAGAATTTCTTAAGTCCCTTCGCAAGTTTTTTGAGCAGCGAAACGAAGTCTTGAGAGTCCCACAAATAGGTGGGAAAGAGCTTGATCTTTTTAAACTTTATAAAGAAGTCGTAAGCCGAGGCGGATTCCAGCAAGTATCTAATAACAAATTATGAAAAGAAGTCGTCACTGCTTTAGACTTGCCAAGCTCTTGTACCTCTGCGAGCTATAACCTTCGCCAGCATTATCATAAGATACTTTTTACATATGAGCAAGAGAACTTTTTCAGTAAAAGTGAAAGAAGTGTCCCAGTGGCTGAGCCAGAGCAAGCGGCTGCTTCAAAGCCTACTAAGAAAATCAAGGTGACAGCACCTATGATGGCAAACACAAGGAGGATGATTCTAGCTTTTGACAGCAAGTACCAAACTGAAGTGAACTGGGCAATAAACACGCTTTTATTGTTTAGCTGCAATACAGCTCACAACTATCAGCTTGAAAGCAACGGACTAGTAGAAAGCATTTTGTCGTTTTTGCAGTATTGCTTGAAGAAATTACCTGCCTTTGGAGGAGAAGTTCCAATGAAAAGACCAAGAGGTGTGACTCCTTATGATGAAGCTTCTTATGTGGTGATGATGGAACAAGTGAAAGCGATTTTATTGGTCCTGAGAAACTTGAGTATGATTAGAAATAACGAAATCATCCTTTTTAAGTGCAGCGGAATGATTGAGGCTATTGTTAAGATCTTTAGCCTGTTAATTGATAAAGAAATCACTCAAAATTGTTTGGAATTTTTAACAAATTTAGCTAAACACATTTTCTTGCAAGATCTGCCAAACTATAGAGACTTATTGTGCACTCTAATGGACTGCCTACAAAGTGATTTAGCAGAATCCGCAATTGAGTGCTTCAGAAAACTTACTCTGCCTATCAGCAATGAAGAAATAATTGAGCAGCTTCCTCAAATTTTCTTTGACGAGCTAGCTAAATGGCTTCTCTCCACTTCACAATCCAAAGACTCTGTCTTAGAAATCCTCTGCAACCTCAGTGACCAAAGCTTAGCTACTAAGGTAAAAATCGCAAACGCTCCTCGCTGCATTGAAGGCCTTGTCAGGCTTTTGACATCAATATCCCAAACAGATGACGCCGAAGACAAGCAAGCCAAAATATCTGCAATGATCCTAAACAATCTATCAGGGGCACCTAAAAACGTCAAGCTTTTTGTGCCGTTTGACACACAAATATTTGCAGTAGCCGCATCAGACGAGCGAATTTCAGGGTTGCTCTGCAATGTGTTATTTGAAATCCAAGATCTTAAAAGTAATTAAGGTTAAGTTAATTAGATACAGTCAGTATGTAATTGTTTAGGAATATAAGCAAGAATTACTGTGATATCATCAACGACTCCTCGCTCATGCTCACTTCATCTGTTCCAAGCAAGTTCTGCAAGCTTTTCTGGGGCTTTCTTGATGCTTTTTGAATTTGCGTCTATGAGATCGACAGCTTCTTGGTTGCTTATAAATTCCCAAATCCCATCACTGCAAACCAGCACAAATTCATCTCTTCTTCATCAAGCTTACTTTTATTTTAATGGAAGATTCGGAAAGTAATGTTTCCTATTCTTCTTCCTTTTGTGACGAAAACGGAGCTTTACAGGATGAATTTTTCGAACTTTTACTATTAAATGAACTTATTGATACAGGATTACTTGATAATTCTGAATCAGAGTATGAATGAAATGATAGTGATACAGAAAATGTTGATACAGATGACAAAATATTCGAGTTTTTAAGTCGTTTAGATGGAAAAATACTAGATGAAATGGAACCTATTCAGGAAACCTTCAAATATAGGAAGACTGAGGTGATCATTGATGATAAGAAGACAATCGATAAGAAAATCCTGAACACCAGAAAATTAAAATCTAAATCAACCTTAAATCCTATCAGAAAAATAAAATTGATATCAGAATCAAACCCTATCAGAAAAATAAAAATTAGATCAATTCAAATTTTATCAGAAAAATAAAATTGATATCAGAATCAAATATTATCAGGAAAATAAAATTTAGATCAGATTCAAATTTTATCAGAAATAGAAAATTCATATTAGACTCAGAAATCAAAAAAATCGCGGATTACGTGGGTTTAGAAAATTTTACTAAAATTTTATCCAAAAATTTTAGGAAAAGAAGAAAGTTAAATAATTTTTTAATCGGGGCATGGTCCTGAAATAAAGACCTAATGCAATAAAATAATCTCTCTCTTCATCAAGCTTGTATTCGGAAAATTCGGGCTCACATGATACACCTATAGATTGAGCTGATGTGTCACCTATTGCTCTGCTCATTCCAAGGCCAGGGTAGTCTTTTCCTTTTACGTAGACTCTAAAAGGGTGTTCCCTTGATTGTTTTCTGACTTCGCCTCCAGACTTCTCAATTCTTTCTTTTTCGCAAAGATTTTCTGGCTTGTGATCTGGGGTTAGCTCGATTGGTATTAAGGAAGAGCCTTTTCTTCTTGCTATGACAGCTCTAGAGTCACCTACATGAGCAATATAAAGCTTGTGCTCTCTATAATGTACCAGAGTAGCTGTAGTGCCTGAGTACTCACAGTCAAATTTTGTATCTTGGTAATTACAAGTGTTAATCAAGCTTTGGTTGCATTGGGAGAAAACTTCTTTCATCACTTGTTCAGGGTGCTGCTTTCAGTTAGCGTTTGAAAACATAACTACAGGCATTAAGCTGTGCACATAATTGGATACATCATGGCCGAAGAATCCATGCCCGTCAAATACACCTAAGAGAAATGAAGGTCCATCAATAACGATGCAGTAGTCATCTTGGTTGGGGCTTTCTGGTTTTAAGCCTTTTTTGCAGGTAACTGAGATGCCAAGGCGATATAAGAAATCGATGTGAGTTTTGTTGCCTGTGATTCGTGATCATTTTTCGTCAAAACTATCTTGGCGTTTCGGCTCATTTTTACTTTCCACGATGTATCGTTCTTTTATCAAAAATAAGCTGCCTTGTTCAGGTTTGCCTTCAGTTGGAGGTCTGCTTTGCAATGACGAATGAAGTTGTGCCAATATTTCAAGATTCCCTTCAAGGGAATTTTGAGAAATATTTGGTGTTGATAAAAGGGTTCTTAATTTGTGAATTAATTAGAGGAATTTTCCTTTAAATAAATTAATCCTATAAATTCTGAATAAAATATTATTCTTAAAAATTATAGCATATATAATGATGCTAAGGGACTATTTGCCAGATAAAATTGAAAGTCTTTGACGACCAACATTATGATTTTGATTTGTTGATGGAACAACTGTTGGAACAATTCGTATTTCCTTACGAGAAGGTCTGTTGTAGCATGATCCCATTTAACAGTTTTTAAAGCACAAATATGCTCGAATAAATGTGTGATTCTAATTGTAACTCTTTCGTGATATAGAATATTTGAAATATGAAAAAATTAACAGGAAGATAAAGCGTTTAAATCAAGCTAAATAAGAATGCATAAGAAGATCTAATCTATTACACAATTTTGCATTTGCTTTATTCGTGGAGTCATTCTCCGCTTGCCAAAATTATAATTATAGCAAGGGATGAGAACATATTTTTAAAGTAAAACTTCGCAATAAAAGTTTTTGCTATAATGACCATCGAATAAAAATGCAGTTTAACTGTACCCTAACTTAATAAAGAAAATTTTAAAGCACACTAAAACCATGAAAATAAATATTAAACAAATTATCTATATAAAAAGTTAAAAGTTTTATACGGCCATAATCGAGACCCCACTATCAGTACTACCTTGAGTCCAGGAAAGGTGGCCTACGTTGAGTCATATAAACCTGAGTGCAAATGGCGTAAGGCACGACCAGATTCCACCCTCTTGAATTTTCTGTGAAATTCCCCTAAACCTAAGGATAAACTACTAGGTTAGAGCCACCCTCTATCGGGTACACACCGATAATCTCTATAGATGAAGTCTATGTTAAAGGTAAAAAATCTGTCTAGCCCATCTGGCACGGACAAAAAACATTCGGGGGAGAAGCAAAACTCCCTCCTCATTAAGATTTCCCCAAATCTGAAGGCCTACTTCAAAATATGATCAGGATGGGTCCAACCTGATCCATAGGAGTGCGCGTCGGAGACAAATTTCCGTCAAAATCACCATATGTTTCTTATGATCAATATAAGGAATTCATCATAAAATATCATTATTTAAAAAGTCAGTTTCACATAAATAAGAGCTTTATTATAAATATGCTGCATTGTGGAACTATAAACTGCTCAGAATACCCAAAGTATCTTTGTGCTTACGTCGAACCAGGAGTTTTACTTTGCAAACTTCATCATAATCAGCATTCCAATCTATGTTCAAGAAGCCATATGAAATTAACTTCAAATTATCAAAAAATATTTCAGCCTCATCAGATACAAGCAGAAATGGAAAGATTTACCAAATATGAAACTAAGCTTGGTAAAGAAATTGCTTCCCTTGATGCTCAAATCTTTAAATATATAAAGTTATTGAATACTTACATTCCAAAAATTGAGAAAAGAAATAAAACAGCTCGTCATTTAGCAGATATTTTGATTGAATATCAAATTTTTAATGAAATTATCGGAAAAGGATTAAAAAACAATAAACTACTAACTTTGGATATGAGTTATAAGCCAGTCAATACAAATCTGATTGAGCTAAAAGTGGCAAAAAACATATGTATAGATATTCCAAAATGAAAAAATATAGAAATTCTTAAGAAAAGCTATTTTAACAATGTTAAATTTAATAATAGAAAACAAATTTGTACACAATTGAAAGAATTGCTAACAAATGAATTAAAGCTTCAACTGTTCAATATTTTACTCATGTCAAAAGAAATTCAAGGTATTTCTATAGCAGCAAGCAATGCAGCAACGATTTTAAATGCATCAGATTTCTCGTTTAATTATAAAGACTTAACTCCTATTAATATTTTTTAAATTATTATTCCAATTAATTTATAAAGTGTATATTTAAATTAATATTTCTAATAAGGACAGTAAGTAATACCAAGCTACCGTATACAAATTTTTCGGAAACATTATTTATTGGGACTAATTTTGAAAACTGTGATTTAAGTAGCGCGAATTTTTCTCATTCCAGCTTGTAACGATGACCCCCCCCTCAATCTTCATGTCTATTGCAACAAAAATGCAATTTTTTAATATAAAATTGTATATAAAAAAAATAATAATTTTCATGTCTCTTGCAACAAATTATAACATTAAAATGGCGACACGTGCCAACCTGCCTTCTTGGCTCAGCAGTCCAGACCTTATGGCTACAGCGAACAGGGACGGACTCCGAGCCAAGAATCAGACGCAGGCTCAAGAAGTGTGTATCCGGGTAGGTTTTGGCTGCTTTCCTGTGGTTGGAAATGGAGGTGCTCAGCAACGTCCTTGGATCCGAGGACCCATGGGCATTCCTCTAACGAGAAACTGGGGGTTTCAGCCCAGGCCACAGGGGAACAGTCTTTTTCCTGTAGCTGTCGAAGAAAGGCACTTTGATACCCGATAGACTCCAAGGAGCTGATCCTTGGAATCAAGCTACTCCAATCGCCCGTAGCACTGCCGCAGAAATCAATAAGCCGCCCACTCAAAACTGAACTCCCAAGGTAAGGGGGAGACAGAAGGTACCGGAAGGGCACTCGTAAGAGGGATAGATCCTCTGGGCTGGAGTCGAAAAGCAGTAGAACCTTCCGTACGGGAGGTCTTTAATGACTGCGTCATCAATATGGCTAGCGCCTGTCTGTAATAATCTTAATCCTAGTCCTCTTGCAACAAATTTTCGATTCGCATCTTAAATTTTTCCGTACTTTTTAGCTAGATAAGTTTAATAAAATGGCGAGCGATGGCAATAGCCGTCCAAATCTCGATGAGAAGGTCATTGACAAACCTAAAGTAGCGCTGTTTTATGGGTTTTTTGAGAAACTCACCTAGAGAAAAATGCATTAAACACTTTTTATAAAAATGTTGTGTTGCAGTAGGCATGAAGATTTTTTCGAAAAATTTTTGTTGCAGTAGACATGAAGATTGAGGGGGGGGTCATCGTTACAATCTAAATTTCAAAAATGCTATGATGGAAAATGTTAATTTTGGGCAGATTTCCTTACTTGGCTATGAAGACTACATTAATGCAGTCGCTATTTCAAGCTGTGGAAACTTTATAGCATCAGGAGGTGCAAAGCCATATATATTAATATGAAATTTAAACACTCAAGAAATCTTTATAAGGCTTAACGGCCATACAAATTCAATATCATCGGTTTCTTTCTCTCATAATAGGAAATTATTAGTTTCAGGCTCATATGATCAGACAGTCAGAGTTTGGGACTGGGAAAATTCAAAAGAAATTCATCAATTTACTGGGCACAAGTTCAATGTTTATTGCGTATTATTTTCTTTATGTGATAAATACGTAATTTCAAGCAGTTCAGAATGAGTTATCAAATGATGGGACTTTGAGAACGACCAAATCACCAAAATATTAAAAGGCCATAGATATGGGATACGATCTCTATCACTTTCCCCATGCGGGCGATTTCTTGTCTCATCTAGTTTTATTGAGTCAATAAGAATTTGGGATATTGAAAATGAGGCAGAAATAGGTAGATGCAACGTGACGAAAAAAATTAAAAGTGTTTGCTTCAGTCCTTGTGGGAAATATTTCGCTTCTGCTAGTGATTGAAAAGTTGTTTTATGAGAAATAAAGACTATGAAAGATGCCCAAATTTTTGAAGGGCACAAAAACGATGTCAATTCTGTAGCGTTTTCTCCTTGTGGGAAATATTTGGCATCAGCTGGAAACGATAATAAAATAATTATTTGGGACTTAGAATCAAATAGAAATGCTAGGGAATTCTTCCATGATAAGGCTGTAAACTCGGTTTGTTTTCACCCAAATAAGAATTTGGTGATTTCAGGAAGTAGTGACTGCAAAATAAAAGTGTGGGACTTTGATAGCTGGGTTAAGAATGGACAATTTGAAGGACATAAAAATGGGATTTCTTCAGTAGCCATTTCTCATAATGATGAAATTTTTGCAACTTGTGGGAAAGACAAAGCAATAAAGTTTTGGAATATGAACAATTTTAAGCTAATTAATACTATTAATGACGAAACATACACTCCTCTTTTAATATTAAAATTAAATTTTTTTATATTCTTTTATATATATATGTGTACTATGAATAGTTGAAAAAATATTATAACATAGAAAATAAATTATTTATTTATAAGTTGCAATTTTATTATATATATATTTCTGCTGCAAAAATCAATAATAATAGAGTGTATAGCACATTTATAGCTTTCACAAAATGTGATACACTCGTTATGACGACTTCAAGTTTCAGCGATTGAATTGATAGAAATTCGTCATTCAATTCAATCTCAAGGGTAGAGAGCGAAGTTAATATCTGAAATGTTAGCGATGCTAGTTTCTTTGGTGGCTACAATGCTCATTGGAAAGCGATTAAGTCGATATGCTTTAGTCCAAATTCTATCAATTTTGCAACAGGAAGCGCTGACAAGACAATAATGATTTGGACTAAAGAAAATGATTATTCTACAATTAATACCTTTTATGCACATAAATCAGATGTCAACTCAGTATGCTATTCTCCATGTGGCAATTTCCTTGCTTCTGGCAGCTCAGATAAAACAATATTTATTCATGACGTTAACAAATATGAATATCAACAAGAAGCATTTGCTAACGAAAGCTGCGCGGTTTACCAAGTTATTTATTCGCCATGTGGAAGGTTTTTACTCTTATTTTTAAATAATTTTTAATAATTTTGAATAAAATATTTAATAGACAATTTTTTTAAAAATCAAAAGTGAAAATTAGCTTCAGTAGGTGAGGACAGGATTATAAGAATTCGGGCCATTGAAACAAAAGAAATATTTCGATCATTTGCTGGGCATAAATTAAGAGTGAATTCAATTTTATTTTTGTCTTCAGGGAAGCATCTTATTTCTGGAAGTGATGATAAAAGCATAAGGATATGAGACATTGAAAGCCAAAAAGAATCTGAAAGACTGGACAACCACCAAGGAGGAGTGACATGTCTTTCTCTTTCGCATTTTGGGGTCTATTTCAGCTCAGCAAGCTCAGATAAAACAGTTAAAATGTGGAAATTCAGAGACGAGTTTCTGCCCTAATCTAAAAAGCACTTATTATATAGATATTTTAATCTCTAGATTTTTGTTGAATTTAATTTCATAAAAACTTCATATTGAATTCTATATGGACAAAGATGAGCAAAATATCGGTCATCGATCCTCCTCACATTTTAAGTCTTTAATAAAACTTTTTCAATCCTAGATTAGCTTTAAAAAGTGCTAATTACATTTTTATTATAAAAATTTAATATGAATATTTCTGAGTTGCAGCAGGATTTGCAAACTTCTGAGACTCACACTATTGGAGCGTTGGACAATACGCACACATTTTTGAAGGACAACGAATTCATTCACTCAGGATATCGCATCAATTTTAGCACAACCAAAAGAATCCTCAAAAGTTTGTTCATGTGCCATAATGAGTCAGTCAATATCTGAACTCACTTGATTGGGCTTTTTGTATTTTTATTTCTCCTGTGGTACTCAATTGAATTTTTAGATATTGCTGAAAGTATTGGCATTCAATTAAGCAGAGTTCAGCTTCTCCAAGTTTTAAGAGAAGCTTTTACCAGCAGTTGATACTATGGATTATCGACTTGGGAACTCCTGAGCAACAAAGTCCACGCCTTTGTGGGAGACTGGGAAAAGGAAGTCCTTTATGCTATCGAGACCCAGTCAGCTTTATTGAACTCTAACGACATAAAAGAAATTATTTCTCAAAAGATCGAGGAATATCGACTTTTCGTAATTCAAAAAATTGATATGGGAGACTATGTTTTCTTTGGACTGCAGAGCGATTTTACAAATCCTGAGCATTATTTATCACGCTGGCCGATTTATGTGTTTGTGGTTTCAGCAATGATCTGCCTATTCTGTTCTTCATTTTACCATTTATTTTGTGCGCATTCCTACAAGGTTTACAAATTTTCGAGCACTTTGGACTATGCAGGGATTTCGATTTTAATTGCGGGGTCTTTTTATCCTGTGATTTATTACATTTACTACTGCCATGAAGGTAATTTATATTTAGAATTAGTTATCGCTTATTTGGTTGGAATATCGGTATGTGCTCTCGGGGTTTTTTTTTCAAGCTTTACTCCATGCTTTAGTAAGCCGAAATGGAGATGGCTACGTGGGACTACATTTTTGATGTTGGGGCTTCTTGGATTGATTCCTTGCTTAAACTTATTTTTTATGTAAGGCATATTCAGACCTGAAGCGTTGGATTTCGCGACTTCCTTATTGTATTATATGGGTATGGCTTTATGCTATATCATTGGGGTGATGATTTATATTTTCAGAATCCCTGAAAGATTTTGTCCTGGCAAATTGGACTTTATCGGGAACTCGCATAATATTTGGCACTGCTTCGTGCTTGCAGCTGCAATAATTCATTATCTTGGGTCTATTGATTCTTATTATACACGGCAGAATTTAACTTGCTAAGTCTCCCTCTGCGAGCGAAAAAAATCATGGGAAAAATCTATTTTTTCGGTAAAAACCCACCCTCCGTGAGCAAATAAAAAATGTTTTTAATATAAAACATTTTTCATAAAAAATATTTTGATATATAATTGATAATTAGTAGACTAAAATCTCTTTCTAATTTTGTTTAATTTTAAAGCCTAAATTTTACAAATCAAATAAATTTTTTCTTTCCAATTTTTGCAAATAATGATTTTTTTTAATTTTGAAAAAAAATTAACCCTCCTCCATGACGAACAAAGTTGTTATGCTTGCTCAAGGAAGGAGCAGTAAGTTTTACTCTTCTCGCTATAATTTATAAATTATTTCTTCAAAAATATACCCAATGAAATAAAAAATCTCAATTAAATTGTCGCATAAAAAACTATAATTTACAATGATTTACTCCTCGCTATAAAATTTCACTTCTTGTATCATCATCTCTGCGAGAGCTTTCTCCAATTATCGATATTTCAAATGGCTTGGATGGGTCTACTCTCATAGAATTTCCCATAAGTGACACATCAAATGTTGGCTGCCTTACAGTTTCCTCTACACTTTCTTCATCAGACTCTGTTATCTTATAAATTCCTGAAAACTGTCTCATGCTTTGCCACTCTTCTTGTCTGACCTTTCTAAAAAGGTTCGCACTCGAAGGGGTTTCCATGTCTATATAATAATCCTCTACTTTTCTGATTAATGCCTCATGATCTTTATATCTATTCAACGCAGCGAACTTATCATTGAATGAACCATAAAATCCTTCCCTAATTCTATTATTCCTCCTATTCACCAATTCTTCGGGGTTCACCGGGATTTTCCTGCCTCTCATTTTCCTTCCCTCAAGCCACACATTCCTTGTATGCTCTTGATCCAAATTAAAGATCAAGCTTTTGCATCTTGCTGCCACATGCCCTAAGGTTTTACACAAATAGCAAGAAACGTAAATTGATGAATAATCCATGTCTTTGCATTTTTTTTCCAACAAAATTAAAGCTTTATCATCTTCAGGATTCACACAGAGGACTTCATAAAACCTCTGAAAAGACATCAAAAACACTTCGGTAAACGACATGGACTTCACAGATGCACAGCGTGGGGCATTAACAAGAAACCCGATTTCTCCGAAATATTTATCATGGCCTAAAGTTGTATAGCAAGCTTTAGATGTTGGATGGTAAACTTCAACTTCTCCTGACATGATGAAATAAAGTGACCTACTTGCTTCTCCTTCTTCAAATATTGAATCTTCAGGGGCGTAAGCTTGATATGTAAGTAGCCTTGGGAGGTGGATTACTAATTCCTTTGAAAATATCCCACTATTAAATAGTATACAGGATTTTATGACATGCCCATGAAGGTGGTCGTAAATTTCATCTTTTAATGGCCCACTGAATAAATCTATGATATTTTGTTCATCATACTCGTAGTCTACGTCTACTTCATGCATATAGTCAATATAGCTTCTGACTCGGAATTGGAGATCTGTGGATAACTTTTTCTTTTTCATATAGCGGTTGATGGCTTGAATCATGATTCTATATTTATCTTCTTTTGCGCTTGCTGCTGATATTAGTGAAGATAGGTTTCCTATGATGTTTACAAATGTAGCTGATAAACAGACCATAGCAAAAATCCCGTAAAATCTTTCCACAGTTGAGATAGGATGAAGGTCTCCATATCCAACTGAAACCATTGTTGTAATAGCCCAATACATTGATTTGAGTTAAATTATAGGCATCTTCAGAGGTTATTTCAGCCCCATCGCAGTCTCACGGTAGCTTCGGGTTGGTGCTAAGCGCGGTTCCTACACCTGCCTTTTTACTCCTAACTTCACCAGAAATGATGGTGTAGGAGGTCTTTCGGGGAGATCGCCCGACCCATCTTCTGAATCCCACCGAACGATAAAGACTCTGTCAACCTCCAACAGGACTCTGAGCATGGATAAACCCTCTTTGCCTCATTCATGGACTGTCTAAGACGTAGCACAGACTCTGTGATGCTCCTGTGGAGTACTGAAGGACATTGCACTGGAAGGCTCGTCTTCAAGCCAGACAGAAAAGGTTGAAGGTATCCCCTGGGCCAAAAAATTCTCCTGGAGAACTGCCAGCATGCATTTCTTCTTCTCGAGGTCCGGATGAGCTCTTGGAGCGCCAGAGTCCAAGTCTAAATTATGCCATCTTAATAATTCTCCAATTATATTGAAGAAATATAAAACTCTGTTTTTGAGACTTCATCTTCAACAAGAATCTGGTAATTCATGAGCCAGTTATCACTTTGCTTTGTAATATTTGTATAGCTAACATAAAAGAACAAGCAAGCTGCTCAGTGTGCAATTAATAAAACACGTGAAAGCAGCTTAATAAATAAAAACCAGATGGAAGCCAGCTGATTTTTAAAATAATCCTCGATATCTACAATCACCTTTTCCATCTTCAAAAATTTCAATAGCTTAAGTAGTCTAATTATCCTTGAAAATTTGATTGAGTTGAAGGTATTTGTATTTTCCTCGAAAGCAATCTTTTCGTTCTCAAACACTGAGCCAGTTACAAGCCATACCCATGGAAAGCTTGACAATAAATCAAGGAAAAGCCATTTCTCAAGGTAATGTTTTGCCATCATCGTCCTTATCATCACTAGAGCACCTTTATAAAAATATCCAGTGTTGAGTGATACAAAAATATCCAGAATGAACATAATTTGCACAGCAAACTCTATATAAACTCACTCATCTTCTACAGGAATGACAAAAAATAAAAAAACTGGAATTGATATTGCGAGGTAAAGAGTGCAGCAGAGGATAAGAATGTCTCAGATGATGCGAAAATATCGGTTGGGGTGAAAAATAAATGCGGTATCCCAGGATTCCTTAATTTTGCTTTCGTGGAATATGTAAAAATTTGAAGAGTGGAGGCTTTGAAGCTTTTTTAGGGTGTGAATGCGATCTTCATGTGTTAAAGGAGGTTGAGACTGCTCGTTGCTAATTAATGTGGAGGAGTCTGGAGTTTTTTGGTCATGTTTTTTAATCATTTCCATTTATGATCTTCATATTAAAGATGATAAAGAAACATAGTAAATGGACCCTTAAGAGATTTTATAATTAACCTTAACTCTAGAACAAATTTATCAAACCCTGATTGGCATAAGAGAAATATCTGATCTGATCAGATCTTATGGAGGTCAAGCTGTTTTCTGCAGCTTAAAAAAAATTTTAAAAAATGATTTACTGATACCTTTCATTCAAAGTTTTTCCTAATATTTAATTTATTTAAAAATTTATAAATAGTTACCAGGAATGAATTGCTTTAATATTTAAATTTTTGCTTTTGCGAGAAATTTTAATGTATAATTTTATCAAGCATTGATAATAGTTTATGATTATTAACAAAAGCATTACTATCATCTACTAAATTTCTCAAAATTGATGCTATCTCATACCTTTTAAAATTTCATTTCATTCATTTATGAGTTAAGTAATTTTTATAAATAATTAAAGGATATCAAAGAAAAAATCCAATGTATTAAATATTTATTTAGAGATGCCGAAAGTTATTTAGCAGTATCACAATTAAATTAGCATAACTCTTAATTATATTAATTCGTATAAAAGCAGCTTAATAATAGTCAGTAAATGCTCGTAGGTTGCTTGTGCTAAGTGGAAGAGTTAAGTCTTAATATTTTACTTATGCTTATCCTGGCTTCACTCAGTTTAAATCTAAGAAATAATAGCGGCTATTATTTTCTTAATTGAATAATATAAATTATGCATTTAAACTTTTTCTAATTGAAAATATCTTAATAAAACTTGATTGCTTAGTTAATAGTTTTCAAATATATAGCTCTATAGAAAATGAATTTAATTTTCAAGATGACCCCTACTCACCATATGGATTAACCAAGACTTTTACAGATAGAATCTGCACAAAACACTACAACCCAGAATATTCTAAGAAAATTTTTGATTTCTTAGATCTAATTAAGACAGAAAAAAGCATAACACTAAGCTTAATTAACATTCGCTAGCTAAAAGTAGGAGTTTTGCTAGAACTCAGCCATAGAATATATATTGAGTGCTGGAGTCGTCATTTAATTATATTTCAATTCAAGTTACTTTGGAAAGGCTTCAAAGTTAAACTAATGGCTATTATAAATTTAAAAATTTTTAATTTAAACATTTTTGAACTAACTTTTGAGTGGATAATAAAAAATGTCAAAGCTTTTGCTGTTTTTGTCTCTTCTCATCCTTCAGCTACTTCACGCTGCAGGACAAATCACCTCAGAAACAACCAAAGGCTTAAATAATCCCAACTTTGACTCTAGCTCAACCGGCGAAAGCCCAGAAATCATCCATCATGTGGTCCAAGAAGGCACCGTTCGTCACAAGGATGACAAAGTTGGAGGGAATAGAACCAAACGAGGAGAAGCTTCTTCTGATTTACTTAGCAAACCAGATTTTTCTCAGATTCAAGAAGATGCCGAACCTCATAAAAATATTCCACCTGAAGCAAATGAATCAAGTAAAGCAAATCTAATGGAAGCAGAATCCAGATATGACGAAAAGCTCCTAAATGAAGAAAGCATTACTCATTATGAAGATGAAAGGGAATGAAGGAATGATATGCAATCAGAGAAATCTAACAATAGCTCATTCTTTCAAATGTTTGAAAACTCTACCCATAATGAAGATAAAAGAAATAATGCAAAGAAGCAAGAAAGGCATTTAGCGTGCACAGGCGGGCAAAATCATTGTCAGACATGTTCAGGTGATGACTGCACCAAATGCAACTCAAATGATTACGCATTAACATCGTCATCACCAGTAGTTTGCTCGCCTAAATGCACAGTTGGCTCAAACGGGTGCGCAACTTGCTCAGATACTACTACTTGCGGGTCTTGCACTTCAAAATACGACGAAGTATCTTCAACTTCTCCAAACACTTGCTCAGCTAAAAAATGCACAGAAAAAAATTGGCATTTTTGTTGTTTAGGATTAATTTTATATTGTAATTCATAAATTTTTAGAGGGCAATGCACAGCTGGCTCAAACGGCTGCGCAACTTGCACAGATGACACTACTTGCGCGTCTTGCACTTCAGAAAGCGACGCAGTATCTTCAGCATATCCAATTGCTTGCTTACCTAAATGCACAGTTGGCTCAAACGGGTGCGCAACTTGCACAGATGACACTACTTGCGGGTCTTGCACTTCAGAAAGCGACGCAGTATCTTCAACTTCTCCAAACACTTGCTCCGCAAAATGTACAGCTGGCTCAAACGGGTGCGCAACTTGCTCAGATACTACTACTTGCGGGTCTTGCACTTCAAAATACGACGAAGTATCTTCAACTTCTCCAAACACTTGCTCAGCTAAAAAATGCACAGCTGGCTCAAATGGCTGCGCAACTTGCACAGATGACACTACTTGCGCGTCTTGCACTTCAGAAAGCGATGCAGTATCCGGAAACAAATGTGCAGGAAAATGCACAGTTGGCTCAAACGGCTGCGCAACTTGCACAGATGACACTACTTGCGGGTCTTGCACTTCAGAAAGCGACGCAGTATCTTCAACTTCTCCAAACACTTGCTCTGCAAAATGTACAGTTGGCTCAAACGGGTGCGCAACTTGCACAGATGACACTACTTGCGGGTCTTGCACTTCAGAAAGCGACGCAGTATCTTCAACTTCTCCAAACACCTGCTCAGCTAAATGCACAGTTGGCTCAAATGGCTGCGCAACTTGCACAGATGACACTACTTGCGGGTCTTGCACTTCAGAAAGTGATGCAGTATCTTCAACTTCACCAAACACTTGCTCGCCTAAATGCACAGCTGGCTCAAATGGCTGCGCAACTTGCACAGATGACACTACTTGCGGAACTTGCACTTCAGAAAGCGATGCAGTATCCGGAAATAAGTGTGTAGCAAAATGCACAGTTGGATCAAACGGGTGCGCAACTTGCACAGATGACACTACTTGCGGGTCTTGCACTTCAGAAAGCGACGCAGTATCTTCAACTTCTCCAAACACTTGCTCAGCTAAATGCACAGTTGGCTCAAACGGGTGCGCAACTTGCACAGATGACACTACTTGCGGGTCTTGCACTTCAGAAAGCGACGCAGTATCTTCAACTTCTCCAAACACTTGCTCACCTAAATGCACAGCTGGCTCAAATGGCTGCACAACTTGCACAGATGACACTACTTGCGCGTCTTGCACTTCAGAAAGCGATGCAGTATCCGGAAACAAATGTGTAGGTAAATGCACAGAAAATTCATCTGAAACTACTTTAAGCATTATTTTTATTATGCTTATTTATAATAATTTTATAGGGCAATGCACAGTTGGATCAAACGGCTGCGCAACTTGCACTGATGACACTACTTGCGCGTCTTGCACTTCAGAAAGTGACGCTGTATCTTCAACTTCTCCAAACACTTGCTCTGCAAAATGTACAGAATGAATTAACTTTTGCGTTATTAAAGAATAATTTTATATTTTAATTCATAATGTTTAAGAGAGCAATGCACAGTTGGCTCAAACGGGTGCGCAACTTGCACAGATGACACTAATTGCGGGTCTTGTACTTCAGAAAGCGACGCAGTATCTTCAACTTCTCCAAACACTTGCTCAGCTAAATGCACAGAAAGAATTAGCTTTTGCGTTATTAAAGACTAATTTTTATATTTTAATTCATAATTTTTAGCGGGCAATGCACAGTTGGCTCAAATGGCTGCGCAACTTGCACAGATGACACTACTTGCGGGTCTTGCACTTCAGAAAGCGATGCAGTATCTTCAACTTCACCAAATACTTGCTCGCCTAAATGCACAGCTGGCTCAAATGGCTGCGCAACTTGCACAGATGACACTACTTGCGCGTCTTGCACTTCAGAAAGCGATGCAGTATCCGGAAACAAATGTGTAGGTAAATGCACAGTTGGCTCAAATGGCTGCGCAACTTGTACAGATGACACTACTTGCGGGTCTTGTACTTCAGAAAGCGACGCAGTATCTTCAACTTCTCCAAACACTTGCTCAGCTAAATGTACAGTTGGCTCAAACGGGTGCGCAACTTGCACAGATGACACTACTTGCGGGTCTTGCACTTCAGAAAGCGACGCAGTATCTTCAGCTTCTCCAAACACCTGCTCAGCTAAATGCACAACTGGCTCAAATGGCTGCGCAACTTGCACAGATGACACTACTTGCGGGTCTTGCACTTCAGAAAGCGATGCAGTATCTTCAACTTCACCAAACACTTGCTCGCCTAAATGCACAGCTGGCTCAAATGGCTGCACAACTTGCACAGATGACACTACTTGCGCGTCTTGCACTTCAGAAAGCGACGCAGTATCCGGAAACAAATGTGTAGGCAAATGCACAGTTGGCTCAAACGGGTGCGCAACTTGCACAGATGACACTACTTGCGGGTCTTGCACTTCAGAAAGCGACGCAGTATCTTCAACTTCTCCAAATACTTGTTCAGCTAAATGCACAGTTGGCTCAAACGGTTGTGCAACTTGCACAGATGACACTACTTGCGGGTCTTGCACTTCAGAAAGCGACGCAGTATCTTCAACTTCTCCAAATACTTGCTCACCTAAATGCACAGCGGGCTCAAATGGCTGCGCAACTTGCACAGATGACACTACTTGCGCGTCTTGCACTTCAGAAAGCGATGCAGTATCCGGAAACAAGTGTTTAGCAAAATGCACAGAAATATATATCTTAAACTACTTTAAGCATTATTTTTATTATGCTTATTTATAATAATTTTTAAGGAAATGCACAGTTGGATCAAACGGCTGTGCAACTTGCACAGATGACACTACTTGCGGGTCTTGCACTTCAGAAAGCGACGCAGTATCTTCAACTTCTCCAAACACTTGCTCACCTAAATGTACAGAATGAATTAACTTTTGCGTTATTAAAGAATAATTTTATATTTTAATTCATAATGTTTAAGAGAGCAATGCACAGTTGGCTCAAACGGGTGCGCAACTTGCACAGATGACACTAATTGCGGGTCTTGTACTTCAGAAAGCGACGCAGTATCTTCAACTTCTCCAAACACCTGCTCAGCTAAATGCACAGAAAGAATTAGCGTTTGCGTTATTAAAGACTAATTTTATATTTTAATTCATAATTTTTTAAAGGGCAATGCACAACTGGCTCAAATGGCTGCGCAACTTGCACAGATGACACTACTTGCGGGTCTTGCACTTCAGAAAGCGATGCAGTATCTTCAACTTCACCAAACACTTGCTCGCCTAAATGCACAGCTGGCTCAAATGGCTGCGCAACTTGCACTGATGACACTACTTGCGGGTCTTGCACTTCAGAAGGCGATGCAGTATCCGGACACAAATGTGTAGGAAAATGCACAGTTGGATCAAATGGCTGCGCAACTTGCACAGATGACACTACTTGCGGGTCTTGCACTTCAGAAAGCGACGCAGTATCTTCAACTTCTCCAAACACTTGCTCAGCTAAATGTACAGAAAGAATTAGCATTTGCGTTATTAAGGACTAATTTTATATTTTAATACATAATTTTTAGAAGGCAATGCACAGTTGGCTCGAGCGGCTGCGCAACTTGCACAGATGACACTACTTGCGGGTCTTGCACTTCAGAAAGCGACGCAGTATCTTCAACTTCTCCAAATACTTGTTCACCTAAATGTACAGCTGGCTCAAATGGCTGCGCAACTTGCACAGATGACACTACTTGTGCGTCTTGCACTTCAGAAAGCGATGCAGTATCCGGAAACAAATGTGTAGGTAAATGTACAGAAAATTCATCTGAAACTACTTTAAGCACTATTTTTATTATTCTTATTTATAATAATTTTAGTTAGAATGCACAGTTGGATCAAATGGCTGCGCAACTTGCACAGATGATACTACTTGCGGGTCTTGCACTTCAGAAAGCGACGCAGTATCTTCAACTTCTCCAAACACTTGCTCAGCTAAATGCACAGAAAGAATTGGCATTTGCGTTATTAAAAAATAATTTTATATTTTAATTCATAATGTTTAAGAGAGCAATGCACAGTTGGCTCAAACGGGTGCGCAACTTGCACAGATGACACTACTTGCGGGTCTTGCACTTCAGAAAGCGACGCAGTATCTTCAACTTCTCCAAACACCTGCTCAGCTAAATGCACAGAAAGAATTATCGTTTGCATTATTAAAGACTAATTTTATATTTTAATTCATAATTTTTTAAAGGGCAATGCACAATAGGCTCAAATGGCTGCGCAACTTGCACAGATGACACTACTTGCGGATCTTGCACTTCAGAAAGCGACGCAGTATCTTCAACTTCACCAAACACTTGCTCACCTAAATGCACAGCTGGCTCAAATGGCTGCGCAACTTGCACAGATGACACTACTTGCGCGTCTTGCACTTCAGAAAGTGATGCAGTATCCGGACACAAATGTGTAGGTAAATGCACAGAAATTTCATCTGAAACTATTTTAAACACTATTTTTATTATACAATTTTATAATAATTTTAGAGGGAATGCACAGTTGGATCAAACGGCTGCGCAACTTGCACAGATGACACTACTTGCGGGTCTTGCACTTCAGAAAGCGACGCTGTATCTTCAACTTCTCCAAACACTTGCTCAGCTAAATGCACAGAAAGAATTAGCTTTTGCGTTATTAAAGACTAATTTTATATTTTAATCATAATTTTTTAGAAGGGACGCACAGTTGGCTCAAACGGTTGTGCAACTTGCACAGATGATACTACTTGCGGGTCTTGCACTTCAGAAAGCGACGCAGTATCTTCAACTTCTCCAAATACTTGCTCACCTAAATGTACAGCGGGCTCAAATGGCTGCGCAACTTGCACAGATGACACTACTTGTGCGTCTTGCACTTCAGAAAGCGATGCAGTATCCGGAAACAAGTGTGTAGCAAAATGCACAGAAATATATATATGAAACTACTTTAAGTACTATTTTTATTATGCTTATTTATAATAATTTTAGAGGGAATGCACAGTTGGATCAAACGGCTGCGCAACTTGCACAGATGACACTACTTGTGGGTCTTGCACTTCAGAAAGCGACGCAGTATCTTCAACTTCTCCAAACACTTGCTCACCTAAATGTACAGAAAGAATTAACTTTTGCGTTATTAAAGAATAATTTTTATATTTTAATTCATAATGTTTAAGAGAGCAATGCACAGTTGGCTCAAACGGGTGCGCAACTTGCACAGATGACACTACTTGCGGGTCTTGCACTTCAGAAAGCGACGCAGTGTCTTCAACTTCTCCAAACACTTGCTCAGCTAAATGCACACAAAATATTAGCGTTTGCGTCATTAAAGAACAATTTTATATTTTAATTCATAATTTTTTAAAGGGCAATGCACAACTGGCTCAAATGGCTGCGCAACTTGCACAGATGACACTACTTGCGGATCTTGCACTTCAGAAAGCGATGCAGTATCTTCAACTTCACCAAACACTTGCTCGCCTAAATGCACAGCTGGCTCAAATGGCTGCGCAACTTGCACAGATGACACTACTTGCGCGTCTTGCACTTCAGAAAGCGATGCAGTATCCGGACACAAATGTGCAGGAAAATGCACAGAAATATATATCTGAGACTATTTTTAAATCTATTTTTATTATACAATTTTATAATAATTTTAGAGGGCAATACACAGTTGGATCAAACGGCTGCGCAACTTGCACAGATGACACTACTTGCGGGTCTTGCACTTCAGAAAGCGACGCTGTATCTTCAACTTCTCCAAACACTTGCTCACCTAAATGTACAGAAAGAATTAGCATTTGCATTATTAAGGACTAATTTTATATTTTAATTCATAATTTTTGAGAGAGCAATGCACAGTTAGCTCAAACGGCTGCGCAACTTGCACAGATGACACTACTTGTGGGTCTTGCACTTCAGAAAGCGATGCAGTATCTTCAACTTCTCCAAATACTTGCTCACCTAAATGCACAGCGGGCTCAAATGGCTGCGCAACTTGCACAGATGACACTACTTGCGCGTCTTGCACTTCAGAAAGCGATGCAGTATCCGGAAACAAGTGTGTAGCAAAATGCACAGTTGGATCAAACGGCTGCGCAACTTGCACAGATGACACTACTTGCGGGTCTTGCACTTCAGAAAGCGACGCAGTATCTTCAACTTCTCCAAACACTTGCTCAGCTAAATGTACAGAAAGAATTAACTTTTGCGTTATTAAAGAATAATTTTTATATTTTAATTCATAATGTTTAAGACTGCAATGCACAGTTGGCTCAAACGGCTGCGCAACTTGCACAGATGACACTACTTGTGGGTCTTGCACTTCAGAAAGCGACGCAGTATCTTCAACTTCTCCAAACACTTGCTCAGCTAAATGCACAACTGGCTCAAATGGCTGCGCAACTTGCACAGATGACACTACTTGCGGATCTTGCACTTCAGAAAGCGATGCAGTATCTTCAACTTCACCAAACACTTGCTCGCCTAAATGCACAGCTGGCTCAAATGGCTGCGCAACTTGCACAGATGACACTACTTGCGCATCTTGCACTTCAGAAAGCGATGCTGTATCCGGACACAAATGTGTAGGAAAATGCACAGTTGGCTCAAACGGCTGCGCAACTTGCACAGATGACACTAATTGCGGGTCTTGCACTTCAGAAAGCGATGCAGTATCTTCAACTTCTCCAAACACTTGCTCAGCTAAATGTACAGAAAGAATTGGCATTTGCGTTATTTAGTAATAATTTGATATTTAAATACATAATTTTTAAAGGGAGCAATGCACAGTTGGCTCAAACGGTTGCGCAACTTGCACAGATGACACTACTTGTGGGTCTTGCACTTCAGAAAGCGACGCAGTATCTTCAACTTCTCCAAATACTTGCTCACCTAAGTGCACAGCTGGCTCAAATGGCTGCGCAACTTGCACAGATGACACTACTTGCGCGTCATGCACTTCAGAAAGCGATGCAGTATCCGGAAACAAATGTGTAGGTAAATGCACAGTTGGATCAAACGGCTGTGCAACTTGCACAGATGATACTACTTGCGGGTCTTGCACTTCAGAAAGCGACGCAGTATCTTCAACTTCTCCAAACACTTGCTCACCTGAATGTACAGTTGGCTCAAACGGCTGCGCAACTTGCACAGATGACACTACTTGTGGGTCCTGCACTTCAGAAAGCGACGCAGTATCTTCAACTTCTCCAAACACTTGCTCAGCTAAATGCACAGAAAAAATTAGCGTTTGCGTTATTAAAGACTAATTTTATATTTTAATTCATAATTTTTTTAGAGGGCAATGCACAACTGGCTCAAATGGCTGCGCAACTTGCACAGATGACACTACTTGCGGGTCTTGCACTTCAGAAAGCGATGCAGTATCTTCAACTTCACCAAACACTTGCTCGCCTAAATGCACAGCTGGCTCAAATGGCTGCGCAACTTGCACAGATGATACTACTTGCGCGTCTTGCACTTCAGAAAGCGATGCAGTGTCTGGACACAAATGTGTAGGAAAATGCACAGTTGGATCAAACGGCTGCGCAACTTGCACAGATGACACTACTTGCGGGTCTTGCACTTCAGAAAGCGACGCAGTTTCTTCAACATCTCCAAACACTTGCTCAGCTAAATGTACAATTGGCTCAAACGGCTGCGCAACTTGCACAGATGACACTACTTGTGGGTCTTGCACTTCAGAAAGCGACGCAGTATCTTCAACTTCTCCAAATACTTGCTCACCTAAGTGCACAGCTGGCTCAAATGGCTGCGCAACTTGCACAGATGACACTACTTGCGCGTCATGCACTTCAGAAAGCGATGCAGTATCCGGAAACAAATGTGTAGGTAAATGCACAGAAAATTCATCTGAAACTACTTTAAGCACTATTTTTATTATTCTTATTTATAATAATTTTAGTTAGAATACACAGTTGGATCAAATGGCTGCGCAACTTGCACAGATGATACTACTTGCGGGTCTTGCACTTCAGAAAGCGACGCAGTATCTTCAACTTCTCCAAACACTTGCTCACCTAAATGTACAGAAAGTTTAAGCATTTGCGTTATTAAGGACAAATTTTATATTTTAATTCATTATTTTTTAGAGGCAATGCACAGTTGGCTCAAACGGCTGCGCAACTTGCACAGATGACACTACTTGTGGGTCCTGCACTTCAGAAAGCGACGCAGTATCTTCAACTTCTCCAAACACTTGCTCAGCTAAATGCACAGAAAAAATTAGCGTTTCGTTATTAAAGACTAATTTAATATTTAATTCATAATTTTTTAGAGGGCAATGCACAACTGGCTCAAATGGCTGCGCAACTTGCACAGATGACACTACTTGCGGGTCTTGCACTTCAGAAAGCGATGCAGTATCTTCAACGTCACCAAACACTTGCTCGCCTAAATGCACAGCTGGATCAAATGGCTGTGCAACATGCACAGATGATACTACTTGCGCGTCTTGCACTTCAGAAAGCGATGCAGTGTCTGGACACAAATGTGTAGGAAAATGCACAGTTGGATCAAATGGCTGCGCAACTTGCACAGATGACACTACTTGTGGGTCTTGCACTTCAGAAAGCGATGCAGTATCTTCAACTTCTCCAAACACTTGCTCAGCTAAATGTACAGTTGGCTCAAACGGCTGCGCAACTTGCACTGATGACACTACTTGTGGGTCTTGCACTTCAGAAAGCGACGCAGTATCTTCAACTTCTCCAAATACTTGCTCACCTAAGTGCACAGCTGGCTCAAATGGCTGCGCAACTTGCACAGATGACACTACTTGCGCGTCATGCACTTCAGAAAGCGATGCAGTATCCGGAAACAAATGTGTAGGTAAATGCACAGTTGGATCAAATGGCTGCGCAACTTGCACAGATGATACTACTTGCGGGTCTTGCACTTCAGAAAGTGATGCAGTATCTTCAACTTCTCCAAACACTTGCTCAGCTAAATGCACAGAAAAGTTTAAGCATTTGCGTTATTAAGGACAAATTTTTATATTTTAATTCATAATTTTCAAGAAGCAATGAACAGTTGGCTCAAACGGCTGCGCAACTTGCACAGATGACACTACTTGTGGGTCCTGCACTTCAGAAAGCGACGCAGTATCTTCAACTTCTCCAAACACTTGCTCAGCTAAATGCACAACTGGCTCAAATGGCTGCGCAACTTGCACAGATGACACTACTTGCGGGTCTTGCACTTCTGAAAGCGATGCAGTATCTTTAACTTCACCAAACACTTGCTCGCCTAAATGCACAGCTGGCTCAAATGGCTGTGCAACTTGCACAGATGACACTACTTGCGCGTCTTGCACTTCAGAAAGCGATGCAGTATCTGGACACAAATGTGTAGGAAAATGCACAGTTGGCTCAAACGGTTGCGCAACTTGCACAGATGACACTACTTGTGGGTCTTGCACTTCAGAAAGCGATGCAGTATCTTCAACTTCTCCAAACACTTGCTCAGCTAAATGTACAGAAAGAATTGGCATTTGCGTTATTAAGGACTAATTTTATATTTTAATACATAATTTCTTAGAAGGCAATGCACAGTTGGCTCAAACGGCTGCGCAACTTGCACTGATGACACTACTTGTGGGTCTTGCACTTCAGAAAGCGACGCAGTATCTTCAACTTCTCCAAATACTTGCTCACCTAAGTGCACAGCTGGCTCAAATGGCTGCGCAACTTGCACAGATGACACTACTTGCGCGTCATGCACTTCAGAAAGCGATGCAGTATCCGGAAACAAATGTGTAGGTAAATGCACAGAAAATTCATCTGAAACTACTTTAAGCACTATTTTTTATTATTCTTATTTATAATAAATTTTAGTTAGAATACACAGTTGGATCAAATGGCTGCGCAACTTGCACAGATGATACTACTTGCGGGTCTTGCACTTCAGAAAGTGATGCAGTATCTTCAACATCTCCAAACACTTGCTCAGCTAAATGCACAGAAAGTTTAAGCATTTGCGTTATTAAGGACAAATTTTTATATTTTAATTCATAATTTTCAAGGAAGCAATGAACAGTTGGCTCAAACGGCTGCGCAACTTGCACAGATGACACTACTTGTGGGTCCTGCACTTCAGAAAGCGACGCAGTATCTTCAACTTCTCCAAACACTTGCTCAGCCAAATGCACAGAAAAAATTAGCGTTTGCGTTATTAAAGACTAATTTTATATTTAATTCATAATTTTTTAGAGGGCAATGCACAACTGGCTCAAATGGCTGCGCAACTTGCACAGATGACACTACTTGCGGGTCTTGCACTTCAGAAAGCGATGCAGTATCTTCAACTTCACCAAACATTTGCTCACCTAAATGCACAGCTGGCTCAAATGGCTGCGCAACATGCACAGATGACACTACTTGCGCGTCTTGCACTTCAGAAAGCGATGCAGTATCCGGAAACAAATGTGTAGGAAAATGCACAGAAATTCATCTAAAACTATTTTAAGCATTATTTTGATTATTCTTATTTATAATAATTTTAAAGGGAATGCACAGTTGGATCAAACGGCTGCGCAACTTGCACAGACGACATTACTTGCGGGTCTTGCACTTCAGAAAGTGATGCAGTATCTTCAACTTCTCCAAACACTTGCTCAGCTAAGTGTACAGTGAGAATTAGCTTTTGAGCTTTTAAAGGAATAATTTTATATTTAAATTTCATAATTTTTAGAGAAACAATGCACAGTTGGTTCAAATGGCTGCGCAACTTGCACAGATGATACTACTTGCGGATCTTGCACTTCAGAAAGCGACGCAGTATCTTCAACTTCTCCAAACACTTGCTCACCTAAATGCACAAAAAGAATTAGCATTTGAGTTATTAAGGACAAATTTTATATTTTAATCAATATTTTTTAGAGGGCAATGCACAACTGGCTCAAATGGCTGCGCAACTTGTACAGATGACACTACTTGCGGGTCTTGCACTTCAGAAAGCGATGCAGTATCTTCAACCTCACCAAACATTTGCTCACCTAAATGCACAGCTGGCTCAAATGGCTGCGCAACTTGCACAGATGACACTACTTGCGGGTCTTGCACTTCAGAAAGCGATGCAGTATCTGGACACAAATGTGTAGGAAAATGCACAGTTGGCTCAAACGGCTGTGCAACTTGCACAGATGACACTACTTGCGGTTCTTGCACTTCAGAAAGCGACGCAGTATCTTCAACTTCTCCAAACACTTGCTCAGCTAAATGCACAGTTGGCTCAAACGGCTGCGCAACTTGCACAGATGACACTACTTGCGGGTCTTGCACTTCAGAAAGCGACGCAGTATCTTCAACTTCTCCAAATACTTGCTCACCTAAATGCACAGCTGGCTCAAATGGCTGCGCAACATGCACAGATGACACTACTTGCGCGTCTTGCACTTCAGAAAGCGATGCAGTATCCGGAAACAAATGTGTAGGAAAATGCACAGAAAATTCATCTGAAAAACTACTTTTAGCACTATTTTTGTTATTCTTATTTATAATAATTTTAGAGGGAATGCACAGTTGGCTCAAACGGCTGCGCAACTTGCACAGATGACACTACTTGCGGATCTTGCACTTCAGAAAGCGATGCAGTATCTTCAACTTCTCCAAACACTTGCTCAGCTAAATGCACAGAAAGAATCAGCTTTTTCGTTATTAAGGAATAATTTTATATTTTAATTCATTATTTTTTAGAAGGCAATGCAACAGTTGGCTCAAATGGCTGCGCAACTTGTACAGATGACACTACTTGCGGGTCTTGCACTTCAGAAAGTGACGCAGTATCTTCAACTTCTCCAAATACTTGCTCACCTAAATGCACAGAAAGAATTAGCGTTTGCGTAATTAAAGACTAATTTTATATTTTAATTCATAATTTTTTAGCGGGCAATGCACAACTGGCTCAAATGGCTGCGCAACTTGCACAGATGACACTACTTGCGGGTCTTGCACTTCAGAAAGCGACGCAGTATCTTCAACTTCACCAAATACTTGCTCGCCTAAATGCACAGCTGGCTCAAATGGCTGCGCAACTTGCACAGATGACACTACTTGCGGGTCTTGCACTTCAGAAAGCGATGCAGTATCTGGACACAAATGTGTAGGAAAATGCACAGTTGGCTCAAACGGCTGCGCAACTTGCACAGATGACACTACTTGCGGTTCTTGCACTTCAGACAGCGACGCAGTATCTTCAACTTCTCCAAACACTTGCTCAGCTAAATGTACAGTTGGCTCAAACGGCTGCGCAACTTGCACAGATGACACTACTTGCGGATCTTGCACTTCAGAAAGCGACGCAGTATCTTCAACTTCTCCAAATACTTGCTCACCTAAATGCACAGCTGGCTCAAATGGCTGCGCAACTTGCACAGATGACACTACTTGCGCGTCTTGCACTTCAGAAAGCGATGCAGTATCAGGAAACAAATGTGTAGGAAAATGCACAGAAAATTCATCTGAAACTACTTTAAGCACTATTTTTGTTATTCTTATTTATAATAATTTTAGAGGGAATGCACAGTTGGCTCAAACGGCTGCGCAACTTGCACAGATGACACTACTTGCGGATCTTGCACTTCAGAAAGCGATGCAGTATCTTCAACTTCTCCAAACACTTGCTCAGCTAAATGCACAGAAAGAATCAGCTTTTTTCGTTATTAAGGAATAATTTTATATTTTAATTCATTATTTTTTAGAAGGCAATGCACAGTTGGCTCAAATGGCTGCGCAACTTGCACAGATGACACTACTTGCGGGTCTTGCACTTCAGAAAGTGACGCAGTATCTTCAACTTCTCCAAATACTTGCTCACCTAAATGCACAGAAAGAATTAGCGTTTGCGTAATTAAAGACTAATTTTATATTTTAATTCATAATTTTTTTAGCGGGCAATGCACAACTGGCTCAAATGGCTGCGCAACTTGCACAGATGACACTACTTGCGGGTCTTGCACTTCAGAAAGCGACGCAGTATCTTCAACTTCACCAAATACTTGCTCGCCTAAATGCACAGCTGGCTCAAATGGCTGCGCAACTTGCACAGATGACACTACTTGCGCATCTTGCACTTCAGAAAGCGATGCAGTATCTGGACACAAATGTGTAGGAAAATGCACAGTTGGCTCAAACGGCTGCGCAACTTGCACAGATGACACTACTTGCGGGTCTTGCACTTCAGAAAGCGACGCAGTATCTTCAACTTCTCCAAATACTTGCTCTGCAAAATGTACAGTTGGCTCAAACGGCTGCGCAACTTGCACAGATGATACTACTTGCGGGTCTTGCACTTCAGAAAGTGATGCAGTATCTTCAACTTCTCCAAATACTTGCTCACCTAAATGCACAGCTGGCTCAAATGGCTGCGCAACTTGCACAGATGATACTACTTGCGCGTCTTGCACTTCAGAAAGCGATGTATTATCCGGACACAAATGTGTAGGAAAATGCACAGTTGGCTCAAACGGCTGCGCAACTTGCACAGATGACACTACTTGCGGGTCTTGCACTTCAGAAAGCGACGCAGTATCTTCAACTTCTCCAAACACTTGTTCAGCTAAATGTACAGAAAGAATTAGCTTTTGCGTTATTAAGGAATAATTTATATTTTTAATTTATATTTTTTAAGAGAGCAATGCACAGTTGGCTCAAACGGCTGCGCAACTTGCACAGATGACACCACTTGCGGGTCTTGCACTTCAGAAAGCGACGCAGTATCTTCAACTTCTCCAAACACTTGCTCAGCCAAATGCATAACTGGCTCAAACGGCTGCGCAACTTGCACAGATGACACTACTTGCGGGTCTTGCACTTCAGAAAGCGATGCAGTATCTTCAACTTCACCAAATACTTGCTCACCTAAATGCACAGCTGGCTCAAATGGCTGCGCAACTTGCACAGATGACACTACTTGCGGGTCTTGCACTTCAGAAAGCGATGTAGTATCCGGACACAAATGCGTAGGAAAATGCACAGTTGGCTCAAACGGCTGCGCAACTTGCACAGATGACACTACTTGCGGGTCTTGCACTTCAGAAAGCGACGCAGTATCTTCAACTTCTCCAAACTCTTGCTCACCTAAATGTACAGTTGGCTCAAACGGCTGCGCAACTTGCACAGATGACACTACTTGCGGGTCTTGCACTTCAGAAAGCGACGTAGTATCGTCAACTTCTCCAAATACTTGCTCACCTAAGTGCACAGCTGGCTCAAATGGCTGCGCAACTTGCACAGATGACACTACTTGCGCGTCTTGCACTTCAGAAAGCGATGCAGTATCCGGACACAAATGTGTAGGTAAATGCACAGTTGGATCAAACGGCTGCGCAACTTGCACAGATGACACTACTTGTGGGTCTTGCACTTCAGAAAGCGATGCAGTATCTTCAACTTCTCCAAATACTTGCTCAGCTAAATGTACAGAAAGAATTAGCTTTTTCGTTATTAAGGAATAATTTTATATTTTAATTTATAATGTTTAAGAGAACAATGCACAGTTGGCTCAAACGGCTGTGCAACTTGCACAGATGATACTACTTGCGGATCTTGCACTTCAGAAAGCGATGCAGTATCTTCAACTTCTCCAAACACTTGCTCACCTAAATGCACAACTGGCTCAAATGGCTGCGCAACTTGCACAGATGACACTACTTGCGGGTCTTGCACTTCAGAAAGCGACGCAGTATCTTCAACTTCACCAAATACTTGCTCACCTAAATGCACAGCTGGCTCAAATGGCTGCGCAACTTGCACAGATAGCACTACTTGCGGGTCTTGCACTTCAGAAAGCGATGTAGTATCCGGAAATAAGTGTGTAGGAAAATGTACAGAAATATATATCTGAAAAAAACTTAAAGCACTATTTTAGTTATGCTATTTTCTAATAATTTTAGAGTGCAATGCACAGTTGGCTCAAACGGCTGCGCAACTTGCACAGATGACACTACTTGCGGGTCTTGCACTTCAGAAAGCGACGCAGTATCTTCAACATCTCCAAACACTTGCTCACCTAAATGTACAGTTGGCTCAAACGGCTGCGCAACTTGTACAGACGACACTACTTGCGGATCTTGCACTTCAGAAAGCGACGCAGTATCTTCAACATCTCCAAATACTTGCTCACCTAAATGCACTGCTGGCTCAAATGGCTGCGCAACTTGCACAGATAGCACTACTTGCGGGTCTTGCACTTCAGAAAGCGATGTAGTATCCGGAAACAAATGTGTAGGAAAATGCACAGTTGGCTCAAACGGGTGCGCAACTTGCACAGATGATACTACTTGTGGGTCTTGCACTTCAGAAAGCGACGCAGTATCTTCAACTTCTCCAAACACTTGCTCACCTAAATGTACAGTTGGCTCAAACGGCTGCGCAACTTGCACTGATGACACTACTTGCGGGTCTTGCACTTCAGAAAGCGACGCAGTATCTTCAACATCTCCAAACACTTGCTCACCTAAATGTACAGTTGGCTCAAACGGCTGCGCAACTTGCACAGATGACACTACTTGCGGGTCTTGCACTTCAGAAAGTGACGCAATATCTTCAACATCTCCAAACACTTGTTCGCCTAAATGCACAGCTGGCTCAAATGGCTGCGCAACTTGCACAGATAGCACTACTTGCGGGTCTTGCACTTCAGAAAGCGATGTAGTATCCGGAAACAAGTGTGTAGGAAAATGCACAGTTGGCTCAAACGGCTGCGCAACTTGCACAGATGATACTACTTGCGGATCTTGCACTTCAGAAAGCGACGCAGTATCTTCAACTTCTCCAAACACTTGCTCACCTAAATGTACAGTTGGATCAAGCGGCTGCGCAACTTGCACAGATGCTACAACTTGCGGATCTTGCACTTCAGAAAGCGATGCAGTATCTTCATCATCTCCACACACTTGCTCACCTAAATGCACAGCTGGCTCAAATGGCTGCGCAACTTGCACAGATAGCACTACTTGCGGGTCTTGCACTTCAGAAAGCGATGTAGTATCCGGAAACAAGTGTGTAGGAAAATGCACAGTTGGCTCAAACGGCTGCGCAACTTGCACAGATGATACTACTTGCGGGTCTTGCACTTCAGAAAGCGACGCAGTATCTTCAACTTCTCCAAATACTTGCTCACCTAAATGCACAGTTGGCTCAAATGGCTGCGCAACTTGCACAGATGACACAACTTGCGGATCTTGCACTTCAGAAAGTGATGCAGTATCTTCAACATCTCCAAACACTTGCTCACCTAAATGCACAGCTGGCTCAAATGGCTGCGCAACTTGCTCAGATACTACTACTTGTGGATCTTGCACATCAGAAAGTGACGCAGTATCTTCAACATCTCCAAGCACTTGCTCACCTAAATGCACAGCTGGCTCAAATGGCTGCGCAACTTGCACAGATAGCACTACTTGCGGGTCTTGCACTTCAGAAAGCGATATAGTATCCGGAAACAAGTGTGTAGGAAAATGCACAGTTGGCTCAAACGGGTGCGCAACTTGCACAGATGACACCACTTGCGGATCTTGCACTTCGGAAAGCGACGCAGTATCTTCAACTTCTCCAAACACTTGCTCACCTAAATGTACAGCTGGCTCAAAAGGCTGCGCAACTTGTACAGATGACACTACCTGCGGGTCTTGCACTTCAGAAAGCGATGCAGTTTCTTCAACATCTCCAAACACTTGCTCACCTAAATGCACAGCTGGCTCAAATGGCTGCGCAACTTGCACAGATAGCACTACTTGCGGATCTTGCACTTCAGAAAGCGATGTAGTATCCGGAAACAAGTGTATAGGAAAATGCACAGAGATATGTATCTGAAACAACTTAAAGCACTATTTTTATTATGCTATTTTATAAATAATTTTAGTGTACCAATGCACAGTTGGCTCAAACGGCTGTGCAACTTGTACAGATGATACTACTTGTGGGTCTTGCACTTCAGAAAGCGACGCAGTATCTTCAACTTCTCCAAACACTTGCTCACCAAAATGCACAGTTGGCTCAAACGGCTGCGCTACTTGCACAGATGACACTACTTGCGGATCTTGCACTTCAGAAAGCGACGCAGTATCTTCAACATCTCCAAACACTTGCTCGCCTAAATGCACAGAAAAAATAAGCATTTCCGTTTTTTAAGAATAATTTTCTAATTTATTTCATGCATTTTTAAGGGGGCAATGCACAGCTGGCTCAAACGGCTGCGCAACTTGCACAGATGACACTACTTGCGGGTCTTGCACTTCAGAAAGTGACTCAATATCTTCAACATCTCCAAACACTTGCTTACCTAAATGCACAGCTGGCTCAAATGGCTGCGCAACTTGCACAGATAGCACTACTTGCGGGTCTTGCACTTCAGAAAGCGATGTAGTATCCGGAAACAAGTGTGTAGGAAAATGCACAGCTGGCTCAAATGGCTGCGCAACTTGCACAGATGATACTACTTGTGGGTCTTGCACTTCAGAAAGCGACGCAGTATCTTCAACTTCTCCAAACACTTGCTCACCTAAATGTACAGTTGGCTCAAATGGCTGCGCAACTTGCACAGATGACACTACTTGCGGATCTTGCACTTCAGAAAGTGATGCAGTATCTTCAACATCTCCAAACACTTGCTCACCTAAATGCACAGCTGGCTCAAATGGCTGCGCAACTTGCACAGATAGCACTACTTGCGGGTCTTGCACTTCAGAAAGCGATGTAGTATCCGGAAACAAGTGTGTAGGAAAATGTACAGAGATATGTATCTGAAACAACTTAAAGTACTATTTTTATTGCTTTTTTTAATAAATTTTAGAGTGCAATGCACAGTTGGCTCAAACGGCTGCGCTACTTGCACAGATGACACTACTTGTGGGTCTTGCACTTCAGAAAGCGACGCAGTATCTTCAACTTCTCCAAACACTTGCTCACCTAAATGTACAGAAAGAATTAGCGTTTGCATTATTTAAAAATAATTTTATAATTTAAATATAATTTTTTAGAGAGCAATGCACAGTTGGCTCAAACGGCTGCGCTACTTGCACAGATGACACCACTTGCGGATCTTGCACTTCAGAAAGCGACGCGGTATCTTCAACATCTCCAAACACTTGCTCGCCTAAATGCACAGAAAGAATAAGCGTTTCCGTTTTTTTAAGAATAATTTTCTAATTTATTTCATATATTTTTAGAGGGAATGCACGACTGGCTCAAACGGCTGCGCAACTTGCACAGATGACACTACTTGCGGATCTTGCACCTCAGAATCTGACGCAGTATCTTCAACATCTCCAAATACTTGCTCACCTAAATGCACAGCTGGCTCAAATGGCTGCGCAACTTGCACAGATAGCACTACTTGCGGGTCTTGCACTTCAGAAAGCGATGTAGTATCCGGAAACAAGTGTGTAGGAAAATGCACAGCTGGCTCAAATGGCTGCGCAACTTGCACAGATGATACTACTTGTGGGTCTTGCACTTCAGAAAGCGACGCAGTATCTTCAACTTCTCCAAACACTTGCTCACCTAAATGTACAGTTGGCTCAAATGGCTGCGCAACTTGCACAGATGACACTACTTGCGGGTCTTGCACTTCAGAAAGTGATGCAGTATCTTCAACTTCTCCAAATACTTGCTCACCTAAATGCACAGCTGGCTCAAATGGCTGCGCAACTTGCACAGATAGCACTACTTGCGGGTCTTGCACTTCAGAAAGCGATGTAGTATCCGGAAACAAGTGTGTAGGAAAATGCACAGAGATATGTATCTGAAAATAACTTAAAGTACTATTTTTATTGCTTTTTTATAATAATTTTTAGAGTGCAATGCACAGTTGGCTCAAATGGCTGCGCAACTTGCACAGATGACACCACTTGCGGGTCTTGCACTTCAGAAAGCAACGCGGTATCTTCAACATCTCCAAACACTTGCTCGCCTAAATGCACAGAAAGAATAAGCGTTTCCGTTTTTAAGAATAATTGTATAATTTATTTTATATATTTTTAGAGGGCAATGCACGTCTGGCTCAAACGGCTGCGCTACTTGCACAGATGACACTACTTGCGGATCTTGCACTTCAGAAAGCGACGCGGTATCTTCAACATCTCCAAACACTTGCTCGCCTAAATGCACAGAAAAAATAATCATTTCCGTTTTTTAAGAATAATTTTCTAATTTATTTCATAATTTTTTAGAGGGCAATGCACGACTGGCTCAAACGGCTGCGCAACTTGCACAGATGACACTACTTGCGGGTCTTGCACTTCAGAAAGCGACGCAGTATCTTCAACATCTCCAAACACTTGCTCACCTAAATGCACAGCAGGATCAAATGGCTGCGCAACTTGCACAGATAGCACTACTTGCGGGTCTTGCACTTCAGAAAGCGATGTAGTATCCGGAAACAAGTGTGTAGGAAAATGCACAGTTGGCTCAAACGGGTGCGCAACTTGCACAGATGACACTACTTGTGGGTCTTGCACTTCAGAAAGCGACGCAGTATCTTCAACTTCTCCAAACACTTGCTCACCAAAATGTACAGAAAGAAAATATCGTTTGCATTATTTAGTAATAATTTTTATAATTTAAATTATAATTTTTTAGAGGTCAATGCACAGTTGGCTCAAACGGCTGCGCTACTTGCACAGATGACACTACTTGTGGATCTTGCACTTCAGAAAGCGACGCGGTATCTTCAACATCTCCAAATATTTGCTCACCTAAATGCACAGCTGGCTCAAATGGCTGCGCAACTTGCGCAGATAGCACTACTTGCGGATCGTGCTCTTCAGAAAGCGATGTAGTATCCGGAAACAAGTGTGTAGGAAAATGCACAGAGATATATATCTGAAATAATTTAAACACTATTTTTATTATGCTATTTATAATAATTTTTGAGTGCAATGCACAGTTGGCTCAAACGGCTGCGCAACTTGCACAGATGATACTACTTGCGGGTCTTGCACTTCAGAAAGCGACGCAGTATCTTCAACTTCTCCAAACACTTGCTCACCTAAATGTACAGAAAAGGCAAACTTTTGCGTTAATTAGAATTTATTTTATTTTATATTTTAATTGATAATTATATAGTGGGCAATGCACAGTTGGCTCAAACGGCTGCGCAACTTGTACAGATGATACGACTTGCGGGTCTTGTACTTCAGAAAGCGACGCAGTATCTTCAACATCTCCAAACACTTGCTCACCTAAATGTACAAAAAAAATAAATTGTTTGTGTTACTGACGAATAAATTATAAAATAAATTATATTTTTTTAGAGGGCAATGCACAGTCGGCTCTAACGGCTGCGCAACTTGCTCAGATACTACTACTTGCGGGTCTTGCACTTCAGAAAGTGACGCAGTATCTTCAACATCTCCAAACACTTGCACTCCTAAATGCACAGCTGGCTCAAATGGCTGCGCAACTTGCACAGATAGCACTACTTGCGGGTCTTGCACTTCAGAAAGCGATATAGTATCCGGAAACAAGTGTGTAGGAAAATGTACAGTTGGCTCAAATGGCTGCGCAACTTGCACAGATGATACTACTTGCGGGTCTTGCACTTCAGAAAGCGACGCCGTATCTTCAACTTCTCCAAACACTTGCTCACCAAAATGTACAGTTGGCTCAAACGGCTGCGCAACTTGCACAGATGATACTACTTGTGGATCTTGCACTTCAGAAAGCGACGCAGTATCTTCAACATCTCCAAACACTTGCTCACCTAAATGCACAGCTGGCTCAAATGGCTGCGCAACTTGCACAGATAGCACTACTTGCGGGTCTTGCACTTCAGAAAGCGATATAGTATCCGGAAACAAGTGTGTAGGAAAATGCACAGAGATATATATCTGAAGCAACTCAAAACATAATTTTGATAGGCTATTTTATAATGATTTTAGAATCCAAAGCACAGTTGGCTCAAACGGCTGCGCAACTTGCACAGATGATACTACTTGCGGGTCTTGCACTTCAGAAAGCGACGCCGTATCTTCAACTTCTCCAAACACTTGCTCACCAAAATGCACAGAAAGAATAGGTTCATGCGTTATTTAGTAGTAATTTTATAATTTAGTTCATAATTTTTTAGAGGTCAATGAACAGTTGGCTCAAACGGCTGTGCAACTTGTACAGATGACACAACTTGCGGGTCTTGCACTTCAGAAAGCGACGCAGTATCTTCAACTTCTCCAAACACTTGCTCACCTAAATGTACAGCTGGCTCTAACGGCTGCGCAACTTGCTCAGATACTACTACTTGCGGGTCTTGCACTTCAGAAAGTGACGCAGTATCTTCAACATCTCCAAACACTTGCTCACCTAAATGCACAGCTGGCTCAAATGGCTGCGCAACTTGCACAGATAGCACTACTTGCGGGTCTTGCACTTCAGAAAGCGATATAGTATCCGGAAACAAGTGTGTAGGAAAGTGCACAGTTGGCTCAAACGGCTGCGCAACTTGCACAGATGATACTACTTGCGGATCTTGCACTTCAGAAAGCGACGCAGTATCTTCGACTTCTCCAAACACTTGCTCACCTAAATGTACAGTTGGTTCAAACGGCTGCGCAACTTGCACAGATGACACAACTTGCGGATCTTGCACTTCAGAGAGCGATGCAGTATCTTCAACATCTCCAAACACTTGCTCACCTAAATGCACAGCTGGCTCAAACGGCTGCGCAACTTGCACAGATAGCACTACTTGCGGGTCTTGCACTTCAGAAAGCGATATAGTATCCGGAAACAAGTGTGTAGGAAAATGCACAGTTGGCTCAAACGGCTGCGCAACTTGCACAGATGATACTACTTGCGGATCTTGCACTTCAGAAAGCGATGCAGTATCTTCAACTTCTCCAAACACTTGCTCACCTAAATGTACAGAACGAATTAGCGTTTGCGTTATTTAAAATAATTTAAAATTTTAATTCCTAATTTTTTAGAGGGCAATGCACAGTTGGCTCAAACGGCTGCGCAACTTGCACAGATGATACTACTTGCGGGTCTTGCACTTCAGAAAGTGACGCAGTATCTTCAACATCTCCAAACACTTGCTCACCTAAATGCACAGCTGGCTCAAATGGCTGCGCAACTTGCTCAGATGCTACTACTTGCGGGTCTTGCACTTCAGAAAGTGACGCAATATCTTCAACATCTCCAAACACTTGCTCACCTAAATGCACAGCTGGCTCAAATGGCTGCGCAACTTGCACAGATAGCACTACTTGCGGGTCTTGCACTTCAGAAAGCGATATAGTATCCGGAAACAAGTGTGTAGGAAAATGCACAGTTGGCTCAAACGGCTGTGCGACATGCACAGATGATACAACTTGCGGTTCTTGCACTTCAGAAAGCGATGCAGTATCTTCAACTTCTCCAAACACTTGCTTACCTAAATGTACAGTTGGCTCAAACGGCTGCGCAACTTGCACAGATGACACTACTTGCGGATCTTGCACTTCAGAAAGCGACGCGGTATCTTCAACATCTCCAAACACTTGCTCACCTAAATGCACAGCTGGCTCAAATGGCTGCGCAACTTGCACAGATAGCACTACTTGCGGGTCTTGCACTTCAGAAAGCGATATAGTATCCGGAAACAAGTGTGTAGGAAAGTGCACAGAGATATATATCTGAAACAACATAAAGCACTATTTTTATTATGCAACTTTATAATAATTTTAGAGATCAATGCACAGTTGGCTCAAACGGCTGCGCAACTTGCACAGATGATACTACTTGCGGGTCTTGCACTTCAGAAAGCGACGCAGTGTCATCAACATCTCCAAACACTTGCTCACCTAAATGTACAGAACGAAATAGCGTTTGCGTTAATTAAAAATTTATTTTATATTTTAATTGATAATTATATAGTGGGCAATGCACAGTTGGCTCAAACGGCTGCGCAACTTGTACAGATGCTACTACTTGCGGATCTTGCACTTCAGAAAGCGACGCAGTATCTTCAATATCTCCAAACACTTGCTCACCTAAATGCACAGTTGGCTCAAATGGCTGCGCAACTTGCACAGATAACACTACTTGCGGATCGTGCTCTTCAGAAAGTGACGCAGTATCTTCAACATCTCCAAATACTTGCTCACCTAAATGCACAGCTGGCTCAAATGGCTGCGCAACTTGCACAGATAGCACTACTTGTGGGTCTTGCACTTCAGAAAGCGATATAGTATCCGGAAACAAGTGTGTAGGAAAATGCACAGTTGGCTCAAACGGCTGCGCAACTTGCACAGATGATACTACTTGCGGATCTTGCACTTCAGAAAGCGACGCAGTATCTTCAACATCTCCAAACACTTGCTCACCTAAATGTACAGTTGGCTCTAACGGCTGCGCAACTTGTTCAGATGCTACTACTTGCGGATCTTGCACTTCAGAAAGCGACGCAGTATCTTCAACATCTCCAAACACTTGCTCACCTAAATGCACAGCTGGCTCAAATGGCTGCGCAACTTGCACAGATAGCACTACTTGCGGGTCTTGCACTTCAGAAAGCGATATAGTATCCGGAAACAAGTGTATAGGAAAATGCACAGTTGGCTCAAATGGCTGCGCAACTTGTACAGATGATACTACTTGCGGGTCTTGCACTTCAGAAAGCGACGCCGTATCTTCAACTTCTCCAAACGCTTGCTCACCTAAATGTACAGAACGAATTAGCGTTTGCGTTATTTTGGAATAATTTGATATTTTAGTTTATAATTTTTTTAGAGGGCAATGGACAGTTGGCTCAAACGGCTGCGCAACTTGCACAGATGCTACTACTTGCGGGTCTTGCACTTCAGAAAGTGACGCAGTATCTTCAACATCTCCAAACACTTGCTCACCTAAATGCACAGAAACAATTAGCCTTACGTATTTAGGAATATTTTTATTATTTTATTATATTTTTAGAGAACAATGCACAGCTGGCTCAAATGGCTGCGCAACTTGCTCAGATGCTACTACTTGCGGGTCTTGCACTTCAGAAAGTGACGCAGTATCTTCAACATCTCCAAACACTTGCTCGCCTAAATGCACAGCTGGCTCAAATGGCTGCGCAACTTGCACAGATAGCACTACTTGCGAGTCTTGCACTTCAGAAAGCGATATAGTATCCGGAAACAAGTGTGTAGGAAAATGCACAATTGGCTCAAACGGCTGCGCAACTTGCACAGATGACACTACTTGCGGGTCTTGCACTTCAGAAAGCGACGCAGTATCTTCAACATCTCCAAACACTTGCTCACCTAAATGCACAGTTGGCTCAAACGGCTGCGCAACTTGCGCAGATGACACTACTTGCGGATCTTGCACTTCAGAAAGCGACGCAGTATCTTCAACATCTCCAAACACTTGCTCACCTAAATGCACAGCTGGCTCAAATGGCTGCGCAACTTGCACAGATAGCACTACTTGTGGGTCTTGCACTTCAGAAAGCGATATAGTATCCGGAAACAAGTGTGTAGGAAAGTGCACAGTTGGCTCAAACGGCTGCGCAACTTGCACAGATGATACTACTTGCGGGTCTTGCACTTCAGAAAGCGACGCAGTATCTTCAACATCTCCAAACACTTGCTCACCTAAATGTACAGAAAGAATTAGCGTTTGCGTTTATTTAGCAATAATTTTATAATTTAGTTTATATATTTTTTAGAGGGCAATGCACAGTTGGCTCAAACGGCTGCGCAACTTGCACAGATGCTACTACTTGCGGATCTTGCACTTCAGAAAGCGACGCAGTATCTTCAACATCTCCAAACACTTGCTCACCTAAATGCACAGCTGGCTCAAACGGCTGCGCAACTTGCTCAGATGCTACTACTTGCGGGTCTTGCACTTCAGAAAGTGACGCAATATCTTCAGCATCTCCAAACACTTGCTCACCTAAATGCACAGCTGGCTCAAATGGCTGCGCAACTTGCACAGATAGCACTACTTGCGGGTCTTGCACTTCAGAAAGCGATATAGTATCCGGAAACAAGTGTGTAGGAAAATGCACAGTTGGCTCAAACGGCTGCGCAACTTGCACAGATGATACTACTTGCGGATCTTGCACTTCAGAAAGCGACGCAGTATCTTCAACATCTCCAAACACTTGCTCACCTAAATGTACAGTTGGCTCAAACGGCTGCGCAACTTGTACAGATGACACTACTTGCGGATCTTGCACTTCAGAAAGCGACGCAGTATCTTCAACATCTCCAAATACTTGCTCACCTAAATGCACAGCTGGCTCAAATGGCTGCGCAACTTGCACAGATAGCACTACTTGCGGGTCTTGCACTTCAGAAAGCGATATAGTATCCGGAAACAAGTGTGTAGGAAAATGCACAGTTGGCTCAAACGGCTGCGCAACTTGCACAGATGATACTACTTGCGGGTCTTGCACTTCAGAAAGCGACGCAGTATCTTCAACATCTCCAAACACTTGCTCACCTAAATGTACAGTTGGCTCAAACGGCTGCGCAACTTGCACAGATGCTACTACTTGCGGATCTTGCACTTCAGAAAGCGACGCAGTATCTTCAACATCTCCAAACACTTGCTCACCTAAATGCACAGAACGAATTAGCGTTTCCACTATTTTAAAATGATTTTCAAATTTAATTCATAATTTTTTAGAGGCAATGCACAGCTGGCTCAGACGGCTGCGCAACTTGCTCAGATGCTACTACTTGCGGGTCTTGCACTTCAGAAAGTGACGCAATATCTTCAACATCTCCAAACACTTGCTCACCAAAATGCACAGCTGGCTCAAATGGCTGCGCAACTTGCACAGATAGCACTACTTGCGGGTCTTGCACTTCAGAAAGCGATATAGTATCCGGAAACAAGTGTGTAGGAAAATGCACAGTTGGCTCAAACGGCTGCGCAACTTGCACAGATGACACTACTTGCGGGTCTTGCACTTCAGAAAGCGACGCAGTATCTTCAACATCTCCAAACACTTGCTCACCTAAATGTACAGTTGGCTCAAATGGCTGCGCAACTTGTACAGATGACACTACTTGCGGATCTTGCACTTCAGAAAGCGACGCAGTATCTTCAACATCTCCAAACACTTGCTCACCTAAATGCACAGCTGGCTCAAATGGCTGCGCAACTTGCACAGATAGCACTACTTGCGGGTCTTGCACTTCAGATAGCGATATAGTATCCGGAAACAAGTGTGTAGGAAAATGCACAGTTGGCTCAAACGGCTGCGCAACTTGCACAGATGACACTACTTGCGGGTCTTGCACTTCGGAAAGCGACGCAGTATCTTCAACTTCTCCAAACACTTGCTCACCTAAATGCACAGAAAGAATTAGCGTTTGCATTATTTAAAAATAATTTTCTAATTTATTTTATATATTTTTAGGGCAATGCACAGTTGGCTCAAACGGCTGCGCTACTTGCACAGATGCTACTACTTGCGGATCTTGCACTTCAGAAAGCGACGCAGTATCTTCAACATCTCCAAACACTTGCTCACCTAAATGCACAACTGGCTCAAACGGCTGCGCAACTTGCTCAGATGCTACTACTTGCGGGTCTTGCACTTCAGAAAGTGACGCAGTATCTTCAGCATCTCCAAATACTTGCTTACCTAAATGCACAGCTGGCTCAAATGGCTGCGCGACTTGCACAGATAGCACTACTTGCGGGTCTTGCACTTCAGAAAGCGATATAGTATCCGGAAACAAGTGTGTAGGAAAATGCACAGTTGGCTCAAACGGCTGCGCAACTTGCACAGATGCTACTACTTGCGGGTCTTGCACTTCAGAAAGCGACGCAGTATCTTCAACATCTCCAAACACTTGCTCACCTAAATGTACAGCTGGTTCAAACGGCTGTGCGGCTTGCTCAGATAGCACTACTTGCGGGTCTTGCACTTCAGAAAGCGACGCAGTATCTTCTACATCTCCAAACACTTGCTCACCTAAATGCACAGCTGGCAGCAACCATTGTACTACCTGTTCGGATAGCACAACGTGTGGCACATGTGATTCAGCAACAGATTTGTCATCAGGATCTTGTGTATGTACAGCTGGAAAGTACCATTGTGAGACTTGCGTAGCTGATAACTCAGGTGATTGCTCAAAATGTGATTCAGGGACGACACTGACATCAGGATCTTGCCTATGCACAGATGGCCAGAATAATTGTAAGACTTGTGCAGCTGATAACTCTAATGATTGCGAAACATGCGCTGACGGATATAAGTTGACGTCTGGATATTGCACTGCTACATGTGCAGTTGAAAATTGTCAAGCATGCTCAGGATCAGATTCACAAATTTGCGATACTTGTCAATCCGGGTTTAGCTGGGATTCTGCTTCATCTAAATGTTTGTGCTCAATTGCTAATTGTGTAACCTGTTCAACAACCACATATGGAAATTGCGATACATGTCAATCTGGGTTTACTTTTAGCGACTCGTCAAAATCTTGCGAGTGCTCAATTAGTAACTGCAAGACTTGCTCAACGACATCATATGGAACATGCCAAGAGTGTAAGTCTGGATTTAGTTGGGATGCTACAACATCATCTTGCAAATGCTCATTGGCTCACTGTGATACTTGCTCTACCACTAGTTATGGAACTTGCACAACATGCACATCAACATTTGAGGGATCTGGAACATCAACTTGCGCCTGCTCATCTACCAGCTATTTAGATACAGACACCTGCAAGTCATGCACTAATCAATGTTTATCTTGCACAACTGCAACAGCATGCACTGCTTGTGTTGATAATGCAACTAAAAATTCAAATGATAGCACATGCTCATGCAATGATGGCTATTATCCATCTGGTGGCAAATGCACTCAATGTCCAACTTCATGCTCTAAATGCACATCTGCTACAGTTTGTACAGCTTGCAAGGCAAATGCATCAGTATCGAATGGTCTATGTGTTTGCAATACTGGCTATACTCTGAACTCTTCAAACAACTGTATAGCAACATGCAACAATCTTTGCACTTCTTGTGACGCTAATGATGGCAATAAGTGCTCTGTATGCATTACGAATGCAGAGCTAACTGGAACAACTTGTGCATGCACTGCCAATTCTTCATATGATTCAGCCTCAAAAAGCTGTCAGTGTAACTCTGGCTATACTTATTCAAATGGCAAATGTGTTGTGTGCAAGAAATATCTTGCACCTTCAGACGTAGTAAGCGCAGCATATAGTTCTTCGTACACTTCTGTGACTATGATGTTTGCGAAAATTTTTCTCATAGCACAGCACGAGTAAAAATCCTTGACTCTCAGATCCGTTTTCCTCTTTTTTTTCGAGGATTTTAATTTTAGTAATAGTATTAATTTTCGGAAAGAAGAATATAACATTTAAGGTTCCAATAGATATTTCAGCAGATCCAATTTGCTCCAAGACATTAACTTATGATTCTTATATTATGATGGGAACCAACCCTATTTGCTCTTGGACTGACTCAAAGAATTTGAAAATTGCCTTAGGCTCGGGATTCAAGCTAAGAAATGACTCTATTGATTTAGATGGCACATATATTCTTAAAGATACAAAAGATACATGTACAACAAACTATCAAGCATTAAGTGTTTCAATAGCCATGGGATCAAACACAAGTCCAACTGCAAAATTATCAGGCCCAGAATCTATCTCTCTTGGATGTGGAAGTGACTCACTCCTTTACTCATCTGATAAGTCTACTGGGTCTTTTGGAGGTGATTTCACTTATACTTGGAAAGCTATAATGTCTCCTGCTCTTTCAAGTTTGTCGTCTTGGGCTGAAAAGCAAACATCATCATCTTTAACAATTACTAGAGACAAACTTTCCTCAGTATCTTCTGATGCAACTTTAACGGTGACTGTGACAATCAAAAATTGGCTCAGTGAAACAACAAGCTCGGCATCCGTAGTAACATCAGTTTCTCCTCAACAGTCTCTATCCGTTTCATTTGACTCAGGCAGCTCAGTATCAATGAAAGCTTCTGATAAAAAAGAAGTGAAAGCTAAAGTGACATCAGTTTGTGGAGGCTCAACAAGCGCCATATCTTGGAAATGGTCTTATGTTTCAACCACAGATAATAGTATAGCATCTTCTCTTGCTTCAAGCACTACAACTCAAAAATTATCGATACCTAAGAACACGTTTACTGCTGGAGGTCCATATTCTTTCACAGCAACTGCTTCTCAAGACAATAGTGGAACAACAGTTACTGGTAGTGCTACAGTTTCTATTACAGTTACATCTTCTCCTCTATATATTGAGTTGTCTAAAGGTAGCGGACAAATTTCTTCATCCAAAGATTATACCGTCAATGCTGATAAGTCCAAAGATCCAGATGATTCTTCAGGTCTTACTTATGCTTGGACCTGTGCTAATCACGAAGATGGGTCGACATGCAAAGGTGCAGATGGCTCAATCTTACTAAGCAATGAAGCAAATAGCGCACTTACTATTCCTTCAGCAAAGATTGTAAAGGGTGCTGAATGGGATATAACTTGCACAATATCGAAAGATACTAGAACAGCAAGCTTAACCATAACTCTCAATGTCTTAGATGCTGATACTTCTAGCTCAATTGAAATACCAGCTATTGCTACAAAAGCCAGCAGCCAGAATAAGAACAAATACTCAGCAAGTGTTTCCTCAAGCGAAGGTTCTACGTTTATATGGACTCAAAAATCTGGATTATCGATTTCAATTTCACCAAATAATCTTCCGTCTCTTTTAATTCCTTCTGGGACAATGAGTGATGGAATGGCATATGTATTCACCTTGAAGATAACAGACTCTAACAGTGTAAGCTTAAGCGTTGACTTGTCTGTCTCAGTTAACTTAGGAGCATCTTGCTCAGGAGCATTAGCTGTGTCGCCAACAACTGGAATGGCTTTAATTGATACTTTTACAATTTCAATAAGTGGCTGCGTTGATCGTGATGATGAAGACTATCCACTTCTTTACACGTACAAGTACTCTCTATCTGGATCAAACTCGAAATACACTATAGGATCTACCACTGAAGAAAGCCAAATTTCATCCAAACTGTCTTCAGGCGAGCAGGTTATTTCAGTCCATGTTTGTGACCAGCTTGATACTTGCGAAGATTACTCATCTTCTAAACTTACAGTTAGCAAATACTCACCTGGAAGGCGTCTAGACACTAGCACGTTGATGGATACTTACCTGTCCATGACTCTTGATCCAGATAATATCCCATCTACTATTACTTTGATATGCTCAGGAGCTACAATTGATAGTTCTTTGTTTGCAAAGATGTGGAGTGATTTGCAGTCTTATGTCCAAACCCAAAGCAGCATGACAGTCAATTTACTTCAGTCTCTGCTGGGATCTGTTTACTCTATGACCAGCCAAACTGATTTAATGAGCATTAGTATGTACGAACAGTTGATAACTTGGCTTAATAGCATTTTGACCACTTACAATACACTTTACCCAAGCCAAGATAATATGAATACAGTGGTTTTGATAGGTGAGAGCTATTTGAATTATGGAAATAGCACTAGCTTCTCAGATAAAAGCTTTGAAAAATCAGTTTTGTACGTCAATGACTTCTATCTTACTTGGGCTGTAAAAGCAACCCATGATGACCTAGTGACTCAATCATCGCTAAGTGGAAATCAAAATACTGATAATGTCCAGATTTATAAAGATAGAAATTTCAGAAAAGATATGGAGAATAAAACTAAGGAATATACTAACAGTAAAATTCTTACTTATCCTAGCATCCTTGAATTTGATGATGATAGTATTATGAACATGAGAGCTAATTTCTACCAGGGATATTCAAACGATAGCTATTCTGATATCGCTTTATTCAGCTTTGGAAATTCAGGCACATACAAAGACTACACTCTTACAATTAATGATGAAACTTATGTTCCATACTCGTCAACTGATTATCCATTCCTCATTGAGCTGCCTTTCTACAAGAATATTTCTGAAGGAATGGTGTGGGGCTGCCAATACTACAATGAAACAAGCTCAAATTGGACTGAGTCAAACTGCAAGGTTTCAAGCATCAACAACGAAGATCAAACAGTCAAAGTCAAGGTCTACCATTTCTCAATGTACAAACTTGTAGAGATCAACCCTAGCGATAATCCACCTCCTTATGTACCAACTAGTAGCTCAAGCTGTGACGATAACTACGCCCCTCTCTACATCCTTGTAGTCACTTTGTTTATTGGCTTGATTCTGGCCCCAATTATGGTGATTATCGACAGAATTAGCCACCCTGCAGCTACTGAGATCAAAACTAGGAATGTGCCTCACAACTCACCATCCCATTCTCCAAGACCAACTGAGCGAGGACTAATGCGTCATGATATAAGCATTCATGCATCCCAAGGAGAAGAGTCAGTTGAAAGCGGACAGTCTGGCAGTTCAGAGGATGAAGTTGTTGAGTCGCAAGAAATTGATTTGACTGAAAACTCAATAGTCCAACAAATTGGAGGACCATCAAATGATGAGAAGCCTGAGGATGAAGTTAAGTATGAGCTTCAAGAATTATACTTTTTCAATCAGTTGAGTAATCTGGTTTTAGATAAATAAGTAATATTCCACTCATTATAGGTTGCTCAACTTTAAAAATATTGCAAAGTTATTCAAATGAGCATAATTGAAGGCCATTTAGCTCTTGGAATATTCTATTATAGGCCAACATTCTCGAGAGTAGCAAGGCTCTTCACTTTGGTTGTAGTCATCATCTTTGAACTATTGCTTGAAGGATTGCTGTACTTTGGATTTGAAGATATCAACTCAGGAAGCGAAACAGCAACTCAGACATTGTTTGATGACTATGAAGGAAACTACTTTGGGTATATGATTTTGGCTTTAGCTATTACAATCCCTGTTGAAATCTTTATGGTTGTTGCGTTTAGCATTGATAGAACTAAAGCTCCACAATGGTCAGCAGCTGCAGTGACTCTTGGAGTTGCCATTCTCATTGGATCTATTGTTGGAATTGTGATGCTAAGCTATGACTTCTGCCATAAATGGAGTGGGTACTGGGCTGTTAGCTTCTTATGGGGAATCTTAATTGAGATCTTTATTATGGAAACAATTTACATGATTGTCAGGTATTTCATCATTCAAGCTTATCCTCCGGTGGAAACAAGCAAATCTAAGGCTTAAATAACCTTTTATTCTTAATTTTGTGTCTACTCTAATTAATGTAAGCTTAACGAGGAGTAAAAAATAATTCAGTTTATAAAATAAATCTATATAGACTCTATAAGAGATATTGCTGAGAATCACATCAAACATTTTATAACTTACTTTCCCTCAGGAACGAGCAAATCCCTATTTTTTGGGTTAAAACCTGGCGTCTTGCTAGCAAACAAAATTTTTATGAAAAAATATTTTGATATACTTGATAATTAATATGATGAAATCCTAGCTAACTCTGTTTGAAATATAAGCAGCTTGTATTTTAAAACATAAATTTATAGATTAATTTAACTTTTTCCAATTTTTTTCAAGAGTTTTTTTAAAAACTTCAACAAAATTTTTTATTTAAGAATAGAAATGCTGGTTCGCTCAAGGAAGGCAGGTAGTTAGTGAAAATTAAATCTCAAAATAATATTACTTATACAGCATTTAGTAATTTAAAGTTTTTTTATATTTTAAATAAAAGTAAATGTATAAAAGAAATTTTCTATTTAAGTTAATTTTAAATACTTGATAATTAATTAGCTACAATTAATAAATATTTAGTTATTTTGTAATCGAAGAGATATCCAGCATTAAGTCTATTATAATTTATTATTCGAATTATCAAATAGCTAAAGATTAACTTGCTAATTAATCTCTTCTTTGCTTAAAATTTATTTATAAATTATTTCTTCAAAAATTTATCCAGTAAGACCAAAAAGCTCATTTAAATCTGTATTACAATTATAGACTCATCAACCTAACATTTAAGCTCAACCCATATACAAGATCTATCATTTTCTGCTTAAGTTCCTAAGTCTCCTATCTGCTAGAGAACTGCTCTGCGAATTATTTTGACATCTTCTCAGCCCTACAGATTTATTATTACGTTCTTCTTAGTACAATTCACTTATTTTACTCTTTCTTGATAATTCATATGCTTATGATCCAAGCCTTTCTCTAGAAAAACATCAAAATTTTGGTCCAGCGATTTATCAGCTTTTGGACGATCATTCTCTTTCACTTCTTGAATCATCCAAATATGTAGAATTGCAAGCCAAGTTCTTCAGAGTTTCTAAGCTGCTACACGTATTGCATTCATCAGTTTTTTTCAAAAATTTGATGCAACTAGTGTAGAGGCATAGTTCATATTGAACCAAAAATTAATTCATTACCTCGCAAGCAAACTTGGCCCATATCTTTACGATGATTTTAATTGAGATACTTATGAATAAAACACCAAGTTTTAAACTAAAGAGATTATATTATCTGTAATTTTAATTTCATGGAAAGCTCTCAGTTAAAAAATGGTAAAAAAAGCAATTAATTTTTACAATTTAGCATTTATAATGGATTACTTAAAAATAATTGGGCTTTTAATTAAATAAAATTTGAAGATTACTGCTTTAAAGTAATGACTATAGGATTTCAAGTTTAAGACAGCTGCTAATTTTAAAAATCCTGAATTCAGAAGTTTTATTTTAAGAAAGCAGACCCTGGGTATCCAGATTTTTTTAGCTTGATAAAGATCAACTCTAACTAATTCTGTTATGAATTCCTAGATTATAGGTGCTGTTCTCCCCTAGTTTATCCTGTAAGATTGCATTAATAATGGATTATCCTTCTAGTTGGACGATAGATATTTTTGTGAACTTATTTCGCTATTCCTTTTTTTTAATTATGTTAATTCGAAATCCTTTTGCTTCTCCTAAATCATGATAAGCATCGGAATAGTAAAACTAAGCATAGCACGCCCTGATTCTAAATAATACAGATAGGAATAGAGAGGTCTTTTAGAAACTTCTTGCCATTTACGAAATAATTTTTGTTTAAATGTAGCTCTATTATATCATAAATCAAGCTGGGAGCGTGCTTTTGTAGTTATGGATGGCTTTATGAGCTTATGTAGTAGTGATAGTATAAATTCAAAGAAAATGTTTGCTTGCCTGTTCCATTATGCATAAAAATAAGAAAATGATCATTATTTTACAAATTTATAAATTTTGACTAAAAGATAGAGAATTAAATCATCAAAATTAAATTTATATTTTCAATAAAAAGCCAATTTATCATATAATTTATAAAAATCACCCAATATCTAATAAATAATTAAGAATTATTGTTAATAAAAACTCCCTGTGGCAGACTTCTAAAATATTCCTCCCCAAGCTTATCAGCCCAGTTATTCTTATCAGGCAATCTCCCATACTCATAGACATTAACAACATACTGCACAAAATTCCTCAGCCTATCCACTTTAACCGCTACCGCAATTTCGTCGTCGAGACTCACCGTCAGGCCAGCGACGCCACTTTGGAAATCCTAATTCGCAATACTTGTGACCATCATAATCCTCCTTATGTCATTTTTCGAAAATTTTGTATTAATCCATTTTGGATTCGCAAGCAGGGTAGAAGGGAAATTTAAAGGCTCGCTCGTGTAAATTATTTTGAACTCTCCTCCTTCTAAGGCTTCTATAATAGATAAAGCAGGCCTATGATGAGGCTTATGAAGTCATACTTTGTCTGGGCAAATGATACGAAATAATTTGTATTTAAAAATCTAATGTAGGGGCTTGAGCCAAAGGTGCAACTAGATCCTTTGTCAGAGCCGAATTGTCTTTTACAAGGAGGTGTTCCTCAGTGCAGTCTATTAGTTGAGTGTCCTCATACTTATATAAAAAATATAAATGCACGTTATAATTATAAGTGGACTTCAGTTCTTTTCGATGCGCCAGGTGTGATTATGCTGGGCACCTGATTTTTCCCTACAAAATCAGTATTTCTGACTTCATTTCAGTCAGAATCAAAAAAGGTTACATATACATAACTATATGAGTCTAAGATAGAAACCCTATTAGCAGTTAAATAAAGCTGTTTTTCAGGTAGCCAAAGGGCAGAAGGGAAAATACACGAGTTTGCTCTTTGTCTGATAGACGAAACTCATTGAACCTAGCTTTTTCTTCATCACAAGTATGAGGAGGCAAAAGGGCGTAGATATAGTCGATATCAAAAAGAAGTTTTATATAATCCTTATCTGCAGCTGGTGGCTTCTTTTTAAGCAAATGTGGTTGTTTATGTCCAAGGTTAAGCAGCCTTGTAAGGTTTTTAAGGCTTCATCAACTATTGAGTAGCTAAAATGCCAGACAATAGCATCATAGCTCAAAAGATAGCAATTGAAACCATTAATTATACAAGAAAATCGCTTAATGTATTAGAGATAAAAAATTAAACTAATCCATTTTCTCAATTAAAAAATGCAAAAAACTCTGATATGGTTTGGATTATTATTGGTTGCTAAAGCTGGCGATATGAAAAAATAAGAGTGGTTTTTTGACTGTCCGTATTTTGACTTTAATATGAAAGTTTCCATAGTTGACCAAGAAACAGACTATGATAGGGAACCAAGATTTCTGGTGCCTAAATTAAATAATTCAATGATGGAAATGACTTTTTGATATGGTGCTCAGTGTCATTCTAGACAATGAAGCTGAAAAACTTCAGAAAAATCGAGAAAACGCTATTAGAGTTTTTCACACCTCAGCTATTTAGCCAGAGACGAGACTTGGATAGGCGTCACAAAAGTCCCTTCAATCCTAAATATTCCTAATGGCTGAAGCATCCCTAATTCAGGCCCAGAAGGCGCGGAAGACATTTAGGGCTCTCTCAGACCAGTTTTTTATTGTCTTTAATATGAAACGCAAAAAAAAATCCCCTCTCATGGCCTATATTTTTGTAAGGCTCCACTACTAGGACATTTGGACAGCTTGTAATCCCAGAGCAATATGACCAGAAAGTGCTTATTGAAAAAATTGGTGGCCTCTAATAATTGATGACAGCCATATTGACTTTGTTTATAATTTTTAAAATTTCCAGGTCATTAACTTTACTGATGAAAGTCCTTGCACCAGGGTTTCGAGGAAACTTCAAAGAGAGCCAGGGATTTTAAGAGGTGGGACAGCTTTTCAGCAATATAAAAGCACTGATTATTATTTTTCCTTTGGCTTTACCCATTGAGAATACACCATAAACGGCTGATGCAAGCTTTATAGACCCTCGCTTGTGCTGATCAAATCTAAATACCAAGACTTTAAGCTGCTTTATACGAGTGAGCCTGTTGATTTTATGTACAGGATTATTTTAACCCCAGTAGCCAAATATAAAACCCCAGGGGAAAGAGTCTTCTGTGGGCCTGGCGCACGGCTGATTCCTAATTCTATCGCAAAAATTGGCGAAAATTCCTATATAGCTGATCTCACACTCAGCGTTGACAATGAGCTCCTTGTCGTAAAAGCCAAAGGACTGTTAAAATATATCAGCAAAATAATTGAGGCTTATGAAAAAGAGCTGCTTCCTGAGGAGCGAAAATGTGCTCAAAAAATCGCATATGACTACTATGAGAAAAAAGAATTAGTCAGCCCACTTAAAGGGCTTGAAGAAAAGGATTTTGAAAAGAATGAGGCTATTACTAGCAAATTGGGTTGCATGGAAAAGCATTTTTTGAGTTTCCAGTCTAATAAATGTGAAAGTAAGTTAAAAGTTAAATTGGTCATGAGCAGAGTGGCCAGCTAGCCTTTGCCTTGACTTGGCTCAAAAAGCCAGTCTCCATTTGTCTCAAGTCGAATTAGGAATGGAATAATTATTTGGATTTCCAGCTGAACCACCTGCCAAAATATCAGCTCTCTAGGTAGAAATACCATTTGGGAGGTATCCGATGGAAAAGACTTTGGAAGGCAAAGCCTGTCTAGCCTAAGCAGAAACCTTTTTGAAAAAAACTTCCCTGTTCTGCAAGGCTTTTCCTTTAAGATCTATTTCAAAAAGGGACAGAGGCCTGCTTTCAGTGTCATCAGGACTGGCTTCTAATGCATCTTCCCTACTATTATATTTTCTGTAAAAGTAAGTGCTGGTGTGAAATTTATGACTATTGTACTAAATGCAAAGATGAAAATGCAAAAAATAAAGGATGATATTGTTTCTGTAAGGACAGGTTCTATATGTATGAGAGGGATAATAGCTGTAAAGGTAAGATTTAGACAGCTTGCTCTAAATATTGTTTGACATGTACATTGGCAGGCAGATGCCTAAGGTGTAAGGCTCCTAATTTTGTGTCTGATGATGATATTTGTAAGGGTTTAGAAAGCCTTCTTGAAGTTGTAAATTCTAATGACACTCGTACAGCAAATGCGGATATTATAGAGGCCATTCCGGAATCAATAAAAATGAATACCCAAGCTTATTCGGTACAAATTTCGGGTATTACATGAGCCCAGACGAAAATTCTTATCAATGATTTTATCAGGCATAAACCCTACAATAGCCACTCCATCAAAAGAAACCTTTTACTAAGACTTTGAAAAGGCCAAAGGAAGCGTCCAAAAGCTAGAAGTAAGCTCAATAAAAGGTGGGTATCTTAAAGACCTAGCGAACAAGATATTGGAAATTCCTACTTTTGGAAAATTAATTCGCTCGTGAGCAAAAATATCAAATATTTAAAATCCAAAAATAAAAATTTTTAAAAATTTAACCCTGGAAAGCAAACTTATTTGCTCACTTAAAAATAGTAGGGAGTCAGAAATTCTATTTTAATTTATATGATTTTTTCACTACCATAATTGTTTATGAAGAAATTAAGTATCAAAGAAATTCGCTCAGAAAAATGATCCTAAAAATTGTGAAAAAGGGCTTTATTTAAATTATGAAGGAGAATTTAGAGGTAAATTCTACATAGTCTGCTTTTGCACTGCTCTGAATACCTTAATTATATTGCTTGCATTTTTTGCAGTGATAAAAATGCAGAATCGTTTAAAGGATACTGCATATGCAAAGATGATATATGAAAGCAATTATGAAAATTTATTTGAATGAACCTCCATAGGAAGTATATCTACTTATAGAGAATATAAACATTCTACTGGTTTTTGAATTCTATAACAAAATAAAAAATAGCAAAATGCTAGTCTATAGAAATGATTTTATTCATTGCATTAGGTATACAAATTTTCAATATTTCTGAATTTTACGGTTCAGAGCCAGTTATAATGGAAGAGGCTGCGTGTTTTTTTCTTGGGAATATTTATTTTTCATAGGTTTTTCTTGTCAGACATTTGCTCGAAAAATAATTCTTTTTGCCTACAATCAAAAGACCTGCTACGATGGAAGTATTTATTTCATCCTATATGAGGATTTATTCAGGTTTGATCTTAAAGCCAAAAAACTAGAAGAGACAAGTCACATTGAGCATGAAATAAATGAATAAGCATATATATTAAAGCGATTAATATAAAATTTATTGTTATTTTTTAAAGCTGATAAATATATCACAAAAATGCTTGGTGCTATATTTAGAAGCCAGAATTCTGGGTAATAGTTCTTAATTTATCAAATAAAATAAAGAAGGGTAATTCCAAGCATTTTAACTAAAAATTTAATTTAACTTTTTAAATGGAGCAAGGGGGCTCTTTAGAGATTTCATTTGAAGAAGATTCACAATATATTAAATGCCCAGCCTGCAAATCGGAGTTCACTTCTATTCTAATTCCATATGTTCTTACATGTGGACACACATTTTGCATCTCGTGCCTAAAGAGAGTAAAGCTTGCAACGTCACGCTATTTATGTTTAATTTGCAACAAGCTGAGCGAAAATATAATTGAAAATCATATCTTACTTAAAATCCTTGAAAAACCTGTCGCTCCAACCAATTTCTGCCTTGGAAAATCCCATTTATTTGGAGTTGTTGCATATTGTTCAGTTGATGATACTCTAATCTGTCAAAGGTGCTTAATAAATCATTTAACACATGATTTTAGCTCTATTCAAAGCTCAAAAACTCGAGAAGCCATAAACGCAAAAGCGCTCAAGCTTACAGAAAATGAAAATAAAGTAGCTGAGTTAATTTCAAAAACCCAAACTTCTTTATGTGACATAGAAGAAATTAACAAAAAAAATGAGCATTTAAAAGTGCATTTAGATAATATAAATAAAGCAAAAGAACATCTTATTATTGAAATACAAAGAAATACTGAGATTTGTATACAAGAAATTGAAGGATTAGGAAAATTTAAAGAGCTTGAATCAATGGAGAAGACTTTGAAAATCCTTTTATCTGATTTGCTAGAAATGAAATCTGATATAAATAAGAAGAAAGACCAGTTTTTGTCTGATAATGATATAAAAAGGTTGGAATGAAAAAATAATGAAATTTCACTCAATTTGCCTCAATCACTTGTGGTTGATCGAAAAAACTTTTCACCTTCGCCATCATTGAAATCGTTGAACTATATTGAATCAATATTTAGAGGACATTTGATTTTTAAAAATAAAAAACAAAAGTTATGGCAAGAGTAGCATTTAAATTATTACATTTTTGTCGTATTGAGGATGTGAATTAAAATTATAGTAATTTAATTAACAAAATAAATTCATTCCTCTAGCTGAAATATTCTTTATTATCAGCATTTTAATAGCTTGATTTTATTATAGTATTGATTAATTTATTAGATTTCCTTTTCTTCCGACTAAAATAGCCTACAATTGAAATTTAAAGCAAGATGCTAATGTTTAATAATTAATCATAGAGAAAATTTTATACATTTCTCATATTAAAATTACTTCGAACCTATGGAAGCTGAAGATAAGATTAAAGAGCAATACCAAGAATCAAACTTCAGAGAAACACAGAACCTTGACCAGAGTGTTGAAAATCCAAGATCTCCTTTTATCTTAATACCGAAAGGGTCTCAATCTTCATCCCGATACCAGACCATAGATCCAAATCAAACAATTCCTTCTATAGCCTTTTCAAATCAATGGAAAAGTATAAAATTCGACAATATTATCAAGCTATCAATCCAGATAAAGTTTCTAGCTTTATTAGATATGTTTGGATATCTAATTATCTATCCATTCATTCATCTATGAATGATATCGTTTATCTTTTATGCAATTTTTGGGATTGCTTCTTACATATATATGAACAGAAAATTGCTCGTTTGCTATATTGTATTTATTATTATTGTACTGTTTTCCAAGGCGTTTTTTATAGACAAGGTTAATTGAATTATGAAAGCTTTATTGATAGCCCATGGGTTTATTGAAGGAGTTATATTGAGCTACTCAGTTGAGTTTTGCAGAGGGCTTGCAACCTTGAGTCCTCAAGAGCTTCTTGAAGTTATGAATTTGAGGGAGATGAGAAAAAGAATAGAGATGTCTCAGAAAAAGATCTGCAGATGGATTTACTTTTAAATGCAAAAGAATTATCTGAAATTACTTTTGGGGACTTCTAAAATATAATTATAGTATTAAATCTTTGCCGCTAATTGATGCATTAGATTAGGTTTAATTGTGAACTTTATCTTAATATTAAAATTCTGTTTTTATCAGATTTTTGCAAATGGAAATCTTAAAAATGCCGAAACTAATGAAAACTTTGACTTGTATTTGTCTCATGCTTCCTCTTGTATATTCATCAGACTTATTATTACTTGATTCTCTAACAATACAGGATGCAATAAAAGAGCATGAAAATATAATGATAGAGTTCTATGCTCCATGATGCATTCATTGCAAAGCATTTGCTCCTCATTATGAACAGGCAGCAACTCAGCTAAAATTGAAGGGAGAAAATATAGTTATGGCAACTATTGATGGAACATCTGTGCCTTCTGAACTTGCAGCTATATGAGATGTCAGAAGCTACCCATCACTTCTTTTTTTTAAAGGTGGGAAATTCATAGAAAAATACATTGGGCCGAGGGTTACCGAACAAATAGTAGACTATTTAATAAGGAAATCAAAATCGGAAGATAAGAATGATCTTTAATTAAAATAATCTTTCATTTATAGTATACATCTATTTATTAATTCTAAGAGCTTATTGCATGATATGGTTTGCCATTATTTGAGAAAGAAATTTATTCTTTGTTATACTAAGATGATTTAAGATCTTTCTTTAATAATTAATCAAAGTTTAATCATAGCCTTTAACATTTAATTAGAACTTAGAAATGGTACAACTTTGCAATTTGTTTAAATTCTTAAAAATAATTTACAGCTTATTTATACAGCGTTTGCTACTTAATCTAGCTTCGCCCTTTTATGAGTGAGCAAAACAATTGGAAAAATGCCTCTTTTAGTAAAAATTAGCTTATTTAAGAGATAGCATCAACTATCTAATTCAACTTAAATTTTATACAGCTTTCATTCTTAACACATACAGCTTTAGACATAAAACTGTATAATTTATTTACGCACTTTGCAAATTTTCATTTTTAAAATTTGAAAATATTTTTAGATAAAAAAAAAAACTAACCTTATTAAAAGTGTGAGTAAAATGTTTTGCTAGTAAGATCAGGATATTAGCTGCTGAGTTAACCACTAACTTGCTTTGTCTCGACTCCAAAAGGTCGCCTATTTGGATTTCCGACCTGATCTACCTGTCCAGGGATCAGCTCTCTAGGGCAGAACCATCACCTGAAGGATGGTTCCTATAAAGAAAGACCGTGGGTCGGCAAAACTTAACTAGCCCATCCGGCAAGGCCAGGAAAACCTTCGTCAGAAACACAACACCTTCCTTTACTGGCTACTCTTTGAGATAGTCTATTTAGCTCACCAAAAGTATACTTTGCAACTCATCTCATAGGCCCACTGCTCGATTAGGAGGTACCACCTCAGATTCCCTATTACATCAACGTCACATTTATTTCGGAGGGAGTAAGGAAATATGATATATCTAAGGAACTATTATTGAAACTATTATTCTATTGTTCAATTTTATTGAAATTGTTAAAATTATCTTTTATAGATTTACCAAGCTATTACTGCTTTCTCCTTCAAAATTATCCATAATTGGATCAATAATAGGCAAGCCTATTTTATTACTAAAGATTTTTGTAGTTACTTTACTTTCTTGCTGATGCTCTGCAATAGTCTCATCTGGCCTTTGTGAGCCCGCAATTATATTATCATTCTTTCGTTGATTATTTCTAAGCATGCTTGGAAATAGTCTTTTTCTTAGGCAAGTAGCAGGAGTTATAGCAATTATTCTAGGCCTATTTTGAGTAGAGTTTGAAACAAAAGGATTGGCCAAAATGTTTGATGAATTTGCTTGGCTACAATTTTTATTCCAAGAAATCCCTTCTTTTTTCGAATTAAAAATGCTCGAAAAAGACCGGCTTGATAAAAATGAATCAGGAGGTGCTTCACCAGTGCTTATTTTGTTTCGAAAAGACGACATAGATCAGTCAGACTCAGCAGTTTCAAGCTTTTCGGAAGCTTGATGCTGAGGGAAAAATTTATCTGCCTTTTTTACAACAATTGATGACTTATGGTTGATTGATACAGCTGCAGCTATATAAGTCAGCGAGGACCCTCGTTTGAGCCCAATATCGTTAGATAAAGGAGTTTGAGTCGAAGAATTTGTCTTTTGGGATATGAATTCTTGAAAAGACGAAATGTTCAAATTCGATCCAGTATATGACTTGCTAGGATTCTTCTTGTTACGCTTGCATAAAATAAAAGATAAGCATGATGGTGAGCTTGACATTTTTTATTATAAAAAATTATTTGAGGAAAAGTACTCTTCATATTGCAGAATTAAGCTCATTATTCTGCATTTATTTTGTTTTTACAATTTAAGAATGAAATTTTATTAAGAAATTTTAATCAAACTCGTGTGGGATTGAATTTTCAATTGCGTCTCCAATCATCTCAGTTATTAAATTTTCGTCTAATTCTGCTTTGATGTTCATCCCAACTTTGGCGAATTCTGCGTGCAGCTTTGTGGAGTGTTCTTTATAATTTTGGAGTCTTTTTCTCACAGCTTCATGGGAATCTTCTTCAAGAGTCACTAAGCGGTCTCTTAAGCCTTGATCTTCTGGAAGTGAAGTAACGCTATAAAATTTCCCTGAGACTGGATCTAGCCTTCTCTGCTCAATTCTTTCATATACTAATGCATCTGAGCTTTCCAAGAAAAACACATGAGATGGCTGGATTTTGAATTCTTTTAGTGACCTTATTTGTTCGACTGTTTTTGGAAATCCGTCTAGAACCCATCCGTTCATTTTGCAATCTGTTTCTTGGAGTCTATTTCTTACTAGTTCTGTTATAATAAAGTCAGGGACCATATCTCCAGTCGACATAATTGCGGCAATATTTTTGCCAATTTCTGATTTTCTGTTAATTTGGTCTCTTAGAAGCTGACTTGTTGAGACTAGTGAGAGGCCATATCTGACAGCTAAATTTTGGGCTTGAGATGATCTTCCTGAACCTGGAGGCCCTAATAAAATCACTTTAGGAGGCCTTCTTGGAGCATTAGACCTTCCTTTCATTAAAGATAGAAATAATTCTATGAAGCAGGTAGGACCATCATGATGAAGCTGAAAACAGGGCCTCTGTCCTTGAAGTAGGCCTTTAGGTTTGCGAAGCAGAGAATTTTTTTTTCTCCCAAAGGTTTTCCTCTACACCTGATGCTCTAGACAATTTTGCCTAAAAGACGATTTCTCTCAATGGGCTATCGGGCACTCTACAGACGGTGGCTCTATCTAAGGTAGATTCCGTAGACCGGCAACTCGGGGAGGAAATCCAAATGGCGACCTTTGTAAGTCAAGTTGGGCGATGGCTAGTGGGTTTGCCCGCTTATGAGACATAACCTTTAGCTTAACTTTCATTAAGAAAATTTTTGCCACTCTGTCAGCTATTTTATCAACAGGCCCGGCTGCATCTATTTCATGCCATTGATTTTCGTATACATCCTTAACTCCATTTAAGTTATATGTAAGCTCTTCCAAAGCTCTTTGTGAAGCTTCATCAGCTACGCTGTCATCTAAAGGCTTTACTTCTTGCGACTCAATGAAATTCTGTCTAAATTTTTCTTTATAAGCATTTTCGTCTGCAGTTAAAATTGCAATGCGGTCTGGGATTATCCCTGCTCTTTGGAGTGCCAGACTTTGGACTCGGGTACGTGGGCAGCCATTTAAGATGTAGCTTTTACCTTGTTTTTCTAAGCCTTCAAGAACTGGCATTAAAATATCAAGTACTAGTTCGTCTGGGACATAAGTGCCTTGACGCCAAGCTGTAAGGACTCCTTCGGCGTGTTTTCCAGCTTTTTTGACTTCGTTTTTCAGGAGGTCGTAAACGTTAACGGACTCGACTCGGAACCGTGAGGCCAAGTCGCGGGCTACCATGCGACGAGAGCTGCCGATACCTCCTGTAAGGAAGAGTCGCCGCCGACGAGGATTTTCGAGTTTATGAATTAGAAAATCAATTGGATCATCTGGTTTATCTATGAGAAGCTCTTTCAAAAGATACTCAAAAAGTTCATACACATCGTTGGACTCCAAATACTCTTCAACGCCTTGCTGATACTCAAGTTTTTGCTTTAAGTCCATAACTGAAATTAAATAAAGATGAAATTTTAGCTTATAATGAAGCATAATAATTAGAATTTTGATTAAAATATGCATTCTGACTTTTTTAGAAATATTGCTACTAAATAAGAATGATTGAGCAGAGGTGTTTTGCAGTATGTACAGTATTTCATAAAGGATACCTTCAATCTAATATCAGTTTACTGTGCCTTAGTAATCAAAAACAATTTTATATGTATCCTAACTAGAAAGGCAATTGCAGCCTGGAACTAATTCTCTTTTTATTACAAGCAGTTAATATTCATTTTTATTTAGACTTGATAAACGATATAAATTTAAAAAACCCTAAGTCCCCATCTTTCTATTCACAATTTAAAAGCCTAAAACTTATAATAAGTGTAGCCATCTTGGGCTACTATAGGGTCTCTCATTATTTCTTAAGCTATTGGACAAATAAAATCATGAGGGATTTCCCCTCCATCTTGACTTACATTTTTAATTGGAAATTTAATAGTGATAGATTGCGTAGTTTATTATTTTGCGGGGTAATAAAATCTCACTCAATTATCAAATCTCCCAGTCATTAATCCAAGCAAACTCAATAAGCATAAAAATTAATTAGCTTCTATTTCTGGTTTAGGATTGCTTGCTTCCAACTCAGGCTTGCTTATTTCTAGCTCTTTTGTTTCCATCTCAGGCTTGCTTATTTCTAGCTCTTTAGTTTCCATCTCAGACTTGACGATTTCTTGCTCTTTTACTTCAATCTGCATTGCACTCTGCTGATCTTGAATCAGCTCATTCGTTATCTTTTCCCTGATTTCTTCAGGCTCTTCTTCCATCTTTAATTTTCTCTTTTTATAAGCAAGGGCCCCCTGCTGTATTGAATCTTCATACTCAATTGAATCTATCGGTGGTGCCACAAGTCTATCTCTATTAAACATTTTCGCTGGCTTCACAAGCATCATATCTTTATTTTTTATTTCAAGCTGGCTCACGACATCTAAGTTAGGAAACTTATCCTTCTTTTTCTGCATAAGTTTGAAAGCTTTTGCATAATGGCTCAAGTTATCAGTCACTTTCTGCAGCAGCTCTTTTATTTCTTTTTTCTTTATAATTCCTTCAACTTCATCAATGCAGGCTTGGGTTTTTTCATTTAATCGCTTAATTATTTCTTCTTTGGCCTCAATGATTTTACTGATATGCACCTCATACTGACTGTTCTGGTCTCTTAAGTCTTCAAGCTCTTGGACTTCTATTTTAGACTCATTCACATAGTCATGCATTCTGTTCACGAATTCTGTCAGTAAAACTTCTTTATCTTTTGTGTATTTTTTTATTTTGGGACTGTCTAGCATAAAGTATTCTTGACGCTTGTGCTCTGGCAAGCAGGTCGAGCATAATAGATGATCGTGAGTAGGACAGAACGCGACGAAGTCTAAACCATGATGGATACAGACCTTTTTTTCTAGATATTTTATTAGGGATGAGTGCTTGTCAGCGTATCTACTTTTACCTTTGCAGGTTGGGCAAACGTAGAATAATGAGCCAGTGGTTTCAGCTGTTGAGCGCATCTTGTTTTTGTTAAGGCAAGGAAGACAGAAATAGTGTTTGCAAGATTGAAGGATGTAGGGGAGCTGGCTTAGTGGGTCGTAATCTTTGCCACAAATTTCGCAAGAAGTGTTGAACTGGATAGTGCTGTTTGCTAGAAGAGTTTCTGAAGTTTGTTGCATTCAAAATTAATATATACCTAAATAGTTGAATTAGGTAACCATTTTTGAGAGTCATTATCTAAAATAGAGAATTGGCACTCAAAAAAAAGAGCCTATTCATTAAAATTAGGTATAATAAATAAGTCCCCTTTGGGATTTATAAAACTAAAATTTCATTTATATAATTAATTCATTAATTATTTTGGGCATCTAATTAGCAAATGATTTTTAATATAAAATCATAGATCTTTCTATGTGGAATCCATTTTGAGTTTCAGGACTATTAACTAATTTGGGTAATTAGTTATATTTGGAGTATCTAGTAACAAAGATATGCCATTTATAAATCAATGACTCAAAAATTTGCATTAAATTAATAATATCTCTTCTTTACTTAAAATTATTCGCACTTGAAATCTGTTAGATTGTCGCGAACGTATGAGATACCTTTCGATCTCTTGATCAATTCAAAAATTCTTGCTATATTGGTATTTCATGTAACCCAGCTCTGAGTTAGAAGCTTGATATCTTTTAATTCATAATCAAATATTTACTCTGTCGAGATCATTCAGTTCTTCCATGTGGTTTGGCTTTACTATGAATCTGTACAGATAACTATAGGGAAGCAAAGAACCAGCTTTGGCATCTATCCTGTGGCTCCTTCCCCTTAAAAGTCTCTTAATGCGAGAAAATGGAAACCCAGAGTGGTACCGCACTAGCTGGAGATGAGGTGACCTCGTAGGAGATGCTTGGCCAAGCACAAATAGGACCTCGGGACCCCCCCACCCCCACCCCATATACATAGCTTTTTGTAGAATATTTAATAGTTTAAGCCTAAGTGAAGGAACTAAAGTTTTATACTCTAAACTATAGCTCATACCCCTTTATAGATCCCTTTATCGAGCAAAGTGTACTTGACTATTGAAAGACCAAAACAGACTCTCTCAAAGAGATGAGCTCAATCTCTATATCAGAAAGTTCTAAAAAGTGGCATGCCAAAAAATAGTGGCAAGTGTGAAAAAAGTTGGTAAGCAAACACGCAAATTTTTAAAATGGCTTTATTAATAAAATAATTTAAAACTTAACATACCCAATTAGACTGAAATTGATTAATAATTAAAAATCTTATTTTTCAGGCCTTAATTAATGATAATTATAATAATAAATGCTACATATAAATTTTAATAGATTTAATATTTTTGGTTATTTGTTTATGTAAGATAAAGTTATAGAAATGAGTTTAAAAATGCAAAGGGGGAACTTCCCGAGTAAACGGTTGTATAGATCTTCAAGTGCTATAACCCCAGTAAGCATATCAATCAAAAACTCGAGTAGGATCCTGACTTAAGTGATTATAAAGATGGAGTCCATTATGAAAGAAATTGCCAAAAGTGAAAATGCAAACGGGGAACTTCCCGAGTAAACGGTTGTATAGATCTCCAAGTGTTATAACTCCAGTAAGCATATCGTGCAAAAACTCCAGTAGGATTTTGATTTAACTCCCTCCCTTTAAATTGGACCAAATATTTGTTCCAATTTAAAAGAAGGGTTAAGAAAATTTTTTTATAAAAAAAATCAATATAAAATTCTTATTAAAAAATCAATATAAAATTCTTATAAAAAAAAATTAAAAAAAAATTAAAAAATGTGTCGAATTAGATTAATAAATTTCTAGAAAATTTATCGATCAAAGTGTTAATTTTGTTTAATTAAGTGGCTATTTATACTCTTTTGCTAAAATAAAGAAGAAATAAAGTAAATTTTCAATTTTTGTAAAGAATTCGCATTAAATTTTTATCAAAATTATTTAAATAAAAAATATAATCCCTTGGCTTAATTTCTTATGGCAGTTATACACACTATTTTCATATAAAATTTAAATTATTAATTTGGCGCACTAAAATTTGCGTTTTGAAACGTATATTTGGTTTCTAAATAATAAATTCAAATAACATCATATGCGTGATAAGAAATAAAATGCAATAAATTATATTTTTGTTGAAAAATTTTTAAAAATATAGCAATTAAAGATAATAAATGTATTTAAATAAAAAGCTCTTTATGTTCTTTTCTTTAAAAAAGAGCAAGATATAACTAAATTTTTAATTTTAGTTAAGAAGAAGCATTTAACTTATACCGAAACTTTTTACATAAAAATTATGATTTTTTTATCTATAAAATTTTTTATTATAAAATTGAATTTTATTTCAATTTAAGCGATTATAAAGATAGAGTCCAGTATGGAAGAAATTGCACCTGAACTTTTAAATTGAGAATGCAAAGGAGGAACTTCTTGAGTAAACGGTTGTATAGATCTCCAAGTGCTATAACTCCAGTAAGCATATCAATCAAAAACTCCAGTAGAATCTTGACTTATGTAAATCCAAAGATAATCCATAGTCAAATCTACATGTAGATATTATTTTATTAAATCAATTTAACGAAAGAGATGAATAATTAATTATCTTAAGTCTAATCGTATTTGCTTACCAACTTTTTTCACACTTGCCACTATTTTTTGGCATGCCACTTTTTAGAACTTTCTGATATAGAGATTGAGCTCATCTCTTTGAGAGAGTCTGTTTGGTCTTTCAATAGTCAAGTACACTTTGCTCGATAAAGGGATCTATAAAGGGGTATGAGCTATAGTTTAGAGTATAAAACTTTAGTTCCTTCACTTAGGCTTAAACTATTAAATATTCTACAAAAAGCTATGTATATGGGGTGGGGGGTCCCGAGGTCCTATTTGTGCTGGACCAGATGCTAAATGTAATAGACTTAATAAGATAATTTTTTTTTAATTCTTTTTTCAGATTTATTTTTGTATCATCTTGCCTGGGGCCTGCATTTTTTACTATTTCAGCCTCCTTAACTGGCTCGGCAACTTTATTTTCTTCCTTTTTTCCTGGCTTTTCTAAAATCACAGACGAATTCGGCTCCGAATTAGTAGTAATGCTTTCCAAAATCTCCCTCAGATTTCCCAGTTTTTTATTCAGCGTTCTATTTTCATCAATAAGTTCTTTATTCCGGTACTCGCATCTAGATATATTTTACTCTTTCAATCTTGTTTTTGCTTTATTTCACTCATTTCATTGTGCTTCATATGCCTTATTTGACTTTTCAATTTTCCATTTGAGCTGTTTTATAGTATTTTCGAAGTGAATTCGATTCTGTTCAGATTCGATTTTTTTTGGATCTATATAGGGATTACCAACTGATCCTTCACTTTCTAAAATTTCATTTACTTTCCCTTGAGCTAACAAAACCATTGGAAAAATTCCTATGTTTTAGATAAAATTATCCACGTGAGCGATAAAACATTATTTAAGAAAAATATTCCTATATATAAGCAGTAATTAGTATAATGAAGCCTCTACCTAATTCTGTTTTATTTTAAAACAATTTGTATTGAAAGACATAAATTTTATAAATTTAAATTAATTCTCGCCTTTCCAATTGGATCTATTTAAGTTTGGAAGAAATAATTTACTATAATTTAAATTTAAAAAAGAAGCCAAAATTAACCCTCTACGAGAATGAACAAAAATGTTTTTCCATTCACGAAGAAGGTGGAGAGTTAGAGGACACGAAAAGCCTCCTTCTTCCTCTTCTTCTAAGCTATCATAGTTATCTTCAGGGTTTACAAAAGGCTTAATGACAAACATCAATCGGCTGGTATATTATGAAATTGAATTTTAGTGGAGAAAATGGAGCATCAAAGATATTAGCAGCATTTCATCATTTGTATAAACGAATTATTTTCCAGATATTAAGATTCTATATATTTTTTATAATTGTTTTAGTAGATTACTAATTAAGTGCAAAAATTAAAGATTTTCATTGTTGCCGTCAAGCCTCTTCTGCAGCATCTCCATTCTTTGTCTGATTTTTTCTTCCATGCTGCTTTTGGCCGTTTCGATCTGTTTCCTCGCCTGAAATTCTTCCAGTTTTCCCTCGATTCTTTTCATAACGTTTACACTCAATTCTGGCTCAGTCATTATATCTCTCACAATTACCAAATCTTCTCTTACTTCCTTATACAAATCATCAGCAGTTATCCCATAATTGGCTAAGAATGATTTCAAGTCCTCCCGATTTGAAATCACGTCTAAAATTTGACCTTCATTGCCTGGGGTACTTGTCCTTGTAGAGCTGCCATCTGAAGTGCTCTCTTGGGTGTTCATTCTTTTTAAGCTTCGCACGGCTCTCACAACCCTTCCGTCAATTTGCCCATGCATAATTTTAGTATTTTTTATAATATTTAATAAAGAAAATCATTGTTTATGAATAGAAAATGTTTATTTCTTTAAAATATTCAAAGAAATTATAATAAAACGATAAAATAAAGATAATAATATATTGCGCTGCACAAATTGTGGTTTGGGTTCCGCAAGAGGAGCCATTCATGGATAAACTCTACGCGTGGAATTTATTTTTATGCGTGGAGTAATTTTTCCACTTGTAATAAATTCCTTTTATTTAGACTTTTGGATTGATATAAATATGCTGATTTTTAGCAGAATTAAACACAATATATTAATTCAAAATTAAGCAATTTATCTTATAATAATGCCCTTGCTATCAACTCAATTTAACAATAGACTCTACTTTAAAATAATTAAACTTAATTCCCATGGAACTACTTTTGTTTCATTTTCCTTCCAAACTCGGGAAAAAGCTTGAATATCCTTCCCAAGCTAGGGTTTGCATCATAATGATAGTCATCGTTTTGTTTATTGTTGATCAGCTCTGCTTTGATTTTAGCTTTGAGCTGGCTTAAATAATCATCAATGTCAATCAATTTGAACCTTTCTTGAGGCTTTTCAGTTTTTATATCTTCAGACAGTGATGAAGCTCTTCCTGTACACCAAGTTCTCCTCGTAGACTCTGGATAAGGCGTGCATGTAGTACTCGTTGTCTACTATAATTATTTAGTTTTAACGTGTGCTCTTCCTTCAGTAGGATGATTTAGGCCAATCTTTTAGCTCCTAAATTGGTGACGTAAGCAGCCATCTTGTCTAGAAAGCATTCCATAAGGCACACCTAAAAGTGTCAAGAATTCTTCACGAGCCATGCTTTCTCACCTAACCTAACTTTACCACATATTCTGCCTAACGGTCGCCCTTCTCAAGTCTGTCAGGCAGTGAAAACCACATGCCTCCTTTTTTCCTTGGACTACCCTATGCGCTAATCCATATTGGCATTGTGGATAAAGGTCCATTTAGGAAAATAAAACCCATAATAATAAATATTGCGGTGAGGAGGAAGGGTTATCAGAGTGACTACTTTCATAAGTAGTTTTATTATTATATTGTGCTCATTGTCATTCTCTTGAAATCTGTGATTTTATGAACTGGCTTAAAATCGACAATAACTGGGCCTGTTGACTCACAAGTGCTGGACTTCAGGTTCGAAATATCATCATTGTCTAAGGTCCTCGGTGGAGTGATACTTTTTCTGATTAATTTCTGACTACTTTTATGGCTTATTTTTGTTTTTACAGCTCTTCTTGGAGAGCGAGGAGGCGAAACGAAGTTTGTCCTTGTGCTTGATAAGCTCCTTGGAGGAGATTTTAGCTTAGGAATGCTCAGTCTTTCAAACAAATTAGGGTCGCGATATCTTCGCGGGCTGTAATGCTTCAATCTTTCAATTTCTTCTTCCTCAAGTCTTTGCTTTTTTTCCTGCATTATTTCAATTCATTCTTTTTTCTTCTGCGCGTACTCGTGCAGCCTATACAAAAGCTCTTCTTCTTTTTTCTTGCTCATCATAACTTTTGGTAACTCTCTAGTAGGGCTTTCTCTCATAAGCTGCCTCAAATTTTGTGCTTCTTGTCTTTTCTGCTGGTCAAGCAATAGTCGATTATAGAGGTCTTCGACCTGGTCTTTTGTGAGCTTTCTTGGAGATTTAAACTTTTTAGATTGCTCTTCTTCTCTTTGGACGACAAAAGTTTCGATTTTCTTTTTCAAGTGGTTTCTCTCGTACCAAATCTTTAATTGAAGATTTCCTCCGTCAGACATTTCCTTGGCACTATCTATTTGAAGATTTTTCTTTTTAGACATGCTTTTTGGTGGCGAAAATGCCTGATGGGAAAAAAATAATGCCGAGGAAATGCCTACAAGAGAAAAATATCGAAACTAAACTCAGTGAATAGTTTCTCTTATTTACATCTTCGATAAGTCTTTCAAACACCCTTATTGGATGAGTAGGAGAGTCCAAGGTCATTAATGTGGGGGACAAAGGAAGAACTGGTATCGACTCATATGTGGAAGTTGGGCCATGGATATTTTCGCCCATGTTTTTCTCAAATGATGAAGTGATGTTAAAAACGCCCATAGAGCCTTCGACGATCAAGGCATGCGACTGAATTTCTTCGAAATGGCTAGTTGATAAGTTCTCTGAGTAGCTGATTGATGGCTCGTCCATTTGATTGCTTGCGGTAATTTAACTATTAAATGCTGTAAGATTAGAAATAAATTTCAATAGCTAAGTTAAAAAATTAATATACATATGAGACTGTGAGAATTGGTATAAAACCTTTAGACTTATCGTTAAGCTATTTCATCTTTCTATTTCACCATATAATTTAGAAAATGAAGAGGCTACCGAGAACTAAAAGTAAACGAGTTTCTCTTCGCCAAAAACACAGGCTGGTTAAGCGTTCTAAAGAAGCTGCGAAAAAACTCAAAAAAGAAGCGAAAAAGATGAAGATCATGGGAATCAAAAAGTCAACCACAAAAGGACTAGGAATTCCAAATTCGTGCCCATTCAAAAAAGAAATACTTGAAGAGGTGCAGAGAGTGCAAGAAACTGAGGCAAGAATTAAGAAAGAAAAGAGGAAACAAAGACAAGCCAAGCTAGCCGAGGAAAAGGGAGAATCGGGAAATTTATAAAATTTTATGATTAAAACTTCAAAAAATTATCAATTGGCTGATTAAAATGCAAGTCTAAGAATTATCCAAGCAAGATTAGCTGTCAGGATACTTTTTCTTGAATTTTTAATATTCTGTTCTATCATTATAAATCGTACGTAGTCAATAGATAGCAGTTTATTAAAAATCATAATATCTAAATAATTCATTTTGGCTATATATTTATTATTCACTAAATTTTATTTAATTTTCTATTGGAAATTAAATACTTAATAAAGCTGAATTGTTTCTATACCTAAAAAAACCCAAAAAATCTTTCTAAAATTCTCCATGCATCATTTTGTTTCTTTTTACTACATTCACATTTAATTATCGTAAACCATGAATGGTCAAAGCCAAATAGTCGAAATAATCCCATCAAAGTTGTACTGGATTAGTGATCGCGCTCCACCTCGAAACCAGTCCAAATCTTACTATTTCTGCATAGATAACGATCTCGTCTACCAGCCTTTCTCGAATGATTTCGGCCCACTGAACATTGGCATGACCTACAAATTTTGCACCGAACTCGAAAAGCTCATCCAAAGCAACGCCTATTCTGGGTACAGAATTTACCATTACACATCTCTTAACCCCGCAAAGCGTGCCAATGCAGCTTATTTAATGGGAGCTTTTCAAATTTTGATCCTCGGTCGGACATCTCTAGAAGCCTGGCAGCCTTTTACAGTTATTCCGCCCTTTGCTGACTTCAGAGACGCAGGGTATGGCTCATGCACTTATAAATGCACGATCCTTCATTGCTTACGCGGCTTGGAAAAAGGTGTTGAATTGGGCTGGTTCAATTTGAAAACATTTAACATCCGCGACTACGAGTTTTATGAAAAAGTTGAAAATGGGGACTGGAACTGGATTATTCCAGGGAAATTATTAGCATTTGCCTCACCAAGCCCTACTTCAAATGATACAGAAGGGTTTAAAGTGTGGACTCCAGAAGATTATGCGCCATTATTTCATAAGCTAGGAGTTGGCGCCGTGATAAGACTGAATAATAAGACTTATGATGCTGAGAAATTTGTGAGGCTTGGGATCAAGCATTATGATTTATATTTTTTGGATGGGTCCTGTCCTAGTGAAAGCATAATTAGTGATTTTTTGAGAATTGTGGAGAATGAGCCTGGAGCAGTTGCTGTGCATTGTAAAGCTGGATTAGGGAGGACTGGAACTTTGATAGGAATATATGCGATGAAACATTATAGGTTTCCAGCTGCTGATTTTATTGGGTGGATTAGACTGTGCAGACCTGGGAGTGTGCTGGGTCCTCAGCAGCAATTTTTGTGTGATAGGGAGCAAGAATTTTTTAGGATGGGAAATGGTAATGTGAAAGCTTTGAGGCCAATTGTGAAAGTGGATACAAGAATGTCGCCAGAAGAGAAATATATAAGCACACATGGAGATAATGGTCAAGCTGAAAGACTTATATCAGCGAAAAAAACAAATCAAAGTGGGCCAAATACCCCACTTATACCCGAAAAATCTCCACCAAGAACATCTACTAGTAGGAATCAGTCAGTAAGCCCAGCCAGCTCAGTTAAAAAGGGGAAAACCAAAAGTCCAATACGATACGGTACCCCTAATAATATTAGGAGTCCGAATGTAAAAAGATATTATTAAGTTTAGGTAAAGTTTTAACGTCAATAAGTAAATAAAATGCACTATCTATTTTATTTATCAATAATTTATTATATTATAGATTAAAATTAATTTTAGTTTGCCCCATTTATCTTTGATAAATTTTATTCAGATATATGAGTATCAATAGAGAAATTCTAGAAGAAGAAACACTATCAGATGGATACTTTGAAGATAATGATGCAAGTCGTGCTGACTTAAGTAGCGTGATTGCTCAAGATGGAAGCAGCGAAGATAGTTTTGATTCTGAATCTTTGCGTAGTGAAATAGATTTGGAAATCGTAGAAAATTCTTGTGACTCTTTATCTGCTTCTGAAGCTTCTGAGTACTAAATATTTATGCTAAAATTAACTTATTATTTTTATTATGCAATAAGTTTAATATTAACTTTCATGCTATTATCTAATAGAATTATATACTTTTGTGAGATTTATAAACTTTTATGTAATTTTAATTCATCGATTATTTAATTTATGAAGAATAATTATTAGCCAAAAACAATAAGCATAAATAAGCGAAAATTTATAATAATTTTCTTGCCACTTAAAGATCTCACATTATTTTTATTTTTGCATGATTTTTTAATTCTCTATTCCCCCCTCCGTGGGCAATCAAAAAAAGCTTGTTCCTCACGGTAATTTTTTTTAAAAAGTTTATATATAAATTTTAAAGTAAAAAAATTTTATCGGAATTTAAAAAAATCCCACTTCTCAAAAATGGAAGGCAAATATTAATTTAATTTGTAAAATTTATGTTTTAAAAACGCAATTTGTTTAAAATTAAACAGAATTAGCTCGAGATTTTATGATACTAGTTATCACTTATATATCATCAAAATTTTTTCCATAAAAAATTTTTCTATTAAAAAAATTTCTGCTTGCTCACGGGCAAAAAATAGGGATTTTTCTAATCGTTTTGCTCGCTCACAGAGGGGGGGATTAGTTAAAATATTTAAATAATTGACATTTTATTAATAAAATTAAAACAACTGTTAAAAATGTCTTTCATTTAAAGTTCAAAAGTGAAACAGCTACACCATCATGCCAACTTCAATTCCTTTATTAAACTTAATTTTTAAACAAATTTTAAATTTACAAGCCATAATTCAAGAATAATCTTAATTTATTAAAATAATTGATAAAAATTGATTCTTTAATTAATTATATATTTTCAACAGTACCTAATATGGTATTCTCTTGAGCAATGTTACTTTTTATTCAATTTTGAGGGTAAGCAGTTTGCTGATAATTCCACTCAATATGCTTAAATGGAAATTCAGTAATGTCGATGTTTGGCTGAAGCGGCTCTGGAATATTTCTTGGCTTGTTTTTGTGCTTGCTTAAAAGCTTGAATCTCTTTGGGGCGATATTATTTGCAGGGTTTTTGTCAATCACTTTTTGGTACCACGCAATGGCTTCTTCCCTTTGGAACATCAATTCGTTAACAATTCCCAAATTGATGTAAGCCTCAATTTCGTCGTATTTAAGTGTTAGACAGCTGTAAAGGCATGCCAAAGCATTTTGGCATTGCTCAAGCTCTACATATACAACTGCCAACGACATCTTGTAAATTGGCTCCTGTGGGTATTTGGTGGTAATTGAGACAAGAAGAGAAAGTGCCCTATGAAACGACTTAGTTTCTATCAGGCAGCGAGCCTTCAGGTAAACTATATCGCAGTAAGGCTTAGTTTCTGGGTTTTCAGCAAGGCTTAAAGCTTCGTTGAACATTGCAATAGCTTTGTCGTAGTCTTTATTTACAAAATAACCCCATCCCAAGCATGCTGTGGTTTTTAGGTTGGATTTCAAATTCTTTGCAACTTGGTAAAGTTCTATTGCATAACTTTTTCTTGAAACTTCTAAGCAGTTTGCTATTTGGCACAGAGTCTCAACAGTCTGTTCTTCACTGAGATCTTGAGTGTTTAAGCAATTTCTTAGATAAGTAATTGCCTTAAGGTATTGCTTGGAGTTTTTATTAATAATCCCAAGCTTTAAGTATATGTGAGATGTATGCTCAAATTTAGGATCAGCTCGAAGAGCAGCTTGGAAATATCGCTCGGCCATTTCAAAAAGTCTGCATTTGAAACACAGAAGGCCAAGTCCATACCAAAGCTGTGCTGGAGCTGAATCTTTCCAAATGAGATGGGCATTGGAGTAGGCTCTAAAGCTCTCATCGAGCCTTTCCAATAGAAGGTAGCAGTGGCCGAGATTCGCCCATTCTGTTGCGTTGTAACCATCCAGTGTAACCAATTGGCAAAGTAAAGTTGAAGCAGTGCTGAAATCACCAAGGCTAAGGTGGTATTCAATTGCTTCCTTGAGGTCGTCAAGCTGGTTGGTTTCTTTTTCATACCCTTGTAAAAATTCTCTATATGACATCTATTTAATATTTATGAAAAATTCTTTTCACTTTTTACCAGAATTTGGCTTTAAAATGATTAAAGCGTTTCTTTTGCGCCATAGCCTGTTTTTAAAGCAGCTGCATTATTTCTGTTGAGATTCGGAACGCTGCTTTTTGTAAATAAGTGCTGTGCAGAGGTTTCAGCTTGACTTGGAGATCTGTCAGAATTCAAAATTTATGAATGCCCAAAGAGAATGGTTGAGATTTGGGTGTCTTTGAGTAAGTATCTTTATCTTATCGTAAAGAAAAATTGTGAATTTGCCCTTTAAAAGCTTTTGTGATTGGTCAAATCTCACGTGTCTCTGCCAAGATAATGCCTTAAAGTGGCATCCAATAATCCAAACTTAGCTAACCTTAGCCCAGCCTACACTCAAAATTTGAGTTCATATGAAGAATTCGCATGATTTTTGAGTACCTTTTTCTATGATTGGTCCTAAATCATTTACTTACTCCCCCCCCCTCCGTGAGTGCACAAAAAATTTTTGTTCACTCACGGAGGGGGGTTAGTTGTTTTTTTTTAAAAAAAATTTATATATAAATTTTTAAAAAAATATTTTTTTTCGAAATTTAAAAAAATCCTAATTCGCAAAAATTGGAAAGCAAATATTAATTTAATTTATAAAATTTATGTTTTAAAAGGCAATTCGTTTAAAATTAAACAGAATTAGCTCTAGATTTCATTATACTAATTATCATTTATATATCCAAATTATTTTCCATAAAAATTTTTCTATTAAAAAAATTTTTGTTCACTCACGGAGGGTGGGTTTTTGGGCAAAAAATAGCGATTTTTCTAATGGTTTTGTTCACTCATGGAGGGGGGGGAGTTAGTGAATATTTACAATTTTCCAGTATAATTGAAAAATAATTCTTTTGAAATAAGTAGATGATTCAGTATAAATATTAGCTGGTAGGCCCGCTAAGCAGCTTTCAAAGCCTCGTTTTTGTTTTATGATGGCTCATACTTAGGGTTTATAATTTCTTACGAGGAAAACAAATGTGGATCCAATTTTTTTTTAAACTACAATTTGGCCTAATTCAAAATATCAAGTACCGGAAAAATAGCTTAACGCACTACTTATTAAAAATTGAAGCCAGAAGTAAAATTTAGCATTAAATCCTGACTTATGCGTAAAAAAAATTAATATGGGATGTCAGAAATATAATTTTTTGAATTTTATAATTTTATTGGAATTATCGGTTATAAAAGTATAATGGCAATGAGGAGCATAATGAGAAATAAGAATGTTTTTATTACAAAAAATAGTTAGTCCCCCCTTCGTGAGCGAACAAAAATATCTTGTTCGCTCACGAAGAGGGGTTAATTTTGTTTTTAAACAAATTTATATAAAATATTATAGAAAAAAAATTTTTCCAAAATTTAAAAAAATCCTAATTCGCAAAAATTGGAAAGCAAATATTAATTTAATTTGTAAAATTTATGTTTTAAAATGTAATTTGTACAAAATAAAATAGAATAGAATTGACTAGAGATTTCATTATAGTAATTATCACTTATATATCAAAATGTTTTTCCATAAAAAATTTTTCAATTAAAAATATTTTTGTCGCTCACGGAGGGTGCAAAAAATAGGGATTTTTCTTATAGATTTGTTCGCCCAGGAAAGATGGGAATTAGTAAAATGATTATCCTATTCAAAGACCAAAATTCTTAGACTGAAAATTCCATCTTTATCCTTATTTCAGAATTTCAAGAGCTCGGCTCAATAGGAACCGAATTCAAATTATAAAGCAAAACTTGCCCTCATTTATGGATACAGAGATCATTTTTTAAATTTAAAACTGATTAAAATACTTAGGCTAGTATTTAGCAACTAGGCAGCTTCTAAAAAGTGATTTTCTTGAACGCAGACTGATTGTCATCTTTTGGGACTGAAATCTGAGGCTGGAAGCTCCTTTCGGAATGCCTGAATGGAAACTCTGTGATGTCAATAGTTGGCTGGTAAGGGTTCGGAATATTTCTTGGCCTGTTTTTTTGCTTAATCAAAAGATTAAGCCTGTTAGCAGCAATGCTATTTCCAGGGTTTTTGTCAACTGCTTTTTGGTATCATTTCTTTGCCTCTTCTCTTTGCAACATAAGCTCATTGATGATTCCTAGGTTTACGTACACTTCAATTTCGTCATATTTCAATGACAAACAATTGTAAAGGCACGTCAAGGCGTTCTGGCACTGCTCAAGCTCCGCATAAAGGACGACTAGAGACATCTTATAAATAGGTTCCTGGGGATATTTACTGGTTATTGAAGTAAATATTGAAAGCGCTCTCTGCAATGACTTGGTCTCCACTAGGCACCGAGCCTTCAGGTATAAGATGTCACAATAGGCTTTGCTTTCTTGGTCTTCGACCAGATTCAAAGCTTCGTTAAACATCGAAATGGCTTTGTCAAATTCCCAGTTCACAAAAAATCCCCATCCCAAGCAAACAGTTGTTTTCAGGCTCGTTTTTAGGTTTCTCGCAATTTTATATAGCTCCAGTGCCTCTCCTTTCCTTGAAATCTCCAAGCAGCTTCCGATTTGGCACAAAGTCTCGATAATCTGCTCTTCAGTTAGGTCTTGTGTATTGAGGCAATTTCTTACTCCCCCCCCCCTCCGTGAGTGAACAAAAAAATTTTTGTTCACTCACGGAGGGGGGTTAATTGTTTTTTTTTAAAAAAAATTATATATAAATTTTTATAAAAAATATTTTTTTCGAAATTTAAAAAAATCCTAATTCGCAAAAATTGGAAAGCAAATATTAATTTAATTTATAAAATTTATGTTTTAAAAGCAATTTGTTTAAAATTAAATAGAATTAGCTCTAGATTTCATTATACTAATTATCATTTATATATCAAAATTTTTTTCATAAAAAAATGTTTTCTATTAAAAAAATTTTTTGTTCACTCACGGAGGGTGGGTTTTTGGGCAAAAAATAGCGATTTTTTCTAATGGTTTTGTTCACTCACAGAGGGGGGGGGGAGTTAGAAAAGTAATTGCCTTGAGATATTGGTTGGAGCTTTTATAAATGATGGGATAAGGTAAATTTTTGAATTCGCATGATAAATCCGAGAAAAAAAAAGATCATTTTATTGGAAAAATGTCTCTAATTTACCTCACTTTTTTCAAGATACCATAAATGATGCCTAACTTTAAGTATATCTGTGGTGCATACTCAAATTTGGGATCAGTTCTAAGCGCTGCTTCGAAGTACGTCTCAGCCATTTCAAAAAGTCTACATTTGTAACAAAGAAGCCCGAGTCCGTACCAAAGTTGAGCTGGCGCTGAATCTTTTCATATTAGATGGGCGTTGGAGTAGGCTCTGAAACTTTCTTCGAGCCTTTCTAAGAGGAGGTAGCAATGACCTAAATTCGCCCACTCTGCAGGATTGTACCCGTCAAGAGTGACAAGCTGACAGAAAGCGTTGGAGGCTGTTACGAAATCGCCAGAGCTGAGATGGTAGTCAATTGCGTCCTTTAGCTCCGCGAGCTGGTTTTTTTCTTCGTAACCTTGTAAGAATTCTCTATACGACATATTTAAATATTGCCATGGTTTTATTAATTAATTATCCCAGATTTAAGCAATCCAGTACTCAAAAAAAGGATAAGTATAAAGGGCTCCTTAGTGAGCATCATAGCCCGATCAAAAAGTCTATATAATGAAATAGGAAAATTAGATGTTAAAACGCCATAATTCAGATGAATAATGCATTTTTATATAGGAAATTTCTGGACGTTTTTTAATTCTTCAGCAATAAGATAGTAATGCTGGAAAATTTGATGCCTGGGATATTAAGGCTTAGCTGGGAAATTATCAGCGAATATTTGTGGTAAATCGTTAAAATCGAAACTGGTAGATTTGATGACGACTTTTCCCCAATAATTTTCCATTTTCTTAATCAGTTTGGCGATTTGCAATTATTTATTTTCAGAGATAAATATTTTTTGAGAAAATCAGCAGAAATATCGAAACCTGTACTAGACGAAAAATAATAGTGATTATGCAGAAGCGTAAAATTAATATAGATTTTATAATGGATTTGCAAAATAACTACAGTAGATCTGGAAATTCTAATTTTCTGACGTCAAATTATTCAGAATTAGGACTAGAGGCTTCTCAGGAATCATTAATTGTGCATCCTCAAAACTCTACCCCACCAATCCAGATTCCGTTAACATCGTCATCAGCATGCCATGTCGATCCTCGGTTTAAAGATAAAGTCTGAAGAGAAAACATCTACGAGATTAAGCAAAACGACCTAAATTCCTATAATATCCCTTCACTTACTACCCAGAATGAGAGAACTCTTACTTAATAGTAGGGTTTTTAGAGTAGAATTTCAAATAATAATTTTTATGTGAGTAGATCGAAAGCTGCTTATTTTGGGAGCTTTCAGAAAAAATGTCCAAAATGCAATCTTGGGCTTTTACCATCCAATATAAATAATTTTCAATTATTCATATAAAGTTTGCTATTTGAAATTCCCACAAAATGAGCAAGAATATTACTTGGGAGAGTTAAAACGAAAAAGCTTAATATTATTATTGATTTAGAATCAATGATCTATAAGATTCATCCGAAAGTTTCTCACAATCTTAAACTTAAATTAGCAGATGGCCGTGGCTATAGTGATTATGCAGACACCAAGGACCCTTGAGCGAAGGGTTCATCCGCTTTGCGACATTCCTTGCCGGAAGCTTGATCGATTGAGATAGCTCACTGGCAAGAAAAGCATCAGCACCATCTTGCTCCTTCTCCGGCCCCTGATGCCATGAGGTCCTGAAGTGATGTGCGCTGAGAACGTCTCCTCCTTGCCTTAAGGATTCAGTGTTGAGAGGGCAGGCAAGGACATCTGCGGTCCTGCATTGCGTTATTGGGAAGTAGCTTGATCTAGGGAGCAAATCTGGAGTCTGTTGGAGTTGGGCTCCTTGCCCTCAGTCGCTAAAAAAAACAGCCTTAATCCCTGAAGTTCCTGGTATCTCGGTGAGTTCCACCCTTACCTTCCAAAGGATATCGGCTAACTCTTTCGAACTATAGGAACTAAGACAAAACCTTCCCAAATATGCACAAATCCAATTGCGTCAAGAACTCGGGTGCAATTAGGTCATCGTTTTTATGTATATAAAGTTTCACAATCAAGAAACAATACAGGCGGAAATTAAGAGGCTAAGAAATCAATATCACCAATGCTTTAAATCGATTTATTTTTCTGCTGGGAGTGTGTATTATATTATAGCTATTCGGCACAATTTAGACTCTTTTTTGAGAAGCCTAAATCAAAAAGCAATTTTACATTTAATTACGAAGATTAGTGACAATTATTTGCATGAAATTCTCAAGGCAGTTGACCCATATTGAAATTACTTCCAAGGTAGAGTTCATCACTCAAAAAGTGCAGAAAGATCACTATCAGAGCTTGGACTTGAATCAAATGATACTTTAGCTTAAATGCAAACTTAATATCAATACCGCATCATTTATCAGCGCTTCCATCTGCCAGACATCTGCTGGCTTCAATGCTTAATGGTTCAATAGCTTTTAACATTTAGATTTCTAACTGTCTTCCAGTTCTTGAGCCAACCAATTTGTGTCCTTGAGGCATCCTAATACCCCAGTCTCAACCGCCTAGGGGTTGGTGGTCTCTTTTTCCTAAAGACAGGAGTCTTACGAGGCAAAAATAATCAGATAAATTCACTGGCTGGAGCTTGACCAAAAGAGGATTTTTAGCTCTGGATTATTGAAAACCCAATGAAGTCATATTTTTTAATTCTGATCCAAATGATACACTAATTATTGATACTAATATAGGACACTGGAGAATGGAAGATCAAGGTAATGTTATCCAAAGCATGAAATATATTCCTTGTCCTCAAGAGCACAGTGAATATGAAAATTCAAGTAAATATCAAGAGCTGGTTAAGTCCTACACTTACTTTAAAGGACTAACTGTAGTTGATGAAAAAAAATTATTTATTGACAAAGAAGATCAGTTTCCGTGCATACTTAAAATTGTGAGTAAAATTCACAAGGCCAGATTCTTGTGATTTTACACCAAGGGAGTTTCAGAGCTTTTTCAAATTTTGAAAAGCCAAGTTCTCAAAGGAAAAAGCATTTTTTTCCTAACTCCTAAGGGTAAGAAACTATTTTTTGTTCATTCACAACAGTATTAATTTGTGTTAATAATTTCCAGAAAGGATTTACTTTTGAATTATTTTAAATTTAAAATTTAGCATAATTTTTAATAAAAATTATTGCTTTATAAAATTTTCATGCTCAACCGCAGGGGGAATATGTGGAAATGAAGAAGCCATAGATGTTAAAATAGAAGTTTATCGTGCAATTGTTGAAAGTCTCGGTGGAACTGTAATAGGCTCAAGCTGTGAAGCAGATTATATAATTTCAGACGAAAATGCATCTACAATTCCTGGCAAATTCAAGAAATCGGAATGGTTAATTTCAAAATTTTTCAAGTTAATCTAATTATATCAGTTATCACTTCATAATAAATATCTATGAAAAAATCCCTTCCAAAGTTAAAAAAAGGAAATACATCCCGATCCCATAACTCCCTAAGTGATGCCAATTCTGTAATTTCTCATGAATCAATCCAAGAACAGTCATCAGAATCTCAGCAAAAAAACCCTCAAACCAAAGACCAAACAGAAATCAAGGCTTCAGTTTTAGTAGAATACTATTGAAGATCAGCCAAAGAGCACTGGAGCAAGCGTGATTTCAAAGGCGCTCTCCAGGCCACTGACAAAATTCAAGAAATGATGCACAACGCAAATGATATGAAAGGCCTGGAGTCTACTTTCAGCTTCAAGGGTGATATTTTCCTTGACAATAATAACGTAAAAGAAGCTCTTATTTGTTACCAGCAGCAGAAGAACCTTGCCGAACAAAACAAAGACTATAAGGACAAAATGCTTGCTTATAAGCAGCTTGGACATTGTTACAAACTGCTTAAAGAATATAGGCTTGCCTTGATTAATTTCAAAAAATTGCTGCAGCTGGCATGGTCTCAGAATAGTATAAAATGGGAACTTTTGGCTTATGACTATATCGGGATGCAATATTATTATCTTGGAGATCTAGATAGAGCTAAATATTACCACGACAGAATGTGGAAAGGAATATTAGAAGACAAAACTTCACCAGTCAGGGAATTATCTATGAAAGCTCTTGAGGCAAAACAACAGAGAAAAAACAATGTTGACGAGAGAAGAGAAAAAGGACCTGCAAAAAGCTTGTTTTTTGGGCCACGAGACCATAACTCTTACTATTTGAATGGCTCAGACGACGATGAAAGCGAATTGCCTTCTCCAAGAACGAGCTCTGGAAATGGAGATGTGAGACTGTTACCTCATTTTAAGGTTAGAAGAGAAGAGGAAAAGAAGCGCCACTCAAAAACTGCATTTGTAAAGCATGGGTCAAGAGGTAATGAATTTAAAAATTCGTCATCTCATAAGAGAATTGGGGAGAGGGTGAAACCTTTTATATTGCTAAGCCATTTATCACCAATTGAGTCACTGAAGAATTTCTACTATGTCGAGCAAATGCACTCACTGAGATATCGAGATTCACATAAAAATATAAATAATGTGGGAAATTAATTAATTGAGTCCAAGAATTTTCTTACAAAAATGGCTACCATTCTGTTCCTTATGAGTTTTGCAATAACTTCTTATGGAATTGACACTTTAGGCCTTGATATAAGTTTTTGGCCTGTATCCATAGTTGACTTTGGCGACTGAAGAGGCTTTGGTGCAATGGCTGCAAGAGATATCCCAAAAGGAACTCCTTCTATGATAATCCCGATAGACTGGGTGATTAATTCTCATGATCCATACCCGCTATCTCCTTACCTCAAAGACTTATTATCTTCAGAAGGCCTTTTGGCTTACCGTTTGCTTTGGGATAGATTCTCAACTGCCCCTACCAAACCACTCACAAAAACGTTTACTGAAATTATCCCAGAGTCTTATAACACTTTTGGCCTGTGGAATGAGACAGAAAGACAATGGATGCATGAGTATTCAATTGAATTTTTTGAGTATAACCACTCTTTTATATTAAAAGATGAGTTTCTCAAAGCAAAGCAAATTTTAGAAAAACTTGATTTTGTGCCGAAAGAGCTGTTGGAGCTGAAATGGTTTCAGTGGGGCTATGGAGCTGTGATTTCTAGAACTTGGTCCTATCCATTAGCACTGATAAAAATTGGCAGAGGGGAAGAAGTGGTCCCAGACGACTACGCAATTAGGACAACAGGGCTCTACCCTGTTGCTGAAAATGTCAACCATTGTACAGTCCCAATTAAAGATAGGAAGCCTTTTATATTTCATAGCTAATATTTATAGCCTAAACCAAAAGCTAAAGCCCTTTGATTCTAACCCTTGGCTTGCTGGATAACGTCTTCATGGAGTGGGAGTCTTTTGGGAGTCAGCTGGCAGCTATTCCAGTCCAAGTATTAGTTATCTGGATGGCTTTTTGGCTAAGGGCTCTTTCTCTACTGGTTTCGGAGGGTCATATATCTTTTTACCTGGTGTAATCCGACCTCAAGCAGGCAAACAGGGAGGCATCGGTTTGACCTTTGCCCCTGCATAGCATCCTCGAGACAGACAGCAATGAAGGGGTCTTCTAATTCTAACCTGCTGAAACTCAAGACGTAGTAAGCCCTTAGTCCTGGGAGAAGGCTGCAGCTGATAGGGCACGATCAACTGGTGCTACCCCAGGCAAGCAAGTATCTGTTGTCGAAAGCGTGCAAGCTATTTAATCTTAATATCTTATATTTCCAGCGATGACTATGAAAGACAAGTGGGCTGCTGTGATGGCTCAGATGAATTTTAAAGCTGGTCAAGAGTTTTGCATTGAATATGATGAAGACCCAAATAATGGGATGCTTTTCAAGCATGGGTTTGTGCTTGAAAAAAATTATTTGGAAGAGTTTTACATTAAGAAAACAACTGATAAATGCAATGAAAAGAAGATGAAAGAAAAATGCCAATGGACTTTGAATTCTTACGAAGTCAATAAGAGATTTTTGGACTTCCTGGCTGAAGGAAAAGATTAGAATAATTAAAGATTAGGCCTCCTTGCTTTATCGTTTCACCCTATACATGTCTTCAAAGTAGACTTGCCCAGCTGCAAGTGAGCCTATATTTTTTGAGTATATCAGATTCAACTAGAGATAGCTTCTTCAAGCTTCCCTCATAGCTTTTAAAGCAGTTTGGGAACATTGGATTGCAAACTTTCGGAATTGACTAATGCTGCTTCAGTAATTGGATTCCACCTAGGGATATAATCCCTTACTAATATTAGTGTCAACGATGCCTAATTGCGATGAAAAAAAAAAACTTCACTCTTTATATATGGAATATGCCATTAACTATGGTTTTCATTCATTTAATTAGGTATATGTTTTTTCGTTAGCGTGCAGGTCTACTAATTAAATCCTTTTTTTCAAATCCTTATCGGCATTACACAAAGTCTTCATTGCTGGGCGAGGGGAGACAACACTTAACGGAACACAAATATCCAGTGCTCTTAGACTTTTTTTCTTTATTTGATTTAGCTTTAGACACCAGCAAGGTCGTCAAAGTCTAATTAGGTGCTGAAGAGGATGGCTCAGCGACATTGTCTCTCTATTTTATTGACTGAAGGAAAAGGAAATGAGGTTGGGTTAAAAAAATATTTAAAGGAAGTTAGTGAAATTTTGAGCGGAAGCAAATATAGCCTGAGAGATTTGCAAAGGCTGCTATCTTCGAAGGAGAATTTGAGAGAAAATGTGGCAGTGAGATATGGAATAGGCCAAAGAATGCTGCTATTGGAACAAATAAAGCTTGCAGAAAGAGAATTGATGAAGATTTATTCCAAAAAAATGCATATTTAGTATAGATTAGATCGTAAATTTTAATTAATTTACGGATTATAAATAAATTTATAATAAAAGTGTTTTAATTGTCTTAAATTAATGAAAGATTATAAAGGATTTATTAATTAATTGAATGTTCTCTCCTAATTTCTGCAGCATTTTCTGATTGCTGTCTCCTAAATAATGCTTGGACCATTTCTTTTAATTCTGCAATATCCTGCTTCCCCTCAACAACCTTATCAGTTTTCCCTGACAATTCTTCAATTGCTTTTGATAAATTTCCTTTCATTTCATCCAGCATTTCTTCAATCTTATCCTGTTTTCCTTCTTTAGAATCCTTTGCACTGCACATCTGCAAATATTTTTTTATTCCTTTATCCCTTCTTGTAACCATTAAAAGTTCGCATTCTAAAATTATATCAATCATTTCCAGCTGGTCAGCAATTACGCGATTTTCTTGGACTTTTGTGAACGAATTTCCAATAATTGCAATGCAAAGGTTGAGCATAATTAAGGTATTGCACAGTGTTGCGAAGAAACAAAACACCCATTTAATTGTGGTATAGTCATCTGTGTTGAAATCGCCATAGTTTAATAAATAAATTGATATAAAATAGCTACCAATTGATTGGATTTCATTATGCTCTAAGAAGTCTATGGCAATAAAGATGACCACAAAAGCAATGTCTAAAAAGAAAAGAAAAATCACAAAAGAAATCATATCTTTGATTACATTGGAGAACAAATTTACAATGTATCTTGTCGACTTATGCACTCGGAAATAGCTGATTCCTTTAGCCCAAGACAATACTACAACTGTAATTAATAGCAAGCCTAAGTAACCATCATTAATTTCCAATATTTCCTTGATTATTACGTAAACAAACATACAAAGGTCCCTTAAAATGTCAAAATAATTCCACTTGTCCTTGGCATAGGCCTGAAAGTCCACTTTCATGTGCGCTACTTCAATTAAAAATAAAATCATGTTGAAGCCAGATATCAAATAGAGGAAACCCCACGTATCATTAAAGAAAATAAAATAAAGCGATAATAGAGTAAGATAGGTGAAATATATCAAGGTCTGGGTCCATATCATATTTACCTGAACAGCGCTGACAAAGAAGACAATTGGGGTGCCATGGCGTCCAAAAGTAAATTTATTTTCCTCTTCAAAGTTTCTTTTTAAAGGCACAAAGGTTTCTGAATAAATAATTTTAGGGAGTCTATTGTATTTTGTAACAAATTTTTCGACTTCATTTTCTCTCTTAATGAAAATAGATGTATAAAACTCATCTAGTGAGCTTGCACCGATTTCATTAAGGACATCTAATTTCTCTTCTAAATAAGAAGCAGTTTTAGGGGATTCGATGATTCTTTTATTTATATTATCTAAGATTGCATTAATACAGTCTCTATGCCTACTCTTCAAACTTAAGCTGAGGGGTGTTTCGTTTTGAATAGTTGCTGAAAATGGTCCATCAGCTTTTAAACTTAGTGTCAAATGCTCTGCCAAGTCTCTGTCAGCATAGATATGTAGAATATTCATATGGTATTTTGCTATAAAAAAGTTATCCATCTCTACATCATGCTCTGGAGGGCTTGAGCTGTAAGCTGAGTATATATATTTTATGAATTTTCTTATTTTGCTTCGCTCTCCAAATATTAAAAATTTTCTAGTTGAAACAGGGTTGTCTAAAACAATGATTTTCTTTCCTGCTGCAACTGCAAGGATAGAGTTATTTGACAAAGAAACAACAGAGCTGCATTTTTCATCAAAATTCAAGCTTAAGCAAAGAGAAAAATCTGATATGTTTCATATTGAGACTTTTCCATCAAATGAAGACGCCATAAAATGCTTGTCATTAATTAGCAAACTTGTAACTCTTTCTTGATGGTAAGAAATTTGCTTTAATTTTGCAAGACTAAGCTCGTTATAGCCAAAGCTGAAGTTTATACTCCATATCAGCACCAAACAATCATCAGAGCAAGAAATAAGCAGAGAGCAGTCATTGGTGACCTTCAAGTCATTTATATATTTAGAATGAGCTTTCACTCTGGTCATCATATCAGTTTGGTCTATTCTGTACCCTATAATAGTGCATTTCCCGCCTGAAAATAAAATTTTAGTACTTCTAGGTGAGGCGTCTAAGGGGGATTTCTCCTCAATCTTAGCCAGTGCAAGACATCTCACTCGAGAAGTATGAACTTTAGTCTCTGCGATCGGAGTCGTTATATCATTTATTCGCCATTGCCGAATCCAATGCCCCTTATGCCCTGTGAAAGCATAAAATTCTCCGTTATCTTCATAAGTAATTATTGAAATCACTGCATCTTCAATTTGAGGTTCTTGAACTACTCTACTAGTATGCAAATCAGCTTTTATCAGTCTCCCATCAGCACAATACAAAAGCTGGCTTCCATCAGGACTTATGCTCATTGGCTTTTCTGGTACATCTGTGGTTATTGCTCCACCTTGCCTTAATCTAGAATTAGAAGAAGTGAAATTATAATTTTCGCATTCTTCTCTAATGTTTTCTAGAACTTTAATTTCTTTATCCCTTGCGAAAGAGATCAAATTCGATTCGTGAGAGCACAAATGATAAATCTCTTCATTGTTTTCTACCAGGCATGTTTCGGAGTCGAGATATTCAGGAGATAAATACTTTAAAACCTTCCCACTTCTTGTAGCAATTGTAATTTCAGGATTAATGCCATTAGAAGAGAAATTTATTGACCTGAAATGTTTTTCTTGCCCTTTTGAAGAAGAATTATGGAGATATGTCTCTTTCATGCAGTCTTTATGGATTTTTCAAAGCTTAATTGTCGCATCTCTGCTTGCAGTAAGAATGTAGTTACTGAAAGGGTTTGGAACGATAAATCTTACGACGTCGTCATGTGCCTTAAATGACTTTATTTTTCTAATTTCAGTTATATAGTCATTATACATATAGACAAATCCATTGTCATAGCCAGCTATTATATATGTTTTATAATAGCTAATTGCTCATATTCGTATTGGCATGCCATCATGTACATCCCATGCAATTTCCAAAGGCCAATCATTATCTGGCCTCAATCTATGGATTATTCCTTTTGAATTCCCTGAAGCAATTATTCCTTCAAAAGATGAAATCGCAGTAGAGTCTCTAACTGAGAAAGCAATTGTATCGTCGTCAAAATCATATACGTTGTTGACTTTTGTGTATGTTATTTTTTTGATTTCTCTATTGGTGTTATGAAGAATTGCCATATCCTCTGTGATTTCTAAAGCAGCCGAGCTGACTTCAATTGTCTTCTCATATATTTTGGTTAAGATGCCTTCATTGAGTTCAAATATAGTTATGGCCTTAGTTCCAGAACAGCCAATTATATAAGCATTGGTCTTTGGGTCTTGCCTCATCTTGATGATATTTATTCTCCTTCCAAGCGTGTAAGGCGTTATTTGTTGATTTTGAATGATAGATGGACTCCTAATGCTTGGATGTCTGCCTATTTCCCTGCTTCTTGCAATCTCAGCTGTCCAAAATCGTTCTTCGATATTTGCTATTACATATAAAACATTCGTATCAGTTGTAAAGCACAAATATTTGCCATCTGGGCTGAAAGCACTACAATCCAAGAGCTCACCTAAAGTGAATTTTAAGCCCAGATGTTTTTGGATATCATTTGACATATCTTTCATCTCTACGTTCTCTTCCATTCCTGCTTGGCATTCATCATCATAAAAACTTGTAGCGAGTAGTCGAGCTGTTAGAGACATTTTACTATTATTATAGATTTCTATAAATAAGGCTTTCTATCTATTATAATTATTATCTAATTATTGGCTATTTCTATGATTGTTTATAATATGAAGTTCAAGACGGATTTAAAATAAGCAAATTGTATTAGTGGAAATTGCGCTCCTTCAAAATTAAATTTAGTCTTTGTAGCTCAAGATCTATAAGGTAGTTTTCTGGTGTGGAAATTTTGAGAAGGTTCCTGGCTTTGAGATTAATGTCTCTCATATAAGGTCAATACAAATTATCACTAAGTCTTAGAAGCATCAAGTCTATAAATTTTTGGAAGTCTCGACTGTATTTTTCTTTAATAGTGGTGTCTAAAATAAAAGTGGTTGGATCAAAAGACTTCAATGAAGCTGCCATTCAAATTATTTTCCCCAATAAATAGACTTCTTTTCTCTCAATAGGAATTTTAGTTTTAAGGCGTAAATTGTCATCTTTGGAGTTTTCACTGCTTAAGTCTACTCAGTCATTTTTATCAAATTCCAGTATTTTGTTTGTGCTGCTATATATCCAAAACTGCTTTGCCTCTAAAAAGTTTCCAATTTTTCACTCGCCATTAAGACTAACTCCCCGCTCCATGGGCGAACAAAAAAAATCATGTTCACTCACGGAAGGGGGTTAATTTTAAAGAAAAAAAAATTTTTTTCGGAATTTAAAATCATCCCACTTCTCGAAAATTGGAAGGCAAATATTAATTTAAATTTGTAAAATTTATGTTTTAAAAAACAATTTGTTTAAAATTAACAGAATTAGCTCGATGGCACTAGTTATCACTTATATATCAAAATTTTTTCCCATAAAAAATTTTTATATTAAAAAAAATCTTTGTTCACTCACAGAGGGTGGGTTTTTGGGCAAAAAATAGGGATTTTTCTAATGGTTTTGTTCGCTCACAGACAGGGGGGAGTAATTAGAATTGATGAGGGATCCAAATTTCCATGATAAATGTAATTTTCATGAAGAATGGCTAAAGACTCAGATAAAAAAGAAGCCATAGCTATGAGTTCCTTTTCAGTCCAATAAATTCCATTTTTACTTCTTTCAATAATCTCTTCATATAAGTTTCCCTTAATTTGATCTCTTATACAAATCATTTCATCTCCAATATGTGCTAATTTGTAATATTTTACAAAATGCTCTGATAAGTTTCCAAGCCTGTGTAAAAAATTATATTCATTTTCAATATTTTTAGAGAAAGATTGTAAACAGCTCAGGGCCTCATTTAGATCACCCTGAGCTACAGGACGCTCTAAAGCTGATGGAGCTGACTTTGGCAAAAGCAATTGCCAATTTAACTCTACCAGTTTGCAAGAGAAAATTATTAGGGCACTTGCCAACTTGTGGAGCTGATTTGGCAACTATTTTTTCCCAAGCCAAATCCATCAGTTGGAAGGGCGTTCCGTAGCCCAGGGCAATCTAAACGATGCCTTGGGATATATCAAATTCAGGATGTGCTAAATGATATTCTCCTTTTTCCAGAATTTTTTTTTCAACAGTATAAAGATCTTTAAATTGCTTTGCAAATTGTTCATTTTGAAAGGTCGAAAGCCATGGCAATTTAATCTGAATTTCACAAGAATGGGACTTTAATTTATGTTTAGAATCTCAGAATTTCTGGGCTTTTAATAAATATTCAAATGACTTGATGAAATTTTGTTTTTTAAGATTTATTCCGTTTAAAGAATACGTAAGCCAAAATAAGTCAACGATTGGGTGACACTCTGGCGCTTCATAAGACTGTATGCAACGCTTTAATAATTTTTCAGCTCGGTCTAAGTCATTTATTTTTATATATAAAAATCCCAAATGCTCATCAATTAAAGTTCGAAGAAATTTTATATTATGAAAACGATTTGACTTAATGATTTTCTTACTTCCCCAATTCTCTATATGACTCTCATCCTTGATCGATGATTTTCTATCTAAAATTTTTAGAAATTTAAATATTTTATATTTTTAATTATGATAAATTATATTAATTGAAAAATCATATATCTTATTATATTTTTTTCTAGAGATTTTAGATCTTTCCATGATTGAACTTCAGATATATGCTCTTTCGAAAATTATGGGATTCAGCACTTTTTAGATAGGTCCTGCATTCATCTCATAAGCCAGAACGAAATGCAATTGCTGAACTTAGTAGATAAACTCAGAATAAAATTGGATGATTCCATCGTAAAAACATATCAATTCATATTTTTATATTTTTCAAAATCTCACTTCTTGCTTCGGATATAAGATCCATTGAATAAAAAAGCCAAACATATTCTTGATGATATTTTATCAGCTCTGCAGATATTCATTTATTTGGTTTTTTAAAAAAATGAAAAATTTCCTTATAAAAGATATCAAAAGACTCTTTAAAATCTGATTGAAGTAAAAGTATTTTGGCTAACTACTTCTTCTTTAATGCGAGCAAAATTTTTTTGCTTTCCTAAATAAGGTCAATTGTTTATGCTAAAAAATTACATTTAAAAGTTATATAGTGTATCTATGTGGGGTATCGCAATCATTCTGACCCTCCGAAGGCAGTAGTAAGATGGTTGTTTCACCAGCCCTTGAATTGCAAACCTGAATTTTTGCGCAAAGGTTGGTTTATGCAATATTTGTAGGTTAAACCAACACCCAGTTCGTCCAGAAGACGTGAGATAATGCGAAGATATTATTTTGAGATTTTAAAAATTCTAATTTGTAAATATTTGATTGGGAAAATCAAGAATAAGCTATCTAAAATGCAATATAATTAATTAGTTATCTCATACAAAATTATAAGTTCTTTTATATTATTAAGTTTTTTGATAACTCTTAAAGAGATGCTATTTTTCTCATGAATAGACATTTTCCAAAGGTTTTGCTCATTCTTGAAGGGGGTGTAAATAATATTGCTTTTGAAAAGCTATTAGCTGATTATTTGACTTGACCTCTCTAAGATGTCTAATTGCAACTTTAAAATATTTAGCAGCTTTTTCTTTTTGATTTTGATATATGCTTATTATTCCTAACTCTTGTAAAATTATTGCTTTAGTCAAAAAACTTTTTTTCATGTATTTTTTGATCAACAAGTAGGCTTTCTTTAAATATTTTCTTGATTTTTTCAAATCTAAATTTGAAACATAAATATTTGACAAAAGTAAATAGGCTTCAATGCTATCAAAATGATTAACTATCTCTTGATTACAGTGCAAAATCATTAAAATACACTTTTTTTTTGAGAATTAACCTCTCTTTTAGCTAGCAAAAAAATTTTAGTATAAATTTTTTATGCTAAAGAATTTATATTAAATTTTAGACATTTTGTGTGCTAAAAATATAAATTAAAAAATTAAATAAGATTTTTCGTTTCAAATAATTGCAAATTTGGATTTAAAATACAATTATATTGGTACAAATTTATAATAAAAAAATAACCCCCTCTCATAGGCAGTAAGCAAAAAGCTCCCTATCTAGCAAGAGAAGTAAGCAATTTTCTTGCATACATTTTGGAAGATTGAAGATCGTTAAGATAAAGAAAGATGTTCATGAAAATATGATAAAACATCTTTAGCTTCGTCATTTTGCCTGCACTAATTATTTTATTCTCTACTTTTTGTAACCCTTTGCTGAATTTTGGACTTTTATAAATCTGATCAAGTTTTATGACTAGCAAAAATGCCTCAATTATATATTCATCAATTTGATGAGGAAAACTTATTTCTTTGCAAATTTCTTTGCATGATTCCATACATTGCTGTGCTGATTCATACTCATATATAAGTAAATATTCTGTAGCTTGATAAAGACCCACTCATAATAAATCATTGAGCCTCTTAAAGCTTGAGTGATAATAAGCTCAGGTTCACTCATAATCCAATATTTTGAAATAATTGCAATTGAATATATAATCAGTAAATTTTAGTCACATTTCTGCTTGATAGCTTATATCTTCATTTAAATCAGGCACAAAAACATTTTCTGTGAACTTATAGGCATCATCAGATAGCCTTATCAAAAAATACTCTAAAGGTAAATAAAACGCTTTGGCTTCAACGAAATCTGTTTTTGAGCATTTTTCCAGCAATGCCTTTAGCTTATTGATGCAGTTTTCAATACTATTTTTATCATCCTTATTGTAATCTCCTTCAGGAAGGTTGTTAATGAGCTCTAATACTCTTTCAATACAGCTAATTGCATTTATAATAAAGTTTTTGATAATTTCTTTCGATTTTTGGTTTACAGAATGCTTTATCCTTTCCAATACATTTTGTGTGCTGACCTCATTATATAATAAAATGGCACCGTCAAAAAAGCCCTCTCCAAAATGTTCCCATCCTCTGGGTAATTTATTATTATGGATTCAATTATCCCAGGCAATTAATCCAGATATATATTATAAATCCTGAAGGCATGCATAACTAGACCTTGACTCCTCACCTCCCTTAAAATAAGATAAAAATAAAATAAAAAGTCTATCAATATCAGTATGGATTTTGCCATCTAGGCTAATTGCTGGGAGCGAGAAGGGAATCAAGCTCATAGTAATCCAGGAGCATTCATTGCATGGGATAGTATTGAATTTTAAGAGGCGTAAGATTTTCTCTGAAAAGGAAACCTTATATTGAAAATGCGCAGGAGTCCAAAAAATGAATTGGGCAATGCTGTCCATGAAGCCATCTGACCTGATTCATCATGGGAACTTTGATGGAATACCTCATTTCCTCGATCAAAGAGGGTTGCTCGGTGGTGTCACAATTTCGACGTTAAAGGGGCTGTTGATATTGCACTCTGAAGAAATATCACAATTATGAGTAAAAAGGGTGATTTGATATTATACCTAGGAAGAAAAAAAAAATAAAAAACTAAATAATTAAGTAATTAAGCTGACCTCACAGAGATCCTTTGAGTGCTTGTGACAGAAAAAATCTTTGAAATTAGTTTGAAATAGTGCATAATGGTAGCATTTTTTACAAATAAATCTATCAGTATTCATATTGATAAATTATAAATATAGAGTTGCTAAATTATAAATATAGAATTGTAAAAAATAAATCTTAAATAAATATTCCTGATTACCTTAATTAAGACTACTTACTTTATAGATAATAACTACTTATAGATCTAATTATGATGTATTTTCTCTCTTATAGGATATATAGAAAGCATAGCTAATTTTAATGTAATGAAGTTTAAAAATGTCTTTAATTTTAAAATGAATTTCTGCATTTACTGATTAAATATTTATTGGTTATTTAAAGCATGACTTGAATAGACGATGCAAATTAATTTTATGGCTGATTTTTAGTATTATATAAATATATAATTAAGCATTTCAATGGTCCAGTTAGATTAATAAAATGCTTAAGGCAAATAAAAGTAAATCCTCACTGATAGCGGCTGCCTAGATCATTTATTTTGCAATGAATGCAAAAGCATTTCAACTGTCTATCTCAAATCTCCTGTGAAGAAATCTATTAAGGTACATGAGCATATAATATATAAAATTATACTTTACATGATAATAAAATTAAGTTTTTTAGTTCTCATATCGATTCTAATTTGACTATTTATCTAAAAAACAATGCAAAATTATACCACTTAAGACTTGTAAGCTTAAAAGTACAGTTGAGTAGAGTCTTGATAAAAATTGAATTCTAAAAGAGCTTTAAGAACAGTGTCAAAGAAATGAATTTAATAAAAATGTCATTAAAAAATTTGCAGGCGGGCTTTATAAAGCAAACTATCTCTGCAAAAATTGAATCTACTAGCAATTTGCATGAGCAATTAATGAGAATTGCTATTAAAGATTCGAATGGCTCAAAGGCTAATATTATTCTCGAAGGGGAATTATTTGCAAAATGCTTTGAACGCATTCGGAAAGATACAAGCATAAAAGTTTCTGATTTCGTTATCAGCACTGATTACTCACAAGTAAGCCAGTATTTCCCAGATTTTATTCATGGCCCAAACATCACAAATCACGGCTCTGATTTTCAATGATTTATTCATATCACTGATGGCCAAATTCCATCTCTCGAATTATCATATAAATCAAATACTTTACAAATTGACGAACACACAAATTTAAATAAAATTTCTATTGAAGATCTTTACAAAGTCAAGATTCCACATTTTGATCCAAAATCTCCTAAATTTTGCAATCTTAAGTATATAATAGAACACTCAAATGAAAGCGGATTTTATGCGAATTGCTATGGGACAATACTTCATTCAACCAGTTCATATAATATTTCGCATATAAAAGATTTTATTGCAATGATCCAAATCACCGATTTATCAATTTACCCTGAAAGTATTGATGTCACCATTTTTCATCATAGCCCCCGAGAAATGATTAAAATTCGTGCTTTAGGAGATATAGTCTATTTACATCAATGCCAATTTAGATGCAAAAATGGAGAGGTGAGCGGGAGATTGTCTGCTGGAAGAAGTTCTTCAAAGTGATTTGTTTTTGATCTGGAAAATAGCCATTCAAATCCGTATGGAAGCTATAAAAGTATTTTTAAACCAGATAAGGACCATGAAATCATTATGAAAAACGTGAGAGAATGGACTATAGGCACTTTTGCGAACAATAATCCTTTAGGAAGAAACTCAAAAAGATTAAGCATGATTAATAAAAATGAAGAAGCTAATATAGTTTTTAGAGTGTATGGAATTTACAAAATGGGCATACGAGAAAATAGCCCATCAGCGCTAGTTGGATATGACCAAGCATCAATATGTCAAGCCATAATTCAAAAATCAGAAGAAAATGCTTATAAATACATAAAAAATTCTGACACTATGCAAATCACAAATGCAATCTTTGAAAATGGAAGAATTTTTCTCACAAAGCAGTCTGACATTCTAATCATCCCAGAATTCATGAACAGCAATAAAATTCCTTTAATCCCTGAAAAATCTAAAGAATTAAATGCCATTTTAAAAGGATACATGCCAAGTTATCAGATAATTAAAAGATCTCAAATAAATCCTTCTCTATACTCATTTCCTATGTATTCCTACGAAAGGTTAAAACATATTGATATGAATGCTAAATGTCGAGTTCAAGGATTTATTATTAAAATCCTGCCTGAAAATCCTTGAGAAGCTGAAGGGATGTACTGTAGCACATGCAAAGCGAAAACTTGCTTCCAGTTTTGTCAATGTGGAGATGAAACAGAAATAAAATGCAAATTTGAAATTTTCTTATGGGATGGAAGTGAAAATGTAAAAAGTGTGATTCGGCTGATTCTTAATGAAGAAGATTGCTCTCAATTTATTGGGTCTATGGGATGGGAAAATTTGAAAAAGTTATTATTAAGCTATGAATCTCTTTTTGAATTTGGAATAGAAGTGGCGCCTGATGGGTTCAGAATTATTGACACAAAAATTATTTCAAATTAAGCAACTGCTGATTACTCATATATGATTATTTTTTATTTAACTTTAACAATTTATTTAATAAATTACTCATTCCCTTTACATAAAATTGCATCAACCCTTCTCCATTTTCAATTCTTTCTTTTTCCCATCTCTATTTAAATTTTAAATTCCATACTTTTCACATAGAAACCTTACCCGAGCTTCACCTCCTGCTCCCAAGATCACTAATCTTCACTGTCCTAAATTATTTGTAATATTAATGGCTATAAGACATTTCACCAAACGTCTTTTGTCTCAGCAACCCTCTCGATTCTTTTCTACCCCCAAAGTCGAAAAGGCAGGCCGCACCGGCTTCATCTCACAAGTAATTGGAGCAGTCGTTGACGTGCATTTTGACAATGAGCTACCTCCAATTCTGAATGCTTTAGAAGTTCAAGGTCATGATCATAGACTTGTCTTAGAAGTTGCTCAACATTTAGGAGACCACAACGTCCGTTGCATTGCTTTAGATAGCACTGATGGCTTAGTCAGAGGTCAGCCCGTTTTAGATACAAATGGCCCAATTATGGTTCCAGTCGGCCCAGAAACATTAGGAAGAATCATAAATGTTATCGGAGAGCCAATTGACGAAAGAGGCCCAATCAATGCTAAAAAGTACATGCCTATTCACAGAGAAGCCCCAACTTTCACTGAACAAGGCTCAGGAGCTGAATTATTGGTTACTGGAATCAAAGTTGTCGATTTGCTAGCTCCATATGCCAAAGGAGGCAAAGTAGGGCTTTTTGGAGGTGCAGGAGTCGGTAAAACTGTCTTGATTATGGAACTTATTAACAACGTCGCCAAAGCGCACGGTGGCTACTCAGTGTTCGCAGGAGTCGGAGAAAGGACTCGTGAAGGAAATGATTTGTACATGGAAATGATTGAGTCTGGAGTCATCAGACTGAAAGATGCAGGAAGCAAGGCAGCTTTGGTATACGGACAAATGAATGAACCTCCTGGTGCAAGAGCTAGAGTTGGGCTGACTGGGCTTACAGTTGCAGAATATTTCAGAGATGAAGAAAGACAAGATGTGCTGCTTTTCATTGACAACATTTTCAGATTCACACAAGCCTGTTCAGAAGTGTCTGCCTTACTTGGGCGTATCCCATCTGCTGTCGGGTATCAGCCTACCTTAGCAACTGATTTGGGAGTCTTACAAGAGCGTATCACCACAACTCAGCATGGGTCAATTACTTCAGTCCAAGCCGTCTACGTCCCTGCTGATGATCTTACAGATCCAGCCCCAGCCACCACTTTTGCTCACTTGGACGCTACAACTGTGCTGTCTCGTGCTTTGACTGAGTTAGGTATCTACCCAGCCGTCGATCCATTAGATTCTACCTCAAGAATGATGGATCCTTCAATTGTAGGAGAGAGACACTATGAAGTCGCAAGAGGTGTACAAAAATTGCTTCAGGATTACAAGTCTTTACAAGATATCATTGCTATTTTGGGTATGGATGAGCTGTCAGAAGATGATAAACTTGTAGTCGCCAGAGCCAGAAAAGTCCAGAAGTTTTTGTCTCAGCCTTTCCATGTGGCTGAAGTGTTCTCAGGAAAGCCAGGAAAGTTTGTTAGTCTGGAAGAAACCATTACTGGGTTTGGAGCGCTCTTGGAAGGACAAGGAGACGAGTATGCAGAATCTGCGTTCTATATGGTTGGAAATCTCAATGAAGCCATTGAAGCAGGCAAAAAACTTGCCACTGAATTTGCGGCTAAATAAGTTAAGAGTTTACCTAAATAAAGAATTAAATCTTTCATTTCTGTTTTATTTCAAGAATAGATAGATATCTAGAGCTATCTGAGTGTAAAAATATAATAAATTTCTTTTTATGCAAAAGGGAAGCGGCCTATTTTATAGAGGGATTGATTGATAGCTAAACTTGGAGATCTAAAAAAATAATAATAAAAAATGCAATAAACTCATTATTTGTAATAATGGTAAGTGAGGTTGATTGGATATATTTTATTTAATAGTTATAAGCTTATTTTAATTTCTCGATTGGCCAAGAAAAAAATCTAGATCTTTATGTATACGAATCGAAACACAAGCTAAGTGATTACATTAAATATATATAGCGTGAAAACACATTTTCTGTATTAGTGTATGTGGGTTCCGAGTAAGGCTTTTCTGATGCTATTCGAGTGTATTTCATAGCATGAAAGATCAGTCTTATAAAGGAAGTGTTGAAATCAATATTTAATAAATATCCAACCAACTTTTATAATATTAAAATGGCGACTTGCTATATTCTATGCTGCTCTAAGCCTGCACGTGCTTCATGCAATTGCAGTGAAGGAGAGATTGTACTATGTTACGAGGATCTTGATGCTCATTTCCAATTGAACTCAAAACTGCTCATAGTATCAATATTTTATCTCTCGAGAATCAAATGGATGCAAAATTAATTTTTAGTAAAAGAGTTGATGAATTAAGGGCAATTAAAGCTTCAGGGACAGATTGTGCAGAGAGGATAAAGGCAGCCGAAATAATAAAAGACAACTGGTTAAACGTTCTTAGCAAAATTGAATCAGCTCAAAAAAGTGATGAGCGAGTTTCAGAAGTCACTGCTGATTGTAAAAGTGAAGAATTAAAGTGTGAAGAATCCAAAATTAGCCCCGTACATCAAAACCCCAGGTGAATTGATAGCAAAGATGGAACATCAAATTTCGATAAAAATGAAGATAGAGCCCCAAAATTTAATAAAAATGAAAGAATAGAAACTAATGCCTATTTTCAAATAGAATTTCCTACAAAATATGGAGAAATTGTTTTAGTTGTAGGAAATAATGAAAAGCTTGGAAATTGGGACCCAAAAAGGGGCTTTCACTTAGGTTGGACAGATGGGAATATTTGAAAAGGGATAGCCTCATTTAATGACATTGATCATTCAGTGCTCCATTATAAATATGTAGTTAAAAAGGATGACTGATTTATATGGCAAGATAATGAAGAATGAAATAATATCCTGCAAAGCAGACTAGAAAATTGTAATATTGAGTTCAATCTTCACTACTGAACAAGACATGGAGAAACTATTTGTGTTTCAGGGAATCATGACAAACTTGGCAACTGGGATCCAAATAGAGCATTTAAGTTAAAGTGGAACGATGGAGGCTTGTGAAGCAATTATATTTCAATAAGAAAGGAAGACCTTCATTCGATTGAGTATAAATATTTACTTAAAAAATGGGATGGAAACATTTGGGAATATGGAAAAAGTCGCAAAATTAACTGCAGTGAAATTAGTGCAAGCAAAAAAGTCTTCGATTGGTGGCAAGTTGAGAAAAAAAGTTTTATTGATTCCGTTTTAAGTGGGATATCAGGAATATTTAAACCCTAATGCCTCACAAATAATAAATAGCAAATAATATTCATATGTATTAAATTATTTCAAATTCACTTAGATAATATATTTTTCTGTATGGATCCAATATAATCTTGATTTAACCTAAATTGCTGTTTAAAAGTTCATTCTTATTCTTTTTGGAAAAATATGATTATTTACGACTAATAAGAAAAGCAAAAATAAGGAAAGCAGTGCATTTCGAAATTAGTTAGGCATCTATCATTCTTTATTTAAATAAAAGTTCGTGAGCACAGAATATGAGTAATTGATAATTTAAATTCGGCTCAAATTTTTTCAGAAAAGCTGTCTTACTAAGCTATCAGCTAAATCAGTTTATTATTATCAGAAATATTATAAACTAATTAGAGCTAAAAATGGCTGGAATATAAAATCTTCTTTTCCTAGGCGAATATATTCAAAACTAACTTTCATTTTTACTAATATTTTATAATTATATTAAACAAGTTTCTTTATCAAACAAAATCTATTAGGTACTCTTATCTTAAATAAAAATAAATGCTATAAATTATAAATAAACTAATGGTTAGAAGAATTAGCACACAGCGAATGATCACTTTTAAGTATGAGCAGGCTTTTTCAATAATTCACATGCAAGTAATCAACCGTATTTGCACGAGATTCCATAAAGCCAAGCTTATTTACGAGCTTTTAGTCAACATGGCTAAAAAATTTCATCTTTCAACTTCAGACCTTTTTTTTCTTGGTCTAGTTTTAAAACGTTTGCAAGGCATTCAATCGATGAAACTTAAGAATTGCATAGCAGTATCAGCCTGGATAATCAAAAGCTTAACTAGTTCTCATAGCTTTCATTATCTGGACATTCTAAGAAAGATGGTTAAATGTATGAATTTGTCTATTTTTCACTGACTGCTGAACTGTACTGTCCATTTGAGATTAAATATTTATAGTTTGCCGGACATCGAGAATATTGCTAAGGATTATGGAGTTTCTCTCAGTAGCATTCGAAAATTCGAGTTTGATTTAAATCAATTCATAAGAGACCTTGCTCAGAAATTTGCAAGAAAAGCAATGGAGGAGGCATTTCAATTTAGTTCTTTAAAAGTATAATTATTTTTAAAAAAATTATTTTAGTTTAATCCAAAAGAGTTAATAAAAAATTTTTATTTGTTCGAAACTGTTTCTAGAGAAAAGCTCTTATGAACCTCCATTAATTTCAACTCCCACAAACACTAGCTTTAGCCAGCTAAAAATATTCCAATATTAATATGTAAGATTTTAAAGAGATATTTATCAAAATTCAGGTAAAATCACTTGGCGCGAAACAAAAAAGCTGATTTATATTCTTTTTTCCATTTCTGTTATAGAAGACTCCATTTATAAATTTATCAAAAGGAACAAAAAATTGATCTTATATAAATTATATTAAATTATTCTGTTTTTTGTTCTGGGTGCTCTGCTTCTTTTACAATGCACCAGCTAATTAAAACAGCTAAAGTCATTGCTCCAACGAAACCATAAATCCAATAGTGCCTTTTATCCTTTTTTATTATTGCTTCCATCTCCTCAAGCTGTTCTTTCACTCTATAAGTGGTGCTTCTTATTTCTCTATCATAATTATCTACAAGTTCCATAGAATCATCCATTTTCTGGGTGATATTTCTATCATCCAAAATTATCATTCTTGCTTCCAATACAGCGATATTTTCATTTAGCTTTTCTATTGTTTTAATGCCATCATCTACTTTGCTAAAGTCCAAAACTTGATGATCTTGTGTAGCATCTATTGATGACTTTTCCAGAGACTCCAATGATGATCCGATTTTTGCCATTTCATCTTTAAGAGAGTTGAGCTCAGTTTGTAGTGATAAGATATAAGAATTTTGGGTGGAGGATTTTAGAGCTTTAATAAGCTGAGAAACCTCTTTTAGCTCTTTAGCGAGATCAAGCTCATTTCTTTTAAGGTCAGTTATTTGAGCTAAAGAGGTGCACGATAAGATAAAATAAATCAAAGAAATCATTATAATGGAAATTAGATTTTTAAAAGGCAATAGAGAATAAATTAAAAACTTTTTTTCGTTAGTTAGCCGGGCGACTTATCTTGTAAATGGATCAACTCCAATCGCTTCACACGTCACAAGGTAAGATTGGTAAGTTATGAAGTCCATTATTTCGCCACTTGGGAAGGTATATGTTTCAGTGCTTATATCTGGCATTAGATTATTAGCTTTCTCAATAATAGTGTGAGTTGAGATTGATTCTGATGAATCAAGACAAAACTGAGTCACCGAAATTGAATTCTCTCTAGAACTGTTATCTTCAACTATTTGATCAATAAATTGATTTGCATTTCCAGCACGAGGAAGATTAGGTGCTGTATTTGTTGATAGACCCTCGTGCCGGGTAAGTCTATTTTCAGCAAGAGGAAGATTAGGCTCTGTATTTGTTGATGGATCCATGTCCCAAGTAGCTCTAGTTGAAGTTTCCATTCTACAATTAAATTTAATAGATTTTTGAAAAAAGCTTATAATCTCTTAAATAATCGTCTCATAATAAAAAATTATTGATCTTTGCATCATATGCAATTGCGAATTTAACATAAATTTTAGGAATTAAATTGAAGTGTCCTTAAATGTCTCTTGAAATTATGAAATAATAAAAATTCAATATGTTAGAACGACATGGCCATCTTCCTGGTTACACAGGTCACATTCCAAAAAATCAGCAAATTGAGGAGCCCCCTCAGCCTCAGCCTCGAAGACCTCAGCTTCCCAATTACATGGGCTTCATCCCAGGAGTCAAATCTGAAAATCTCTTCGGCAAAACCTATGGAAAAATAACCGAAATGTCTGCGCTTGGGACCTATAACAAAGGAAGAGATATCCCAGTCGAAGATAAATTCAAATCAATTACCCAAGAAAACTACGTAAACCAGCTCAGAATTTACGTCCCATTTTTACACCCTAAAGAATATCCTTTGCCACCTGAAGATCCAATCAACGAAATCCCTTCAGAAACTTTATCCAAATTTTATGGTGTAAAGCCTTCAGGAAACTTAGACGACATGGGAAGGTCACTTTCTAACTATTACGAAAGAGATGAGGGGCAAGAGCCAGAAGTTAATAGACAAGATGTGTTTGCTGCTACAAGGAATTTCTATGGAGATGAAGAACGCTATGATGGACCTACAGAGACAAAGCTAAGCTATGATGAAGCTAGAAAAATTGCTTCTCAAAAGTAAGATGATAAAGCTTAAGATAATAGATTAAATTAAAGAAAAAAATTCAAAATAAATTATTTCTCTTCATTCCTAAATAAATCTCTTGTGGCCCAATAATGTTTTGTAAATTAAATCGTTATTAAATTTAATTTTTTTGATGCACTTCTACTCCTATTTACACCTTAATTTCATATTCACCAATTCTCTCAAATTTTTTCTCTCTCAACTCAAATTGATAAAAATCATAAAAATAATCGCTAGCATACCAGTGGATGAGCCCAATAAAAAGAGACCCATCATTCCATATCCAGTAATGCTGTGCAAAACTCGTGAGTGTTGAGGCTATATATCTTTTCTTGGGATATTTTCTCTTGTAGCAATTTCCTCTGCTGAGAAATACTATTTTTGTAAAACAAATATCTGAGGAGTAAACCAGTTCCTATCTAATACGCTGAGAAAATGTCTGCTGAGAAAAAATCACGACCAAAATGCAGCTTACAAGTGTTGATTTTCCTATTTTCCTCCACACCATCTCATTCATTTCATCACTCTCCAAAATAAACCCATAATTTTCAACTATATAAGCCCTAGAGTTCGCCACAGCCAAAATCTTATGGTTATCTCCATCAACCACCGCCTCACTTAATTCCGAATAATTATTTTGCGTTAAATCATATTTATACACCTTGGTATGATAATACCCTGACACCAAAATGCACTCATTAAATTCAATACATGAGCAATTAAACGACTCCATTGGGAGTGGCGCCAATTTATTCCATTTATTTAGCGACAAATCGAATCTGTTAGCAAGCGTTGTGGACTTGCTTCCGTCAAATCCTCCGAATATATAGACAGAATTTTTATAATAAACTGCGGCTACTGAGTTGCACGGAGCCCCAGGCGGCAATGTTTTTTTGACTTTTAGCTGCTTCATGTCAATGATACAGGCAAATCCAGAAGAGGGATCGTGGTTTCCAAAGCAAAATATTTCTGAGTTCGGTAACTGTGCGGTTGAGGTATATTTGTCAAGAGGCTCTGGAGTCTGGATGAATCTTTGTCCCATGTCGCGGAGAACTGTGTCATAAAGAGTCAACCGAGTTTTATTGTCTTTGCAATCGAAGAGGTAGAGAAAATTATTGCTGAAAAGCTGAGGAGAGTTGGACTGGGAAATTGAGCTGAAACGTTGGCGACTGAAAGTAGAAGTAAGGGAGCCAGGGAAGCTGGGGAGACTTGGCCTAATAGGCTCAAGTTGAGAATGGCAGCATCCCATATTGAATATTAGGTTAAACAAGAAACATGATTTGAAGCGTTTTAATGCAACAAACACTAGGGAAATAAAAATTAAGATAAATTTTCTGATATCTCTAAATATTTATGATTCTTAAATGTAAAGTAAAAATAATTTTTTAATTATGTTTCAATAGCTGCGCTGCAAGTAACCGAATTAATAACATTTAATCTTAATCTTAATTAATATTAGAAGGCGTCTGCCGTTTTGATTACGCAGTCACCAAGGACCCCTTTGTTGGGGTTCACCTGCTTTGTGGCGTAATCCTAACAGCCATAAAGACTGCCAAGAGGACATACGTCTACTCTTCCCACAGCGTGCTGCGGCTTAAGTGTTGAGTGAGCGGGCTATGGACTTCTCCGGCTTGCTGCTTGAGTTGACGAGAGTTGGCTTTCCGAAATTCCAAAAAATGGAATTTCTGGTCACCTTTCGGCAAAAAGGGAAATTCCCAAGTCCTGGGACGTGTCGCCCAGTTTCACGCTTGGAAGTTGCCCGAATGGTCTAGGCGTTGCCTGTAGACTCTGCTGGGCTTACCCTTTCCAAACCTAGACTCCCTTTCATCTCGGGGATAAAATCCATTCTGGTCATTGGACATGGGCCAGGCTCTGCTCTGCAGAATTACTTACCGTGGCTTTGTTGCCCATTTCCTGAATGGCAAAACCTTGCCGGATATAATTAAAATATGAGTCGAGTATGTATGGCCGGGAGGCCATACCCAGACGAAGACGCCATATTTTAATTAATAACATTTACAATTTTACTTAATTTATATATAAAATCCATATTTTATGAATTGTCTATTAATAATTTACTCAATATTTATCACAGTGAAAACCTAATAATACCCTTGCTTGCAAATCAAATATTTCATTGACTTGATTTGGCTCATAATTATATGCTTATCATTTTCCTCTACCTCAAACTCTGTAAGTGTGTGTTCAAAAATGTTTGCATAACAGTCAAATTCCTTTTCAATTAGCCCCATATTTTGATGAGAGGTTCTTACTTTTCTTCGAAATTCTGGGCTCACTTGGCTGTTGAAAATGGTAAACATCCCATTTACTATCATTGTGAAATTCTCTAGCTTGGAATTTTTAAAGTATTTATTGAGGATATCGCTTGCAAGAACTTTATTATAAAGAGAAAGTATAAATTCTTTCCAAAATTCGTCTCCGCCGTATTTTTTTATCAAATTCTCTTTGCTCCCCCCTCTGTGAGCGAACAAAAAAATCTTGTTCACTCACGGAGGGAAGGTTCTTTTTTTTTAAAAAAAAATTATATATAAATTTTATAGAATTTTTTTTTATCTAAATTTAAAAAATCTAATTCGCAAAAATTGGAAAGCAAATATTAATTTAATTTATAAATTTATGTTTTAAAACGCAACTTGTTTAAAATTAAACAGAATAGCTCGAGATTTCATTATACTAATTATCACTTATATATCAAAATTTTTTTTTATAAAAAAAAAATTCTATTACAAAAATTTTTGTTCACTCAAGGAGGGTGGGTTTTTGGGCAAAAAATAGGTATTTTTCTAATGGCTTTGCTCACTCACGGAGGGGGTGGGCTTAGGGATTTTCGATAACTGGCCGCTTATTTTAATTTCATCAAAACTATATACAACTTCATTCATATGCTGCTGGGTATAATGATAAACTGATTCTTGAAATTTTGATTTGTTTTGGCTATCTGAAGCATTTCTTTTTGGGAATGGGTATTTTGATTTAGATATTAAAGGATTCATAGAAAAGCACTGAGGAGTAGAAGGCTCTTTTGGAGGTATTGGAGTGAAATTTATTTTTTGGCTTGCAATTTTGTCTACTTTTTCTGAAACTTTGGCATATCTTTCAAATAAATCTCTTTCAGAAACTTCATCTAGCTGAATAGGTTTTGGCTTTTTCTTATATAAAACTTGAATTTCATCCTGTTTCGATTCTTCTAAATCAAGAGGAGTTGTATGGATTTCCACACTTTCTTGTCTAACAACCATTTCTTCTTGAAAAGAATCATATCTTTTGATTGAGCTATTAGACAGCCTCCTTTTCAGCTTTCTTTGACTTCTTTCTCTATGAAAATTTAATTCAAAATGCCTATCAAATGTGCATTCTCTGCATTTCAATAAAATCCATTTCTTGCTCTTATCTTGGATAAAATCAAGGACAATTGCTGATATTTTAATTTCCTTGAAAACATTTTCATTCAAAAACCCAACAATTTGGGATACCATTTTATCAATATCGTTGAAATTTCCTTTTGCTTCTATTGATGTGCATTTATCAGGATTTTTTGAGTTTACCAAAAAATTTTTGGCTCTATCACTTTCCAGAATTTTCTCGAAATCATTCCAAATCCCGTTCTGTTTAATTCCAGAAATTTCTGATTGGTTTGGATTGGAATGAGATTGGTTTAAATCAAGCTTTGGGAACTTCAAATTAAGCTTAAGCTTAAAAGGGTTATTTACAGATTTAGAAGTCGTCAGCATTGATTTTGAGTACTCAAAGTGAGAAATTTCTGATATAGCTCGTGGCTTAATAAGTCCTTTTTTATTTTTTGGGATTTTCTTGTCGCTTTTTTGAGTTTTTTGAACTTTTTTCTTATTGATGATAGAAAAATATTTATTTTTCGAGCCTTCTTTCCAAATGACTCTAGTAATTGAAGGCGGGTTAGTTCGACTTTCAATAAATTGTTGTATAGATGCAGGCTCTTTTGATGAATCCCATATGCTTTTTGCTAGTTCGCTTGAAAGTAAAACAACAGTTTCTTTATTTTTTACTTTATAGCAAAACATATTATTTTCCTCTTTGGATAAATTAAAAAACTCGGCCTCTGGGCAGGCTCTTGAAACAATTTTACCATTTTTTAATGTTTGGATCAAAAAAGGTACTGGCGATTGAGAAAGGCGAATTAAGGTAGAGGGAATATTTATATTCAAATTGAGATCTGGGTGTTTAATAAACTCCTCATAAATATCTATTTTATCGTGAAGCTGGTTTTTTGGTAAAATACTGTTTAGTTTTTGTGTCCGGAGATTTTGAATATAATCTGAAGGATTTGTGATTCCTTTGAAAAGACCTTTTTTTGATGAGGTTCTAATGAGCGCTACAATATCTTCTCGAAAGTGCTTGATTTCATTTCTTTCAATAACTTTTTGGTGATATTGGTTCAAGTGCTCTAAAGTGAGAGAGATATCCATTAGTATTTATTTCTAAATAATGAGACATAAGAAGTAATAAAATTCACAATTTTATGACTGATATTAAAGTTAGACTATTCTTAGCAATTAAATTTTAGCTCCTCAATGTGATTTCGAATAAGACGTCTAAGCCTACTTAGACTTCGATATAATTTGAGATCAACAATAGAAAAAGAATTAAGCATTTATCAAAAAATTATTATATTAAATAAAATTTGAAGAAAATTGTATTGTTCTATCCCTAAAAATATTAGTCTTCTATAGCATTGAGCCATATTTGCTAGTTAAAAAAAAGACAAAATTAACTCTCTGAGAATTTATAATAGAGCGAGCAAAAGCAAATGCACCTTAGCTTTTTAAATTTTTTAAGCAAATTATCATATGAGTAATATTAAAAATAATATATATAGAAAGGAAATTTTTTTATTATATGTAGAGTGATTAATAGAAACAACAGCTAGTCTATTTTGAATCACAATAAAGCACTAAGATTAGTAAGCAGAAAATTAGAAATTTATGGTTCAATTAATATTTAGTTATTTAGCCTATTGCATTAGCTTAAAAAATATCATTCATTTCATTGATCATCAATTAATTAAACTAAATAAATTATATTCACATAGCGTATAATTTGTTAGAATTATTTGGAGAATTGGCTTGGAGAGCCCAGGAATGCATGCAAAGAGACTGTATTAAATGACGCAGACTTAGTTAGCATTGAAACGGAGCTGGACAACAGATTGCTAGCGTTCAGATGTAGATTACAGACCAAAGGGAATGCGATCATCCAGGATTTACTACAAATTAATAAACAATGATTATTACATGGGAAATGAGATGCGGAAATGTGCAAGAAAAATACGGGCTGCCTGACAATAGTATCAATGATCATTGAAGTAAGATGAAAATGAGATCTGATGCAAAAAAAATAGAAAGAATGTCAACTGAAACATGAAAACAACCGGATTATACAGGACTCTGATAGGAAGCGAACAAAAGGATGGACTACCGCTATATTTGCGGGGGACTCCAGAAATGAATAGAGCAGCCAGCATAATTTTTGGATTAAGGGCAGGCTCAAACTTTACCAATCAATGTAGATATACTAGGCACATTATCGACAGTCCTGATTCAAATTCTGCGGAAAACCGGTGGAAGACGAAGCATATGTAATTGAAGAATGTAATGCATATGAAGAAAGCAGGATAAAGATCACTGAATTTTTGAAGGGAGTATTAAAGGATGATCTCATCGCTAAAATTGACAGAGATAGTTTTATATAGCTGAAGGCTTGAACAAGCTATGAAAAAGAAATGCTGAAGTGAAATAGAAAATCCGAATAAATTTAGAGAAGAATTTGGCTCAATAAGTGAGCGTTAAACCGTAATTTATTATTATTATTTGGAGAATTTGATAGTCAAATCAGCATGCAAAAATTACTGTCCAATCAATCGATTCACCTCATAATACAAATCTGCTATTTGTGCACTCTCTAGATCATATATAGTTAAAATTAGGTAAGGATTATAACACAAATATTTTTAATTATTATAAATAGAAACCATTGAAATATCCAAGATGATCGGAACTTCCAGAACACCCAGAACTCCCAGAACTCCCAGAATTCCTAGAACTCCTAGAACTCCCAGAACTCCCAGATCTCCCAGATCTCCCAGAACTCCCAGAACTCCCAGAACCCACATATCTCCAGACAATACAATGATGATATGAGTTTTATTAATATTTCTTATAATTTTAATATGAAAACTCATTTAAGTAATAATTTTAAGTCATAAAATTAATTAAAGTCCTAAATAAAAAGACTTCTAGATATATTGTGATAAAATCATTAACTTGATTCTGTGATATATCTCTCATAAACCCTCCAAAATAGTTTCGACCGTCCTCTTCTGAACCAAATCCCAAAGAATATGATAAGACTGCACAAGAAAGCATAATAAATCCTTCAGAAACCAGGAATGGACAATGATAAAAATAACTTAATATATAGTAGGAAGCAAGCATCCCAATATGTATCAAAATTAACCCCCAAATCCCTTCTAATTCTCTCAATACAAAATTCACAACCTCCTTCTTACCTTTTCCTCTGCTAGCTTTGGCATATGAATTTTCCTCTAATTGATTTACAATCACTATGCATCACCATCCAAATATTCATAAAATTACAATTGAAAGGAAAAACGATATGATATTATCAAAGCAAATCCATAGAACATAAAATGCCAAAGCCAGTAACTCGTCGCTTAATGAGTCATAAGAATTCCTAAAAGATGAAAGAGATGTGATAAAAATCAGCCAAAATATGTCAAAAAGTCACCAAAAAGTGAGGAAAAATGAATTGTTGCTAACCTGCCAACTGCTATTTGCGTTTAAGCCAAAATATATTGCAGCTCATAAAAGTAAACAAGCAGGAACTATTAGGGTACACAAATTATTTGTTCATGAATCACGATCCAGAAATGTATACATAAATAAAATATTTCAAAAAATAATAAATAGAGAGTTCTTCAGTTTAGCATATGGATGATTTGAAGATTTTATAAATCCCAAAGCAGCTAATAATCCTGTCCAGAAATAATGAAACTTTGAGTAGTAAAATATAAATTCCCCAGTGTATGAAAGTCATCTATATAAAAAGAAATCTCCTGAAAGCAAACTTGGGAAAAGGCCAGTAATATCAATTAAATCTGAAAATTGACCTCCAGGCGCGAAATATTTAACTATCATATAATTTAGGAATAGCCAGAATATAATTGTCCGAGTTTTATAGCGAAAATAGTAAAGTGAGTTAATTCACATGCAAAAAGCACTATCACAACAGCAGAGGCAGCTGTAAAAGCAAATACACCAAAGCATATTTATTTTATTAATGATATTAAAATAAATCCTTAAAAATACTTAAATAATATCTGGCAATTTCATAAAAATCGCCTTCTTGGTTAGCAAAACATTTGTCATTGGCTGAAAATGTAATACCTTTTTATCTTTAGTTAATTTCCATATAGATAATATCAAAATTATTGATTAAAATGTTTAAAAGATATGAGTTTACTCATATTTTTCATACACTGGAATTTGATATTCCTTAATTCCTTCTTTTGCAAATTTATCTAATGAATTTGTAAATTCCTCGAAGCTTTGAGAAATAATAGTTCTTTTTTCACGAAATTTAAATTTTTTCATTTGCTTTGTTTTTGAGCTGAAGTCTACAACTATAGCCCGAGCCTCTTTTTGACTCGGGTTGTACCAGAGACTTGTAAAAAAAAGTATTTGCTAATAAAAAATTTCCCTGGATGAACAAATCTCTAGAAGAAAATGGATTTGCCACCAGGGGGGTTGTTTTGCCAACAAATTTTAGTTTCCCGACGTTGGGAGACGTCGACACAGAAGGCTCGGGCATAAATTTTCCATTTTTTTCAAAAAGTTTTCTTTCCTTCTAAATTCTTTACATATTTTCCCCTTAAATAGACCGCATTTCTTATTAACTATTATCTTATTGATCCTGCCGGCCAATTAATCCTAAAAGCTATATCAATTTGTGCAAATTTTTCTGCAGTTAGCCCTTGTGATTTTTTCAAAATGATACGGGATTTGCATATCTTATGATTAGGCACTCTAAATAGATCTCACGATAATTTATGTTGGTTGCAAGATGACAGATAAGACATATTCGGCATGCAGCTATTTTCCTGTAGTCGTTTCGGACTTTTATTTCATGTAACATCAAACTCATCTATAATCTGCGTAATTGTCCTTTGTTCTTTTCTGTCCACAAGTAATTTTCTTTCAGGCTTTATACTAACCTGTTCGTCAAGCTCAGTCTTCTTTTGAATAGTACTCCTATTAAGGAGAAATGGGCTTTTGTTTCTTGACTGGAAAAAATTATTTACCGGTGTCAGTGAAACTTTTTGAGGCAAAATCGACGATGAAATCGTCGATAAATGGGGTGTTTGTCTTCTTTCAAAAGGATTGGAGATTTCTCTTGAATTTCCTGTGGATATATCTGCAAGTTTTAAAAATTTTCCTTTATCTAGTTTGTCGCTTAGCCTTTTGATTTTTTTTTCAACATTAGCTGGGCCTGAAGCTCTAATCGACTGCACACTGTTGGAGTATTTTAACTCTCGTGAGAGTTTTTCGTTGTTATAAAACATCAAAATTTTTTTAATTAAACTATGCCCTTATTATTTGCTGAAGCTTTTATGTCAGTGTATTTAAAATAATTTTGCTATTATTTTGATATTGCTTCATTTTTCCAATATTTAAATGTCTGTGAAACTGACAGCCCAAGAAGAAAGCGACGTAAAAGACGTTATTTTAATCTACGGAAACACAGCTGCTCAAACAATACCTACCAATATGCTAGGCCCCAGTCTTCGTGCTCTCAAGCTAAACCCTTTAGAAAGCGAAATCGTGGATTTCATAACAGAGTTTGACAGAGATGGCTCAGGAACTCTGACATATGACCAATTCGTTAAAATTTATTCACGCAAAAAGGTGGATTCTGATACTTTAGATGAACTTTTAGCTGCTTTTAGACTACTTGATAGAGAAGGTGAAGGAAACATCCCAGTCCCTGAATTTCGATACTATATATGCAGGATGGGAGAAAGGATGAATGAAGCAGATTGTGACGAAATGGTAAAAGCCGCTGACCCAGAAAACAGTGGAAAAGTTAATATAGAAAAATTTGCAAAGTTTTTGCTTGGGATTAAAGACGAAAATAAATAACTATTTAGATAATAATGGAAAGTGAATCAGTACCTAAAAGTTTTGTGAGGGAATTTCTGAGGGCGACGAGAATGGAATGTTTGGAAAGCAACTTAAATTTGGAGCTGATAGGGAAAATGAATGATATTGCCAATGGGAAATATAAAGGATTAATTGAAGATGTAGAGAATATCGAAGAGAATTTGAAAAGTGTGATTAATGAGTATCAGCTATCAGAGGAGGTTGTAAAAGAGATAGAGGGGTTAAAAGATGTTTTAGATCAGCTGGAAAGCTCAGTTGATTTTTTGGAAGAAATGACAACTAGGATTGAAACAAAAGTAAAAACATTAGCATAGTCGTAAATAAAATTTGAAAAAATATATATTGAGGCTTAATTTAATGAACAAATTTACTGTATTAATGAGATAACACTTTTCTGTTATTCATTTAATTATGCAAGAAAAAATTATTTTATATAAAATCCTATCTAATCTTTTTTAATATATTAGCATAAAATGCATCTTAAAACATTCATAAGTATAAATATTTATATTCAATATAATTTACTAATATAGATTTGATTGCTTCTGAAAAAATGGATGCTTCACAAGGTGAATTTTCTTAACAAGGAAACTGCCATACTAAGAAAGTTTAAGAATAATTTGCATTTTAAGATAAATCTATTAAAATAACGCTTAATTTTTATTATATTTGGCTCATCCTATCTTTTTTGAAAAATTCTGACCAACTAATTGTTTAACCTATAAAAAATATTTATAAAAATTCCTTTAGTTCGAGGTCTTTTTTTATTGTGCGTCAGGTCCTAAATATCTTTTTAATATTTAATTTCCCTAATAATTCCCTCCAACTATTCCATTTATCAGTCTATGTAACAGTTTATAATTAATGGCAAACATTATCCGAATTCCTCCTCACCATTTCATCCATGTCCTTGACACTAACTCTAACGTCACGCGTCTTGATGTTGGTCCTAAGATTTTTATCAAACAAGACCACGAAAAGGTAGTCACTGGCAAAGACCCAGTTCCAATGACTTCAATTCCTCCGAGATCTTTTGCAGTAATAAACAACCCTGTCATCAGAAATCCAGATAAATCACTGAGCATTGATAAGTACGGACAAGTGAATGTTCGCCATGGAGATCAAGAAATCAGATTCCATGAGGATTATCCAGATCCATTCCCTCTATACCCTCGTGAAGAAATCATTGGAAGGGTCACTGCGCTTCGTGTTGTAGCTCCTGATACAGCTCTTTTAATAGAATCTGAAAGAGCTTTCACAGATGAAGAAGAAAATAAAAGGCAGCCAGGTGATTTGTGGTACTTCAAAGGTCCAGGGACTTATTATCCAAGAATCGAAGAAAGAGTAGTAAGAGAAGTTGAAGCCAAAAAAATCAAAGTAAATCAAGCCTTAAAGCTCAGAGCTCAAAGAGAATTGACTGATATCGAAGGAAATATCAGAAAAGCAGGTGAAGATTGGCTTATCAGAACACCTGGTGCTTACCTACCAGGAGTTTATGAAACTGTCATCGAAACTCTTGAAGCCAAAATTCTTACTGACTATAAAGCTATAGCTGTTAGAGCCACTAGAGCATTTATTGATGTTTATGGAATTAAAAGAAAAGCAGGAGAAGAATGGCTTGTGACTTCAGAAATGAGCCCACTTCATATAATTGACGTTTATGAAGAATTCATTGGAGATGTGAAAATTTATGCCCAAAATAATTGAAAATTTTTACATTTAAAATATTTTTGTAGTATAAATAAAAAGTACCTTAAAAGGTATACAGTTCTGGATAAAAATCAATACTGCGTTGTCTTAGATCCTTTTGATAAAGAACTTGGGACAAATCGCTATGGTTTCAAAGAACAACGCTGGGGTGAAAGAAGCTTTTTCTTAATTCCTGGTGAAAGTTTAGAAGGCGGAATTAAAAATAAATACATCTTAGCTGACGATGAAGCTTTACTGTTGAGAGCGAAAGAAGGACTTCACAGTGAAGGAGAAGACAGAAAACCTGGAGACAGATGGATGATTTATGGGCCTTGCTCATATATGCCACCTACTCAGGTAGAAATTTTGGAAGTAAGAAAAGCAATACCTTTGCATATTAATGAAGGAATTTATGTCAGAGACATCAAATCCGGACAGGTGAGATCAGAAATTGGTAAGAGCTACATGCTTAAGCCTCATGAAGAACTATGGGAGATGGAACTCAGTGACGTCGTTGAAGAACTTCTAAGCCAACAAGGCCAAGCTAGAACGAATAAAACTAGAGTTGTCACTTATAAATGCCCTGCAAACTCTATTGTCCAAGTCTACGATTACAAGTCAAAGGTATCTCGCACAGTGCTAGGACCAAACCTTGTCATGCTTTCTCCAGATGAACAGTTTACAGTCAACATCTTGTCAGGTGGTAAGCCAAAACGTGTCGGCGTAATTAAAACTCTGCATTTAATGCTCGGCCCTGATTTCAGTACTGACATCATAGAAGTCGATACATCAGATCATTGTCGTCTCCGCCTGCAGCTTTCTTATAACTGGAAATTCAACATCGACAAAAGTGATGAGGAAACTCACAAGCAAGTCTTCAAGGTCCGTGACTTCGTCGGAAACCTCTGCAATTTCATGGCTTCCAGAGTAAGAGGAGCAGTTGCTGGGGCATCTTTTGACCAATTCCATAGAGAATCTGCAAGAATTATCAGAAAATCTGTATTTGGACTTGATGAGTCAGGACATGTTAATGACGATTTCAAATTCGATGAAAATAATTTGGTCTTGACTAATGTGGATATTCAGTCTGTAGAGCCTGTCGATCGTCAAACTAAGGAAAGACTACAAGAGTCTGTTACCATGGCTATTGAAATTACAACTCAAACTGAAGAAGCTAAGGCTAGACATGCATCAGAAAGGCAAGCTCAAGAAGCTGAAGGACAGCTGGAGAAGCTGAGAATTGAAGGCCAGTTGAAGGTAGAAGCCGAGAACAATAAACTATATTTACTGAAAAGCCAAACTGAAAATGTGGAAAGCGAAGGTATTGCTACTGCAACAGCCAAGGCTATGACTGAAAAGAATAGAATTGAAGCTCAAAGCAAAAAAGATGCAGCTGAGCTGAACTCACGCGCAGAAAAATTAAAGAGAGAAAACGAAATCAACCATACCAAAGAAAAGCAAAGTCTTGAAATTGAATATCAAAGGAAAATCGATGACCTTGAAATCACTAAAGCAAGAAGACTAGCAGAGATTGAGAGCGAAAAATTCAAAGGTATCATTAGAAGCATTGGAAGTGATACACTGGTCGCCATTTCTGAAGCGGTTCCTTCACACGAGGTCTACTCCATAAAGACTATTTTTTTTTGGCCTATTTTTTTTGGCCTAATTTTTTTTTGGCCTATTTTTTTTGGCCTATTTTTTTTTGGCCTATTTTTTTTTTGGCCTATTTTTTTTTGGACTATTTTTTTTTGCCTATTTTTTTTTGGCCTATTTTTTTTGACTTTTTTTTGACTTTTTTTTGGCATTTTTTAGCTATTTTTTTACTAATATTTGGGCCTAATTTCATACTAATGATTTTAATATAATTTTTACTGCATTTTAAACGATTTTATCAACATAAAATACACCTTTAAACAGATCTCTTACTCCATGAATGCTAATTCATTGCTTTTTAAATTTCGAGAATTTTAAATTTAATTAGGATTTTTCCACTTAATTTACTCAATATTAATCGTGTAAGGAAAATACATCCGTTACCCAATAATTATTTAGTCTCTCAGCAGCTTCATGAATTATCCTCGACAGAAAAAATAGGCCAAAAAAAATAGGCCAAAAAAAAATAGGCCAAAAAAAAATAGGCCAAAAAAAAATAGTCGTTATGGAGTAGACCTCGTGTGAAGACACGTTCTGAAGCTGGACCAAAGATGCAGGCAGAGTTATTGGGAGGATTGGGACTTACTGGATACATGCTGTGTGATACTGAAAATCCAATTAATCTTTTCAACACTGCTCAAGGAATGCTTGGAGCTGCCGCTAATCAGCAGCCAAATAATTAATCTCTTAATGGGAATTGAATTAAGTGGGTAGTAGATAAAATAATTAATAAATGGATTGAGCTAAAATTTATAATTAAAATTCATATTTTATATAGTGGAATTAATGAAATCAGAAAGAGTAATGCCTTTGCCTGATACTTTTGAAGTTATAAAATCAGAAGAAAACTCTAATATTTTAGATGAGAATATTTGGACTCAAGCTGAAAAAAATGAGAGCGAGACTGATAATTTCGAGTGCACTGAAGAAATGAAAACAGAAATTGAATATATTTTCCATCAGGCATTTATAGCTTTGGTAATTCATTTTTTACATACTTTTTTGGGTCCAATTTCAATCCCCTTTTTATGGCTAGTTTGTGGAAAAAACTTGTGCACAAACATGGGTTTCAACTGGCACCAGTTTTATATATATGAACTTATACCCTGGACTTGGATTCCCTTAACAATATTATATTATTTCTTATCATACACAGAATTTAGCAACTCTTCTAGCATAATTTTGGCGACTTCTTCAGCCATTTTTATAAAAGAACTGCTTATATCAATTAATAAATAAAATGGCATTTGGTTCGAGCGAAATTGGCTTCGATAATTTTCTCTCCCTCATGGAATTTTTATTTATGGGGTTAGATTTTCTATTGAGAACTTCTGCACAGTAATAGTGGTTTAACTCTGGGAATATCCAGAGACACTGCTCCTCAGTGCACCAAGAGCCTCAGGGTTTTACCTCTCAGCACATCTCCACGGGAAGATGGCCATTAGGCGGAGCACGCGCAGGAGCTGATTCAGGGCAAGGCAAGGCAACAAAAACGCGCCGGGTGAGACGTGCGGCGAAGACTGGCGACGAAGCTTTGATAGAAGGTTTGGGCGGTGGGCTGACCACCGTGAATCCAAGATGAATCGGTGGCGTCATTAGTTTAGCTATATCTCATTTATATATGTGCGACATTAGACACCTTAAACACCAGATATTAAGTAAGTAAATAAATAAATCAGTAAGTAAGTAAGTAAGCTAATATATCATTAAGTATGGCTACTACACAGAAGAATTTTGGAACTATATGAAATCAGAAAAAATTCCAGCCAAAATGTTGGTTGATCAATTAATAGTGTCATCATGGCAGATTATTCCTCCTGATATAGCTCGTCAAGAGCTATTGAAAAGTTTCAAAAGGCTCAATAGAGACCCTAGTCAGCTTTGCATGGCTTTTAAATCGGAGCTGCCTGAAAAAATAAAGGAGATGATTGAGAAAACCAAAGATTTGTACAATATAAAGAATAGTCGCGTAAAAGTTTTGCATCATAGAAAATCAAAAGACTGTGTTCCATCAATCATTTTTAGTAAAATTTTAATTGATTTAGCAGTCAAGTTTTCAATGTCTAAATTAGAGTCGAGAATTCTTGATGTTTTTGCTCTGAGTTTTGCACTAGCTCCTATAATTTCTTTTGTCATTAATTATGGATGGGATTTTGGAGCTCTTGGAGTTATTTATTGGCTTTATTCTTTTCTAATTTGTATCGTAATTGCAAGGAGATATCTTTTATATGTATATGTTGGAATTGTTGATATGAAAAGACGGAAATTTTTAATGAAGCGATGCAGCTCATTAATTAGCATTAAGGAAAGGGACAAAAGTTTACCAGAAGAATATTGGTATCCAAGTTTAGATTTTTACGATTTAAAAAGTATAGATTCATGGTATAATATGAGAGCAGCTTTTCTGGATTTTGGAAGGCAATACACATATCGAACAGTCATATATGCTTCATCAATTCTCCCTATATGCATTTTGATTATTTTTTCATTGATTCTTGAAATGTTTGAAATTATATCAATAATAAGCATTCCTGCTACAATTGCAGTAATTTATTTGGCTTTTATTAGTTTGATTGGAATTGCATATATGACTATTATAGGTTCACAAATAAATGATATGTTTGATGTCCATCGAGATTTGATTACCACACTAAGCAATGATGTTTTGCATATCAGCAAAAATAGTCAGTCTAATAATAATGCAATTTATCAATCCTTGTGCTCAATTGATAGTAAGCTGCAGCATGATGAAATTCTAAGACCTATCAAAATTATGGGTCTCAAGGCAAATTCGAAATTTATTGCTAATTTAGGAGCACTCATCGTAAGTGGCTTGGCTTCATTATGGCAGATTGGATATGCTCGCGGTACCAATTTGTAAGGAAAATAATATTTTATGTATAATCTTTTAATGCTTGAAAAAAATTATATTTTTATTATCATATATTTGTGTAGCTAAAATTCAGAAATTGGAGTAAAAAATATAAAAAATGTTTGTAAGCCCATCTTCTTCTGTATTGCCAGAACCTTTTGAAGCCTTCAAAATAGAAGAAAAACCTATTGAAAATGTTAACTATCTTGATGAAACTCGATGGCAAGATTTAAACAATTATGAAACCTTTGCAACAAAAAACGAGCCTGATGAAGAAATGAAGGTAGAAGTCCATTATATATTCCATCACGCCATAATTGCTTTAGCAATCCATTTGATCCACGTTGCATTTGGTCCTGCGTCTCTTCCTGTTTTATGATTTTTCTTTGGAAACAACTTATGTACAAATATGGGCTTCAACTGGCACCCATTTTACATATTTGAATTTGTCTCATGGTTTTGAGTACTCCTTACGGTAATTTATTTTATTTTATTCCCAGAACAGTTTAGCTCTACATCAAGTCTCATTATATCAACATCAACCATAATCACACTACGGCTATTATTAGTTTCGATAAAATATGGATACTATACTGAGAAAAATTGAAAAATGATGAGAAATGAAAAAATTGATATAAAATCTTTGACAAAATACTTATTAATTGCATCATGGTTAACAATTCCTACTGATTTAATTATTGAAGAACATTTAAAGAGCTACAAACGATTGAATAGGTTTCCAAATTCATTATTTTTAAAATTTGAAAGTGGATTACCGATGAAAATAAAAGAAAGAATTAATAAAAATGAGGAGAGTGAGGATCATTGTCTTAAGTTTAATAAAAAAGAAACTAATTGTATTTCCACAATAGCTTTGACTGAGATTTTGATAGAATTATCAAATAATAGAGCAATATCAAAAATTGAGATGCGAATAATTGATGTTTTTGCTGGGCTTTATACTTTTTTCCCTATAGTTCTCAGTCTATTTTCAATTCAATTTGATAATTCATTGGAAGGGATTTTCGGCGTTGCCTATGCTGTATTTTCAATGATAATTTCATTTATTTTTACAAATAGATTCCTTCTATATATTTAGCTTTTTTTAAAATAATGAGATCTATTTCCCGCATCTCTGAGGGCCGAAAGTTGGCTTTAGTTCTGGGCGTTTGGAATCGTTTTCGGTAGAAGTTTTTCAGTTTGGGGAGAAAATTTTGAGCGATAAATTGTATCCTTAGCGGTAGCAGGGATTAAAGAGTCCTTTGACGTAATGATACTAGTCGCCGTTAGACTGTAGACTTTACCAATTTTTGGGGCATTGACAGAAAAAGAGAGTATTAGATATATTAGTGTTTAAGACCTCTTTGAATCTCAAAGCCAAAAAACCGATAGAGACTCGAATGATCCTTCTACTCTTACTTAATATAATCTAACTATATATTTATGTAGGAATTGTTGATATGAAAAGGCGAAAATTTTTAATGAAGCAATGTGCAGCGTTAATTTCATGCCAAGAACTTGATAGGTCATTTCCTAAAGAATATCGACTCCCTTCATTGGATTTTACTGACTTAAGAACTATTGATTCCTGATATATCTAGCCACCTAAATAATCTAAAATTATAATAAAAGAAAATGACTAGACATTATAGCATTAATAAACATGAAAAGGCTTATAATATGAGAGCTGCATGCCTGGACTTTGGGAGAACTTACACACATCGAACCTTTGTTTACTCCTCTTTAGTTCTCCCTTTATGCATTTTTATAATTCTTGGAATTATTTTGCAGTTTTTTGGAGCTGTGAATTTTTCTGTAATAATCAGCAAAGCAGCATTGGCTTCAATAATTTTTTTGAGCTTTATAAGTTTGAGTGAAATACTTTATATCATTATTGTTGGGTCACAAGTAAACGATTCTTTTGATTTGCATAAAGATTTAATTGTCACTTTGAGCAATGATATTTTGCATTTAAGAGAAAATACAGATGCAAAGAATAGCATTTTATATCAAGCGCTTATGTCGGTGTATTATAAGCTTGAACAAGATGATAGGGTTAGACCTGTAAGAATTATGGGATTCAAAGCAAATTCTGGATTTATGTTAAATTTGGGTGCGTTGTTTTGAAGCGGGGTGCTGTCGTTAGTGCAATTTGTGTATACGTCTGATAATTTGTTTTGTTTAAATAATTAGAAAAGTTTTCTATTTTGTTTAGCAGCTTCCATTTTACATTGCACTTTATCTTAATATCATAAAAAAAGTTAAACGAAAAGTTTGCATTCTATTATGGTAAATCTTATTTAAATAAATTAAGAGCTTCCATCTAAAAAGTATATTAAGTGTGATGTCTGAATCTAATAAAAAGCTGCGCACATTATTGCTAAAACGCTAGCCAACTCAATCAAATCCAGCACATATTTTCTTTTTGCATCTCCAATTGCCCATATACGCTCATAATTTTTATTCTCAATATGATTTTTGCATCGTGCTCATAAGTAAACAGCCCACATCTCAGTTACCTTCAATTTTACTATTTCTTCTCTTCAATAATCATCACTTTTTCCTAAAAATAACCAACAACTTAAATCTAAATATTTTCCCCTCAAAGTTCATTGTTGAATAAATATGTTCTGGGTCACCACTTTATCCCTATTTCTAATTGGCACCTTACCCTTCCCCTATGAGACAATTGTGAAGTGCATATTTTTTGGAAATTAGCCGCTCTTTGAGAGAGCAAGTATCTTTTTATACAAAAATATTTTATATATAATTAATGATTTTATGCATAATTAATGATGATTCTAATAAGATCTTAAAGTTTATTCTATTAATTTAAATAATTTGTATTTGAAGCATATTTAATTAGATTTTCTTTTTAATTCTTTAAAATTAGATTCTTAAAAATACCAAAAAAAAGAAATTTTTTTTTCAACACCAACTTTTAAGCTAAATATTTTGCTCTTTTAGGGAGAGGAAGCTAGGAAGAATAATTCCTCACATCGAATATAGTCCTCTCCAGTACACCCCTCAAGGCTATACAGTGGCTAATTTCACCACTTACGTTGATCATTACACCACGATGCCAAATACTTTCAACATGAGGTACTTTACCAAGACCCTCTATTACCTCAATGGAGGCAGCAAAGGACCAATTTTCTTCTATACAGGGAATGAAGCTCCAGTCGAAAGCTTTATGAACAATACAGGCTTTATTGATTACTTGGCTCAGTCACTAAATGCACTAGTTGTGTATGCAGAGCATAGATATTTCGGCCAATCTCTACCATTTGGAGGCAAATCTTTCCAGAGTCCAAGCTACTAACCCCCCCTCCGTGAAAGAATAAAATCATTAGAAAAATCCCTATTTTTGCCCAAAAACCCACCCTCCGTAAGTGAACAAAAAAAAATTTTTGATGTAAAAATTTTTGTTTAAAAAAAATTATAAGTGATTCTTAGTATAATGAAATCTCGAGCTAATTCTGCGAATTTTTAAAATTGCATTTTAAAACATAAAAATTTTACAATTAATTAATTTTTGCTTCTCAATTTTACTAAGTATCTTTCACCGCATCAAGCATTGGCTGATTATGCTTATTTGATAACTTATTTAAAGACTAAATATATCCTGGGGCACAATGAATTCTTGATATAATAAACATATTTTGAGGAAGAGGAATATCAGAGAATTGGGGTATAATAACGCCCCAGTTATTGTATTTGGTGGAAGCTATGGAGGAATGCTTTCAGCATGGATGAGAATCAAATATCCAGACCTAGTTTTAGGTGCAATTGCAGCATCTGCTCCTATTATGGCTTTTAATGGAACTGCAGACCCAAATGGCTTCAACGCAATTATTACTCGAGATTACTCAATAGCAGATACAGAAAAAGGAGCTTCAGAATGCACAGCTTATGTGGCCACAGCATTTGATTATCTATATCAAGTCCAAGGAGACTTGACAACTTACTATAATTTATGCTATATTAGTAGAATAATGAATTAATATTTAGAGCCAAGCGCTATTTTTTACTATCAAAATCTTTATCCCCTATTTATTTCTTCGTATTTGTCTCAATTAATTATATATCAATGACCTTCCAAACCTGTGATGCTTTAATCACCAAAGGCGATGTTGATGAACTAATTGGCTACATACAAAGTGCCTTCACTTACATGGCAATGACTGACTACCCATATGCCACAAACTTTTTGAATCCTATGCCTGGCCACCCAGTCAATGTATCTTGCCAAGCTTACGCTGATGTCAACATATCAGACACATGGGAAGTGTTGCAAGCTACCTTCAAAGCTATAGGCATATATTGCCTGAGCACTGGTTTGGCTATGGTTGTGCCTGATTAATTCTGACTATATAAGGGATTAGGATTATTAAAAGTCAGGCGTTAGCCATAGTGTACAGAAGGTTCTACCACTTTTCGACTCCAGCCCAGAGTGTCTGTGCCACTTCCGATACCTTCCATCTCATCCTTGTCTTAAGGCTTCGGTCTTGAGTGGGCTTATGGATTTCTGCGGCCCTGCTACAAGCGATTGGAGTAGTTTGATTCCATGGATCATTTGGAGTCTGTCGGGTCCCGAAGTGCTTTCGACAGCTAGAGAAAAAAAGACCAATACCCTATGGCCTGGGCGGAAACCCTCACTTTCTCTGTAAACTGGGTTTTTTTGGCTAAAAATAAGGATATTTCTAATGGTTTTGTTCGCTCAAGGAGGGGGGAGTAAGATAGATAAAGAGTTAATATACCTGAAAATTTTGCTTGCTGTTTGAAAGCAGCAAAGCAACTCTCTGCTTTGGTTAGCAAATATCAAAGTCCAGCCAAATCAGCACTAAGGCTATACTACAACTATACAGGCACATCTACATGCAATGACATTTTCGGCACTCAAACAGGCAATTTAGGCAGTGCTAATGGATGGGATTATTTATCATGCAGCACTTTAAATATCCCTATTGGCGGAATTAAACAAACCTCAATGTTCGGAAACCAGCCTTGGAACCAGCAAGCTGAAAACCAATATTGCCAGCAGACTTGGGGAGTCACTCCTCAGATAAACTACGCCAATATTTTTTATGGAACCAACGTAAACCCTATGATCCCATTGAGAGATGTATCAAATATTGTATTCAGCAATGGAGGACTAGATCCATGGCAGTTTGGAAGTGTGACTAAATCAAATAACCCTAATATTATTGCCTTTGTGATGGAAGGAGCAGCTCATCATTTAGATTTGAGATACCCAAATCCTCTTGATCCTCCAGAAGTATCAGCAGGAAGAGTGACTGAACAGTCGGCTATAGAATATTGGCTTGGGATTAACCAAAACTAAACTAATTCTTAGATATTCTTAATTCGGATTATTATAAATAACATGAAAAGTTTTAATAGGCAGCCTTCTATAGAAGTTGTGAAGCTGGATTTGTCAGCTGAGACCATAAGAACAACTGACGAGTTTTCAATGCAAATTGAAAAAATTGACACTAAAACGACGATGCACGAAGATTTTGATATAAATTTGGAGATTACTTATAAGTACAGTTATGCTGTTATAGCTACTCTAATTCATTTTATTCATTTAGTATTCGGGCCTATTTCTTTACCGATTTTATGGATGATTTTTGGGAGGAATTTAAGCAGGAATATGGGGTTTTATTGGCATAGATTTTACTATATGGAATTTTATCCATGATCTTGGACTTTATTTACATTGATATTTTATATATATTACAAAGATGAATTTCAAAACTTTTTAAGTTTGACCTTTGCAACAGTTACCATCATGTGTGTGAAAACATTTATGGTTTCAGTAAAATATGGATTTTATACTGAAGAACTGTGAAATCGTATGAATACTGAAATAGTTGATACACAGATACTGAAAATCCAATTAATTCTTAATGCGTGACTCAAAATCCCCAATGACGTGATTTGGGAGGAATTAGCAGCAAGTATTGCCCGGCAAAATAGGTTAATTGATAAATTATGCTTGATTTTTGAAAATGAGATTCATGAGGAGTTAAAAAATAAATTTACAAATAATAGAAAAAATTCACAAAAAGAGCATGAAAGCGTTCCACACTATTGTAGAAATAAAATCTGTATACCAACAATAGAGCTTGCTAAATTTATCATACAAGATGTAGCAGAAAATATAAAACCTAAAATATTAATTGTGACATTAATTTCAATACAATTTTCCTTATCTCCATTGATTTCGATTTTATATCAAAATAGACATATAAATTTTGGACCAATCCAAATTTTTTATTCAGCATACTCAATCATAGCTTGTTTTATACTGTCTCATCTTTTTCTGCTATATGTCTATATTGGAATAATTGACCTGCAGAGAAAAAAATCATTAATGAATCAATGCAGTGCTTTAATTTCTACTAAAAACTACCAAAATTCCCTTCTCCAAAAATATCATATACCTAAGCTTGACTTTCTAGACAAGAGAACTGTAGATTCATGGTACATTATGAGGTCTTCATTTTTAGACTTCGGTCGAAAATTTACTTATAGAATCCTTGTTTATGCTTCTTTAGCAATTCCTCTCTGCTTTTTTATGCTTGCAATCTTAATTCTCCAAGCATTTTTAAGTTTTCATATTATAAGCATATCAATTATGATTGGTGCTAAGGATCCCCCCCTCATTTGTCCAATTTTCTAGTCTTTTATCATTTGCCCATTTTTCTAGTTTTTTAATAGGAAAAAAAAATTTTTTTAGGACCTCATTTGTCCAATTTTCTAGTCAAAATTTTGATAGAAAAAAAAAAAAATTTCGGTACCTCAATCATTTTCTAGTTTTTTTAAAGTAAAATCTAAAATTTAGGATATTCGAAAAAATCCAAAAAAGACTAGAAAATGGGACAAATCATTTTTGACTAGATTTTGGACAAATGAGGTTGTTTTTCTTAGAAAATTGGACGAATGAGGGGGATCCTTATATATCTTGCATTTGCATCTCTTTTTATGATTCTTTATATAATTTTTATTGGAGCTCAAATAAATCGATCATTTTCTATACATGAAGACAGCATTCTGACAATCATTAATGATAATTTCCATTTAAAGAATTGTGATAAAATATACGAAAAATCAGCTTTTAAAGCTCTTAAATTGGTTAAAGAAAAAGTGAGGCAAGACTAAATATTGAGACCTGTAATGATAATGGGCTTGAAAGCTGATATGTCATTAATTTGAAAATTTCTAGCAATTGTATTAAGTGGGATTTTATCTCTATTCCAAAATCAATTGTCAGCTATATTTACGTCAAATTAAAATCTTAAGTTGATATTGCTTTTAACTTTTTAATTCAAAGTGAATTTCTGATTGTTTTCTAATTTTATTATATTTAAATGGGCATAAGCTGCTACAATTAATATTTAGATCAGTAAATTACAGCGTAAAGATGCATAAATATTTTATTTTATAAAAAGCTCAATATTTGGAGTTTAAATATTCTCAATTAAATTATTTATTTTATATAAAATTTAGACTCAAAAGACTTATATTTTTAGATTTTATTGCTCAAGCAACAAAATGATATTATTACTGTAAATTACTAGAAGCAATTAAATTATTAACGTTTTAAAATATATCTACGAAAATCTGTTAAATCATAGTATATCTTTATCTTTAGGACCTCTCAATTATAGTAAACTTTTTAATTTAAAACTAATTAGTACCATATCCTATTAGTCTTGAAGAAGCATAAATTATTTAATTTTTACATGTTTTGTTCGTTTTGGAACCAATTTTCTTAACTTTCAATCATCAAAAGATGGAAGGGAACAACAAATTTGAAGAAGACAAAACAATGCTTTTTCCTCAAGAACTAATAATGAAAATTCAGGTTGAGCGTCAAGAAAAGCCACTCAAGGAGCAAAAAGCCCTCATGGAAGAATCACGCAAAGCAGAATCACATCTTTTGAACAAATTAGTTTTTGCGGACACTTTTACTAGAGAAAATACTGAATACGACAATTGGGAGTTCGCCAATTTCTATCCAGGCGGCATTGGAACAGAAAATAACACCGAAATCCGCGGCAACTGGATGCCAGCTAATTTTCAGCCAGTTCTCCATGGACTTCAGCTGAGATCTTTAATTTTGAAGTCAAAACCAACATTAGCGCTAAAGAGCCTTGCATGCGAAATTAAGCTGGCATTCAGGCTCATTGGAGATTCCACTCTTTGCATAATTACACGAGGAGTGGGAGTTAAAGACCCAGATGCAGCTGTATGCAAAATAAAAAAAGAGCAGGACTCTCAAAGAGTATTTTTGATTTTTGGAGGAAACGTAGGGATGAATAATGAGTTCAAATTTTTCAAAAAACAAGAATTTCCTGAAATCACAGACATGGCCGAAGAAGCAGTTGTTCAAGATTTTGTGGATATGAAAATGACTTTAATTGATAATGGCGATGACAGAATTTTTGTGAGTGCAGCAATTTCAAATAAAAGAGTAGTGAGCATGTCGTGCAATAAATTCATCCCAACTTTGAGGGAAACTTCACTAATGCTAGCTGGATCGGGGGATTCAGTTTTACTAAAAAATATATCAGCAAGGCAGATCGATAGGGTAGACACTGTTCTAAAGCCAACAAACCATTATGAGTGCTGCACTATTTTATAATTGGCTTTTCTTCAACTTTTATTGAATAAGTAACTCAAAAATTAAACTCAGCTATTTAATTGTGATATAAGAATAATTCTTGGATTATTAAATTTCTCTTACCTTTATCTTAATAACCAATAAGGGATCATTTTATCCCGAGTTCATATTTAGCTTATAGTTTAAATATCATTAAATTAGAATTATCACGCTTAACCTCCACCACGGAGGTCAGCAAGAACCGGACCTATCACCTTCTCTTCCACCTGCCAGGCCCACAGGCCGCCTGTCCAGCCTGCTTTGTTCGCTAATACAGGCTTGGAGGGGTGTTACTGACTTCGACGACTCATGAGTGAGTTACGGGCCACGCCATACGTAGTTGCCATTCCGAAAACCCAAAAAATGGATTTTCTCTGGTAGGCTATCGGCAAAAAGGGAAAACAAGCACCCCGGGACGTAACGCCCGGTTTCACGCTAGGGAGTTGCCCGATGGGTCGTGTGGACTCTGCTGGGCTTCCCCTTTCCAACTACTCGTCACCTTTTACCTACGAGGTAAAATCCACCCCGAAGACGAGCTTGGGCTAGGCTCTGTACACAACTAGAATTGCTTACCTAGCATTGCCGCTCACTTCAGAATGGCAAAACCTTGCCGGATATAATTAAAATATAAGTCGAGTATGCATGGCCGGGAGGCCATGCCCAGACGAAGACGCCATATTTTAATTATCATAGTTTAAATATCACTAAGGCCATTTATTCAAGTTTCACCAATTCCAACCAAATATAATGATTATTTGGCAAAAATTGCAAATATTCTTCGTCTTATCCCATATAATAACTTGTTCTGCAACCAATGACCAATTTTTGATCAGTGCTGGTTCTTCTAATTCAGAGTTGAAACGCAACTCAATCAATGAAAGACCGGATTTAGTCTTAGAGTTTATGGAGGAGAACGGAATCAAAATTTGACACCTCATATTGGCATTGATAGGTATTATAGTAATCGGGTTTTTATTATGCTACCCATGTATACATTTTTTGAAGCTCCACAGACAAAACCATTCTCAGCATCTTTCAGAACCGCTTTTATCTGGCAAGAAGCTTGAAGAGTCCTTTGAAGTAAGAATTGAGGGGCCTGAAATAAATCAAAACAATCAAATCAAGATTGATTTACCGATGTTCCGGCATGCTTTTTGCCGTCCTAGCACAATTGCAGGGAGAATTGCATCGGTATAGTTTATAAATGTGCTAACTAAATTAGATTCATTTTCGTAAATATTAGATGCTTGGGAGAGCTCATGAAGAGGTTCATTTTTCTGGGATGTGGCTATTTTATGTATAAGGAGAAAATTTTAATTTTTTTAATGGAAACTAATATCTTTAGCCTATCTAATAAAATTAAAGAGTAGGCAAATGATAGATTTTATAAGAAATTGTATATTTAATGTGGCTAATTAATGGAACGTTTACGTTCATCTATTTCTGAAACAACCTGGAAATAGTCAAGAAGAGCTTCTTGGATATAGCTGCTATGAATCAGTCGATCAAATATGACTTCTCTTTTGCATACTTCAGAGCATACGTATCCGCTACCCTCTCTGATCATTGAGTTGGTTCGTATAAAAGCTGGATCTAAAGGTATAAAATTATGGATGGTGCCTTTAATGCCACAAAATTTACTATTTCCACATTTAATTACTTTGTATGAACAAAGAGACTCATGGCTTTCTAAAAGATCTAAAGTCGTTATGAATTCACATCCTCTCTTCCTATTTTTACAGCAAATTTTTAGCTCACTTATCATCCTCCTTAGCACACGGCTTGGCTTTCTCATAGTATTGATCGTTGAACAAACCGGACAAGCAGGGCGTCTTTCAAAATCCAAAGTCGAAAAAACTGTGCAATTTCGGTTTATTGGCTTAGCTGTGCAATCCTCACATATATCTATTTACAATCAATAAAATATTGATACAGGTTATCCTATTTAGAAATGAAAAAAGGATAACGGTCACCAGCAGGTAATTTCTCAGAATTAGGTATAGAAGAGTTCCACAGAGAGCACATTCAACAGGATGCTTCACTACATCACTGCATATCTTGCAAATGTAATCTTCTGGTATTTTTTCGGCAAACCTAGCTGAAGAATAGCCGGATGAACTTGTCTCTCGCTTTCGTTTTAGTGGAAAAACTGTGATACTTGTAAATTCCATGGCTTCTTGGTTGTAGTTATAGTCTTCGATTTCCTCACTCATATCTTGCATCTGTTTATTGAAGCTTATTATAAGTGAGAGGGGCTTTTTAAAAATATTGGCTATTAATTTAAAATTGGTTTTGATAAGCTTGCTTTCTTGATATTTTTATTATTTTAAAGAGAACAATATTTTCATATTTATGCAATTAAATTTTATTTTATAAAAGTTTTGACTAAATAATACATTTTATACTTTATTAATTCTTAAGAAGTTTAGTTTGATGCCAATATAAGGAATTGATAATGAAGATTATTTATGACTAATATTGAATAATTTTTTTGTATAAAATTATGATTTGCAAAATTTACCACGCATTGAAAATTGTTCATTTGACCTCTTTATATTGGAAGTCTGAATAATAGTAATAATTGAGTAATAATTAATTTAGGAATTAAAAAAAATTAATTCAAAGCAAAAAACATACTTATCTAACTATGGAAGGATTTTAATATTCTAATTCCCCCCTCTGTGAGCGAAAAAAAACTATTAGAAAAATCCTTATTTAGCCCAAAAACAAACCCTCCGTGAGCGAACAAAAATTTTTGATATATAAGTGATAATTATTATAATGAAATCTCTAGCTAATTCTGATTAATTTTAAACAACTTGCATTTTAAAATTTAAAATTTCACAAATTATATTAATTTTTGCTTCTCAGTTTTTACAATTTGGAGTTTATAAATTTAAAAAAAATTATATATAATTTTTAAAAAAAAGAGGAAATAATTCCCCACTATGAGCTAACGAATTTTTTTTTTTCGCTCACAGAGGGAGATAAAGGTTTTATAGGCTCTTTAAACTTTTCATAAAAATAAATTCTCTTCTTAGCTTGTTTAACCAACTGTTTGAGCTTAAAACTGAAGTTTAGCTTCCATATTTACCAGATAGGAAAAACCTTCATTTATCATATTGCTTCCACTAAAATTAGATTAATTTAGCTTACTAGAATCTTATGAGGATACTCTCTTCCTCAGGGAGTAATATCAAAACCTCCCTTCCAACTCCCAATTGATGATATCGACAGCCATTGGTCCCGCAAGCAATTCAGACAACCCAACAAAAAAGGACCAGAAAGTCTTCACCGGTCGCCTTGACCTCGCTCCAGACTTGACTCCTGTGCGTGTTATGCCTGTAAGGTTGCCTTCCTCGGTTGTGCCAAACGGTAAAAACTTCTATAAGTCCTAATACCCCACTATGCGATAAGCCATATTTGGCATTGTAGATAAAGGTGCGCAGATAAACCAAACCCCATCATAATTAAATTTGCTGATGAGTAAAGGTTTACAGAGTAAGCTTTTCTGTGCCTAGCCATTTTATTATTATCCTTCCACTAAAATCAAAATATTTATATGGGTAACTGCGCATATTGCAGAAAAGGCTGAACTAAAGCACAATCATGGCTTCCTGATTCAAAATCAGCAGAAACTATGGACATAAAATTAATATGCAATACCGAAGCTGAGGAAAGCAAGACTGGAGACAGTTCATTTAATTTACACAATCGAAGAACCAAAATTCGAAATCTGCAAAAAATAAGCACACACCACGATATCACCGAGGCTGCAAATGCCATTATAAGCGAAAAAGCAAAAGATCGAGAAGAAAAAGACAAGATTAGAACAGTTCTTAACAGTATTTTTATATTTAATACTTTATCTGTGGAAAATATTGAAGAAACTATCACAAAATTAAAATATTACGAACTTGAGCCCAGCCAAATGGTATATGCTCAAGGAAGTTCTGGGACACACTTTTTCATTGTTGCAGAAGGAAAGCTCGAAATTTTGGTAAATGGAGAGTTCAAAGGATTTCTAAATAAAAGTGATGCATTCGGAGAAGCTGCATTAATTCAAGAAACTCCTAGGTCGCACTCTGTTTTTACGACTACCAAAACAATGCTATGAGGTATCAGCAGAACAGATTTTCGCTCAATAGTTGAGTTTATGAGTGCTAAAAAATATATGGAAAATAAGAGTTTTGTAGACAGCGTGCCACTTTTTCAGATTTTGACACCAGCCCAAAAGGATGGGTTATTGGCTGTTATTTCAATACAAGTATTTGAGCCTGGCTTAAAAATTGTGACTCAAGGAGAAGAAGGTGATTTATTTTATATTATTAAAGATGGGACAGTCAGTTGTGTTGTGGACGGCAAAGTAATAAGACACATGTCTAGAGGAGACTATTTTGGTGAGCAAGCATTGCTTTATAACAGCAAAAGAACTGCAACAATCATCTCATTAAGTAGGGTTTCAGTGCTCAATATCAAAAGAGATGATCTCACTTACTTACTTAAGAATTAGAAGGCGTCTGCTGTTTTGATTACGCAGTCACCAAGGACCCTTTATCCGAGGGTTCACTAGCTTTGCGCCGTCTTCGGATCCACCTTGTTAGAGTTGGGGTAATGGTTCACCGGCCCCTAAGTTCTGACACTACCTTTCCTCTTCTTCAGGGCCCTGAGGCATGGAATCCCTGAAGTGAGATTTCACCTGGATGTCTATTCCTCTCCTTGTGGCTTGAGTGTTGAGTGGGCGGGCTATGGACTTCTGCGGCATGCTGCTTGGGTTGACGAAAGTTGACCATTCAGAAATCACAAAAAATGGAATTTCTGGTGACCTCTCGGCAAATGGGGAAAACCCAGATCCTGGGACGTAACCCCCAGTTTTCACGCTAGGCAGTTGCCCGATTGGTCTAGGTGTTCCCTGTAGGCCTTGCTGGGCTTGCCCTTTCCAAACCTGAACCTCTCCTCCCTCACGAGGTAAAATCCATTCTGGTGGTTGAGCATGGGCCAGGCTCTGCTCTGCAGAATTGCTTACCAGGCATTGATGCTCATTTCCGGAATGGCAAAACCTTGCCGGATATAATTAAAATATGTGCTCGGAAGCTGTGGCCAGAGGCCATGCTAGGGTGGAGACGCCATATTTTAATTAAGAGATGATCTCACAAATGTACTTGGAAATCAGCTTGAGCTTATAATTTATAAGAACTCTCAACGAATTGCTATAGAAAACAGCCACTACTTAAAAGTCCTAACCAAGTCTCAAATCGAGCTAATGATTAACCATACATGCTATAGAGGCTATAAAAACAGAGAAGTTGTTATACCTCGTGGCACACAAAAAGGTGAAAAATTATTAATAATTGTGAAAGGATCATTAATAACTTCAAAAACAGGAAAAAAAGTTCCATGCTTAAGCTGCATCGGGGATCAAGAATTATTATTGCCACCTGCAGGGATTTATGAAGAAAATTACATTGCAAATGGGCCAGTTGATATAGAAGAAATCACAAGAGAATATTTTGAAAGGTGCATAGGAGGACAATTGAATAAAATAAGTTCACAAAATGAGGTTTTAAATATCATGAAAAAGACGCAGCTATTTAGAGCTTTACCGAATAATAAATTGGAACAGATGGTAAACGCTTTATACATACAAAATTATGGAGACAAAGAAGTGATTTTTTATGAAAATTCATGTGGAGATGCGTTCTATATAGTAAAAGAAGGCCAAGTAGACATTGTTAAGGATAATGCTACACTCAGAACAATTACTAATAATGATTATTTTGGAGAAAGATCAATTCTTGGAAATGAAAAAAGAACTGCAAATGCTATTGCTAATGGCCCAGTGCAAGTGTGAGTTTTAAGCAAAGAAGACTTTTTGCTAATAATTGATGAAGGCATACGAGGCCAGCTTATAAAGCGAATGTACCTGCAAGATAACACAATCTCATTGGCTGATTTAGTCCCTGTAAAGCTTCTAGGTAAAGGAACTTTTGGCAACGTTTTTCTTACAGTGCACAAGAAATCGCAAATCCCTTATGCACTTAATAAAAAATAAATGGTGACGTTGAAGTAAGAAGGACTCCGAGGCACACACTCCTTATGGTGAGGTAGACTCATCCTGATGAAGTAGAAACTAGTGCCTCTGCCACTTTTGAGTAGGTCTTCAGGTTTAAGAATGCCTACCGAAGAGCAAGGCTTTGTTTCTCTCCGAAGTTTCTCTATCCTGCCAGATGGGTTAGAATGGTTTTGCCTACTGCATGATGACCTTCTCTCATCGGGATCATCGAATCACTCTAAGATGGCGCCTCTGTCCTAGGAAGTTGATCCTTTGGTAAGGTAGTTCAGGTCGGAACTCCAAAAAGGTAATCTTTGGACCAATAAAATTGACTGCCAATGCGCTTGCCCGCTTATGACCAGCATAGCCTTTAATTTTAACATTATGCACTTAAAACTGTTAGTCGAGCAAAAATCCGTGCCTATGAAATCTATAATAACCTTATCCTTGAGAGAAATATTTTATTACAAATAGATCATCCTTTTATCATGAAATTGGTCAAAACATTCAAAGACCGTGACAGAATTTACTATTTAACTGAATTCGTCAGAGGAAATGATTTATTTGATGTAATAAATGATCTAAGGATTATGAATGATAAAAATGCAAGATTCTACGCAGGATGTTTACTGATCATTTTAGAGCATTTGCATGAAAGAAACATCATATATCGAGATTTAAAGCCCGAAAATATAATGATTGATGAGGATGGATATCCTAAACTCATTGATTTCGGGACTGCTAAAATTGTTGATGGGAGGACGTATTCCATTATTGGAACACCACATTACATGTCTCCAGAAGTTATCAAAGGGGGAGGATATGGGCTTTCAGCAGATTTATGATGCTTAGGAGTGATCATTTATGAAGTTATATGTGGTAGAATGCCTTTTGGAGATGAAGAAGATGAACCTTTCACAATTTACGAAAAAATTCTTAAAAATAAGTTATCATTTCCTCCTTTTATTGAGCATAAAGCAAAATCAAAGTTTATTATTGAGAAGCTTTTAAATAAAAATCCTGCGTTAAGAGGGGAAATAGATTGACTTAAAACCCATATCTGATTTGAAGGATTGAACTGGGATAAATTGCTTGGGAAACAAGAAATTGCTCCGTATATTCCAAAGCTGAATAGCCTATCATTCGAAATTACACGTGCATTTAAGATTAACAGCCAGCTTTATAAAATGATTGCAGTAATATATATTTAGAAAGAAGAAATAATTGACTCTCATGATATACCGAAATTTGGAAAGCGCTCACCATCCGGATGGGATGATGCCTTTTAGACACTTTTAATATATAAACTTGTTAAGGATAAATATGAGTTCTCTCGCAGCTTTTTAAAATTAAATATTGATTCGAATTATCAAGATTTTGCTGCAATGTCTTTATAAATTAATTTATTATTTACCAAAAACTTATGCTTTTTAAGTAAATCTTAATAATTTGCTACAATTTGGAAATTTACCACCATAGTCTGACAATATGCAAAATAAAATTTATTTCGAATGACAGAGTATTGCAATATCTGCTGCATTCAAGAAAGCTCCAGCAACTTTTTGACACTCTCTTGTGGCTGTTATTTTTGCAAAACTTCTACAAGCCAATGAATTCTTGCCCAACTCGATAAATTTTATCAAGCTGATTTTCAAATTACATGCCCACTTGGCTTTGGTCACATTTTAAGTGAAGAAGATATAAAAAAATGCCTTACTAACTCCCTCTATTTAAATTGGAACAAAAAATCCTGTTCCAATTTAAAGGGGGGTTTATTTTTTCAAAAAAGTACATATTTTTGAATTTTAATTTATTTTTATGAAGTATCAATTCATAAAATTAATCAAATCAATGCGAAAAAATTAAATAATATTCTACTTGCACTTTTCCGTTAAATTAGGTGAAAGCTCATTTTATAAAATTAGTATTGTGCCCTATTGAAAAAGATATTTTGTTCCAATTTAAACAGTTTAAGTACCTATAAAATCGAAAAAAAAAGAAACTAACCTATTTTTTATTACAATTTAAAGAGGAGTAAGCACAATTATCAGGTCTATGAAAATTTTACCTTAAAAAGAGAGCTAATTCGTGATCCAGTGTTTAAACAATGCCCATCAAAAAATTGTAATTATGTAGGCTGAATTGATCCAAAAGCAACCTGCAAAAGCTTGCTCCAATGCCCAAAATGCAAAAATAAATGAATAGATCCAAGTTTAAAGCCAAAGCTGGATAGGTTAAAAGACGCTATTTATGAAATGCTAAGAGGAGAAAGTGATTTTTGAAGTTATACTTGGGAAGAGCTGTGAGTTAAGCATTGTCCTAAGTGCGGGTCTCCTATAGAAAAGAATGGAGGATGCTATCATATGACCTGTGTAAACTGTGCATATGAATTCTGCTGGGATTGCCTGCAGCCTTATCGCAACCATGTCTGAAAATATTGTGGGCTTAATCAGCTTTACTGCTGGGGACTAACAATTATTATGATTTTTTTGTTTTTCTGCAAAATAACGATTTTATCTGATATGATTTATGACTTAATGATTTTCATACTTTGAAAACTATTATACCTAATTGCTGGCATAGCAGGGATTTGGCCTACTGGTCTCAGCATAGCTTTGGCATATGATTATTTTCATTTTGGATGGTTGCCTTGCAGCTATATACTCTATTGATTATTAAATATTGGGATTGCTGCTTATCTTTTTATTGGATTTTTATTTTTGCAAGAATTTACTCTTGAGGTTTTACTTTTTGCTTTTAATATCGGAATTTCATTTCTTATTTGTCTAGGTGGTGGCTTTTCGCTATATGTTAATTCTTTAAATTAAATAAATATTAAATTAAACATCAAAACAATTTGCTAACGAGAGTTACCTTTTAATTTTATTAGAATAATTACATTTAAAATGGAAGATAGCCAAGAGGAACCTCACCGCCGAAGTATGTATGAAGTAAGCAAAGATATTCGTGAATCCAAGAATGCTGTTTCACGAGTTCTATATATTGGCAGATTAAACGTAGAAGATAGGCATCATAAAATTGACATTGGAGAAGACATGAACAAGTGGGTTAAAGAAAGGCAGCCTGGAATATCTGGGCTTTGTATTTCAACAGGAAATTACTGTGTTCATTTCATTGAAGCTAGCAGTGAATTGATTTTTCAGCATATCCAATGGGTGCAGCAATTACTAAGATTGGACACTCCTCCTTTCACTGGAGTTAATGTTATAGCATTCACAGAGGAAAACCCTAAAAAGATGTTTGGGTATTGGTCATCTATTACTTTGCCTCCTACAAGCAGTGGAGAAGAAGAGCCTGCCCAAATCAATGTTGAAGAAATGTGTTGGCAGTTATACAATAACATGAATACAGTAGGAACAAGGCTTTCAATGGTGTTTGGAAATGATCAAACTCCAAGTACTAGTGGGCTGGCTGCAGCTATAAAATCTAAATCAAAAGAACTTATACCTCATCAGGAATTGCTTAATATTCTGATGAGTGATAAATTCCCATCAATTGCTGATTTTATAGGGATATACATATTACCTCTTGACATTGTTTTTGATAATGAACTGGTATGGCCTTGCCCTCCTGAGCTTACATTTTAAAAGAAATTAGTTAAATAATAATAAATCTTATAATAATTCATGCAATTGCTAATATTTTTTTGGATTAAAGTTTGTTAACAAGCACAGCATTTACTTATTAATTTTTAATTATTAACAATATAATTGTAAAGAATGTCTAGCATTCATGAATATCTCAATAAACTAAAATCTGGTTACAAGCAGTATCCATCCTCTATTGAAACCTCCACAGTCTCAAGTATAGACATAATTAAAATATGGCGTCTTCGTCTGGGTATGGCCTTCCGGCCATACAGCCTCGACTCATATTTTAATTATATCCGGCAAAGGTTTTGCTATTCAGAGATGGACGGCAATGCTAGGTAAGCAATTCTGGCTGCGTGCAGAGCCTAGCCCAAGTCTATTCTCAGGATGGTTTTTTCCTCATGGGAAAGGGAAACATGAAGTTGGAAAGGGGAAGCCCAGCAGAGTCCACACGACCAATCGGGCAACTCCCTAGCGTGAAACTGGGCGTTACGTCCCAGGCTACATGTTTTACCCTTTTTGCCGAAAGCCTACCAGAAAATCCATTTTTTGGGTTTTCGGAATGGCAAACCCATGTAACAAGGAAGTAGCTCATTCATGAGCCGTCGAAGTCGGCAACACTTGCCAGGAGGCGCACCTTGGAGATCAAAGCAGACCTGCCCGGAGGTTTGTGGGCCCGGTACGGCGAGAGGCGAGCGGAAGGCCTGGGATTTACTAACCCCGTGAGTGGGACGTTAAGCGTGTGTATACGTATTAAGTAAGTAAGTCTCAAGTATAGACACAGAAGAACTTTTAAGCGATACAAGCTCAGAAAATTCTTCCAGAGTTTTTAGCAAATCACACAGAAGAGATGTTAAATCTTATGCCTTAACGGAAAAATACAAAAGGCCATCATCAGCATCAAAACCGAAACGTCGGCACCAAAGCACAACGGGGGTAGCTCCTTTAAATATTATAAAAGAAGTTGACGAAAATTTTGAGCATAGCAGACTTGGGTATAATCTTGACGATTATTTACCTAAAAAATCAAAATTAGACCTCAGTGTATATTTACCAAAACCTTATAAAGCAAGCTTAAACTCATCAATGATTTCTAATTATGATAGTCAGAACCTATTAGATAGCTCCGACGAAGAGCCTGCTACAAAAAAATCAAAAGGCAGAGTTCCATTTACCCCCAGACTTACAATTAACCAAACAGTGCAAACTTCTATACAGAATTTTTCCCCAAAAAGCTCTACTTCTAAATGAAGTTCAGGTAAAAAAGACTATTCAGCAGCTGTGCAGACTTCTTTTCAAAGCAATTCTTCACACCAAAGTGAAGTTTCTAAAAGCATCAGAGAAAAAAGATGGGACGAAGTCCAGACTTCTTTTCAAAGTTTCTCTTCCCAAAGCGCCGTTTCTAAATACAGCTTGGGGGCAAAAGAATGGGAAGATGTGAGTGAGGCAAAGGATTCTTTTTATAACCCCATGATAAGTATCAATTCCGATAACAACAAAACATCTAGGTCTCAAAGCAGAGATACTAGCCCAACGCCAACTATAGCGCTTTCATCGCTATTGCTTGCTTTGAAGCAGGTGTCTTTTGCGGAAACTTTGGAGGACTAACGATTCATCATCATCATCATCATCATCATAAAATTATAACGATACTTGCGTATCGTTGCAGCTCTTATGAGCTTTTTTACTACTAAACTTGTCCAAATCTCATCCAACTTCCACTGCTTCTTACTTACTTACTTACTTACTTAGTTACATAGTCTTTAAGGTGTCTAGTGCCCATACCCCTTAATGAAAAAGGGTCAAAGCGACAACTAGTGACGTCACCAAGCCATCTTGGAATATGTGGTCAGCCCACACCCAAGCCTTCTATAAGGCTAGTCGCCAGATAAATCGCCGCACATCTCACCCGGCGCGTTGCTGCCGCTCGTCCAGACTCAGCTCCTGCGCGTGTTCCGCCTAAGGGTCATCCTCCCGTGGGGATGTGCTGAGAGGTAAAAACTCCGAAATCTTGAGTGCACTGAGGAGTCGTGCCTTTGGTTATCCCCAAAGTTAAACGGCTGTTGCTGTGCAGAAGTTCTCAAGAGAAAACCCAACCCATAAATAAAATTCCATGAGGGAGAGAAAATTTGGCAGAGCCAATTTCTCTCGAACCGAATGCCATTTTATTTATAACTTCCACTGCTTCAATCCACAATTACCTCGTTTCACCGGAGGCCTAACGAGTCACCTAAAGGTCGCAAGTCAACTCCAAGTTGAAAAAGTCTTTCAAATAGGATACGATCTTGTCAACCTTGAGTTGAACTGTCAGAGCTCCAAGTTGCCACAAAGAAGTCTGTTTCAAGGCAAATAATAGCGATAAAGGTGCTATACTCAAAACCCAGGCCACGCAAGGAGATCTACAGCTGATTTTAATTATCCTTTTTCGATCAGTCCTGACCCTGCTTTTAAAAGGAAAATACCAGCCCCGTTGCAGATGCCTTCTCATCCTTTTTCCAAGACCACAACTTTAATTTCAGATAAGGAGGACAAAATTAGAATTGTGGACTCCTCTAGAGAAAAAGAAAGCCTAGAAATGACCTTGCAGCCTCATCATAAAGAAATTAGGTGCTCATTAAGCTCAGCAAGAAATACAAGCATTACCCCTAAGTTTAAAAAAGATGCAAATTGCAGCATGCCCTTTACAAGCGACGAAAGTGTTGAAAACTCAATTGTGGTTTCTTCAAGAAACGCCATCAATTTAAATATTTGTACATGTATTTTGAATGGATCTTTATACAGACACTATGAAAATTGCCAAAAATTCTCGGTAACTGCTATAATCTCAGGGTCAAATGAAACGAAGTGCTGCTGCAACCGGAAAAAAATGGGGGTTTTGGAGGCTTGCATTACCATACAGAGGGCCGTTAGAGACTATCTTGATAGGCTGAATTTTTATTCAAGTTTCCAGCCTACAGATCGAGAGTTTTAGTTTTGGTATAAATAAGCATTTTAAATTATGGAATTTTATTTAATAATTAGTGGCATCTATCTAAAACTATCTCTCACTATCCCAGCAATTGGTGGAAAAACAGCTCCACATGTTTCTGGAAGCACTAAAACGTTGCCGTACTCTATAACTGGCTCGATATTGATTTCTACTATTAACTTGTTCGCTTTGGCTGTGTCTTTTACTGCTTTATTTGGAAGCCCACAATGCAACTGAGTTCCCATGACAATTAAGCAGTCGCATTCTTCTACTGCTCGAAGTGCTGTCTGTGACTTGTACTGCTCTTCATTGTACTCTTCTCCATAAAGCAGCACATTTGGCCTTGCTAATGCTTGGCAAACAGGACACATTGGGATTGTTTCAACCATTTCGTCAACTGGAGGACCTGGGAAAATTTCTGTACAACATTCAAACATGCAGCGCATATAGTGTAGATTGCCATGGATTTCACACAAGTCAGCTTCTGGGCCTAAAATTTCCCTGTCAAAGCCATCAATGTTTTGAGTAATAATAGTTTAAGTTTAAGATTATGATTTCAAGTTCTGTTCCTTCTAGGTAAGACCAGCCTAGTCTCCTACCTGTTTCTGTCTCCAAGCCTCCTAGGACCTCTCTATCTTTACCAGCCTCTGTGTAGAAAACTTCACTTTGAGCCGAGACTCTCAAGAATTCCAGTGAGCTCAGTTATAGGACCGAGGTCCAACCCCTAACTGAAATTTTAAATTGTTAATAATAGTGACTTTTCTTCCGGAATATCTCATAAAGTTATAGAAATCAGCAATTGCATAATGTGTTTGGTTAGGACTGCAGTGAGAAATCCTCATTCTATTGTAATGGAAATTCTGCCAAAATTCTAATGGGTAAGTTTGCAGTATATCAATATTAGCGATTTCTTGGTGTGTATAACTTTTTCCATCAATTTCCCAGGTTTCGTCTGAATCTTTGTATGTAAAAACCCCACTTTCAGCAGACACCCCAGCTCCAGTCAGAATTACAACATTTCTTTTTTCTGCTATATTCGAAGCCACTTCTTCAATTGATGCAATCCGAGGGACTCCGTACACTTTTTTCATTTCTTCAACATCTTCTCCGCTTCCAAAGCATTTTGCTAACTCCTACTTTGGCTAGCGAACAAACCATTAGAAGAATTTTTGGGAAAATTAACCCTTCGTTAGCGAGAGTAATTTTAAAATAATTGACCTTTTTTGGCTAGAGAGCTAAAGCATTTTTTCTCGCTACATTAGGAGGGAGTAAGCCATCGCTCATGATCTTCCCAAAGGACTCCTGAAAATCTTTAAACCTTTGTTCAGTCTGTTTGCAGCCTTCAATAGTATTTTTTAGCTTATCAAGTGTGTCCTGTGTACTCTTTAAGAGCTCTTTATTTCTTTCAATTGTAGCTCTGGATGATTCTAAAACTGCATTGTGCCGATCTCTTTCTAACTGAGCTTTTTCATCATATTCTTTTTTACGCCTATCCTCTTCTATTTTTTCTTTTGCAAGGTTTTCTTTTACTCTCATTGAAATATATTCATCAAGAGGCATATCAAATAGTAATAGTGGCTTTGATGTGTCAGCTGTGCTTGCTGTTGAAGCTACAGGCTGAGGCCTTATGGTTAAACTTGCATTATTACAGAGTTGCTAAAGGCCAGCCATATTGGACTTTCACGTCCTTGCTCACTTTGCCGCTTGCTTGCCAGTCTGAAAACAGCCTTTCACTGATTTGCTCCTCTCTGATGAGTGTTTGCACTTAAAAACTGAAATAAGGACACCTGCCGCGCATCAACGGGGCTACCCTCTCTGAAAATTCAAAAAGCGAATTTCTAACCAGGCTGTCAACAAAGATGAAACTTTTAGCCCACGGCGCAACATCTGGTATCATATGGGAAGTTACTTGACTGGCCAAACTGTCTCTATCTTGTTGGGCTTTCACTTTTCAAGTTTAACTCCCCCTTTAAATGGAGCAAACATCGGTAAAATTTCCCGGACATATCACTCAGCACACTGCTCTTCCTTCCATAAGGTCCCTGAATTTTTTCCTGGCTACGGGTGTTAGCAGGGCAGGTTGATCTGCATCCATTTATGTGTGTGATTGAGGTCTTACTTACTTACTTAGTTACTTAGGTATTTAAGGTGTTTTGATTTCTTCAACAGGATGATTTAGGCATGCTTAAGCCCATCCTTTTAACTCCCACCGGTGACGTCACCAAGCAATCTTGGACTGGTTAGCCCGACCAAGCCATTCTATAAAGTGCCATCCCCAACGGGCCAGAAATCCCGCACCGGCAGCGTTGCCTCGCCCGAACTCGACTCCTGCGCGTGTTCCGCCTAAGGGTCACCCTCCTCGGGTGTGTCAAGCAGCAAACCCAGGTGGAGCTTAATATCTTGGACCAAAGAAATACCCTATGCGGTATTCCATATTGGTGTTGCTGATAAAAGGCCACGTGGAAAAACTGAACCCCATAATAATAAAAGCGAGGGAAGGAATAATTCTCGGAGAGAACTAATTCCGCACTGAGCCATTTTATTATTATGATTGAGGTCTTACAGTTTCATCGATGACTGATGTGACTGAAGGATCAGTTTGTGAGTTTTGGGAATCAGGCTGCAAGGCTGGGCCTCCACATTCTGGACAATCACCACAGTTGCACGTATCCCAATCACAGCAGTGCTCTGGACAGCATTTGCTTGTTCGGCAAGTTTCACAGTTCATTTACTTATAATGAAATGCCATTATACTTGAGCAGATTCGAATAATTAATTGCAATGCTATCACTTAAATTAATATTGTCAGAATTTATATATATCTTACAACTTTAGTATATCCTGCTAACATCAAGCAATAAAAATGTGTGCGTAAAATCTTAGGTAAGCTTAGATTATTATTTATTTAAAAGCCTTAATCATTTAACAAATGCAAAAGAGCACTATTCAACATAGCGATCATTATTTATGGGTGAAAATTAATATATCAGAAAATTTTATATGGATTCATAGTAAAACTGCGCTTTTTATAGTAAAAGAGAATTCGAGTTCTCTCAATTTTTTAAGCAATTTTTTTAAGAATTCATCATGAAAAGTCTTGAAAAATTAGAATCATCTCAGTAAATCCATCTTTACTCATAAAATTTGTGGTGAAATGGCAGCTCGAAGAAATATCTTTCAGCTTTTGAGTCGTTCTTGCCACTTAAGATCCGCAACCAGACAAAATTTCATGGGCGCTCGCACACAGAGATTCTTTGGAGAAGAGCAAGCTAGAGCAAAAGAAGAGCAAAAGAATGGAGAAGAGCTTAAAAACAAATCAGAAGCACCAAAGGAAAAATCTGAAAAAGCTGGGCCTGAATCCACTCAAAAAGATTCCACAAAAGACATTGATGCAAAGCTCCAATTGATGGCTGAAGAGGCAAACAAATATAAAGACCTCTACATTAGAACCCTTGCAGAGCAAGAAAACATGAGAAAACGATTGCAATTAGAAGCCGACAACGAAAGGACTTACGCCATAACCAAATTCGCAAAAGAAATGCTTGACGTCTCTGACAATTTGCAAAGAGCTATCGATAATGTTCCGAAAGAAATGAAGACTCCTGAGGATTGTTCTAAAGCCTTCGATGATTTAGTTAAAGGAGTGTCAATGACGAGAGACATAATGAAGAATGTTTATAAGAAATTCTTAATTGCAGAAGTAGATCCACTCGGCCAAAAATTTGATCCTAACTTGCATGAAGCACTTTTTACCTTTGAGGATCCAGCAAAGCAAGACGGGTCTGTAGGAAATGTAGTTTCATTAGGCTACACAATAAATGGGAGAGTTTTAAGGTCAGCAAAAGTCGGTGTTATCAAAAATCTCAAAAAAGCATAATAGATTTTAGTAGATAAAGATTATTTAGATATTTTATATATATTTTGTTCTGTTGATGATATTCTTCTATCGAAAGTAATATTTAAAAGATGGCAGGTGGTGGAGGTTCGGAGCTGGTCCAGCCTCAGATAAGTGGATATAATCCTTTTAGGAAGTCTGTGGTAGGTTTTTGCGTGGTCGGAAATCAATGGCAGGTTTTTTTTCCTTGTCGCAGACTATGCAACTTCTGGGAAGCAATTATGCACCTAATAAGGGCAAGGCAGTTTAGAAGGGAGGCATTGGGTGCTTACCCATGTATTGAGTACTTTCAAGGCTAAGAGTTCCTTTGTTGTCGGGCTAGACTTAGTTATGCTCGAGTTATCTTCTGAGAGACTGCTGACATCACTATTTTTCCGGGCTCATCAAAAAAAAGGTGTGGTGTGACGCCAGCTTACTAGGACTACTTGAGCCTGAAGCCAGATGCTAGGCTGCAGAGGTGCCAAATTATCCGAAGACTCGCGATAATTTAAGTTAATCTAATCTTCCGAAAATTATTCATTTTAATGCTTTAATATATTTCATCAGATGTTTGGCAGCGGAGCTACTGTAAGCTATTATAGAATCCAAGACAAAGGTGACAATAAACTGATTGGTGAAATCTATAAGCTTCACATCAAAAACTTCATAAGTATCCTGAGGCTTCTTTCAATATTTATCTGTGCTTATTTTGGAATTGGCTTCATACTTGGAATCTACCGAATTGCAATCAGCCAAGACGTTGACACATCAAACATTCCAGTTCTTATTGATTGGATTTTAAGCCTGATAATATCACTTTTATGGCTTGTAGTGGCCTACGGCGGATTTCAGGCTGTTAAAGTTCAATCTAGAGGAACTTCTAAAAGATTTGCTAAAGCTTTATTAGGATGCTCAGCGATTTATATTGTTTATTTGATATTTAGCTATTTCGCAAACTTTGATTCATATAAAAACCATTGGGAAAAAGAGTATGGACTAAGTATGATTGAAACTATAGGGTGGATGATGAGCTATCTTTTTATTGTTGCTTTCTTAATCCCTTTTAAATTGGAATAAAAAACTGTTTCAACATAAAGGCTCTACTTTGTTTAAATCGAATTTTTCTTCATTTCGCTCTTTATAATAATCAAGTGCATAAATTTTCGAGTTCAGTGGCATTAAATGGAATATTATATTCACCTAACTCACAAAAAAATCCAGTTCCAATTAAAAGCAGTGTTCATTTTTTTTAAAAAAATGATTATATTAAAATTTATCTCAATAAAAAAATTTTAAAAATTGAACTCAATACTTTACATAAATTTAATTCTATCAAGAATTAATTTAATAATTTAATCGACTCAGTGTGAAAAATTTTACTTTTGCATTTGGTCAAACTAATTTTATAAAATTAGTACTTTCATCTATAAAATTTTCTCAAAATTTCGTTCTAATTTGAAGGGGCTAAATGGAAATTTTACTTTATTTGTTCCAATTCAAGGGGGATAAAAATTGAAAAAATTCTATTTTAAAAAAAATTAATGGAAATTTTACCAATATTGTGATCAAAATTAAAGAGGAAGTTAGAAGGCTTTTTCGTGTTGAAGGCAAGACAGTTTAACAAAATTATTACGCAGTGCATTTTGGAGTCCTTAAATGACAGCAAGGTATTGAACAAGCCTTTAAAAAATATTAATTAGACAACTTCATTAAATTTTAATTTTGAAAACCTTTTAACTACATATTAACCCTCTCTTAATTCTAAATCACAAATTTCCTTTTGTTTTTTTTTTATAATTTAATAATAATGACTTTAATGCTATAGCTTAAGATCCCTTGTAGATTATTTAACAGCTTATCGAATAGGCAATTTTTATGAAAAGGACTAATTAAAAATTGACAAATATGAGGTATAATTTGGATTAGTCAATTTTAAATTGTACTTGTCAGAAAAATTGATATTTTCGTAGCCTATTCAATAGGCAAAGGTATTGCTCCTAAACGAGCAAAAATAGAGCTGGGGCTATAATGTTAATGTTAATAAGATTACTCTTTTCAAATCCAGATTCTTGAGGTCTTAACTTGGATTTGCAGCTCTGATTAACGGTAGGTAAAACCAGCTTAATCGCCGAACTGTCCATGTCTCCAAGTCCCTTAGGACCTCTCTACTCACACTAGTCTCAGTGTGGATTACTTCTCTTGATGCCAAAATCCTCAAGAAGGTGTAAAATTTCTCTTACTGGGTTTTGCTGTAGAACCGTGATCTTACCTTTAACAGCTATTCTAAAATATGATAATATTTATAATAATTATACGGTTATCGTCCATTAATTGGACCAATCTTTTCCTTAAAAGTTTTTAATTTCTCAATTTCTCCAATGAAAAGTCTGATCTTTTCAATTTTTTTATATTTTAGCTAGAAAGATTATTTAATTATACTTTCTTAATCATTTCAGCAAAAAGGATAAGTTTATTCACTACTTGAGTATTTATTGATTGCTTTTTCCGCTTCCGTCATTGCGTGAACTCCTATCTCTCCTGGAAATAGGAGTTTGATGCTAGTGAGAACTTCCTTACTTGTCAGAGTCTTTTTACCGCTGTATTTCGAAACATTAGCGGATTCGGTTGATAGTCTCTCAAACAAGTCATTGACAAAGGAACTCATAATATTCATTGATTTTTTAGAGATACTGAGATCTGGATGAACCTGCTTTAAAAGACGGTGAATGTATATAACAAAGCTATTTGATTTTGGCCTGCTTGATTTCTTTTGAGCTTGAGTTTCACCTATGTCTTTTGCTGCTGCTTTTTCGTTTTTTGTGTCCTTCTTATCACCGGTCTTTGGTTTCATATTTATAAGTTGCCGCCCATTTTGAATCTTAAAATATTTTAATCTCATTTATTTATATTCAGAATATGTCTTTATAGATGCAGCATTACAATATTTCAGTACAAAAATTATAGTATCACAACATACCGTTGCTAACGCAATAGATTATTAAAATGGGTCTAATCTAATAAATATATATAAACTTTCCGAAAAATTTAAAAGAAATAAAAGTTAATAATTTCAAAGGATATCACAAGATTTTTATAAAAATAAAAAATAATTATTCTATTTTTATACCAAAATTTGGATTTATTAACTCCAAGTCTTTCCTAATATTTTTAAACGAAAAATTAGGAAAATTCCCATAATGTTTACTGGTTTAATTATCAGTGGTATCCTTTAATATTAGATGCACATATTATTTTGGAAAATATGGAACTTAATTTTTATCATTAATTTAAAATCATTATAATAATGGGAAAAAAAGCCATAATCAGCAAGCACATTGTTTTATGTAGTTTTACACAAAATTACTCTCACCATCCAGTATATGGAATAATCCTCATAGATGGGGACACAATCCATGATGTGGTGTTTTTAGATGACAATATCCCTGTTTCTGCTGTTCTCGAAAAATACTCACTCCACCAATTTAAATTATAACAAAAATATCTGTAAAATGTCTTTTTCGGGTAAATTAAATCCCTTAGATAAAAATTTTAGTTTTTATTGGAAAATAGCAATTTTTATGAAAAAATTACTTAATTTAATGGATGGTGGCAAATAGAATATTTTAACGGCTCCATGCCAAATGACAATGGATTTTTGATAGTGTACGTTTTCACCGAAATGCATTTGATCGAAAATTTACCTTTTTTTCAGTCAAATGTCTCACTATCAAAAGTGTCAACCAATTTTCGACCAAAAGTACTTGTCAGAAATGCACACTATCAAAAATGCACGATAATTGGACCTGCACTCTATTTTAATAGTTGACGCACTGAATATATTTTTTTTAATAAATTAAAAATTAAAAACATTTTTTTATTATTTTTAAATGTTTTTTTATTATGAAAATTTTGTATTATTATTTATATAAATAAAGTTGAATCATATTTTTTGTTCCAATTTTAAGGATGTGAGTCAGAATGAAATCCTCAGGATTGTTCAAATTTATATGTCTCTCCTGGGCTAATTGACTTAAATGTTAGAAGGGAATTTGAAAATTACACATATCTGACTAAGGCAGCAGTTGCGGGCGGTGTCACTTTGATTGCTGAAGAAGATGGTTATTACACAGATAATCCTCCAAACGGAGAACTCTTTTGTGATTTAGGTAAAATCGCACTTGTTGATCGGACAAATGTGCATTCAATGGAAATTGAAGCTTCAAAAGGCTGCTTAGCTTTCAAAGGATATTTTTACCCTCCAAGCAGCTCTGTGCAAGCTTTACCTCATAATTTAACGGCAGTGTTTTCTAATCTAGAAAAAAGTTGGTCAAACCTGGCTGAGTCTACCAGGCTCTAATACTCTACTTGGCAGTCCGGCTTTACCTGGCTCTATTTTTCTATTGGCTCTACTGACTCTGCCTGGCAATTTAACTCTAACTGCTTTATCTATCTGCCAGTTCAGTTCACTTGGCAGTCTGACTCTAGAAACCTGGCTTGGTCTATCTGACTCCACGGCTCTACTTGGACATCCAGCTCTATCTGGTGCTCATCTCTAGGGTCTACTTCACTCTATATGTAATCTGGTTCTTCCTAGCAGCCTGACTCCATCTGGCTCGCCTGGATCTACTGGTCCACCAGAGAGTCTAAGCTCTGTAGGTATTTTCGTCTATATTAATTAATAATTATTTATAAAGATAAGCGCCTAATACCAATAAATTTGATTAAGTTTCAATAATGAAATTGCGATTCAAACTAATTGAATTCTTTAACTAAAAATCAAAGCTACTGATAGAGTTGATATATATTTATATTTTTATAAAGTTCATTTCTTTATAAATTTAAAGAATTAAGTTCAATTTTTCACTAAATGTGATATAAAATCTTGTATTGAATAGCTATAATTTCTTTATAAGTCTTCATGCTTTTATTTTCTTACAATCTAAAATATATTTGACCTGATTACCATCTAAAATTTTTTATTCATATTTTAATATTAAATTGCTAATTGCGTAATAATTGATTTTTCAGAGAATTTTAATGTAATTTGAATTATTGAGCTTATTATTTTAATACATATTTTTTTAGTAATACATCTTTTTTGGATAATTTTTCATAATCAGTTTTATTTTTTCTATTTGAAATCCATTACACGAAAGATCACGCTAGGATTGCTGGATACAATTAATATTTATATGCCAAAGGCCTTAAATGCTGCTTATCATTGATACTTTTGTATAAAAATTTAAAGCATTTAATAAAAGAAATAGATTTTTACTTTTGAGGTTTTATGAGAGTTAATTTTATAGTAGACTAAAATGGTAACTTTGATGGAATCATAGCAATTTATTAGGATTTTGTTTACTCCTATAATAATATAAATTACACTCTCAGCTGAAAGGCTTTTTAACAATTATTATTTTTCTATAAATATCTAAATTATGTTATAGACTTTGACAAAATTATATATATTGATAGTAGCTGTAGACCCAGCCATGCTTGAACAAAAGTTGGCCTACCAATGCTTATTGATCCTACGCTACCAGACCCAAGAATGCTTTATATGGCTTCTCCGATGAGAATGGAATCTTTGGAAACCAGAAATGACAAGAAGACATCAGAAAATTTAAATTTAAATGTATTTGCAGGAGCGTTTTCAAATGCGATTGAAAGCGAAGGAGAGGATGAAGACGAAGACTTTTCTGAGGACTCTCCGAATGATAGATCAAAATGAATGTCATTTCATGAAGAACAAGATAAACCTAATGGCTCTTTTGCAAAAGACAGATCACATTCTGGAGAAATATTTGACTTTGAGATGAATTTTCAAAAAAATGCTTCGCATTTGGTGTGTCCTGAAATTACTGGCTCTCCTTGGCTGGCTTTTTAAGTTATTTTTTGCTTGCTCTCAAATGTGGGTTAATTTTTTTATATAAAACTTCTATATAAAATGTTTTTTCTGGTTTTAAAAAATTTAAAATTATAAATGTTTGAAATGAAAAATCTAATTTAATTTATAAAAATGCTATGCTTTATAGTGCAAGCTGTTGAAAATATTATATAATAGCTGGAGATCTCATTACTATAGAATCATCATATATAAAAATATTTTCCATTTATATTGTAAAAATTTTGTCAGCAAATTTTTCCAATTACTTTCTCAATAATCGAAGGGAGGAGTGAGGAAGAAGAAGAGCAAAGTCCTGCTAAAAAAAAGAAGCATAGAAAAATGCATAAATCGAAGTCTGTATACACAATTTTTGATGATTTAGATAGAAGGATAAGGGAATGTCAGCAGAATATAGAATGTCTAAGCTTAGCAGAGCAATGCACATATAGTGACTCTGGTCTGACTCAATTTTCAAGAAGAAAAAGCTTATCACTTGGCCAGACAGAATGTGGATATCAGTCAGATAGCGACTCTAGTGATGCTGGAAATGTTATTTCTACCCCAACACCAACTGGACTTTATGAGAGAAGGATGATCAACAAGCGGCCTATTCCTATTAAAATAGAAAAAGCTGCTCAAGCCAATAATAAAGAAAGAAGTTATGTGTACCATCTTGCAAATTATCCAGATTATTGAGAAATTTCAGGTGTAGAAAAACTTATACACAGTCTTAGAAGAAATGTTTCAATTCATGTTGTAAACATTTCATCTGCAGCTGCTATTAATAAAATTAGGCAGGCAAGAGACCATTTTCCATGTCTAACATGCGAGATTCCTGCAAGCCAGCTTTATTTTAATAGCAATTCTGTAGGAGATGGAAAAACGATATTTAAAAATACACCCCCAATTAGAAACACAGGAAATTGCAACTTATTGTGAGATTTGCTGAAAATGAAGGCTATAGATTGCATAACATCACAGCATGCTTTTATTGAGCCATCTTTAAAATCAATTGACACAGGAAACTTCCAAAAGGCTTTGAATGGAATTTGTACGATGGGGTTCACTTTGCAAGCTATATGGACAATGCTAAACGTTCCAGTTAGTAGCCATATGCAATTAGAGCATTATATAGTTAGAATGTCAAAGTGGCTTTCCTTGCATCCTTCTAAAATTTTAGGCCTTCAAGACAAAAGAGGATCAATTGAAAAAGGAAAGTATGCTGATTTGGTAATATGAGCACCATATGAAAGAGTTTATGTATCAGATATTTATTCAGAGAGGAAAGAGATGTCTCCATTTCTTTCTCAAAATCTCCAAGGAAGGATCCATAGTGTGTACATAAGAGGAAAGCAGGTGTTTGATGGTGCGAGCTTTAAAGCCCGAGGCAAAAAAGTTTTTAGAATTAATACAAATAGAAATTAGATTTTATTTCAAAAATGTATCATCTATATTCTTATTATAGGGTATTTTTTCGAAATTATTTATGCAAAAACTAATAATTAGTGTGCATAAAATATTCTATTTTATAGAATTTCACCAATAGAGAAGTTTTATTTTTTTAAACCGAATTTTTGAATTGAGTAACAATTTTTATACTAAATTTACTTAACTTCCATCTCCTCTTGAGCCAGTTGAACTGCTGATTCTTGACTTGGGTTTATCAGCTTCCAGAATCCAAGGATGTGACAACGCTTCTTGAGGTGTCATTCTTGTATCAGGATTCCAATCCAAACAAAGCTGAATAAAGCTAAGAAATTCTTGATCTGACGATTTTGCTTTTTCATTCAAAGTTCTCGTCCCAGGAAATCTCTTTTTTCCTCTACTATTCGCCACTATTTTCGGTGTTCCATCTTCTTCAAAAAACAATGATCTTCTTGTCGCTCTTTCTAATATTGAATCTGGAGGTATTCCTTTAATCTCCATAATACACAGCAGCTGCTCTGCTTCTGATTCTCCAGCAAACAAAGGATACCCTGCATGAAGTTCTGCAGCAATGCACCCGAGTGACCACATATCAATTGCAGTCGTATAAGGGAGCCCTAAAATAATATCAGGCGCTCTATAAAATCTGCTTTGTATATAAGTATACAGTTTTTCATCGTCAAAGCATGATGACCCAAAGTCTATCACTTTGATGCTTGACTTATTTGGGTGCTTTAGCAGGATATTTTCTGGTTTTAAATCACAATGGATTATTCTATGCTCTGCAGTAAATGCTAAGCATTGAAGCAGCTGGATGCAAAATCTTTTGACTAAAGACAAAGAAAAGCCAGAAAATTTATTGTTTTTTAGGAGTTCGTACAGGTTCATATTTAGGAGCTCAAAAGTAATGCAAATATGCTTGCGGAATAGAAAGTAGTCGTGCATTATTACAGAATGTGATAAGCCTTCTTTATCGTGAGTCCTTATATGGTTCAGCACTTTAATTTCGACTCTACCCTGGCGGTGGAATCTTCTCTGGTTTCTAATAATTTTTAAAGCTACAAAATCTTTGGATTTATGATCCAAACATTTCAGCACTTGTCCAAAAGACCCCTTGCCCAGGACCTGTATAATTTCATATCTATAAGCTATTTGGTCTCCAATTACTTGAATGTAATCAGATCTGTCGTCATCAAAGCCTAAATTATTCCCAGCAGGGTTAGGCTTTGTTTTTTTTGCTTTTAGTCCTAAATAATAAATTTCAGGATAATCCAAAATTTCCCCTTGTTCGTACTTTGTCATAAAATTAGAAAAATTTTTCAAGATTTGTGCAGGCGTTAAAGGAAGTTGCAAAGTTGCCATTAATTCATCAGGTGTAATCTCTGATTGCCCTAGGGATTTTTGTCTTATTATTGCTCCAGCCCTTGGGCTTGGCTTTGCAGTTCTTACTTCATCTCTGCTCAAATTTCCATAACTTCTATTAAAAGAAGAATTATTAAAATGGCGTGATCTGACGTGGACTCCTGGTGACCTGTGAGTTGATCCAGGCCCAGGAAAGGCGAGCCACATGGCGATAGTTCTCCGGGGTGGGTTTTTTGGCTTGGGTTGACCCTTGTCCTTTTTTCCTTACCTACAAGTTAACCCTACTGGCGCAAGGTCCCGATACCACTCCATGAGAGCATTATTGAACCTGTGATACGGTTCTGACAGGTCATGGAGAAGGCAGAAGGCGGTTCCCCTGTACTCGGAGCCCTGTCAGAGGTTGAAGGAGCTTTCTGCTGAGATTCGGAGACCCTGACCGGATGGGGTGGCTTCCCCGAAGACCTTCGACGTCACCATTTTTTGGTGACGTCAGAAAGGGAAAAAGTGGTATGAGGATAGCGCTTAGCGTCGCTGCGAAGCTATCCGTGGGACGGCGAGGGCTGAAATAATCCCTTAAGACCCGCTATAACATATATCTAATCTAATCTAATCTATTAAAAGAGCCATTCAACTTAAAAGTTGAAATATTTGAGGAGTTTAATGTACTATTAGGCGAAACCTTGTCAGCAAAAAACTGTTCTTGCTTTCTACTTGTAGGAGTTTGTTGCTTTGGCGTAGGCATGTCGCTAGCAATCGTGGATCTTGAGGTTGGGTTTTTTGCTTTGGTACTTATGGGCATTAAGCTTTTCCTCAGGGTAGCTCCAGGTAATAATACCTTTTGCTTTGAAATTCGTGTGTGAGGAGATTGCATGGAACTATTCATTTCTATTAGTTTATTACGATTTATTTTCACTGATTTTCTGGGGAATTTTAAAAACTCTCAATAATCCGTTGGCTAAATTGAAAAGTAAATATGACAGGGAAAATCACAATTTACGAGTTATTAAACTAAATAGAAATTATTGTTTTAATTGCTGCTTTATAATTTTTATTGGCGTTTTTTTTGATAAAATTTAAAAGTGAAGATGATTATTTTCACCATATTCTTATACCTATATTAATGAACTGAGAATTTAATATATTCAAAATAGCTTCATTTTTTGCATCTTAATTGGGCATAATATTAGTTTCCTATTTTTCCACGTAAAGCATTATAAACATTTAAGATTAGTCTTAACACTGATTAGATTTGAAAAGAGTGCAACTCATCATGTAGCGACTCAATTGCTTCTGCAAACTCTTGCATCGTAATGTCTTTCGATGTCGTAGAGTTATATTGACTAACCCCTTCAGAAGTCTGCTCTGAGCTTAATTCTTCTTTTATTGGTGTTGGACCAAACTTCTCTTCTTTTAGCCTCCTAGCAGCATGCTGTCTATCAAGGAATTTAGAAACCCCTCTTAGCGACGATATGTCTTCTTCTATAAAATATTTTAAATCATTTATTTGTGGTGTAAAAGTGCACCCTTCTAAATCTTTTTCAAGATCATCATCTCTTTTTTGTTTTATTTTCTGTTCTTTTACTTTCCCCCAGCTTAAAAGTCTGTCAATTGTGCTTGATTTGTCAGGTCTTTCTTTTGTTGGGGTAATTGAAGGCTTAAAAGTGCATTCTTTGTCTTCTTTTTTGGACTCTTCTGCTTCTTTTCGTATTTTTTCAAGCTTTATTTTTTGCTCGTGACCTTGGAGATATAAAGCTTCCCAACGATTTTGCTTTGAAGGAGTTGTCAACTTGTTAGCAATTTTCGCTGATTTTTTGTTGATTTCAGGCTTAAAAGTAAGTGATTCTGTATTATTTGTGGCCTCACGGGCTGGCTGAGTTAAAAGTCTTTCTTTTGCACTGCCAAGCTTTTTGGCAATAACCATTGACTTTTTGCTTAATTGTGGCTGAAATGATGAGCTGCTTTCTTTAAGCGGCGATTTATCTCTCAATGGAGATTTTGATGAAGATTTAGAGTAACTATCTGCTAGTTTAGGCTTATTTCCTCCAAATGAAGGATGCTTTTGGTGCTGCGATTGCATTTGTATAGCTTCATTCAGCTTAACTTCTTGGACATACGTTTCTTTTCCAAAGGATTCTAATCGATGATGCTCAGGAATTTTAAAAGTTCCTGATGATTGCTCAGGCTCTGCATTTGCTTGGCGATTTAAAAGCTTTCCTAGACTGTTAAAAAATGTTTCTCCTATTTTTTGAGCCTTTTCTTGTGCTGTTTCATTCTCAGCACCTGATTTTGGCCTTTGTTCTTGGTAATTGAAAGGTTTTTTCAGGGGCATTTCATTATTTGATGCTCGATTGTTCTGTCTAGAATTGAGTGGAATTCTGCTGGAAAAGTCAGGAATACTGGGATTCTCCTTGAATGGTGACACTGTTTTAGCTTCTTCCATCCTGCGATCAAGACGAGCTAATATACTGTCAATTTGGGAGCATAATTGACTATCTTCAGACATTTTAACCGAAGTTGTTTAAGAAAATATTAATTCAAAGTAAATAAATGAATAAAATATAGTCATAATGAATTTGAATCGACTAGCTGTATTATATGGGGTTTTTAGGCTTATTTTATTATTTGATTAGGGGGGAGGATAATAGCCTATTTATCAGGCAAAACCCAGTTTGTGAATCATTTGAAAGATTATATTTTAAAAGCGAAGTTTAGCTTTTGAGATATGTTCCATAAATCGGGAAGGTTGAATTAAAGGATATATATAAATATTTAATAATTTATATAAAATTCTTGACTTTTTTACGCCTTGCCATGATGCCTATATAAGGATAAAGTTCTATGATTATTTATATTTATGTAAACACAAATTTTGGATATAAAATATTACGAAATTTCCTATGATTACGTTCATCTGGTGTGAAAAATTATGGCAGTAAATAGCTTATATATTTACTTAGAATTAAGCTCATAAGCATCTCCTTATAGGCATGCAGATTTTAATTCGGCTTATAATCATTTTGAATGGTGCAAAAGCAAAAGATATGGAATTTTATTGTTTTTTATTTTAGCTTTCAGAATTATAATTAATGTAAATGGAGTTCTCTGAGTTTTCATAATTATGTATTATAATGTAATTAAAAGATTACTCAATATCATCAAAACTATTACATATAAGTTGCTTTCTTTATATTAAATCTTGTTTATAATCTTAATGAATTAATTTCTGAATCTTTTAAAACTTTTCGTGGATTTATATCATCAACTCTTAAATATATAATTAATTTTAGTTAATTTTTTTTTATGAATAAGCTAGCTCTTAGATCATCGAGAGTTAAATAAAATCCATTTATCTTCGAATCCATTTTTATTATTATTTATCGTCCATTCTTATACTTTTAAAATTCAAGGTCTTTTATAAAATTGCATCAATTTTTGTAATATTTTCTTCTTTGCAAAAAGCTCAATATCAAATTAAATTCAATTTTTTAACTATAATTAGTTTATCAACCCTCTTTTTCAGATAATTCAATAATATTCACCATATGCTAATAGATGAAATACTTATCAGTAAGAATAATCTTAACAAATTTTAATCAGTCCCCCCGTCCTTGATCGAACGGCCTACCATCGTTCGATCAAGGATGGGGGTTAAAAAATTTTATCTATAAAATAAAAAAATTTTTTTTATATACTTTTAAATAAGAGGGTTAAGAGTATTAATAATTATTTTTACAGCAAAAAATTGAATTAATTTCAAAAAAAAAACCAATTTTTAATATTTTGATTTTTTGATACCCCTTTAAGCTGTATAAATTTTTAATTTATTCCTTATTGAATTCAAAATTTTAAATTTTAAAAGAATCTCTATTTTTTAGATTATTAAGTTTTTAATCCAGGTTGATGACTAAATCACTTCGGATGGTTGATTCCGTAGCTTCATGTTGTTACAAAGCCTCTGATAACAACTTGATTAGGCACATCTTCCCAAGCTTTTATAACTAATATATTTTTATATATATAAAAATTTTGCATGATATGAAAATCGTTCAATCAAGGACGGGGGTTAAATTCCCCAATTTTTATGAAATTTTTACAGTCAATCGTTCGATCAAGGGTGGGGGTGAGTCAGAAAATTACCACTATAAATATAGCTGACAATAAAATAATTGTCAGATCTTAATTATTACTGAATTAAAAAAAATTAAAATCAGTTTCTGAAATAAAAAAGCATCAGAAAAATTTAATTCCACATAAAATAAAAATGCTGATACAAATTTTATTAATTAGAACTGAAATTCGTTGAGATTAATTGCAGTGCATATTAATTCAAAAATTGGCATTATTGATTAAAACAAATTTACGCCTCATAATTTTTTGTCTAACCAAGAGGATTGCCGAGCATGTTTTAGAACCTGAAAAAATCTTTGCGCACAAGCCAATCAGTGACAGTTCTCTCCTTCCAGTTTGTTGTGCTAATTTGTCATTAAAGATTACTGATCTTTTATGATTGTTTCGTGGCTTGCATAGCCAAGCCGAAACGATTTGTATGCATAAGACTTATGAAAAGCTAAGTTAATCTCTCAAAATTTAGTTAATTTGCATCTCTATAATTCTTCAGAGAATTTGTAAGCTGCAGATGCTTGTCCTCAGCTTAAATGGTGGACTATCTGGGTTAGGCATGCACGTTATAAAGTAAAACAAAATCTTATAATATCCTTATCCCTCTCTTTTAAATTGAAATAAGTAAATCTGTTCTAATAATTAAAATGGAGTCAATGCTAAAAGGAGATAAATTTTATAAATCATGTAAATTGCCTTTAATTTGTTCCTATTTAAAGGAGAGTTAAAAGAATCCAATTTTAGAGAAATCAGCCTCTATTTGTTGACATAAATTTATACTCTTAGCGCTGAGTTGATTTTGAACATTTTTTAAGAAATTAAATAAATATTAAACTTTCTTATAATGCTTAATTTAGTCGCCACTTACGTGTAGACAATAAATAGCGATAGTTTACGAAATAGAGAGAATGAAAGCATTTCAGCTTTATATCTTCACCTAACAAAATAATTTTTGTATTTTTAATAGGGAAATGATGCGAACAATATGAAAACCTGGTGTCCACTAATTTTATAAGAGATTTAAACTAATATTAAAAGCAAAAACATGTTCGAAGAGGCTATTAGACCAGTCGAAATCGGTAATAAAGTATTGCCTTCAGTGATTTGTCCTCTATTAGCAAGTAATCCAAAGATTAAAAACAGTGTACAATGCGAGGACTGTAATCTAGTTTTCAGGTCTACAAGAGACCTAAATATCCATCTAAATTTTACAGGCAAGATAGAAGATTATGCCCAACAGGCAGAATATCTCAATTATTAAATATAGATTCAGGATATGTAGCCTCAAGTGCATATTTAATTATATCCGGCAAGTTTGCTAACCCAGAAAATTGACAGCAATGCTAGGTATAGAAGTTTCCTATGTTTGGCGCTGTAAGGCCGATAAATTCTGATCGGAATTTATCGGTAGGTTGCACCAAAATCAATGCCTTGGTCGGACCAAAAAGCGATTTGGTCCGACGAACTTGGAAAGCTCCTGGGAAAATGTCTGCGCTTTTAGCGCTATATAGAGGAAACCTCTATAAGTAATTCCAGCAGTTTATGGAGCCTAGCCCTAGCCCTGCTATCATAATTAGATTATATCCATGGAAAAGGGAAGCATGGAGTTGGCTCAGTAAAGTCTATTTAGGCCAGTTGGGCAGCTCTCTAAGATTAAACCAGGAGTTAGGCGAGTTTCAAGTTTTCCTTTTTGTCGAGAGCAGTTAAGAAAATCCTTGCTTTTGAATTTTCCATGCAGGCAGCTCACGTGCATTAAAGAAAGTAGTCATCCATGACATAAAAAATATCTTATAGCATCATCTTAAACATTTAGCTGTGATCAACGCAGGCTGGCCGGTGGTCTGAAGCCCCTTACGTACAAGAAAGGTAAAAAGTTCCGTAGTCGATATAAAGTAATTAATATAAAAACAGAATCTCTTAAAGATCCCAGCACATCGTCTTCAAGTGAATTCTTTTCACTTGGAAAATATTTCTGTGCTGAGTGCAAAATTATGTTCAAGTCTTTAAAAGGGAAAAAGCAGCATATAGGGAAGGTTCATAAGACCAAATACAAGCATTCGAGGTGCCCGACATGCAATAAAAAATTCAGAAATAAGTATGCAGTGAGGTTCCATGTTAAACAAGTTCACGATAAATCGACTAGAGCTCGTTGCCCAAACTGCCAGAAAGAATTTTATAACAAATATCTTATTACTTCTCACTTGGCGAAGTGCCAAGTCTAAATCACCCTTCGTGAGTGAATAAAACTATTGAATATCCTTATTTTTTGGTAAAAACTACTCGTGATAAAACAAAAAAATTTTTATAAAAAAAATATCGATATATAAGTGATAATTATTATAACGAAATCTCTAGCTAATTCTGTTTAATTTTAAGTAGCTTGCATTTTACAACATAAATTTTTAAAATTTAATTAAAAAATGGCCTTTTTTTAAATTTTAAAAAAAAATCTACCATAAAATTATATATTAATTTTTAAACAAAACAATTAATCGATAAATATATTTTTGTTTGCTCCACGGAGAGGTGTAAATAAATAAAATTTTACCACAAATTAAAATGATTTCTATCAAAATTTTCGCAAAATTTATGCGATCTTTCCCCGTTTATTCAGGTTTTGAATTAAATTGCATTTATGAAGATGAACAGAATTTTATAATTTAATTAAAAAAAACAATGGATTATTTAAAGTTTCAATAAATCTAAGAAATAATGGTTTAATGGTAACTTAATAGATCCAAAAAGATAGGGAATAAATGAAAATAAAAAAAACAAAATTTCTTTTTTTTCTCTTTGCTCAAATGCAATGCAAAGAAATCGCTTTTAGCGCAAGTTGCAAATTTAGCAATTATTTTGTTTATTGATTATTTCTTCGGAGCAAGTGAATGAATATTTCCCAATAATTCGATTGTCGTTTTCCAATCAAGTTTTAAAATGAACCATAATTTTTGCAATATATATTAATAAAATCTAAAGTAACTTACCAAAAAAACAAATAACGCTAAAGATTTTACTATTTTTTTAAATCCAATTATTAATGATTTTAATCTTTAAAAAATAAAAATATTAAATATCTATTAAGAAATAAAGAGTTATTTATTTAGATTGCTTCTCTTTAGAAAATGCAAAGAAGAAGAACTGAGGCCTTCCTGGAGCAGCAGTATCTCGTAGCTGGGATTTATCTTCTGGAATCGCTTCATTTGAAAAGCGAATTAATAACTCTTCAAGACCGAGCTCGCTCTTTGCATACTGCTCAATAGTTTCCAGTAAGGATTTTTCATCAAATGGTAAAGTCAGCTCAAAAGCATCAATTCCTCTTGTTTCATAATCTCTATAAGCAAAAGAAGCGAACTGCATAGCTTTTTGTAATCCTGCCTTAGGAAGTCCTAATTCCTTTATTGCGTTAATATAAGCACTATTAGGTGCATTGGCGTCCCTTGTATAGATTTCTTGCATAATCCTAATTATATTTCTCTGGAGCTCAGGGTACTCAACACTTACATAGACAACAGCTTTCTTTGGCTCTCCTCCTTCTTTCTTTGAGCCCTTTTCTTTTCCCAATCTTGCATTTCTCAATGTTGTTTTAATATATTCTCCTTGTCTAAGAAGGACTGGGTCAACAGGTAATGTCTGAGTTGGGAAAGGCTGATTAATGACCAAGCCTCTTTCTCTGTTTAATTTTTCATTGAAAAATTGCCAATTGCTTTCACTGAAGTGAGGGGTTATAGGAGCCATCAATAGAACTTGAACCTCAACATATCTGATAAATAGATCAACATGGAAACTTCCAGCCATAATCCTATAGTCCTCTTTGCTTGAGATTAAATCATAAAATGATGTGATCAGTAAGTCTCTGAAATTCATTTTATCATAAAATTTCCTTGCTTTTTCAACTGTATTGTTCAGCTCGTTTTCAAATAGGGAATCAAAGAAGGTTTTCTCGCCAGTTCTCATTGTAGAAATTACTTCTACATTGTCTTTAATCCAGTCGTGGAGAGTATAAAGTTTCAAGATTGCTGAGTCTGCTGTAGATTCTAAGAAATTTGCGTCTTCAATTGTGTCTCCAGCTTCTGCTAATGCAATTCTGGTAGCATCAGCTCCATATCTAATCAAACAGTCTTGGATTGTCATGAAATTACCAGTGCTTTTTGACATTTTTTCGCTGTTTAATAATAAATGTCCGTTGCAGAAGAAAGCTCTTGGCCAGAGATTTGGCTTATCGTCCCATACTGCTGCATGGTTATAAAGACTCATAGTGAGATGGTTCCTGATCAAGTCTTTTCCTGAGCATCTTAAATCAAGTGGATACCAATAGCTGAATTCCTGTCTCAATTTGGCTAAAATTTCTTTGCTAATTCCAGAAGCTTCTGGGTATGTATCAGATTTTAAGAAAATATAGTCCCATACCTCCCTTGTCATTTTTTCTGGAGGTATCTGAGCTGGTCCACAAACTGAACCATCAATAACCCCTCCTTGAAGCCAATGAGAAATTGTATAGAAGGCCATATAAATTGTAGAGTCTGAAAGAGACTCAATCACCTTTGTAGGATCTTTTGGAAACTGAGTGCCTAAGCCATAGCTTCTTGAGCAAGCCCATTCTTTTAGCCATTCTAAAGCTCCTTCAAATTCTTTGTGGATTGTGGAGTTGAAAGTGTTGAAGTGGTTTTGAACATGCTCTTGGACTGCGGTTTTCCACTGCTCTTCGCCATAAGCTAAGTACCATTGATCTACTAACTCCTCCCCTTGGAGTCGACAAGGCTTTTTGATTAAAATTCTTTTTTGAAATTAGGCTGATATTAAATTATCAATTATGAAATGAAAATCTAATTTAATTTTTAGCACTACTTGTCTTAAATTTATAAAACACTCTTGAGATTCCATTATTATAATTATTAATTATATATTAAATATAGTTTTTACCCAAAATATATTGAAACAAGTTTTACTCTATAACCAAGCTGTTTTGGTCACTAATAAGAAGGAAGAGTAATGCGACAATGCACTCTTCTCCACTTCTTGACATGACAGTGCTTTCAGGCTCATAATAAACAGCGGCTTGTCCTGCTTGGATTAGTTCTTGTCTCACTAGAGGCTTAGCAACACTAACTTTTTGGCCTGCATATGGGCCAACTATCATCACTCCTTCATGAAATCCTTTTAAGTAAACTCTGCTTTTGGCTTCAGCGAGGAGCTTTTTGTCATTTTGTGAGTAAAGTTAGTAAGATAACTAATTCACAACTCGTCTTATGTTGTCTGAAGCGTTTATGTGAGATATGACTTCTGCCCTGAGCAAACTGATTGGCAATTATTCGAATGCTAGAACTTCATTCGCCTCTAGATTCAAAGAACATTCTTCTTCCGCTACCCAGTGCCAGTGGGTAATATCTCTAGGTTAAAATCTCAAAATAACCTAAACCCCCTTAACTGAGCCTGACGGAAGCAACCTTACCAGGACACCTCCATTTTAATTGCATTTTTTTTGTGAGTTAATTTTGAGCTCTTCACATAGTCTTACAGCAGCTGTAGTACCAAGTTCCGGGATATCAATGATTGGAACAACCTCATAATTTACCATTTCTTCAGTGATTCCGTATTTTTCTCTCAGTGCTGGCTTGTTCTTTAAATCTCTGAGGGCTGCATAATCATCTGGAGCATCACTAGGGACGCTAGTTACAACTCCAGTTCCTTTATTCATTGAAATTGACATCATTGGGAGTGAGTAAACCACATCAAATGGAGCTAGAGGGGCCTTCAAAGGCAGGCCTAGAATTTCAGTTCCTTTCAAGTCCAATAGTTTGGTATATTCTCCATGGGCTTGAGTCAGTCCTTGATAAGCCATATTCTTCATGCTTCTTTCAGAGCAAATAAAGACTTCGTCATTTTTCATAAGGAATGCGCCATAGTTTCCTTCAGGTAAAATGAAGCAATTTGTTTGTCCGTACATTGTTTCAGTTCTCAGTGTTGCTGCTGCTAAAAATATGTTCTTTCCGTCTAGTTCAGCTAATCTGCCTTTATAAGGTGGGAGGACTTGGATTTTGATCAAGGTATATTCTTGTGGGTCAACCCCTTCACCAGTTTGTCTGTCATGATCTGCACATGGACCACCATCGCGGATTGAGTAAACTGTGTATCTTTTTCCGTACTTAATTTTGTCTTTTTCTATACCCATTTATAAGAATATTGGTAAAATTTTTTATCTTCTTAGCCCTCGCTTGGTTAGCGGGTAAAGCTATTAAAAAAAATTTTTGTGAAAACTAATTCCTCTGACTACTCTGATTAACGATCAAAAAATTGTTTTAATATAAATCTTTTTAGTGCAATAATTAATGATTAAAATAATGAAATATTAGATATATAGCGTTATAGACTATAAATTTATAAATTAAATTATATTTTTGCTTTGAAATATTATAAATTTGGATTTTAAATGCAAAAAAATAATATTTATATATTTTAATATTAATTTAAAAAGAATTAATCCCTTTAGTTAACGAACAAGAATTTTTGTGCTCAATATAGCCTAGACATTGATATAGATCGGCATAAGCTGGGAGAATCTCAGCAATTCTCGAGTTGGTTTTCCAACAAAGTTGGCATACCAACTCGAGGAGTTGACGAATGCCTTATATAGAGTCCATTTGCCAACTCCCCATGATTCGTCAACTTTTTTGGAAAACCAACTCGAGCAATTTGTTAGCATTCTCCCAGCCCAGCTCGATCTATTTCGTTTCCTGGACTATATCATGGGAGAGGGTTATAATAATAGTCCACAAGTAATTAAATAGCAATTCACTCAAAATAAATATATCAGATTTGCAAAGTGCCACCTTACGAAGGAATCATAGTAAGGGTTCATATCTGTGGTTATAAATGAGCGTCTCCAATCAACAGCAGCCCCGAACTGGTGTAAGTCAACCTTAGCTCTTGGTGGGAAGTAAGTTAGCCAGTGTTTGGCGTCTTGGAACTTCGGGATTTCTTCTTCTGGAACTCCCATTTTGTAGAGTGCTGTATACTGTGGTGGCTTTTCGCCTTCTTTGATCTCTTCATTGAGCTCTCTTTTCAGCTTGTCGGCACAGGCCGGAATAGGCATCCCAGTTACATGAAGACCAAATGGCAATAATACGTTTTTCCCAAGCATTCTTTGATAGCGAGCTGTAAACTCACACTTACTCCCTTTACCTTTAAATTATAACAAAGCATCCTGTACCATCTTAAGGGGATAATTTTTTCCATTATAAAATGAGTGTTTTCACCTACAAAATTTTCTAATTGGAAAAAATTGTTCTTATTTAAAGGGGGTTAAAGTGCCCGAAAAATGAAAATTTACCTTATTTTGTTCTAATTTAAAGGGGGGGAGTTAGAGAAGCTGAATGCGTGGCCCAGGTGGAGTCTTCCATTCATATAAGGGTATGGGAAAGTAATGAAGTACTTTGGCTTGGACAAATCAACTTCGGCTTCATACACGTGCTGGTTCTCCCAAAGGTCTTGTATTTCGTGCTCCACTTGTTTCAGAAATTCACGTCTTTTTGTGTTCTTTGCTGCAGTCTCCATTAACAGAATTAGACGCTTTATTTTATTAAAATGGTAGAAATGGCACTATTAGTTAATGGTTTATTTAATTTAAGCCTCTGTCAATCCTGTTTTTCAATATGATAGCTGTTTCATAAGCAGGATTTCCTGGCTGAATTGATAGGTTTTTGCTTTCCAGCTGGCTCCACATTTCTTTTACTGGGACAAAATAAGGATGATCTATTGCTTCTTTTGGCAAAATCCTTTCATTCGGGTTATATTTTAATAAATGAGACAGAAAATCAATCGCAAGAGGGTTAGCTAAGTGCGAATTTTTACTATTCACAAATTTTTGCCATGGCTGTTTTTCATGCCTTCCCACCATTCCTTCAAGCTGAGGGTCAAGCTCGATTTCGTATTTCGCTAAATATCTATACAACTCATTTGTCCCTAAAACTTTAGCAATTTTCACCAGTTGGTCCATATTGTCGTGGCCATGGAAAAAAGGCTCCTTCATAAATATCATTCCAGCAAACATTGCTCCTAAGCTCCACATGTCAAGGGAGTAGTCATATAATTGGTCATCTACTAATAGCTCTGGACCTTTAAAGTACCTTGATGCCACTCTTACGTTCAGCTCAGTCTTAGGGTGATAAAACTCAGCTAAACCCCAATCAATGAGTCTCACAAGCCGCTTTTCATGGTCAATCATGACATTGTGAGGCTTTACATCTCTATGCATAATTCCTAAGTTAAGTTAAGATTCAAGGTCATAAGGGGATAGACCACTAGCCTGCCTATCTCGCGTAAATCCACCTAAGCTAAGGATTAGCCCCTAGATCAGAACAACCTCTTGCGGATGCCCCTTAGTCTAATAAGCAAAGACTAAGTGGGAGGCAAAACCTGTCTAGCCCATCTGGCAGAGACAGGGAAAACCTCCGGGGGAAAAATAAAATTTCCCTCTTTGACAGGCATCCCCAAACCTAAGGCCTACTTCAAAAAGTGACAGAGTCACTATTTCAGCTTCATAGGAACAGCCCTACCTGCTCTATAGGTATATATCTTGGAGTCCATCTTCCGCCGATGTCACCATTTATTTCTATAATTTCTAAGGAATGGCAAAAATCCAAAGCTTTTAGAAGCTCAAAAATATAGTAACGAACCTCAAAGTCAGTCAGTTGTGGGTAAAGCTGCTTGAAATTGAAATTATTTACATGCTCAAAAATAAGGGAAGGAGTCTTTGAGGCTGGATCTCTCACTATGTCGAGGAGACGCACGATGTTTGGGCCTCCTTGAAGGTTTTGAAGAATTTTGATTTCTCGCTTGATTTTGGCTTTTTTTACTGGCTTGAGAATCTTTATCACAACTTTTTCATCAGTCGCTGAATTAATTCCATCAAAAACTTCTGAATATTTACCATGACCAATCTTCCTGATGATTTCGTAGTTGTCTTGCTGTCCCCATCGAATTGTGAGGTTCTCATAATCAGAATGTTCAGGTCCTAGCTGAGCATTTATATCTGCATAGAGCCTTGGTCTTCTAGCCATATTTCCTTACTCTGATCTATTTTTTTTACTATTGAAATATTTTATTTAAAAATATTTACAGAAAAATTTATTTATTAATTATCAGAGATTAGAAAATAATTAAATTTTAAATGAATTTACGTCTTATTATATTTCGAATTTGAATTTTTATGAAATAACTATTGAAAATGCATTTAATTATGAATAGCTTTACTTAACCTCCTCATACTCTGAAAGCAGCCCTTGGCCAATACAAACCGATATTCCGAACACACATCCAGCAGCAACTACAAAGCCTAAAAGTGTATAATCAGTAATTATTAAAACTCCAGCTGCAGTGTATCCTTCAGGATAATCATCACTGCAATCTCCATCAATGGCCCATGAAGTGCCTAATGCAGCCCAAGTAACACAAAATAATATCCAAAAAGCAAGTCCAATCCTTTTGGTGAATAAATAAATCAATAACAGTCCAGGTATCACACTTGCTTGAACGATTAGCCATGCTCTTACAGGATCCTCACAATCATTAGAAGAAGATAAAAGGGCATATAAGCTAGCCGCAAGACTAACTGTCGCTTGGCAGCATAAAATCCCCAGTCAAAATGTGCCTAAATATGACAATATCGTTGCTAAAGACAGCTTTGTCATAAAATATTTTTAAGAAATACACTAACTGTTATTAAAAATATAAAATAATAAAGAAGTTACAAAAGAGCTTTATATTTCCTTCCTTTGTGCGGGGTTTTCGACCGCAAAAGCGGAGCTATACGGGAGCCTTTATCTCTTGTAGTTTGAGATGTGATTGGTCTTGAAATTTCACTAGACATCTCTGTCTGCTTAAGAACATCTGTGGCCTCAGCTATTATAGATTCAAGATCATTTTGCTTCCAAGGCAGGTTTTCAGACACAGAGTCCCAGCAATTTTTTAGCATTTTTCCTTTGAGCTCAATCAGCTCAAGTCTATTGAACTTTTTATTTCTGTAATAAAGAGGTGTTGGTCTATAAGTCATGGCAGTTCTAATTCCTGATAAAATTGAAGTAGCGCCTCCACAAGCGAGACATTTTTTTTGAAACGTAAAATTTGCAGAAGGCAAAGTAGACTGAGGCAGAGGCTCTGGAGTCATTTTTGGCTTTGCTAAAGCAAGCTCACTAGACAGCTCTTTTTCTAGATTTTGGACAGTCCCATGCCTATCTTCTTCGTCTTGAGCAGCCAATGCTTGTTCGATTTGAGCATTTTCTACAAGGCATACAACCATCTGTACAAGGCTATGCAAAGAATTCCTTAAACCACTTGATTCTTTTTTAAGCTCTTCAGCTTCTTTTTTCAGCTCAGAATTCTCCAAAATCGTTTCTAGTTTTTCTTTTTTTGTCCTTTCATCTAATGCTTCTACATCACCCAATACTTGTTGGATAAATAGCATGCATTCATCGGTGCTTGATTTCAATGACGCTTTTATAGTTGTGGTTTTTTCGTTAATTTCTTGCCTGAGCTTGTATTCAGCTAATCCAATTTGTTCTTCTAGCATTTTTTCAAATGTCCCATGCATGTCTTCAGCAATTCTTTCTCTGTTGTAAGGGGAATATTCTTCAATAGCAGAAAGCTGCGTTGTGGTGATATGTCCATTGGATTCTTTATGACTATGCCCAGTGGTTTCGCTGAGCCCAGATTTAATTGAGGAGCTTCTGTCCCATTTTCTATTTTTTTTCTCAGCAAGAGTTTCCATTTTCCTTTGTTCTACATGTTTGAAATTTTCTAATATATTTGATACAGCTGTGTCTATTGGGTCTGGAATTTTACAGTCTAGAGCATCATTATGCAGCTCTCTTAATTTGAAGTTTTCAAATTCAGCTAGCTTTCTTCTTGTTGGCGGGTCTACAATATTGTAAAGGACGTCTGAGACATATGCAGCAACATTTATTGGTAAAAACTTCTCAATAAAAATATCTCTTTTTTCTATATCACCTTTAATGCCAGTTATCCCTACTTCAAGTTTCTTAAACCTCTCTTCAGTTTTAGCTCTTTCATCTTCGAATTCTTTATTTTCTACTTTTGCTACTTGTAGTTCTCTTAAAAAATTAGATAAATTCAGGTATTCTATTTTAGATGCTTGGATCATTTGTTCTTGTTTTTTTAGATCTATTGCTTGTGTGCTGATTGAATGCAAAGCTTGTATTGATCTTTCGTCAGCTTTTTTGGCAATTTCAACATAAGTTTTATTCAGTTCTTTAAAGCTGTCGGTTAGCGAGCCTATTTCTCCAAGAATCAATGTTTTGTTATCCTCTATAAGTATTTTCAGTTGCTGCATATCTAAGTTCATTTTTTCATTCATGTCTTCTAAATGCTTAACTGTTTCTTGAAAGCCAGAAAGCTGAGAATGGAAAAACCTGAGTTTTTCTTTTGATGTTGCAAATTCTTGATCGAACTTAACAATGTCTTGTTTTCTACAGCCTTCAATTTCAGCAATTTTGGAATTCATAGTAAAATAAGCTGATTCAGGAGAATTGCTTCCTAAAACTGCTTTTTCGAGCTCTTCAATCCTTTTTTCAAGTTGCATAGTTGTAATTTTCAGTTGAGTTTGAGATTCTCTGTCTTTCACAGCTTTTACTCCAATACTAGAGAGCTGTTCGTGGAGTAGGTCTCTCATTCTTGTTTCTAAGTTAAACCATTCCAGCTCTCTTGTTGAATAAGTTTCTGCCATGAGAAGTTAAATTTAATTGACAAATAAATTAATTTTCACCTTCAAATAAATGAAATAATTTAATAACATTCAACAAAATCTTACAAATCCTAATAAAAATTATCATGTATTATTTAATTTCTTGCAAGAATGTGCTCTATTTGTAATAACCTATTAAGTTTAATAAAACTTTATTTATCGAAAAACGTTTTTGAAAACTTCAAAATTATTTGAACATTTGAATTAAATACATCTATGCTAAAAGGTTGAAATATTGCTTACTCCCACCTCCCTCCGTGAGTGAACAAAACCATTGGAAAAATCGCTATTTTTTGTCCAAAAACCCACCCTCCGTGAGTGAACAAAAATTTTTTTAATAGAAAAAATTTTTTTTTTATGAAAATAATTTGATATATAAGTGATAATTATTATAATGAAAATCTCGAGCTAATTCTGTTTAATTTTAAACAATTTGCGTTTTAAAACATAAAATTTATAAATTAAATTAATATTTGCTTCCCAATTTTTGCAAAAATTAAGATTTTTTTTAAAATTTTAGAATTCTATAAAATTTATATATAAATGTTTTTAAAAACAAAAAAATAACCCCCCTTCGTGAGTGAACAAAATTTTTTTGTTCACTCACAGAGGAGGGGAATTAGTATCAAAGAACATCTTGTATAAAGGACTCCGCGATTCAGAGCAATTACAATTAATCGATCGATTTAAATGCATGAAGGCTAATCTTAATATTTGAATCATTGGATCAAGCTGGGTATGATAAGCGACATTGTTTAGATTATTTAATGGGTCAACAACTATAAGCTTGTGAAATTGATCCTATATTATTTTTACTGTTGGGTATTGGAAAGGGTTTTCTGCTGGATTCTCAGGATCATAACAAAATATTGGGGTGAGATATTGGAAATCAATGGAATAATATTTCAAAATTTGGTAAAATATTTCTCCTAAGTTTTTGCTTGAATTTGAATTTCTTTTTCGTCACTTTTCTTTTTGTGATTGAAAATAGCTTGCTACCATTAAAAATAGAGAATAGCTGCTTAAGCCTCCATTATAAGGCTCCTTGTACCCGCAAAGGTAAAACAATTGCTTTAAAATAAGAAAAATCGGTTTGATATTCCCATACACCGCTTGCACTCTGTTAACAAATGAGCAGCATTGAATTCCTGTGTGTTTTATATCTTGAACTGTGATATCCATTTGTATTGTTTTCCCACTTAATTCACATTTAAGTTTAATTATTGGAACAACTGCCAGAGATATTAAAACTGTTTCCTTTACGTATGACTGCCTTTGTAGCACCTGTTCCAAAAGTCTTAAAAATTCTTTTTTGTCTCCTTCGACATTTGTGATGACCATATCAATATCACTTGAAGGCAAATGCATTTTTGTTACAAAGCTTCCATAAGGCTCAAGTCTTGCCCCTTGAAAAGTTTTTTCAACAAGAATGCTGATTTTTGAGCAAATTTCGTTAAAAATAGGCTCGAGTTTTTGCTGTCAAGCTTCTCATTCTTGCATAAAGTTGCAGATGTCTTCTTGCAATAAACTTATGATCTCAGGCTTGGGTGTTGAATTATTATTTTTTTCTCGAAAGAATGTGACTTTTCTTTTCGTTTTTTTGCTATTTTTATCTGTACTTTTGGACTCTTCTTCAAGCTTATCTCTCAGCATTTCATTTTCTTGGTTCAGCAGTTTTAATGAATGCTTTAAATTCAAAATTTGTTCTTTGGTGCTTTCTAGTTCGTCTTTTAAATCTTCAGCAGCTTTTTCACATTTTTCTACTTCTTCCTTTCTTTCATTATCTTTTTCCACTATTATCTCTTGAAGTTTTTTATTCTTTTGTTTCAAACGGTCAATTTTTCCAGATTTTATTTCTAAATTTTCAATTTTCTTCTTAATTTCACTTTCTAGTTCCTCATTTTTTGCATTTAGCTCTTCGATTTTTTTTATCCTTAAATCACTCAATTCTTCAATTTTCTTTATCTTCATCTCATTTTTTTCTGCACTTTCATCATAACAAAACTTGCATATTTCTGCAATTCTTGCATTACAATTACAGCATTGGACTTCTTTGTCCTCTGGCATGGATTCATAGCCTCCACTAGATTCTGACTGGACTTCTTCATTTTCACTCATATCAGATTTCGTCAATGGTGTCCCTGATGACTGTGAAAACAGCAATTTCAAATTTTCTGAGGCTTCATCATACGGGCTTTTCCCACAATTATTTTTCATATCAATCTTTGCGTTCCATTTCAGGAGCAACTCCACACACTGTTCATGGCCAAACCGTGCAGCAAAATGCAGCGGTGTGTCTTTATCCTTATTCTGCGCATTGAAAAACGCAGCACTATCAAGCAGCGCTCTCATAGAGTTCACATATCCTCTTTCTCCACATTTATGAAGCGCAGTGTTTCCATTAGCATCTTTTGAGTCTACCTGAGCTTTGCAATTCAAAAGCAACTCAACGACATCAACGTTGTCCCCATAGTCGCTTTCACAAACATACATCAAAGGCGTCCTACTTTCGTTGTCTTTATCATCAACAGGGGCGCCATATCGGATCAACAAATCTGCCAACTGAATTTGTCCCATTTTAGCTGCGTGCATTAACAAAGAGACCCCTGAGTCTTTGTGACTGGGATTTGCTGAAGAATTCAAAAGGGCTTCCACACAGTGAAGATGATCAGATGTGGACTGAGATCTGCTGACTGCTAAATATAAAGATTGATTAAGGATATTCTTGTCAATTTTGTGTGCAGATAAAAGCTCACAAAGTTCTTCGTAGTCTCCATCGCTAGCTGCTCGCAAAAGCGAAGTATTGTGGCTTTGGTCTGGATTATCCATAATTATTGCGGAAATTCAGTATTGCTTTCTTACAGGTGAAGCAAAAGCAAGATAGATCGCACCATTTGTGAACAAAAAAAATGATAGAGAAGTAAATAAATCGCAATAAATAACTGATTAAATTTGTAATAAAAGAATATGAATAAGCGCTCCCAAAGCTCACATCGGCAAGTAAAACACGTGAATATCACGATTTCACAGGCTCCAACGACGTTACAGCTTATTAGATTAATAAACCCAAACGACGAAGCTACAATTGATCTTGGAAACATGGTAACCTCTACTTAGAAATCCATTTTAGAGAAAGTCCCTGCATCTTGTAGGGAGAAGGTTCAGAGTATTTTCCATCAGTATATTTTTGATCATAGGACTTTTGAAGTCCCCACTTCACAGTTAGTAAAACTTCTGGGCAGAAATAAGGCAAATGGAAGTTTGAGCCCAAAAGAAAGGGACCATGCGAAGTCAAGGATCCAGCATTATTTTGAAATTTCTCCGACCAAAGTTAGACTAAGCAGCCAGTTAACTACGTCGGAATCGTTTAAAAAACTAAACCAAAGCGTGAGAATGCTATCAAAGGAACGCCAATTCGTTAAAGAAGTCCCGTTATTTGTAGATGAAGTGATAAGCAAGTCTGCCAGCATAAATAACAACTCAGAAATAAGGCCTCATTTGGCTCCTGGGCACTATCGCAGAATTTCAGCTCCAATTCGACCAAACTTGCAATTGGATGTATCCTATAAAGAACTGTATCAAAAAAAGCAAAATTCATCAAAAAAGCACCAAGTATCTCACAAAAAATTGAAGCTGAATCCTAAGTCTATAGAAACCAGTGTAATTCATATATCATCTCCTCTTGATGTTTCCATTGACGAAGCTCCAAAAAGTACTGCAAGTAATTTTAAGGGGATTTACCCGAACTCAGACGAGTTGATTGAAATTCGAAAAAACTTTTTTAGATTGTACAATTCTAAAAATTCGAATTACTAACAGATAGTTAGCGACTTAAATTATTCAAGTCAATCATAAGATTAAATAGTAGGGTTAAAGATAGTCTTTATTAAGAAAATTTGAAAATCTAGCAAATAGGTAGATAAAGGATTTTATTTCAATTCTTAGATTGCTAATTGTGTATTCAGGGTTATGTAAGAAATTTTAGTTGTTATAGAGATGGAATTTTCATTTTTCTTTTAAAAATTGTGCATAATTTTCTAACAGATTTTCATATTTAAAAATTTAAAAATGCTTTTATCGATTATTTTCTATGTCCTGCTTGCTCTTATTGCTTTGTATTGTACATGGCGCACGAATCTTAAGGCAAACTCCCAAATTCCTCCAGCGCCTGTAAAATCACAAACTATTCCTGCTTCGCACCAGGAAAATAAGATCCAGCCTCCATCTCAGCCAATAAAAGTAGAGCGAAAAGCCATTCAGCCTTTGCAAATACAAAATCCAACCAAAAAAGCACAATCTATTCCACCTTCGGAAAATAAAGAAAATATCAACAACTCTGTTTGCTTACCGATAAATGAAGCAAAGTACAATATTGTTTTGAAATCTCAACCGATTTCAAAGCCAGAAGAAAAAAGAAGAGATTTGGAATTTACTTCTTTTATTCTGAAAGAAACAGAAAAGTCAATCGAAGAACTGATAAGCAAGCCTCGAAAACCTTTGGGAAGTATAAGCGAAGGTGCAATGAGAAGATCACTGTATGATCCAAATGTGCCAGAATTCCATCCAAAACTCAGGCTGAATCCTGACGCTCAAGACTTCTGCCCTATAAAATAACTAATATTATTTTTAATATAAAATTTAATAGAACTTTAAATCAAAAAATTTTATTATAAACTATCTATAATTTTTTAGCTTTTTAGTAAAAAATCTAAATACAAAAGAAAATCCTTCTAATGATATTTACCCTTTTATCATATCAGCATTTTTATTTTTCAATTTATGTGATAATAAATTACGTAAAAATGAAATAATTAAGATTATTATGAATGCTTATTGAATAAAGAAGTAAAATGACTAATGAATAAATAAAATGGATACTGCAAATGATGATTCAGAGATTTATTTGAGAGTAATTGACTCTCTTAAAAGACAAATATATGAAACCAAACGACTAATTAAAGAGCAAAAAGTAATTAATAAAGGAGAAGATCTCATATTTAAAAGAAAGATTGACCAATGCAAGGCAAGGCTAGCAGTCAAGAGTCTTAAATTAAAAAAACAAAAGCAAGATGCTGCTGATTTTCTAGAAGAATCTCAAAAGCAATGAAGTCTTGACTACCAACAATGCTTAAATACAATCCAAACCGTCAAAGCTGCTCGGCTGCAGTCTCGCTATTTATTTACCAAAGAACTTATTAAATTATATTCTTCTCTTGGAGCAGAGCCTTTATTATTTAAAAACCTCAAAGAAGGATCCAAGCTGAGACAAGCAATCGATATAGCGCAGTTAGAAAGAACTCTAACCAACGAGTCCGAAGAACTTCAGCAAGTAACTACAGTTATTGATAACGATTATTTGCCGGAATATACAACTGAGTACATTCAATCCGTTATGAAAGGACAGAGCCCAAAAAGTGACAATGATAGGATTGAAACTCAAAGCAATTTAGAACAAGTTAAGCTAAATATTATAAGGTCATAAGTGGACAGACCATAGCCTACCTATCTCGCCTAGACCTAACTGACCTAAGGATTAGCTTCCTAAGTTAGAATATCTCTTGTGGATGCCCCATTAGTCTAATAAGCAAAGATTAAGTGGGAGGTAAAACCTGTCTAGCCCATCTGGCAGAGACAGGAAAATTATTTGGGGCAAAACAAAATATCTATCTTTGGCAGTCATCCTCAAACCCAAAACCGAATAGCTACTTCAAAAATTACAGAGGCATTATTTCCAGTTTCATCAGGACGAGTCCTACCTACTCTATAAAGAGTATGCCTCGAAATCCATCTTACATCGAAGTTGCTATTTTATTTCTCAAGCAATTTAGAAGGAATTAGAGCATTGATAAAGTCTTATGTAACCCGAAGCAAAAAAGACAATATTTTAGACACCGAAGAAAAAAATTATTTAATACAAACCTTGGTTGAAGAGCAAAACCATCGGTAATTAGGAAGTTCAACCCCCTTCATTAGCGAACAAATTTATTTCGATATAAAATTTGGTATATAATGTTAATTGCTATATTAATGAGATCTCCAGATAATTCTATTAAATTTCAAACTGCTTGTGTCCTAAAGCGTTAATTTTATAATTAAATTATTTTTCTTTTCAATGTTACAAATCTAAATTCTAAAAATATTTTAATTAAATTTTTAATATAAAATTTAAGCCCTTAATTAAAATAAATACTCTTTAGAACAGTAAGGGAATTTAGAAAACTTGAAAAAGGCGGAAGATAAGCAAATAGAATTTTCAACTGAAAAAACAATTGAAAAGCTTACAGAGTCATCGCTTGATGAAAAAACGAAAGAAATTACACAAAACTTGTTCTTTCTTCCAAAGTTTGAAGCTGTTTATAGCAGAAGGCAAAGAAAGTACTCACTCCCCCCCTCCGTGAGTGAAAAAAAAATTTTGTTCACTGTTAATTTTTCTTTTTTAAAAAAATTTATATATTATTATTATTAATTATTTTACGTTATATCACGCCTGAGGCGTCTTAATAAAAAAAATTTATATATAAATTTTATAGAAAAAATTGTTTTTCGAAATTTAAAAGAATCTTAATTCATAGCAATATTAATTTAATTTATAAAATTTTATGCTTTAAAAAGCAATTTGTTTAAAATTGAACAGAATTAGCTCTAGATTTCATAATAATTATCACTTATATATCAAAATTTTTTCCATAAAAAAGATTTTTCTATTAAAAAATTTTTGTTCACTCACGGAGGGTGGGTTTTTGGGCAAAAAATAGCGATTTTCTAATAGTTCTGTTCACTCATGGAGAGGGAGAGGAGTCAGAGGATTCTTTAAGATCTTGTCAAGAAAGTAAGTCTTTTATTGATGAAATTTCTGTTATTGATAAATCAGAAGTTGAGAGACCTTTTATATCTGGAGATTTATATGACAGCTCTTCTCAAGATAACTCATCGATTGATTTCATGGCCAATAATTCAGCATCAGTTATAGATAGAGGGTCATTTTTTACATTTCAAGATGAGTCTAAACGCAGCTCAATAGAAATTAAACCTGAAGAGTGCAAGTTCTCATCTATTAATTCAGTAAAGCCCCAAAAAAAGAAAAAATCATTGAAATATTACATTTGCTGCTGTTTTATTACTAAAATTGTGTAAATTTAACGCTGGCTTTCAGTAGTATTTCTCTCTTTTATCTGCTGCTGTTTTATAAAAAGTAAACACTTATTATTTAAATTTAATTAATGTAATCTTATGCCAAAATTTATTAAAAGAGCATGAAATCAAATAAAATATTTAAATAAAAATTCAACATACATTTTTTATTTTCCAATTTTTTTATTAATTACCTTATGATGTTTTTGCTTCAGCTCTTCTTCCACCTTACTCTTATGCTTTATTTTCTTTTGCCTTTTGCAAGTCTTTGGGACTTTAATTGAAGCTATAGGAGTACAACACTCTGTTTCAAGACTAATTTCAGTCCCAGGACTATTTGGCATTTCTTTTTCCTTTATATCAATTGATGATAATTTAAAGCTTTCATCAAAATTTTTTTCAAGTTCTTTCGATAAATTAATATCCACAGCAGGATCAACAATCCTAATTTTTGCATCTGGAATTTTGCTTATTTTCTGAAAAATACCTGCAAGATCTTCTTGGGGATTTGAGTCAATACCTTTGGATTCTTTCAAAATACATTGACTTGTCTTAAGAAGTTTCTGCTGTCTTGATACATTAACAATTGGCGTTAGAGAGCACTTGCCGCGTACAATAGAATCCACGATTTTCGAAGGCTTTTCAGTTTTAATAAGATAGCTGGATTTTGATCTTTGGGCTGGGCGAGGAATTTCAATTGTATTTTCATCAAGACGGGCTAAACTCCCCATAAACCTTTTTCGGCTCTCAGAGTAAATGTCGATGTTTTTACGTTTTAAATTTTTGCTCATTTTACATAGTCAATTAATATATGTTAGAGAAAGATAATTATTTATAATGGTAAGTCGCCAATAAATAAATTTATTTTAGATGTTTACATCCTAAAAACTGCATGTGAAGTCTTTTCTGCTTCTTTATTCAGAGTAGCAAAAAGGCTTAAACCTAAAATTTGTCTTGTTTGGAATGGATCAATGACTCCATCATCCCACAATCTTGCAGTAGAGTAATAGGCCGAACCTTCTTTATCGTATTTTGCAATGATTTTGTCTTTGAATTCATTTTCTTCTTCCTTGCTCCATTTACCTTTGTTTGCGTTTACTTCAGCAAGGACATTTGCAGCTTGAGTTCCTCCCATAACTGAAATTTTGGCAGAAGGCCACATATATAAGAATCTTGGGCCATATGCTCTTCCGCACATTCCGTAATTTCCAGCTCCATAGCTTGCTCCTAATAACAAAGTGATCTTTGGCACTGTACTTGTAGCTACAGCGTTAACCATTTTTGCTCCATGTTTCGCAATACCTTCAGCTTCATACTGCTGTCCAACCATAAATCCTGTGATATTCTGTAAGAAAAACAAAGGAATTCTTCTTTGGTCACACAATTGAATAAAGTGGCTTCCTTTAAGTGACGATTCTGAAAACAAAATTCCATTATTTGCTACAATCCCTATATTCATCCCATAAAGCTTTGCAAATCCAGTCACCAAGGTGGTTCCATATCCTTTTTTAAACTCGTGAAATCTGCTGCCGTCAACGATTCTTGCAATGACTTCTCTTATGTCAAATGGCTTTTTCCCGTCAACTGCAACAATGCCAGCTAAATCTTCTATGCTATAAAGCGGCTCCTCAACTTCTTCTTCTACTTTATTTTCTTGAGACCTCAAGTTTTTGATAATGTCTCTAGCAAGCTGTAAAGCATGGGCTTCATTTTTAGCAAAATGATCTGTAAGACCACTTGTGGTGCAATGCAAAGTGGTTCCTCCTAAGTCTTCTGCTGATACGATTTCTCCAGTCGCAGCTTTTACTAGTGGAGGTCCTCCAAGGAAGATGGTCCCATTTCCATTTACTATCACATTTTCATCACTCATAGCTGGAACATATGCTCCACCTGCGGTGCAAGAGCCACACACAATAGAAATTTGTGGGATCCCAGCACTCGAAAGCTTGGCCTGATTATAAAAAATTCTTCCAAAGTGTTCTTTGTCAGGGAAAACTTCATCCTGTCGAGGGAGATTTGCTCCACCTGAGTCAACAATGTAAATACAAGGCAGCCCATTCTCCAAAGCTATTTCTTGTGCTCTTAAGTGTTTTTTAACAGTAGTAGGGTAATAGGTTCCTCCTTTAACAGTGGCGTCATTGCATACAATTATGCATTGCTGATCTTGGATTCTTCCAATGCCTGTGATTATGCCAGCACTCGGGACATCTTCGCCATACATATCGTAGGCTGCTAACTGAGAAAGTTCTAAGAAGGGGGAGCCTTTATCAATTAGGGCATTCACACGGTCTCTTGGAATTAATTTTCCTCTTGATTTGTGTCGCTCAGTTGAATTGTGGCCTCCACCTAGTTTAACCTTTTCAATTTTCGAAAGCAGTTCTTGCCGGAGACGCAAAAATTGGGACTGGTTGTCTAGGAACTCAGAAGATGCTGGGTTTACTGAGCTTTCTATGACTTGAGATAAGAACCCGTGGCTCCGGAACAGCTTTCTGATCATTATTTATTACAACAAGAAATTCTAAAACTAACTGGTAACCGTTTAAGAATTATATGGATAAGCTTATCTGTTGCTAAATAATTATTTATTAAATATTTATGAGCGACAGTGATTTATACTGATCCATACCTGTGATTATTGTCCTAATCTGCATCAACTCACTCTTCAATGGTCTCACCTTAGGAGTCTTAGGACTGGACAATGCTACCTTGCAAGTCCTTATGGAGCAAGAAGTCAAGGATGAGGACAGCAGAAAGCAAGCTGACAATGCCAGAAAAATTGCTCCTATCAGAAAAAGGGGTAACTTGCTTTTATGTACACTGATTATTGGAACAGTTGGGGCAGGCTCAGCTCTTTCAATTGTGATGTCTGATATTGAAGGTAGTTTAGAAGGATTTTTTATTTCGACATCACTTATAGTTATTTTTGGCGAGATAATTCCTCAAGCTATCTGTGGTCGGTACGGACTAATAATAGGAGCCAAGGTGGTTTGGCTCGTGCGTACCTTGATCGTTATTGAATATATCATAGCAAAGCCTATAAGTGTAGTCTTAGACTATTTGCTGGGAGATGACCCAGGAACAAAATTTACCAAAGCACAAATGAAGGCACTTTTCAATATTTATGAAAGGGAAGCCCGTTTAAATCCAGAGCAGCAAAAAATATTGACTTCAGCCATGGACTTTTCAGATACCAAGCTCTACTCGATTATGACTCCTCTTGACAAGGCATTTATGCTGAATTCAGCAAAGACCCTGAATATAGAAAAAATTAAAAAAATTTATGATAAAGGATACAGCAGAATTCCTGTTTATGAAGGAAGGAGAGAAAATATCATAGGTGTCCTCATGGCGAAAGACCTGATGTTTGTAAGCATAGACAAATTTATCAAGATGTGGAGCAGCAAATGTATTTTTATAAGGCCAATCATGACAGTAAATATAGAAGTACCAGTTGAAGATTTATTAAAAGACTTCAAAGCAGGAAAGTCCCACATTGCAGTTGTTCAGGAAGTTGTCGTGGATGGAGGCAAAGATCCTTATTATTCTCCAGTAGGAATAATCACAATGGAAGACATCATTGAAACTTTAATACAGCAAGAAATAGAAGATGAGCATGATGTTAACAGATTAAAAGCAAAAACTAATAAACTTCATAAAGTCAGCAGCACAGTTCTGTTTTCAATTTTTCCAAGCAAATCTGTGATGACTGAGACGGAGCTTGAAGTAATAAAAAGCTTTTTAGTGAAAAGTGTAGAGCCATTTCATCCTGATAGAATTTCAAGCAAAAATCTCACAAAACTGATAAACAAGGCAAGAATTTTAATGATGAACGGAGAAGAGGATGAAGAAATTATCAGCATTGAAGACATTAAGTATGAATCAGACAATTCAGTATCGCATTCAATGGATGGAGATCAAAAGCCTGATGATGGGCTTCCAAGAAAAATTTTATGCCAGAAAGGGATGGCTTGCAGCTTCTTCTATTTGATTTTAAGCGGGCAAGTTGAACTGACTATAGGAAACGAAGGTATTACTTCAGAAGCAGGACCTTATCACTGCTTAGGGGTAAAAGCTTTAAATGAGCCTATGAATCTATATGTACCTGACTATACAGCTAAAGTGAACAGTAATCAATATTTAGAACCAACAAGAATTTTACGCATTTCACAGCAGCTTTATATGAAGTATGCTTCAAGGTCATAAATAATTTTTAAAGATTATTCGCTTATTTTTAATGTTCAATAACAGAAATCTTGCATATCGGGCATGAATTTTTTCTTTCTAATCAATCATCACCACAATTTTTATGAAAGATATGCATGCACGGCAGCCTAATAATGGTTTCACCATCCTGGAAATCCTCTAGGCATATATTGCAAGTTGACTCTTCTTTATTATTGCTTGAATTATATTGGGAAATAGGAATTGCGTCAAGTTCGTAAGTTTTTATACCGTTTCCTTTATTATACATGTCTTTATCTAATTCCAATAATTGCTCATAGCTTTGGTTGTCTCATGGATCTGATCCTCGCTGATGCGAATTGTGAAGAGGGTTGCTTGAATAAACTGCTCGATGATGATTATGATTATGTCTTGGGGGCATAAAAGACCGAGTATTATCAAATGATGGGTCATATCGGTTTTTTTGATGATGGTTTGATTTTTTTGAGTTCGCTAATTCTTGTTGTTCTATTTCCTTACTTTTTTCCTTAACAATAATCAGATGTAGGCTAAGTCATAAGGAAAATCCTTTGTGTCTGCTAACAGCAAGGTAATTTTTTAATTATCCTTATGCTTTATTAAAGATTTATTCAATAAGCTTTTGCAAAAATTTTAAATTTGTCAGTAAGCTTTTTGATGTTTTTTGCACAACCTTGTTAATTAAATAAAAAATGAGAAAAGTGTTTTCAATAGAAAAAATGCTGAAAATTTTTATAATATAAGCTACTTGATAGAAAGAATTAGCAATTTCTTCATCTAATTTAATTTGTTCATGAGGATTAATTTTAATTTCTTCATATAATTGTTCGGGATTTAAAACAAATTTTTGATCTGAAATGAAATTACTACTCTTCTTATCATAATTCTTGCCGCTACTGGCATTTTTCTTTTTCTCATTAGTTAATATATCATAAGCGACGTACTTATACCCCTCTTCTTGCTCCCTGGCTAGTTTCAAAGCTAGTTTCTCATCTTCTTCTGCTTGCAATTTTTGAGCCAAATGCTTATCTTCATGATTTGTCGGAGGTTTAGGCATATTGTATGTATTCCCCCTTTTGTATCGTAAAAGACCACTTCTTTGATATGGCATCATTGATTATGTATTTTATTTGTAAAAATATATAGAAAGATGGAGATCATTTTTTGAGATACTTTATTTTAACCTAATTTTTATTAAATTATATTTTAGCTTTATGCTTAAATATTTTTTAATTTAAAAAGAGCTTTCAAATTGGTATTATAATAAAATTTATTTTTAAAGCAGATATAACTACTATAAAGAATCTAAAATCTGACAGGCTTCATTATCATATATTCTTATAGTAGACAGGAAAATATGGATTTAAAAAGACTGCTTCTATTCATTGTAAATATATACACCAAATTATTTTCAGCCTATCTAATTGATTGATTATTTATTTAAAATTTAAAATTTGTTTCTGAAATTTATTGCCTCCCAAAAGAAGAATAAATTGGAGGCTTTAAAAATGAATGATCAACTCTTCGAGTTTCAGATTGATATCTATAAATAGGTGGAAGCACCTTTTCCTTACTTTGATAAGACATTTTTTTTGTCCAGGTGACGCCAAAACAAAAAGGCGTCACCTGGAGGCATGGAGCAAGGAAGTGTCAGGGGGTGAGTTTTGCTAACAAAATTGGGCCTTTCCCTAGGCCCTTGAGGTGTGCAGCAGCAATTTTGGACGGACTTCACGGCGAGAAGGAAGTGAGGATGCCTCGTGTGGAGCATGGGCGTGAAGAAGGCGCGGAACATCATCTCCAGAGCCAATACCCCTCTGGAGTAGGAACCCGTGGCCGCTAGGTCCGGAGCTAAAGGAATAAGGGTCTCCCCTGTAGATGGTGACGTCACCATTTTTGAGGACGTCACCAGAAAAGATGGAAACATAGTGATGAGAATTTAATTTAGCTGGAAATGAGTTGGTTTGTGCTGAGTGGAAGATGCTTGGCGTGATGCTGATGTGCTGATGGTGCTGATGGTGCTAATGGCGCTGCTGGTGCTGATGGTGCTGATTTGGTGGTAACTTTAGGGTAGGGATAAACTAAACTCTTTATTTATTTATTTATTTACTTTGATAACTCCTGTCTGTGAAATGAGTATTATCATTTCTATTTTGATTTATTGAAAATTTCATTTTATCCATTTTTGATTTTAAGCTTACTATGCCTTTAGAATTTGCTTCAGGCAGTCGTTCCATGCTTTTATTCTTTATCCTTCTTTTCAGAGGACTTTTACTGTTTTCTTGATAAATATCAGTTAAAATCCGAGATGTAGCCTCTGGTGAAGGCTTTATAATTGGTCTTGGGGTTTTGGAGTTTTCAAGAGTTTCTTTACTCTCCAATTTGGGAAGTTTTAACTTCGCGTGAATAGAATTGTTTTGTTGACGATATGGAGAAAAAGATGAAGTTGACTGTAAGCGATCTATAAACTCAGGCAATTTTGATACAGCTTTAGACTCACCAGTTCCGATTTCACCTGTTCTTCCTAGAGTTTGTGTTTTATTTTTAAATCTCTCCAAGAAGCTTGAAGAAGCCATTTTAATAATCCCATATTATCTCTATCTTTATATGTCCATTTCACAATCTATAACGGACAAATTAGATATGATACCTTGATAATTTTCTTTAGGTTATATAAGCGACTTCTTCTTTTAATCTAATAAATCTTATAATTTTCTGTCAAAAAATTGCAAGAATTGTACAAGGAGTCATATTTGTTAATGCAGCATATTTTTAAATAATAATTTTAAAGGACTTAAATATTGATATTTCTAACGGCCTACTCTTGCGTAGCTCGGCAAATTTGAAATGGATGATCGAATTTCATAGTTTCCAGGTCCAGGGGAGTCTGACCTTACTTTAGACGATCTTGAAGACGTTCCAAATCCCCACTTAGGACCGCCTAGTTGTCCTCTTATATCATAAAATCCTGGTCCAACTGCGCTTTGAGACTTAGACAAGCTATGAATTTCGTTTCTTTTTTCTCTTCCTACACTTCAGCTGGGATTTCCTGAATATAAGCTTGGGTTATACGCTCCTGGCCCTGGTGTCACATAATTCTTATCATTTAATGTTCTTGCGCTCATAGAGTAGGCTGGGCCACTTCTGGCACTATTAAGATTATAACCTCCTGGTCCTGGTGTGTCTGTGATTGTTGATAATGGTGGTCTCTTTCCTGTCCCAAATAGAGGCGCTGTTTTGTTGAAGTCTTTTCTAACATTATAAGCTCCAGGGCCTGGAGAGTGAGCACCTGCTGACTGAGGTCTTTTGCTTGTGCCAAAACCATAGTTAGGTGATCCATAGCTTCCTTTAGGGTTATAAGCTCCAGGTCCTGGGTATTCTCCATTTTTTTCATCTAGATTTGGATGTCTGCCTGACATACTCCATGCTTTTTGGTCTAAACTGCTTCTCATTTCATATTGGCCAGGTCCTACACTATTATTTCCATTTATTTTGTCTCTTTTTTCAGTCCCAAATCCCCATTTTGGCCCTGCACTTTGAGGTCTGCTTGAGTAGCTATAGAAATTTCCCATAGATGGCGCTGTTTGCCCTTGATTTGCCCATGAGAAAAATTTTTTGATTTGACCAAACCATATGGGACTGGTCGAACCAAAAAATTTCTCCAGTGGGCAAATCAAGGGTAAACAGCGCCATCTATGGGAAATTTCTATACCAGGTCCTGGATATCTATTTCGGACACTATCAGGCTTGTCATCATCTCGCCTGGCACTGCCAATTCTATATGAAGGTGATCCTCTTTCAGTAATGGAGCCAGCTGGGTTGTAATGTCCAGGACCTGGAGTTAGTGGCCTTCCTTCTTTACCTGTCCTTCCAGGCATTGAGTATTGAGGACTCTCATTTGTGCTTTTATAATTATAAGCTCCAGGACCAGGTGTGTTTTCAGCTTCTGATAAAGGTGGCCTTTTCCCAGTTCCCAGCTTTGGACCTGATGAGCTTGGTCTTAAAGATTGGTCATAAGCTCCAGGTCCTGGCTGCCATTCCCCATTTTTTGTAAAATCACTTCTTCCAGACCTGCCAATAGAATATGAAGGCAATTTTGAATTAATTTCAGGATCATAAGCCCCAGGGCCAGGAGCATTGAGTTTGTCAGTTCCTACTCCATCTGGGTATTTCCCACTAATACTCCATCCTTTCACATTTAAAGTTCCTCCCATTTCATAAGTCCCAGGACCAGGCTCATCTGATTTATTAAATTTAGATCTTGCTTCATTGCCAAATGCTCATTTGGGACCTGCACTTTGAGGTCTATGCTCATATGTACCAGGACCTGGATAGGCAGCTGCATGCTTGTCTGTTAGATCATCCCTTCGAGCAGTACCGATCCTAGCACTTGTAGGCCTTTCTTTGGCTGTGAAATCATTAAGTCCTTGCTCATATTGTCCTGGGCCTGGAGAGTCTCCAAAGCCTTTACTCCCCACTTGATTAGTAAGCAAAATCTTAGAAAATTTCCTATTTATTCGGAAATCAAATCCCCTGGAAGTAATACAAATAATAATTTGGCATTATAGTTATGATGAGCTAACTTTAGACAGCTTATGCCCTAACACCCTAAATTTTATAAATTAATTAGATTATCCCTTTCAATATTTATATATTTAATATTTAATCTCTCTCATTATTTAACAAAAAGCCATTCTCACAACTTGGGAGGTGTTGGAAGAATACTTGCGCTGGATGCTGTACTGAGGCCCTTCTTGGATTTTTGAAGGAATCTGGTATGTTCCAGGACCTGGATTAGCTAAGGTATCACTTAAGGGATCTCTTTTGCTGTTTCCCATCTTAGGAGCTGGAGAATGTTCCTTTTTGTCAGGGTCATAAGCTCCTGGGCCTGGAGAATTTGCGGAGCCTTTTGTAAAATCGTGCCTTTTATAGAGGTTTCCTCTATATAGCGCTGAAAGCGCAGACATTTTCCCAGGAGCTTTCCAAGTTCGTCGGACCAAATCGCTTTTTGGTCCGACCAAGGCATTGATTTGGTGCAGCCAACCGATAAATTCCGATCAGAATTTATCGGCCTTACAGCGCCAAACATAGGAAACTTCTATACTTGTTCCAATTCGATATTGAGGAGATTGTTCATGACGCCCTCCTTTTGGCGAATACGATCCTGGTCCAGGTGCTTGGGACTCTAGCTTGTTTGTATATTTCTGGGCAAAACTCCATGCTGGCGTTGATGCCAAATGCATATTTAACGTTTATAATTTGGTTTATAGTACACTAGACATCTAAAAACCACATTTATGATAGTAAGTTCTATTTTCTCTATAAAATAATATCTGATTTCCTATAAAATAACAAATTTGCTGCAAAACCTATATATTTCAAAAATACTGGACAGTTATTATAAAGGGTGGCAACAATTTTAAGATTTGAGGTGAGGAATAAAAAATAACTATCAATTTTTGGCTCAAAATTAAGATAATTGCCAATCTTTAAAATTCTATAGTCCAATATATGATATATTATTTAATTAAATTTTCAATGAAATAAATTACTTACTATTTGTTTTACTATTTTTAGCCTGCAGGTACTTAGAGAAATAAAATGTAGATCTCATAGTTTCACTAAACATAACTGAATGCAAAGGCTTATCTTCTAATCCCCTAATATGATTTTGTAATAGATATGAGTTTTTGGAGTTTGAAAATTTTTCTTTTACTCCCCCCCCCTCTCCGTGAGTGAACAAAACCATTAGAAAAATCGCTATTTTTTGTCCAAAAACCCACCCTCCGAGAGTGAACAAAAATTTTTAATAGAAAAATTTTTTATGGAAAAAAATTTTGATATATAAGTGATAATTAGTATAATGAAATCTAGAGCTAATTCTGTTTAATTTTAAACAAATTGCTTTTTAAATTAAATAAATATTTGCTTTCCAATTTGCGAATTAGGATTTTTTTAAATTTCGAAAAAAAATATTTTCTAATTTTTTTTTTAAAAAAAAAAATTTAACCCCCCTCCGTGAGTGAACAAAATTTTTTTGTTCACTAACGGAGGGGGAGAGCTAGAATGCTAAAGCCTTTTAGCTGGCAATTTTGAAGCAAAATGGTATTGTCATACATGCTTATAGCAGCGTCTATCAAAGATTCTGTTGAGTTTGCAATTACTCCAGGAAAAGGGTCAATTCCTTCTGCTCCAATCGAAGTAGTTAAAACAGGCAGCCCATACAGAAAACTATCAGTAATTTTCCCTTTTATTCCAGCTCCATATCTTATAGGAGCAAGCAGAACTCTGTATTTCTTCAAAGTTTCAAGACTCTTCATCGGCCCTTTTACAACTACTCCATTTGATCTTCATGCTTCGCTATTTGGGCAATGTGCGCCATAAATATGCAGCTCACATCCAAGTGCTGTTCTAATAGCAGGCCAAATTTTTTCTACCATATAATTGACTGCATCTACATTTGGAGGGTGGGTAAAATTTCCAATTCATATACCATATCACAGGGTTTTAGCCTTTCTGGTGGCTTGTTAAATTTATTGATACTTTAAGGCCAGAGAGTATACAAAATTATCTCGATACCTAAGGTGACAATTTTTTCTGCTATTTTCATTGATTTCTTGATCAGAATAGAAGAACGGCAAACAAACTGTTTTAATAAAAGGAAAGTGCTTTTGTATTAGCCTCTGCTCAAACTCTGAAGTTAGTATTGTGCTATGAGATCTTAGCATGGCTGAAATTTCTCGGGTCACATCTTCTTCTTTCCAATTAATTTCAATGTTCTTTATCTGCTCAATGCTCTTATCATTAATCATCTTTTCTCTTGCCAGTCTCAAAAAGTGAAGGTCTTGAGTATCAATCACTCTTTTGCAGGCTGGAAGAAATTGATAGACCATATGCCCAAACATTTCCTCAACCCTTGCTGTTTCAAATACACATATATCTTCTTCATTTGTAAGTGATTTAAATGTTTCCTCATCATTTGCTGCGCAAAAATGCCTTTCCACCCCAACTTCTTCAATTCCTTTGATTTGCGAGGGGTTTTCTTTTTTAATACTCAAAAATTTAACATTGTAGCCAAAACTTTTAAAAGCATTAATCAAACCAATTGTTCTAACGCCTGCAGCAGTTACTCATGGCTGAGGTCAGGTAGCTCCTATATATAGCAGCCTCATTTTACGATAATCAAAGGTACATTTTTATCATTCGCATTAATTAATCAATGTTAATTTATATGGTTGCGAATAAGATTATTGTTTAAGTCTCATATAATTTAACATTATGGATACAATCAACTCAACATAATATCCCACTTTAATTCAGAACAATTTTAAATTTTTCTCAATAAAAGTTTTAAAATTTAAAAATTTAAATAGAATGCAATATTTCGAATTTTAATTTATTTTTATTAAGAAATAATAAAAAAATCTAATTAATTCAGTATAAAACTTGTATATGATATTTTATTGCACCTCTTCCATTAAATTAGGCCAAAACTTGTTATTTAAAAATTAGTATTTTATCTATAATATTACCATTTAGAATCAATGATTTGTTCCAATTAAAAGGAGGGTTAATATACCAAAAAAAATAGAAAATTTACCAATATTTTGTTCTAATTGAAGTGGGAGAGTTATAGCATGGAGGATAAAATCAGTATAGACAGCATTGATGGAAATGTAACAGAAAAATCTCCATCATTGGCTAACCAATGTCTTAGTGAGAGTCAAACTCATAATTTAGAAACTACCAAGGCTGAGAGTGTTCATCGCACTCTCGTATCTATTCTGGTTAACGAGAATAAATCAATTAAATCGTTCAGCCACAGCTCGAGCCCAAAAGTTGAGAAAAGAAAATCTGCTTGTCTTAACTGCAATGTATTTTAAGAGAAGAGAGATCTGAATAACTTAATTAATTACTTCTTTCATATCAAAAATACATCATTAGTTAAAAAAATATAAAAAATTTATATCCATAACAATTTTACCTTTAAATTATCATCTCAAAACCCTTAAATATGCTTTTTTATTTGCTTAACTACATATGATCTAATCCCAGTTTTCTTGCTCTCTACTGAATCATATTTATTATATGAAAGGCAACAAAATTAAAGCAAAGCAGTCAATTCGCCCTAGCTCCGCAAATATTTCACAATCCTCTAGAGGATTTGGCTACATCCCTGGCGTCACAGCTCCAATCTACACAGATATGGCCCAGCTGTTTATAGAAAGCAAACAAAAAGAAGTAAGCTCTAATTAGTTAGAATACGAAAAATCAAAGTCAAAATTAATGCTGCACACCGAGTCCAAACGAAGCAAAGAAGAAAGAGATATTTTATCTGAAGTAATTATAAAGCAGAAATACGATGAAACAATCCAAGCTTTAACTGAATCTCATTCAAACCGAATGAAAGCTTTATCTCAGCAGCACGAAAACGCAACAAAAACCCTTATGGAGCAGTTTAAAAGCGAAGTTTCTACGCTTAAAGCGTCTCATAAAATTCATATTGACCATCTAATTAATGATATGAGCGAGCAGCTACAAAGAAAACAAGAAGAAATGGAAGACTTGAAATATAAGCAGAAAAAAGAAATTGAAGAAATAGAAAATCAGTCACAAAAACAACTCCAAGTTATGAAAGAAGAACTGGAAAATGCTTATAAAAAGAAGCTTAAACGAAAAGAAGAAGAATTAGAGAAAAAAGAATACGAATTTTGTGAAAAAATTTCAAAAGAAAGGGATGAACAAATAAAAGAAGTAATTAATAAAATATATGGCGAATGCAGAAAAGAGCAAAGAGAAAAAGAAAATAAACTGCAAGAAGAAGTAAGAAATTTGAATGCTGAATTAGAAAATTGGAAAATAAAATATGAAAAAAGCATAAAAAGGGAAGACGAAAAAGTGAAAATTAATAATGAGATTGTTGAAATTGGTAGCAGCTTGGAAAAAAATATTATGAAGCCTCAGATATCTGATGAGTATTTTTTTGAGGTTTCAGAATTTGAAGCGTTAAAAGATGACAAAGAGACACAGACAGAAATAATTTATCATGATATTGATACCCAAGCTAACCTTGAAATTGATATATCTGTAGAAATGAAGGAGCATGAAGATAGACATGCTCTTGAAATAGCAGAACTTGAAGAGAAAGTTACAGAAATTTTGAGGAAAAAGAATGCAAATATACAAGCTTTAGAGTCACAGCTTCACCAATCAATAGTCAGATGTAAAGAACTAGAAGCATTAATAAAGCAGCTTAAAGCATCCTGATAAATAAATTATATTGTTTAACTTGTAAATTTATGTATGGCTTCTTCAATTTCTTCATCTAATTCTGATAAGTGAAAATCTGCAACATTTTCTGAATAGATATCGTTGCTGGCCTTAATAATTTCAATATCGCATCCATAAATTTGCTTACTCCCAACTCTGTGAGCCAGCAAAGCCATTGGAATTTTGTCCAAAAACCCACGCGAGTGAACAAAAAAATTTTTTAATATAACATTTTTTACGAAAAAATATATGATATATAGGTGATAATTGGTATAATGAAATCTCTAGCTAATTCTGTTTATTTTAAACAGCTTGCTTTTAAACATAAATTTTGCATATTAAATTAATATTTGCTTTAAATTTAATTTTTTTTAAACTTTGAAAAAAAATTTTTCACTATAAAATTTATATATCATTTTTGCTAAAATATAATTAACCCTCTTGTGAGCTGACAAAATTTTTTTATTCACTCACGAAAGGAGTGAGTTAATAATTTTCCACAATTCTTCATTAATATCAATATAATCCACTTCAGAAATCAGCCCTTCTCTAATATCTCCATCGCTGTTAGCAAGTACTTGATTATTTATATGCCCAGGTGCCTTAGGGTATTCATTTAAATTGCAATCAGAAGCTAAAAATGATTCCCATTTCTTCATCCACGTCTTTGCTATGAAGAATCTTGGGTATTCTTTTGAAACATGTTTTATCCTTTCCAATAAATTTTTTTCAAAATTAATTCTTGCTGCGAATTTTTCTTTATTTTCTAAACATTGATTGCAGGGGCTTTTAAACCTTAGCGGTTCGCCTATATATTTTCAGGCTCCATGTCAAATGACAGTGAATTTTTGGCAGTGTACATTTCATCGAAATACATTTGGCCAATATTTAACTTTTTTTTGGTAAAATGCTCACTATCAAAAAGTTTCAACCAATTTTCGACCAAAAGTACTTCAGTGAAATGCACACTATCAAAAATGCACTATCATTGGGCCTGCACCCATATTTTCATTCTAATTTCAGCTCTTCTCATTGCTCATTACTGATGCCCAAAAAGTCATATTCATGAGTATTGATACTCAAGAATAAATGGTTGCAGTAAAATTTACTAAAATATATTGGGCCTGGGCTGGACAGTGAGTAATATCTATAAACCCATTCTTTTGGTAAAAAAAAATCAGGCCTTTCCTTCGGAATGATTTTTTTTCTCTTAACTGGGAATTTTGTATAGATTGCTACATAGGCTTGAGCATTCCTTACTTTGTCTTCACTGCATTCTTGGACTTTTTTATCATTATATTCTAGTCATCTATCAAATTCAAAATCTTTACAAAAGGCAGTGTAATGGCCTTTAAAAATTAAGCCACTGTGCTGAATAATGGATGATAAATAATAAGTTGGATTATCACAATCAGAGAATTGGCCAAGGTTTAAAACCAATGGGGTATTCACATGAGTGGAAATTTTTGATCCTCAGTATGAGTATTTAAATCGCTTTAGATTAATAATCAAAATATCTGGAAAAGCTTTGATTTTATATTGCTGAGTGCTCAACACTTTGGAATCACAGGCAGAACAATAAAATAAATTTCCTTCTGTATTTAATTCTTGAGGTTGGAAAAAAGAGATAAGGCAGTCATACAGATTTGCAATGGTCTCAGGTCTTAATGATAGGATGCTAAATTAATTTTACGTTTTGATTTTGTTAAAAATTGAATTATTTTGCTTTGTAATTCAAGTTTTATCCTCATTCTCTAATAAAGATTCTGATTTTTCAGCTAATTCAGAAACTTCTTCTGTTTCTGGCACCGCAAGTGATATTTCTCCAAATTCTTCTTCTTTAACATGGACTGTTGTACAATTATGGCATTTTATCTCGCATCTTAAAGTGCCTTTTAAGGATTCTGATATTATTGACCTCTTCCCAGTTTTCCTTTGGAGATAGCTGTCCATGTCGTCAAGAAACAGCCTTATAAATTCTTGGGCATCTTGCTGAGTTTTCGGCTTATAATCAGGGGAGAGGCAATAAATTTGGTTCACGAATCTATCAGGAGAAATTAAGATGTGGCCTCTTCAAAATTTTTTAATGATCTCTCGAAATTGATAAATTAAGGTATATTCTTCTGACTTGTTGAGATTATATTTCAAAAAAGGATCGTTTCTAACTCCCCCCCCCCCCCCTCCGTGAGCGAACAAAACCATTAGAAAAATCGCCATTTTTTGACCAAAAACCCACCCTCCGTGAGTGAACAAAAATATTTTTAATAGAAAAAATTTTAATGGAAAAAAATTTGGATATATAAGTGATAATTAGTATAATGAAATCTAGAGCTAATTCTGTTTAATTTTAAACAAATTGCGTTTTAAAAACATAAATTTTGCAAATTAAATTAATATTTGCTTCCCAATTTTTGCAAATTAGGATTTTTTAAATTTCGAAAAAAATATTTTTGATAAAATTTATATATAAAATTTTTTTTAAAAAAAAAAATTAACCCCCCTCCGTGAGCGAACAAAATTTTTTTGTTCGCTCACGGAGGGGGGGGGGGGAGTAAGGTATAAGGTTTTAGATAAGCGGTAAATACCAATTTTTAAGATGACCTTGCCAAATAGTATGATTACTTAATCTTAAAATTTTCTTAACTGTTATTAATATTTTATCTCTTCACTAATGACCTTTTCTATGGCTTATATCTGCCCTAGGCCTAGATGCTTGACTTCGAGAATGCGATTGATTTCTTAATACATCCTGGATAAAAATACTTAACGAAGAGAAAAACTATTATAATGTTAAGACTCTTTAAGCTCAAGAATGCACGTTTTTCATTGGCACACCAAGGTAAGTTTGGATAGGCAACATACGAGCAATGCATTGAAGTGCTGTATTAATATAGCAAGTATTTCCTAGATTTTTGAGCCCTGTAAGTCTTTTATTTCGTTTTTTGGGGTCGTGATAGCCAATTGATTCAGCGATGCTGTCAAACATTCGATAGGAAAATAGACAATTCGGTTCCTTCACATGACGACTATTTCATAACGACTATTTTTTTTTGGCCTATTTTTTTTTTGGCCTATTTTTTTTTGGCCTATTTTTTTTTGGCCTATTATTTTGGCCTATTTTTTTTTGGCCTATTTTTTTTGGCCTATTTTTTTTAGCCTATTTTTTTTACCTAGCCTCATTCATGAAGCTGCTGAGAGGACTAGAACCTTATTGAGAAACAGAGACTTTTTCTTACGCGATTAATATCGAGTAAATTAAGTGAAAAACTCCTAAATTAAATCTAAAATTTTCGAAATTTAAAAACAATGAATTAGTATTCATGGAGTACGAAATCTGTTAAGGGTGCATTTTTTGTTGGTTAAATCGTTTAAAACACATTAAAAAATTATATTAAAACAATTAGTATGGAATTATGCCCAAATATTAGTAAAAAATAGTTAAAAAATTGTCAAAAAAAAGGCCAAAAAAATAGGCCAAAAAAAAATAGGCCGAAAAAAAATAGGCCAAAAAAAAAATAGTCGTTATGAAATAGTCGTCGTGTGAAGATACGAGACAATTCACGTCTGACAGCTTGCATTGGAAACAAAAAGTAGTCAAGGTGCTGATATTAAAATAAAGATAAATAAAATGGCATTCGGTTCGAGAGAAATTAGCTTTGCTAATTTTCTCTCCCTCATGGAATTTTATTTATGGGGTTTGGTTTCAATCTCGAGAACTTCTGCACAGCAATAGCAGTTTAACTTTGGGGATAACCAGAGGAACTGCTCCTCAGTGCACTCAAGCGACGAAGATTTTTCCACTTAGCACACCTGAGAAGGGTGACCCTCAGGCGGAACACGCGCAGGAGCTAAGTCTGACAAGGGCGACGGCATCGCGCCGGGTGAGAAGTGCGGCCTTGGCTGGTGGTGGCAAAGTTGGAATGCCTGCCCATATGGTGCGCCATTTTAAGTGGCAGGATGGCCCGTGACGTCACTAGTTGGGTCAAGTCCCCGATATAGGGAGGGTGCACTAGACACCTTAAATACTTAATAACCTAAGATTCCTAAGATATTAAAATAAAGAGTATGATTACGATTTTTGGCGTGGTTTTCTAAGTGTTCTGAGCAGAGCATTGCAGGGCATGTGTTATAAGGAGAATTGTCAAGGCAATTTCAGACGTCTGGAGCCCCAGCCCCACACTTTTTGCATTTGAGACTGTTTAAAGCGTCAACCGTATTTTCTTTATCTCTATTCAGTGTTTGGATTTTGTCCTCTAGGCCATCCAAGTGTTTACAAGTCATTTTAATATAGACTCTTTTCTATATAATTAAATCACTAAAACCGATAAATTTATCTTATGAGTTAATTTAAATATTTATTTTTATTAATGAAATCTATAAGAAATAAAATAATAAATTACATTTAATCCATAATATGTACATATAAATTGATGTCTAGTTATTACTTAGGATTGAGGGGCATTTTCTGCCTCTATTCCTTCAATTTTTGGTATTTCAACAAGCAGCTCTTTTTCTTTGAGAAGTTTGATGCCGATTTCTTTTAACTCTCTTGCTTGCTCAGTGGCATCATGATATAGACCATTATAAAGAACTGAATTATTCACCATCAGCTCCAAGTCATCAATAAACAGCTGAGCAGTAGTGTATTTCCCTTGCTTTGCTTTAGAAATCATGGTGGACAAGTCAATTGGAGATTTTATCAACTCATAATAGTCAGGATAAGCTTCTTTTTTGACTGAATGAATAAACAGCCTTGTCTGATCGAATTTGGTGAGCTTAAAGGCAATGTCTTCATAAGGATTGTCTTCTTTATACTGCCTTCTTCTAGACGGGATTGTTTTCGGCCTTGAATACTCATCAATTGCGTTTTCTTCTTTTTTCTTGGGCGCAGCTTTCTGTATCTTTTCTACAAAAAGCTTGATTTTCGACCCTTCCATTTTTACCATACCTTCTTTTTCAGCTTTAAACGCATCTTGAGCTTCTTCCAAAAACATTGGACACTTTTTTCTGTTTGTTTTCATGTGGCCTACCATTCCACATTTTCCACAAACGATTTTTCCAGCCCCGCCAGTTGCTGGGACTTGTCCTGATTCCAGTTTTTCAATGCATTCTTTGCTCCATTCTTGCTGCTTTTCCAGCTTCTTTTTCTCCTCTAGAAGCTGCTTTTCTCGCTTTTTAGCTTCTTGATCAAGGTCTTCTTCTTTTTTCTTTTTCTTCTTTGAGTGATCAGATACCCTGAACAGCATTTTTTGTTCAATTGTATCATAGGTTTTTTTGCGGTCTTTGCTACCTTTTGGCTTGTTTTGCTCTTCTTTTTTCTTTTTGATGAACTGCTCCAGCTCATTTTCATCACTTATGAACTCAGTTCTTACTGTAATTGTGCCGTCGAGATTTGGGATTCTAGTGATTCTTTTAAGGATTTTGCGCTTCTCAACAGACTTTGTAGGCTCTTCTGGCTCATTTGAAGCAGTAAACATGCCTGCAGCAGTTTTCAAATTTTCTAGATGTTTAATGTCACTTCTTTCAATGTCTTCATCAAGGTCAATTCTTTTTCTCTCCACATCTTCAATGGGCTTATTTATACTATCTGCCATCAGCCTTGCTAATTTTTCATCTTCACTTCCACTGCTCCTGTCTTCATAATATTCCCTTGTTTCCCCAAGCATCCTCACCTGTTTTGCAAAAATTTCATCAATGGTCTTCTGGCATTGCTCTTTTTGCATTTTTGTCGACATTCTGATGCCTCTTGCAAACTTATCAAATGTCCCTTTGTGCCCTTCTGATACCTTTCTGCTGGCTACACTTCGAAGTTTAGCGACTCCATCCCATCTCCCAAGGCCTTCGACTTCTTCTTTTTTGCAGCCTAAATTGATCAAAGCTCTTATTACATCTTCTTTAGTAAGAGTTCTCAAATCAGCATTTGTCCCAGTTACTGTCATATTTGTGGGGAGATACTCTGAGGGGTCATTTTTTAAGTATGCTTTATCTGTATTTGGAAGCTTCATAGGAAGTCTTACAAAAGAGTAGCCACAGTTGCCATGGGTTGGGTCTCCGATCCCTACAATTCTCATCATACCTTTTTCATTTTTGGTTTTTAGGTATGAACTTGTCAAATTCCAAGGGGTGATTGTAAGCTCTTCTTCTATATAATCAGCTAAATAATTGATATTTTTATTCCCCATTTCTTTTTTCAGCTTTTGAATTGCATTAGGGATTTTGTCAATAGAAGTCGTCTTAATGCCTTTGTCTTTTAGCCTACGTTGTCCTGCGAGCATGCTTTCATATTGGCACATGTTTTCTGGAGTGATCATATCTTTGACTTCTTGCTCATTGGGGAGATTTGTGCATGTTCAGGTCCCATCACTTGTTTGTTCACAGTAAATATTTTTCATCTGCTTGCGGATGATGCTTTCATTGTGTGCTGGAAAATTTTGAGCGATTTCGTGGATATCTGCTCGGTTGTCTTTGTCAATGAGGCACTTTAATATAATTGCTTGGATTCTTTTTTGCTGGAAATTATTGGTGTTTCTTGCATTTGGGGCGAAAACTTCAATTTTCGGCTCAATCTGCGCTGAACAGTAAAGGTATTCTATAGGACGAAGGTACCATTTGCTTTTTCCACTTTTTTTTGGGTACTTCATCATAATAAAATCAGTGGATTTTGAGTGGTGGAAGTAAATAGGGGCTCTATACAAGTTATTTTCTAAAATTGCAATTCCTTGGCTTTCTTGCAGTCTTGCAATTAAAGGCACATTTTCGTTGCTGTCCAAGCTTTCTGGAAGTCCTAAGCTGCCAATATAGTCTGGATACTCTTCTATTGGCCTATTTCCTTTATAATACCTTCTTATTTTTGAAGCCATTGAATAATTATTAAGCAGAGGTGGCCGCTTTTCAATATATTCAGTGACAACAAAAGCTCCATCTTTTAGCGTCAGCTGCTTATGGCCTTTTAATATTGCGTGTGCTGTTATGTTTTCACCTTTTACTTCCATACCAGGACTGGAAGGAGGTGTTCTTACCAAGTTTACTTTTCATTTATTTTTGGGAAGGCTAAATGAGAGATCAGGCCTATGAAAGTTGCGAAGCTCGTTTTTATTTCATTCCACTTTAGAAAAAGGGTAGTCATAAGCTGGCAATGCATGTTTTAGCATAGTAAAGCGAGACTTAAAAGAATTTTCCATGCCTCCTCTTGGAAGCCCAAGAACGTTGCCTGTTCTTGAAGAGGTTTCAGAAAATCGGCCACGAGATTCTGGAAAATCGTCACTTCGGATAGTTTTTACTTCATCAATTGAATGCTCTGAGTCTGCGTCTGAAATATAGTCACCATCTTCAACTTCCATGGCTTCTTCTTGTTCTTCTTGAATGGAAAAATCCATATGGGGATCACTCAAGTTATAAACCAATTTTCCGTACTCTTCTTTTAATGTCTGGAAAATTTCTCCATTTGAGTCCAAAAAGACTATTCCTCATCATATTGAATTAAAAATAAATTATTTTTTTATAATTTTGAAGCTATTTAAATTGGAAAAGAATAGTTTTTCTCAGTCATTTTTTTTGAAGAATGGATTGACATTTGTGGGAATCATGGAGAGCTGAAAATTGGAAGAATTTTCAAATAGCTTAATAGAAGTATTGAGACGAAAATCGGAATCATGCTGGTTTTCATCTATGGGTTTTGAGACTTCTCCCCAGTGCTTTCCATCTTGTTGTGACTCTTTTTTTGGTAAATGTGAAAATTCCAACTTTCCAGGCTTAGCTTTTTTTCGGGCAAATCCGAAAGTTACCATCTGTTTACTAAATAAGTAAGGATCTGGAGCCCGCTTCATAGGCAAGCTTGCCAATGCAGCTCCTAATAAATCCCTCGGCTGGAAAGCAACTGATTTTTTTAAATATGGTCCTTCACTTTCATTATAGTTTACATACAACAAATTCTTTGACTTCTGTGCCAATTGCTTTTCCACCTTAAAAACATCATTATTTTCTATAATCTTCGCGACTTTTTCCCGCCCCTTTTTTCTTGAGACTTTTTCTGGACCACTCCAAACAATTTCTTTTGTAAAATCCTTTTGCTTTATTTCAATGAACGAATTTTTTGGAAAATTAATATTTATTGACTTTTTTTCCTGGGCTTTTTTTTCTATTTCGAGCTCCTTGATTTCTCTATCAATTTCCTTCAATCTTTTTACTAACTTCCTCATTTAAATATATTTTTTAAACTAAATTTTATGATCTTTTTTAATTTACACAAAATTGGGACATTTTTAAAGCAAAACAAAATTTATTTTTAAAAAAAATTAACTTCAAATAAATTTTTTTTTATTCTAAGAGAAGAGTAAATATCTTTTTTGGTAGTCTTCAATAGGCTTGGCTAATGAGTAAACCGGCTCTTTTTCTGCCCCAGTGATTTCTTCAAGTCTTACCTTCGAATATAGCTCTTTAAGCTGTGTTTTGTACTCCCTCAGACTCCTAATGTAGTCGTAATAATCTGTCATGGAGCTTGAGGTCTTGCAAACACGTTCGAGCAAGTGCAATTTGTCGAATACAGACTGCGTTGATTTCAATGGGGTGTATAACTCAGTTAGCTTTAAAATAGTCTCTCCAGAAGTTTTGGTAAATAAAGGAACTTCATAATCAGTCAAGTTTGGCTCATGAAAAGTTTGGATTGGGACGTCTTCTTCTGAAGACTCGATCATGTGGCCATCATCGTTGTCTTCAGCTAAGCTTTCTATATCAGAATAGTTTGGCTTATCTAAATCTGGCCCTTTTATGGGCACGTCAATAGATTTTAGCTCATTATACGAAAACCGCTGATTTCCAATATTCGAAAGGGCTTGAACTGACTCCATATCCACATCGCTATGTTCTGCTGATCCAGGGTCCATTTTAAATATAATTTCTGGTGAAAAATGTAAGATAGCTCTCTGACGAAATTCTAACTCGCCAATTCAAAAATTTGGGCTCATTTATATTGTTTTTCAGGGTTAATTTTTTTTTTTTAAATTTATGTATAAATTTTATAGTAAATTTGTTTTCAAAATTTAAATTGAGAAGTAAAAATTAATTTAAATTTGCAAAATTTATGTTTAAAAGCGCAAGCTGTTTAAAATTAAATAGAATTAGCTAGAGATTTTATTATACTAATTATCACTTATATATCAATATTTTTTTCATAAAAAATTTTTTGTTCTCTAATGGAGAGTGGGTTTTTACCCAAAAAATCAGGATTTTCCAATGGTTTTGTTCGCTCACGGAGGGGGAGTAAGGCATCTCATTTTCTGTCAATTTTTTGGCCCTGTCTTGATTAAAGAGGAATCAGAAGCTAATGGGAAACTTTTAGGCGCCAATTTTTGGGGATAAAAAAGGTGTTTGAACATTGTTGAAAATTCAAGCAAGCTGAGAATTCTGCTCAGGAAAGACTTTGCTAGGATATTTATTTACTCCTCACTCACGGAGGGGTTAATTTTTTTTTTTAAAAAAGATTATATATAAATTTTATAAAAAATATTTTTTCGAAATTTAAAAAAATCCTAATTCGCAAAAAATTGAAAAGCAAATATTAATTTAATTTATAAAATTTATGTTTTAAAAAGCAATTCGTTTAAAATTAAACAGAAGTAGCTCTAGATTTCATTATACTAATTATCATTTATATATCAAAAATTTTTTCCATAAAAAATTTTTGCTCACTCATGGAGGGTGGGTTGTTAGGCAAAAAATAGCGATTTTTCTAATGGTTTTGTTCACTAACGGAGGGGGGGGAGTTAGTAATTATAACACATCTCTGATTCTTTAAAGCATTTCTTTGATGGAAAATATCTAATTTGTCTCATTTAATTGTAATTCGTTGGTCATGGTCTTGTTTATAGCCTTGATTTTTATTTTAGCAAAGAATTAAGAAGAAAGCAATTTAAAAGACACTTAAAATAATTTAATTAAATTAACTGGCATTTCCTTTAAGAAATTCAATTAAGATCCTGAAATTTATTAGAAAGAAATATGGAAATATGTATAGAAATTTTACCTCACCAGTAGCAAAAGCTTATTCATTTAAAATAATTTTAATTAAATATTTTTTTATTTACTCCCCCCCCCCCTCCGTGAGCGAAACAAAACCATTAGAAAAATCACCATTTTTTGACCAAAAAACCCACCCTCCGTGAGCGAACAAAAATTTTTTTTAATAGAAAAAATTTTAATGGAAAAAAATTTTGATATATAAGTGATAATTAGTATAATGAAATCTAGAGCTAATTCTGTTTAATTTTAAACAAATTGCGTTTTAAAAACATAAATTTTGCAAATTAAATTAATATTTGCTTCCCAATTTTTGCAAATTAGGATTTTTTTAAATTTCGAAAAAAAATTATTTTTTTTTAAATTTCGAAAAAAATATATTTTTATAAAATTTATATATAATTTTTTTTAAAAAAAAAAAAATTAACCCCCCTCCGTGAGTGAACAAAATTTTTTTGTTCGCTCACGGAGGGGGGGGGGGAGTTAGAATAAATTCAATTAAAGAGTTAAATATTTTATACAACAATTTTTCCAATCACAAATTAGCTAGCCATGTTTAAATTTATCAACTCTTGCATAAACATTTTTTAATTTCTAAATAATTTTTAATCTGCACCAATTACTCTCATAAACACATCTTCTAATGATGACTGAGATATCCCCCAATCAGCAATCCCAATTTTAAGCTTGTTCTGCTCAAATTCACTGAATATAGACGAAACCTTACAGCATCCTAGTGGTATTTGATAAATAAGGTTCCCATTAAACTCAGATAAAATTATTGCAGCAGGCAAAACATTTTTCACGAAGTCTTTGACTTGATCTACGATTTCTTCTTGGTCTTCACTAGAATGATGACTAGGCTTCTGGCAATTAATAAACAAGTGATATCCACCTCCATATAAAGATTTAAGAACAACTTGTGGGCCAATACATCTTAAAACTCCTTCATTGACGATAGCTATTCTTGAGCACAATACATCAGCTTCTTCCATAGAATGGGTCGTTAATACCATTGCTTTCCCTTCTTTGCAATTCGCCAAAATATCCCAAAGCTGCCTTCTGTTTTCTGGGTCTAAGCCAGTGGTAGGCTCATCTAAAAATACAATTTTTGGATTTCCTACTAGAGAAATAGCAACTGACAGACGACGTCTCATGCCTCCTGATAGTTCATTGGTTTTTAAGTTTTTGAACTGAGTCAAATACACATCTTTCATTGCGAGCTGCACTCTATTGTGCTCGTCTGATGGTGGAATTCCTTTGAGACGCGCATAAAATAATAAGTGCTCATAAACTGTCAATTCTGGCCATAAAATATCAAACTGTGGACATACACCCATAACTAGCTGGACCTGGTCTAACTCATTAATAATATCAAAACCTCCTATCCATGCATTTCCGCCATCTGGCTTATACAGTCCAGTAAGCATGCTAATCAGTGTAGTTTTTCCAGCCCCATTTGGTCCTAACAGCCCAAACAGCTCCCCCTCATTTATTTTCAGACACATCCTTTTTACAGCAATTTTATCAGGTCTCCCTGCTTTTCCTTTATAAATTTTTCTGATATCTTTTACAACTAATGGGTAAGCAGAATAAGATCCTTGCAGATTATAGACCAAATGTCTTTCTTCTTTAACCTGTTGGTCTTCATCTATTAATTCTGTTGCATAAACATCTCCAATTTCGTCACTGCTTTCTAATAAATTAGGGTTTCTTTCAATTGGCTTTTTTCTTTTCAAGAAAAATAGAGGATGCTTGGCTACTCCAAATTCTCTAGGGACAATTTCGTTTAGATATAAAGCAATGATCAAAATAACAGTCCCAGCTACATATAAAGAAACAATGCAGTCTTTTAGCTCGTCGTCGACTTCGCTGAATTCTTCTACACATTTGTAATAACCACAGTTGTAGCTGAGGATATAAATTGCGCGGGTCATTGCAAAGTGGGGATACATGAAGAGATAGCCTGGGAGTCTTTGTGGAATTGGATATACTGCTAAATTTAAAGTGATCCCCCATAACACTGTTCATATTGAAAGCAAATAACCCCAAATGGTCGCTGTTCTTGCTTTATTGATGAAAACTTGTATGAAAAACGCCAAAGAAATTTGTGAAATTCCCCACCCGACAAGAACAATTACTACTAAAAGCCCATTTGTCTGTGTAAAATATTGCAGCTGCACCACAAAAACGCCAAAAATCATAAAAGTGACAATTGTCAACGAATACACAATAAAATCAAAAATAAAGTTAACTAGCCAATAATTCGCAATTCTCATACCATTCATTTTCATAAAATCCTGCAGCTTTTCTTCTTTTTCAAGCACTACTGAATACATAAACACAGGCAATAATAGTGAAAGCGCAATAGGGTATAAGCTTGCCCCCATAATATTAAGCAGCCTATTAAGCTCTGCAGTTTCATGAAACTTAATCGGCATATATTGTATCAGCGTCATAATTTCTGTATCATTAAAAAGCGACCTAAATAGCGCTTGGTGGATCATGTCAATCAGCGTCAACATTCCATCAGTGATTGTCAAAATGCTGGAATAGCCAGTGCTATTCACACCTCCTGATGGATAATTGAGCTTAGTGACCCCATTATTTCTATGGTAAGCTTGGAATCTGTGGTCATTTATCTGTGCTTTATACTTCAAGCTCGTCTTATTTGCACTATAAAAAGTCACAGCTCCGTCTGGAAGAAACGAGCCATATATGGACTGCTTATTGTAGATCGGGTTATCGTTCATAACCTTTATTGTATCAAAAATATCTTGATTTATGGTACTTTCTGGTCTGGCGAAATAAGGATTCTGCTTCACGTTGCTTCTGCAAAAGTAGTTTGGAATCTGTCCTAATAGTCCCGTGCTGGTGCTATTATTTGTATCAAAATATTCTCCAGTCAGAGTCCCTACAAATTCGTGAGTTTCTGGGTCATTGGTTTCAAAATCGTAATAATATCACTGTTCGCAATCGTCTATTTTCAGCCCTATTAGGTTGTATAACAAATAATTAGGGACAAGTGGAGGGTTCAGAATTCGAGGGACTGTTTCCAGAATTACCGCATCATTTGTATAGGGTTTTCCCCTATATGGCCCTGAATTTTAATTTAAAAATGTCTTGGATTATTTAATGGGCAATTTATAGGACTTTTATATATCCCTTGATTTGGCTTTGGGCAATTTCTTTCATCAGATAGACTAACAACAGACAAAAAATTGGGGTGATAATTTGGCAAAAGTTGGTGCCTTTCTGTCTCAGCTGCATCACGGCAGACTTTCTAAATAAGGCACGGATTTGGTAGGATTTCCTAGTTTCTTTAGCTTCTTCCATATTAATTATTCTCTATCTGAGTCAGGTTAAGAAAAAGATTATTAGTTAGCCTATAAGCAGTTCCAGAGATATGATCATCAAGTTAAAGAAAATCAAAGGAACCCTTCCATATGTCCTTGCCGAGTAAAGCAAAAAAGCCAGCTGCTTTTTCCATGGCGCCGACGGCAAATCAAATTGTTCAATTGAGTCCAAGCTGTATTTTCGTAAAAAATATTTGGGGTTGAGAATAGCTAGTGCATTAAGCATCAAAATGCAGGCTTCAATCAGGCAGAAAATACTCAAAGCCATATTTAATTATCCTTTTTTATCTATTTTTATTAAATCGCAGATTTAAATATGTTTACTAGGCAAAATAAGGCAAAAAGTATATCTAATTAAAGTTGATGTGTGATTAAAGCCTTGCTGCCTTTTTCAATTTCTTGTCTACAAAATCAGGAAGGAAAGGTCTCAGATAAGCTGCAAAGTACACTTTGAAAGGGAAATAAATTTTCCTTGCTCTTCTGTCAGCAGCTGCCAATATATTTGCCACACAGTTCTCTACACTGATCCTATTTTCATTGTCTTTATCCCCATCTACCTTGACTAGAGAATTATTCCTTAAATTGGTCCTTACAGATGGTGGGCATACAATGGTAATCGCAAGCTCGTCTTGGTTCAGCTCACTCCTTAGCGCTTCAAAGAACCCAGTTACAGCGAATTTTGAAGCACAGTAAGCAGTCCTAAATGGGAGCCCGATTTCTCCAGAAATACTTGATATCACTAATATTTGTCCTCTGGACTTTTTCAGATGTGGGAGGCCATGAAATGCGCAATATAAATATCCATAATAATTTGTTTGCATTATTTTTTCATATACAGATAAATCGGAGACGTTTTCAAAGAGCTGATAAGCTGAAATCCCTGCGCATAAAACTAATATGTCAATCCCATCTAAATTTTCGACTGAAAAATTAATAAGATCTTTGCATTGGGATTCAATGGTGACGTCTGTTTCCTTTGCTAGGACTTTGGGAGAGCCGAGCTTTAGGCATTGCTCTTGAATGGCTTGCAAAGTATCAAGTTGGCGACCTGCGAGAACAAGAGAATATTTTCGCTTTGCGTACTGAAGAGCGATTTCTTTGCCAATTCCAGAACTGGCACCTGTTATAACTACACGGCTGTTTTCTTTAACCTCGGAAACTGCAAAAAGCTTAACTCCTTATTAAAATATAGCAAGAAATTTATTCATTTTTTTTTATTACAATTGCATATATATTATTTTAAAAATCAATTTTTGTAAATATTTGATAATAAAACTTATAAAATTTTATCTAGAGTATAATTTAATAAAATCTATTGAAATTTCATTATTAAAATCGCTAAATATATATTAAAATATCCTTGCTATAGAAAAAGGGTTAATTTTCCCAGATAGGTTTTTAAATAGGTTTGCTATTCAAGGGGGGTAAGTAAGGTAAGATTATTCCCCATTTATATGTCTTGATTATGTAATGATGATTAGCTAAAATTACATGTTTATAATTCACTCATTTACTTCATTTAAAATTTCAAGCTATTATTTTGAGATTTTCAAGTAGAATATGCTTTTTAAATTTTATAAAATAATTATAGAAAAATTCATTAAATAAAAATTCAAAGACTACAACCAAAAATAATAACTTCAAAATCCAGTTTATAATCAAAATTATTGAAGAATTACTAACTCCCCCTCCGTGAGTGATCAAAATATTGGAAAAATCCCTATTTTTTGCCAAAAAAACACCCTCCATGAACGAACAAAAATTATTTTATGAAAAAAAAAATGACATATAAGTGATGATTACATTTTAAAACATAAATTTTACATTTTAAATTAATATTTGCTTCCTAATTTTTGCGAGGGCAGTAAGCATATACTTTTAATAAGTATTTTCTGTATGGATTAGTTTTCTTTTTATAGTTAATTATCATCGCTATTTACGAATTAATTATCTGTAGACTATCATCGGAATATTTAGCTTTCAGGTATCGATATATATTCATCTGTCACGAACAATTTCTCATTAGCAAAAATCAGTTTTCTTTTCAGTCTTAAAAAATTTGGAGGAGGTCCAGTCCTAAGCTTATGCTTTTCTCTTTTTTTCTTTTCTGATGTATTAAACATTCTTTTTAGGGGAGTTACAGAAGGAGTACAATTATTGCTTGGATTTGGTATACAGCTTGCTATTTTTGGTATAAATTGCTCCTTTTGATAGAAACTAAAATTTGCTTTATTCGTCGTTTTTCCTAATAAGAGTTTGCTTTTTAGATTACTATATGAAGTTCTGTACGGAGAAATATCTTTTTTTATTATTTTTTGTGAAACTGACCTTTTGTGTGCCCCTATAATACTTGGCAGCTCTGGATTTAGCATCATTTCTTCCATTTCTTTTAACTCTTCAATGCGATTTTGTGTTCTTATTAAATCTTGAGTTCTTTTGTTTTTTAAAAATGCCCAAGTATCTACATAAGGGATTCTTGTTTTAAAATCTTCCTTTGTAATAGTATAAACTTCAACGATTCCGCTATTACACCTGCACGAAAACATCCTCTTATCAGCTCCATCAATAATTTCATCAAGTCCTACTATTTCATTTTCTCCTTTTATGACAACCTGTAAGGACTTTTTCTTCGTTAAAACATTTTTGTGTGATTTTGCCTGCTCAAATGAGGCCTCATCATTTAATTTTGTTAATCGCACTTCTCCACTTTTGATAAAATATACAAAATTAACAGGATCGCCTTCCTTATATAAATATTGTTTATTTTTCACCACTTGAAATTCGAAATAATAGCTGAATTTAATCAATGCAATTTTTGTTCAAGTAGAAAACATAGGAATTGACTGAAAAAATTTGATTTTCTGGTTCATTCGTCTCTCAGTGACTACCCCAAGAATTTTCTTAAAATCGCCTTTATTTAGTACTGCCAAATACGATTTCTCCAGCGCTTGAATTGATGCAGCTCTTGGCCTCTCACTAATAAGTGAAAGCTCCCCAAAGGAAGCTCCTTCATGCAAAACACTGACTTCTTGCAATTGTTCTAATTCTATTTCAACTTTATCATTCGTTTCCCATAATTTTGTAACAGTTTCTATTATAAACTTTTCCTGCATCATTTTTTCTTGGAAAAGTTTTGAAATTTTTTTCTCTTCAGTTTGGACTGGCTCAGATGCTTCAACTTTTTCTTCATTAGTAGCCCTCGGTCTTACTTTATTCACCAAAAAGTTGTCAATAATATTTTGTGTCTTTTTTTCGCTTGATTTGGGTCTCTCAAAGGACTCTTCTTTGGGAGCTCCTGATTTGTAGCCGACATTGTACCCAAAATAACTTTCGAATGTGTCTAATAACTCTCTTTTAATTTTAAACCTTTTTTTGGTTGGGACTTGGACAGAAACAGAACCTTTGAGCACGATAAAGAAATCCTCGCCTTTGCTTCCGAAATCGACGATATATTCAAATTCATTGCATTCTTTTAAGAACATGGCGTGGCAGGATGCTCGGTGAACATCGTTATTTTTTTGCTCTTCTGTGATTTTTCTGAAAAATTCGCAATCTTTGGTGACATTTACAAGCTTGTCGATATCAGCTTCGGTTCGGAATCTAGGTGCAATTTGAAGAATATTAAGAGCAGTTTTTATATCATATCTAATCTCCATATTTATCTAATCACACAAAAAATTTCTCTTTTCTCTATATTTCTCTATATTTTTCTTATTTTTACAATTTTTTTATATCAGAGGAGCATTATCAATTTTTATTTTCTTTACTCCCCCCCCCCCTCCGTGAGCGAACAAAACCATTAGAAAAATCGCCATTTTTTGACCAAAAACCCACCCTCCGTGAGTGAACAAAAATATTTTTAAATAGAAAAAATTTTAATGGAAAAAAATTTGGATATATAAGTGATAATTAGTATAATGAAATCTAGAGCTAATTCTGTTTAATTTTAAACAAATTGCGTTTTAAAACATAAATTTTGCAAATTAAATTAATATTTGCTTCCCAATTTTTGCAAATTAGGATTTTTTTAAATTTCGAAAAAAATATTTTTTATAAAATTTATATATAAATTTTTTTTTAAAAAAAAAAAAAATTAACCCCCCTCCGTGAGCGAACAAAATTTTTTTGTTCGCTCACGGAGGGGGGGGGGGGAGTTAGTTAGATTAAAAATAAAGTCTATATTAATTTATGGTTTATATAAAATTGCTATATTCTTATGTCTTATGCTAGCTTAGCGTTGAGTATGCCACTCTCTTCAGTAGGATGCCAGCCGTGGCCGCCCTTTTTAGCTCTACGGCGATGATATTACACCATTCCGTTGTCACGCCATGCTTCAGTCCGACTCAGCAATCCTAAACAAGCTTCGTCTCAGCCTCATCAGAAAACATCACAACTCGCGTTACTCTTACTTCCCTTTAATCAGCTCTTGCACGTGCTCCAGCTGAGGTTTATCTCCTTGGGAGTGCAAGGAGGAGAAGCCTTCAGCTAAATGAATACCATTTTATTTATAATAATTGCTATATCCAGCATTTTTATATTTTGATAATTGAATTCTGAAGCGATTTTTATTTAATCTTAAAGATTATTTACTTTTTCTTCTTTCTATTTCTCTTTTTCTTCTTCCCTTCCCCTTTGTCTTCCTCTTTGGCTTCTCCTTTGTCTTCTTCTTTTTTCTCTACCTTTGGCTCTTCTTCTTTCTTCGGCTCCTCCTCTTCTTGGTTCCCCATCTGGTGTTTAAGCTCATCCTCCGCATTAAGCTTTTTTTTCAAGGTCGCTTTAGTAGTTCTTTCCTTTGGAGGCTTAAAGTATTTTCTCATATCATAGGCATCTTCTCCATCTGCATAATATTTTTCTTCAATGCCATGTATTTCATAGCCTAAAGTTTTCGAATATAAAGTAAAAGCTGCCCTATTTCCGACCCTCACATGGAGGGATACAAATTCAGCGTCATAGCATTCCACCATTGAATTGTCTGAATTAAATGTTACGAGAAGCTTGCATCAGTTTTGTGGCTAGTCCAAGCTTTCTATATGGCCTTAAAACACTGATAGAAGTGATGTGTCCGTGGATCTCTGGGTCGTCTTCAGTTTTTTCGTCCTCCCTGAGTAATTTTTACATTTTTGCAAGCACGTAGCCTACGATTTTGCCATTATCGTCGGCAACATAAAGAAGCTGAGGCCAGCTGAGAATGTGGTAATAGTAGTACTTCAAGTTGTAGTTTTCTGGAAGACACATGAGGTTGCAGTATTGAATTTGCAAGAGATCATCTGCGGTAGCACGCCTTATGCACACCATTTATGCAGATTATTATTTTTGCATAATTGAAATTCATTATATCTAATTGAGATATAAGCTTAGAAATAATGCAATAATTTTTCAAAATTTATAAATCATATTTCATTTTTGTTTGTTCTTTTTGGGATATTCATTTACGTATTTACCAATAACAGCCCACTAAGGAGCATTTTTTGGTTGGCCGGACAATAGCTGGCTTGCCATATTTTCTGGATAACCAAAAAATGCTCCTTAGTGGGCTATTCTTGGTAAACAGGTATTTAAAAATTAAAGAATAGTGTTAAAATGTCATAAAATTCTTCTTTTTATAATACTGATGGAAATTAGCGTATATAAATAAAAATGGCGATCTAAGTATACCTTAACCTTATGGTCAAGACAAACTTGACGAGAAACCAGTAGGGATTCAGGTCTGCTACGGCTTTATGATATCGGGTAGATTTTTGACTCAGCTCCTATAGTTGGAAAGGGGTAGCCTGGCAGCGTCCTTCGGGATCCGTAAGGTCGACCTTCACCGCATTGCCAGGGGTTACGGCCTAGGCCTTGGAATTGACCCTTTTTTGCCTGTAGCTGCTGAGATCGGCATTCAGCACCCATTAGACTTCGGATTTTTCCTGGATCAAGCTACTATCCAATTAAACCCGCAGCAGGGCCTCAAAAGTCCAAGTCTACCCACTCAAAAATGGAGCCCTTAATCGAGCAAGGAGGAGACATACCTCCTCGTGCATATTCAATCCGTCCTGGTGATGAGGCGGATTCTAGAGAAAAGAATGACTATCACCTCGCTAGTCTTCATCAATTTGATCACACCACAGCGTGGATCTAGTAAAGCGGATGAGCCTCTTGGGTCCTTGGTGACTGTGTAACCAATACGACACTCGCCAACCTGTTAATTAGATTAAGACAGAAATTAACGTTATCAATTATCGAAAACAATATTTTATATTTAACACACGCTTCGTCTTTGTTTTCTTGTCACAAGAAGCTTCTGCAACTCTAACTGATCCATGGAGTCTAATTTAGCTAATGCATTATAGGATACTATCTTCTTCAAAGAAGGTAGGTGGAATTGATCTGCATTTTTATTCTGTACCCTTTTATCTTTTCCAATTTTTTTTTTGCTGTCAAAAGGGCTCCTCTTAAATTTCAATGCATCGCTAAAATGGTTTAATTTTGATGTTTTATATCTATTAGGACTGAGCTCGATCGGATTTAAGGATAAAACAAACTTGGCTTTTATCCTTATTTCGTTTTCCTTTTGTAGTAGGTTTTCCATATTCTCGTCTTGGATTTCTGAATTTGCATTCCATGAGGCCCTAAACTTTTGTCTAAAATCTGTTCTATGACTTGGTGTGAAATCTGGGGTTTTTAGTCTCTCGGGGGCTGGCTCATAAGTGCCTAAGACTGCATTAATAAATTTTTCGTTTGTGGGAATATTTTTCATTTTATTTTTATGCATATTCTTTTAAATGAAATTAGCTGGTTTTTTAAGGATTTTGTTAAAAATAAATTTTATAAGATCAAAATGCAAATTTATCGCGACTTAAAAGTTGGAAAATTTAAAATTGGTACTATTTTGGCTTTAGCCGCAGTTTATAATTTTTATAATTGATCTCGAAAAATGTCAAACTGACAGAAACTGTAATTCCAAGCTAAATGGAAACATCCAAAGAAAAGTAATTATTTCTTGATATTGCATTAAGTAATATCATTTTAAAATTTTAAAATAAGCGTTGGAATATATATCATAACTATGTATTACTGTTATTGGAAAAAGCTGACTCTCTAGGAAAGAAGGAACAATTTTTTTTATTTTATTTAAAATTTTAAAATATTTTTAGATTTTGTTTGGGTAATTTGAAATTAAATAAAAATTTATGCTTTGCAATTCCATTTCTTGAATTGAATAAAATTAGCTGTCGTTTGTTTTAAAATATATTTTGATTCTATATATAGAAAGATATATACAAAATTTCACTATTTTTTTCATTTTTGCATGAGAGAAATGAGTAATTTCATGTTTATACCACATTTGTTCTTTCCAACTAGCATTAATTATTTTCAACAAAAATTATGAAATTAATCTAAATTCTTAAAACCCAAACGCAAAAACCTCTAATTATAAAATTTATTATTTAATTGAACAGGTCTAAAATCATTTTGGATGACCTAGATTTCTTTTTCCTTCAAAATTACATCAAAGCACCCTTACATTATTTTACCTGTTAGTGTTCACAACAAAACTCGATACAGATTTGTCCCACTTCCTTCTTGCATATATTGATTAAATAAATTTTGTTGGCAAGCCCACTTAAATTCCTTATATAAGATAATACAGTTCTCATCCATAATTTATATATAACTGTCATGGAATTCTCAATTTCACAGCAAGACTTTGTTTTTGAACGCGAAGGCCTTCTAAGAGATATATATAAAATCGGTAACAAAATAGGTGAAGGTGCTTTTAGCAGTGTGCGAAGAATTAAGCATCGTGAGACCCTAGAAAAAAGAGCAGTGAAAACAGTGCACAAGAAAAAGCTCAGGAACGAGTCAGAAAGGCAAATGATTTTCAATGAAGTCAGCATCTTATCTAAACTTGACCACCCCAACATTTTGAAAATATATGAGTTTTACCAGGACGAGAAAAATTATTACATCATTACAGAATTCTGCTCTGGTGGCGAATTATTTGAAAAAATCATCAGGGATGGGAACCTAAGCGAAGGGTTAGCAGCAAGCTACATGAGGCAGTTGTTAGCTGTGCTTGTATACTTGCATGACAGACATGTTGTTCATCGAGACATCAAGCCAGAAAACCTGGTGTTGAGTAGCTCAGAGCCTGATTCAATATTAAAAGTAATTGACTTTGGGACAGCTCAGGCTTATACACCAGGAGAAAAAATGCATACGAGGTTTGGGACTCCTTATTACATTGCTCCAGAAGTACTGGCTCAAAGGTATGATGAGAAGTGTGACATGTGGAGTGCTGGGGTTAATATGTATATTTTGCTTTCAGGAATGCCTCCGTTTGGTGGAAATTCAGACCATGAAATTCTTAATAAAGTCAAAACTGGGAGGTATTCGTTTCCATCGCCTGAGTGGGACTCAATTTCGTTTGAAGCTAAAGACTTGATTGAAAAAATGTTGACTTTTGACCCAGAAAGGAGAATTTCTGCTAGAGAAGCACTTGCACATCCATGGCTGCTAAATGCTGCAAGATTTCGCATTGACCAGGCTGCTGCTAGGACTGCTTTAGGAAACCTGAAAAACTTCAGAACTGGACAAAAACTCAAAAAAGCGACTCTTGCTTATATTGCTTCACAGCTAGCTACAAAGACAGAAAGAGAGGAAATGGTTAAATTATTTGATAAATAAAATGCTGGCAACTCTTATTGAAATTCAAAATATCTTTTTTAAAAATTAGGCAAGAGATATTGCAATTTCCTGTGGATAGCGCTGTTTTGGCCTTGATTTTTCCACTGGAAAATTTTTGGTTCGACTAGTACCATATGGTTTGATCAATCCAAAAAAATTCTAGTGGGAAAAATCAAGGCCAAAATAGCGCCATCCACGTGAAAATCCCATAAAAATTAAAACAATATTAAATAATTTAATTTTAAATTATTCGAATCTTTAGACACAGATGAAAATGGGACTGTATCACGAGACGAGCTTAGACATGGATTTGAGCTAATCTTTGCCACTGAATTTGAAGACATTGATGAAGAAATTAATAGAATTATGAACGAAGTTGACATAAACAGGTCTGGAGAAATTGACTACAATGAGTTTGTGACTGCTTGCTTAAATCGGCAAAATTTAGTGTCGAGAAAAAGACTTGAGGCAGCCTTTAAAGCTTTTGATTTGGATGGAAGCGGGACAATTACTGCAGATGAGCTTAAGGAAATTTTGGGGAAATACCATAAGCACGATGATCAATTCTGGAGAGATATGATAAGAGAAGCCGACCTGAATGGAGATGGAGTTATTGATTTACAAGAATTTGTAAAGATGATGCTTGAAAATAACCAAGTTAGATTTTAAATTCGTTAATATTTAGATTTATAAAATTTTGTATTTATAACAAATCAGAAATTAATTTAATGCTCCCTGGACTTTTTCCATTCGTTTCAGCATTTCATCAATTTTTTTGACTCCAAACTCAAATTCTTCTTTGGTTTCAACAAAGGTCAGCCCTTTAACCTTTTTTCTAACTCTTTGTCTATATCTAATTACAATAAATGAAAACGATCCTATTGGCTATTATTCTATTCACTATATGAATATAGGATAAAGGCAGCCAGTAGCATTGTCTACATCCTCTATAGCTAGGTATATAATAAAATCATTTTTTAATAATTAAGTATATTTTTTATAAAAATATCTCAGATTTTCTATAGGAGCAGTAAGATCATCTTTTGAAATAATGTTAAGGCTTGTGAGATCATTAGGCATAATTAATGTAGGCTCTTTCTTTCTATTACTTCTATTGCTTTCAGGTGGCTTTTCAGCTGTTAATCTTGTCATGGTTTCTATTAACCCTTTAATTTTGCTTTTGTTTTGGTCAAATCTTCTTTTGATATATGATGCCTGGTTAGCAATTTTGCTTGCATATAGCAAATCATTAGGAGTTATTCTCTTGTGATTTTCCATTCTTTTATTCCATTGACTATAGGTTATATGAGTAATTCCTGGATTTTTTGGCTGTCCAATCAATTCTTTGATATCTTTATCTAAATCAAGTTCCTTTTGCCTTTTAACTGATTTTATATAGGGAATACCTGAAAATTTGAGATCTTCTCTAAATTTGACTCGGGTGGCTCCAAAATTTGTGTGTGGTCTTGTTGAAGTGCATGGACTAGTAATCGAAGTTTTTTTCCCACTTAAGGAAAACGCATCTAGGATTTTATTTGGTATATTTGATACAATTGAGTTTTCAGTCCTTAAAATTTCAGCTGATCTAACAGATAGCAGTGGGCTCCTCTTGAAGAGTTTGCACTCATATATATGAATAAAGTACCATTTCCCAGTGGTTTCTTGAATAAAATCAGCGACCAGCTCACATATTGAGTTTTCTTCATATAAAGAGTGCTCTAAAATAGTTTTTAGAGTATCCGCATATCTAGTTAGCTCAATTGTACCAATAGTAATATACACTTCTGATTCATAAACTGTCCCTGACAATATAAAAGGATTTTCATCTTCCGCATCTTCATGGGAAATATAAGAAACTGTCACATGTCCTGGAGTTTTCCACCTAATCCTGACAACATGTGGTTTTCCCCCTTTGCATTCCAGATATTCTTGTATTATTAAATTTTCTGAATGAGTGTTTCATAGTTTAATGATTTCTTGTGTTGTGAAACAGATCACTCGATTAGTATTAATCTTCGCTATAGCACAAGGAATATTTGGTTTTTCTATAAAGGTTTTTGTAATTATTGATTCAATTTCTTCAGGTCGAAGTTCATTAAATGAGTTGTTTCGGAAAGTTTTCTGAATCAGAATTGGCTTTTTAAAACCTAAACCTTTAATAAGGGTTTTAGGGACTGGGAAGCGAATGTGATTTCTTTTTGATGCGTTGTAAAGAAGATAAAAAAAGTTAGCGCTTTGGTCTTGTGTTTCCATTAGATATAAATGACAATTTGTATTTCATTCGAAAGTTAATAATGGCCAGCATAGTTTGGAATTTTAATAAGGAAATTGATATTTAATATTAATTAGCTATCTAAATATAGATTAATTAGCAAAAATAGCATAAGGCATAATAAAATATATGTAATTGCTGATATTTGTATAATAAAAATATATTGATCTTTTTTAAGAAGATTTTTGATGAAAATTACGATTTTAAGTAAAAAAAGCAATTTTAGCTAATTTTATTACAATAAACTGATAATTTGCCGGATACCAAAATGTCGTTAAATTTAAAATGAAGTTATTGTTAGCGTTTCTCACAGCTTGCTTCGCATCCAATCTCTATGAAATTCTTATCAAGCAAAACACAGAACTAGGAGTCTCAAACACAAATCTAAGGGCTCAGATAATCCAGCTCCTTTCTGACTATAATTTATACCAAACAATTTCAGATGACTACAATTACATGAAAGAAAAATTAATCCAACTGACTGAAGAATACCAAAACTCAGCTGATACTGACACAAATCTCATCATTCAGCAAGAAATTGCCTCAAGACTGCTAGAGCTTATTGAATATATCAATCTTCTTGGAGGTTCCTCAGAAGGATTCACCACTGACGAAATCAATTTTTGGCTGTTAAAACTTGCAGACTGCATAAATGAGGCGAAATCACTAATAAATCAGAAAAAAGAAGCAGAAGTTTATAACGAGCTTACCTTATCAATTTTCCTTAAAGGTCAACAAATCAGACACTATCAAAGAGAAAATGCTGAGCTGAATGGAAAAATCGAGCTTTCCCTAGCCTCATTAGAAAGTGCAAAGGATAAGGAAGCACAGGAAAAATCAAAAATTGACGATATTGTGGATAAGCTTGATGAAGCTAAAAACCATCAAGAAAATCAAATTAATGCATTAAAAGAGTCATATAAAACTGAGCAAGATAATGCTTCAGAAGACGCTAAGCCTACATATGAAGATATCCAAAACTCAGCAGCCACTTCTATTTTGGCTTTGGAAAGCACAATTGGTGATCAGTCCTTAAAAATAGAAGAGCTGACAGCAGACAATGCAAGTTTACAAGCAAATATTTTGACAATGAGCAATAATATTGACTCGCTTCAAAAAGAGCTTGAAATTAAATCAGAGACTTTAAAGGACGCTGAGTCCAAATTTGAAGAATTCAGACTGCAGTCTAAAACTGCATCTGATACTGAGGTTGACGAATTCATTGGTAACGAAGAAGTTATCCAGAACGAAGTCACAAGTCTTCAAGAAAAAGAGTCACTTTTATTGGAATCTTTGTCAGATAACTTAAAAGTTGTCAGCCACCTTGAGATGCTTAACCACCTCAAATCCAACAAAATCAGAGAAATGGAATATGAGTTAAAAGAATTCCAAGCCTACCTTGAACAAGCCAAAACTGCAAGATCTGAAGAAATAAGCAGCTTGATGCAGAAACTTAACGACAATAAAGAAGCTGAAATTTCTTTAAGGAACAAACTTGAAGAAACACTCAACAAAATTGAAGAAAATAACGAAGAAATCAAAGAATTGACCAGAAAAATCAATGAAGCTGAATACATAAAGAAAAGAGATGAACAAAGAAAAGAAGATGAAATTATTTACTAGGTTTGTAACTGTAATTAATGAGTAATTTTAAATCTTAATTAGCCTTGGATAAGTCTTTCTGCGTACTGTCTGAAAAACACTTGGTCAGCACCTTGATCTAGCAAATGTAAAGCTTTTAGGACGTTATCGATTTTCTTTTTGTTGATTGAAAAAATGTTAATGACAGCTTGGTCTAGGTTAGGGTCGCCACCTGCTTTGCAAGCTTTCGCAATTGCAGGGAGCAGCTCGCTGAGGGCATCGATATTTGCAGAAAACTCCTCACTTGGTAATGATATTAGTAAAGGCAAAGCTGGGGCTAAGTTATTTGCAAAGAGGTCAAAATGTCTCATACTGATCATAAATGTAGCTTTTGGATGAACTTTTGAGAGATTTGTTAAGAGTCCAAGAGCTTCTGTATAATTTGAATTGATAAGCTCATCAAAATATCCTTCTGCCTGATATAAATTCTCTTCTGGAAGCTCACTTAGCATTGTTTCAGCAATATGAAGGCCTGCTTCATTAATAGGAAGACTTTCTAAAATAGTAGGAGGATGTGGCGCAATCATTACATTACATTACATTAGAATTTATATCGCTTAACGTCCACTACGGGGTTACAACTCCAGGTTTATCACTCGCCTTTCGTCGCATCGGGCCCACCAGTCTGCTGGAGACAAACTCGCTTTGATCACCAGGGTGCTTCCAGGGCAAATGTCCACGTCTTCGACGGCTCATGGATGAGCTACTTGCTTGTACATGGGTTGCTTTTCCGAAAAACCCAAAAATGGATTTTTCTGGTCGGCTATCGGCAAAAAGGAAAAATGCAAAGCCTGGGACGTAACGCCCAGTTTCACGCTAGGGAGTTGCCCGAATGGTCCAGAGGACTTTGCTGGGCTTCCCCTTTCCAACCTTGCACCCTCCTTCCCCACGAGGAAAAATCCACCCTGAGAATAGACTTGGGCTAGGCTCTGAAAGCTACCAGAATTGCTTACCTAGCATTGCTGTCCATCTCTGAAATGGTAAAACCTTGCCGGATATAATTAAAATATGAGTCGAGGCTGCATGGCCGGGAGGCCATGCCCAGACGAAGACGCCATATTTTAATTATGGATGTGGCGCAATCAGTCCAAGTAGTTTTCCAGCCTCATAAGTGACGCTTCTGGCTGTGTTTTCTTTCAAATCGTTCATCATTTTATTGGCTGCACTTGTTTTAGATTGGCTTGGGATTTCAGTTCTTCTAGCCACTTCTTGAAGAGTCTGCAGTCCTTGTACCACAATTTCTTCAGGTCCATCCAGTCCGCAGAGGTCACTTACCAATAAGTCCACTCTTGGTTTCAGCTTCAAAAGTTCAATCAAATTCCTATGTCCTGCATCTCTGACGTTTTTCTCAGTATGACTCATAGATTTCACAAACACGCTTTGTAGCTGTGTCACAAAGGTTTTCAGCTTGGCTGGGCTTTTTTCTAGCAAAAAATAAAGGGCGTCTAAAATCCCAACTTTTACATCACCTGGGACTCTTTCACTTAAAACTCTGATTAAAGGTCCAGCTATATTGACAGCATAAGGAAGTAAAGGAGCTTCATCAGTCAGCTGTATAATATCACAGTATCCTCTTGAGGCCATTTCTTTGATTTCTGGGCTTCCATACATAATTGCGCTTTGTAGAATAGGTAAAAATGGGTCAAGGCCTTTAGGCTCATTGAATAACTGAATCCTACGAGCATTGCTGAGGTGTGATTTAAAGATAGGGAAATAGAAACAGAGCTCTTCTTTAGGTATAGAGGCTATGGTTTTCTTCAAAACTTCTGGCAAAAATGCTATGGTTTCTGGCTCATTTACAAGGAGAGCTGGAAGAATCAGTGTTAACAGCTTGTCAACGTATCCAGTGAAATTCAGCTTGGTGTGTGAGCAGAAATAGTCCACTATGTGAAGGACACTTTGGACTGGGTATTCCAGCTTATTTAAAGCAGATTCTAGATTAGAATGGTCACTAAGGGAAGCTATTATGATTTTGGTAGCGTTTAGAAGAGAATCACCTCCATTGATAATTTGTGTAAAAATGTCGTTTAGTTCTCTGATATTAAATAAGTCATCAGCTATTAGATCTGCGACCTCAGGAAGAGTTTTTGATCTGTGCTCCGAGCTCATAATTTTAGGAAGAAGTGCTTTGGTAATCCCATCATTTTTGAATTTCAAAAGTTCTCTACAAGCAGCTGGATAAACGACTACTTTGTCAAGCAGAGATAGGGCGCCTGGATCTTTATTATCAATAGTTGTTTTATTGTATAAGTCATGGAAGATCCCACCTGCATTTTCTAAGAAATCTTTATCATTAGAGTGCAATAAATGCTCTAAGATTTGAATAATATTGTCACTATAAGTAATCAATAGGTTTCTAGTTGCAGATTCACATACAATTCTTAACGCAAAAGCAACACCTTTGGGATATTTGTCAAAGTACATTTCAAAGTGTCTTAAATAGCTTGAAAAGAGCTTCCCTTGATATTTAGAAATCAGTCCTTGCACTGAAGTCCCAGCTATTTCTCGTGGTTCTGACACATCTTTATCACAAATTTGTACTACTCTCAAAACCAGTTCAGGTGTCAAGGCAAGCAAAAACTTAGGCGTGTTTTCCACAAGTGATTTCCAGATAGAAACAGCATTAACATGAATTGTCCCCGAGTGGTCAGATCTCAAAATATAAACAGATGCAAGTATCCTGTTCTTTATTTCGTGGTTTATCAGCTGTTTTCCTTCTCTTCTGCCTAAAGCTTCCATTTTATCTAGCATTTCTCCCATAAGTGTGATGCAGCTTTGTCTGGTCCTCCAGTTCTGCTGGAAAAGCCCTTCTTCTAAAGGAACGAAAAAGCTTTCCATATTAGTCCTGCCATAGTCTTGTATAAGCAACTGCACAACTCTGACAGCGATTTTTCTGACGTCTTCATTTTCGTGGCTTAAATTCTTTAAAAATATAGGGAGGGCTTTGTTGAGGTATCTTTCAAATTTTCCTTGTGTGTTTGGTGGGATAAAAATAAAGACCCCAAGATAGCTTTCTCTAATTATTGGAGAATCGTCATTGCATTTTTTCAACAGGTCAGGCAGAAGCTGCTCCCAATGGTCATTATATAAAATAATTTCACTATAAGCATGGACTGCTCCAGATCTTTCTACATTAGGATTGTTGTTTTGCATGATGTCTTGAAGCCAGTCAACTATAGGCTGGGCAAGCTCATTTCCAATCCCATTGCATAAAGCTCCTAAGTTTTGAGCAGCAATATTTCTAACCTCAGGCAAAGCATCAAATAAAGAATATTTCAGAGAAGTCACGATACGTTCCAGGTATGGGAAAATTTCCATAGGGTCTGATATGAGCTTTGTGATTCCTCCTACTATTTGACAAGCTTGTTTTTTAAGCTCTATACTTCTGGATTTTAAGCCTGTTTCTATTAATGGTATTAATAAACTGAGAGATGGAGCGTCCATATAATGGTGAAATGCTGTGTCAATCAGTACTTTATAGACTTCGCTCAAAGCTGAAATGTCGCCAAGAGCTTTGGTTAAGATCGGAACAATTTGGAATATTTCAGGATTGGTAATTACTGAGCCAATATCAGTAATAGCAGTTTTGGCAGCATCAAGTACATTTGGGTTGGTGTCTGAAAAAGCTTTTACCACTTGTGGGACTACGTCTGGTAGACATAAAGCAAGCTGTCTCCATGAGCAGAATGCTAATTTTCCTAAAGCTTCGATAGCTCCGACTTTACTTTTCCATTTGGTTTCTTCTAATCCACGAGTTAGCAATGGCAGAATTTTCTTCATCCCATTAGCTGAAAGCTTCGACATAAGCACTCTGGCAGCATTGTTAGCTTGTTCTTGCAGCTCTTTATCAGAAAAACAGTCTAAAATGAACGGCAGTACTTCTCCGAAATAAGGCTCAAATGATCTCCCAAGGACTGAACAAAGCCCTTCAATTGCAATAAGAATAGCTCCTTTGTCGAGTGTAGGCGCTTTTTTGTTGTTTATGATGTTTTCAAAAATGTCTAAAATGTGGTAGCTTATAAGGGTCTTTATTCCACCTCCTTTAATAAGAGAATCCATATATAAAAGCTGCAGGAGGCGTGGATCGTATTCTAGAGGGTGGGTTTTGAGCTGCAATTTTACCATAGAAATAGTCAGTAACCTCAAAGCAAGAGATAATGAGTCAGCTAATTTCAGTCCTGACTCCTTGGGTAGTTAATTGCATATTTTTTTCCGGCCATAGAGGAAGGCGAGCAGTATGAGGCAAGGAACTTACTTTCCCTTAAGCTGGCCCCAAATGGTGAAAGCTGTTGAGCTCTTTCTCGAAATAACCGAAAAAAAGGGAAGGCAATTAGACGACAAAAATGGGAGTCTCTCCAGCTCTTTTCCCTTTAATGCAACGATCTGGCCTAGGAAGCAGCCAGTATCGGGATAAGCTTGATCAACGTTGCAAGTTTGAATTGAATTTCCTAGTAAATGCTTATCTCTGGATATAGGGTACTCCCTTCGAAAAAGGGGTTTTGGTCTAGGCTTACAGCGTTTACGATCAGCCATCCAGCAGAACATCACTATAGAACGGAGGACCCAGGAAACTTGAACTCTTAAACACATATTGTATTAGAATTAGCATTAAGATTCAATAAGAGAAGCCAGACCATACCCCGCACCTCTTTTTTGCTTAATAGGTTTTTTATCGAAAATTTTTTTGACTTCTCTATCAATTAATCCCTCTAATAGGTGAGGCCTATACGATGCAAGTCTTGGCAGACATTTAGAAACAGTGCTTGCCAGCATATCTGAAGGAATGTCCAAAGATTTAAGCAGCAACTCAATTGTGCTTTCTATTCTGAAATCTTCAGGACCAAAGAACTTAGCGAGAAATCCTAGCATCACAACTGCTGAATGTCTTGTGCTTTCATGAGGCGAGTCAATTCTCAGCTGAAGCAATGTGAAAATTTCGTTAACATAAGCTTCTCCACGTGTATTCAAATACAAAATTCCAGTCTCAAGCAGGCCACTTCTGAAGTGGTCTGTAGGGTCTTCCATCCCTTTATCAAGTATAAACTCGACTGTTTCAATTACCAGCGCTTTAGGCAAAATTTCTACACATTGATTAAGCAGCTTGATAATTCCTTCTCTATTGTCATTTCTCCTATCAAACTCCACAAATGCTCTGTGCATGGCTGGAGCTTTCCAGTCTTCGTTGCTTTCCATAGCCTTTGCTGTCCCTTTAGCTGCCATTGTTTGAATATCTACATTGTCATGAAAAATACATACCAAAATATTGTCTAAGAATATGTCCAATGTCAGTTTAAAGTTAAATTTCTCCCAAATCTCTTGAGAACAGCTGGAAACGGTATCAACTTCGTCAAAAAGGGATAAATAAATTGTGGAAACTGACCATTTTTCATTTGGAATTGTATCTTCATATTGTAATAAATAGTCAAGAAGCACTTGCTTTGTAAGAGGCTCAAGGAGTAAAAGAATGTCAAAAAGAGGCTCCCAGTGGTGAGGCTTTAAGAGAGGGATAAGCGGAGGGAAAATAGAGTTTATGAGTGGGCTGCTATAAGTTTGCAAAACGTGGCAGATCTGCTGGATTGAGTCTTCTAGTGAGAAAAAGTTTTTCGCATATAAAAATTCAATCATCATGCTCAAAGCTGAAGACCTTAAGCTAGTTCCTAACTGCCTCAGCACATAGATAACAATTTTTTCTAATAAATAAGCTTCATTTAAGTCAAGCTTTGATATTGAAATATTTGAATCAACAAAGCTGAAAATTTTATTCAGGGCTTTATCACTGGTAATATTTAAAGAACTTCTTAAAAATGCTGTAGTAAATTGTGACGCAACTCGGCTGAAGCTTTTAGAGTTAGACAACAAAGTATCAACAAAATGCCAAATTGGCCCACTTACGTCATTGATTTGATATAATTCATATACAACTGGAAGCACTTGTCTGTAGAGACGATCAAAAAACTCTGGGACTGGTGTCAATTTAGCTCTCAATTTGATTCCGACTGAAAAGCCGTTAAGAATAGCTCCAACTTCTGCAGCCATTTGGTTCCAGACAACACCGAATGCTTTTTCTACAAGTTGGCTGTTCCTTGGGTCTCCTTTGATGCCTGCTTTATTCAGCATTTCTTCACATATTTGAAGAAGCTTTGGGACTTCATTAAAATGAGGGTTATCATAGCTGCCTTCTACGAATTCTCTTTTTTCTCTATGGATTTTGAATTTTTCGTATTGAATTTTAGCAAGCCCATAGTCAAACATTTCTTGGAAATTCCCAACAGTCAAGGCAAGCCCTGCAATTCTTTTACAGCTAAAGACGCGTGCTGGGTCAAAAGCATTGAATGCAGAATGATATTTAGAGACCACAAAACTAGTCCTTTTTATTGAATAAAGTCCATCCGCACTTAGCAGCTCTGCAATTGCATATGCGTCTTCGCTTGTTTTTATTGAAGTAATAAGCTTAGTAATAATAGGCTTAAAACTGTTTGAATAATTGTCGACTAAAATTTCATCATTAGCGCAGCCCATAAATCCATGACAGAGAAAAGCAACTGGAGACCTTGGCCAGTTTTCGTGGCAGAATTTCCTTACAGCTCCATGCTTGCTTAAAGTAAAAGCTGCAAACTTGTTGCATAATGTTTCGCTTTCAGGGAAAATTTCTAGCCCATTTCTTATTGCCCTTGCTATAGCCAAGGATTCATCAGCTGATAAATTTTGCAGTAAATATAACGATGAGCCTTTATCATTTAAAAAATTCTGCACTGGAACTGGACAAGGCTGAGGGATTTTGATAGAAAGAGCCATTGCCAGTAATAATGATGAAGACACATTAGGGTAATTCACCTCAATTTTTAGATCATATTTCCTAATATAAACACTCAATAAATTCGCAAAAGCTGCATTTTGGATATTGCTTTGCAAATATTGGATCAGCTGAGGAGTTGGCTGTGGGTTTAAGTTTGCTACACAATCAGCCACAGATTTTTTGAAGGCTTCTTTTTTCACTCTGTTTCCCATTGCAATTGTGTAGTTTACCAAAGGCTCTGGATTTGGAAGTTGTGCTATTGGGATATGGGATAATGTGGAAAGCAGAGAAAACACTTGAGACTCATTCAGATCTCGAAGCATTACTAATTTGCCTTGAAATTCAGTTAAATCTGAGCTTTTTTTAGCTAAAACTTTAAAGAGTGCTAAAGCTTCGTTAAAATATTTTTCGTTGTAGAGATATTCTAATAAATTAGGACTGAAAATTTCCCAGATGAATGGCGACATGTCGCAGGATAAATAAGAAATCATCATGGTCACTTCAGGAAGCAATGCTACAGCTCTAATAATAATTCTTTTTACCAGGCCTAATAGCTCATCCCCAAACTGCTGAGTCGTTATCTGGGCCAGCATAGGCTTATAAAGGATCATAAATTCACGCAAATTTGGCTTAATTGCTTTATCGTTAAGATAAGTGCTGATAAAATTCTGCACCAACTGAGAAACTGGTGCTGAGTTAAGCAGGAAAATAGCTGCAGGGGCGTTTTCTCCTAATTCTAATGGATTTATATTTTGCTGAGAAAAGTCAAATTTCGGGATTTTTGATTCCTTGAATAATTTCGATTCAATTGATTTACGGACTAAAGAAGATAAAATCTGGATATTTGCAGGCAGCTGAAGAAGTTTGTAGAGTTTTAGCTGGAAAAGATAAGAGCCTGAAGCTTTTTCAAAGAGAGATTGGTATTGAAGAGGGTCTTGATCTTTTATTTTTTGGGAAATTTTTTTAGCGATAGTCCAAATTAAATGAAGAATTTTCTTTGTGTGGTGTGGAGAGGATAGGTAGGCAATAATAGCTTCACATGCGTGTGAAAGGCCTTCTGGAGTCCATTGAAGCTCTAACTCCCCCCCCCCCCTCCGTGAGCGAACAAAAAAATTTTGTTCGCTCACGGAGGGGGGTTAATTTTTTTTTTTAAAAAAAATTTATATATAAATTTTATAAAAAATATTTTTTTCGAAATTTAAAAAAATCCTAATTTGCAAAAATTGGGAAGCAAATATTAATTTAATTTGCAAAATTTATGTTTTAAAACGCAATTTGTTTAAAATTAAACAGAATTAGCTCTAGATTTCATTATACTAATTATCACTTATATATCAAAATTTTTTTCCATTAAAATTTTTTTCTATTAAAAAAATTTTTGTTCACTCACGGAGGGTGGGTTTTTGGTCAAAAAATGGCGATTTTTCTAATGGTTTTGTTCGCTCACGGAGGGGGGGGGGGAGTAAGGAATTATTTAAGGCTTGCAAAGCTTCCATTTTATTATGACTTATAGCACCTGGTAGAAATTAGTATGATGATAGGAATTTTTAAAACAGTTAGTGATAATTAAAGATCTGGGTTTGCAAGGATTTTTGCAGTCACCAGCTTGCTTCTTATAGGCTCAGCTTCCCATGGTCTTTTATACTCAAAAGTTAATTCTAATGATTCTCCATCAGCACATAGCTCACTGCAAGAAATCTTAAAAACTTGAATCCCAGCTCCTCCAATTAGTCCTGTTGTCCTTCTATATTCCCCTCTAAGATCTGGAACCTTCAGTTTTTCTGAATTTGAAGGGTTCAAGAACCAGCTATATCCTGTTGTAGGATTCGACACCAAAGTAACGTTTGTTGTTTTTCCAATAATCACTGTAAATTCTTGAACATTATCAATACTTGTAAAATCGCTTATAGCTAGAATAAGGAGACACATAAAAATCAATGATCTCATATAGGATATTTCTTTGAATTGCCCAATAGACAAATAGGTAATTATATTCTGGATCATGCTAGGGAAAGAGAATATTTTTTTTATATAAGTTTAAGATGGATAGAGAAGAAGAAATACGCCAAGAGTTAATCACTGAGAACGAAAATTTAAAAAATGAAATAGAAGCTCTTAACTCCCCTCCTTCCATGAGCGATCAAAACTATTGGAAAAATCCCTATTTTTTACCCAAAAACTCACCCTCCATGATTGAACAAACAAAAAATTTTTATATATAAGTGATAATTAGTATAATGAAATCTCTAGCTAATTCTGTTTAATTTTTAACAAATTGCATTTTAAAACATAAATTTTGCAAAATATTTGCTTTTGGGATTTTTTAAATTTCGAAAAAAAAAATTACTATAAATTTATATATAAATCCCTTCCATGAGCGAACAAATTTTTTTCGATCGAGGAGGAGGGAGTAAGAGTTTTTTTTTGGCACTCAATGAGAAAAAAGCACAAATGATTAGAGAAAGAGGGGAAAGGAGCGGGATTATGAAAAGGAAAAGAAGCGTTTCTGAAGAAAAGAAGACAAAAATATCAAAATAATGTAATTTTTTAAAAATTAATTGGTATTAAATATTTTTAATATCAAAAAATATGATAAATTTAATTAAATAAATAAATCAAAATTAACTATAAATATTATAAAATTATGTGATTAATTTAATATAATCCATTATATAATAGATGGGTTACGAAGCAGAAAGATTCGTAGACAAAGTCCCGAACTCATTTTTATGCCTTATCTGCCACGAAGTTGTAAAAAACCCCAAAGAGTGCTCATCCTGTGAAAGCCTTTTTTGCGGTGACTGTATTTCTGCATGCATAGAACTGAATGGGTATACTTGTCCGAACCGATGCGAAAAAGCTGAAATGCAAGGCTTCATATAATTTTCCGGAACATTTAAACAGCATAGAATTGCTCGGAGTAATAATAGATAGGGGAAAAAATTCATAAAATGTTTTACTATAAAAAAATTCTACCAAATTTCCTGAGCAACTGTCTTAATCTTAATCTTATATATGTTATTGAGTAGCTCCCGGCCAGGGCCGTAGGCCCTTTTCTTCCTCCTTTCGGTCGCCTCGCTTGCTTTCCTTGCCCTACTCCCAGTGTACACCTAACTCCCCCCCCCCTCGAAGTTCGACCAAGATTTTTTTGGTCGAACTTCGAGGGGGGTTAAGAAAAAATTTTTTTAAAAAAATTATATAGAATTTTTTTTATATAATTTAGTAGTTAAAAAAAAAATATTTATCATATTCTTCTGTATGGTTGAGAGGGTGTAAGGGTTAGAAAAAATAGTGCAAGATGGTTTTGTAACGCTTTTTTAGAACTTGAATACAAAAATCGCAAGCTCACCCCCACATAGTTTAAAATTTTTGAAAAATTGCTTAAATGTCAAAAAAGCCATTTTTAATAAAAGTTGTGATGGAGCTGAAGCGCAAATTTACAACGAACTCTCTGCCAAAATTGAAATCGTCGACTATTACTTTAGCCACAAGGACCAGGGGGTTACTATGAGAGAGGTTGCAGAGAAATTCCATCTGGACTCTCATGTCTCTCTAGTTGATTGAATCAAAAACATTGACAAGCTTCGGGAATCAGAGCCAGTCGCTAAAAGGGTAAAGGTAGAGCCTTTTACGCAATTTCCAATTCTAGAGAAAGAGCTGATTAATTGGTTGATTGCTGTGAGACAGCAGGGTCATACTGTCTTAAGAGTAACTATCGAAAAGAAAACCAGAGAATTGAGCTTGCCGCGATTCCAATGCGGTCAGAATGATGGGAAGGATTCAAGACAAGAAATAATCTGGCCTACCGTAAGGTCAACGCATCCAGTCTTAAGCCTCTAGAACGAGAAGCAGAACTTGTTAGAGACTATCCTGACGAGCTGATGCCTCTTCTCGACATTTATCCTTCCTCTACTATTTACAATTTCGATGAAACCAGATTCGATTGGGATGTCTGTAGCAAGCATACCTATGATTTCAAAGGTGCTCAAAGAGTTGTGGGTATCCAATCAGCTAAAGCCAAGCACTCAATCACTGTGATGCTTTTGATCAGAGCAGATGGTAAAAAGTTTCCTGCGTTGTTGATCTTTCAAGAGAAAACTGGCAAGATTCCATTTCGTGTATATGAGCACTTAACTATCCCTAACAACATCGTTGTCAAGGCTAACAGGACTGGTTATATCACTGATGACATGATCAGCGACTATCTAAGAACAGTGCTGACAAAGGAAAGGCAGCTCATCATAATGGACCAAGCAACTAGTCATAAAACTGATAGAATTGTTCAAGCGCTATCTGACTTGCAAGCTCAAAGCATCATTATCCCAGGAGGATGCACAAAGCATGTCCAGCCACTTGATGCCATAGTCATAGCCAACTTTAAGAGAAAGGCAACTCAGTTTAGGGTTGATACGAATCCGAGCAAGTTGAAAGAAGATCACAAAGAAGCGGAAACATCAAGGCTCTTGATAGACAGCAAATGATAAACTTGGCCTCAAAGGCTTGGGAGGAAGTGCATCCAGATATTATCATAACTGGCTTTCAATTGACAGGATCTTACGGAATTGATCACCCCAAGTTTCTTCGCCACCAATCCATGCTTAAAGAGTTAATTTATTTATCTTAAAAATTAATTTTAAATTAAAAATTTTAAAAAACATTTGAGAAAAATTTTTTATAGTGGTGAAGGGGTCAAGTTTTCGAGCTCTAATTTCAGAATTGAAAATTCAGCTAACTCTCTCCTTAATTAATCTACTGCCCTTAAAACACAATTGGTCTTTTGAACTAATTCATAAGATCGAAAAATAATATTTTCCTAGTAAATTTATATAGGTCTTGGTCGAACTTTGAGGGGGTTAATTTTCCAAAAAAATAGGAATTTTCCCTATATCTTGGTCGAACTTCGAGGGGGGGGAGTAAGTGCCACAGGCTACCACTCAGCTCCTTCCGGTCATGGGGCTTGGTCATGAAATTCCGGAAGTATGCGGACTGGGTCACAATGCTTCACGTCGTCGACAGGGTTAGAGCTAGGGATTAACTCCTTAACTCTTATTTGCATCTGCTGTGCCGTCCGATTTGGGCCCTAGAGGAAAACTCTTTTTGTCCCATGTTCCATCGGGACGATCCGAAAATCGTCATTGCTGGACCGGGAGGGAAACCTAGCCGGACACAAATACCAGTACCCATACCAGACCTTCCCTGAGTGGATTGGCTTCAGGCCGCAGCAAGGTCCCCAATCTCGCTACAGGTTCGGGAGAGGACGGGATCGGTGTCGTCACCATTTTATTTGTGTTTCTGAGCAACTGTCACGTGCAGATCAAATCATGCATCCGAAATGCAAAGACCAGGACGTATAATTAGGACTAACCTCGAAGATTTACTAATTCGATGCAAGTACGCTAAGAATGGCTGTGGAAAAGTTGACCGAGTAGGTCGTATAGAAATTCATGAGCAAGATGAATGCCCTTATAATTGTGATATTAAAAAATGCGCCAGTCCTATATGCAATACTAAAGAAGCTGTAGAAAGCATGATTTTATTCACCACCCCTGAAAAGCCATCAAGTCCTGAAATCTATGTCTGCTCACTTAAATGTGCAGCTACTTTGGAGTTTCAAAATATTTTAAACACATCAAGATCGCAAGAAGAAATGCTGACTCCTTTGGAAGCGAGCAAAAAATATTGCTAATTATGGATGGGAATATTTTTTTTAAAATTTTAATTATTAATTCTTTTTCAGGATTTATATAGTCCCAATTTGCAAAACTTGTAAGTAAGAATTAGTTTTATTTACCAAATTTAGGTTTTAATGCTAGCTAGCTATTTAAAATTCAACAGAATAAGCTAGAGATTTCATTTTGTAAAAAATGTTCTTGGAAGGCTTTTTCATAAAAATCAGGATTTTTGTAATGATTTTACTCATTCACAGATGGGGAAGTAAGGAGGCTTCAAGGTCGCTTTATGGAAAATATTAATAATATTGTGATTCTTAGTAATCCTATTACATCAATACATGAGCAGGATCAAGAAAAGCCTATTATTTATAGCTCGACTGCAAAAATCAAAAAAGATGCAGTAGAATTACCTGATGGGTCTATATATACAGGAGAATGGACGCTAGATGGACGAATTGAAGGAAAAGGAGTACAAATTTGGCCTGATGGTGCCAGATATTCAGGGGAGTTTTTAAATGGAGAAAAGCATGGATATGGGAACAAAACAACCAGTAATGGGCAAAGCTACTACGGATTTTGAAAGCATAATAACAGATCAGGCCACGGGACTTATAAATGGCCAAGCGGAAGCACATATACAGGCAATTTCAAGCATGGAGACAACCATGGCTGGGGAAAATACACATGGCATAACGGAAAAGTATATGAAGGAGAATATAAAAATGACGAAAAAGACGGGTTTGGAGCTATGATTTTCCCTGATGGAAGAAGATATGTAGGTGAATGGAAACATAATATGCACCATGGGAAAGGAGTTTTAACAAATAGTGATGGAAGCGAATATCAAGGAGAATTTGTGGATGATATGAAGAACGGGTATGGAGTGATGAAATATCCTGATAATTCTAAGCATATTGGAACATGGGAGTCAGATAAGCTGCATGGGGTTACTACATTTATATCAAAAGATGATCAAAAAGAAGTTCAGCTGTGGAGAAATGGGCAAAGAATTAATCTTGGCTAAAAAATACTATACCCATTATAATGAATAGAAACTCTTCTGATTACTTTTTCCTATTCACTATATAAAATAGTAAAAAGCAACAAGTACCGAAATTTTATTAATTATAGAAGGGTATATATCATAATAAAATTAAGTAAATTAAAAATGTAAGCTTACTTGTAAGAAATTGGAGAAAACTTAAAGTTTTAAAGCCATTAGAAGCTATCGGCATTAAAGATATTATTGCTTCTGTAGAAGAAAAAAATTAATTCTAACTCCCCCCCCCCCCCGTGAGCGAACAAAACCATTAGAAAAAATCGCCATTTTTTGACCAAAAACCCACCCTCCGTGAGTGAACAAAAATTTTTTTAATAGAAAAAATTTTAATGGAAAAAAATTTGGATATATAAGTGATAATTAGTATAATGAAATCTAGAGCTAATTCTGTTTAATTTTAAACAAATTGCGTTTTAAAACATAAATTTTGCAAATTAAATTAATATTTGCTTCCCAATTTTTGCAAATTAGGATTTTTTTAAATTTCGAAAAAAATATTTTTTATAAAATTTATATATAAATTTTTTTTAAAAAAAAAAAATTAACCCCCCTCCGTGAGCGAACAAAATTTTTTTGTTTCGCTCACGGAGGGGGGGGGGAGGGAGTAGTAAGCATAAAATAGCGAGAGATCATTTAAGAAATGTTGTTAGAGAGTTAAATATGCGAATAAACTATTTTTATCCAATAAGAGCATATTAATTTTATATTAAATGAATAATCGTTTAATGGAATTTCAAATTTCAGCCTCCTGATCAATTTTCCTTTAGCACTTTTAAAATCCTTTAATTTTAATTGAATTAATGTCTACATCATATCTCAATAAATTAAGCTACTTCGTTATAAATTATACAATTACAATTAAATTTAGGCAAGTTAATGCATATATAATTAAATCAGTTTCTATTTTCAATTTAATATGCATAATATGGAAGATTATCCGATCCGTCCTCTTTATGACAGTAGCATCCCTGCGCCCGGGCATAGTATTTTGAGCCCAGAGTTAGGCCATTAATGTGAGAAAATCAAAGCGGAAAGCCTAAGCACCCACTCATTTGTGGTCTGATCCTTATGGGCAATTACTAAGTCCTTTTTCCAGCACAACCCAAACGAGTGAACGATAGAGATAGGCTAGCAAATTACCTTAAAGCTGTTTAGCGGCTTACTCCAATCCAAAATCAGTTGATTTTGTTTTGGAATGGCTAAAATGAGTAAGTTAGGGATTTAAGTGGTCTCTTCATTTGAAAATGGATGACGATCAATAATTGTTTTGAAGTTTGAAAGAGCAGAGTTGGCATCAACTTGGACAAGATCTTGAGTTGAAAATTGAGGCGGTTAGCAAAGTCTATTTACTTATAGATATCATGACTTTTCTAGATGAGTGCTCTGTCATCCTGCAGGCAGAAAAGTGGAGCATTCAGCCAAAAGAAAAGGGAAACTTAAGGACACTCATAAATATCTAATCTATTTTAAATATGTCCTAAATAGATCTCTTGTCATATTTTGTATATATCCCCATTTTCGAAAATACGAACTTAAAATGACTTAAATAAAAATTGATTTGCTATAAATTTGAATAAAATTAACGATTCACCATTCACTGCAAAAAATTATAATATGAAAAGACCAATAAACATTCTTACTTTCACTCAAAAGGAAGAACCATTAAGTTTAAGTGAAATAACACCTATAGCATCAATAAGTAAAGAGCTAGATCTTCAATCCCCATACACAGAAATTGAACGTAATTAATATTCCAGAAGCTGACTTCCAAGCCCTTACTTTTGAAGAGCGCAAAAAGTATTCTGAAGCAGCCATGATCTGGCTCCGCAGCCTATTTTCAAAAAGAAAACTTCTAAAATCCCACCCCTCAACTGTAACTTTTACCTAGATTCTTGACCAAACCAATCAATTCGCCAACACTTTATGCAATTGAATAGTCTACAGTCTGCGCCGAGACAAGCGTACCCAAGCCTTTGGATTAATCGGAGTCTTAGACAAGCTGATTGACCCCAAATCTAAGCTGAAATTCAAAGACCGTAACGCATTAAGAGCTCGTCTTCAAATTTAGTAAGAAATATCTAGCAATTGCGCTTATTATTTAAAAGAAAAGAAAAACGTCCAAGCTATAGAATAGATTAATTCTAGTGGGTCACTGGGCTTATTTCAGCATATACCTTGACGAGTTAGCTCCCGCTTAGGTGGCTTTAGACATTAACTCCATTTAACGCCCTTTCTGTCGATATCACAAAAATAGTGACATCAGACAATTTTTAGGGGTGATTTGCCCTTTCAGGTCTTGATCCTGGCACAGCGATTAACCAACAACAAAAAAAACACCCTGAGACTATCACCAATGCTGTTCACTTTCCTCAGGCCTGGAGAAATTCAGAGAGCATCGAGGACCTAACTCCGCTAGCTATTTTACTAATTATCCAGGCTATAGAAGCCTGCGAAAAAGCTATAGAACTGACTGAAAAAATCAATGCTTCCCAAGACTTGGTTTTAGCGCTTTCTATTTGCGGTTATACATGTTGTGTATGTGAAGACCATAAAAGAGCTTTGGATATGCATCAAAGAGCCTTGGAATTATTGTCAAATAAGTTTAGGGTGGAAAGTGACAAGGTTAATGTTTTTATTGCTGTTTGTTTATATAATTCAGCTATTGAATGTGTGCATATGAATGTGATGGAGGAAGCTCAGAATTATGTGGCGCAGGCTTACAACGTGGCACAGGCTCATTTAAAAGGGCTGCCGCTCGTGCATACAAAGGTCCTTTGGCTGTATAAAGAGCTTAAAGATACACAAAAATCTGATGTTTTGCCGAAAATAGACAAACAGCCAAGCTTCCTCGGAGCTTCTGATTCAAAAGTATCTAAAGCTCTTAAAGATACCATAAAATCTTCTCCATCCAAGTCTCAAGTCCCTGCTCCTCATTCTTTGTTTAAAATAATCCGCTCAAGTGCTCAGGATATCAAAATCTCCAGACCTAGTACTTCAGGGACTGGCGAAAAAAGAATAGGAAGAGATTTATTGATTTCTGAAGTCAAAAAACCAAGACCTATAAGTGCAAACAAACACGATCTAATTGATATAGAAAAATCCCCTCCTATTGGTGTAAATGATAAACCTCAAATTTTATCATTAAAAGAAAAAATTAGAATAAGATCAAAAAAAGAAAAAACAAGGACAAGAATTGAGTCAGTCAAAAAAATTGTGACTGAAAGCGATTTCATAGTAAAAGCAAGAATTCAAGCTGCGAGGAAAATTCAAAGAAAATGAAGGGAATTTTATAAAAGCAGAAACCTGAAAATAATAAAAATCCAAAAATGGTATAAAGGGTTGAAATGTGTAAAAAAAATCAAACAAATAAAAAATTCCATAATAATGATACAGGCAGTAGTTAGAAGAAGAGAGGCATATATTAGGATGCAAGAATTGGCTGCAGGACATTTAGAAAATAAGCATCAAGCTGTAGCTAAAATTCAAAAATGTTATAGAGGACGTAGAAATTATCGGCAGTATAAACAGTTGAAGAATGCTGTATTGCTGCTACAAGCGATATTCAAAAGAAAAGATGCAATAATGAAAGTCCAAGAAATGAGAGAAAATTACTATAATGACAAAAATTTGAAAATTTTGAATATTCAAAGATGCTACCGAGGACATAAAGGCCGACAAAATTATAGAGAATTGAGAAATTCCATCATAATGATTCAAGCATTTTTCAGGAGAAACCAAGCCTGGCAAACAATTCAAGAGTTAAAAAAAGAAATTTGCAAATATGATGACCAAAAAGTCTTAAAAATTCAGACACATTATAGGGGATATAAAGAACGAAAAAATGTCAAAGCACTCAAAGATTTTATTTTATTACTTCAGTCGGCATTTAGAAGGAAAGAAGCAATAATTAAAGTAATGAATATGAAAAATGAGCATTATAGCAGCCACAATGAAAATGTAATAAAAATTCAAAAATCCTATAGAGGCTGTATTGCTAGAAAAAATTATAAAAAATTAACAAACAGTATTGTGGCTATCCAATCTCTACTTAAAAGAAAGGAAGCCTACAATATAGTCAAAGCAATGAAACAGAAAATTGTCCTCGCTCAAAGCTGCATAAAAACTGGTTTAGCTAAAATGAAATATCAAAAAGCCACAGCTGGGATTATAAAAATCCAAAGTAATTGGAGGAGGTTCATGGCGATCAAAGCAGTTTCATTAAAAGAAAATTCAATAAATAAAGTAAAAGCATTTTTACTTGGTATTTTAACTAGAAAAAGGATGATAAAGAAAAATTACTCAGCCACAAAAATTCAAAGCTGGTATAAATCTTTATTAGTTCAAAGGGCTATGAATCTTCCTCAAAGGCATGTAAAGAAGTTTATTTTAAAACTTATCATAGGAATTTGTAAAGAATTGAAAAATGACGCAAAAGAAATATCAATAATTAAACACAAGGAAAAAGAAATAGCAGCTATTAGGATTCAAAGCCTATGGAGAAAATGTATGGGAAAAGCAAGAAAGGAACTGGTTCAAAAATCTATGGGTAGGATTAAAGGATTTTTATTAGGAATAATAACAAGAAAGAGGCTTCAAAAGAGAATGAACTCTGCTGTGAAAATTCAGAGCTGGATTAAAGGAGTTCTTTGCAGGAAAAATGGACAGAGATTTAAAATTCCTATGAAATCCTCTTAAAGCACCAAAGAAATTCAAAATTTTAAATTGTTTTAATTCATTTGCTATAAATTATTTATTGTCGTTTATAAAATGCATTTCTTATTCTATTCCAAATAATACTTAAATTTTATCCTACTTCCTTTAAGAATGAGAAAGAATTTTTGCTTGCTTTTAAAGGATAATCAATTTTAAAAATTATATCCTTTTATAATTAATAAAACTTTTTGTGCTGCTGGCTGTTTTCCTATTAACTATATATAATAGAAAAACACAGTATAGAATTAGCTAGAGATCTCGTTATAACATTATTAATTATAAAACAGTTAAAAAAAAAATCTACATTAAAAATTTTTTGGCACCTCTTAATAGGATAATTTTTCTAAATAGGCTTTTTATAATTAATTTCTTTGCTCTCTCTAAAGGGGAGAGCTATTTCGCATATATTTACTTAAATTTCTTATGAAGAGCTATTATTTTTTGCCTGAATTATTAGAATATTTAATTTAATCCCGCTGAAAATCTTTATAGTTAACGATTCTAAATTCAAATTAAGATGAACAATCCACCTAATTTTCAGCTTGCCCCAGCAACATCTCCATCATTATCACGGCTTGTCTCTGATAGCAATTTTTTTGCTGTTTCCGGCACAAGATCTCCTCAGCCTTTCCAAAACCCTATGAGCACACCATCAGGTCTCCCATCAGGATATGGAGGTAATCAATACTTGAACTATCCCAAGCCAGGGATAACTCAAAGCTCATTTTTTACAAATCCTCCTCAGTTATCATCTCTTTCTATGCCTCAGACATCTCTTTACACTAATCCTATGCCTACAACTTCACTTACAGCTCCTTCTACAATGTATCCTCAATGAAGTATGGCTCCTCCAACTTCATCTCAGCCACCCCAGCCAAGGACCAATTTTGAAGACTCTGGGTATTGAAGGCACAAAAAAGTAGAAACACTATCAGAAGGCTACAAAAAAGCAATTTATGAAATACAACAGGATATTGATGGAAATGATATATCTCTTAGTCCCTCAGCTCAAAGCTTGGCATTGTTGAAATATTTATTTTATAATAATTTTTATTTTTTAAATTGCAGACAAAATTTTTACATAGTCATGCAAAAAAGTTAGAAAATTCTGAATCTACACTAGAAAAACTGTCTGAACAGCAAATAAGGGTAAAAGATAAAACTAATCAGTTGTTTAGTTACTCTAAAAAGGTGATTTCTCGACAAAGAAGATGCCAAAATGCTCTTGATATATTAAAAACCTTTGAAAATAACATATAGACCTGGACTTCTTTTCTATCGCTCTGGGCTATAAAGGCACTTCCAATTGGTAGAATCGGCTTTGGCAACTAATATTGCCCAATCACTCGGCCAGTTAGCAAACCTTTTATAGCTCAGATTAATCCAAAAGAAACCCTAGGCTATAGCGAAATACGTGAGAGAATTTATCAAGATAACTGAGCAATGCAACCAAGCTGATGCATTTCACAAAATTCAAGCTCCAGCAGCTTTTTTATCAGATATCTTAAATAGCTGTGAAACTCAAATAAAAGAAATGGAAAGGAATATAAACGACATGGAAGAAATCATTAAATTAGAAACAAGCAGGCCTCAATTTTCATTGCTTGTTCAAACTATCAGTCTAATGATGGATAAATTTAAAATAGTTGGGAGCATCTCTGCAGATCTTCATAATAGAGTTTTGGAGTTCCAGTATAAAGCTTCAGAAATGGTAAAGGATAATTTTCATCAAGAGTTGCCATTAAATTTGAATGAAATTAAAGATGAGACGGAATTATTGGCATTTAAAGCAGAAGAAAGCATTTTTTCAGGTATTCAGCAAAGTGAGAGCAAGAGGGGGTCGTTTACAGCTAATAAAGAAAATGATTTTAATAGGTATCAGCCAGTTAAGCAGCCGTATTCGATATTAAAAGAAACTATTGTGGGAAAAACTGGCATTCTGCAATCCCCAACGCCAAGGAAGTTGTAATTAAATGAGTTTTATTTTATATACCTCAAGTGAATCTTAATAACTCTATATATTATATAAATATAGATAAGATTTCTTTTAATTATGTATCGTTATATCAACACTTTTTATTTACTCCTCGATACATAAGTCCGTTTTAAAATATTGTCATGCTTATTCCAATGCATAAAATCCAAAATAATATCCTTTTCCTCTTAATTTCCGCCGTTTGATATTTTATTATGGTCAAAGAAGGAGTTGAATTAACTGAGCCTCTTCTCCCAAAATCAGGGAGAATTGAAGGAGGGTCATTTAAAGAAGACTACCAGTATATTTTCATCTTCCCAAACCATTTTTCCAGAGATGAAGCAGTGTTCAAACCACTCAACCAAAAAATAAGTATTAGCAGATGTAAAGAAATTTTTACAACTACTTTCAAAATTAGTGAAGAAGAAGGAAAGCAAGAAAGCCTAGAAATGAACCTTAAAAAAGAAGCTAGTCAGCATGCTGCACACCGCCATGGCTGGATCAGTGAGATGTGGAGAGGTTTCGCTAATTCCCATCTTTATTTTTTATATAAAAATCTAAATAATATTAAATTATTTCTAAAAAATAAATAATTTACTCGAGAAATTAAGGAAAATGCTGGGGAAGTTGAATTCCGAAAATTCCTGAACTTAGTTATAACTTGCGTCCTTAGAGTGATGCAGGAAGATCTCAAACTAGATCTAAAGCTTTTCTTTTCCAGAGACGAAGACGAAATTTTTTGTAAGATCCGCGCCAGTGAACACAATTTTAAAGTCCAAGCCGATTTGATGGACTATCATTTACAACTCAAAAGACCTGAAGGCGCAGTCAAATCAGGCTACAGCCTCATATGTCCTTATGGCAGATTCGAAAAAAATAAAGACGAAGACCAACAAAAATCAGGCCCAGTTCTCCAAAAAAAGGTCATAAAAGATGTAGAAAGCAACTACAAGAAATATGGACTGGACGAAAGACAGGATAAAAACGGAAATGGGATGACTATGTTTAAGTATAAAGACAAGGTAAAAATTCTCCTTGCAATGATTTCTTCAGTTATTGATATAGGCGAACTTCTAGACAATGAAATCTTGATAAACCATTATTCTCTGCATAATGAAGAGCAGCTGACTTGGCTTAAAAACAACTGGGGATCTTTTGGAATGTTTTGGAAGCCTCAGCCATTAAGAAAAATAAGAAATTACTATGGAGAAAAAATCGCTATGTACTTTGCATGGCTGCAATATTATGTCGCGTGGCTTGTTGCACCTGCTTTAGTTGGGCTCTTAACGTTTATAGTTCAGCTTATAAAGGATGATCTTGATGATAATGATCCTAAAATGACCCTTTCTGAAGTATCATTATTGATATTTTCACTCGTTTTAGCATTAGGATCAACAATGCTAGACCAGCTTTGGAGTAGACGGCAAAACGAACTTTCTTGGATGTGGGGAACAACCGATATCCAAGAAGTAGAACAGCAAAGACCTACTTATAAGGGAAAATATGGGGTTGACCCGGTAACAGGCCGCAAAAAGAAAATTTCTCAAAAATCCATATGGGAATCAATCAAGCGAAATATCAGCATGTCTGTTGTTTTTATTTGTATTGCCAGTGCTATTGTAGCTGTAGTTGGTGTTATGCTTTACCGCAATGTTTATGCTGATTACTCATGGGGTCCTCTTTCCTGCGCCGTCATAAATGCAATTCAAATAAGAATCCTAAACTTGATTTATCGAAAAATTGCCAAGTTTTTCACTGAATGGGAAAACTATGAGTATGATACTGAGTACAATGATGCATTATGTATAAAACTTTATTTATTCCAATTTGTCAATAGTTATGCTTCTTTATTCTATTTAGGGTTCATTAAATGCTATGGAGACGAAGACAATTCTGTGTGCTTAGATGAACTCTCATTGCAGCTTCAAGTTATCTTTATATTTAATGTGATTTGCAATTTCTTCGAGCTAAGTTATTTAGTATGCGCAATAAGAGGGAACCCCCTGATTATCGCCTTGTTTGATTCCAAAAAAACTCAATGCACCTAGAGTTTAAATGAGGAAAATGCTAGGCTGCAATTTTGGATTTCCGCTCGTCCTAAAGATGAATTCTCACTCCCCCCCACTTTAAATTGGAACTAAAATTTTTGTTCCAATTTAAAGGGGGTTAATATGTTTTTTTAAAACAAAATATCAATATAAAATTTTTTAAAAAAATATAAAAAATTTAAAAAAAAAAAAATTTCAAAAACTTATCGAATTAGATCAATAAATTTGTTTAATAAAACGCTATTTACTCTTTATCCTTTAAAGCAAAGCAAGATATAACTAATTTTCATTATTAGTTAATACGCCACTATTAATTGGTATCAAAATTATATTTACACAAAAATTTTTATTTTTATTGATAAAAAAAATTAAAAAAAAAAAATTTGGAAAATTTATCGATCAAAGTGCTAATTTTGTTTAAATAAAGATGTTATTTATACTCTATTCTTTAAAATAAAGCAAGAAATAAGTAAATTTTGAAATTTTATAAAGAATTCCTATTGAATTTATATCAAAACTATCCAAATAAAAAATATCATTTTTATCAAAAAAAACAAAAATTTTTTTTGAAAATTTTTAAAAAAAAAAAATTAATTTTTTTTAAAATTTACCAATTAAGGATAATAAATTTTATTTAAATAAGATGCTCTTTATACTTTTTTCTTTAAAAACGAGCAAGATATAAATAAATTTTTAATTTTAGTTAAGAAGAAACATTTAACTTATATCAAAACTTTTTAGATACAAATTTATATATAATTTTTTATTATATAAATTAAATTTTGTTCCAATTTAAAGGGGGGTTAATTTACCAAAAAAGTGGAAATTTTACCGATATTTTGTTCCAATTTAAAGGGGGGGGGAGTCAGGAAGAGCCACTCTCTGGAAGTTCCCTCGATAGTCTCGATAAGGAAAGATTAGCCTGTCTATGAAGGAAAAGGAAAACCTCTCTGGAGGAAAATAAAACTTCCTCATTCGGCAGGCATCTCCAAAGGCGTACTAAAAAGCAACATATCACACAAATTCAGGGATAGATCATACCTACTCCATATTGAGTTCGTATCTGAGTCCATCTTCGTCAGCGTCTCCATTTTATTTCTTCTTTGAGCTAGGAATTCCATATTGTGCTAATGCCTGCAGAGATCGAGCTGAAAAGAAACATTTAAAAACAATGGCTGAGTATGGCCATAAAGGAAGAAAGTCAATGACGTACACAGAAAAACAAGCAGGCTTGTCAGAGTATGAAACACCGCTTGACGATTATATGGAGCTTATTATCGATTATGGCTATGTCGTCATGTTTTCAGCTGCATACCCTATTGTTCCATTAATAGCACTTATAGTAAATGTCATTGAAGTCAGAGTAGACGCATTTAAATTATGCCATTTAATGAAAAGACCGTACCCTACCCCTGCAAACTCTATTGGTGAATGAGAGTCAATCATAAGGACCATTTCTGTTATTGGCGCTTTAACTAATACTTCTATTATTGTTTTCACTGCAAATATATTTGATTTAACTGATTTTGCAACGAAATGGGCTTATTTTATGGTTCTTGAGCATGTACTTTTAGTGTTTAAGTTCTTAATCAGCAGGCAGGTTCCTGATATTCCTAATGATGTGAAGAAAGGGATTATATGGAGCAATAGGATCGCAGATGAAAAAATCTATGGGAAGAGCACTGATGTAGATCAACAAAGGGTATTAAGGAATTTAAACTTTAGACCAAGCCCGAATGCGTCTAAAGAGAAAGCTATTTTAGATCCAGAAAAAATTGCAACCTCGGATTAGTAATAAGTAATCTAATTTAAGTTAAAAATGATAATATTTTCACAGATTATTTGCCATGCAGAAGTTTCATTCAGCATGCTAGCTTATCTTATGAAATTTTGCTATAGATTATAATTTATTTTTTAGCTTTATGAGTCTGTTTTTCTTTTGTTGAAGCGATTTCTGCTTCAAGATCACTAAGTTTCAATTTTAATCTGGAGTCATTTGGTGTCTTTTTAAGCTTTTTCTGAAGTTCTTGCTTTCTAATCCCTAAAACTTTCATATGTAATTCTAAATAATCAGCATCATCTTTTGTTTTTATTTCTTCATTGAATTCTCCTACCTGCTTTTTAATTCCGTCTATATCATTTTTTATTTTTTCTTGCCATGCATTAACTTTTTCCACATAATATTTTACTTTCTCTTCAAATACTCCTACAAATTTGTCATCAACCTTATTTTTTTCCAAAATTTTCAGAAATTCATTGATGCTGATCTCATCAGGAAACTCAATACTTTTTCCCATTTCTCTACAAATATCTCTCAAAAGCTGCCCAGTAACACCTTCAGGCGCCGCTAGATCTATTTTTATAAATAAATCAGCAAGTTTATTTTCAATCTCTGTATCTAAATTTGTTTTTCCTCTGGTTTGTAAAGAGCAAGGATCGTATTTTACCTCAGGGACTAAAAAAGTTTTCCCTTTCACTCACAATTCAGCTATAGAATGCGTCATAATAACAGCTACTTTGGTTTGTAAAAATAAATTAGTTGCGCCTATGAATCCTCCTAAAATGAATAAAAATCTTTTTTCTCGTTTTGCTAAATAAATCATTCTTTCTTTGAATTTCATTGTCTTGGTTCTCATCAGCTCATTCATGACATCTGCGTTTAATAGCCCTTCTCTTCTTTTAGGCTAAGTTATAATTACAATGTGCTCTGCAAGCCTCACAAATGAGAACCTTCTAAACAAAACCATTTATTAAAATTATTTATCATTAATTTTATTTCTTGAAGCTATTTTTTATTATTTGGTATATATAAAAGCAACTTATTTATGACATCGTTATAAATTATTAGCTGCTTCTACTCTTTCTTTCTTTTTCTCCAAAATTTCTTCTATTTTGAATACTTTTTCATAAATTCCATCAATAACAGCATTGGAAGCTTGATTTTTATTTCTTCGGTTAATATCATTAATGAAGCACTTTTTTACGATATCATAAGCTTGCAGAATCCCTATCAATCTTTCCTGGCCTATTTTATTAGAAACGTCTACAAGATCTTCATTTCCTACTATATTTTTTAGTGGGTTCCTAATCAAATCTGCATATTTTGGATCTTCTCCTAGTCTTTTGCTGTAGCTTTTAAGGAGATTTATCATTCTTTCTGATTTTTTTAGAGATCTCTCTGCTTTGAAAACAGTTGGGTTATATTTTTTTGATTTTTGCACAAATTTTTCAATGGTTTCTTCTTCATATTCATTAGCTTCGTCGTTTCTTAAGAATCAGATCCCATCGACCTGTTCGAAGATTTCCATTTTACTCACTCCAGTTAAACAGCTTTTTGGGTCTTTGCTTTTATATTTATTTCCAGTTGCTGATCGTAAGCCGCCAATATCTCTTCTCACATTTTCTAGAATGACTTCTTCAGTGGTTGGCCCATTTTTCCTTACTTTAATTCGATGCTATATTCTATTATAAATTGTATTGTAGCAAGAAATTAATTATAATATTTATAAATATAAGAAGAGAGATAGGTAGTTTATTACGTATCCAGGCAAGGTATTATTGAATTTTCTTATTGGGTCGTCAGGCTGCCTAACATTTTTCCTTTTTTGAGGCAGATCTTGAATATTTAATACTTGGTCATCTGGAGGAGGATTATTAATTTGTGACATCAAATACTGGCGACTGAAGTAGCTCTGCTGGTTATTATTGTTGATATTGTTAAAAAGCTCTGAATAGCTTGTCCCATTCGAAGGATCTGACGACATTTTCTTCTAATTATAACTTTTTCTCAATAAATTATATGAAAAATAAAGTAAAATATGAGCCACAGCGCGATGAAGACTCTCGGACAACAGAAGAGGGCGATGAAGACAAGAAATTTCCTTACTGTCTTGTTTGGACACACACTAAAATGGCGACACGTGTCAACCTGCCCTTTTTGCGCAGCAGTCCTGACCTTATGGCTACAGCGAACTGGGATGAACTCCGAGCCGAGAATCAAGAGGTGTGTATCTGGGTAGGTTTTGGCTGCTTTCGTGTGGTTGGAAATGGAAGTGCTCAACAATGTCCTTTGGATCCGAGGATGGGCATCCTTCTACTGAGAAACTGGTGGTTTCGGCCCAAGCCACATGGGAACAGTCTTTTCCTGAAGCTGTCGAAGAAAGGCACTTCGACATCCAATAGATTCCAAGGAGTGATTCTTGGAATCAAGCTACTCCAATCGCCTGTAGCAAGGCCGTAGAAATCCATAAGCACTCAAGACTGAAGCCTCAAGGAGGAGACAGAGATACTTGAAGTGGCACAGACCGTCTGGGCTGGAGCCGAAAAGCCGTAGAACCTTCCTTATGGAGTTCTCTGATGACTACGCCACCAATATGGCTAGCGCCTGACTTTTAATAATACTAAGTCTTGTTTGGACACCTCTCTACCTTTAATCACAGTTATTTTGCCTTTTATTGGACATCTCGGGATTTGTACATCAGAAGGAGAAATTCATGATTTTGCAGGGTCATATACAGTTAATGTAGATAAGATGGCGTTTGGTGCGCCTACAAAATATGCAAAATTGGATTTTGCGAATAAAGATATCTGGAATGGAGCGATTTTTGAAGGAGACAAACGCTTTAAAGAGGAAGCACATAATTTGTGCTGTAATAATTGCCATAGTCATGTAGCATATGTACTAAACCAGGCTGGGTATAAAGGAACTCAATGAAATATGTTTAAAGTGTTTTGCTTGATATCCCTTAAAGGCCAGTATGTTGGATTTAAAGGATTTGCGAAAACATATGCAGGGTTTGCAATTATGATACTTATTTTCTCGATTTTAATCTATTTCCTATTAGCGTTTGATATAATCTAATTATTGAAAATTTTAAGCTGCATAGGATTAATTTTATCCAAATTGGCAGCTATATTTATTTCTCAATAAAGAATTATATAATACTAAACCATTATATTGAAACAAATTTAATTTAATATAAACCTATACAGATTAAATAGTTTTCTAATATATAAGTCTTATAATTTATCAGTCTATTTTTTCTCTAAATTAGCCATTATAACTATTAATGTCCCTATATTTTTCAAACCATTCTTCAGTCCCTATTATATCATATTAAATAATGATAGATGAGAAGACTGGACAACTGGCAGGAAATTTAACCACCGTCCAGATATACTCTTATTCAATAATTGACTTGATGTCCTTTTTATCAGGACTTCTATTAGTATGACTATATTTACGAGTAAGAAGATTATCAGAAACCCCTGGATTTTTAATCCTCATGCTATGTGAAATTTTAGCTCTTCAATCTTTTTGCTATGTATATACTGCTTATCACTTTATTATTACCCAGTAAATAATAACACAGAGAATTGAAAAACGGTTCTACATGCTTTTTGCATGGAATTCTAATGACCTTTTTGATAGCTTTATCATGAAATATAGCCTTGTGTTTAGCTATAGAGCTATTACTGCAAGTAAATATGAGCATAAAGAATGATGAATCAAGGCTATGATATTACCAAACCACTTCTTATATAGGGGCTTTTGCGTTTACCTTGCCAATTACGATAACTGGAGGTCATGGGTTATCAATAAATGGGATTTGTTCCATTATGAAAGACTCATGAGGAAATTTACTTATGTGGGTATTTTACCTATATTTGCCAATTTATCTAATGTGTGGTTTTTCTATTATAGTTTCATATATAAAAAAACCCAGAAAAAAAGTGGCAATTAGAAATGGTATTTTGCTTCTGGTTTTTGTTTTCTTATCTTTGCCATATACATTGGAGCACTTGATCGCTTACAATTTCCCATACACTGATTTATCTGGGCTGAAAGAATTTGCAATAATCTGCCGAAGCTTGATTGGGCTTATTATTTGTACTATCAGATCTACAGATAATGAAATAAGGGAAACTGTCAAAAAAATGTCCCGTGTTTCTAGCATCATGGACCCTGTATTCTTTATATAGCTAATTGAAAACGATTTATTTAATCTGGCAACTGTTTCTATATTAGAAAGTGTTTTAACTAAAAAAGATGTAGATGTGAAAGAAATGGAAAATGACAGGCTAAAAATAACGCTGCTTTGCTTGTCAAACCTGATTGGGAAAATCCACACAAATGCTCAGGAACTGCACCATCAGAATTTCCCATGGCCGGATAATTTTTATAATGATAAAATCGACCATGAAATTGTTGAAGCTGATATTCCTTACAAAATTAATTAAATTTTTTTTAATTAGAAATAATTTTATTTGCAATGCTAGAAATCAAGGGGAATATTGCTAGTTCAGAGCTAACTGAAGAACAAAAAAAGAAATGTAAAAATAATTTAGTCCAAAGGTTCAGCTGTAAAATAGTTGAATATGCTCCAATGGTTTTTTTCCATATTCTAAGCCAAGATGGAATATCTCAGAGTGATATTATTCAGAATTTAAAAGAAGGGATTTTAGAAGAACAAATTGATTTGAATTTATCTGGCTACCCGACTCGGTCTCTTCACAATTCTCCATTCCACTCGAAATATCTGCTGAGAGAAATTTCAGACGAAGAACTGGAAATGTTTTTATCATCCCTTCCGAAAATTCATAAATATATAACTGAAGAATCCCACAATAAATCCTTGCTTGTCAGAGTTTTAGGACTATTTTCTTTTTTCCCCAAATCGAAACACCCATATAACGTAATTCTTTTGGAAAACATAGTACCTCCTGATGCTATAGCTTTTGCCTTTTTCGAACTAAAAGGTACGAAGCTTAACCGACAAGTTTTATCTGATCCTTCCACATTTACCATCAAAAACTGTCCAACTGAGTATTTATTAAAAGACCTTGATTTCTGCCAAATTCAGCAGAATATTTATCTATCATATTACGACCAAACTTGGCTAAAATTGATGATAGAAAACGACGTCCAATTTTTAAAAGAAATGGGCTCAAGTGAATATTCATTATTTTTAACAATTGCACCTTCTCTATATAAAGAAGATTTGCAGCATCGATATGGAAGACACGTTTTTAGTGGCCAAGAAGAAGACAAAGACAAAATTTATATTTTAGGGATAATGGATATTTACATTAATACCAAAAAAAAGTCACCAAAAACACCTAGGATTGAAGAATCGCCTGAAAGGTATGCAGCAAGATTCCTGAGCTTTTTTGAAAGTATTATTAAGTGCGACTCTTTATAATTAGCCAGAAGTTAAGTTAAGGATACAAGTTAATAAGAAAACTTATTAATATATTTTTTATGACTTTTTCGCTATCTTTGTTTTATTATGCATGATTTCTCTCAAAATATGCTGATCTAATCATTTAAAAGTTCATTTTGAGTATTATTCTTTATATTTCTTATAAGTCCCTGTTTAAAGAATGGAAGATCCTGAAGTAGTAGCAGCCCGTGCAAGACTTGCAGCAAAGTTTGGAGACTCCACAAGAATTGGAGGAAAAGGCTCAATGAAGCGAAAGAACAAAGTAGCCCACAAGACTAACTCAGTAGATGAAAAAAAGTTAATGTCCAATCTCAAAAAGTTGCAAGTGCAGCCCCTTCCAGCTATTGAAGAAGTGAATTTCTTTAAAGATGATATAGCTTTTGAAAAGATTCTGCTTAAGGGTTTAAATTTTTTATAGAAAATAAAGTATTTTATTTTTCTATTAAGAAAAGTTATTGATGTTAATAGGAATAATACCATTTTGCATTTCACAAATCCTCAAGTTCAAGCTAATATCAAAGACAACTTCTTTTTAGTCCAAGGCACAGGAGAGTCTAAATCCTTTGCGGATCTGATGCCTGGTATCCTTAACCAACTCGGTCCTAAAAACCTAGAGTTTTTGAAAGACCTCGTACAAGCAACTGCTTCTAAGCCTGATGGTGAAGAAGATGTCCCAGATCTTGTTGGAGAAAAGAACTTTGAAGATATTGCAAACCAAGACTAAATAATGAATTTAGCTTTACTTTTTAGTAGGAAACAATTATTAAGATGTTACATTACTATTTTAAAGCATTTTAGCCTTATTTAGCATCCAGCAACTTTAAGAGATCGGAGTTTGTTGCCCAAGCTTTTCTAGCCTCCCCAGATTAATAATAAACTTACTTATTTACTTATACATTAATAGGCGTCTGCCGTATTGTTAACGCAGTCGCCAAGGACCCAATATTAGGGTTCACCTGCTTTGAGGTATAGTCTCAACTGGTCATAAAGGCCAGCCAAGGAGACATACACCTCCTCCTTACCCCGGAATCCCGCGGCTTAAGTGTTGAGTGGGCGGGCTATGGATTTCTGTGACTGCTGCTTGAGCTGACGAGAGTTGGCTTTCCGAAATCATTCTGGTCGTTGAGCATGGGCCAGGCTCTGCTCTGCAGAATTGCTTACCTTGCATTGCTGCTCATTTCCTGAATGGCAAAACCTTGCCGGATATAATTAAAATATGAGTCGAGTATGTATGGCCGAGAGGCCATACCCAGACGAAGACGCCATATTTTAATTATGATTAATAATAAACATTTCTTTTTTATTTTACTAAAAATATAAATTATAAAGCTAAAATATATTTGCATTTCCTATAAAATTTAAATGTTTAAAAATTATAAGTATAATTCATAATAAAATAAAAATGCTCATTAATTAGATAGAGATTAAGCACTTCGATGGCTTCTGTAACTTTAACGAGAAGGAGAGGAGGGTTCTGTAATAGTCCAAGGAGCTCAGCGTTATCCATTTCAAGAAGCATACCAGTAATTTTGCCTGCAACTTGCTGATTAGAAGATTTTAAGACGGGAGGATTAAGATTAAGATTAAGATTAAGATTACGCTGGGTATTTAAGGTCCCTACTACGTCCGAGGTCGCATGCCACGGTTTCCCGTGTGGTGGCAGAGCGTTCACCAAGCCCGGGCCGAAACCCCCGGTTTCTCGGTAGAGGTATTGTCAAGGGCCGTCTCATACCGGCTTTGCTGACCACTCCATTTCCAACTTGGATCGTCGCCTAAGTTTACGCCAACTCCGCTTCGTCGTCCGCCAGATCTGCCCATTGAAGGGCACCTTTTCAACTGGAGAGACCCCCGTTTTGGTGTCTAACTCGCCTCCCCTCTTTTCCGGTCATCCCGAGAAAAAAACTCAACAGCTTTCGCCATTCGGGGCGAGCCACTAAAGCAGCTTAGGCAGGTAATTCACCCTGCCTCATTTCGGGCACTCACTGGGCTGAGCGCTGCTGGCAAAAAGAAGTCACGAATAACTGCCCATGGGTCTGGTCGCAAAAACAGCGGCTCTCGCGCTTAGGCCTTTCGCTTCGAGGTCCCAGACGTTGTTGGGCTAATTCCTGGCTCCAAAAACCATGCCCGGATATACATGGGTAACCACCACTGAGAGGGTGGGTCGGTCGCCATACGCCATTTTATGTATATAAGACGGGAGGATAAATAGCTTCACCAATCATACGCTTTTTGATCTCTGGAGCAGCAGCAGTGAAGTCAGCCAGGCTAAAAGGAAGCTGGGCAACAGGAGGAGGCTGAGGAGGTGGGGGGTAATGGACGAAGGGTTGTGAAATAAGCAACTGACTGGGAGCTTCTGGTACAGGCTTTGGCCTAGGTGGCATAGGCCCAGGAGCCCTCATTCCTCGGCCCATCATATTCCCAATCATCCCATACTCCCACATCTGGCTTTGTATCTTCCTCATCTTCATCATCCCTACCAATTTTGCTACCTCTTCCCTCGGTTTCCAATGTGCTACAAACAGTCTATTCCCTTCTAACGTTGTATCTCTTAGCACAGCCAGTGCCTTATTCGCATATTCAGCTTGTGCAAAGCATACATATGCAATTCCTTTCGGTGTCCATTCTTTAACCTGTTTCCCATCCTCAAATCTCACATTTTCCGTCTTTGGAATCAGCACAGACTCAATCTGCCCATACGCTTCACAGATTTTTCTCAGCTTTTCTTCATCAATAGCAGGTGGGATTCCTCTAATATAAAGATTTTTTCTTTTCCACTCCTCAATTTTCTTTTGATAATTAGCTTTATTTATTGACAGCCTTAATGCTTTTTTCATATGAGGGACTACTAGTCATGTAAAATTTCCTTCAGATTTTCCGTTCATTTCTTCTGAGGCTTTTTTGGCATTTTCTGGGGTATCAAAGCAGACAAACCCAAAAAACCTTGGTTGGCCTTGGAATTCATTTCTCATCACAACGTGGGAAGTGATGGTACCGAATATAGAAAATCGCCTGTGGAGGTCGTCGACTGATAATGAGGAATCAAAGCCTCTTACGTATAAATTGCGATTATTTGACATATCGTTGCGTTCTTTCATAGGAACAAATTTTTCGACGGTGAGTCTGTTTCCTTTGAAATCTATGGTTTTTGTGGATTCTAATGCTTTTTTAGCTGATTCTTGCTTTTCGAATTGGACAAAGCCATAGCCTCGAGGACGCTCGTTGGAGTCGTAAACTAGTTTTGTGGACAAAATACTGCCATAGACACTAAAAAAATCATCCAATTCTTTACTTGTGACGTTTTCAGGCAGGTTGTTGATAAATAAATTAGCTTCTGGGTCGCGCTCTCTGCAGTATTTCATAACTCTAATATGCTTTCCTTTGACATCAAGCCCATTCAGCTCAACTCTTGCAGTATTTGCTTGAGTTGGGTCTGTGCCTTAGGCGGAGCACGCGCTGGAGCTAAGTCTGATGAGAGCAATGTTAACGCGTCGGGTGAAACATGTGGCCCTGGGGTTACCGCTGGGTTGTCCGATGGCTTGCCATTTTGACTTCACCAGTGACGTCACCAGTTGGCTTAGTCCACATTTAAATAGGGAGCGGGCACTAGACACCTTTAAACACTAAATAATTAAGTAAGTAAATAAGAGTTGGGTCTGTGAAGCTTACAAAGGCAAACCCTAGTGAAATTCTTGTGTCAATGTGTCTGAGAACTCTTATAAAAACTACTTGACCATATTTTGAAGTGAGTTGAAATAGGTCTGATTCTGAAACGCTAGGATGAAGATCTCCTATAAAAATTTGTGCTCCTTGATTACTTGCTTTCCCTTGGGCTTGCATCATTATCAAAAAAGACAAATGTTATAATGGCATCCATTTATCTGAAAATTAGAGATGCAGAAATATAGTAGGCATGAATAATGATATTTTTAATAGAAAGATATAAATAAAACAGGAAATATAGAATAATCAGCTTGGGCAATTTTAATTATTTTGTGAAATTGGGAGAGACGAATGGAGAAGTTTACTTTATTATTAGATATTGATAGAGATTAACAAATTGAAAAATATTTAGAAATATGATTTATTAGGCTAAAGAAATATTTTTGATAAAATATCAGGTGAGTATTAGGGCAAGAAAGAATGTAATATAAAAGAATTAAATAGATATTAATAATTATTTATGCTTCAACGAATCATGGATAATAATCAAATTATAAGTCTTAAGTGTAGTCAATATATCTTTTTCATAAGTATGACTTAAAAAATTTCCAAAAACTTTTTCGCTGCTGAAAATAAAAATTTCGAATACTAAGACCCCAAATACAAATAAAATCAAATTGTTCTCTACTTACAAAATTTCCAATATTCAGCCAAAAATATCAATCAAACAGCATCACATAGAAAATTTTATTTTTTTTTCCCAGTCAGATTAGAAACTTAAACACAAAATTTATGGAAAACTATGTTATATTTATTTTTATCAGTTTAAATTTGTGCTATGATTTCATTGCTTATCCTAAAGCAGCCCATCTTGATATCAGGAACTTCTTCTAGCTCCCTTAAAACAAGATCAACTTTTTTTCTTAACCTCGCAAAATTTAAATTTTCTGTCATAGTTTTAGGTGTTTCTTTTTCTTTTTCAATTTGTTCAATGATATCACAACAAATTCCTCTTATTTCTTCAATATTCTGAGGATTTATTCTGAATTTTGCAATCCTTAAGTACTTAATGCACAAATTCGTGATTTTCACGACAATTTGTCTTCTTTTTCTATAGAGTATTTTTGCCATAAGGTGTATGTGTGAGTTTTGTGCTTGGAAGTCAAGCTCAGTAATTTCATCAGACATGATAAGTCTTTCTATTCGATCTCGAGAGTCTATAATTTGCTGCTCCATTGACTGAGTGAGAGTTTGGAGACATTGAAGCTCTGAGTCTAAATTGTAAGACTTTGCTCCCAAAGTCTTGGCGAATGAAGTCCATCTGTAGAGATCCTGCATTTTACTTTAAATTTTATTGATAAACGGATACCTTCATAAAAGCGTTTTGGAAATTCAATATGGGAAGATTAGTATAATTTGAAATTTTTGAAATTTCAGTTAAGATGATTGAAAAATTAAAACGACTATATTATTATAAGCGAAACCAGCATAATTCAGACGTATTCTGAGAGAAAAGTTTTTTTTTCCAAAAAATAAAATTCATAAAGCATAAATATTTGAATCTGCTTGATTTTTCAAAATTTTAATCTTGAATAAGCAATTGTTTCATATTCTTGTAATTGGAATTCATAAATCTTTAATATGGGTATTTATGATAATTTACTGATTCATAATTATTTAAACATATTTTCTAAATTTAATATTAAAATTGTCATTGCTTATCAATTTGGCTATTGAAAATTTGTTTTCAGAGTTATGCAAGGAAATACTTAAATAAGAAATAGTTGATTCCAACTTCATAAAAAAATACATAATATTAAATCATTATTCTAAAAACATTAAATACAGCATTCACTTAAATTGCTTTAAAATAGAACTTTTCACTATTAAATGCAAAAAAACAATCCCTATAATTTAATCTATTTTATGATATTTCATAGAATAATTTTTTTAACTGACTTAAGTTAAATTCTAGGCTGTTATAAATAGAAGCTTCTATCAAAATAGAAATTTCTCAGTTAAAACATAATTATTAAGCTAGGCGATAATAATTTAACCAAAATGAATAATAAATTAGATGAAAAGTTAACTCAAGAGCTTGAAAAAGAAAGCGAAAAATCAAATCTCAGCGATAAAAATGAAATAAACATCCTTTCATCAAAAAAGCATATCAAAACTGATATTTCTGCTTGGAATGATGAATTTCAGCATACAAAAATTCCCAAAACTTTGTTTGGAAAAAGAAAATCTCACAAAACGAGTTTTTCAGTTGAATCAAATACGTTTGATATGATGGACTTAGGCCCCAAAAAATCTCCTGAAAAGCCTAAGAATAATGGATTTTTAAGAGGCTTAAAATTTGACCCAGGATTTGAAGCAATTAGGGATTTTCTTCAAGATAAAGAATTTGATAAAACAAAAGATACAATTGATACTAATGGTAAAACACATACATCTACATTTGATTATCCTTCTAATTGTTATTTTAACACTACAGATTCTAATGACCATTTTCACGACAAAATTCTTTGTGATAAGCAAATGGTAATTTTAACTTAGATTTGCAAAATCCTCAAAAGAGCTAAATCAGGTCTCAAAGGAATCAGCAGAATTTTGCCATCATGCAAAATCACAACTGAAGAGACACTAAACTGGTTCAAAATTCGAAGAAATAATTCTTCAAAATCAAGGCCGATTCACAGTCGTGAATCTTCTATAACTCAATCTCCATCCCGGAATACTAAAAAGCCTTATTATATTACTACAAAATCAATTCCAAAAGCACACCATATACGGTCCAAATCCACAGAAAGATCTTTAGATACTTTAATTATGTCAGGTATGTCAATAAAAAATTACTTGTAAACTATTTTAGTATTTCAGCTAAATTTAAAAAAAGAGATAAAATTTAATCCAAAATTTTATTAAATAAATTACTTGATTAATTTTTCATTATGAGTCTTTGTGCCAATATGTCTTCTGGTGCTTGATCTTTGCATATTTTTCTCACACACCATGCATCTAAAAATAGCAGTCTCTTCATTAAAATCCCCACTTATAAGTTTAAATTTTGAACCATCTTCCATTATCAGCTCATTTTCACTTTCCTTTATTTCTTCTTTGATTTCCCTATTTTCTTCTTTAATTTCTCTTATTTCTTCTTTATCTTCATTTACGAATTCTTGTTTTACCACATTATACTGCACTGGTTTTAAATCAAAATCCTTAGCTTCTGGAAATCTCGGCATATACTCATTCGGTAAATCTGCTCTTTCAATTGAAAACGATCTTTCAGAAGAACTTCTTCTAGGACTTCTACTTCTTTTAGGGCTATTTATTTTATTTTTTGGGGACTTTCTCTTATTTTGCTTAGGGCAATCTCTTGCAATATGTCCATATCCTTTGCATTCATAGCACTCCATGCCTTCTTGACAGTCTCTCGAAATGTGTCCTGGCTTCCCACATTTAAAGCATCTGTCTTTCAATTTTTCTTTATTTTGCGAAACACCATTAGCTTCTTTTTGAGTGAATTTCGGCGATCGCTTAGATCATTCGATATTTAAGCAGAGTCCTCCTAAATTTTTCCCAACAAGAGCTTTCATTGCTTCTTCGGCGTCATGGTCATTTATATACTCTACAAAGGCATATCCACCTTGGGTTAGCGCAACGCGGTGGTTTATCTTGCAGGGGCCGAATTTGTTGAACTGTTCTTCGAGCTCTTTTAAAGAAATGTTTCTTGAGAGATTTCCAATAAAAAGACTCATTTTATTATAATTAATTTAATCTCTTGGCTCTGAGTCTGTGCTATGGCCGCTTTCTTCGCCTTCAGTGGGTTCTCTGCTGTTGTTGAGCATTTCGGTGTTTTCTTGGTCTTCTCTGATTTCTGCAAGCTCAATTGTTTGGCTTGTTCTAATTCTTTCTAGTAAAACTTTTTCTTCAATTTTTTCTTCCTCGAATAGAGGTCCGTAATTTTCTATGACTTCGTCAGGGTGTCTTTGAAGAATTGATTGAATAGCTTCGTTAGCGAGCAGCCCATGCATTCTTTTTAGGAAAATGCCATATTGTTCGTCATTTACAGCGGAAAAATATTCAATAGCTTGTTGATATAAGTTCATTAGTTCATCAATAGCTTTTAAGGTTATGCATTTTCCTTTTAAACTTTCTATAATTTAAATAGTTTAGATTCTAAATAAATTCAAGAGAAATCACTATATTAATTTTGTCAAATTTTTTTCAGCTTCTTCAATTAACTTCAAAATTTGGAAAATATTCATTTTTTTTACCCTATCAGGTAACACCTCAGCTTCATTTATTAAAGGAATTGATAAACTTATAGATTTTGCTACAGTGTTTAATCTTCTAGTATTTTGAGAAATTAATTCAAGCACTTCATTTGTTTGAGAAGTTCTGAAGGTTTGGCGGAATGGTGGGGTATCTTCTATTTGTTTCCATTCTATAACAAATTGGTTCGGTTCACTTTTATTAGTCAAAATTGTGTTAATTGATTGCAAAGTGGCTCAGCTTACAATTTTCCCCATAATAGCAGGCTCAATATGAGGTTCAAGCTCTAAAAATTTAGAATGAGTAATGACTATTATTCTTGCATTCTGCTCTTTATTGTTTTCAGTCCCTAGCTCAGTACAGAAAAAGCACCCCATGCCTTCTTTATTTTCCCATTGCCTGATATTATGAATATCTCCGAGGTGAAAAGTTCCGACCTCAGTTTGGGTGCCTAATAGATATTTTTGGTGGAGCTCAGCTATATATGCAGGTAGGGCATTAATTATGTCCAAAGATGTGATGCTAGGTGCCCATTTCTTTTTAGTGATGTTTAAAAGCAAATCCCTGCCATCTGAAACTGAAGGGAAGCCGAAATTAGTTTCACAAATCACTCGAGGAGGCTGGAACGGGAATTTCCCTTCAAGGTAAATTTCAAAAACAACAGATTCATATGGAATGCCAGTTAATAGTTTGTCATGCAGCTCAACTCTTATTATATGTCCAAATCTGCTTTCTGAGGTGTTGATTCTGAAATCCCCTCCAATTCGTTGAATTAATTTGAGTTCTGATTACAATTTACCTTTTTCGAATCGTTTTTTTTGTATTTCTAAAGTGTGATGTTCTAGTGTAGACATTTATCAATGTTTTAATTAGAAAATAGCTGAAAATTTGGGGTGATTTCAAGATTTGTGTAAGTTTAGTAAAAAATAAAATAAATCCAAAGTTAGAAAGTAAATTTTGAGTATTTTGGAAGAAAAACTGGAAAAGAATAGGCAAATTAAATTCGGTGTGGCTGATTAGTATAAATGGAGACTTATATAAAGAATAATAATTAATAATTGATTGCTGGCATTCAGATATCAAATGCCCTAATTTCCTAATTTTTAGTATAAATGTCTCTTTAAAATTTTCTCTCCACAGTTGATATAGAAATGGAATCAAGGCCTTCAGGCAACTATTGCACGTTTTCAATGTTCCTTCTATGCAACCTAGCTTTGCTTGGTGTAGGCATTGCAGTGGCAACTTTAGCAATTTATATATGTGCTGATCAAGATGATTTTTCATGGTATGATGGTTTATTTGCATTACTTGGATTTGTCATCGTGTTAACTGCAATTGCAAGCATAAAGTGTTCTTTTATTTAAAAAAATTTTTTAAAATTATTGCAGTTTATAGACAAATTTTATACTTAAAGCCATTTATTTTATAAGAAAAAATTATAAAAGTCTTTATTTCTGACTCCCCCCCCTTTAGATTGGAACTAAAAATTTTGTTCCAATTTAAAGGGGGGTTAAGAAAATGTTTTTAAAAAAAAAATCATTTAATTAGATTAATAAATTTGTTTAATAAAATGCTATTCACTCTTTATCCTTTAAAACAAAGCAAGATATAACCAAAATTTTATTATTAATTAATACGCCACTATTAATTGGTATCAAAACTATTTATACAAAATTTTATTATTTTTATTGATAAAAAAAACATTTAAAAAAAAAAATTTTAGAAATTTATTAATCAAAGTGCTAATTTTGTTTAAATAAAATGCTATTTATACTCTATTCTTTAAAATAAAGCAAGAGATAAGTAAATTTTGAATTTTTGTAAAGAATTCGTATTGAATTTATATCAAAGCTATTTATATAAAAAATATCATTTTTTTCAAAAAAAAAAAAATTTTTTTTGAAAATTTTTTAAAAACAAAAAAAATTAAATTTTTTTAAAAAATTTACAATTAATGATAATAAATTTATTTAAATAAGATGCTCTTTATACTCTATTCTTTAAACAAGAGCAGGATATAACTAAATTTTTATTTTAGTTAAGAAGAAACATTTAAATTATATCAAAACTTTTTACATAAAAATTATGATTTATATATATAAAATTTTTTATTATAAAATCTAATTTTGTTTCAATTTAAAGGGGGGTTAATTTTCCCAAAAAAGTGGAAATTTTACCTATATTTTGTTCCAATTTAAAGGGGGGGGGAGTGAGAAAATTGTATCAGCATAAAGACAAAAGACTCACTTAAATGGCTATTTGTTTATATGCTGTTTTTATTAATACTAACGGCAATTGTCGGTGGGCTAACACTTGGACTGATTTTTTGGCACGACTTTGAGATCAAAATAGGCTATGAAAATGCATGGGGTGTTAGAGGAAGCTACATTGGATCTTGTGCTGCTATGCTATTTTGCGTAGTTGTAGGATTTTTCTATAGAAAAAGCTTGATTAATGCAGTTGAGAGGAAAAGCGAAGAGGTTAACTTCACAGACATTAAGGGACCTTTGGTCTCTCCTCGAGCTGGGAAGCCAGAAACCATATCAAAAGGATTCCAGCAGCAGAAGCCTTCGAAGAAAAGCGGAAAACCAGAATCTTTATTTGAAATGAAGTAGATAATGATAATTAATAGCATGAATAGCATGCCTAGCATATATTTTTGCTATAAATCTTTAATTACAATTTAATTTTTGAACTTTTTTATTAAGCTTACATGAAATTTTTATTTGATGATAATTTATAATATATTTAAGTAAATAAGCATAATAAATATCCTTAATGATGTGTATATATTGTAAATTTATTCAGCTAAATGGTGTTAATGCATTAATTTTGAGTTAATTTTATGTAAAAATGATGTAAAGTAATGACATATATAGAAATAAACCTCAATAATATAGAAATTTATAATTAAAATGGAAAATAAAGAGCCAACATCATTTCTTTGACTGCTTGAAGATTATATAGAACTTTTTAAAGATGAAGAAGAATTAAGGCCATTTTTAGAGCCTACAGCCTTCCCTAGGTACTCTGAATTTTTAAATATTCAGAGTTCGAAGATATCTTCAGATAAAATTATAAAATTTTATGAATTAGAAAAAATCTGAACCATCATATCAATTGTGCATTATATTGAAGATTTTACATTAAATAATGCAAATATAGTTCTTACTACTCTTGAAGATAAACTATTTATGTCCAGCAATTCATCAAAACATTATGAATTTCAAACTGAGCGAAAGCAAGAGACTTATTCTATAATTGCAGAAATGGATATAAATATTACAATGAAATTCGAAGAAGCTGCATCAAAAGATTCAGAAGAAGAGCTAATTGAATGGCTTTTATTTGCAGAGAAAATTCGAAGAAAATGGGTAAAATTTGACATGAAATCTACAGTGAAGATAGGACTTATTTATTATATGCAAAAATTTGGTCAAGAAAGAATTAAAGACCGAAAGCTATTGATTTTGGCTTTGAAATTTTTAGGAAGCGATGAAAACTTTAAATTTTTTTTAGAGCAAGAAGCTATTAAGTACTTAGAGAGCCACATAGACGATAGAGCTACATCAAAAGAAATATTAAAATTGCTCTCTAATAAATCGCACAAATTAAGCGACGAAGACTCGAAAAAAATAAAAATATTTGAAAATCAATTAGAAGTATGAACAATTAAAACACAGAAAGAAATTAGAAGAAATTTCAGGAATATAAGAAGATTCTGCAAAGGAGAAAAAGCTAAAGGATTTAAAGTTTTAGCAAAAGAAGATATAATAAGGGAAGATGTCAAAGATATTGTAAACGCTAGTTCGAATTCAAAGATTTACATGGGCACATTAAATAATAAAAAGGTTGCTGTCAAAGAATATAAGATTGAAAAATCGAAATGGTCAATGATTAAATTATTCTGCAATGAAGCAGCAAATGCAATTTTCCTTATTCCCCCTTCCATTAGCGAACAAAACTATTGGAACGAAAAATTTTTTAAGAAAAATATTTTAACATATAAGTGATAATTATTATAATGAAATCTCTAGCTAATTCTGCTTAATTTTGAACCGCTTGCATTTTAGCACATAAATTTTATATATTAAATAAATAATCACTTTCAAAATTTTTTCGAATTGGGAAATTTTTTAAATTCGAAAAAAATTATATAAAATTTATATATAAATTTTAAAACCCCCTCCTTGAACAAATAGATTTTTTTTTTCGCTCACGTGAGAGCTAGCGAAAAAGATGAAATATTTATGAAATTTTATGGAATATATAAAGAATTTGAACCCCTCCATTCTGATTTTACATTTGCAATTGTAATGGAGCAATGCGATATGGATTTAGAGAGAGCAATAAAAGAAAAGCTGCTTAGTAGCGATAAAAATATAGAATATTGCATTGATACGCTTTTAAAAGGGTTCAAGTTATTGCACGATTATGGCATTGCACATAGAGACATAAAGCCTCAAAACATATTTGTTAAAAACACAAAGAGGGGCTTAAAACTGAAAATTGCTGATTATAACATCTCTTCTCTAATTTCTAAAGGAACTGCGCTGTTTTCATACCAAACTTTATTTGATAACAAAGGCCAAAGGACTTATATTCCTCCAGAATGTGTGCAAAATGATGGAGACAATGGTCCAAAAACTATTGTAATGAATAAACAAAAAGCAGATGTTTATTCTTTAGGACTGGTTTTTCTAGAATTGTGCAAACAAGAAATTCATACATTTTCAAGCTATATAGAAAGAGAAGAATGGATTTCAAGCTATATAAACTGTGATATAAAACCCTATTGAATAAAAGATTTGCTGAATTTGATGCTTACCAAAAATCCGAAAGAAAGGAAACGGCTTAGCGAGCTTATTAAAATAAGAGCAGGCTATCAGAATAATGGAATATAAATTAATAAAAATTGCTAGCTTAAAAGTCTTAAAGTCATTCTTTATTTTTAGAGAGATAAAGCTATTTAAAGTAAAAATGAATTTAAAATTAAAGTGCCTCATAAAGAAACTTTTAGTCAGGAGTTAGACATTGAATTCTTTATAATATTGCTTCCTTTAAGGTAAAGATCTCATTTAATGAATTTTTTAATCTATAAAATGAGATAATAGAGCTTTAATTAATTTAAAGTTAATTAGATGCAAAATTTTATAGCTTATTCTTCTGTATTACCATCACCTGATTTAATCCATACCCTTTAAAGATTACTGAAAATCAAAATGTAGTAGCTGAATTTGCATTTTATTGAAAATTACAAAATTCATTTTATCATCTAATTGAGGATTATATAGAAGAGTTTAAAAATGAAGAAGAATGAAAACCACTTTTAAAGCCAGAATATTTGCCTAGCCTATCAGAAATAATAAATCTGAACTTATATATTCCTCTAAATATAGCTTTAAATCATCTTATTCAAGTGTTAAGACGTATTTCTTACTTAATCTTTATCTCAAAGCAATGCTGATGCAAATAAACTATGAATCAGATTCAATAATTCTGATTGAATAAAAGAAAAAAGAGCTAAAGAATTTCAAACTATATGGATTATTATATTAACTGTGCATTGCTATGAAAATTTCACATTAGAAAATGCATATTTTGCTCTTCGTAAGCTTGAGGATAGTCACTTCAATATAAAAGATTCCTCAACAATAGTTTATGACTCTCAATTTGAGTGAAAACCTGTTACTTATTCTATAATTGAAGAAATGGAGATAAATATTTTAAGGAAGTTTTGACGCTGTTACTCAAAAGGATTTAATCGACTGACTTTTATTTGTATTATTTTAAATGCCATTTTTAAATTTTTGCTTGAAATACTTAGAGAAGTTTCTAGCGATTTAATATTTACTGCATTTGTTGAAGCTAGTTATTTTGCTCAAGCTTTGAGAAAGCTCATGCACTTTTTTAGATTTCTCTATATTCATGCAGTTTTACAGTTTTTAAATTAAAAAAAAATATTTTATCTTTTCTTATTTAAGAATAAATAAGGATTTTGAAAGAGTGAATTTAACTGACTAGTGAGATAGTTTTATGTGGATGAAGATTTGAGTTAACGATGAAAGAAACATACAGAGAAAAAATAGAAATTATAAATCAAAAAATACGAGAGTATTGAGAAAGTTGTGAAAATAAGAGAAATTGACTTCCTTGAGTGATAACCTTAATAAATAAAAAAAAAGAATAAGAAGAAAATAAAAATATAAAAAAATACTTCGACTTTTATTTTTGAGAAAAGAATCATATGTACTTTTTATATCAACTTATTTACTAAAATCAAATAAGGAGACTTTTTTTAATGTCTGTTTATTTATAATTTAAAATGCTCTCTTCACCAAAAAATCACGTCAAGTACTACGAAAAAGAATTAAAGCCCAATCTTCGCCATCTGCTCTGCAAACTCCAGTTATCTATCTATCTATATTATCGAGCTGCAGCAAACTCCAGTTATTAAAATACAAAAAAACTCTAGCTTAATCGAAGCCGAAAAAAAAACCTATTATTTAATTATGGTGATATGGAAATAAGCACTCGTTTTGCTAATAATTGACCAAGATTCAAGATTTATTTTTGTAAAGCAAAGCTTAAAATCAATGCATTTAAAGAAGCTGAAACTTCAAAGCAAAGAAGCAAATATAAATTTTATAGTAAAATTTTCTCGCTGCAAGATGAGACTTAAAGGTTTAGGTTTATATTTGAAGACAATTTTTTTTCGAAAACAACAGAAAAGTGGAAACATGGATAATTTTGCAAAGGAAAACAATTCAGATAGAAATAATACACAGTTTTTTCATAATCTGCCATTCAAAAAAGAGACACTAACAATAAAGAAAACACCCTCTTCTCTTGCATTCTCAAAGAAAGAAGATGAATCATTTGCTGAAGGATGCTTAGAAAAAGATGAACAAAGCATGATATGCAATCTACATTAAAGATTGGACTCGTTTTATTTATTCGGAGATTTGGCCAAGAAGCTATTACCTATCGCAAATTATTGATTTTATGCTTAAAATTTTTAGCAAAAGATAAGGAATACAAACCGTTTTTAATAAAAGAAGCAGTTGAATGTTTAGAGAATAATATAGAAGATCGAGCTACATCAAAAGAAATATTAAAATTACTTCCTATAGATCTTGACAAGAAAACTTTAAAAAAACTAAAATTTTCGAAGAGTATATAGGAGTGTGGAAATTTTCGGCAAAAAGAGAAATCAAAAGAAATTTCTATAAAATCAGAAAATTATTTGAAGAAAGAAGCTCTCAAAAATTTTTTAGAATGAATTCAAAGAAAAATAGTGAGCATTTGAATAAAGGTAGAAATAGAGGATTTAAAATTCTAAATAAAGAAGATATCATATTTGAGAAAGATTTATATTTAAACCTTACTAGCAATTCAAGGATTTATAAAGGCTGGCTGGAATCTGAGAACAAAAAAGTTATTTTCAAAGAATGTATAATTGAAAAATCAAAGAATGATGCCATAAAATTAGTTTGCAATGAGTTAGCGAATGCAATTTTTCTTAGCAAAAAAGATGAAATTTTTATGGAATTTTATGGATTATATATAGATTTTGATCCTCAAAATAAAGAGTTTACTTTTGGATTTGCAATGGAGCAATGCGATATAGATTTAGAAACAGCAATAAAAGAAAAGCTGCTTCGTAGTGATAAGAATATAGAATATTGCATTGACACGCTTTTAAAAGGGTTCAAGTTAATGCACGATTATGGCATCGTACATAGGGACATAAAACCCCAGAATATATTTGTTAAAAAATATACAGATGGATGAAAATTTAAAATTGCTGACTACAATGCCTCTTCTGTCGTTTCTAAAGGCACAGCTATTTTCTCAGACCTAGCTCTAACAAATAAGTTTGGCCAACCAACATATTTACCTCCAGAAGTTTATTCACAAATGGATGGAGAAGAATTACCACAAAGAATTATTATGAATAAGCAAAAATCTGATGTGTATGCCTTAGCATTAGTTTTTTTAGAGTTAAATATACAGGATATTCCTTTTCATACCCCAATTGAAAGAGAACAATGGATGAAAGACTATGGATGAAATTACATAAACAATGAGATTAAAGCCAATTGATTAAAAGAGTTATTAACTTTAATGCAAGCAAAAAATCCAATGGAAAGAAAAAGACTTAGCGAACTGGTTAAAATAAGGAAAAGCTATCAGATTAGTGTATAAATTAATTATTATACTAATCTTAAAAGCATCTTGAAATTTAATTATATTAATAACTGAATGAAATAGAACGCTCGTTATTTAATCTCAATTCTCAACAATTTCTCATAAAAATTCAAAATTGTATCTCAATAATTGTATGCTAAAAATGTATTTTAGCTCATTGATAAATTACTGAGGTGCATGCAATTTATTTAGATATCGATATTAATTATTATAAGCAATAAATGTGAAATTTCATAATCACAACAAGCATTCATAAATTGGCTTATTTAAATGCCAGCTTATTCTAGCTTGTCTACTATTTTTGAAATTCGCTTTCAGCCCTCAATTGTGATCATACAAAAGGAATTTATAAACTAAATGACTAACTCCCCCCCCCCCCCCCCTCCGTGAGCGAACAAAACCATTAGAAAAATCGCCATTTTTTGACCAAAAAACCCACCCTCCGTGAGTGAACAAAAATTTTTTTAATAGAAAAAATTTTAATGGAAAAAAATTTTGATATATAAGTGATAATTAGTATAATGAAATCTAGAGCTAATTCTGTTTAATTTTAAACAAATTGCGTTTTAAAAACATAAATTTTGCAAATTAAATTAATATTTGCTTCCCAATTTTTGCAAATTAGGATTTTTTTTAAATTTCGAAAAAAATATTTTTTATAAATTTATATATAAATTTTTTTTAAAAAAAAAAATTAACCCCCCTCGTGAGCGAACAAAATTTTTTTTGTTCGCTCACGGAGGGGGGGGGGGGGAGTAAAAGAGCATTCTTGATTAAAAAAGATTCTAATTTTGACATCTAAAACCTTGCTTGGATCTTATATTAACAAATTTTCTTATATAAAATATTTTATGAGCTAGCAAAAGTAATAAAATATGCAATATATTAGCAATTTAATATCTCTACTATTAATTTTATCAAAGATAGGAAATAGATTAAGACAGGCAGGAGTAGTTTCATTAAAAATTTTTAATTTAAGGCAGTTTTTGCTGTTTAGCCGGACCTATTAAATCAATACATGCTCAGAGCAATATCCTTAGTCTCTTAGCTCAATGCATTAAGCCTATAACCCAGCTTGATTTAAGCTTATAAACATTAATTATTTAATATAAAAAGAGGTTTGAGATCTGTAATATTATCTATACCTCAAATCGTTTGAAAATTTTTACATGTAAAATCGCTCAAATATAGAGCATCCACATATGGAATAACACTTTGCACATGTGGAACCTAATAACTATTAGGCAAAGGATAATAGCTTTGAGTACGATTAATCCAAAGAGATAAATCATAATGCAAGACGCTAAACAGCACTTTTTAAATATTAGTATAGCTTTAGGCACTTAATTTTACTTTTTGCCTGCTGAGGGTAAATCTTATATGCCATTAAATAAGCAAGAATTTTCTAAATAAACCATGGAGAGCTCTCTTGATTAAGAGATGAACTGTTTTCATTACTGAAATAGAATTTATAATAATATATATGATTCAATGTGTTTTAACTATAAAAGTAAAATAGGCAATTGTTTAAAAAACTTAAAATCAAATTTTTAAATGGATCTTACTCCCTCTATTAAAAATAAGCAAAACCAAAAATATATTATCAAATCATTTAGGTTTATTTAGAAATTTATTTATAAATTGTTTTATTTTCAAGCTAGAAGCAAAATAGTATGCTGTTTAAATAATTTAAATTATAACTCTCCCCCCCCCCCTCCGTGAGCGAACAAAACCATTAGAAAAATCGCCATTTTTTGACCAAAAACCCACCCTCCGTGAGTGAACAAAAATTTTTTTAATAGAAAAAATTTTAATGGAAAAAAATTTTGATATATAAGTGATAATTAGTATAATGAAATCTAGAGCTAATTCTGTTTAATTTTAAACAAATTGCGTTTTAAAACATAAATTTGCAAATTAAATTAATATTTGCTTCCCAATTTTTGCAAATTAGGATTTTTTTAAATTTCGAAAAAAAATATTTTTTATAAAATTTATATATAAATTTTTTTTAAAAAAAAAAATTAAACCCCCCTCCGTGAGCGAACAAAATTTTTTTGTTCGCTCACGGAGGGGGGGGGGGAGTAAATAAATTTTTAAAAATTTGAAATAAATATCGATTTAAAAAATTACATGTTAATGCTGTTTTAAACAAAAACTAGCCCTTGAAACAGGAAAAGATTTTTCTTTCATTTTTAAGGGGCTTTGCTTCAAAGAAGAACTCGCTAACTCCCCCCCCCCCCTCCGTGAGCGAACAAAACCATTAGAAAAATCACCATTTTTTGACCAAAAACCCACCCTCCGTGAGCGAACAAAAATTTTTTTTTAATAGAAAAAATTTTTAATGGAAAAAAATTTTGATATATAAGTGATAATTAGTATAATGAAATCTAGAGCTAATTCTGTTTAATTTTAAACAAATTGCGTTTTAAAACATAAATTTTGCAAATTAAATTAATATTTGCTTCCCAATTTTTGCAAATTAGGATTTTTTTAAATTTCGAAAAAAATATTTTTTTTATAAAATTTATATATAAATTTTTTTTTAAAAAATAAATTAACCCCCCTCCGTGAGTGAACAAAATTTTTTTTTCGCTCACGGAGGGGGGGGGGGGAGTAAGGAGCATTTTTGGTCAGCCAAATTTAAATTTATCTTCCAAATCATATAGCTTGCCAATTAACTGGGCAAAGCCATCATTAGTGTGTTATTTATCGTAAATTAGCATATAATTTTTTTTTTTTAAGTATAAATTCAAAAATTAATTTTGCTTAAGCAGTATTCTAATATATTCCCCATTTGAAATAAAGCAAATTATCGGTAAATTTTGTTTGTAGATATTAGTGTGGTATCACAGCAATTTGTTTTAAATTATTATTATTTTTACTTATAAAATTAAATCTTGTCTAATTTAAAGGGATCAAACTGATATTTTGCACTAATTCAAAGGAAACTAGTTTTTTTTAAATACCTTATGAAACATTTAACCAATAATTATCTAATATGACAGAACATTATTTTAGCGACTTGAGATCTATATTCCTTTTAAAATTCTTCTCAATTCCCTACGTTTTGGCGCTATGCTCGCCAAATTGCTACTGATATTCTGTAAATTCTAATCAGATCGGTGATGGGTATTGTGATACCAGCTGTATGACACAAGGCTGCAGCTTTGACGGAGGTGACTGTGAATGATATTGCTCTTATTATACTAATTGCACTCTAGCAAGTAACGGAGTCTGCGATTCTTCATGCAATTCAGCTTACTGTGGTTTTGATCATGGAGATTGTGGATACTGCTCAAATGGCTGCACTTTAGAATTTCTTGAAGATTCAGTCTGCCACTCAGAATGTAATAATTATTCGTGCAATTTCAGCAATTTTACCTGTGTAAGCTTTATTTAGGAATGCAGTCCAGGCTGCACGAAGTCTATGCTCGAAAATGGAATATGTGATTGGGCTTGTATGAATTATAATTGTCAATATGATTGAGACAGCTGCTGAAATTCGACATGCAGTCCAGGATGTACTGGGAGTTTAATGACAAATTTTTGATGTGACCAACAATGTAACACAGCTGACTGTTTATATGATAATGGATACTGTTTATGCGCTCCAGGGTGCTACCCAGACTTATTAGAAAATTCTAAATGTGATTCTGTCTGTGCATATAAATCATGCAATTATGATAATCATTTATGTGGGGATTGTGCTGCTAATTGCTTCAACTCTATGATAAACAATGGAATTTGCGATAGTGAATGCAATAACGAAGACTGTGGATTTGATGGAAATGACTGTCCATCGTGTGCTCCAGGCTGCCATCTGGCTGAACTTGGGACTTGTAAGCCAGAATGTTTAGTTTTAGACTGTGATTTTGACCCGAGCTGCTATAGTGTAAATCTTAATCTTAATGCATTATATGCTCAAAAGATTATGCATGATTGAAATTATCCACTCAATACCCCTAATAATTGCTATAAAAATCATGGTTGCTATTTGAGCTATTATAAGTGGAGCTGATCTTGTGACTACTCTTGCAATTATGATGATTGCTTTTATGACTATTTTCGATGCTATTCAGATTCTTGCCCTGATCCAAATTGTCCTTTTTGCCTTGCTTCAAATCTAAAAATTTGCAAATTGTGCTCAAATATTCAATTTTATGGATTTTGTATTGATAATTGTCCGAGATATTATACGAATTATTATCATTCAAAATTAAATATACAGCTGTGTATCCCAATTTCAGATGGGAGCACAGAAGAAGTCCCAGATGAAAGTTTTATAAGTGCAGAGAATGTAGAGCAAGGGGATGGCTCAATAGATAATCCATATAGTTCGCTGTCTTATGGATTTGCACAATTAGCATGAAAGTATTCAGTTGTCTATTTAATGAAAGGCAAACATAACTTAACGATTGTTGTCGATGATAAATATTTGTTTGAGGCAACGACTTCAAGGCCCTTATTTCGAGAGTCTGCTAACTCCCCCAGGGGTTAATATTTTTTTAAAAATTTATAAAAAATCAAATTTGTAATTATTGAAAAGCAAAAATTAATTTAATTTGCGAATTTATGCTTTAAAATGCAAGTTGTTCAAAAATTACCAGAACTAGCTAGTGATTTCATTATATTAATTATTATTTATATATCAAATTTTTACTTACTCCCCCCCCCCCCCCCCGTGAGAGCGAACAAAAAAATTTTGTTCGCTCACGGAGGGGGGTTAATTTTTTTTTTTTAAAAAAAATTTATATATATAAATTTTTATAAAAAATATTTTTTTCGAAATTTAAAAAAAATCCTAATTTGCAAAAATTGGGAAGCAAATATTAATTTAATTTGCAAAATTTATGTTTTAAAACGCAATTTGTTTAAAATTAAACAGAATTAGCTCTAGATTTCATTATACTAATTATCACTTATATATCAAAATTTTTTTCCATTAAAATTTTTCTATTAAAAAAATTTTTGTTCACTCACGGAGGGTGGGTTTTTGGTCAAAAAATGGCGATTTTTCTAATGGTTTTGTTCGCTCACGGAGGGGGGGGGGGGGAGTTAATAAAATTTTTCTATTAAAAATTTTTTTATCGCTGACGGAGGGTGGGTTTTTGGGCAAAAAAATAGGGGATTTTTCTTATTATGGTTTTGTTCGCTCATGGAAGGGAGTAAGCAAATTAAAATTATTGTAAAGCCTTTATATTGCTCGATTTATAATCACACCAGCTGTGTCGATGATAATGATAAAATCACTATTTTGGTTGATACATACCCAATAACACTTGACATACAAACTGATGTAACTTTTGAAAACATTATTTTTGATGGAAGCACAAAGTTTAGTCCTTATTGCTCTGACTGCGATTATTGCAAGAAATTAACTATTAGTAGTGAGAAAATTACTGATGATCATGGTAATATACTTAATTCTAGTTCTTATGTCCCACAATCCACTTGTACTCAATTCAATAGTGTCAACTTTTTTGAAATTAATTCAAATGGAATTTTAAATTTGAAAGTAATTTTTATATTAGATTGTGGAAATTAAAAACTTCAGGCAACAATACAACTCAATTATTACATTAAATGGAGGAATTTTGAATATGAGCCTCGTTAATTTCTACAATATAATGGCTAATCCCCAAAGCGGAGTCATTATATCGAATTCATGCAACTCAAACTATTGTGGAGAAATTCATTTTATCAATAGCTCCGTTTCTTTGCTAAATAATGGATATGAAATTAATAATGGTCTTGAATTGGCTGGATTTATGGTACTCAACCAAATAAATTATGTGGAAATAGAAAATATTACAGCTGAGTATAACTTAGTAAATAACAATGATCCTGAATTGTCAAAAAATGCTATGTTTACATTTAACCAAATTTTGAACTTCACTCTTCTAAACTCAATTTTCGAGTACAACTTTAATTATGATGGCTTTTTCTATATTAACCAGTATCAAATGGACATGCCACTAAAAATTGATAATAACAGCCAGCCAATTTATGAGAATTTGATAAATATTCGTATAGAAAATGTGCTTTTCCAGAACAACAGTGCCTCTAGATCATCATTTTTGATTCTCCAATATAATAAGGATCTTCAAAATATCTTAATAAATAACTGCACTTTTCTAAATAATTTTTCAGAAGACGATGGAGTTATAAGAATTTCTTACAAAGGCAACCTTATTCAAGAATTCATTAGTGGAGATTGAGCAATTATTACATTGGATTCAGGCAAAAAACTAAAAGTAGTCTATCCTCCAAAAACAATAATTTTTAAATACTTGAATTTTACTAAAAACTCTTTTGGAGGGCAAGGAATTTTTTTATCCAGCCTTCCAAATCTTTCTATTCTAAACTCAACTTGAAATACAAATGGAGACAATTTAAACGAAGATATTAACACTGTGACTATTAACTATTTGAAAAGCTTGGGCTATCTTTATATAAATTCATCAGTAGTCTCTTCATTGCCAAGCTGTTATTCAGTTATATCAACTGCTAGCATAAATAATTTTATCTTTGATTACAACACTATTTATAAGAGTTATTGTGCAAAAAACAATGCAGGATTAATCTTATCAAGCTGTATAAATCAAACAGTAGTTCAAAATTCTTTTTTTATCGAAAATCAATCAAGTGGGAATAGCATTGCTTTGGCTGCAACTATGTCCACAGCGCTCATTTTAAGGAACCTGACTTTTAAAGATAATTCTTTTTATAACGGAATTGGAAATTCAGTTGCATCTTTAAGCTCTTCTACATCTAAAAGCAGCTTTATATTTAAAAACTGCAGTTTTATTGGAGGAGAAACATCATTATCTGCCAATTCTGTACAAAATCTCATAGTAGAAGATTGCATTATAGATTCAGTTACTAGCTCTCTTTACAGCACACTAATTTTTTATGGTAGAAACTGAATAAATTCTACTATTTCGTTTAAAAACTGTGAAATTAAGAATAATAATCCTGATCTAGGCCATATCTCTTTTACTTCAACTGAAACTGTGTCATCTATTTCTGTATATATGAGTGATATGACTTTCTCAAACAATATTGGGGGCAAGAATATTATTTTTATTGATAAAATGATTATTTTAGACTCTTCAAGCCAAATCATTTATTCCAATTTTACTAATAATGAAGCAACTTCAATATATGCGAGAATGCAATCTGGAATTCTTACTATAGACTCATGCATTTTTGATTCAAATTCTGCTAGCTATGCTGCAGTTTTAAACATAGATCACCCAACTCCAGCTGAAACACATTTTTCAAATAGCAAAATAATTTCAAATAGAGGTAGCAATATTTTGTATATAAATGGAAATTCTGATATTACTCAATTGTCTACTTCATATCTGTACTTTTATAATAATACGAATAATGCGGCTATTATAGCTAAAGGAAAATGAATTGATGAATATTCATATTTTTATCAAAATTCAGCAATACAAGGAGGATCATTGATTATTAAAGATAAATCAGCTGTCAGCTTGAAAAATACTGTTTTTAAAGAAAATTTTGCAAACTCTGATGGTGGAGCGATTTATATGTCAGGAGCTTCAAATATAACTTGCGATAATTGTACGATTTTTAACTTAACTTAACTTAGTGTCTGTATTTAAGGTGTCTAGTGCCGCACCCCATAAAAATGGAGTTATAGCGAAAAATTGATGACGTCGCCGGGCCATCTTGGAATCGCGATGGTTAGCCCACCGGCCAAGCCTTCACCTGCACTTCGCCCTTCTTCGCCGCACGTCTCACCCGGCGCGTTGCCGTCGCCCTTGCCTCGACTCAGCTCCTGCGCGTGTTCCGCCTAAGGGTCATCCTCCCGTGGGGATGTGCTGAGAGGTAAAACTCCGAAATCTTGAGCGCACTGAGGAGCTGTTCCTTTGGTTATCCCCAAAGTTAAACAGCTATTGCTGTGCAGAAGTTCTCGAGAGAAAACCCAACCCCATAAATAAAATTCCATGAGGGAGAGAAAATTAGCAAAGCTAATTTCTCTCGAACCGAATGCCATTTTATTTATGTACGATTTTTAACAATACTTCTAATCATGATGGTGGAGGACTTGCAATTGAGCAGAATTCTATTTTTATATTCAATAATTCAGTTTTTTCTGACTCTCCTCGTTTGTTATAAAAATAAACCAAAAACTTTTGATTAATAATATATGCAATGTTTTAATATTTTTTCAAGAGCCATCTTGAATTATGATTAATATTATTAAAGACAGGCACTAGCAATATTGGTTATGCAGCCACCAAAGGCATTCCATACGGGAGGTTTATTCGCTTTATTACAAACTGCCCAGTAGGTCAAGTCATTACCAGTAAGGGTCCGAAGTATTGCTAAGCACCTCCATTTCCAACTACAGGAGAGCAGCCAAAACCTACCCAGATACGCATTTGCTGAGGTTGCACTTGCTTCTCAGCTTGGATCCGTTCCAGCTTATCGTAGTCTTAAGTTTTTGACTGCCGTATTAAAGTGTAGCATTTTAATGTATGACTTAAGTTATACGAAATTCAATTTAAAATTTTTAAAAAAAATTATTTAAATGCATTTTGAATTGATCTCGATTTTTCAAAGGATAAAAATTTGCAAAAAAATATATGAAATTTTGGAACTTTAATTTGAAATCCTTACTCCCTCGTGAGCGATCAAAAACCATTGGAAGGCTCTCTGTTTTTGCCCAAATCCCTAGGTGAGTAAACAAAAAATTTTTTATGAAAAATATTTTTATATAAATGTGATAATTATTATAATGAAATCTGCAGCTAATTCTGTTTAATTTTAAACAGCTTGCGTTTTAAAACACAGATTTTACAAATTAAAATAATATTCCTTTCGATTTTTGAGAATTGGGATTTTTAAAAAATAAGTTTTACTATAAAATTTCTATACAATTTTTTTTTAAAAAAATTTAACTCTCTTTAAAAATTGTTTAAGGAAAGTTAGAAAATTATTTAATAAGCTAAAAAATAATATAAATAAGAACAATTGAATTGATATTTATTTTAAGAGTAAGAATCAATGCGAACTAAGAGGATCAGCCATTTCAATTCTCAACTCCGAAATTTCCTATTCCTATCTTATTAACACAGAAATTTCATATAATAATGCTGGCTCTTTCGCTTCAATATTATCAGACAGCGGCTTTTTTTCATTAATCAATTGTTCAGTTTTTAATAATATCGGCATTACAAATTCAGGAATTTTTATGATATATTCTACTTGCAATATTTCTGAAACATCATTTTCAAATCACACAGGAGCTAGTGGAAGTGACATCTCTATAAATATTGAATCAAGTTTATTTATATATAACTCTGATTTTTATAATTCTCATTCTATTAGCTCAGGAGGAAGCATCTCAATCACTGATGGCTCTTTAGTGTGCGAAAATTGCAATTTTAAAAATACAAAATCACTTGCTGGTGGGACTCTTCAATGCTCCTCTGGAAGTACATGCAAAATTATAGAGTATTCATCCTTTTAGCTCACCGTAGGATTGGCTTCAGCTTGACAGATTAATCTGAAACCTCCTCCACTTCTATACAAAAGGGATGGATTTGTCAAATTCTGTTTAGACTCTACCAAAGGGGTAGGAGTTGTCAGATTTTATTAGACAGGCTTGAGATGGTCACAATGGAAATCAACCTGCATTCTGTCGGTATAAGGATTCTTCTATTATCGGTAGCCATTCATCATCGATTGGCGGCATCATTTATATATTTGACAGCACTTTTAGCATCATTAATACTAAAATCCAATCATATGAAGGCTCTGCAATTAAATCAAGTAAATCTCAATCTATTGAGATAATTGATTCAGAATTTAGCAATGGACTTAATAGCATTGGTGCAGCTTTGAATTTTTTAGATTGTATAAATGTAACAATAATCCGTACTCAATTCAAAAATTTATTGGCATCTACTGGTGGTGCTATAAAATTTGACCAGACAGCTGTTACTTTATCAGATTGTAGTGCTAATATTGAAAGCTCGGTTTTTCAAAATTGCAGATCTCTGTATGGAGGATCTATTTACTCGAATAATATAAATATCAATATTAATGACTGCCAATTTTTAAATAACTCAGCAAGTGATTTAGGTGCAAATAGTCAATGCGCAGAAGGGGAAGGTGGAGCTTTATATTTGACGTCAACATCTCAAGTCAGCATTTCTATTAAAAATTCAGGTTTTTTTGAAAATGCAGCATGCTTAAGTGGCGGCGCAATGAAATGGTATTTTTCTCAGCCAATAATATCAAATTTATCATTTTCAAATAACTCAGCATTATATGGAAACAATTTAGCTTCATTTCCTTTGAATTTGCAAGTTTTAAACTATAAAAGAAGGCTTGAAGTTCAAGTGCCATCAGCTCCAGGACAATATTTGGCAACTCCTTTAATTGTAGGTATAATGGATCATTATAATCAAACAGTTCTTACAGAAAATGGAAGTACTTGTCAATTAGAAGTTACTGATAGCTCTAATTATTTTTTGTCAGGAAAAATTAAAGTGCAAGCATTATCAGGGATTTATAATTTTAGTGAGGTCATTGTAAGTGGAGATCCTGGAAGTACAGTAGGATTTTCTTTTTCTTCGTCAATTATTTCAAGCAACACTTCAGAAGATTCGCTCTATTTTAAGCTAACTCCCTCTCCATTAGCGAACAAAACCATTGGAAAATCACATTTTTGGGTAAAAACCCACGTCAGCGGTGAACAATAAATTTTTTATGAAAAATATTTTGAGATCTAAGCAATAGTTATTATTGAAATCTAGCTAATTCCGTTTAATTTTAAACAGTTGAATTTTAAAAACATAAATTTAACAAATTAAATTAATGTTTGCTTTAAGAAAAAATATTATTAATTTTTTAAAACCCCTTCTTAAGTGAACAATGCTTTTTATCGCTAACGGAGGAGGGAAGTAAGAGAATGCGAGGTTGGTGAAGTTTCTGCATCTAAGAGTTGCCAAATTTGTGAGGCTGGGACTTATAATCTGATTGCAGGTGAGCCTTGTAAAGATTGCCCAACATCTGCTAAATGCTATGGGAAAAATAATATTTTTCCTAAGCCAGGATATTGGAGAGTAAGTAATTTGACTGATAATTTTTTGAAATGCCCAAATTCAAATGCATGCCTTGGTGGGATTAGTGCAAATAATTCAATAGGAGATTGCAAAAAAGGCTATTACGGAAATTTGTGCCAGTCTTGCATGGAAGGTTATTCGAGAAATGGAGAAGATGTCTGCTCTAAATGTCCGAATTTAACCATAAACTCTTTGATATTGACTGGAATGACTGCTTTAGCTCTAACAATTGTTGTTATTATGACAATATCTTCTTTTAAATTAGCTTATAGACAGAAATCACTTACATCAGTTTATTTCAAAATATTTATGAACTATTTGCAGCTTGTCGTCATTACATCTTCATTCAATTTAAATTGGCCTCAGCTTGTTCTTCAATTATTTGCAATTCAAAATTCTGCAGGGAGTATGACTGATCAGATATTTTCTGTCGATTGCTTTTTACAAGGACCAAAAACAAAACCATTTTTTTCGAAATTGATCTTTATGGCTTTGCTGCCTTTATTTTTGGCTCTTATAACTATGATTTTTTGGACTGTTTATTATTTGTTTGTTAAGGATAGAAAATATCTCAAGAATAAATTTATAGGTTCTTTAGTTGTCCAATTATTTTTAATACAACCCTCGCTTGTGAGGTACAACTTTTCTGCTTTTAACTGCATGGAAATAGAACCTGGCTCTTATTATCTTAAATCAGACTTGATAATTCAGTGCTGGGATAGTGAGCATACCCTTTATTCTATAACTGTTGCGTTACCAAGTATTTTAATTTGGTGCATAGCGATTCCTGCTTTATGTTTGTGGCATATACATTTACAAAGAGATCGCCTAAATACTATAGAACTAAAGCTGCAGTTTGGCTTTTTATATCTTGGCTTTAGAGATAAAACTCATTATTGGGAATTTATAATTCTTTATAGAAAGATTCTTATTATTTGCTGCTCAGTTTTTCTTGGATCAATATCCATTCGAGTTCAAGCCTTGACTGTTTTCTTTTTCGTGCTTTTGTTCTTTTTCTTCCATCAAAGAATTACGCCTTATAAAACAGAGCAGCTTAATTCTCTAGAAAAAAAATCTATATTAGTGTCGGGGATCACTATTTATTGTGGCTTATACTATTTAACTGAAGAATTGGCATACTCATCAAGAGTGATTCTTTTTGTTATCATTGTTTCAATTAACCTATTTTTTATGGCACAATGAATGTCAAGTATGACTGGAATAGGACTCTGAATTTTGTACTCAAAATTTAGATGGCTAAGGGTTTTAATGCATGGGACAAGAATGGAAGAATGGCTCAAAAACCTCTCATCTATTAATATAACTGAAAATGAGCTAGATTTAGAAAAAAATGCAAATCTAAATGAAATTCAAAAAGGGGAAGACTTAAAGAATTGACGAAAATTAAAAATCAAGCAAATTCATAATTCTCCAGAGGCATCAATAGCTGGAAGCAGCGCAGAATATGAAAATTGTATCGATAAAGACAGCTTAACAATTCCACAAGAAGCAGATAAACCTTCAAAGCCAAAACTAGTGAGGTCTCCTACTTTAAAAGAAATTGAGTAGGATTTTGACTAGCAAAAATAATTTGTAAAACATTTTAATAAAAAGATGGATTTTAAAAATTTCAAAAATTATGTGAGAATTTGATTCAAATGAAATATAAAATTGTTTGAATTGTGATAGAAAATGAGATATATATTGAGTAAGAGCAATAAAAAGCTCTTTTTCTATGGTATAAATACTTTATTGATATACAAATAATGAAATCAAATTATCTCATATATGTTAGCTATGTATTAGCCATGTAAACCTAAATATGCTATAATTGAAACTGGGATCATTTAATATCTCGGTTTCCATGGGCTGATAAAAAATTTTTAACAGAATTATAATAAAAAAAATTATAACTCCAGAATTTAATCATACACGCACAAATAAAAGATCTAAATGAATTTTTAATTATAATTTAAAATGCAGATTTTTTATTCCTTGAATTTGATCTTTAACTCTTTCAATTACTGGCAAAATATTTTTATTTGCTATATTAGATATGACATCAAATACTTTTAAAATAATTATATGCATATTATTCAAAGCAATTCATTAAAATCAATTTTTAGAATAAAACAAAATTTACTTTAAATTATCGCTTTGAAATCATAGCCAAATTAATATATATTTAAAATGCATAAAAATTTAAAATAAAACTATTTTATTAATATACTTTTTAATTTTTTACTATATACCAGCATAGTAAGAATTTTTTTGAATTACACTATATACTGACACTTTTATTTTTTGAAATTATATGTGTTAAAAGCCTTTAGATATATAAAGATCTAGGATAAATTGAGTCTACCTTATCAAAAAGCTTTTTCAAATATGATGTTGATACAAAAATAAAAAAAAACACTATAGAAATTTAATTTTTTATTTCCTCAGACAGCCATATGGTAATATGAGATCATAAAATTAAATTTCGATTTTTAAGCCTTACCTTCTAAATTAAACTGTTTGTATCCATTATATTTTGCTTATTATCTTATATATTCAAATTATTTTAATTAGTAATTTATTAAACAAAGCATGCATTACTGATAATAAGTTAATCATTGACAAGCGAAATTCTAGTCTTAATACTCCGTTTTATTTTGCAGTTATTTTTTTATAACCAGATATTTAGGTTACCACCATAATAGGATTATAATAATTTCTCAAATTATGACAGAAAGTCAATTTTTTAGCTTCAAAACTGTTCTGCTCGGTATTTTCTCACTTTCAGGTGCTTTGGCTTTGTGCTCTCTAGATTGTCCATCCTCTTCAGTAAATTTTAATTAGATTGGAGATGGGCGATGCGACCTCAGTTGTATGAACAAAGGCTGTGATTTCGACGGAGGAGACTGCGAATCTTATTGTTCTGATACAACTGGCTGTGCCTTAAAAAGCAACGAAGTCTGTGATTCCTCATGCAATTCGGCTTACTGTGGTTTTGATCATGGAGATTGTGGTTACTGCTCAAATGGCTGCACATTAGAATTTCTTCAAGATTCAGTCTGTCACTCAGAATGCAATAATTATTTGTGCAATTTTAATAATTATTTCTGTGTAAGTTTTATATAGGAATGCAACCAAGGATGTGAACGCTCCATGATGGCTAATGGAGTCTGTGATTGGGCCTGCATGAACTTCTTTTGCCAATATGACGGTGGAGATTGCTGAGATTCATCATGTAGCCCTGGATGCAATGGGGGTTTATTGGTAAACTATCAGTGCGATCCCGAATGTAATACAGTTAGCTGCTTTTATGATAACGGTGACTGTTTATGTGCTCCAGGATGCTATCCAGACCTATTAGAAAACTCAAAATGTGATTCTGCGTGCTCAGCTAAGTCCTGCAACTATGATAATCATTCATGTGGAGATTGCGCTATTAATTGTTTTAATACTATGATAAATGATGGAGTTTGCAATGTCGAATGCAATAATGAAGCCTGTGGATTTGACGGAAATGACTGCAAGTCATGCGCTTCAGGCTGCCTTCTATCCGAACTTGGGCGTTGCAAGCCAGAGTGTCTTGTTTTAGATTGTGATTTTGACCCTCTCTGCTCAAATATGTCAATCTTGAGAGCATCGAATTATGCTCAAATTGCTATGCTCGACTTTAATTACCCAGTCAATTCTCCTAACTCTTGTTATAAAAATCATGGCTGCGAATTAGATTACAATCTTTTTAATTTTGTTTGCAATAGCTCCTGTAATTATGAAGACTGCTTTTATCACTATTTTCAATGCTATTGGCCACTTTGCAATGATCCAAAATGCTTATTATGTGTCTCTGTAAACCCAAAATTGTGCATTTACTGTAATAGCATACAGCTTTATGGATATTGTGTAGACAGTTGACCATAATAACAAAATGTCAACATTTGGAAATGGCTATCTCTAGACACACTTGTCCAAGATATTTTACACTTTATGCTTATTCAAAACTCCAAACGCTAATGTGTGTCCCAGTTGCTGATGGAAGTACTGCAGAAGTCCAAGACGAGAGTTTTATAAGTGCTGACAACGTTGCTCAAGGAGATGGCTCAATTGAATATCCTTATAATTCGCTGTCTTATGGGCTGTCACAATTAGCATGGAAATATTCAGTTGTTTACTTAATGAAAGGTACACATAATTTAACGTTGGTTGTGGATGATGACTATTTATATGATGCAACTGCTTCTAGACCTTTATACCGGAAAACAAATAAGCTGATTAAAATTACTGTAAAACCTTTATATTGCTCAATTTATAATCATACTGGATGTTTAGATGATGATGAGAAAGTCACTCTTGTAGTCGATACTAACCCAATAACACTTGACGTTTTAACTGATGTAACTTTCGAAAACATCATATTTGATGGGAGCACAAAGTTTAGTCCTTATTGTTCTGACTGTGATTATTGTAAGAAAACAACTGAGAGTGGTGGAGAAATTTATGATGATCATGGGAATACTTTAGATTCTAATTCTTATGTCCCTCAATCTACTTGTGATAAATTTCAAAGCACCAACTTCTTTATAATTGGATCAAATGCAATTTTACATTTAAATGTAATTTTTATTTTAGAATGTTGAGATTAAGAACTTCAGACAACAATACAACTCAATTATTACTCTAAATGGAGGAATTTTGAATATGAATTCAGTAGATTTTTACAATATCATGAGCAAACCACAAAGTGGAATCATTTTATCAAATTCTTGCAACTCAAATTATTGTGGAGAGATACATTTTAAAAATAGTTCGGTTTCTTCGCTTAACAATGGATATGAAATTAATGATGATATCGACTTATCTGGATTTATGGTGCTCAACAAAATAAATTATGTAGAAATGGATAATATTACGTTTGAGAATAATTTGGTGAACAATATTGATCCTGAAGATTCTTATCTTATCTTATAAAAATTTATACGCTTAACGTCCACTACGGGGATGACAACCCCCAGGTACAGCCACTCGCCTCCGTCGCATCGGCTTTGATCACCAAGGTGCTTCTCGGGAAAGTGTTCCGGCTTCGACGGCTCATGAATGAGCTACTTGCTTGTTACATGGGTTGCTTTTTCCGAAAAACCCAAAAAATGGATTTTTCTGAACAGCTGTCGGCAAAAAGGAAAAGCACGTAGCCTGGGACGTAACGCCCAGTTTCACGCAAGGGAGTTGCCCGATTGGTCCTAACGGACTCTGCTGAGCTTCCCCTTTCCAACTCCGTGCCCTCCTTCCCCACGAGGAAAAATCCACCCTGAGAATAGGCTCTGCACACAACCAGAATTGCTTACCTATAGCATTGCCGTCCATCTCTAGAATGGTAAAACCTTGCCGGATATAATTAAAATATGAGTCGAGGCTGCATGGCCGGGAGGCCATGCCCAGACGAAGATGCCATATTTTAATTATGATCCTGAAGATTCAACAAAGGGAATGTTCACTCTCCACCAAATTTTGAATTTAACTCTCTTAAATTTAGTATTACAATACAATTTTAATTATGATACTTTTTTCTATATCAATCAGTATCAAATGGACATGCCTCAAATAATCGATAGCAATAAGAAGCCGATATATGAAAATTTAATTAACATTCGATTCGAAAATCTGCTTTTCAAAAATAACAGCTCTATCAAGATATTAGCTTTAATAGCTCAATATAATAACGATCTCCAAAATATCTTAATAAATAACTGCACATTTCTTAACAACTTCTCTGAAGATGATGGGATTATTAGCATCTCATATAAAGGAAATCTGAATAAAGAGTTCATCAGTGGAGATTCAAGAGTCATTACATTAGACTCTGGTAAAAAAATAATAGTAGATTTTCCTCCCAGGAACATATAGGCATATCCTGTAAATAGCCCGATATGGGCTAAGGATAGAAGCCAAAACTTCCCACTCGGTTCGGCCAAAATGGATTGGTCGAACCAATGGGGAAGTTTTTGACTTCCATCCTCAGCCCATATCGTGCAATTTGCAGGATATGCCTATAACTTTGAAGGACTTGGATTTCATAAAAAACACATTTGGAGGATCACAAATTTCTCTATACAATCTACCGAATCTTTATATTATGAATTCGAATTGAAATGAGAATGGGGACAATCTAAACGAAGACGCAAACACTGTGACTATCAATTATCTCAAAAGTTTGAGTAATCTTTATATAAACAGCACCCTATCGTATAATTTCCCTAGCTGTTCATCGGTTATAGCAACAACAAATTCAAACAATTTTATTTTTGATTACAATACAATTTATGGTAGTTATTGCACTAGCAATAATGCAGGACTAGTCTTATCAAGCTGTATAAATGAAACATTAGTTCAAAATTCTGTGTTTTCTGAGAATAAATCAAGCGGGAATTCTATTGCTTTGGAGGCAATTATGTCCTCTGCACTTTTGTTAAAGAATTTGACATTTGAAAATAATTATTTTTATAACAGTGTTGGCACGTCAGTTGTAAAATTGAGCTCTTTAGCTTCTATAAGTGATTTTAAGCTGGTTAACTGTAGCTTTCTTGGTGGTGAAACTTCTATATATGCAAACTCTGTCCAAAACATCATGCTAGAAAACTGCACTGTTGATTCAGTATCCAACTCTCTTTACAGTACTCTAGTTTTCTTACTCCCCCCTCTGTGAGTGAACAAAAAAATTTTGTTCACTCGGGGGTTAATTTAATTTTTTTTAAAAAAATTATATAGAAATTTTATAGAAAATTGTTTTTTGAAATTTAAAAAAATCCTAATTCGCAAAAATTGGAAAGTAAATATTAATTTAATTTATAAATTTTATGTTTTAAAGAGCAATTTGTTTAAAATTAAACAGAATTAGCTCTAGATTTCATTATACTAATTATCACTTATATATCAAAATTTTTTCCATAAAAAAATTTTTGTTAGCTCACAGAGGGTGGGTTTTTGGGCAAAAAATAGAGATTTTTCTAATGGTTTTTGTTCACTTACGGAGGTGGGGAGTTAGGGAAAGAAAAAATTAAGTCAACTATTTCGCTGAAAAATTGCGAAATAAAAAATAATAGTCCAAAGCTGGTGCATGTCTCTATTTCTTCGTCTGAAACTAAATCAATATAAATAAAATGGCATTCCGTTTGAGAGTAATATATGGAGTTTTATTGGTTTTATCTTGAGAACTTCTGCACAGCAATAAAGGTTTAGCTTCTAGTTGTAGAGGGCGAGGAAGTTGCTCCAAGTGCATTCAAGAGATTTGTGGTTTTTCACTCTGCACGCCTGAGGAAGGTGACAGGCGGAATAGGTGCAGAAGCTAGTCAGGCAAGGACGAGACTAGGTAGCAGCTTTGGCAGCTGGTTCAGCTGTTTGTTTTTTTAGAAATGGGGCCATATGAAGTATAGGCCATTTGGTGCCGAAACATAGTTTCATAAAGGGCTGTTAAGCTCTACTGTGCTGGAGACTTTAAATATTAATAATAAGAAAACTCAATCAACTGTTTTGGTGAGCATAAGTGGAATGACTGTTTCAAACAACAAGGGAGGAAAATATATAATTTTTATTGATAAATCAATTAACTTAGATTCATCAAGCCAAATTATTCATTCAACCTTCATCAATAATAAAGCGACTTCAATATATGCAAGGATGATATCTGGGATACTTTCTATCAACTCATGCATTTTTGATTCAAATTCTGCTAGCTACGCTACAATTTTAAACCTAGACCACCCAGCCCCTGCTGAAACACATTTTTCAAATAGCAAAATAATTTCAAACAGAGGCGACAATATTTTATATATAAATGGAAATTCTGATGTTACCCATTTATACACCTCATATCTATACTTTTATAATAATACCTATAATGCTATTATCATAGCTAAAGGCAACTGAATTGATGAATATTCATATTTTTATAAAAATTCAGCTACAAAGGGAGGAGCTGTAATTATTAAAGATGAGTCTTAAACTTAAATTATTTAGAATCGTCTAGATCTGCAAGAGATTACAAGCTGCACCCTAATAGGAGTTAAACTGCTGATGCCACAGGAAATTTCCTATGCCACTTCTAAGTAAATAGAGGTAAATGTCTATAACTTCTACCAGCCTCACAGGTAGTGTTGCCTCTCTCATCTTATCTTCTGAGCTGGCATGGCAATGCAAACTGAACCCTATAAATAAATTCCATGAGGGAAAGAAATTCGCAGAACTAATATCACTCGAGCCAAATGCCGTTTTATTTATATTAATATGAGTCAATTGTTAATTTAGAAAGCACAGCTTTTAAAGAAAACTCAGCAACCTCTGATGGAGGAGCTATATATATTTCAGGTTCTTCAAATATAACCTGCAATAATTGTACTATTGTTGAAAACACTTCAAAAATCGATGGTGGAGGACTTGCAGTGGACCAGAGTTCTATTTTTATCTTCAACAATTCCGTATTTTCCGAAAATAAATGCGACTATAGAGGATCAGCTGTTTCAATTCTAAATTCAGATAAATCCTATTCTTATCTAATCAATACAGAAATTTCGCATAACGGTGCTGGCTCTTTTGCATCAATTTTATCAGATAGTAGTCTCATTTCATTACAAAACTGTTCAGTTTTAAATAATTCAGGTAATACAAACCCTGGCATTTTTATGATTTATTCTGCATGCAACATTTCTGATTCCTCATTTTCAAACCATACAGGGACCAGTGGGAGTGATCTGTCTATTAATATTGATTCAAGCTTATTTGTATATAACACTTATTTCCAAAATTCTCTCGCAACCAGCTCTGCAGGAAGCATCTCTATCACAGACAGCTCTTTAATATGTGAAAAATGCAGCTTTAAAAATACAATGTCACCAGTAGGAGGGACGCTTCAGTGCACTTCTGGAAGCAGCTGCAAAATAATAAATTCCTCTATTTTAAGAAGCTATGCCTCAATCACAGGAGGCGTGATTTATATATTTGACAGCACTTTGAGCATCATTAATACTAAATTTCAAAATTACGAAGGCTCTGCAATTGATTCAAGCAAGTCCCTGACTATTGAAATCCTTGATTCTACTTTTCAAGATGGAGTTAATGCCAATGGTGCAGCAATAAACTGTTTAGACTGTAAAAATGTTACAATAGTCCGATCAGATTTCAAAAATTTAACAGCGACTTATGGAGCTGGAATTAAATTTGGCCACACAACTGCGATTTCATCAAACTATGTCGCTAAGATTGAAAGCTCTATTTTTGAAAATTGTCAAGCACTATATGGAGGGGCTATTTATTCGAATAATATCAATATAGAAATTAATGACTGCAAGTTTATAAATAACTCAGCAATTGGTTTAAATCAAAACAACCAGTGCAATGAAGGTGAAGGTGGGGCTTTGTATTTAACATCTACAGTACAAATCTCAGCTTTTATTGGGAAATCGATTTTTACTGATAATAGTGCCTGCTTAAGTGGTGGCGCAATACAATGATATTTGTCCCAGCCAATAATATCCAACTTGTCATTTTTGGATAATTCTGCATTATATGGAGATGATTTGGCTTCATTCCCTCTCAGTTTAAAAGTTTTAAGTTATAGAAGAAGACTTGATGTACAAGTGCCATCAGCTCCAGGACAGTATTTATCGAGTCCCTTAATTGTAGGTATAATAGATCATTATGGTCAAACAGTTCTGACAGAAAGCACAAGTACATGCCAGCTAGAGGTTACTGATAGCTCTAATTATTCTTTATCAGGAAAAATCAAAGTGCAAGCATCATCAGGAATTTATAATTTTAGCGAAATTATTATAACTGGAGATCCAGGAAGTACTGTAGGGTTTTCATTTACTTCATCAATTGTTTCAAGTAGCTTATCAGATTCTTCGCTCTATTTCAAACTAAGAGAATGTGAGATTGGTGAGGCTTTAGCGACTAAAAGTTGCCAGATTTGTGCCTATGGAACCTATAATCTTGCCGCAGGCGATCCCTGCAAAGATTGCCCGGCATCTGCTAAATGTTATGGAAAAAATAATATTTTCCCTAAACAAGGCTATTGGAGAGTAAATAATTTGACTGATAATTTCTTTAAATGCCCCAATTCAGATGCATGCTTAGGTGGAATTGATACCAATAACTCAATTGGGGCTTGTAAAAAAGGCTATTATGGAAACCTATGCCAATCTTGTGAAAATGGCTACTCAAGAAATGGCGAAAATGTATGCTCAGAATGCCCGAATCCAACTACAAACTCTTTAATTATGCTTGGAATGACTGCTCTAGCTCTAATTATTGTTCTTATTATGACAAGATCTTCTTTTAAGCTGGCATATAAGACAAAATCACTTACCTCAGTTTATTTCAAAATTTTTATGAATTATATGCAGCTTGTGGTCATTACAGCTTCGTTTAATTTAAATTGGCCTCAGCTTGCTCTTGAATTATTTTCAATTCAAAATTCTGCTGGAAGTGTAACTGATCAGATATTTTCAGTTGATTGCTATTTGCAAGGACAAAGTTCAAAACCATTTTTTTCAAAATTGATGTTTATGGCTTTATTGCCTTTACTTTTGGCTATCTTAACTATGATTTTTTGGGCATGCTTTTATTTTTGCTCCAAAAACAAATTGTATCTTAAAAATAAATTTATAGGATCTTTAGTAGTCCAGCTCTTTTTAATACAACCTTCACTTGTCAAATACAATTTTTCAAATTTTAACTGCATGGAAATAGAATCTGGCTCCTATTATCTTGTATCTGACTTAGAAATTAAGTGCTGAAATTACGAACATACCCTTTATTCTCTGATAGTTGCGCTTCCAAGTATTTTGGTTTGATGCATTGCTGTTCCTGCAGTATGCCTATGGTATATACACTTGCGGAGAGACCACTTAAATACTATAGAGCTAAAACTGCAATTTGGCTTTCTATATCTCGGCTTCAGAGATGAAAATTATTATTGGGAATTTTCAATCCTCTATAGAAAAATTCTTATTATCTGCTGCTCAGTTTTTCTTGGGTCTGCATCAATTCGAATTCAAGCCCTGACTGTTTTCTTTATGCTCATTATATGCTTCTTCTTTCACAGAAAAATTCATCCTTATCGCACAAAACAGCTTAATGCATTAGAGACAAAGTCTATTTTGGTGTCAGGGATTACTATTTATTGTGGCTTATATTATTTAACAGATGAACTAGCATACTCAACAAGTTTAGTTCTTTTTATTATAATTATTGCAGTTAATTTTTATTTTTTAGGTCATTGGATTTCAAGTATGACTGGGATTGGACTCTGAATTTTGTATTCAAAAATCAGGTGGTGTAGAATTTTGATGGGTGGAACAAGAATGGAAACCTTGGTCAAAAATCTTTCTTCTATTGATTTAGGTGAAAAAGAGGCAGATTTAGAAAAAAATGATATTTCAAGGGATAGTCAAAAAAAGGAAGACTTAGTGAGCTGGAGAAAATTAAAAATAAAAGAAATTAATAATACTCCGGAAATGTCAGCTGCTAGAAGTAGCGCGGAATGTGATATCAATCCCGATAATAGCATTACATTTTTAAAAGAAGCAGAAGACCCATCGTTTTTTGTGCTTGTTCCACATCCTACAGTAAAAGAGCTTGAAAAAGAAATGGAGGATTAAATATGACTTTTAATGAAGTTAATAAAATTAAATTAACTTTTGTAATCAAAAACGAAGTTAATTCTTTTATATTGTATAAAATGTAAAGAAACTGCGAATAACGAGACCAATCGATAAAAAACTTTGTAAGATTCTTAAATTTTATATGATATATACACTTTAAAAGAGACTAATTGGATACGATCAGCATTAAGCAAAAGTTTGGATTTTCTATATCTTGGCTTCAGAGAGAAAACCTATTACAGGTAATTTTTTATTCTATATAGGAAAATTCTTATCATTTCTTGTCAGTTTTGCTAGGATCTACATCTGTCCGGATTCAAGCCTTGACTGTCTTTTTTTTACTCCTTCTTTGTTTTTTCCCGCATCGACATGCTAATCCTTATCGTCAAAGTCAGCTTAACTTAATAGATACAAAATCTATTTTAGTATCAGGAATTACTACTTATTGTGGCTTATATTACTTAACGGACGATTTGATATACCCAACAAGATATTTCTATTTATTATCATCATTTTAGTTAACATTTATTTTTTATTCCAATGGGTGTCAAGTATGACTGGTGTTGGGCTTTGAATTTTATATACAAAAGTCCAAGATGCAGGATTTTATTGAATGATACTAAAGTCGAGACTTGGGTCAAGAACCTTTCTTCTATTCGAAAGCACCTTCACTTTTTACTAATGTATGCCACTATCCTCTACTTCGCTATTAAACCCTTACTGAAGCTTCACAATAGCATGCATATGCCAATCTTTGAGGCAGCATGACAAATACATTAAAATTTCCTAATAGAGCACTGCAATAGAATACTAGTGATTTGCCATTAATTATATTATTAAAAAATATTTGATCGCATAGCATGATCATTTAAACAAATGGCAAAACTCCTAGCCGCAAACTGCAGCCGCAATCTATTCAAAATTTGCATCATAATTGCTCAATTAAAGCACTGCTTTTAATAAACCGAAGAAGGTATAAAATTTATTTATTTTTTCACCTTTGTTCGATTAAAATAAAATTATTTTTTACAGCCTGATTATTTACGTTTTATTTCATTTTTTTTCGATATCGTTATCTTTCGTTGTTCCCCTTCCTTTAATTGACTCCATTTAGTCCTCTCTCTTTCAGCTGTATGAATCATTTCAATTAACAGCTCTTTTGTCAATTCTAAAGAAATATTCGGGGGTTGTGGCCGATCCGGAAAATTTAGCTCACTATCGTCTCATGCTGACACTTTTTTCAATTGAGTTTCAATATGCAAATTTAACGCTTTAACTTCTGCCACATATGTTTGGTATTCTTCATTATATTTTTTTACCTGCTTTCTTATATAATTCCGTATATATATTTGTTTTATTTCTTCTGGAATAGACGTAGTTCCAGCTTTCTTTGACTTTTTATGTGTTTTCTTTTTTTTCGTTTTTCTCGCTGAACTTTTTTCAAAAATTTCATTTTCGGCTTCATTTCATCTTTCGACCCAAATATCGTAAAGGGTTCTTTTGATAAGGATAAATTTTTTTAACCCACGCTGAATTGTATAAAGCTACATTAAAATTACTTTTTGCTGCCACTTGAACATGGTTTTTAGCATCACAGAAGAAGTAATAGAAGATTCAAATACATTAATAATTGTGTTCAAATTTCGTTGCCTTCTGTTTTTAAGCCATCTTTTCACATGTATAAGCATATATATTCGTAAGATCTATATAATTCATACTCTATTTGCTCTAAGTCTTCTGATTTTTTTCCCTAATATAACAAATTTTCCTACACATTTCGAGATTTGCCTGAGTCTTAATCTTAATTAACATTAGAAGGCGTCTGCCGTTTTGATTATGCAGTCACCAAGGACCCCTAGGGGTTCACCTGCTTTTCGGCGCAGTCTTAACAGCTATAAAGACTGCCAAGAGAACACACGTCTACTCCTTCCCGCGTATAGCGGCTTAAGTGTTGAGTGGGCGGGCTATGGACTTCTGCGGCTTGCTGCTTGAGTTGACGGGAGTTGGCTTCTTCGAAATTCCAAAAAATGGAATTTCTGGTCACCTTTCGGCAAAAAGGGAAATTCCAAGTCCTGGGACGTAACGCCCAGTTTCACGCTAGGTAGTTGCCCGAATGGTCTAGGCATTGCCTGTAGACTCTGCTGGGCTTACCCTTTCCAAATCTAGACACCCTTTCCTCTCGAGGGTAAAATCCATTCTGGTCGTTGGACATGGGCCAGGCTCTGCTCTGCAGAATTGCTTACCATGGCATTGTTGTCCATTTCCTGAATGGCAAAACCTTGCCGGATATAATTAAAATATGAGTCGAGTATGTATGGCCGGAGGCCATACCCAGACGAAGACGCCATATTTTAATTTATGAGATTTGCCTGAGTCACTTTAAAGAAGACATTACTCTTCTTCTCAAAATAATTTTTTTCTTTAATTTATATCTCATAATCGTTGCTGAGCCAAATAAAGAAATTACAGAAATCCATGATAACCTAACTTGGAAAACTTCGTTTTTCCTCATTCTTAATTCGAATTTTTTAAATTTTTCATCAAGCCTGTCTTTTCGTTCCGTTTTAATTGATTGTAAAATGCAATATTTTGTCTGTTTAGCTATATCACCTCTTGTTTTCCTTCTTTGTGATAAAGATTTTGCTCTTTCAAGCTTTTTTCGAGGCTCATATTGCCTTAAATCTTTATTTTCTTCAATTCGCTTAGAAATAGCTTCTGAAGGTTGCTTGTGCTTTAAGAGATGGGAAATATCATAGCTAAAATTGGTTCGTTCTTGAAATCTAGCATCTCTTGAAAATTCAAATGAAGGCCCTGAATCATGGACTTCATGATTATAGCGGCCTGGGCCTAAATGAGAGCTTGTAGAGTCTGGTGGAGCTATTCTTTTTGTGCTTGGAGCAGTTACATAAGAGCTTCTAGGTCTGATATTCAAATATTGAAACTTTATTGGAGAACCCATTCGAAATGACGAAAAAGATACTTTAGATGAATTTTTTTGATGAATTGCCATTGAGCCTGGCGTCAATGCTCTTTCAAAGTGCTTGTAAAAACTGTAATCGTTATACTCAGCCATGTAATTAAACTTTCATACTTATCAACAATAAAGATTTTAATTAAATAATAGTGGGAAAAAATTCAAAAGCTTCACTTAAATCATCCTTGTAATTTTTATTATTAACTCCCCCCCCCCCTCCGTGAGCGAACAAAACCATTAGAAAAAATCGCCATTTTTTGACCAAAAACCCACCCTCCCGTGAGTGAACAAAAATTTTTTTAATAGAAAAAATTTTAATGGAAAAAAATTTTGATATATAAGTGATAATTAGTATAATGAAATCTAGAGCTAATTCTGTTTAATTTTAAACAAATTGCGTTTTAAAACATAAATTTTGCAAATTAAATTAATATTTGCTTCCCAATTTTTGCAAATTAGGATTTTTTTAAATTTCGAAAAAAAAATATTTTTTATAAAATTTATATATTAAGGAATCTTTTATAATAAAAATCAGCGCTTCTATAATATTACATAATAAAATTTCCAATAAAAAAGAAATGGAGATTGTTAAAAGAGCTCACAAGTTTTTAAACCAAGACGCTGTATATTGTACAGGAAGGAGGATGACCTATAACCATCTTCATAAGCATTCAAATGAAGTGAGTGAAAGGATCCTGAATTCCAGGCTTGATCTGAGTTCTGAAAGAATTTCATTTTTAATCCCACAAGCATATGAATATATCGCTTGCCAATGGGGAATCTGGAAATCGGGTGGAGTAGCTGTCCCTCTTTGTCCTCAGCATTCTTTGCAGGAAATGGAATATATGATAACCCAATCCAGGTCATCTCTTATCTTATGCCATAACCAGTACCTACCAAAATTGCAGCCAGTGGGTGAAAAACTCAATATACAAATTCTTCCCATTAGCAATTTTTCTGAAATAATCAGTAGCTCATTTAATGACTCTTATCGGGTTATGCGCAAAGATAGGCCAGCAATGATAGTCTATACTTCTGGGACTACAGGAAAACCAAAAGGGGTTGTTCATACCCATGAGAGTATTGAAGCACAAGTGCAAGCTTTAGTCACTTCATGGGAATGGACTTCTAGAGACCATATTCTAGAAACTTTACCTTTGCATCATGTTCATGGGATCGTTAATATATTATGCTGCGCTCTTTATTCAGGCGCTAAAATTACGATGCATCCAAAATTTGATGCTAAGCAGGTATGAAGCGAATTTTTGAAAAATGATGATTTAAATGTTTTTATGGCAGTTCCTACAATTTATTCAAAACTTCTTAACGAATGGGAGAATTTTGATGATACAGCAAAAGCGCAGCTGAGAAATTCTTTAAAGAAATTTAGATTAATGGTCTCTGGGTCTATGGCACTTACAGATTTCGTATTTAATCAATGGAAGAATATAACTGGGCACACTTTACTATACAGAAAAAAATTAAATAAAAAAAAAAAGTCCCATTATTTTTAATTTTTTGCATTCAAACTAAAAAAATATAGAAAGGTATGGAATGAGCGAAACAGGAATGATTTTATCAAACCCTCTTAATGGCCTACGCAGACCAGGATGGGTTGGAAAACCACTTCCAGGTGTTGAAGTAAAAACAACAGATGGCGAGCTCTTAGTCAGAGGCCCTGCAATTTTTAAAGAATATTTCGACAATCCTAAAGCCACTTCAGAATCTTTTGACAGCGAAAAATACTTTAAAACTGGTGACATTGTAGAAATTGACACTGAGACCCAATACTATAAAATCCTAGGCCGAGCAAGTGCTGATATCATAAAATCAGGAGGCTTCAAAATTTCAGCTCTTGATATAGAAAGAGAACTAATGGAGCATCCTAATATTGCAGAAGTCTCAATAGTGGGAGTTCCTGATGAAGAATATGGCCAAATTATAGGAATGATTTATAAAAGCAAAAATAACGTGGAATTTAAACTTGAAGAGCTGCAAAAATGGTGCAGAGAAAGACTAGCTCCATATAAACTGCCTAGAGTTCTTATAAAAGTCAATGAAATTCCAAGAAACCAAATGGGGAAAATCAATAAAAAAGAGCTTTTGCATTTGTTTAAGAAGTAAACTATTTATTAGTAAATGGATTTTCTGTCTCTTCAACTTGGTCTGGCATTATTGCAGTTATCATTTGGCCTCTCACAATTACAATGCCGAGCTCACGGGTATTTCCATTGTAGTCTTCGACAGTATCTTCTAATACGACATTAGGAATTTTGTCATATGAACCTAAAATACCTGTAAGCTCTCTTCCTCCGACCAAACTTACCCTGATTTTTGTTTTGTAATATTCAGAGAGATCAATTATGGTTTCTTTTTTCAGCTCTTCTCCCATAATTTATATAAAACATTATTATTTTATTAGTGATTTGACAGAGAAGTCGTGGTTTTTTCGAATTTTTCTGAAAATTTGTATAAGCAGCCCAGGCAATATTGAGCGCATGAGGTATAAGGCTTTGAGTCTTCTAGTAAAAAATATTTTCAATAAAGGCCTTTAATTATTAAAGCCTCGGTTGTTTCTTTTGCTTTTTGTGTTTCAGAATTGATAAAAAGTCTTCTATAGCCTAAAGTCCATCTGCAATAAAACTCTTTTCAATACTGCAATTTTAGCGATTTTATATAAAAATTTAGCTAATATTTTCAATAAATAATCATTTTAGTTTATAAAATATTAATAAATTTGAATTAAACAATCTTAAATTATTATATTTAAAAGTCTAATAACATTGATAAGTTAAAATTCTTTCCTAAAAGATGTGGCTTTCTTTTCCTTTCAATATAAAAAGCAATCCCATACTGATAAAATTTCTAATCTTTCTCGATTTTCTTGATAGTGCATTAAATTCTTCAAATTCTGCAGTCAAAATCGAGATTAGAAAGTTATATGCAAATTTAGCATACATTTATCGAAAAAAAGGTATCAGATAGATTGTATTGAAAATGATGAAGAAATTGAGTTTATCGCTCATTCTCAATTGAAATGCAATAAAAGATTTGTTTTCATTTATAATCGAAAGATACTTAGCCGTAAAACATTTTTTTGTTCATTTAAGGAGGGGAAGGTGAGGAAATAATGATTTTTCTAATTCAATTATATCTATTCCCTTATGTTCATAAGCATTGCAACTTGTTTTCTATCAGCTGCAAAATAAACGAGGCAATGCTATCGTCACTAATACCTGCCAGAGGAGTATCGCTTCCATTCTTTATATTTTGCACATAAATTATGCAATTTTTATAAAAATTCAGCTTTTTTATAGACTTTCGAAAAGGCACAAGATGAATCATTTTTTAGGATACTAATGCATCTATAAGATACAGTGGAAAGCACTAATATTTCTTTATTTGCTAGCCTGATCAGTATATACTTATCATTATATGCAAATTTGATTCATTTGATAATTGATTGAAAGTTTACAAATTTATATATAATTTTCCATAAATTTATTCACCAAAGCAATGCATTCAGAATCTATGGATTGACTTATCATAAGTCTTTTGTTCTTGGATTGATAAAAGCTCACAACTTTTTCTTTTTGGCCTTCTAATTTCTTTCAGCTTCTTAATTATAATCGACAACGAATATAAAATTTTTAAATTCATTGTATGATGCTAAAACATTTTCTTTTATTTCAATAGGGTGTAAATTAAATGGTGCATGACTTTAAAGTTAAGCTTCAATTTGTAGTTTTCCATTCTTTATTGATTTTATACACATCCAATGTATAGATATATCATGGATTCATAAATCAATTATTTCGTTTTCATTTCTTATAAGAATGCTATCAGATTTGTAATTTATTCTCAATATGCCATTGAATGGCCATTATGAAATCACGCTGATGCGAAATTTCGACAAGTTTGCTTTATTGTAATATTTTCAGAAATATATTCTTTTTATGTTAAATCTCTTAATCTTTAGAGAATTTTTATTTGCTATAACGATAGTTGACTTTATTTCACAAATTTTTAAAGTATGGATTTAAATTTTCTTTATAAGTCATCAACAAGCTCTTGGCTTTAAAATCTCATATTTTTAGATCTTCGGAAATTGTAAGCATATATCTCTCTCGTATTTGTTACCTTTAGTGATTTGAGATATTTTCATGAATTATTGTAGAGCTCTGAGATTTTAAATTTCATATAATAACACTATTGCCATCACCAAAAAGTAATGTCTGTCAGCAAACTTTAAAATAAATTCTTTTGAAAGGTCATAAAAGTTATGTTCTCAAGACGTTGTTTGAATTAAGCCAAAAATAACTATTTTACTTTTGAATCTAACAGCCAAAAAATTACAATTTGAATTTATCCTTTAATCTCAAGTAATATCTACCAAAGCAATTCTATTTTTCAATTCATAAAGTGTCTATTTTTAATATTTGAATCTCCTTGCCTTCTTGAACTGAGGTGATTTTAAGAAAATAATTTTTATTTCAATTATCAGCAAAGCAAATCCTTTTCATCTCTTTTTTTGCTCAAAAACTGATTCATATGGTATTTCTTCTCATTCATCGCCAATTATGCCATATTTCAAAATTTTTATTGAGCCTAATAAAGTGGCAAATAACTTTCCTTTATGTCCTTGATAGAGTTTATTGCATTAGGAAAAGATTATTTGCTCATTTAGCTTTGCTTCTTTTAGTTTCTGGAAATCGGTTTGCTTTGTGGAATTATAATTATATATTAATAATCCCCATATTAATTAAAAGTAGAACTTAAATTAAATTAAATAAATTTATTATAGCAATTTAAGCATTTTTAGAAACCATAATCTTATATAATTAGTTTTTAACGTGCCAACCTCTTCAGTAGGATGATTTAAGTGTGATTGGGCCTATATACTTTTAAGTCACACCATATTTAAACGGGGGAGTTAGTTTTCTTTTTCAGGAAGATATTAGTACTCCTGATAACTCAAAATAAAAATTTATTTAGTGGGGAAGCAGGAACTTCCAATTTTGAACGGTATTTCAAGCATGAAAATGCTTCTTGCACCATAGGACGAATTTGGATGTAAGCGAAAAAAATAACGATTCTAAAAATTTTGTTGAATTTCAAGCTCCCCTTTACAAAAAGAAAACTGTTGGACCTCCATTATAGTTTATAATTATATATTTATAGTCCCCCTATTAATTAAAAGAAGAATTAAACAAATTAAACAATTTAATTATGGCAATCTAACAAACCATAGTTAATTAATGATAAAACCAAGATACATCATTCATTGGGTTAAAAAAAAACTTTTCATAACCAATAATTCCAATTATTGCATCTCCCTTAAGGAGACCATGATAGTGAAATCATTGCATAATGTCATCATCAGTTCAGCCCATTTTGTCAACAATTAACTTGAAGTCTTCCATGTCAACTGATCCTTTAATCCAATAATCAAGTTACCTATATGAAAATGCGAGAGAAAAGGCAAAAAGAGTGATATTTCCGTTTTCATCAGCGTATTGCTTTTGAATTATTTTTAAAATATTAGTGACCAGTTCTTCATCAACAATTCTGGTGTTTTCAGGTCTACGGTATCCAATTCTCATTCATTCTTCAAGGACGGACATGCTAATTTTACCGTCTCCGTCAGTGTCTAATTCTTCAAAACACCTCTTTCTTCAAACTTGCTACCCATGGTTCAAAAATCTAAAAATGTCAGACATTTATTATAATGAGGTCCCATTTACTGAATTATTTTCTAGAGCATAATTTAAGAAATTAATTAGCTTTTTAATGTTAGGTCATCTTTTAACTATTATTAGATTTTTATACCCCATTTCTAATTTCAGTGCCATAAGTATATCTGCACTTTAAAATTTTGGGTTATATTGATATGAAGCCTAATAAAGAGGTAGCGTTTAAGCATAAAATCAAATAGTTTAACTGAGTTCAAGACTTCTGAACATACAAACGAAAGCATTAAGCTTTTTGCTTTAAAACACTGGCCTTGCCGACCAGGCCTGCCTGAGCAGGTGTCCAATATTAATCCCGGGAAAAAATGTGTCTATTTGGGTCTGCCTAAAACCATCCTTATGCATCTCAATTAGGATCAAGTTTTCTTTTTTCAGAAGGGATATAAGCACTTCTGATAATTCATAATGAAAATTTCATTTGATGGGAAAGGAGCTTCCAATACTGAATGATATTTCAAGCATTAAAATGTTTATTGCACCATAAGCGAAAAAAAATAAGGACTCTAAAATTTTGTCGAATTTCAAGCTCCCCTTTGCAAATATTTCAAACTGTTGGACTCTATTATAGTTTATAATTATGCTTAATTGTTTCATAAACACTTACTCCCACCTCTCTTTGAGCGAACAAAACCATTGCAAAAATCCCTATTTTTTGGTAAGCTCCACCTTCTGTGAGCGAACCAAAATTTTTATGAAAAAATATTTCGATACATATAATTACTTACTTAGATTTATAAGTTTAACGTCCTTTACGGGGTTGCCTATACCCAGATCTTCCCACTGCATCTTCGCCATACCCAGCCCACAAGCCGCTAGGCCGACCTGCTTTGTTACACCAGGGTGTGCCTCCGCGGAGACTAAGACGGTGCGACATGGGTAGCCTGTTGGGAAAATCAAAAAAATAGATTTCCTGGCCGACTCTCGACAAAAAGGAAAAAAACACAAAGCCCGGCGCGTAACTCCCGGTTTCATGCTAGAATATTGCCGATTGATCCTAAGAATTTGCTGGCTACCCCTTTCCAACTTTTGTTTCCTCCTTCCTCATGAGGTAAAATCCATTCTTGAGATTAGACAAGGGCTAGGCTATCACACCACAGAGTTGCTTATCTAGTATAGCTGTCCGTCTCTGAAATGGTAAAACTTGCATGTATAATTAAAAATAGAGCTTGAGACTGTCTGGCCTCTCGGCCAGACCCAAATTGAGACGCAATATTTTAATTATCCGATACACATAATTGATAATTAGTATAGTGAAAGCTAGTTCTGTTTAATTTTAAAACATAAATTTCACAATTAAATTAATTTTTGTTAAGCTTTTAAAATCTAAAATATAATTTTTAAAAAAACAAACCCCTCCATTTAAAAAAATTTTTCTTGGTTGCTCAGGAAAGGAGAGCTAGCAAAATTCGGGAAATTCTATATTCCACTCATTTGACGCCAAGGGCTCTCGATACAATTGAGCTTTTGTACATCTTTAAGAAGGAGGCTATTATTATAAATCTCTTAAACTTGGTCTGGCATTATTGCAGTTATCATTTAGCCTCACAATTGCAATGCCGAGTACATGGGTGATTCCATTGCAGTCTTCTACAGTATCTTCTAATATAACATAATATTCTGAGAGATCAATTATATGATTTCTGTTTTCAGATATTCTCCATAATTTATATAAAGCATTATACTGCTTAGTCAAAATAGCCCACTAAGATACTTATTTTGGCTAGCCAAAAAAAATTAATTCATAAAAGATCCTAATTTTTCAGTACAACTGAAAAATTATTTATTAAAATTTTTGTTGCTTTTGGGGAAAAAATAGGAATTTTTCAAATGGCTTTGCTCGCTTTTGGAGGGAATTAGAAGGCTATTCTAAGTTAAATAGTATATTATTTATTAGTGATTTGACAGAAAAGTCTTGATTTTTTCGGCTTTTTCTGAAAATTTGTATTTAATTAGCCCAGGCAGTATTGAGCGCATGAGGTCTAAGGCTTTGACTCTTTCAAAAGACTCTTCTAATAAAAAAGATTTTCAATAAAGGCCTTTAATTTTTAAAGCCTCGGTGTGTTTCTTTTGTTTTTTGTGTTTCAGAATCGATAAAAAGTCCTCTATAGCGTAAAGTCCATCTGCAATACAAACTCTTTTCAATACTGCAATTTTAGCGATTTTATACAAAAAGTGAGGATTTGAGCATATTGGAAAAACTAAGGCTGACCCTTTTTTGGGGGTTTCTACAGGAATTGCATTTTTATCTTTTGATTTTGTTTCTGAGTCTTCAAATTCTGTTTCTATTGTGAGTGAGGTATATCTTTCAGATTTCCCTGTAAGGCTTCTATTTGTGCTGAAATGCCTGATTTCTTTAGCTAAATCGAATTTTTTAGTTTCATCATTTGTGGAATATGTTTCTATAGTTATATATTTTATTAATTATTTTTTTTAATATTTTATTATTTTTCTCATGCTAAATTCAATATTTTTTTATTAAAAATAATTTTTATAACGATGTGAATAGTAAAATACATCCATAGGTATATCAGTTTCTTGAGGCCTTCCAGGAATATAAGCCTTCATATAATACTGTAAATCTACTTGAGAATTTTTATAATTCGAATAATTATAAGAGCTAGAATTTTCCACAATTTTCATAGTAACCTCTTTTAGCTCACTCAATGTTACAGCTTTTTTTATGGCTTTTATATAAGGAATTTCACCATGTGATAGCGGTGGGAATACTTTTGCAAGGCATTTAAGGATTATAATCGCTTTTGCAGGGTTGGAATTTTCTATTAATTTGGCATATTTGATATGGGCTTGGACTCATAATGGTGTAGGCAAGCTAGGGTTTTTGGCTTTTTTTATCATTTCTTTTGCATGCTTTTTTATGCTTGCTTGGTCATGACTGTGTCCTAAATAATGAAATAATTGTTCATAGGCTTTAAAATTTAAAGTTTTTGATTTAATAGCTTCTTCTGTAAGTGTAATTGCGTCATCTTCGTTCCCACAAGCCCATGAAATTTTGGCCAAATAGATATCTGAATAGCCTTTTTGAAAATTTTTTAACTGTTCACATTGAATTTTATGCTTTTCGATTTCTAATTTATTTCCAAATTTAGTCGTCGTTTTGCTGTCAATATGCTCAATTATATCAATTTTTGGCTTAATTTCTTCAATTTTCTTTTTAATTTCTTGAATTTTGTTTTCATCAGTGTTTTTTAGATATTTTAACGCTTTTTTCATAGATAAATAAGCTTCAAATGGTTGATTATTTAATATATATGCTTTGGATAGTCAATAATGAATATTTCCATAATTATTTTTACTGCTATGTTCAAGACTTTCTGCCAATGCACTTATAGCAGCTCCTCGATAATTTAAATTGCGAGATTTAGTCGCATATTTTCCATAATGATATATCCTATTTATAATAAATAAATATTTTTTATTATAACCTACATAATTTATATATTAAATTTAAATTATTTATATTAGGACAGAGCACGTCGGCCTTTCAATAAATTTCTGCTCTAGAAGCTCAAGACAGCTATGAATTTTACTTCTTTTAAAATACGCCTTTGCATATATGATACATAATAAAATATAAAACTGGCTGTTTTCTCCTTCTGTAGCTTTTAAAAAAGCTTCAGCAGCTACATCTTCTGATAAAACATAATTTTTATTCTTATGAAAATGCTGCCACAGCACAATATATGCTTCTGGCCTATTAGGGAATCTCTTAAGCATTTCTTTAAATAGCAAAATCCCTTTTTCAGGATTTTTTTGTAAAAATAAAACCCCTCATGCTAAATATCCATAATAATTGTCATTTTCTTTTATATGGCTGGCATAGTACTCAGGGAGCTCTATTTCGCTCTGAACCCTTAGCAGCCCACTCATGCTCAGTTCCATTAATCCTCACAGAATCTCTAAAGAATTCGGATTTTCTATCCTCAGGGCTTCTAATAATGATTTGCATGTAATAAAATCTCCACGAGTTTTCCAAGACATTTTTAATTGTAAAAAAGCAAACCATATTCTATACAGATAGTCTTTTGGCTTGAATTTTAATGCATTTTTAATGTAATTTAAGGCACCATCGATGTCTCTTTCATAATATAACAATCTTCCATACCCAAAATTAGCTTCATGGCAGCTAGGGACTTTTTTCAAAATTTCTTCGAACATTTTTTTACATTGAAACATTTCGAAATCGGGAATTAAATCTTGCAATAATTTTTCGTTAATAAAATATCACATTATACAAGATCCTGTCTCCAATATAGATTTTCTTGTCGATATTGACGACATTGAGGTATATCTTTTTTTACCTCTTTTTCGGCCAATTTGGTCCTTTACGATCATATCAATTTTTGAGTCAGAAAACATTGATAAACGAGGGGATTCAGATTTTTGTTCTGGAATTTTAAATCTTTCGATTAATAGGGAGTTTCTTTTGGAAAATCGGATTTTTGCATCAATTGTTTTGGCAAAATTTCCAGATGACCGAGATATGTCAGAGAATTCGTCTTGGTCGGCTTCGCCGTGGTAAGGATCAAATAGTTCAATTTGGAAATCAGATGGAGCTCTTTTATTGTTGCTTGCAAATGATGAAAAAATGCTCATTTAATGTCAATTTTTATGCAAAATTTGAAAAAATAGTTTCACCATTTTTTAATCAAGCATTAGCAGCATTATTTGGAAATGATATTAGGATTTAATAGTGAAAGCAATTTTTCAATTTTTCCAACAATATTAGACTGAATTATAAAGGATAAATAGTCAGAATTATTTATTTTTTACTGAAATAAAGAATATTTTATATATGGCTGCATTTTATAATGTTTAAGATAGCTTTAAACTTATAAAAAGTTGCGTCTTAATTATAATTATCATTAAATCTATACTTATTTATGGACAGCTTCTGCTAAGCCAACTCTGTTATTATCTCTATCATATACGCTATAATACGATGATAAGAAAATATCACCAAGCACCCACAATGGGCCACTAGGCTCAGGGACATCAAGACCCATAATAGCCAAAGTGCACTCACTAAAATCATCAGAATGCATCCCAGGGTTATCTTCACCGTCATCATTCATAGTAATTACATAATCTTTAGATTTAATCCTATATTCTTTTCCTTTGATCACAAATACAAAATCAGGGTATTTTTCGTAACTTGTGCAGTCTGAATCTATTCCTTCTCCAATTGAATATTTTTTACTATTTTTTAATAAAAAAATTGCTGCCAGCTAGCTGGCAGCTAAATAAAAAAGGTATAAATTCTCATAAACTGCAAATAAATGCTCAAAAGGGGCTGCTAGCAACGAAGTCCCAGTATCCACGGCACCTCTACAAGGCTTTTTCTCACACAATCCTAAACTTTTCTCTCCAAGCCTAATATCTTCAATCTCAATCAGCCAATAATACTCAAACCCTTCCATAATCGGCACCCAATTAATTTCTCCTTTAAACTTCTTCTCATTAACATCTCCCACCATTAATTCTGAGGTCTCATCTGGATCTAATGAATAATAAAATGCAAAAATATTATTTTCCAATAGTCCAGATTTGATAACATTATCAAAAACAGGGAGAGTTCCCTCAGCTGCCAAAGATGGAAACGCTAAGCCAAGCAGCCCACAGAATTTGCCATCGTCAAAAACTTCGCCTTCTTCATCAGTTATTTCCCCAAAGGTTTGGTGATGTAAAGTAAGCCCTGCAAAAGTGACAGTATCGTAATTAATAATCCCTTCTATAGATCCAGTTCCAAATGTGACCTCGACTTGAGGTCCGTAAGTTTCATAGTCACTACTTTTAGTGTGGTCATAAGCATCGTGCTGAAGACATGGTGGATCTTTGCAGAGCTTGGAATTTACCCAGAAATTGGCACTTCCGGTATCAAAAATGACGTCGAGAAACTGTGGAGGATTCCCGATGCCTACAGAGCCGACAAATTGAGTACAGTATTTTAATTTTTTTTTAAAAAAAATTATTTTTTTAATTTTACTCCCCCCCATCCTTGATCGAACGATTGACTGTAAAAATTCCTAAAAATTGGGGAAATTAACCCCCATCCTTGATCGAACGATTTTCATATCATGCAAAATTTTATATATATAAAAATATATTAGTTATCAAAAGCTTGGGAAGATGTACATAATGAAGTTGTTTTCAAAGACTTTGAGACGATAGAAAGCTTCGAAGTCAACCATCCGAAGTGATTTAGTTATCAACCTAGGCTTAAAAACTCAATAATCTAATAAAATAGAGATTCTTTAAAATTTTAATAAAAAAAAATTAATTTAATGAGGAACAAATTAAAATTTATACAGTTTAAAGGTGTAGCTAATAAACCAAAATATTAAAAATTGGTATTTTTATGAAATTAATTCAATTTTTTGCTGTAAAAATAATTATGAAATACTCTTAACACTCTTATTTAAAAGGAAATAAATATATATATATATATATTTTATTTTATATATAAATTTTTTTTTCCTAAAAAAAATTTTTTTTTAACCCCCATCCTTGATCGAACGACTCGCCGTCGTTCGATCAAGGATGGGGGGGGGGAGTTAGGTGATTTTACTGTATTTGCAAAGTTTTTTAGCTTGATTTTTGATTTCGAATGAGATTTTAGGGATAAAAAATTGTTAGAAGGTGTGTCTGAAAGGGTGATTGGAGATGTTTGGGATTTTGAGACGAGAGATATGAGGGCTTGCTTTTCCTGCTTGTTTAGAGATATTCGTTTTAATGGAATTTGATAGGATGAAGGGGATAAAGAGTTTTGATAGGCTAGGATAAGTGTAAAAGCTAAGAGGAAGATGATAAACTTCATTATCCGTTTTAAATATTAAGAGTGCAGATGAGAAATATGAGTTAATATTTTTTAAACAATTATATGTATATTTATTCTTTTTGATAACAGCTACACGTGCTATATAGAGGATTTTAAATTTGATAGAAAAAAAAAATACTATAGAAAATTACCTTTAGTTTCCTTTTAAATAAGATTTAATAAATTTTTTATATGGAAATATATGGAAAAGGGGTATATTCTTTATTAGAAATTTTATATTTAGCTTAAGCATAGGTACCAAATACGATTTTTATTAGCACGCCTAATTAAAAATATCCCATTTCAGTATATAAATTCAAGTTACCACAAGCCAGTTACTTTATTATAGATCTCCAACGAATTATGATAACCTGTCTTATTCCCCAAAACTTACTTCCAGATATCTTCCCAAATCTAAGACACAAGCTCTAAAGGATGCTCAAACTTTTGAAGCTTAAATAGCTTTATATTTTTGTCTGTTTCCTTAATATCAATTCTGATATCTTTATTGTCCCAATATGATCTGCGCATTTTGTCTTCAACCTTATTATATTGTTTATGGGAATGATTGCAATAACCAAATTGATTTTTACTTCTGAGATTGTGAGCTTGATACTTTCTCCTAGCATAATTGTCATTTTTCTTGATCTTAATTTCTTCCGAATCGCTTGGGACACATCCAGATGCAAAATTGCTCTCTCCACTGATAATAGAGTAGACAGTAAAGGAGCATGTAGGGCATTTTTTTATAGTGTTCCCGGACCTGCATCCGAACCTCTTCTGGCGTCTCATATTTATATTTATAATCATTAAATTCAAGCCCTCCTTAGCTTCGAATTTTCTTATTTTTGTAAATTTAAGCTGTATATTTTTTTACGCTTGATTAATTTTTAATCAAAACTTTATTATCAAAAATGGTAATTAATGTTTATTTCTTATGAAATTCTATTCAAAACTAATAAAAATTATTTATTTCATCAACATTTTTTATATTAATCTTTGACTATAGAGCTTTCATAGTCATCTGCTTACTCCAAACCGCTATTAATTCCTTTTTTTATTCAATTTCTTCTTTTGTTCACTTATTCTTAATGAAATTGATTGAAATAAGCAGTTTGCCGTTTACACTCAAGATTATGAGCTTGATATCTTCTTTGCGAATATTTTATTAATTTTTTAATTCTTATTTCAGGAGAATAAGTGAATATACATCCTTGTTTTATTATTAAAATTCTATTTTGCAAGTTGGACGCCTTTTATAGATTTCCTGATGTGAAGCTGAATTTCTTCTTATATGAATTAACTCCTCTTCATAATTTATTTTTAATATATAATTTTATTTATTATTGTTATCATAAGCAACTTTATTATAAAGATTTAATGATAAGCCAGTCTATCCCATCTAAATTCATCTTCAAAAATTTTTTCTTGTTTAATCAATAAATTCTAAGGAATACTGAATCTCCTGAAGCCTAAACAGCTTTATTTCCTTAATATCAATTTTAACATCTTTCCTATTCCAATAAAATCTGCGCTCCGGAGGGGGGGGGAGTTAGTCTCTTACCCAATTATTATCCTTTGTCTCTTACCTAATTATTATTTCAATTACTCCCCCCTCAGTGAGCGAACAAAACTATTGGAAAAATCCTATTATTTTTGACCAAAAATCACCCTTCATGAACAAAAAAAATTTTAATTATTATAATAAAACATCTAGTTAATTCTGTTTATTTTTTAAACAGCTCGCATTTTAAAACATAAACTTTGCAAATTAATAAATAAATATTTCAATTTCTGCAAATTGGGATTTTGTAAATTTATAAAAAATTTAAATATAAAAATTTTTTTAAAAAAAATTCAAACCCTCCATTTGTTTGCTCACAAAGGGAGGAATTAAAGATTTTTAATTCTTTTGCATTTGCTCATAAAGGGGCTCTATAATAAATGTGTGAAAAATTAGAGTTTCTATTATTAGAGCAAAGTAATGAGGCTGATCTTACAGCTTCAGGGGAACACGAAAATCAAGTTGAGCTAATCCAAAGAAAAATTTACTTTCCCGATAACTTACTTACTTAACTATCTGGTGTTTAAGGTGTCTAGTGCCGCAGCCCAAAAGGGCCTATGGCAAAACTGATGACGTAGGCGAGCCATCTTGGTACAGGTCAGCCCCGTCCAAGCCTTCTATCAACTCCTGCTTCACCGGCCTTGCTGCACGTCTCACCTGGCGCGTTGCCGTCGCCCTTGTCGCTCGACTCAGCTCCTGCGCGTGTTCCGCCTAAGGGTCATCCTCCCGTGGGGATGTGCTGAGAGGTAAAAGCCCCGAAATCTTGAGTGGACTGAGGAGTGGTTCCTCTGGTTATCCCCAGAGTTAAACCGCTATTGCTGTCCAGAAGTCTTCGAGTGAAAACCTAACCCTATAAATAAAATTCCATGAGGGAGAGAAAATTAGCAGAGCTAATTTCTCTCGAACCGAATGCCATTTTATTTATACTTTCCCGATAACACTTCAATAATATCATGAGATGCTAAAGCAAATGAAACAACTGTCCATGCCAATATTCTTCCGGTATCAATCTTAAGCTATTGGGGAAGAGCAATGACTTGTCTTTTTTCAGATACTCAACTTTTTATATACGGCGGATTCAAAAAAAATTGAGATGGAATAAAAGAAGCAATGATTGTTGATTTAGTTTCAATGGAAGTAAACTTAAAAAATCAGGAAGAAAGCGGGGTGGAGCAGGCCTGGCTCTAATCGGATGGCAAATTTATATATTTGGGGAAACTAAAAATACACATAAAATATTGAAAGAATGCGATAAATATGATATACGGACTAATACATGAATAAACATAGCACCACTACCTTTATGCTCTGAGTCTAATGCTGCAGAGGTTTATGGTAACGATATTCTTGTTGTAGGATCTCATCTGCCTGGCTTATATTATTACTCAGTTGGGAAAAATACTTTTTCAAAAATATTTGATCTTCCTAGTTTACTAAGTCCCCCCCCCCCCCTCCGTGAGCGAACAAAACCATTAGAAAAATCGCCATTTTTTGACCAAAAACCCACCCTCCGTGAGTGAACAAAAATTTTTTTAATAGAAAAAAATTTTAATGGAAAAAAATTTTGATATATAAGTGATAATTAGTATAATGAAATCTAGAGCTAATTCTGTTTAATTTTAAACAAATTGCGTTTTAAAATATAAATTTTGCAAATTAAATTAATATTTGCTTCCCAATTTTTGCAAATTAGGATTTTTTAAATTTCGAAAAAAATATTTTTTTATAAAATTTATATATAAATTTTTTTTAAAAAAAAAAATTAACCCCCCTCCGTGAGCGAACAAAATTTTTTTGTTCGCTCACGGAGGGGGGGGGGGGGAGTAAGAAAAAAACATAATTGTTCACCAAGGAAGAGCCTGAATATATTGTGATTTTGGAGTTTATGAAAGCAGAAGATATGATTTAACAAAATGGAATAAACTCGGGGACGTTTCTGGTGTCAATATGCACCTTACCCAGCATGTTAGAATTGAGAATAAGCTTTATTACGCAGACAAAGCCATGGGAAAATATGTATTTGATTTGCGCAGACGAATTCTTGAAAAGCTTTAAAATTAGTTTTAAATTAAAATTTATTGACTTAGTAACTAACCCTATTTTAAATTTAAAAATGAGATTCTCCAATTTTAGAAATTTTATTTACTTTTGCTGTTTCCGTAAAAAAAGATTGATGAAGGAGAAGTAAAAAAAATTTTCTATAAAATTGATTATAAATCACCATATTTTTAATAATAAATGGGTTGCTTAATTTAATAAATGGAAACTCAGCTTTAACGAAAATCAAATATTTATAGAATTGCATAGCTTCTACCTAGCACAAATGCAAAATAAAAGAATTGAGTTATAAATATAGGCAATATTTAAATAAGGTTAGGCAATTTGGTTAAAATTTTTATTTAGTCGCAAAGATGACATATTAAAGGCTTTGCATGTACAGAATTTTGCATTTATTAAAGAGAAAGCTTTAATTCTTACCAATTATTATTATTATCCACTTAAAGATTTTTATTTCTTCTGCATTTAATTATAAAAGAGTTGATAAAAAGGAAATCGAAATCTTTTAAAAGATATTTCATATTGTTTATTAAACTTCTAAATTTGGCTTCATATTTCGCTATTAACTATAATAAATGTGTGAGAAATTAGAGTTGCCATTATTAGAGCAAAGCAATGAAGCTGATCTTACAGCTTCAGGGGGTCACGAAAATCAAATTGAGTTAATCCAAAGGAAAATTTACTCTCCCTATAAGACTTCAATAATATCATGAGATGCTAAAACATATGAGAAGAAGGTTCATGCCAATATTCTTCCGGTATCAATCTCGTGCTCATCAGAAAGAACAATGACTTGTCTTTTTTCAGATACTCAACTTTTTATATATGGCGGATTCAAAGAAAACTCAGATGGAATAAAAGAAGCAATGGTCGTTGATTTAGTTTCAATGGAAGTAAAACTTAAAAAATCAGGAAGAAAACGTGGGGGAGCAGGCCTGGCTCTAGTCGGATGGCAAATTTATATATTTGGGGGGTATAAAAATGAATATGAATTATTGAAAGAATGCGACAAATATGATATACTGACTAATAAATGAATAAGAATAGCATCACTACCTTTCTATTCTGGGTCTGTTGCTGCAGAGGTTTATGGTAACGATATTCTCGTTGCAGGAACTCATCTGCCTGGCTTATATTACTATTCAGTTGGAAAAAATACTTTTTCAAAGATAAAAGATCTTCCTATTTTACAAGACAAAAATATATTTGTGCATGAGGGAAAAGCCTGAATATATTGTAATGATTCCTGATTTTACGAAAGCAAAAGATATGACTTAACAAAGTGGCGTATAATCGGGTATTATTATGGTTTCAATATGCTCCTTAGTCAGCATGTTAGAATTGAGAATGAACTTTTTTTTTTAGACAATAGTATGGGAATATATGTATTTGATTTGCACACTGGAATACTTGACAAGTTTAAAAAGAGTTTTAAATAAATTTAACTAGCTCAGTTTTAAATTAAAATGAGATTTAAAGATTTTGTTGCATTTTTTTTGCTGTCGTAGAGCAAAGATCAATGAAGGGGAGTTGTGGGGTAATCATAAAAAAGCACAATAATAAAATTCCATTAAGTTTAAATAGCCATTTTAAAACTATATTTTTTTTCATTTTTGAAGAAAAAATTATTGATTTGGGGTTTTCATTTCGGATTTCAGTTTAAAATTTTGCATCCCAAAGCAGTCTGGCTCTTTTTCTCCTGTAAACCTATCTCTATTAATCATTGTTTTGGTTGTACTATTATAGCATATTAAACTTTTTTTTATAGATGCTTGGATTTTTTTACTGCTATTTTTTGGTTATTTTTTAGCTATATTTCAAAAATATAAATGGAAACTCAGCTTTAACGAAAATCAAAAAATTTATAGTGAAAAAATGCATAGTTTCTACCTTGACATAAATGCAAAATAAATATCCAATTTAAGATTTTTATTCTTTTGGATTTGCTCATAAAAGAGTTCATAGAAACAATTCGATATCATTGAAAAATATTCCATAATCTTAATTTGCAAAATGATGCCAGTGAGATTAACTCTCTTATTGCTTATTAAACTTTTTTGAGCTGTTTTAAATTTGGCTTCATATTTCGCTATTAACTATATTAAATGTGTGAGAAATTAGAGTTGCCATTATTAGAGCAAAGCAATGAAGCTGATCTTTCAGCTTCAGGGGACACGAAAATCAAGTCGAGCTAATCCAAAGGAAAATTTACTTTCCTTATAAGACTTCAATAATATCATGAGATGCTAAAACAAATTATAAGAAGGTTCACGCCAATATTCTTCCGGTATCAATCTTAAGCTTACGAGGAAGAGATGACTTGTCTTTTTTCAGATACTCTACTTTTTATATATGGCGGATTCAATAAAAACTGATATGGAATAAAAGAAGCAATGATTGTTGATTTAGTTTCAATGGAAGTAAAACTTAAAAAATCAGGAAGAAAACGTAGTGGAGCAGGTCTGGCTCTAGTCGGATGGCAAATTTATATATTTGGGGGGTCTAAAACTGCGTATAAAATATTGAAAGAATACGACAAATATGATATACGGACTAATAAATGAATAGGCATAGCACCGCTACCTTTCGATTCTGGGTCTGTTGCTGCAGAGGTTTATGGTAACGATATTCTTGCTGCAGGAACTCATCTGCCTGGCTTATATTACTATTCAGTTAGGAAAAATACTTTTTCAAAAATATTTGATCTTCCTAGTTTACAAAAAAAAAATAATTGTACATTAGGGAAAAGCATGAATATATTGTAGTGATTTCGGAATTTACGAAAGCAGAAGATATGACTTAATATCATCATTATATTATTTAGCGAGCAAGAGTGCCCACAGCAAACCTTTATGGTTTTTTTCCCAGTTATTTTTTGATTCTCACCTAAATAAAGCAGTATATTGAGAAAAAAAAATAAAAATATCTCAAGTGCAATGGATAAATATAAGTTTAATTTACGAAATAAACTCTTAACAATCTATAATAAGACTTTTAATTAAAATTTATGTTTTTCTACTAAGTAAATATTTACTTTTATCATGCAATTATTCTATTTTTTTCATTCTTACCTTAGAAAATAAAAATATTATAAATTTAAATTAGCATAAGCTGATTTATTTTAAAATTTCCAATGATAAGCCAGCTTTTTCAATCTCTATAAATTTTCTCTATTTAATCAATAAATTCTGAACCTTCTGAGCCTAAACCAATTTATAATTCTACTTTTTCCCTTAATATCAGCTTTAACAACTTTCCTATTCCAATAAATTTCTTTTCTTCAATTTTACTATATTGCTTATGGCTGAAATAGCCAAATTTATTTTTATGGGCTTGATACCTTCTTTTAGCATAATTATCATTTTTTGTTCTTAATTTCTTGAGAGTCACTCTGTACATCTACACTTGCAAAATTCCTCTCTCCAATTATAATAGAGTGTACAGCAAAGAATTATTTAGATCATTTTTTTATAGTATTCCCTCACCTACATTAGAATCTCTTCTGACCCCTCTATTTATATTTTTTGTAATAAAATTAAATTGATATAAAATTTTCTTTTGCGCATTTTGCTCTATAAACCTTTTGCTCTTGATAAATTTTAATTAAATTCATAATATGATTTATTTTTATAAATTAAAGCTGAAACATATTATTCTCTTATCTTTCTTACTAATTATTGAATAAATTCTGAAAATACATTAAAATTATGCAATTTGAATTAGGCTTGCATTATCTATTGCTTCATCTAATCACTCATTGGTTCCGTTTTTACTTAAGACTCAAATTAAAATGCTCAGCTTTTGGGATTACTGTCATAAGCTGACTTTTTATTAGTCTTCCTTTATTTGCAGTCTTGAATCATGCGTTGAAGTTAGATGAGATTCAGTCTATATAATTAAATTATCTGGAATATCAAGGCACCTTTAGCATTTTGCCTTTTTCTCAAACATTAGAAAACTCTCCACAGTCAAAATTTTCTTTTCTTAATAAATCTAGGTACGGAGTGAAAGAAAAGACATGAAGTGCTTTGGAAGAACTGAAACCCGAAGAGAGCAATGTAGCAAGGAAGAGAAAGGTAAAGGAAGGCGATGGTGCAGGGCCGACTCAAAAGAGATAAAGCTGGGTGGAGAAGCAAAGACAATGACTGTGTCTCATATAAACATCCATGGAATCAGGGGGAAAAAGCAGCAGCTAGAACTATTCATTGAAGAAAATAAGCCAGATATATTGGGAGTAAGCGAAACGCACAGTGCAAATGCCAAGGAGCTGCCCGTTATAAAGGATTATGTATGGGTTTGCAGCCCTGGAACAGACAAGAGCGCAGGAGTAGGGATATTGCATAAAAAGGATCTCAGCATATGCGAAACCCACCTTCCTACAGGAGGGAGGGTCTCGGCAATGCTCAGTGATAGGTTGGCTATTATGGAGGTATACTCGCCAGTAGAAGGCTCAAGTGATGATGAGATGGAAAAATTCTACGATGAGATAAACAGGACTATCTCATGAGTAAGACTTCGGGAAAGACCATTGCTATTAATGGGCGATTTTAATGCACACCTTAAGGGATGGTGAGCTGAGCAGACAAACTCGAATGGGAAGAGAACGAAGGCACTCTGCCTAGAGTGAGGATTAAACATACTGGAACAAAAGGAGTCAACTCACTTGCGCTCTTCTGGAACGACACACTGCATCAACTTTTATCTAGCCGACAATCGCATAATGGACCGGATTATCGACATAAAGGTTAACATCGACAACTCCATCAGGAGCGACCATTTACCACTTACCTTGAAGCTTTGAGACCAGCGGAGGACATTAGACATACCTGTGGTCAAGAGGATAAGGTTCGACAGACTAAATAGTCCGGTATATCTAAAGGTTTACCAGAAAGAACTCAATAATGAGCTACTTGCACTAGAGCCGGAAGCCGGCATTGGAACGGAGGATCTATATGGCCTATTAAACAAAATCCAACTGAGCGTAGCGGGAAGGGCGTTTGGGTACACTAGCGAAAGAATGCCAGGGACGCTTAGCAGGACGGCCCTAAATGAGTTGAGAGCTGCCCGAAGGCACAGATGAAAAGCCCTGAAGCTCTTAAAGAAAGGGGACCATAATGGGTATTCAGAACAGATGACCAGGCACAAACTCAAGATGAAAAGCTTCAAATTGCAGGTAAAGCGAGATGCTAACTTAAGCATGAGAGAAAAAGAAATAGAAAATATGCTGATAGGAGCTAAAGACATGTGAGAAGTCGTCAGAAACTTGAAAAAGGCAAAAAGAGGTGGGAACTTGAGATTCACGTCTAAGGAAGAAGGGGTGATCACAGAGTGATGGACGAAGCAGTACAACTGGGGAGTATAGGATTCAGTTGACGGACCAGTGCAGGGAGAGATACCCACACACGAGGAACTAGAGAGAGCAATCGAGCTGCTTGGGAACAGGAAAGCCGCAGGTCCTGATGGGCTACCAGCTGAACTGATAAAAATTGGCGGAGACAAATTGAAGAGCCTATATCTGAGATTAATCTCAAAGATTTGAGTAGAAAGGAAAGTCCCAAAGTCTATGAACCAAGCACTTGTGGTGCTACTCTCCAAAAAGCCTGGGTCAAGGAACCCCACAGATTTTAGGCCAATAACGCTGCTTAACTCTGCGTACAAGATGATAGACAAGCTGATAGAAGCAAGACTGGCGAGGGAAGTGAGGCAACTGAAGGTCATGCACCCGGCTCAAGCGGGATTTATGGAAGGAAGAGCCACTGCAGATCAAATATTCCACTTAGAAACAATTATTTAGTATAGAAGGAGACATAAACAGCACATAATGTGTGCATTTCTTGACATTAGCAAAGCCTTTGACTCAGTGCGGCACAGCGACGTTTTTGAGTGCATGGAGAATAGAGGGGTAAGCAGAGATACAATCGCCATGCTCAAGGCGATGTATTATAAGGGCGCAAGTCGTATTATAATTAGCGGACACCTGTCGGAGAAGATAGAGATTAAAAGGGGTGTAAGACAAGGAGGCAGCACATCACCTATTGTCTTCAACTTCATACCAAATGAGCTGGCTTGGATGATAGAGGAGGCTAACATTGGGATTAAGGTAGGCGATCCAGGAATCAATGTTGGTCTGCTATTATACGCAGATGACATCGTTCTTCTTGCAGGCACTGAAATTGATCTCCAAAAACTGTGCGACATTTGTGGCAAATGAGCTGAAAAATACTCGCTCGAAGCAAACCAGCAAAAATCGGTTGTCGTGGACTATTCCCTTAAGCCACAAAAGCTAATAGTGCGCATAAGTGGTGAGTTTCTGAAGCAAACAGATCAATTAAGTATCTTGGGAAAGTCATAGCTAGGGCAAAACGAGCTGGAGCAGACTCCAGGGCGACCCTGGAGAAGACCAAAGCGGCGTTCAAATCGACAGGTGAGCTCCTGAGCAGACTAAGATTCCTCTCACCAGCCAAGAAAGCTACAGTAGCGGAGGCATACATAAATTCCGTAGCTTTATTCGGCAAAGACTGCACGCAATTTGGATGAGAGGAAACCCAGCTGAAAAAGACAGAAATCGAGAGACTAAAAATTGCAAGGCTAATTCTGAAGGCTCCAACGGGCACGGCAAGAGAAACGTCTATGATGGACTTGGGATGGTTAAGCCTGAGAAGTCATATGAGGAAGAGGATTATGGGCTTCAGATGAAGGGTCTATACGTCGATGAATGAAATCACTGCGAGACTAAGCGAGATAGGCTGGAGGGACGGCCTACCCTGGGAAAGGAGGTGCAGCAAGGTCTTGGAAGATCTGGGTATACGATGCTATGAGGACTGTGAGAAGATGGTTGAGTGTGGGCAGAAGAATTGAAGCAGGATTGTGGATAGCAGGGTCAGGGTGCTGAACGCTGATGAATCTCTACTGAGGTTACGAGAAGAAACGGAAAAGACGACCAGGCTATACAGAAGGCTTGTACCTAGAGGCTCAACCACAAAGAGACCTACATTAATGATGGTGAATCCAGATAGAAGAACTGCTATTGGGTCTATACACAGGTTACGAGCGGGATTTAACTTCTGCAACGCCAATGCGCACCTGAGGCATTTGATAGCATCAGAAAAATGTGAAAATTGTGATGAAGCAGAAACAGAAGAGCATGTAATTAGTAAGTGTCCCAGGTACAATGATCAGAGGAAGCAACTGGTAGAGAAACTGGTAGAATTGAGAGTGGATATCGAGCGGATTGGCCTGATGGAAATCGCATTGTATGGAAAGGAATGGAACAGATGGTGTCGGAAGGCAAAAGCGGAATCAGAGCGAAAATTGACTCTGCGATCAAGCTTTTCCACGAAGGGATTTTGGCTGACAGAGCGGAAGGCTTCAGGTTGAAGAGCGACTTGGCTAAAAAGGTGTGCGGGAAAGTAAGTGGCAAAGTGGATTGGAAGCAAAGTAAAATTGATGGATGATTGTTTAAGGCCGAAAGGCTTGTTAATTTAGTTTCGATGGAAGTAAGACTTAAAAAATCAGGAAGAAAACGTGGTGGAGCAGGTCTGGCTCTAGTCGGATGGCAAATTTATATATTTGGGGGAACTAAAAATGCACATAAAACTTATAAAGAATGTGACAAATATGATATACGGACTAATGCATGAATAAGCATAGAATCGCTACCTTTATGCTCTGAGTCTGTTGCCGCAGAGGTTTATGGTAACGATATTCTTGTTGTAGGATCTCATCTGCCTGGCTTATATTACTATTCAGTTGGGAAAAATACTTTTTCAAATATATTTGATCTTCCGAGTTTACTAAGAAAAAACATAATCGTGCATGAAGGAAAAGCCTGAATATATTGTGACTTTGGAGTTTATGAAAGCAGAAAATATGATTTAAAAAATTGGAATAAAATTGGGGATGTTGATGGTGTCAACATGCACCTTACTCAGCATGTTAGAATTGAGAATAAGCTTTATTACGCAGACAAAGCCATGGGAAAATATGTTTTTGATTTGCGCAGAAGAATTCTTGAAAAGCTTTAAAATTAGTTTTAAATTAAAATTTATTGACTTTGTAAAAAGTCCCCATTTTTAAATTTAAAATGAGATTTCGCATCTTCAGAGATTGTTTAGAGTTTTGTTGCTGCTGCTGCCATAAAAAAAGTATTGATGAAGGAGAAGTTGTGGGGTAATCATAAAAAAACACAATAAATAAATTTCATTAAGTTTAAAAAAAAATATTTCAAGCTGATTGCAATTTCCATATTAAAAATATAGTTTTTCCTAATGGGCCATTCTAATTAAAACAGAATATTGAAGAAAGAAAAAGTCAAGACATCTCAGTCACGATTCTAGATATAGATGATAGCTAGATTAAATTATGATAACTCAAAATGATGTGTTTAATTCCTCAATTTTTAAAATGCGTATTGATAAATTTTTTAATGATTAAATATGGACAAACTCTAAATTGAAATAGCTAAATATTTTACAAAATTTAATCAGTTGAAAAAATGATAGACCCAGATTCACTTCTACCGCACAGCGAATTTCTTTGTGAATTTTCATAACTCAAAAAATTACTTTTCTTATTGCACGAAAAATTAGATTTTGGCCTCCTTGCCAGCTTGTCGCCAAGCCTTTGTTGTCCTCAGTTTCCGATTTTTATTATTTTTTCTTTTTTAATATTTTGAAATTTTACATCAATTTCTTTATCAGTAATATCTTGAGTTGAGCCGACCGCAGAGTACTCAATAGGCCTATTTTCGAGCGTTTTAAAGTCAATAAATGACTCTTCCTTTTCAATTCCTGGATTTTCTATTTCTTTTTCTCTGAAAATTGAATTTTTTATCCAATGATAAGTCTCCGTTTTATTTTCCTCAATTAAATTTAAACTCATCCTAATATTTTTCCGAATTTTATTATTTGGGCTCGACTTTGCAGTCAATGAGTGGCTTTGGCTGGCTGATTTTTTAGCTTTTTTGCAAAATTTAAGCTTCTCATAAACTAGCTTAAGCTCGTCATCAATTTCTTTGGTAAAGCTAAAAGAAATCCCTTTTCTAGGTGTTTTTTGCTTTGGCTGAGTTAAAGAAGAACAGCTACGCGGAGAACTCAGCCCAGACCTGATTATTTCTTTTCTTTCAGGCGTTAATAAAACACTTTTATTTGTATTTTTCATTTATGGCTGTTCAATATATATAATTCTCAATTGCCAATTTTTTAATATTATACTAATGAAATGCATTGTAATCCCAAGGGTCACTTTTTCTTCGCAAAATAATTCTCCGGCTCGAATTAAATCTGCAGATCCGACTCACAGAAGTTGTCTTGCAAAACAGTCTTTTATATCAAGGATACGGAAGAAAGCGACTATAGGAATTGTGGGAAGTTTTGTGGATTTGGGAGAGCTTAGTGTTGGCTCTGTTTGGTGTTCTGAGTGGTAGCTTGAAGTCTTGATGTTATCGCTCTTAAGTAGGATAGGGCCAATGTAACTCTACTGAAGAATTTTCAGAACCAAAAATACCTAATGCTTCTTTTACTGCCCGTCAAAAATCCAAGCATCGGTGCTCTAGTAGTCTGCTTATTGAGCATCACGAAAGATATGAATTCGCCCCTTCTAAAAAAAGAAGTATAGAAAAACCCAAAATTTTTAGCATAACGCCCCAGCCTGCCACGCCAGAAATGACGCCCAAAAAGTTGTCAGGAATTTCAAAAATTCAAAGTACATATGATATTATAAAAGGTGTTAAACCAAACTTATTACTATATAAGGTAAGGAGTGTCACTAATATCAGAAAAAATAAAATCTGCTTTAAATCGCCTGGGCATTATGACTCAAAAAAAGTCCTGAAAATAACTTCAACGGAAATTAAAAATAAAAATTTTTTGGAAAAAATTAAATCTGCAAATGACCAAAGTATGATATTCTTTTTATTATAAATAATTATATATAAAAAAACAAAATTGTCTGTTAATTTATTTTTTTTATTGATAATTAATAGAATAATTCAGAAGGTTGACAACTTATATCGATCAAAAGTTTTGAGAAATCCAAATTTAATTGGGATTAATGCAAAAAACCATATACTTTAAGATATTTAATATTTAAATTATGGGAGCTTGCTGCGGGAAAAATAAAAAGCCTACTCAGACACCAAAGCCAACTACTCAGCCTAAACCAGTCACAAATCTTCAAGCTCCTCCTGCAGTTGAAAAACCTCCAGCCCCAGTCGTAGTTTCTCAGCCTCCTCAAGTGATTTCCATATTCAAACCAATCCCAAATTCCCGCAAAGTCTTTTTCTTTTCAGTTCAAGAAAACAAGGCTTTCATTTTGACAGCTTCTTTGCCTTTTCCATTTTCAAGAAACTGCGGGATTTGTCAATTATCTCAACATAATTTTATTATAAATTGTTTTATGGTAATTTGCCTATAAATTTTTTAGGCAAAATCCTGATTTTTATAATAAAAATATTATTTGAATTTTACTAAATAAATTAAAAAAATTAATTTAAAAGGGATTAGCTGGAGGAAATGAGTACAATTCAGATGAGCTTACTAGTGATGCCATGATTTTTGAAGGAAAAGCTCTATCAGGCCGACGAATTGCAAGTATGCCAGCTCCTTCTGCAATGCAAACTTTGATTTATATTGAAAAAATCAAGCTTGTATATGCAGTTGGAGGACTACAAGTAAAAACTATAGACGAATCCAATGATGACCACTCTGATCTTATCCCAGGGAATTTTTCAGTTTATGACTTAAAATTAAAACAATGGAATGTCCTCGAACAAATGCCTAAAAAGCTTTGTTGCCCTACTTGCTACTTTGTAAGGGATTCTATATTTGCAGCTGGTGGATTTATTTTGAAACAAGACAAGTTTGCAAGATATGAAACCATATATTATGATAAATAACCTACCAGAAATCAGCTGGACTGAATAGGCTATAGTAGTATTCATATTTTTTTTTAAATTATTAAATTTATTTTTTTTTATTTTTTTATAAGAAACCATCCAGGTTTATAATCTTCAAGAAGCCAGATGGAAAATTTTACAATTGAAATTTACCTTACCAGTTGTAGGAGCTTTAGCTGTCCCTCTAGAGCCAAAACAAATCCTAATTGTAGGAGGCATGAAAGATTTAAACACCTCAGCCTCTATGGCTTATTTATTTGACGAAGAAGCTGGCTTCAGCAATTTAAAAGATTTTAAAGTCAGCAATATTCAATTTGTCCCACCTGTCTACAGGACTGAAAAATACGTCTATATCCTAGCAGAGCCTGAAATTCTAGGTCGATATGACCGAGCTACCAAGGAATTCGAGCATTTCCCACTTATGTCACTTATGCAACAAAACGCTGACATAAGGAGCCTAAACACCTTTAACTCCACTTTTAACGGTATTTATACCTACCATTGTGATTTAAGCAACAAAACAATTACTACATTTAACACCCTATCCCAAGAAAAATCGTCAATAAAATTACAAAGTATTCAGTATCGAGATGCAGGAATCGCATTTTTGCCTGATGGAAGCCTATTTTTTGCTGGTGGGGTTGCAGCAAATTCCCCTAATCCAAAGCCTACAAATCAGTGCTTTAGGTACGACCCAGTTTCGCAGACTGAAGAAGCGATGACTCAGCTTCCAAAAGCATTGAGAGGGATAAGGCTGATTTCGACCCAGGACACTATTATTGCTATAGCAGGATTTGATGACTCTGAGTCGTCCTACAAAGAAGTCTATTCCTGTTATATAAAATTTTCTGACCAAATTTGGGTCGATTTGCCTAACATGTTAATTGCAGTCAGATATCCAGCTTGTTGCCTATTAGAAAATTCTATATATGTGATTGGAGGTGAAGAAGTTATAGATGAGGGAATTGAAGAGATTAGGGACTGTATACAAGTATGCGACTTGTCAAGTATGGTCTGGACAGTCAAAACTCTTAAATATAACATCCCTGCTAAGTGTATGGGACTTATCCCATTTACAGAAAAAACTGTCTTGATTTTTGGAGGAGAAGATGCAGATGGAAATGAAGTAAAATCCAGCTATGAATTTGATGGAGAAAATTTCAGGAAAGCTGAAGACTTGCCTGGAGACGCAGCTGTTATGCATTTTGATGATCCTGCTTGTATAAGAGATGGGGAGGCGTATATTTTTAATAGTGCAGGGGACTTATATAGATTGGATTTTAATAGTTTGTCATGGGAAGAAGTAGAAGCTGAAGAAAAATCAGTTAATCAAATTTAAATTTTAATAAAATTGGGTTAAAGAAATCAATGAAATAAATAGAGTCATTGAATATTTTGGTTTAAATGTGTGTTTAGAGTTAATTATATTATGGCATGCATCTCAACCTGGGCTAGCATCCCAATCTCATCTTTCTTCAAAAAAGACTCCACAAAATTTTTAGTATCAGAATCATTATAACAAAATCAAGTTTTTTGAAAAAAAATTCGAAATTTGCATCTAAAAAATTTCAAGCCACTTGTAAAATTACGGCATTATACTTACCTAACAATTTCTATTTATTTTGTAACCCCATATTAATTTTTCTCAAAAAACTCCCACCAAATCCTAATTTTCTGCCTTACCCAGGCCTGCTTTTTCTTCTAATAATTTCAACCTGCCAAATTCTCTAATATTTTTTATTATAAATATCCATTTAAATGCAAAGAGAACCAGACATCAGTAAACTCAGGACCATGTTTACACTCAGCCAAGGAGCTTCCCGACCAGGCCATCGCCGTGGTTTGAAATCTCAAGGCTACGTCCATCCTGACCTACAAAAAGAAAAAGAAACTTCTCATGAGTACTCATCTCCTACAATCAGCAAGCATTATTTTAATTTTCTTTACCCAATCGGCAAAGGAGGTTTTGGCCGTGTTTGGAAAGTTGAGCTGAAAAAAGTGAAAAGGCTCTTCGCTATGAAAGCTATGAGCAAGCTCAGAATTGTCTCTAAAAGAAGTGTCCATTCAGTTATGAATGAAAGAAAAATTCTCTCAGTCCTTAGACATCCTCTTATTGTAAACTCTATAAAATTTTATTTTTTTTTAATTATTTTTAAAAACATTTTTGGAAAATTTTATTGTAAATATGCAATTTGCATTCCAAGACCGCGAAAACTTGTATTTAGTGATGGATTTGATGCCAGGCGGAGACCTTCGCTATCATATTGGGAAGGTCAGAAGGTTTAGTGAGGAGCAAACGCGGTTTTTCGTAGCATGCATTGTGTCAGGGCTTGAATATATTCATGCAAATGGAATTATACATAGAGATATTAAGCCTGAAAATTTGGTTTTAGATAGTAAAGGGTATGTGAGGATAACAGATTTTGGGATTGCGAGGGTTTTTAACCCAGAAAACTCACAAGATACATCAGGAACCCCAGGCTATATGGCCCCAGAAGTTATGTGTAGGATGAACCATGGATATGTGGCTGATTATTTTGCTTTGGGGGTTATTGTTTATGAGTTCATGATGGGGAGAAGGCCTTATAATGGTAAAAACAGAAAAGAAATAAGAGACCAGATTTTGGCTAAACAAGTACAAATTAAAAGACAAGAAATACCTGAAGGCTGGTCCATTGAAGCTGCTGATTTCGCTAACAAAATGCTTATGAGAAAAGCTGATCACAGACTAGGCGCAAAAGGTGCCAAAGAATTAAAAGCTCACCCATGGCTTCAAGACTTCCCTTGGAAAGAGCTTAAAGATAAAACCCTTGAAGCTCCTTTTAGATTAACTACTGAAGATAATTTTGACCCTCGAGTAGGTGGAGAATGAAAAGACGAAATCGACCCTACAATTGAGCAAGATTCAATTCAGAGCTTATTTTCTGGATATTTCTTTGATTTTAGAATGTCCGCTGCAAAGCCACCAGAAAGCACTTTGGAATATAGAAAATTTTCCTTGTCTTCGAAGATAAGCTGTATTTAAGCTATCATAAAATTTTAATATAAATTGATGAAATTGTATATATTTTAGAAGAGATTATTAGCATATATGTGGTTTTGAAAGAAATTTTAGGGTTGAAGCTGTAAAAACATCTTTATGATTATCTTTAAAATAAAAATTATTTGTTATATAAAAATATGTCTAAGGCAGAATCTAATTTTGAACTTGTTTAAGAGCTTTGAAGTCTTGTTAGAGCCAATGCAGGAAGTTGAATAAATGATATTTCTTGTTATTTATTGTGAATAATTTCATTTCCTAGAGTATTTTTAAAGACTTAGTATGAGAAACATTTTTGTATGAGCATTTAATGAGATAAGAATGGATCAGTCCCATATCTAAAGGCAAATAATTATTTTCCCAAAAATCTTGATTATATAAAATTGTTGAAAATTTATATTCAGAAATCGATTCAACAGTTTATGGTTTTCAATCTCTTTAGCCCTAGTAGCATATGGGTGAAATTATAAGAGCATTTCAGTGGAAATATTTTATTAGCTATCATGCGTGAAATCTACTTTATCCCTCTGATATAATAAATCAAGAAAATCATAAAAAGATTAAAAATCAATAGCTAAAAGAAGATACAAGAATATTAATGGACGTAGTGCTAATCAAAAAGCAAAAGTTTCATTAACCATAAAGATGACGTCGACATAGTTTCGAAACATATAACACTTTTTTTGCCTATATAAAGTCAGAAAATTCATAATGTTATAAGACTATTAATTAAATACCTACCTAAAAACTGCCAAATTTAATATGCTTATTAATTAATAATAAATCAATTAAAATCATTTTTTTAAAAAAAAGCATAAACATGTTAAAAATTATACAAAAAATCCAGCTCTCTATAAATATTTCTTATAAAAGCTAATAAAATTTAATTTATGGCACACCTTGCAAGGAAAACTAAAATTGCCTGCACATTAGGCAAGAGCTCGTCAAGTAAAGAGGTCTTAATAGAGCTATTACGATCTGGAATGGACATAGCACGTATCAGCGATAGATTCTTAACGATTTCTAAGCAAGAAGTCCTTACAAACTTACGTGAAGCAATGGATGAAGCTGGAATTCACGTAGGAATCATGGTAGGACTTAGAGAAAGTGACCTCAGGCTAGGCTACCATAGCTCAAATGAGCCTTTAATCTTACAAAAAGAAGACACAGTCCAAATAATCACAACTCCAATTGCAGGAATTGAGGGCCATGCTATTCAATGCAATAATATGGAATTCCCTAACTTGGTCATCCCAGGAGACCATTTATTAATAGATTTTGGGAAAATTGTATACTATTAAATTCAAATTTAAGAAAATATAAAAAATATTTTTAAAATGAAAAAATCATTTAGAATAGAATATTTACTGTTATAGAAATCAGAGACATTGTAAAAACGCCTGATCCTGCTGATATTTTAGATCATAGACTTAATGGATCTTCTGATGATCTTCACCATCATATGAAAACTTCAGGGTCCATGAATGAGTTTCCTACCTACAAGACTGAAGGAATGCATAAGTCAGATTCCTTCCATTTAAAAAGAATAAAATGGTGACGTTGATAGAATTGGTCTCCAAGGCAGGCTCATTATGGAACAGATCAGACCTATCCTTATAAAGCTGAAAACAGAGCCTCTGCTTCTTTTTGAAGCAGGCTTTCAGGTTTTAGGAAGTATTGCCGAAAAGGGGAAGTTTGGTTTCTCCATCAAAAGTTTTCACTATCCCTGACAAGTGGGCTAGACAGATTTTGCCTCTATAGTCTTTGTCTATAGGAATATTGGGGTACCCTACAGAGGGTATCTAATGGTCGCCCACTTTAAGTCCAATCTTTTCCATTCAAGACCTAAACGAACCAAGCCTAAAACAGCTAAACACAGAAGCCAAAAAGTCGTGATTTGTAGAGTTGAACAAAACTGCACATTTTTAGCTGACAAGCCTGTCCATATCAGACCTATAGGAAAAAGAGAAGCCCCAGTAAGCTATGCTAATGATATTGAAGATATAAAAGACGCTACTTGGGCTAGTGAAAATGACTTAGATTTTCTAGTCTACAAACAGGTCAGAGACGAAATCGATTTAGCTGATGTATTTACAGTGCCTTTGCCTAATATAAAAAAATATATTATTTCACTATAAATTTACATAAAATTTATCTAAAATAATTTTTTATTTTTTTCATAATAATATGCTTTATATAGGAATCCAAAATAAAGATTCAGCTGATTTAAAAGAAAGTTTAATAAGGTCTGCTGATGGGATTGTTATTGGAAGAGGAATGCTTGCATTAGAAACAAGTTTAGCTGAGGTGTGTAGAATGCAGAAAGAAATAATCAAGCTTTGTAATGAGTTGGGAAAGCCTGTAGTGATTTCTACACAATTATTAGAAAGCATGGTCCATAAGCATACACCGTCAAGCAGCGAAGTCACTGATATCACAAATGCTGTTTTAGATGGCTGCGACGCATTATTATTGACAGGAGAAACTGCCTATGGAGATAACCCAGTCGCTGCTTTGCAAGCGTGCTCAAGAATTTGTCTTGAAGCTGAAAGGTTTTTATCCTTATATCTCTATATATGGCTTTTATTAATAAAAAAATGGCTCATTTTTATTAAAATAAGAAAAATATTTATTTTTAATTATTTTTTATAAATAAATTCAGCATAGATTATCAGTCTCAATGTGAAAGTATATTAAGTACTATACGTGAAAATATTACTGTAGCTGAAAACATTTGTTATTGTGCAGTCAGAAGCATTTTAACGCTCAATGGAAAACTTATAGTTTGCTTAACTCAGTCAGGCTACACTGCACAGCTAATTTCTAGATTTATGCCGCCTTGTATGATATTGGCCCTAACAGACTCCATGAAAACTTTGCATTCACTGAGAATTGTAAGAGGGGTTTACCCAGTTTTTATTAAAAATTATCAAGGACCATTGATAGGACAAGCAATGGAAATTATTAAACAGACTGGACTGGGCAAGGTAGGAGATGTAGTCGCTTATTTGGGAAGCTTTGAAGACCATTTTGAAGCGGGTGCTACAAGTTCGTTGAAAATAATCACGATCGTTTAGACTTGATGGTAATTATGAAATGCATATTTATCATTTCATCTTTAATTAAAAATTTAGTTTTTTAATTTAAACCTAATGCTGAAGACCATAAAATTTAATTTTATAACGTCCCTTATCATTGATAGAACTTCCTAAATTTGGGAAAATTGAATCAATGATTATATATTTCATAAAATTAATAGAAATTTTATAAAGGAATAGATGTATTCTCAAACTTTTATTAATATAAAAACCCTTTGCATGGTAGTTTTCAAGATTCACAGTTTATAACCAAAAGGAATGTTCCGATTATTATAGGCTTTTCTTTTGAATAGTCCGGTAAGGCGTTTTCCGAGGCTGGACCAGAGGAATTCCGTGATGTGAAAGCCTGCATTTCTGTCATTATTGAAAAATGAGTAGTGGAAAACTGATATATTGGCTCCAATCCAAGGCGGCTTTCGAAGTTTTTTATGTTTTCTTAGTGTTATCTGATCTTAAGCAATTTATTAAATTTGATTGTCTTATTATCAGAAATTCTAATGCTGATCAAAAATTTAGCATTTTTTATTTAATTTGGCTGTCAGGCATTTTGACAGACCGAAATACATTAATTAAAATGTTGGCAAGATGACAAACTTTCACAACTTCTCAGGTATTGTTTCCTTTCAATCTCTTGAGACTGAATTGGAGCCAATACTCATTTTCTCCAATAACTACAGAAAGGCAGTCTTTCACATCACTAAATACTCCGGTCCAGCCTAGGAATACGCCATATCGGGCCATTTAGGAGAAAATCTATACATCTTTTGTGATCTTGAATTTTTTATAATACTAAAATATTAAAGAAAGCTATTATCTCATTATCTGAATTTCAATTTAATGGCATATAAAATATAATGCTTCAGCATACTCCAACATCTATCAAGATGGTAAAATATTTCTTGAAAAAAATTATAAATTTTATGTACAAGCAATAATAGGTAGATTATAAAATATTATCAAATATGCTATAAATCGTATTAGAATTGCTTACTCCCCCCCTCCGTGAGTGAACAAACAAATTTTGTTCACTCACGGAGGGGGGTTAAATTTTTTTTTTTAATAAATTTATATATAAATTTTATAAATTGTTTTTCGAAATTCAAAAAATCCTAATTCGCAAAAATTGGAAAGCAAATATTAATTTAATTTATAAAAATTTATGTTTTAAAAAGCAAATTTGTTTAAAATTACACAGAATTAGCTCTAGATTTCATTATGCTAATAAATTTTTTTTCCATAAAAATTTTTTGTATTATAAAAAAATTTTTGTTCACTCACGGAGGGTGGGTTTTTGGGCAAAAAATAGCGATTTTTCTAATGGTTTTGTTCACTCACGGAGGGGGGGGGGTTAGGAGTAATTATAAGTAATATAATATTTGATATTTATCAAATATAGGTATTTAGATAGAGTAGGGTATTTTAATACTTAATCATATGAAAATCGTTCGATCAAGGATAGGGTATTTTTCAATTAATTTTCAATGAAATTATTCGATCAAGGATAAGGAGTTAGGTATAATCCTGAAGCTTATCAGCATTTCTCCTCAAAAATCGACCCGATTAAGATTAAGATTAGACTGCATCTTTAAGGTCTCACTTACTGTGCACAAATGCTCTCTACAGCAACTGCAGTAGGGTTGCATTATGTAATACTTTCAGCCCGGCTTCTTGGCAGTGCGCGCCATTTTGACCTGGACTCGGATTTTGCTGGGAGGCTATTTTCCAACTCTGAAGCCCTATTAGCCAGCTTAGCTCAGACCAGATAGCTCCTTAGTGACTCTTTTCAACTGGAGAGGTTGCAGCCTTGAGTCTTATCTTCTTGTTTTCCTTTTTTCTCCAAGGAAAAACACAACCGCTTCAGCGATTCGGGACAGGCTACCAAACAGCTTAAGCAAATAAGCTCCTTGCCTCTATAGGACACCCATTTTGGGCCTGGGTGCTGCTTGCAAAAAGATTCAAAAACTACTTCTTTTCAGGCCGCTAATGAGCTGAAATAGTGCTGAGCTTCTCACATCAAGGCTATCTACCCTTAGTTAACAACCAAAATCCACATCCAGATATACAATGACACCCATCATGAATAGAACACTTCTGTCGCCAGCCATTATATATAAAATCGACCCTATAAGTGGATTCCACACAGTTCTAAACCTTCCTCACAGGAATCAAGCATTACATCGATGTTCTGAAATCAAAAGATACCAAAAGTTTTATGAAGATGCATACTCATCTCTTATCATAAAATCAATTATTATCATCCAAAAACACGTCCGCAGCCTTCTTGCTAAAGCAAAAGTCCGTAGAAGAATTGCAGAAATCGACTACGAAACAAATTACAGATGCTCTCTTATTATTCAATGCGCTTACAATGCATGAACAGCAGCTCAGCTTGTAAAGAAGCTTAAAGCAGACAACAGAGATAGAATTCTGCGTCTAAATTCAGCCAAAAAAATCCAAAAACTTTTTAGACTTAAACAGCTTCGATCAAAGACTTTTTTCTTTGCAATTGTAAACAAGATTTCGAGGATTCGAAAAATAGCAGCTTGCAAAATACAAAAAGTCGCAAGAGGCTAAATTTAAAAAATTTTTAAAAATGTTTTAGTATGATTTATTTATTTTTAATTTTTAACACCCAGAGGCTATATAGTAAGAAAAGACCTCCCATTCATAAAAAACTTAAAATTATCAAGACTTGTAAGGTGGAGGTATGACGCCGATGAAGTCTCCATTGTAGGTACCTTTACAAATCCGCCATGGAAGCATCAGATTCCTTTGGTGTATTCTGTATTTTTGAAGGAATTTTTTTCAACTTATTTTATTGACAATAAATTGACCCCAGGGAGATATTATCTGAAATTCATAGTCGCTGGACAATGGCTCTGTGATGGAAATATGCCAATTGCGCAGGATATTGAAGGAAATTATAATAACCTGATGGTTATTGCTTCAGAACGAAAACCATTACCTAAAGCTTCAAGTACTCAGTCTTTAATAGATAACCCTTTAGGAATTTCTAAGCCAGTGCCTCAGTCTCCTTCTAAACCTCCTCAAAAATTATTAAGGACCTTATCAGGAGGTTTATATGACTCAGCCTCCTCCACAGCATTTTTAAATCAGCCAGAAAGCACAGAAGACGTCGTCTTAAAGTTTGGGTACTTTATGGTAGCTTATCCAAAACAAAGACATGCACCTTTAACAAGTGAAGGGACCGCTGACGCTATTTTTATAGACGATGAACTTCAGATATTTGGCCTGTCTGATGGTGTAGGGGAATGAGAAACCTATGGCTTAGACTCCAGCTTATTTTCCCGTGAATTAATGGAAAATTGCAAAAAAGTCTTTAGGGAGTACGATTTTAAGCCGGAAAATGAAAATTGTGAATTTTTAATTGAGGTGCTTGAGAAAGCTTATAAAAGGGTAAAAAGCTATGGAAGCGCCACTGCATTTTTGGGGATGCTGAAAGGGTATAAGCTATATACTTTGTGCCTAGGGGATTCTGGGTTTATGGTTATAAGGGAAAGAGAAGGGACTGATCAGTATGCGACTGTTTATAGGTCTTCAGAACAGCAGCATTCTTTTAATTGTCCTTATCAACTAGCTTTTTTGCCAGAGCCTGCAGAGTACCCTGTTTTAATTGAAAAAGGATTGAACTCACTTGTGGCTTTATTGAAAAAGTCAAATAGAGCGTCTCAGGACATGCCTTCTGACGCTTATACAGAAATTATTAATCTTGCTCCTGGAGATATTATTGTGGTAGCAACAGATGGGCTTTTTGATAATTTATTTGACCAAGATGTGATAAAAATTTGTGAAAATAATAAAGCATTTAGGAATGATAAATTTTGCATAGAAACTGCTAACTTTTTTAAGAAATTTTTTTTCTGAAAAAATACAATTGAGGCTATATCCCTATAAAAGTAACTGTTTTTTAAAAAAAAATTAGCTGGGGTAAGGAGCTTGTTATTAATGCCTTGCAAAAAGGCACAGATTCAACATATAGGTCACCATTTTCTAAAAACGCAGCTAGATATGGTAAGAGATTTATTGGAGGGAAGCTTGATGACACATCAGTTATCGTAGCCATAGCCAATCTCAAAAATAATATTTAATTTATCTCACAAATAATTAATATTTAAGCAGAATTCCTTAAATAAATAATGGTTTTAAATAAAAAATATTAAAAATAAGTTTTAATGAGAAATAATTAGTAAGGACCCCCCTCACTTGTCGAATTTTCTAGTCTTTTTTTTATAAGAAGAATTTTTTTTTTCAGAACCTCATTTGTCCAAAATCTAGTCAAAAATGATTTGTCCAATTTTCTAGTCTTTTTTGCATTTTTTTCGAATGCCCTAAATTCTAGTTTTTTACTTTAAAAAAACTAGAAAATGAGACAATTGAGGTCCTGAAAATTTTTTTTTTCTATCAAAATTTTGACTAGAAAATTGGACAAATGAGGTCCTAAAACAATTTTTTTTTCCTATAAAAAAAACTAGAAAAAAGGACAAATGATAAAAGACTAGAAAATTGGACAAATGAGGGGGGGGTCCTTATGAATTTTCTTTAAAATGGAAACTTTAACAACCTCAATTTACGAGCATCAAAACGTGCCTAGGAGAAGACCTCAAACATGCAAGCCAAAAATACTAGATGATTATAACATAAAAAAGGTCTCAAGCCTTAAAAGTATTGACCAAAAGCCTGATGTTTTTGAAAGGCTTTATATAGTAGCTATTAATTTCTGCGCACCAAAAATATTTTTTATGCCAAAATTATAATAATTTTGGCTTTAAAATTAAAAAATGACTGAAGGCTATAAGCAAAATAATAAATAAACTACAATAGGAGACCTAAATCTGCTATGAATACAAGAAATGGCTTTTTTAATGGAAGCTGCATGCCGAGGTCCCCAATTCCTTTAAACTCATTAATAGCTGTTCTTAAAGACTCTATGCACAAGCAATTAACAGAAAAATCCAACTCTTCTTTTGAAATTGGCTCAAAATACCCGGGAGTCCATGCCGGAAATTTATCGATGATTTCTGACGATCTCTGCAAAGCGGACGGAATTAATTCTCCACAAAGCAATGCTAAAGTTTTTAGACCCACTGTTTCAATAAATGCTTATAAAATTTACCAAGCTGTAGAGCAGTTTTCATATGATGATTTTGATGTGCTAAATAAAAATACAAATAAAGAAAGTTTATATAAAACTCAGCAGAGCAGAGTAGAAAAATCAAAAATTATTTTGAGGAGAAGGCCGAAACCACAAAATGCACCAAGTTTAGTAATAAAGAAAAAACCTATAAATAAGTCGAGTTCTCATGTGTCTTTTAATGAGAAAGTGAGGAATATTTTTAATTCAACTGTGCCTTATACAAGAGAAAATGATTCTGAAGAAGAAGATTTAATCCCCTTGGAGAGAGAGTAATGAATTTTTTGTTCGTTAATGGATGGTTTTTTTTATTAAATAATTATATTACTTTCGCCTAATATAAGGCTTTTTTGACTTTCTATCTGTATGTTGTTCAGTAACGAGGGTTTTTAATTGTTGGCTAGCTAGTAAGGGGAGTTAGAAATTGCTAAGGAAAAAGAAAAAGTTTCAATTACTTCTATAATAAGAAGATCATCTAGTATGAAATCAAATTCTCCTTCTTTATTAAGACCATCGCTTACAATCAGTAAAGTAGTTAAGCCTAGCTTGAAGAGTAATAATGAAAGCCAGAATGATGAAGAAGCCTTTAAATCTTCACAGCCAAGCCCCTTTCCTCATGATTACTTAAATCCAACCCATGAAGCTTCATCATATGTTTCATCTAATAATACCCCTAAACGTCAAGAAACACAAGGAAATAAATGAATGAGCATAGGATTGAGCCCTGTCTCACTGGTAGAAGTCAAAGCAAAAGGCCGAGCCAAGCCTCAGTCTCCTAGTTCAATTTGGCCCAAAATCTTCAAGCATTCATTAATAATTAATTGCTATAGAGAAGCTTTCGGCCAGACCACTAATGTTTTTTCATGTCCCTTGCTTCGAACCATGGAGTTGTGGGAGTTGTGGGAGCTGCGGGGGTTTTGGTGTTTTTGGGAGCTGTGGGAGCTCTGGTGTTGTGGGAGTTGTGCTGTGGGATTTGTGCTGTGGGAGTGGTGTGTGGAAGTGATGTTGGGGAAATTGTGTTGTGGGTGCTGCACGGTGGAGATGTGTTGTGGAAGTTGGACTATGGGAGCTGTGTTGCGCGAGCTGTGCTGTGGAAGACATTGTGGGAGCTGTAGGATAGGGCTAAACATGCTTTTTTTTCTTGCTTCGCACCACCCCTTGCTGTCTGCCTGATTACACTGCCTAAAGCTTGTGCTGCTCCCTCCGGACAAGAGCCTTCACTACCCGAGGTAAAGACGCTGGCACTACGTCGAAGGGTTACCCTTTCAAAAAATTCAAAAAGTGAATTTTCTGGCTCTAGGCCGAGATGGAACATTAGCCCAGTGCGCAGCTCCTGGTATCACTCTAGGAAAATGCCCGATTGGTCGAACGAAACCCTTAAACCTTGCTGGGCTATCCCTTTCCAACTTCCAAGTCTCATCCCCCTAGGGGTAAAACCTTGCCCTAGATGTGAGCATGCAGTAGGCAACCCGACATTGCCTACCAGACCAAGTAAAACCCAGATGTACACACCTACGCCATTTTTATGTGTCAAAATCTTCAAGTAATGATCGAAAACCTTGCAATCAATGTTTTTCACTCCCAAAAATGATAGAAATTTCTCCATTTGGCACATATGTAAAAGGGAAAAAAGTCCAGTATCAAGCAGGGTCTATGTTTACACCAACCAAAAATTTTTCTATGACTCCAAACCATTTTTTAAACTCTGATTAATTTTTCAAAAACATATAGTCAATTGGTGGTATTATTTATTTATTTAAATAATTTTCAGCCAAATTGATAGAAAATTATACTTTTATATGTAAAAAAATAGGCTTATAAGCTAAATTAATAAAAAAATAGCTAAAACAGTATATGAACGATAATTAATAAAATGGGTTGCATAACAGGAAAATCCATGATACGTCCTCAAGCTCCAGGGCAGCGACTACTAAACACAGGCATTCCTGAGTTTGACAAGCTTTTCCATAAATGTGAAGTTCCTATAAAACTGATAACTGACTGCCGAGCAGATCTAGATCTATATACAACAGATTTTGTGAAAAGCTTAGGAGCACAAAGGCAATGAGAATTAAACCCAAGCATTCAAGAGCTGACCTTGATGATGCTTGTTATCCTTTCTACTATGGGAAAAGGCAATATGGATTCTATAGGCGTTTCTTATTCATCTGAAAGTCCTTACATTAGCGTCGACCCAAAAACCTTAAAGCGAGGTGCTAAGAAAATGATGAATTTTTATTATCAGCTTGTAAATTTTATGGCTGAACTTCCTACAAAGCTTGAAAAACTTGTAGGAGAACTCAATGGGCTCGTTATAAAAGCCCAAGATTTCCCCAAGGTGGTATCCGAAAAATCATTAGGTGTAATTTTTTTTTTTATTTTTTTAATTTTTATATTTTAAAAATTTTTTTTATCCGAAAAAAATGCGAAGAATTGAATTTTTCAATGAAGGATAAACTTTTGGCTATAAAAAATACAAACAGTAACTACAAAGAAATTTCCTCTGCACCGGTCCAATTGACTGAAATTCTCAGAATAACCGAAGAAGCAAGATCAAGAATTTTAGAAACCTGTGAGCAGGCGCAAATAGCTCCACAGTCAGACAGAATTATCAGCAGAGGAGTCCAAGCTGCCGCCGAAGGCTTATCAATGCCAAGCGAAATTGTGAATAAATTTTGGGCAGTTTGCTAGTGATAATAATAAAATAATTTTAAATGACTGAGTGCTACACACAAGTGTTTTGTTGGGGAAGCGATACCGCAGGCCAATTAGGTCCAGGTGATAAAAATCAAGGAAAAACTTTTTCAGTTCCTATATGTTCGAATTTTAATATAGTTTGAGTATCCTTATGGATCCTCAAGCCAAGATCATACTGCTAAATGGGCAGCTTGTAAAGTCAACTCCACTCTAAAAATCTGCGATATCTTGTATATTTTCCACATTGAAGTCTGACTTGACGACTGGAGTTGACTTTGCAAGCTCTCCATTTGGCAGTAGCTTAAGCAATCCAAACAGATGCTCAAGCTATAGCATTATTTTAGAAATTTCCTGTGGGGATGAGCACACAGTTTTTATATCAAATGAATATAGGGTTTTTTGTATGGGAAGTAACGCGTCAGGAAAATTAGGAATAAGTGATAGAAATCTTAAGCAGTCAAATTGGCCTGTTTTGGTTGAGGCTTTAATGGATTATCAGATAATTTCAATTGACTGCGGATCAAATCATACGGCTGCTATTAGTTCTAATGGGTTTTTATTTACGTGAGGAGAAGGGAAGTTTGGAGCTCTTGGAAATGGGGATACAGAAGATGTGTGAACACCAGATAAAATAAATCTTTCGTTTTCAGCGAAAAATGTGTCGTGTGGAAGTAGGCATTCTGCAGCAATTTTACAGAATTCGGCTGGGAATTTGTTGTTTGTGTGAGGGTCTGGGGATGCTGGACAGCTTGGGAATGGAAAAAGAGAGCTATGCAAAAATCCTGTGCAGGTGGATTTTGAAGAAAAAATTAAAAAAGTTTGCTGTGGAGTTTTTCATACTTTGATATACAAAATTCAGCTAATTTTTCAAAATTTATTGAAAAACTAGCCTATTTTCTATAAAAATTAAAATATTTTAATTTTTTTTTGATTAATAGTGATACTTATAGGTATAATTGATGAAAATAGCAATGTATATGCTATGGGAGGAAATAGCTTTGGACAGCTTGGAATTGGGAATAAAAATAGCTCAGTAATTCCTGTGAAAATTGAAAAATTAACTGGAAAAAATATTATTGATATTTCTGCCTGGACTCATTCTGGAGCTATAAGCAGCTCTGGAGAAATTTATTTGTGAGGGTCAGGGATATTTGGGGAATTTCTTTTTCCTGAAAAAATTCAAAATAGGACAGATTTTGTTTCAATTGATATTGGGAATGGGCATGGAGCTGCAATTGATAGAAATGGAGTTGTTTGGACTTGAGGGTCAAATATAGGAGGGGCATTAGGGACTGGAAATTTTGAGCCAAAATCGCAGCCTTTTCCAGTATTAGAAATCCAAGGGGTCCCTATAAAAGAAGTTTCCTGTGGAAATGGCTTCACAATCGCATTAGGCCGAGATATCAGCCAAGGCTCTCTAAATCAATCAAAAGTTATTCAAAATAAAGAAAAATCACCACAAAAATCCAATAAAATGCTAACTCCCCCCCCCTCCGTGAGTGAACAAAAAAATTTTGTTCACTCACGGAGGGGGGTTAATTTTTTTGTTTTAAAAAAATTTATATATAAATTTTTAAAAAAAATATTTTTTTTCGAAATTTAAAAAAATCCTAATTCGCAAGTATTGAAAGCAAATATTAATTTAATTTATAAAATTTATGTTTTAAAAAGCAATTCGTTTAAAATTAAACAGAATTAGCTCTATATTTCATTATAGTAATTATCATTTATATATCAAAAGTTTTTTCCATGAAAAATTTTTGTTCACTCACGGAGGGTGGGTTTTTGGGCAAAAAATAGGGATTTTTCTAATGGTTTTGTTCACTCACGGAGGGGGGGGAGTAACAAAAAAAATAGAGGAGCTTAAAAAAGAAATTTCAAAGCTGAAAAATGGCCCAGATGGGATCGATGATTTATTATACAGATTGAGCCAAACAGAAATCCGGCAAGAGCATTTGCAGCAGCTATATGAAGATGAGCATAATAAAAGAATTGAGCTAGAAGAATTATTAGCAAATTCAAGACTAGAAAATGAAGAAATACTAGAAAATTTAGCTGAAATGAGGAGCCAAAACGAAAGAGTTACTGGCGAAATTATTAGTGTAGAGGAGCAGCTTAATGAAAAAGTTATAGAACTCGCTGAATGTTTACAGAGTAAACAAATCGTTATGAATGATCTGCAGAATATGCAAGAGAAGTTAAAAGAAATCCCAGTGCTTTGGACAAAAATTTCAAATTTCGAAAATATGTTGATAAATTTGAGAAGAGAAAAATCGCAAATAGAAGAAAAATATATATCTCAAAGCACAATAAATAACTGCATAATTGAAGAAAATAAAGAACTCAAAATTTTAATTGAAAAAAGAAGAAAAGATATCGAAAATTTAAATTTACAAATAATTAATACAACTCAAGAACTCAAAGAAAAGCAAGATTTTTACGAAAATTCAAAATCCGAGTCTGATAAAATCGTTAAATATTTTACAGACAAATTAATAGATATAGAAAGCGAATTTAAACGAGAAAAACAATTATCCGAAGCTAAAATAAGCCAAAAATCAGAAGAAATTTCTAATGTAAATTACCAAATAAAGCAGCTGCAATTTGAAGCTTTGGATTTTCATCATCAAATTTTGGAGCAGCAGCAAGAAATAAAAAGGCTTTTATCAGTAATTGAAGAAGCAAAAATAAAAGAAGAGCAGCTCCAGCGGGCTTTAAGTGAAGAAACAAGGAAAAACAAAGCTTTTATAGCAGCAATTGAAAAAGAGCTGCAGTCAAAAGCGCAGAATCTCAGAAATCCTAAGTTTAAAGATGTGTTTAGATAACAGTTACTCAGAATGTATTGGAATAGTTGTATTAAGCAGATTTAAAAAGTAAGACAGCTAATTCATCTAAGAAAAAATAAATATAATGCCGCTCTTCATGGGTAACAAAAGTCCCAAAGCTGTTTCCTGTAATGCAATGCCACGTTGGTCCATATCTCCTATCAAAGTCTTTTTTTATATAGCCAGCTATATCTTTGAACACTGCCTCTGTTTGGATTGCTCTCACTGTGGATTCAATAGCGTCTTGCTGCATATCTTCAGACATGTCCGCACTTTTGATTATCGCTTTATAGTCGGCCATCTTAGAAAATTATTTAAACATCTTACTATTTTTTTCATGGGAAAAATCGAAATTTGTATATATAAAAATTTCATTTTAAAAATAAATTATTTTATTAGAAATAAGTTAGAGATGTCGAACTTTCCTGCAGAAATTATTCTCTTTATCTTTATGTCAATTCTTTTTACAGTAGCCTCTTATGAAATCAAAAAAAGATTTTATGTCCCTGTATCGCCTTGCTTGCTAGTATTTGGGACTTTAGCTAGGGTTATAGGGACATATTTTGGAGATTTAGGGCCTACAGTGTCATTGCTTGATGACCTTGACCCTGTAATAGTCCAGCTTGCTGTAATGCCAGCATTGATATTTGAAGCTTCCCTAGGCACAGATTGGTATACCTTTAAAAAAATTTTTTGGCAAATATTACCAATGGCGACTACAGTGGTCTGCTTAACCTCATTTCTTACTGCATGTGTATTAAAATACATGATGACTTATGATTTTGGCTGGAATGAATCATTAATGCTTGGAGTAATTTTAAACGCAACTGACCATGTCGCGGTCATGGCGATGCTAAAAGAGCTTAGAGCTAATGACAGGTTTGAAACTTTACTAGGTGGAGAAACATTATTAAATGAAGCGACAGTTGTCGTATTTTTTAATATTTGCTTACTGAATTTCTGGAGTGATTGAAAAAATTTTATTATTTTGAAAATTAGCCAAAAAGCAAATTTTTTTTCTAATATATATAATAAGTAAATACTATTTTATTAAAGATATTAAATTTAGACATGAATTTAGAAAGAATATAAATTTTATGTTATTCTATGAAATTCGAAACAAAAAAATGAACCTCCTAACGAATGAGAAGAAAAATTTTCCTCATTAACTGAGCACGGAGTTAGATAGTGCAGTTGGAGAAGTATTATTATTTCTTACGAGTTTTCCTAAAAATACCTTTATTTAATTTTTCTGGAAAATTCCAATAAATTTACTATAAAAGTTTCTGACCGATTTGTCTCATTTTTTCAATTGACCTTAGGAGGCCTCGGACTTGGCCTTGGGTTTTCATTAGCATTGGCATGGTCTATTAAAAGAATAGTCAACGACATGAGTCAAGAAATTAACCTTACTGTAGTCACCGCCTATGTGCTATTTTGGCTTGCAGACCACAAAGCAGGCTGCTCTGGAGCTTTAGCTGTAGTTACCCTCGGTCTTTTTATGTCATCATACGGAAAAACCTTAATAAGCCCATTAGTAGAAAAAAGTTTACATGACTTTTGACATATAACTGGGGTAAATATGGAAGCTATCGTATTTATTCTCGCAGGGATGCTTTTGGGTATGCTTATTGCAGATACCAATAACCTCGGAATTAACGAGGTTAGCATGCTTCTTGCCCTATTTGTGCTGCTTCATATAGTAAGAGGTATCGTTGTATGGATCCATTTCCCTATCCTTAAGCGGCTCGGATATGGGTTGAGTATTAAAGAAGCATTTATTATGACTATTGCAGGAATAAAAGGCGTTATTGCCACTGCACTTGCCCTGATAGGCTACCATCACTCTGATTTAAATGAAAGGTTTAGATCACTCTTATTGTTTTTTACAATAGGAACTGTGGGGTTAACTATCCTTGTGGACAGTTTTGCAGTGAAATTTTTTGTAAGAAAATTTGGGATGGATACTTTAAGTGAGGTACAAGAAAATATGATGCTGGGGGTAACAACTGCAGTGTTACAACAGACTGCGAAAAAGGTGGAAAGGATTAGGTCGCTCAAAGAGTTCAATTTGGTGAAATGGGATGAAGTTATGAATTTAGCGGGACCGAAATGTCTGCTGAACCAAATAATGAAGCAGACTAAGGTTGGGAAAAAATTATGATATGATATAATAATTAATAAAAATTTTTTATTTTTTTGGAAATAATCCAAATTTATGGAGATAAGAATATTGAAAAAATACCCTCATGATACTCCGGAAGAGTTATTAGAAAAATATGTGAAAAAATTCAATTTGACTACAAGTGTGCTTACTACTGAGACACGCAGAAGATTTTTTACTACGTTAAAAGGGATTTATTGGCATGAATTTGAAGCTGGACAATGCTTAGGGTATACAGTTTTAATTTTAATTGACTCTTGCAACCAGGCTCTTGACGTTGAAAATTCTGCTATGTGTGATTGGGAAATCCTTGAAAAAGAAATTTATAACCCAAAACTCATGAATTTTTTAAGAATTTCTTCAAAAATACCTATTATTGGAAGACTTTTTAAATACATTTTGTATGAAAGAATCACATTAACATATGATGCTGCATCAACATTTATAAAATCTCATGAAGAAGCTCAGGAACTTATAGACCAAATGGAAATTGATATAGACGAACTGATTTTTCATGAAGTCATGAAAGAGTCACACATCCAAATAGAAAGCTGCAAAGAGTTTATAGGGACTCATATAACAGAAAATTATCCTGAAGTCATTGCAGAAGTCCAGTCAAAAATGGCTTCTCATACACTTTTACTATCACAAAGAAAACTTATCAGTAAAATTTACCATCAAGGTGTTATTAAGAAGGTAGAATATGACCATTTATTGACTGCAATTGACCATAACATGAAAAGATTGACTTTTCAGTCGACTCCTCATGTGCCTTCTATTAAAGAAATGCTTAAAAATCGCTTCCGCAAAGCGAAAGCCAAAGATATAGAGCAGCTGCTTCCTTATATAGAAGAAAAGCATTTTCAGCCTGATGTGATGCTATTTGAAGAAGGGCAGCCTATAAATGGTGCTTATCTGATATTTAATGGAAGAGTTAGGGAATTTGGAAATTGCATAAATAAAGAACTTTCTATAGGAAACATCGCTGGAGTCCACCATTTGCTTGTAAATTGCCGTGGGAATACTACAACTGCTGTTACTTTAAGTGTAGTTTATGCTGCACTTATTCCACCTTGAATAAGTGAAAAGCATGTATTTATGGAAGATTTGTATAAAGAAGCAGCTGAAGAAGTTTTATTACTAAATAAAGCCAAATTAGGCTTAGAAGAAGCAAAAAATGAGCACATTTGCAGGGTCGCCCAAAGATCAATTGTTAGACACGTGCATGAAGGCTCATTTATTGACCTAAGAAGAGGTGCGCTTGTATTATGAGGAAGAGTAAAAAAGGATAAAGAAGAATTCTCATTGCTTCCACCAACCAAAAAGATTATCCAAAGTGCTGACGAAGCTATAGTAATGCTGTTTCCAGCCCATTTCGGAGGCATCCTAAAGCAGCATAAGTCAATATCAGCTGCTTTTGCAAGCTATTATATCCGCTCAGCTTCAAAAAATGTAAACTTAAACATCAAAAATCCTGCTTCAGATGAGCTGCAAGGCCTTAACACTACCTTAAAGCTTCAAAAACGTGAGGTGCTTAGGACGAAAACTGATGAAGAAAAAGACTAAAAATTTTAATCAAAAAAATTCTCACTTAAATTATTATTCCTAAATAATTAATAATTGACCCATTTTTGTCTTAAAAATATTTTTTTTTATTTTATTTATTTCAGTATAAAATTTTTCTATGATAAGACCAAAAACAAGTAACGCCACGTCTGAGGACAACCCTTTTGCAATCCACCTAGTCCCACGCTATGACGTCAGTGGCTATCCTACAAAACCTCTTACAGCTAATAATGTCGGCAAATATCGATCTCCACCTGGATGAAGTCCTCCATTCTCAGCAGGAAAAACCCAAAAAGACTTATTTGAAGAGCGAAAACAAGAAAAAATTCCAGACCCTACATATGATTTAGATAGGGACGGCTATGTAAGTGTAGAAGACTATTATGTTTCGTCACGTTTTGACGTAGACAAAGATGGGAAATTAAGCAAATCTGAACGGGAAAATGCAGAAAAAGCGATTTCTGAAGGGCGTTGTAGTGAAAACCGATGGGGGTTATTAGCGTATCAGCCCAAGCCTCGTAAGCCTCAAACTACCACAGTAAGAATTGAAGATATAACTGCTATAAGAGGAATTTCAACTGATAGAGGATTAATCAAAGCTAGAATGGACCTTTGGGGTTATTTCACCTCCGCCGACACAAGTTTCAGACCCCAAAAACACCAAGGTATGTGTCTGATAATTCGCCATTTTATTTGTATGTCAACTGATAGAGAAAGATAAAGTTTTCAGCAACTGCAAGACACAAAAAGAGCTATTTGATAAAAGAAAAGCAGAAAATAGAGCTATAGGGCATCAAGCTATCGAACAAATTGGAGAAAACCAGATCAGGGTGGATTATTTGAGACCTCTACCAGAAGGGTATAAAGAAAATCCAATGTAAAATCCATGCAGATTTAAAACGCAAAATTTCAAAAATCTAGCTGATAGGAATATTGCGAGATCAGCTGCAAGCTTAGAAGTGCCGTCTGATATCAAAGTGTCGCCTTATGAGATCTCGATGAATTTCAATAACAAACCGCATTCGAAAACTCAAAAAGAGCTGCTTGCCTTAAGAAAACATGAAATGGTAAATAATATTTAGCTTAACTTTTTTATTTAAAACTTTTTTTTTTAAAAAAAAATATTTAAATAATTTTTATTTTTTTTTTAAAAAATATAAAGTGAGGTAGAGAATTGCACGAAAAGAAAAATTATAACCACATATCAAGAGAAGCTCGTATGAATGAACGCGAAATGCAGCGTTTATCAATAATTACAGATGAAGACAACTTTTTAACGTGAAATAAGATTAAAAATGCAAGAAAATTAGAGACGAATTCATATAACCAGAAAACTTTTGCAGCGCTTAGAGTAGGGATGCATGGAAAAGAGCTCCCTCATTATACTGATACCTTAAAAGAGTACTGGAAAATTAAAGACAGTTATGACCCAAACCCAGAGAATAATTCCCGCACACTTTTTTCAATGAAGCAGAAATTCTGGGCGCCTAAAGACAAGTATAGAACAGCTGATGCAACTGGGGATGCCCCTGAAATTACGACTGAATATACCGCGATCCCTAAGCCTGAATTAATTGTAGCTGAAAAAATAAATCATTTATGTCCTTTTGAAGGGTTTGATAATGATGAAGAAATTGATCCAACAAAAAATCGTAGAAGGCCTAACACAAAGTATAGAATGAGCATAAATAATTTTTTAAAAAAATCTCAAATAATATAAAAAAAATTAATTATAAAAAAAAAAATTCCAATGAGCACTGTTGTTAATTATTTTATCAAAACTTCAGCTGACATGGGATTTAACCAAAGTGAAGAAAAAGCGAAAACTGTAGAAGAAGTCGTGACAAAAGGCCAAGATAAGAAAAAAAAGAAAAGAAAAGAAGCAAAAATTGACAGGACACAGATGAATACTTATAGCTCCCAAGGAACAAAAATTACAAGGTCTGGGAGCGCACCAATGCTAATAAAGAAAAGTATGACCACCACAAACTCAGACTCTGTTGTGAGATCCAAAGGGTTTATTTTTTAATAAATTAGAATTTTTACCAATATAAATTTAAAGATAATAAGAAATTTCTTTAGCAAGTGACATAGGAATTTTAATTCCTTTTTTCGCTATAATAAATACAAATCCTTTCCTATATTTTCACCTCCAATTAGCATATAAATATTTTTCTACATAACTTTTCATTTCAAATTCTTCTATTTGTGTATCATCAATTGCTTTAAAAAATATATTAATTTATAATAAATAGAAAATTTTTCTTATGATAAAAAAATAATTTTGATTTATTATAAATGGCTTTATCTCATCTAATAAAACATTATTTTCAATAAGCATTTTCAGACAATCCAATCTTCCATGCTCTACACACAATATAGCAGGAGACCTCTCTAAGCCATCTAATTTATTAACATCAGCACCTTTAGATATTAAATATTCCAAAAAATCTTTATACCCATACCTGCAGATTTCATGAATTGCACAGCTTCCATATAAATCTTGGTTTACTTCAAAATTTTCAGTCTTTAACAGCTTATCAAACATTTCGACGTTATTTGCTGAGAGTAGCTGCAATGCTGAAAGTTTGGTCGCTGCCCTAACTTTTTTATCCATTTTTGAATATTTCTAATAATTATAACAATCTGTTATTATTAAAATTGGAGTTTTGGCTTTGAATAATACTCTTTTCCAGCTTCTCCGTAATCCCCTGACTCATTTTTGCTATAGTCGTATTCAGAAAGCTTTCCTTTATCCCCTGATAGGTCAATTTCTGCCTCTTCTAAATTCCCATAATTTCCTTCGTCAACCATCCCTGCCTCTTCTTTTTCGCTTTTATTTTTTTTCTGTAGTGCTGTGACTGTTCCTTTTAATTCTTTAATTTTCAAACTTTTTAATTGGGATTCTTGTTCTTTTTCTTTTAGTTTCTTTTTTAATGCTAAATCTTCGTCTTGCAGGACTTTTAAATTTGCTTCGGCTTCTGTTATGTATCTTTTGCCTTTGGTCTCTTCATAATTAATATGGAGGTGATAATTAAAATATATCATTGAAGAAGATGACCTTGCTTGCAAAAGTTACTTTATAGCATAATTAAGGCTCAGGCCTTTGGATTCTAGCTCTTGCCCTTGGACGGTAGGACTTTAAGGGTCGGTAAACTTTGGGAGTAGCGGTGACTCTAAACCAAATATTAGTTATCCGGATGTTTTTTTGGCTAATTATTTTCGCTACCAGTTTCAAAGGGCATGGTTCCTTTTTTCTTGGGTCACCTCTCCCAAAAGTGGCCTTCAAAAGGTATCGGGCTAACAATTACCTTCATAGCACCCTATGACATACTAACAGGGAGACTTCCTTGGGAATCACATTGCAAGCTCTGCTACTATAGAAGACCATTATTCTAATTAGGCTGACGTTGATCAGAAGCGTGAGGCATCAACCTAGAAGACTTTAAAACTCTTAATTTGGCCTCTTCAGTAGCAATAGCTTTATTTAGCACTTCTTGGCGTCTTTTCAGCTCAGTAAGCTCCTCTTCTTCTTTTGACTTGGACTCAGATTTATTTTGCGGTTTTGGAGCTTTTCCAGTAGCTTCTCGTATCCTGGAGTCCAATGTGACCATTTTTTTGTGGTCTTCACGCCATTTGGCCTCTTCAGTTTTCATTGTTTCTAGGACTTCTCTGTACTCGTCTTTGGCTTCTTTTATTTCTTCTTTTAGTCTATTAATTTTGTCGATGATACTTTGGCCACTGCTGATGTTTTCCATATGAGATTCTTGGTCTTTTTGGACCTTTGATAAAGTCTGCTGCTCGTTTTCAGCTTGTTTTAGCTGAGATTTGAGGTATTTTAGTTCATTTTCGAGTTCAGTGGTGTTGGAATCGGAGTTTGCAGCGATCTGGACCTGCAGCGCTGAACGTTCATTTTTGAGTTTTTTGATTTTTGAGTGTAAAACTTGGAATTCTCGATCTTCTGATTCAGAACTGAAGTTTGGACGTTTGGCTTGAATCGTAGCTTGTTTTTGGTTATTTATAGCAGATTGTAAAGCGGTTCGTAGCTGAGAAAGCTCAGATTTAAGCTTTTCATTTTGCTGCTTTAGCTTTTGGACTGCTATTTTAGGGTCAACATGCTGAGCGGTTTCTCCCATTTTCGCTTATAATTATAATTTTAATTATTTATCATTATTTTAAGATTTTTATTATTTTCATAAAAACTCTTACTCCCCAAAATTTTTTTATGAAATTTAAAAAAATTAATTTGTAAAATTTATGTTTTAAAATGCAAGCTGTTAATTAAATTAGATAGAAATTTATTAGAATACTTATATATCACAATATTTTTTCATAAAAAAATTGGCAAAAAATAGAGATTCTTCCAATAGCTTTATTCGCTCACAGAAATGGGGGAGTTAATAAATAATTGAAAATCCTTATAAATCTTCTTAATTTTATCTTAATTCAGAACAATTTTTCATACATTTAAAATGGAACAAGCCCTTATCAATATCAGAGGTCTTCACGAATGAAAATTACATTATGTAGACGGGCTCACGCCTTTAATTTTAAACAATCACCGAAGATCCCTTGTGGGATTCAATCGCTTTGCGACCTTCCTTTCGTCAGGCCTCCTCCTTGTCTCTTGTAAAAGAGTCCAGTGTTGAGTGGGCAGTCTACGGGTTTGTGCGGCCTCCTGAGGCTGAGGGAATACGAAGTTGGCATTCCAAATAATGGAATTTCTGGTAGCCTGTCGGCAAAAGGGTGAAGTTCAGATCCTGGGACGTAACGCCCAGTTTCACGCTAGACAGTTGTCCGATTGGTCTAGGGGTTACCTGTAGACCTTGCTGGGCTTGCCCTTTCCAAGTCTGAACCCTCCTTTCATTCGAGGTAAAAACCAGTCTCGAAGTCGGACTTGGGCTAGGCTCTGCTACCTGCAAAATTGATTAAGATAGCATTGCTGTCCATTTCAAGGCTAGAAAAACCTTGCCGGATATAATTAAAATATGAGTCGAGGATGTATGGCCGTGAGGCCATACCTAGACCAAGACGCCATATTTTAATTATCCTTCACGAATGAACAAAGCGCACACTTTTTGATAACAATCATGAGAAACTTGACCAGCTTTACACAAAACTTTCAGAGCAAATGGACGTAATTTTTGGCTTCTGGGTATCATTTAATCATCCAGAAATGCTTTATGAAATCATCTCACTTTTGCTTCCAACGAGCCAAAATAACCTTTTCACTGCTTTGTGGAAAAATGAATCGCAGCATTATATGCACCCGTTTCCTATAGCAAACTTGCCAAATTATATACAAAAAATTATTTTTAAGCGAGAAATCAATGATTTGCCAAGCTTTTATAGGGCACAAAATATCGGTTCAGGCCTATTATTTTTAATGATATCTCTTTCTCTATTTTTTAGCTAAATTAATTGCTATTTAATAAAAAAATAATTTTTATTCAAAAGAAAACCATTAAAATTAATTTTCTTAAAATTTTTTTCCAATAACAAAAATATCATTTTAGACCAAGGAATTATCGTTCTCCCTACCCAGCAATATTACTTATTTAAATTCATGTACGAAGCTACCAAAACCACCCAGCGGCAAAAAATTAGCTGGTCTGAAAATCCACTATTTCTGAACGCTTTATACGACTCACCATTTTTGATTCTCTACTCACAAATGATGCTTTCCCTTGACGAAAAATCATTAGGTTTATTAGTATTTTTAACCGACGAATACTGCTTAAAAGACATCGCAATCTGTGAGAGCCCGCCTAATATGCCATCACGGCACAACTGTGAGATAATCTACATCATGACTTATATTTTACAGAGCGAAAAGCATTTATTTAAAGCTAAACACCGGCTTTATTCGATTTCTGAGTCAAATTTGCTGTTTAACTTGCAGGACTCTTATTATTGATTTTTTAAAAATTCAGCCTTAAAATGAAGAGAAAGCTATATGAGCTATTGTGCGTATTTAGCAGAAGTCTGGATAAGGTATTTAACACCCTGGGAGCAAAATTTAGTTTTAGAGGATTTTTTGACTAATGATTTTTTGAACTTAAATTCAAGCAAAGTCTCAGCAAAATTCGAAGTCATCCAAAAAACGTCGCCTGAATTTGAATTCTGGGGAGAATATATAGAAACAAATCTATTATTTTATACTGAACTTTTTGAGTACTTTTTACGACTTTTGTGCTCAGATTTACTATTCAGATCAGGAGATATCAATCTTCTCAATAGGATTTCTAAGCTTTATAAGCCTGATAGTGAAGGAAAACTATTCCACACACATATAAATTTACGGTCTTTGGAAGAAATGAGCAAAGGAGGAAGCTTGACACCGATTTTGGAAAGCAAAATGGCAAAATATCGGGTCGCTAGAGGTGTTTTATATCCTTTTGATAGTCCTAATGTAAAAGCTACAGCAGAAAATTTGGTACATAAAGCTTTAAATACAGGCTGCAGAGAAGCAGTAAAGGTAAAAAATCATTTTGTAGCATTGATGGGGATTAAGATTAAGATTAAGATTACGCTGGGTATTTAAGGTCCCTACTACGTCCGAGGTCGTATGCCACGGTTTCCCGTGTGGTGGCAGAGCGTTCACCAAGCCCGGGCCGAAACCCCCGGTTTCTCGGTAGAGGTATTGTCAAGGGCCGTCTTATACCGGCTTTGCTGACCACCTCCATTTCCAACTTGGATCGTCGCCTAAGTTTACGCCAACTCCGCTTCGTCGTCCGCCAGATCTGCCCATTGAAGGGCACCTTTTCAACCGAGAGACCCCCCGTTTTGGTGTCTAACTCGCCTCCCCTCTTTTCCGGTCATCCCGAGAAAGAACTCAACAGCTTTCGCCATTCGGGGCGAGCCACTAAAGCAGCTTAGGCAGGTAATTCACCCTGCCTCATTTCGGGCACTCACTGGGCTGAGCGCTGCTGGCAAAAAGAAGTCACGAATAACTGCCCATGGGTCTGGTCGCAAAAACAGCCGTTCTCGCGCTTGGGCCTCTCGCCTCGAGGTCCCAGACGTTGTTGGGCTAATTCCCTGGCTCCAAAAACCATGCCCGGATATACATGGGTAACCACCACTGAGAGGGTGGGTCGGTCGCCATACGCCATTTTATGTATTCCATTGATGGGGATAAGAGTAAGCCAACAGCCACAGTTGGTAAGTATGAAGTGGAGGGCTCCGCCTGATAAAAAATATTTAATGAATGTGTGGGAGCGGCCTTTGAAGTCGGATGAACTATGGATATTATTGCTTTTGGTAAGAGGAATTGCGTGTGGAATTGATAGGATGAGAGGGGTGGATACGTGGCCGCCTACGACTGATTTGAGATTTTTTGCGAGTTATAAGAATTTGTTGTTTTTAGCATTCATGGGACTACTGCTGAGCATTTTGATAAACATTTATAAGGATAAATAAATAATAGAGATTCTTTAATTAAATTTTCGCGATTTCCTTACTTTTAAAATTCTTCCTTAAAAGTCTAAAAATTACTAGCTCCATTTTAAGAGAGTGAAAGATTAAATTTTATTATCAAAAATAAATTAATTTGCAAATATTTTAAGAGAAAAATATTGATAAATTTGTGTTTAAGAAAGCAAATTGTGTAAAATTTTAATAGAATTAGCTAGAAATATTGTTATAACAAATTATTAATTTGAGATAAAAAAATTTATATCAAAATTATTTTGCATACTCTTGAAGGGGTTTAATTTTCTCATAAAAGGAATTTTTCCTATAGCTAAATACCTCTTAAAAGGGAGAGTAATAAATTCCCAGACATTTCATATTTTTAAAGTATCATCAGAGTCGTATAAAAATTTTTTTGTCCAAATCCTATTAGTTTTCCTCTATGATTAATATTTATTTACCCAAAAATCATACTTTATAAAAATTTTTTATTAAAATTCCACACTTCCATAAAGTGCATAAAAAGTTTAAATGATATCAATACCGAATAAAGAGACTCAGCAGACTATTTACCTAACCATCCGTTTAATTGAAGCTAAGTTTGAAAACAACGTAGTTCGATTAGGAAAAATGAGCCCTTATGCTGAAATTCGACATGGTGAGCAGATCTGGAAATCTCAAGCCGCTGCAGGACAACATCTTTCTCCTCACTGAAATCAATCCTGCACCTTTATTTCAAAAAGCTTATTTCCCTACTTTTCTCTTGTTTAACGTGCAAACCCTTTCGAAAGTCTTTATTTTTGGGAAATCAACCCTTAGTTCTCAAGCAAAATTATTTAATTATAAATTATTGTGATATATAATTAATAATAATGAAGTTTAAAAGAAATTCTATAAAATCTCTAGCTTCTATCATCCTACAACATTAATTTTCAAATAAATTAGATTTTTCATTTAAATATTTACAAATCTTGAGAATTTAATATAAATTTTTTAAAACAAAAATATCTTCTTTGGTAGCAAGCAAATATCAGTCGCTAACCAAGAGTAGGGAAGTTAGAAATTCGATTCCTACACAAATCGAGAATCTTTTCTGATGTAGAAATAGCAAAAATTACTATAAATATTGATCAGTCAACCCGCAAAAAAGGTGCCAGTTGATGAAATTTAGCAGAAGGCTCTGGACGAGTTTTATTATGCTTTATATGAGACCTAGCAGAAGAAATGCGTAATTCTGGGGTTGATTATAAAAAATTAATCCAGGAGGTGGAGCTTGAAAAAGAAGAAGTAAAATTTTATAAGAAAAAAACGCAACAAAAGCTATGGAATTTAAAAATTGAGAGCAATTCGTGCAAAAAACATATAAAAAAGGCTACGAATACAGAAGAAAGCACTCATTCAGATACAGAAGAATCAAATTTAAAAAGCCCAAGAACCAGTTTTGGGAGAAATTCTGGTAAAATTGATAGGATTAGAGAATATAAATAAATATAGTGTCTTGCCCGGGTACAAGCACATATTTATTTATATCTGGCAAGGTTTTGCTGGCCAAAAAAAAAATCATGCTAGGCCAACAGGGCAATATCCAGCGTGAAACTAAGAGTTTGCCACAAGCTGTTTTGGGATTCTTGAGTGCAAAACCTTGTTCTACCCAAGCAGCAGTGCAACTCAGTACCCTGCCCACTCAGCACTGTAGGCTACGAAGCAAGGATGGAAGACAGCGCCATCGAACTTAACTTTAGAAGATCATAACGTCAGAGCCGAAGGGATATCAAAGAGGAGTTCGAGTCGATATGCCAAGCGAATTCTTGTACCAGATCAAACAAGTTCTCCCTGGAGACGGTACAAAGTGGGTGAATTCTCTATGGATCCTTGGCGACTGCGTCAGCAATAGGCAGCAGCCAGACCTGTAATAAGTTTAAGAAAGTATTAGAGAAGAAAGAGAAAAAATAAAAAACGAGTATAAAATGATGATGGAAATAAGGAAAAAAGCCAGCAGAGAATATGAAGAAATTATGAAAAAGAAAGCAGTTATGAGAAGGGAAATGGAAAATAAAGGGATGCCAAGAAATAGCTCAGAAGAAAGAATAAGCCAAAAAGAAGAAATCCTAATTTTCCCTTACAAAAATAATTAAAAAATAATTTATTTTTTAAAAAAAATTCCAAATACTTATAGTATAGAAATTGCCCCACACGGGAATCGAACCCACGTGTGGGGCCATTTTTGGTACGTGTAAGTCGATGTTTTACACATACCAAAAATGGCCCACACACGTGGGTTCAATTCCCGCTTAGGGCCGGTTTTTTGAATTGCCCGAGGATGGCGCAAAATAGCGCCATCCTCGGGCAATTTCTATATATTATCAGGGTTAAGCAAATATTCTGAAATAAAGCAAGTAAAAATGACTTTGAAAATGAAAGAAACTATTATCGAAGAGGATACACATACAATTATGAGCATGTTTGAGCAAATCCAAAAAGAGCGTGAAGAATTAGATTTAAAAAAAAGTGTTGCGAATTTTGAGAATTTCAAGCCTATTAGAGTGTAATATCTGTGCTAATTTAAAAAAATTAATAAAATATTTTTTATAATTTATTATCTTCAGAGTTAATTTTTTTATGATCATCCATAGGCAAAAGAACTGGCAAAATTAATAATTTTGTAAACCTTTTTCTTTCATTATTTAAGTATGGAAAATAATAAAAGAAAAATAAAAGGCATAAAGCAATTGAATAAGTTACTGTACATATAATAATATTGTCTAGTTGACTGTTTATTAAATCCTTTGAATTTTGGTCGACGAGAAGAAATTCAGATCCTATTTCTGCTTGTATAGCGCGAATATAATCTACGTATCTAGATATGTCTAAATAATCCACAGTTTTTTGCTTACCCTTAATAACTTATTTAAAATAAAATATATTTTTATAAAAATAATGTAGGCAATAATTAAAATAATTGCATAAAAAAAGTTAGAAATATTATAAGAGTCAAAAATTGCAGAGCTTGAAGCTGTTGCAGTCCCATAATGCAAACCAGTAAAATTCGAATCCAAACTCTCATAAATCTGCTTCATTAATTTTTTTGACATTATATCTTCATATTTCTGGCTTCTCAATTCTCTGCTTTTTTCATTAATTAACGCAATAGATTGTTGAAACATCACGTTAGAATTAGGAAACTCATATAAAGTTGGAAAAGTTTGAGATAGATAAGGAATCAGCTATATATTTTTCCTCGGGGAATTTCCTATAAAAAGATTTTCTGTAGCATTTTTGTTTGAAAAACTTTTCCTTGTCATTTTTTTGTAGAGTAAATACAGATGAGGAAAAACTTTCGGCCAAATCGTGAGTCGAGTAATATCTGTCGAGAAAAAATCACGATTAAATGATTTTCTACAAAGGAGTCATCAAATCTCTTGCAAAAAATCCGACTCGAGTAAGTAGAGCTCTTCTTATGTTAAAAATTGCTTAATCCCCCACTTAAATTTGAACAAAACATAGTGTTTAGCCCCCTTTAAATTTTTTTCGAGGATAAAGTCCATTTAGATTTTGCATAATTTAAGGAAAAAAATGCAATAGAGTATTATTTAAACAGCATTCACACTGAAACGGTTATTTTTTTCAATTAATTTATATAAAAACAAATTAAAATTCAAAAATCTTTTTTCAATTTATTTTCTTATCGAAAAAAATTTAAAATAAAAAAAATTAGCCCCTTTAAATTGGAACAGAAACTTTTGTTCCTAATTAAAGGGGGGAGTCAATCCCCCCTTGGGCAACAAGTAAATATTTCTTGTTATCAGGGATTATTTTTTTTTTTAAAAATTATTTAAAATAGGTTTTGGATTCTAAAATTACAAATCAATACAAAATCTATTTAATTTATAAATATTATTCATATAAAGTGTTTTAAAATTTAATATTACTAAATATTATAAATCGAATTATTTATTTATTAAAAATTTTGCTCCTTAACAATTTTTTCTAATTGTTTTTGCTTAGCAATTTTGGACGGTGAATCATAGATCTTTCACATTTTTGATAATAAAAATACACAACAAGATAATAAGACGCAGCTATTGCAAAAAAAATCAATAACCTTCATATATATTTTTTATTGATATCTGTTTTTATTCTTGTGCTTTTATGGATATTTCTTACTCCCCCCCATCCTTGATCGAACGATTGACTGTAAAAATTCCTAAAAATTGGGAAAATTAACCCCCATCCTTGATCGAACGATTTTCATATCATGCAAATTTTTATATATATAAAAATATATTAGTTATCAAAAGCTTGGGAAATGTGCCTAATGAAGTTGTTTTCAGAGACTTTGAGACGACAGAAAGCTACGAAATCAACCATTCGAAGTGATTTAGTCATCAACCTAGGCTTAAAAACTCAATAATCTAATAAAATAGAGATTCTTTAAAATTTTAAAAAACAAATCAAAAATTCAATAAAGAACAAATCAAAATTTATAAAGTTTAAAGGGGTAACCAAAAAATCAAAATATTAAAATTAGTATTCTTATGAAATTAATTCAATTTTTTGCTGTAAAAATAATTATTAAATACTCTTAACCCTCTTAATTAAAAGTATAAAAAAAAAAAACATATTATTTTTTTTATTTTATATATATATATAAATTTTTTTACCCAAAAAATTTTTTTTTAACCCCCATCCTTGATCGAACGATGGCGAGTCGTTCGATCAAGGATGGGGGGGAGTTAGGTCATTTTCTATGTTTTCTGAGCTGAAATCAATCCCATGACACGCAAAAAGTCTATCAATTGCCTCTCGTTTTAATTTTATTAACGACACTTGTGAGTTATTCAGCATAAAATTCCAAAAATCATCATAAGACTTACTAGCCATCACTATATACCCAATTATAACAGTCACAAAAAGCGCTAAAATGCATACCCCACTAACCAGGAGCACCCCAATATTTGTCCCAAATGTATTTACTCTGTCAATTTCGCAATCCACCAGCCCTTTCATAGTCAAATTGGAATACTCATAAGAAAAATCTGCACTATTTATAATAATAAACTTCACATATTTTATAAAATCCTCACTTTTATTAACAGCCAAAATTAAGTTTTGTCACTAAATTTCAATTACGTTGAAAATAAACTTATCGACCACATTATAAAGATTTTCTTTACTCTCTCCTTGATTAGTGAATAAGCATTTTTGTTGTTATTGGATGGCTTTAAAATTTATTTTTTTATTTATAATAAAATGTTTAAAATCAAGAATTTAATTAAATTTATTTTTTAAGTCTAAATTTAATATAATCCCCTTTATTCTCATTATTAATTATATATTATGTTCGTTAAGAATAGGTAAATAAAGATTTTTTCAATGATTTTTTTTTCGCTAGTCAGGTAGAAATTAGTTATTTCAGGAGGTGTTTTATCAAAAGACCACATTGGTATGATCGGATTTCTCACAATTTCTGAGCTAGAGCAGTAATTCCACTGGTCATAATCAGTAAAAATATAATTTTGGACACTCATTAAATCGTCAGCCATTTCTTGGGCTTCTTCTAGACGATGTGTTTGCTTATAAACTCCCCCTTGCACTTCTCTATGCAAAACCCTGGCTAAGTCTGAAGAAACACTTAAATCGTATAATAATTGTCCTAAATGGGTAAAAATTGACAGAGAAGTTGTATGGGACACATCAGTGATCATATAAGATAAAATCGCGATAACTGTAACAATGACTGATAAAATCTAAATTATTTTTTACAGTAAAAAATAGCACATATTGAAGGACTCTTATTCTCAGCTTTGAAGATATTATTAACCTTTGGGCGTGTCCTATATAAAAATTACGTGCTCTAGTCGAAAGTTGGTTAATTTCATTGACACTTGTGGCGCCTGATTTTTCATCAAAAGTATCAAGTTCTCGGCTTTCTCCTACAAAATTGCTGATTTGTGTCGGCATTTCTGAGTCTTCTTTTAGAGACTTGGATAAAGACGTTATAAATTGATTAACTGTATGGTGCCTGACCCTAGAAGGTTTCCTCATTAATTTTTTTTCAATAATTTGTGATGGTTCTTCAGTATCATCAATAATGGTAGAATTTCCATAAAATTCAATCTGGTCAGGGTCTTGGCCGTCTTTTCACCTTTCTATTTCTTTTTCGTCATGAACAATCATAATAAAATGAAGGGTAAGGGAATTCATATGCTTTATTGTATGGATAATAGCCACTTCTCTGTCTTCGAAAGGGACTAGTCATGGCTCAAAAGGCTCCATACGGTTAAAGTCAAGCATTGGGAATAAATTTGATATATATTTATTCCTAACGCTTGAGACCTCTGAGTCAACCCACAATGTGAAAAATTCTGAATGACAATAAATTAGCCCATCTTCAGAAATTAATGCGATTTCTCGGCTTGAAATTTTTTCTTTGAATGATAATAAAAAATAAGCGTGATTGTGAAAAGCTGTTAGTTTTATCAGGATATTGCACTCGCGGAGATGGCCTTGCAGAGTCAAAAGAGGAAGATTTTTGTGATAAGGGATATCTTATCTTAGGCTTAATTAGCAGATGGTTTTGGCTGGTAGTGGTTATGCAGCCAACAAGGACCCTTGAGGGTTTTATCCGCTTTGCGACATTCCCTTGGTCAGTTGATGACTTGATTGGCAAGTTGTTTAGGACACCATCTTACTCTTGCTCCAGACTGGTGGCATAGATCCTGGTATCGCGGTGAAACCCACCTTAAGGGTTGAAGGACTTTGTCAGTTTACTTCTTTAACTCAAAACCTACCTGATTATACATAACGGCACTTGAATTTTGACTGATTTCTCGCCCAGCTTGCCTCAGCCATAAGGTTCAGAAAGCATCGTCAAGAGGTCGGGTGTGGTCAGACCGCCATTTATATATTGGGCAAGAAATATCAATACTATGGCAATGCAAAAAATAATTTTTTAAATATTCTTCATGCAATATATTGTATGGAGGAATAATAAAATTATTAAAAGAAGTTCCAAATGCGTCAGTTACTGAAGTTTTTAAAATTTGGGCAGCTTTTTCATTTAGATATACTATGGCTCCTAGAGATGTGTTTGATGCAGAAATTAGGATTGTTGCGATATCTTTGCCATATCTTTCAAGCTTTTTGTCTTCTGAGTGGAGGTTATATAAATTAATCCCATGCTTTTTTCTATTAATAATTAATGCTTCTTCGTGATTTCTTATTCCACAATTAAAAATAAAAAAATATTTTTTTCTTTTTAAAAAATAATTAAATCAATTTTTATTAAATATATATAAAGAGTTAGAATATTGTCTAAAAAGCTTCCATAAAGCTCAAAAGCTTCAATATTTTTGTATTTTTCAACGATACTTTTATATTCTTTTTTGATTTCAGTAATATAATCGTAGCTTTGATGAGCCAAGTGTAAAAGTTTAGGAAGCTTTGGCGTTCTTGAAGAGAATTCAGCTCTTAATTCTACCAAAATGCAGCAAAGCTCTTCATCTTTGGTTTTAACTTTGCTAAGTTTCTTGAAGATAAATTATTACAGGTAACGACTTGCCTATTGGTAATATAGCAACCAAGGGTCCTCGCTGGGGATTCACCCTTTTTGAGAAGTTATCATGGAGAACTTGCTCAAATGAGATGATAATTCGCTGGGTAGCCAAGGTTCTAACATCACCCTTCTTCTACTTCAGCGCCTGCCATGGCTATCTGAAGTGCAGTTCTGTATCTCAGTTTACTCCTTGCCTTGTCGGCTCTAGTTTTGAGTGGGCAGACTATAGGCTTATGCGGCTTGCTACTTAGGTTAAAGGTTTCCTCACAAAAATCCCAAAAAATGGAATTTCTGGGCGACTCTTTGGCAATAAGGAAAAATTAAAAGCCTGAGGCTTAACTCTCAGCTTCACGCTAGCAAGTTCCGATTGGTTTTAGGCATTACCTGCAGACTTTGCTGGGCTTTCACTTTCTACCTCTGAACCCTTCTCTTCCCTCGAGGTAAAATCCATTTTCTGAAAGCGGACTAGGGCTAGGCTCTGAACATTTACCTATCGTTATATACCCATTTCTGGGTAGGCGAAACCTAGCCAGGCATAAATAAATATATACTAGAGGCTACATTTCCAGAAGGTAATGCCGGCAGAGACGCCATATTTATTTATAACTTTTCTAAGTTCAGTTAAATATTCCAAATAATTAGTATCTGGAAAATTTTGGCATTTTCTCTCAATTAATCAATTAAATAATCTCCACTCTTGGGCATCTCCTTCAAAAGTAGAAGGAATTTCTCCTATTTTCGCTAATTTTACTCTTGCCAGTCTTTCATCTTTAATAATATACAAACAAAAATTAAATTCCCAAATCACAAATAATTTTGATTTTCCAAACTGTTTTCCTTTACTCCCCCTCTACGTGATTGAATAAAAAAATTTTGTTGACTCACGGAGGGGGTAAAAAAATTATATATAAATTTTATAAAAAAAATTGTTTTTCGAAATATAAAAAAATCCTAATTCGCAAAAATTGGAAAAGCAAATATTAATTTATTTTATAAAATTTATGTTTTAAAAAGCAATTCGTTTAAAATTAAACAGAATTAGCTCTAAATTTCATTATACTAATTATCATTTATATATCAAAAATTTTTTCCATAAAATATTTTTGTTCACTCACGAAGGGTGGGTTTTTGGGCAAAAAATAGGTATTTTTCTAATGGTTTTGTTCACTCACGGAGGGGGGAGTTAGAAAATTTTGCAAATAAATCAAGGACATAATTTGTGTCTTGAAGATTTTTGTCGACTAATAAATGGCGGAATTTTTTTTCAAAATCGAATTGATTTCTTATGTCGTTGCTTCTTTTGTGAAGGGTCCTGTATAAGTGGAGGACATATTTTACGACAAAAGCGAGTATCAAAGGCTGGAAAAAAATATTCATTCATAAAATAATTAGCGAGTTGTCTAAAAGTTCACCAAATAAGAAAATTAATAAAATTCCAGAAATTGATGATAGTTTTATGGCTTGGATTGAATTTTCTATATAAATTATGCCTATTTAAAAAAAAATTATATAAAGAAATTATAGTTGATAATTTATTTCTTATATAAAAAAGATATAAATTTTAAAAAAAATCCTAAAAATGCTATAAATTATAATAAGGCAAGAATTTGAGTGTAATTATCAAAATATAAAAAGAAATAATAAACGAAATAATTTGATATTCAGTTTGATAATCCCCAAGCGATACATATAGAAAACAGTTCAAAACGTAAAACCCAAACCTCGTCAAATCAATTTCAGCGCAGCATCTTGCTTTAAGATTTTCTTTAGATCTTGAATGCCTCACGTCACATGAAAATATTTCAGAAAAAAATTTAATTAATAGCAGAAAAATAAGTAAAATAATAGATACTATTCCACCAAAAACCCCATAGTCAAGCGAATCTCGTGTGGAGTTGTCATATTCGATTACTTCTTTCCTTGTTAGAATAGAATATTTAAAAACCATAAGCATTATCATTAAGCTTGGAATAAAGCAGACTGTTGTAAGTGGCATGCTGATTTTCCTTGGTAAATTTGTGACTATATTAGGCGGCTCTTTTTTTCATATTCCATAATATTTTAAAATAAAATTATGTTGATAATTATTTTTATTTAAAATAAAAAATATCACAATATATATAAAAACTCCAAATACTATGAAGCAAACAATACAAGTTCCAATAAGCCCTATTGTGCCATAAAAACAAATATCTTGTGCTCCATACTCAAAACAAAGCTCATCATAACTAGCCAGCCCAATCATTTTCCAATATAAAGAATACGATTCTCATTCAGAAACTTCAAAATTAGGGTATCAAGTCAATGATATAAGCTGCAGCATCAAAATTAAGTTTGTTACGATTTCGACTAAAAGCTGATGATTTATCTTGATTTTGTGACTATATTTAAGCTTAAAAAGTTTCGAAAAAAACCCAAAGGTATAACATTTTAATCGGCTTTCAAATATTGGCTTAGTTAAGAATCCTTGGATCTCAGAGGTTTCATTGATTTCTAATAGCTGGTCTTCAAACATAATTTTTATTGAAGAATATGATGAAACTAAAAATTTTGTGGAGAAATATTAGATTTTGAATAAATATTTAAAAATGATTTGGCTGAATAGGTCTTACAGCTATTAAGGGATATTTATGAGTAAATTTAGATATAAAAATAGGATCAGTGAAATAGTAATGATTGGTTTTAGAACAAAATTTAGGAAAATTCTTGGATATAGAGACTAAAATCTATAACACTATACATTAAAAATTCTTAAAATATGAAAAATCATTTATTACTAGCTCTAAATAAAATTTATTCAACTCCGAGGAAGACATTATTTAAGATTAAAAAATAAAATGCAAACAAAAATTTAAAATTAATAAGAAAATATTTCTATATAAGGTACTCATAAAGAACTCTATATGAAGTGGCACATATATTATATATGCCACTTGGAATTTTGAGCTGGAATATTCAGGAAGATTAGATTCCATTTTTCTTTACAAAAAGCTATTTGATGATTGATAATGCTGGGTTTTATGCTTGATTTTGACTAAAATGTTTATTTATATATTATTTATGATTATTTTTCATTTAATAAATGCTTTAGAATTTTTATTAAAGAGAGGAAAGCATAGATTTTTATTATATCTAAAATTTATAAATAAGTTATTAGTATCCACACCTAATTACCTTTAACCAAACGATACTTAAAAATACATATCGAAAAAAGAATAAATAAAATTATTTCAATAATTATTTATAAAAAATTGATAAGTAATAATAAAATTTACTATTTATCTTTCCCAATTTGCATCCTTTTACTCTCCTCCATCGGCAACAGTAGCGGCAAAACTAATAGTCTTGAGAATTGCCTGATTTCATTATTTAAATATGGGAAATAATAAAAGAAAAATAAAAAGCATAAAGCAATTGAGTAGCAAACTGTGCATATAATGATATTTGCAAGCTGACTATTTATTAAATCCTTCGAATTTTCATCAACCAGGATAAATTGTGATCCGATTTCGTCTTCAATCTTATGTATAAAATTGATATAAACCTATTTTAGTAATATTAAAAATATTTAAATAATTCAGCGATTATAATAAATCCCAAGTTTTTAAAATCTTTAAGCTGGTATATATGATCATAAAAGTATTATTTGGAGGAAACATTTTGGTTATATACCGAGCATCGAAAAGAGCTGCATGATTTGCAGCTGCCGATCCATAATCTAAACCTCGAACACTAGAATCTATTTTTTCATATATTCTGTCTAATAATTTATTAGACATTAAATTTTGGTATTTTTCCTTCTGCATTTCGTCCATTTTTTCATCAAGCAAGGCAATGCTAGTAGAAAGCATCGTATAAGAATTAGAAAACCCATAAAGATCCTTGAAATTTTGGTATAAATAAGGCGTGTATATATCTTTTGCGAAAAAACTTATACGAGCTAATAAAGCTCTTCTTATGTTAAAATTGCTTACTCGCCCCCTCGTGAGTCAAAAAAAAAATTTGGTTCACTCACGTTAATTTTTTTTTTTTTAAATTTTTTTTTCGAAAATCCCAATTCACAAAAATTGGGAAGCAAATATTTATTTAATTTGTAAAATTTATTTTTAAAATGTCATTTGTTTTAGATTTAACAGAATTGGCTGAAGATTTCATTATATTAATAATTACTTATTCATCAAAACATTTTTCATAAAAAATTTTTTCTATTAAAAAATTTTAGCTCGATAAATGAGGGTGTGTTTTTGGCAAAAAAAACGGGATTTTTCCAATGCTTTTGTTCACTCACGGAGGGAGGAGTTAATAATTTTGGTCTTTTTATCATCGAATTTTCACACTCTGCATATAAGTAACAGTACATTAAAAAATAGTAAGACAATGCAATCACCACAAAAATCATGACTTTTAATATATATTTCCTATTAAGGCCAGTTTTTATTTTCGAGTGTTTATGCATATTCTTTTGATCGTTTTCTAAAATTTCTGATTTATAGTCAATCCCATGATAAGAAAACAGCCTATCAATTGCTTCTCTTTTTAATTGTATTAATGACACCTGCGAGTTATTCAACATAAAATTCCAAAAAGCATTATATGACCTGTCAGCCATTATTACATATCCAATTATAATTGCAAAAAACCCTACAAGGACTCACATTCCGCATATTAAAAGAGCCTTTATATTTGTTCCAAAAGAATTCACCCTCTCAATTTCACAGTCAACTAGTCCTTTCATAGTTAAATTTGCATATTCATAGGAAAAATCGACACTATTTATGACGATATATTTTACGAATTTTATATAGCTTTCATTTCTATTGACTGCTACGATTAAATTTTCTCACTAATTTTTGGTTACATTTAAAATAAATTTGTCGACGATATTATAAAGATTTTCTTTTATGAGCTCAGGCTGATCTTTGTCTAAATTCCATGCTGGGATTATAGGTTTCATGACAACTTCTGAGCTAGAGCAGTAACTTCATTGGTCATAGTCAGAAAAAATAAATTCTTGGACACTACGCAAATCGGTAATTAAAGCTTGGACATCAGCTAAGCGATTTGTTTGTTTGTATAGCCCAAGGACTATTTCTTTGTGTAATATTCTTGCTAAATCAGAAGAAATGCTTAAATCATATAATAATTGGCCAAGATGGGTAAAAATTGTTAGTGGTGTCGTATGGGATACGTCAATTACCATATATGATAAAATTGCAATGACTCCAATAATTACAGATAAAATCTAATTTTTTTTTACAGTAAAAAATAATACCAATTGGAGAAACCTTATTTTCATTTTTGAAGAAATTATAAGTCTCTGGGCATGCCCTATATAAAAATTACTTGCTTTAGCTGAAAGCTTGTGGGACTCATTGTTGCTTGTGGCCCCTGATTTTTCGTCGAAAGTTTCTAATTCTCGGCTTTCTGCAGCCAAAATCGTTAATTGTGTTGTTGGCATTTCTGATTCTTCTTTAATAGTAGATTTAGAAACTGATGTAATATATTGGCTAACGGTGTGGAGCCTGACTTTTGAAGCTTGCCTTATTAATCTTTTTTCCATAATTTGTGAGGGCTCATCATAGTCATCAATTATGGTGGAATTTCCAAAAAACTCGATTTGGTCAAAATCCTGGCCTTCTTTTCATCTTTTTACTTCTTTTTCGTCATGGACTAATAATAGAAAGTGCAGAGTAATTGAGTTCATCTTTCGAACTGTGTGGATGACTGCTAGCTCTTTGCCTTCAAAAGGAAGCAATCATGGCTCAAAAGGCTCCATATTATAAAAATCAAGCATTGGTAGCAGTTCAGAAATACAGTAATTTTTTTAGGAAAATTAGTAGCAATGTTTATATTACTTTACTCCCCTTTAAATTGGAACAAAAAATTCCGTTTCAGGGTTAATTTAACTCAATAAATTTTTTTCAAAACAAAATATAAATTGGGCCAAATATTTTTAATTTTTATCAAGAAATAATTCAAAAATTGATCCATTCAGTGTGAAAACTGTTTATATAATATATTACTTGAACTTTTTCCGTAAATTAGTCAAAACTAATTTTATAAAAATTAGATAAAATTTTCCAAATGAAAACAAAAATTTTTTGTCCAATTTAAAGGTGATTAAAGCATCCCAAAAATTGATTTTTTCCAATTTAAAGTGGTGATGAGTTAGAAAAATTAATTAATTATATTTTTCATTTCATAAATTAATTTTCTAGCCAATAATATTCAACTTATAGTGTATATTTATTCCTTACATCTGGAGCTTCGATTCCAATCAAAAATGTAAAAAATTCTGAATGGCAGTAAATCCGCCCATCTTCCGAAATCAATGCGACCTCTCTACTTGAATATTTTTCTTTAAATGATAACAAAAAATAAGCATGATTGTGAAAAGCTGTCAATTTAACTAAAATATTGCACTCTTTTATATAGCCATTTCTAGTAAGAAAAGGAAGACTTTTGTGAAAAGGTATATCAATATTTTGGCAGTTAAAAAAATATTTTTTCATTGACTTTTCATGAGTACCATTATACGGCGGAGGGATAAAATTCGTAAAAGGTAATCCGCAAGCATCATTTATTGATGTTTTTATTCTTATTTTAAATGGTTAAATACTATATTTAGAAAATTATTTTAATTAAAAATAATTTATTGGCTTTCTTTATCGGGTATAAAATTTGAGCAGCTTTTTCATTTAAAAATACAATGCTGCCAAATGTAGTATTTGAAGCTGAAATTAAAAGTGTTGCATTTTCTTTGCCATATTTTTCTAATTTTTTGTCTTCTCCACGCATATTAAACAAATTAATCCCATGCTTTTTTCTGTTTACCATCAAAGCTTCTTCATGGTCTTTTAAAATATTTTCTAAAAAACTCCCATAAAGCTCAAAAGCGTCAATATTTTTGTATTTTTCTACAATATTTTTGTATTCTTCTTTAATTTCTTCAATATGACAATGAATTTGATTTGCTAAGTTCAGTAATTTCAGAAGTCGTGGGACTTTTGAAGAAAATTCAGCTTTTAATTCGACTAAAATACAACAAAGTTCTTCATCTTTGGTTTTAACTCTGTTGAGTTCAGTTAAATATTCCAAATAATTCGTATCTGGAAAATTTGAGCACTTTTTATCAATCAGCCAATTAAAAAGTCTCCACTCTTGTGCGTCTCCTTCAAAAGTAGAAGGAATTTCTCCTATTTTCGCCAATTTTACTCTCGCCAGTCTTTCATCTTTAATAATATACAGACAAAAATTAAATTCCCAAACAACAAATAATTTTGACCTATAAAATTGTTTTCCTTTAGAAAATTTTGCGAATAAATCTAAGACATGACTTTTATCAATAAGTGCTTTGTCGACTAATAAATGGCGGAATTTTCTTTCAAACTCATATTGATTTTTTATTTCAGTGGCTTCTTTATTGAGGTTTTTATATAAATGCTTGACTATTTTTATGACAAAGTAAAATATTAGAGGCTGTATAAAAATTATCATATGCTAAAATGGCGTGCCAAGCTGGTCTGCCTTCTCAACACCTGTAGTAGGTAAGCTTCATTAGGAAAGCTGGGAGCTTGTGGAAGGGGCTTGCTTGCATTTGCGATGCATGATATCGGGCTAGCCAGCCACATGCTCAAATCCAGGCCAAGGTTAACTAGAGGGGAGATGGCTTGTCGGAATTGGAAATAGAATGTCCAGCAAGGCCAGAGGTTTTTCGCTGGTCAATCGGGCATATTACTCAGCACGATGACAGATGAATTCTTGAAAGTCTAACCCTACTGGCAGGCGGCATAGTGGTAGTGTCTCTGACTCTCCGGTATTGAGTGAAAAGGTGATCAGTTTAGAAGGCTGTGCCCAGGCTGGTAAGTTGGCAGTGGAGCGTTATATGGAGGTGAGTAGCAGCAAGAGGACTTTTCTATAATTCCCCCAAAATAAAAAATACTTTACTAGCTCAAAATTTATTTTAAAATTTAAATTAGAAAGCAGAAATTAATTTAATTTGCAAAATTTATGTTTCAGATACAATCAGCTTAAAATTTAACAGAATTCCCTAGAGATTCCATTAATAATAATCATCATTTATATATAAAATCTTTTTTTATTAAAAATTATTTTCACGGAGAGTGAGTTTTACCCAAAAACTAGCTCTCGAAAGGGTTAAATCAATTTAAGTTAAATATAAAAATATTCATCCACAAAATTATAAGCGAATTATCTAAGAGTTCACCAAATAAAAAAATTAACAAAAACCCAGAAATAGCTGATAATTTGACTGCTTGAATAGAATTTTCTATAAAATTATAATAAGGTAAATAATTTAAGGTCTGGAAAAAGACATAGGTTGAAATAGAAAATGAAATTATTTGGTACTCAATTTGATAATCCCCTAGCGATACATATAATAAGCAATTTAAAGCATAAAAAGCAAATCTATTCAAATCAGCATCAGAGCAGCATCTTGCTTTTATATTTTCTTTTGATCGAGAATGCCTGACATCACATGAAAAAATTTCAGAAAAAAACTTAATTAATAGTAGAAAAATACACAAAATAATTGATACCATTCCTCCAGCAGCGCCATAGTCAAGCTGGCTTCTTGTTGAATTTTCATACTCAATAACTTCTCTTTTTGTAGCAACTGAATATTTAAAAACCATGAGCATTATTATTTGGCTTGGAATAAAACAAATTGTGGTTAGCGCCATAGTAATTTTCCTTGGCAAGGCTGTTATGATGCCAGGTGGCTCTTTTTTGATACGCTATATTAATTTATTTATTTTTTATTATCTTAAAGCCATAAATTATTTTCTATAAATTTTACCTCTGCATTAGTCACTATATTTTTTAATATCAATTTAATATATATTATATATATAAAAACCCCAAAAACTACAAAACAAATTATGCAAGTTCCAATAAGCCCTATTGTACCATAAAAACAAATATCTTGGGCACCATACTCAAAACAAAGCTCATCATAACTTACGATCCCTAAGATTTTTCAAAATAATGAATATGATTCTCATCCAGAAATTTTATAATTTGGGTATCAAGTCAAAGATATCAGCTGGAGCATCAAAATTAAATTTACTGTTGTCTCCAATGTAAATTGGTGCCTTTGTTTTATTTTGCGACTATATTTAAGTTTAAACAGTTTCCCAAAAAAACCAAATGTGTAAAGTTTAAGTCTGCTTTCAAAAAGAGGCTTTGTGAGAAAGCCTTGGATCCCAGAATTTTCATGGATTTCTAATAATTGTTCTTCAAACATTAATTTATCTATGGATGAATAATTGTTTTTTTTTGGATTTATAATAAATAATAAATACAAAGATTGAGTAATAAAAATATCTGATGTGCATCATCATGACTGCTATCTTTTGAATGAATAAATTTTCTTATAAAATTATTTAATGATTGATAAAATTAATTTCCGAGGGTGATTTTTTTAATTTATCATCATTAATTCTAAATCATTGAGGGTGTGTATTTAAAATATAAATAAGATTCCACCAAATTTTATTAAAAATGACATTTTTGCCAAATAAAATTTTTAATGTAATCCTAAATTTGACATTTTTTATTAAATCTAGGAAAAATTAAAATAAATTTTATTATTTTCATTTAAAAATCTTTAGCCAGCAGGCTTCATTCTTTTATCTTCTTCCATCGGCAAAAGTGTCGGCAAAATCAATAACTTGGTAAACTGCTTGCTTTCATTATTCAAATACGGCAAATAATAGCAGAAAAATAAAATACACAGAGCTATAGAATAGCTAACTGTACACAAAATAATATCATTAAGCTGACTATTTATAACATCCTTTGAGTTTTTGTCTAATTCTAAAAACTGAGCCCCAATTTCATTTTGGACTTCTCTTGTAAGGTTTATAAATGTTGGCATATATGATGATTCTATAGATTTTTGTGATGAAATATAATAAGCTTCAAAAATAGTAAAATCTGCCCCTGTTCTAGCTCCATAATGCAACTTAGGAATAGATGAATCTGAAGTTTCATAAATTTGTCTCAATAAATTTTTTGACATTAATTTTTTATATTTTTTTTTTCTAAATTCTTTGTCTTTTTCATTATATATCTTTTCCATTTTACTGGATCATTATTAGTAATTTTTTTTTTATTTTCTTGCCAATTTTTATAAGAAAAAATATTATTTGTGATCTATATTATAAGTGGCCATCTGTTATGGTGGATAAGCTATATAAAGCAACACTTCTTTCAAAAATTTTTCTCGATGAAGAAAATTCATACAGCTTTGGGAAAATTCGAATAAGATAAGGAGAATACGTATCTCTCGCAAAAAATCCAATTCTCGAAAGCAGTGCCCTTTTTAAATTAATATTGCTCAATAATTTAGGTCTGTTCATCATCGACGTTTCACATTGCACATATAAATAAAAATACGTCAATAAATAATAAGAAGCTGCAATTACGAAAAAAATCATAAGCCTTCATATATATTTTTTATTTATGTCTGTTTTTATTTTTGAGTGCTTATGAGCTCTTTGGTCGTTTTCAATGTTTTCTGAGTGATAATCAATGCCGTGAAATGCAAATAATCGGTCTATTGCTTCTCTTTTTAATTGTATTAAAGACACTTGTGAGTTATTGAACATGAAATTCCAAAAATTATCATATGATTTGCTAGCCATTACAATATAGCCGATTATTATTGATACAAAAAGTGCTAAAAGCACGAGACCAGCTACAAGAAGGATTTTTATATTTGTTCCAAAGGAATTTACTCTTTCTACTTCGCAATCGACAAGTCCTGACATAGCGATGTTGGAATATTCATAAGAGAAATCAGCACTATTCATAACAATAAATTTTATGTATTTTATAAAGGTCTCATTTTTAGTGACCGCAGAAATTAAGTTTTCTGGCGCATGATTTTTGTTCTGCTCAGGATAATATGGCCGATTTATTTTTAGGTATTGTCTTAATAAGCTAAAAAATTTTTGGTAAATTTTCTTTAAATGTCTCGCTATCAAAAAATCCGAACAAGCCAAGTTTTCCCACTATATAGTAATTACGTTAAGTATGAATTTGTCAACAGCGTCATAAAGATTGGATTTTGTCATAACTGGTTGGCTTTTGTCAAAATTTCACATATAGAAATTTCCATAGATGGCGCTGTTTGCCCTTGATTTACCCATGAGGAAAATTTTTTGGTTTGACCAAACCATATGGTACTGGTCGAACCAAAAAATTGCCCCAGTGGGCAAATCAAGGGCAAACAGCGCCATCTATGGAATTTTCTATAGGTATAACATCTTTTTTTACAAATTCTGAATTAGAACAATAGCTTCATTGGTCATATTCTGTAAAAATATAGTCTTGAACATTCTGTAAATCAGTAACTAGGGCTCTTACGTCATCTAAGCGTTTAGTTTGAAGATAATTTCCTAATTCAATTTCTCTATGCAAAGTTCTTGCTAAATCATTAGAAACGCTTAAGTCATATAACAACTGACCTAAGTGTGTAAAAATAGTCAAAGATGTTGTTCTATTAACGTCAACAATCAGCTCCATGTCAAATGGCCGTGAATTTTTGACAGTATACATTTCATCGAAGTCAATTTGGTCGAAAATTTTTGAAATTTGGCAAAAAAATTAACAGTTTTTTGGGGTCAATTCTCTCAATATCAAAAACACTATCAAAAAGGTAAAGTTATTTGACCTGCACCCTCAACAATCATATAGTACCCCCCCCCCTCGTTTGTCGCATTTTCTAGTTTTTTGCCATTTGTCGCATTTTCTAGTTTTTTTTTATAAGAGAAAAAAAAAATTTTCAGAACCTCATTTGTCGCATTTTCTAGTTTTTTTTTAAGCCAAAAAAAAATCGGTTCAGGACCTCGCTTGTCGCATTTTCTAGTTTTTTTTTCTCTCTATAAATTCCTAAAAATTAAAATTCGTCAAGGGATCAGTTAGTGAAATTTCATCATTTCTTCCTTTCAAAATCCTTGCTCCCATTCCTCAATCCCCCACAGCTTGCTTCCCATTACCTGCTCCCATTGCTTAAGCCTCACCACTTGCCATTTCACCATTCTTATTCCCCTATCTTCATGCCTATTTCCTTATTTGATAGCTTAATTTCTAGTCTTCCATATTAATTAATGGAGTTGCGCGAAAATTGAGGACCAGCCGATAAAAATCCCGGCAATGATTCAAAACATGGCCTATGGAGAGAGGCTCAATGCAAAGCAGATCCAAGAGCGTCTTGCTGCTTGTGGCAAGGACATGAGCCTGACGACGATCAGGCACTACACCAACAAGTTCAATCCTGAAGAGCACACTTTAGAGCTCAGGCGGAAGCTTGTGGACCATGGACTATCGCCTCCTCCTAAGAAAATCAAGTGGAATGATGGAGAGAGCATAGTCAAGAGGATCATTGACGTAGGTTTCTTTAAAAACGAAGAACTTGCGACAATCTTGGGGACTTCTAAACGGACTATTGAGCGAATTGCTGCAGAGAATACTGAGAGTGAATCTGACGAAGCGGCTGGAAGAGAAGAGGCACTATCCAGATCTCCCCTAAAGCATTGAAGTGATGAAGACTTTGCTGAGGTCATTAAGGAATGTGAGAAGGATACAGGCTTTGTCAGCAAGGCAAGTTTGAGGGCCCAATTCAAAAGAAAGACAGTTGACATCAGCGAAGAACAGCTAGGAAAAGAGCTGAAGAAGAGGGGATATGTCTATAGGAAGAAGAGGGTTGTTCTACAGCTAACTGAAGCTCATAAAGAGCAGAGAATGTCCTGGGCTAGGTCTTTGATTGACTCAGATATCGCTTCATGGATCTTCAGTGATGAGTGCTGTGTGCATCTCTTTCGTAACTCTAATTTGTCGTGGTGCAAAGAAGGGATAAATGCAACAATTGAAGAGCCTATCAATTGAAAAACCTCAATTATGATCTGGGGAGGAAAATTTCTATCGTTTTTGGCAAAATGCTCTTCATAAAGAAGGAGAAGTATGCAATCAATGCCCAGGTCTATATCAGAGACATTCTCCAGGGCTATATTGAGCCTTTAGATGGAGACTACACCTTCGTTCAGGGTGAGGCAACAGCCCATACTGCAAGGCAGACTATGGAATATTGCAGAGAAAACGGGATTGATGTGAAGACTCAATCGCCGAAGAGCCCAGATCTCAATCCAATTGAGATGATCTGGGCCAATTTGAAGAGGAAAGTGGAGAAAAGAAGGCCTGACAGCAAAGCCAGACTAATTGCTGCCATTCAGGAGTCATGGGACGAAATTTCTTTTGAGGAAGTGCAAAATTCCATTCTTAAGGTGAAAAATGAAAGCAAGCAGGTCATTGAAGCGCAAGGAGAATGGAGTTAATAAGCTAGCTAATTTAATCTATTCTCTAAAAAGGGGAGAGTAAAGTGGGAAGGACTGGGAAGGACTCGGGCCTGCTAACCCTCTGCAGGCAAATGTAAGGTAAACTCCTCTATAATTACTCAATTAAATTAATCAGAAACTATTTTTTAAAAAAACTAAGATTTGCGACATCAAAAAAACATTAAAAAAACTAGAAATTGCGAAAAATGTATTTGCACTAGAAAATGCGACAAACGAGGTCCTGTAAATTTTTTTTTCCTTAAAAAAAAACTAGAAAATGCGACAAACGAGGGGGGGGTACTATATATACCAATCCAAATATATAGCGCCTTCCTCTCAATGGCGCGCAATGCGCCATCACCAGGCCATGTCGGGAGAGGTTCCTCATGGAGGAATGGTTCCACGTGTGGAACCCTCTTTTTCCACGAACCAAAAGAGGGTTTCACACGTGGAACCATTCCTCGTGGAGAACCCTCTCCCGACATGGCCCGGTGATGGCGCATTGCGCGCCATTGAGAGGAAGGCGCTATAATTATAAAATAAAAAAAAAAATAATTTATACGCTTTATTATATACTGATAGAGTATAAGATAAAATCGCTATAACTGTCGCAATGACAGTCAAAATCTATTTTACATTTACTGTAACAAACAGAACCAATTGAAGAATTTTTAATTTTTTTTTTGAAGCAACTATTAGCCTTTGAGCAAACTCTAAATAAAAATTACTCGCTTTTGTCGAAGACTGGCTGCTTTCATTGCAGCTTGTCGCCCCTGATTTATCGTCAAAAGTTTCTAAATCTCGGCTTTCAGCTACAAAATTACTAATTTGTGTAGGAATTTCTGAGTTTTCTTTGTCAAAAGATTTCGTAATAGACGTCATATACTGATTGACTGTATGAAGCCGAACTTTTGAAGCTTTTCTTTCATATTTTTTTTCAACAAAAATTTGTGAAGGCTCGTCATTTTCGTCAATAATTGTGGAGTTTCCGTAATATTCAATCTGGTCTGGGTCTTGGCCGTCTTTTCATTTTTCTATTTCTTTTTCATCGTGGACTAATATAATAAAATGCAGGGTATATGCACTCATTTGTTTTATTGTGTGGATAACTGCTATTTGTTTGTTTTCAAAAGAAATTATTCAAGGCTCAAAAGGCTCCATGTTATAAAAATCGAGCATTGGGAAAAGATCTGAAATGTGCTTGCCTCTTACGTTTTGGCCTGCTGAGTTAATGCAGATAGTGAAAAATTCAGTATGACAATAAATGTGCCCATCCGGGGAAATTACTGCTATTTCTCGACTGGTGTTTTTTTCCCTAAATGATACCAAAAAATATGGCTAGGATTTTTTTTCTTATAAAAATTTAAAAAAAATTGTTTAAATAAAGTTTTTTTTTTCAAAAATTATATCAATCTGTACAAATAATTTTATTTTAAAAAAATTAAGAAAATTCATATAAAAACTATTAATAATTATTAGCCAAAAAATATGCATGACTATGAAAAGCAGTCAATTTTATTAGAATATTGCATTCACGAAGATTGCCATGCTGTGTCATAAGAGGAAGACTTTTATGATAAGGAATATCAATGCTATGATTATTTAAAACAAATCTTTTCATGCAGGTATCATGAAGTATATTATAAGGGGGAGCAATAAAATTATTAAAAGGCATCCCACAAGTATCTGTGGCAGGAGTTTTCAAAATCTGTGCAGCTTTTTCATTTATGTAGACAATAGATCCAAACGATACATTTGATGCTGAAATTAAAACAATAGCGTTTTCCCTGCCATATCTTTCTAATTTTTTATCCTCTCCCCTCATATTATACAGATTTATTCCATGTTTTTTTCTGTTGACTATTAAAGCTTCCTCATGATTTTTCATAATATTTTCTAAAAAGCTCCCATAGAGCTCAAAAGCGTCAATATTTTTGTATTTTTCAATAATACTTTTATATTCTTTTTTTATATTATCTACATTGTCGTGGATTCTGTTAGCTAAATTTATAAGTTTAGGGAGCCTTGGGGTCCTAGAAGAAAGTTCTGATCTTAATTCAACCAAAATTAAGCAAAGCTCTTCATCTTTGGTTTTTACCTTGTTAAGCTCAGTTAAATATTCCAAATAATTTGTATCAGGATATATGTGGCATTTCCTGCCGATAAGCCAATTAAATAGCCTTCATTCCTGAGCATCCCCTTCTAAAGAAGAAGGAATTTCTGCTATTTTTGCTAATTTTACCCTAGCTAGCCGTTCATCTTTTATAATAGAAAGACAGAAGTTGAATTCCCATATAACAAATAATTTTGATTTACTGAACTGTTTTCCTTTAGAAAATTTTGCAAATAAATCCAGGACATATCGCTTGTCGACAAGTGATTTATCGACTAATAAATGACGGAATTTTTTTTCAAAATCAAACTGGTTTCTTATATCAGAAGTTCTTTGGGGAAGATTTTTATATAAATGTCTGACAATTTTTATAACAAAAAAAAATATCAAAGGTTGGATAAATATATTCATTCACAAAATAATAAGAGAATTATCTAACTCAGAAATGCTCATTATTTGATAAACTGAAATAGTTTTTAAGGATATTTTTATTAATTTTTTTTATAAATAGAAAGTAAAAGCTCCCCAAATAAAAAAATTAATAAAAATCCTGAAATCGCCGACAACTTGACTGCTTGGATTGAATTTTCAATAAAATTGTAATAAGGCAAATACCTTAGAGTCTGTATAAAAACATAAGAAGAAGCCACAAATGAAATAATTTGGTACTCAATTTGGTAGTCCCCAAGAGATACATACAATATACAAGTAGCTATGTAAAAAATAAATCTATTAAAATCTGCTTCTGAGCAACATCTTGCTTTTATATTTTCATTTGATCGAGAATGCCGAATATCACATGAAAAAATTTCTGAAAAGAACTTAATCTGCAAGAGAAAAATAATTAAAATAATAGAAATGACCCCTCCAGCTGCGCCATAATCCAAGGAATCTCGTGTAGAATTGTCGTATTCAGTCACTTCTCCACTGGCTATAACTGAATATTTAAAAACCATCAGTAAAATCATCAGACTTGGAATAAAACAAATTGAAGTCAGCGGCATGCTGATTTTTCTAGGCAAATTTGTGATAATATTTGGCGGCTCTTTTTCTATATATACATAAACTCCAAAAATTATAAAACAGATAATGCAGGACCCTATCAGTCCAATAGTTCCAAAAAAACAAATATCTTCAGTTCCATATTCAAAGCAAAGCTCGTCATAACTTACAATACCAAGAATTTTCCAAAACGTTGCATATGACTCCCACTCAGAAACTTCATAATTAGGGTATCAAGTCAATGATATATAATTATCTTTAAACGTTATACCTTTTTGAGGATAAATTAATAATTTTTTAGCTAAAATGGGATCTTGCTTGTCAGAATTATTAATAAACAAAAAAAAATGGGCTTATTAATTGTAACATCAAAACCAAATTTGTCACAATTTCTATTACAAGCTGAGTTTTTAGCTTAATCTTGTGACTATATTTTAGCTTAAAAAGTTTACTGAAAAATCCAAATGTGTATCGTTTTATTCGGCTTTGAAATAGTGGTTTTGTCAAGAAACCTTGGAAATCAGAGCTTTCGTTGATACCTAATAGCTGTTCGTCAAGCATTTATTTTTTGTATGAAAAGATTATATTGATTTTTATAAGCCAGGACCGAAAAAGAAATTTCGCTTTGAAAAATTTTATAAAAGTTAACCTAAAATAGAAAATTTGATTTTATTGATAACTTTAAGATGATTTGCAATTATTTTAAATAAAATTAAAGGAAAATAAATATTATGAGGCTCAAAGTTTTACTTTTAGAGTTAAACTTTTTTTGCGTGCACATTAAGAGCTGAATTAGATCTATCTTATGTACTGAATGAGATATTTTCATTTTTGCATTTATCAATAAATAAAATAGAGATTATTATATTAGAAAATGCTAGTTAATTAGCTAGTTAGTAATATAACTTAATTTTAATTTTTCCTCTATCTTCTGAAGCCTTAAAGATGAAAAGGTCTTCTGCTTTTAGCTCCGGATTGGCAGTTACATAGCCGTAAACTTTATTCGCCTCCAGTTTCAAACAGTACTTTGCTCACACTATCCCACCCCACTGGGTAGTGTTACTGTTGTTCAATACTTTAACTCCCCCTGCGAACAAAAAAATTTTGCTCACTCACGATCAATTTTGTTTAAAAAATTTATATAGTCAGTATCCTAACTATATATAAATTTTATAGTAAATTTTTTTTTCTCAAAATTGGAAAACCAAATATTTATTTAATTTTTTTAAAATGCAATTTGTTCAAATTAAACAGAATTAGCTAGAGATTTTATTATTATAAAACTGTTATATTAAAAATATTTTGTTCGCTCACAGAGGGTGGATTTTGGGGCAAAAAATAGGGATTTCTCTAATGGTTTAGTTCGCTCACGGAGGGGGGGAGTATGAGATCAAGAATCACCTTCAATGAATCCTAGTAATGGAGCTATTCCTTACCAGATCTCCTAGTTTTTAATTGTGAATGAGAAAATGTTATATATTAAAATTACATATATGAATAAAATTAGCGTTTAATATATTTTGATTAAAAATTAATCAATATTTTACTTCTTTTAAGCAAATCCGAAATTTTTAAAAAATAGATCTTGAGGTTGGCAATTAAGTGAAAGACGTGCAAATTTTTTATGATAATTCTAATGCTTTATATTTGATAACAAAACAATAAATATAAATAATAAAATAAATAAAGCATTTAATCTATCTAAATCCCTATAAAATAATAAATTTTTTTTATTTTTTTTAGGTTTTTATCAACTATTTTAAAGTCATTTTTATATAAAAAAAAAGCATCATAATTATATGAAGTGCCTATTTAAAAGCATTAAGATATTTTTAAACCAGAAGCGTAAATAAATCATTATTCCACTTTTATAAAAATAAGAAAAAAATATTTGTTAATCAAAAGAATTTTAATAATTAACTGTAAATTTATTATTAACTATTTTTACAAAAAGTTAAGTATTAATTTATACTGAAAATCTCATTCGATTAAATCAAAGCTACTAAATTTCAGCTAAGTTAGCCTAGCTTAGTGAGCTTAATATAAAACTAGCCTCTTCATTAATTAAATTAATATAATTTATTGCAGAATTTCCTATAGTCTTCCACTTATGGGATCCTGTTCCACTCATGGAAGATTTTTTAGCACATGAAAACTGCTTAGTGACTCGCTTCCATATGCAAAAGCTTTTGCAACGTATGGAACACAATCCTACACGTGGAAGGCTATAAGAAATAATAGCAAAGAACTATAAAATCAATTTAGTTACCACAAGCATTATAAAAAATTATTTTTAAATATTCTTATCTGCTTCCATTGACAAAATTATCGGTAATATTGCAAATCTCTTCAATTTACTTATCTGGTAATTCAAATATGGCAAATAATAAAAGAAAAATAGTGCGCACATAGCTGATACATAAATAATCATAACGTCAATAATAATCTTCAGCTGATCCTCTATCAACCTTTTCGAATCTCTATCAGCTAAATCAAATTCTTGTCCAATTTCTGTTTGTATAGCTACAGAATACGTAGCCAAAATCTGAAGGACAAAACTTGGCATATTTTTAATATGAGAAAGACTAACAATCTCATTAACTAAGCCCAAAATAGCGCTCTCAACCCCATATTGAGAAAAATCTAATGTAGAGTTCATATCTTTTTCAAAAGCCATTGTTTTTAGCTCATCAGACATTAAATCGAGAAAGTCACGCTTTTTTAAGAGCTGGACTTCCTTGTATATGTCGTCTGCTGTCTTTTCAAACATTATTTTTGAGCTAGGAAATGCATAGTTAGTGTTGAAAATTTTAATAAAATAAGGGGAATAGACGTCTCTTGAAAAAATAAGCAGCCTTGATAGAAGAGATCGCTTAAGGTTGAAGGTGTTAATAAACTTTGGTCTATTAATCATCATAGTTTCACATTTAGGGTATAAATATAAGTGTAATAATAAATAATAAGATGCGCCTGTTGCTAAAAAGATTATCAGTCTTCATGTATATCCTACATAATTTTTTGTTTTTATTCTTCTCTTACTTCAGCTGAAAAATGTAGATTTTAATTTAAAATTATGTTTATTAAAACTTTTATCAGAAATCTCATAAAAATATTTAGTTTAATGATAATAAAAATCATTCTTTTTTTTAATAAAAAAAAAAAATAAAATCATTCTTTAATTAATAAAAAAAAAATAAATTATCTTTTTAATAGCTAAAAAATATTATTTTATTGAGGTATGGGCTAATATTTTTCTGTGAATTTAAAGTTGTTTCAGATGCATAATCTATTCCGTGAGCTGTAATAAGCCTATCAATACAAGCTATTTTTAATTTAGCAAGTGATGATTGTGCGTTATTTAAAATAAAATTTCAATATTCATCATGTTTTCTTGAAACAATAGTTATAAATCCAGTAACAATTAAAACCAAAATTCCTAGCGTCGAAAGCCCCACATATAAAAGCACTTTTATATTTATTCCAGTAGATTTCACCCTATTTATCTCACAATCTACTATTCCAGTCATTGTCATATTTAAATAGTCTCACGAATATCCTATTCCATTTATCATTAAAAATTTTGCATTATCTTCATGAGTTAAATTTGATTTTATTTCTGATATGAATGAGTTTCCGTTACTTCCCTCTTTGGTACCTGTGCAAAAATCTTGACCACTGGGATTAATTTTTTTTCAAAAAAATTATATAAAAATTTGATTTTATATATTTGAAATGAAAATATAATTTAATTTATATTTTAATAGTTAAAATCTCATTTTCTAAGCATTTATTATATATTCTGCATAAAAATTGTATATATAAAACATTTTTTTTCTCGCTAACCATAGGGTTGAATTTCCCATAAATAAATATTTTTTCTTATATTTTGTGGGGGTTACCAATAAATCTTGAAACAGTGTCATATAGATTATCATAAGCTATAACATATTGATTTTCGTGAAATAGCCATATAGGAATATACGATTTAACTAAAATTTCTGAATTTGAGCAGTATGACCATTTACTGAAATCATCTAATAAATGCTTTTGAATATTCTCAAGATCAAGCATAATCGAGGCAAAAAATTCTAAATTTTCTTCTAGAGATGATTGTGAATATTTTGAAGATGTCAGCTTTTCAATAGATTGAGCATAGTCTGAGCATAAGCCAATATCATAAAGAAGCCTTCCCAAGCGATTAAAAGCACTCATTGATATAGAATGGTTTTATGTATATATAATGCTACCTATGCGCACCCGACCTCTTGACTTTATTTTATAAGCTTATGGCCAAAGTGAACTGAGCGATTACGAGTTGAGAGACAGGCCAGATAAGGACTTGTGTTTGTATGGATAGACTCTGTCTTAGTTCCTGTAGTTGGAAAGAGGTAAGCTGGCAATGTCCTTCAGGGCCCGAATGTGGATCTTACCGTGATATAAGGGTTGCGGCCTGGACAAAGAATTAAAGTTTTTCCTTTCCTTTCTGAGGGCAGGCACTCACTATTCATTAAACTCCATGTTTTTTCTCGCAGGATCAAGCTACTTTCCAATCACCCAAAGCAGAGCGGCAGAAATCTATTGTCCGCCCCTCAACACCGAGCTGTAAAAGTAAGGAGGAGGCGTCCTACATCCCAATACTTCGGATGTTCATGGCAGTAGGGTCCGAATAAGGACTAAAGTAGGGTTTAAAGGCACTTGGCAATCAAATTATCTCAGCTGTTCAAGTATCCGCAGGGAGTGTCGTAGGATAAACCCTTGAAGGCCCTTTGTGACCTCATGAACATTACGGCCAAGCCCATCTGCTAATAAAGATTAAAATTTAATATATAGAATGGTTTACATCTACGACCATATATGCAGCTATTGCTATCACTGTTGTAATTTCTGATAAAATCTACGTTTCAGTTACCACAAAAAATAATACCCATTGGAGAACTCTTATCCTCTTTTTAGATTCAATTAGAAGCCTATTTGCTATATCTATATAAAGATTACTCTTTTTAGATAGGGCAGGATTAAGATGTCTTCCATCATGTGATTTTTCAGATTCGTTATTTTCTATTATAGGGCTGTCAATATTTTGTGTATTGACATCAGTCTCAGTTTTGTCCATAAAATTAACTTCATAAATTGAACGATTTTTTAGTTCAGCTTTTTGCTTTTCTTTTTCCCATTGTTCATTTTGAAATGCTTCTTCATTTTCTAAATCTTGATTAATTATAATCTCTAGTTTTTCTTGTGCTTCTCCAGTTTTTCACTTATTGATTTCATCAGTCCTATAAGCAATTATTAATAAATATATTATCGTTGATTTTATTTTCTTAGGGACTTTTATAAAAGCCAATTCACGATTTTCCCAACTAAGGATTAATGGCTCATAATTTTTCAAATTTTCGATACAAATAGGTGGGACTATATTTGATAAAGTTTGATTTTTTAAAGATTTTTGCTCTTTTCCTATATAGTAAGAAAAATTTTCTGTGTGGGCTGTTACATAGCCTTCTTCAGAAAATATGGCTATTTGATGATCTATTTTTTTCTGCTGAAAAGATACTAAAAAATAAGCAGAATCGTGAAGTGCTGTCAGCTTTATTAATAAATTGCATTCTATAAGGTATCCTTGCTGGTCTTGGAAAAATAAATCTTCATGATTTTTTACATCAGTAGATTCACAATTTAAAAGAAAATCTTTAATTAATTGTAAATGTAAAGAATCATATGGAAACGGAAGAAAATTCGTAAATTTCATTTCTTGAGATAGAATTAACGAAACTTTTAATATTTGACTTGCTTTTTCATTAATGTGAAGAATAGTGCCAAAAGATTCCTCTGAACAAGAAATAAGCATTGTGCACACATCTTTGCCATATTTCTCTAATCTTTTGTCTTCATTTTTTTGGCTATATGCACTTACTTCCTTAATTTTAAATTGCTAGATTAGGATAGGTATAAATTGCTAGATTAGGATAGGGTATAAATAAATCTTTTTCTTTCTTTAATTTTAAAAAAATTCTATTAAACGGTTTTAATTTATCAAAAAATTAATATTTTGTTTTAATTTAAAGGAGGATTTAGCTTATTTTCCCTATTACTGATGTGAACAGCCTCATCAAAATCACTCAACACATTTTCAAGAAATCCTACATAAAGTTCAAGGATTTCTTTTGTCTTATATTTATCTATTATATTTTTATATCCTTTTTTGATGCAACTTATATTAGCCGAAGTTTTGCTGACTAAATTAACAAGTTTATCAATTCTCGGGACTTTCTGTGAGAGCTCACTTTGTAAATCAATTAAAATATAGCACAATTCTTCGTCCATAGCTTTTATTCTGTTCAATTCTTTTAAATACGTCAAATAATTAATATCTGGAAAAACAAAAAACCTATTAGTCGATAATCAATTAAAAATTTTTCATTCTTGTATATCTCCTTCTAAAGAAGCTGGATTTTTTTGAATTTTTGATAATTTTACTCTGGCAAGTCTTTCATCTTTTATTACATAAAAGTAAAAATTAAATTCTCATATGGAGAAAAGCTTATTTTTTTGGAAATGGCTTAGTTCGGAAAATTTTTTAAACAATTTTAATAGTCTTTTGTTGTCTTCTAAATTCGGGTTTGTCAATAAATGGCGAAATTTCAGTTCAAAATCGTATTGATTTTTTGGGATTTCTACGCTTTCTTTTAATTTTAAGTATCTTCATATAGTAAAACGGCAAATCAAATATAATGCAAGTGGCTGCAAAAACATATTAAAATTTACAATAACAGTTGCATTATCTATCAATCGACCAAATAGAAATATAAATTGGCTTAAAGAAATTGCAGCTATTTTGCATGATTCTATACAATTTTCAAAAATATTATAGTAAGGAAGGTATAATACACTTTTAATCATAAGATAAAGTGAATAAATTGAGCCTAAAATCTGTAAAATAATAACATTCGGATTTCCAAAAGTGATGTAAAATATGCACATCACTACATAAAAAATTTTTTTTTCTAAATCTAACTCAGCACAGGCTCTTGCTTTTATATTTCTATTGGAATTTACATGCTTTATATCACAGCTAAAAATTTCAGAAAATATAATTATAGGCGCTAAAATACAAAAACAGCAAATTACAATGATAATACCAGCTGGTCCATAATCCAAGCTGTCACTATTTACCTCTCCAGAATATTCTTCAATTGTTTTGGAAGTTATAATTGAATATTTAAAAGTCATTAATAGAATCATTACACTTGGAATAAAACATATAGTGTTTAGAATCCACATAAATTTTTCAAAAACCATGACAAGGAGCACTGGTATCGGCTTATTATAATAATAAAAATTGGACGAGGGAATTCACAGATAAATTCTCCACTCATCAGAAGCCATTTTATTATTATGGCTTTCTAATAGTGAAGGTTCAATTACTTTGCATCATATAGGCAATGTGCTTAACCTCTTTTCACCGCCAGATAAAGTCAGAACCCTTAGGCTGAGCAGGCGCAGGAGCATAGCTAGATAAAACGAGGCAACGCGCCAAGCCGCTAATTCCGGGACTTTTCGGCTCTCAAATAGTCCCACAGGATATAGAAGGAGTAGCCTTTGTTGACAGACCGCATGCAAGCAGGAGAAGCGACCAAATCTGAGGGAAAATAAACCTTATGGTCCTGCGCATCCAGAAGCCCAACTCGAGTAAGTTAAATTAAGAATCTAACTCCCCCCATCCTTGATCGAACGATTGACTGTAAAAATTCCTAAAAATTGGGGAAATTAAACCCCCATCCTTGATCGAACGATTTTCATATCATGACAATTTTTATATATATAAAAATATAATAGTTATCAAAAGCTTGGGAAGATGTACCTAATGAAGTTGTTTTCAGAGACTTTGAGACGATAGAAAGCTTCGGAATCAACTATTCAAAGTAATTTTAGTCATCAACATGGGCCTAAAAACTCAATAATCTAATAAAATAGAGATTTTTTAAAATTTTTAAAAACAAATTTTAATTTAATAAGTAACAAATTAAAATTTATACAGTTTTAAAGGGGTAACTAATAAATTAAAATATAAAAAATTGGTATTTTTATGAAATTAATTCAATTTTTTGCTGTAAAAATAATTATTAAATATACTCTTAACCCTCTTATTTAAAAGTAAATAAAAAACAATTTATATATAAAATCTGTTTTAACCCCCATCCTTGATCGAACGATGGCGAGTCGTTCGATCAAGGATGGGGGGGGGAGTAAGTCTAAAGTATCGGTTTATTAATTTTTAAAAAAATTCCAAAAGCTGCAAAAAATACCAAGCAGAGCCCAACTAAAGAAGACGTCCCATAAAAACAAAAATTCATTATGTAAAAACTCGCACAAATATTATCATAGCTTGTATAGCTCAGGGTTGTCCATATACCCCTATATGAGCTCCAATTAGAAATGTTAAGGTTTGGGTACCATACTAAACAATTTACTTGCAGAGCTATAATAACGTTGGCGACTATTTCATAAATTATCTGGGTTTTAAAGTAAGTACTCTTATGGTATTTTATCCTAAAAACCTTTTCAAAAATACTGAACATAAAATTTTTCAATTTTCTCCCAATCGGCGTATGATTTAAGTAGCCTTGAAACTCATTGCTGCTTTTTCATGCGAAATCACCTACAACAAACATATTTTTATAAAACATTCGTATTTTATAAAAGCAGCTTTTAAAATGATTAATTTTTTAATATTATAGGAGTTGGAGCATCAATTATTTATTAGATTGAAACAATGTCTCTATCTTAAAATCAAATACATTTTTCTAAAAATTGTACAGGTAAAACTATGAGTATTTAGATTATTTTAAAATAAAGACATTTTGATATTATATACAATAATAAATAGTAGGGTTAAATAAAGCATAATTTTAGAAATTTATTTTAAGCGTTTTAGAAATTATAAATCCCCTACTCTGCTTCCATTGACAAAATTACTGGTAATATTGCAAATTTTTTCAGTTTATTGATTTCGTAATTCAAGTATGGCAAATAATAAAAGAAAAATAGCGCACACATAGCTGATGAATAAATAATCATGACATCAATAATAATCTTAAGCTCATCCTCTATAAATCTTTTTGAGTCTCTATCAGCTAAATCAAATTCCTGTCCAATTTCTGTTTGTATTGCTACAGAATAAGTGACTAAAATCGGAAGGACAAAACTTGGTAGATTTTCAATATGAGAAATACTGATAATTTCATTAATTAGGCTTATAATAGCATTCTCAATCCCATATTGAGAAAAATCTAGGATGGAATTTGTCTCATGTTCAAATGCTCGAGATTTTAACTCGTCTGACATTAAGTCCATAAATTCATGGTTTCTTAAGAGTTTTACTTGCTGATATAGGGTTATTGCTGTTGATTCTAACATAATTTTTGAGCTTGGAAATTCGTAATTTTTGTTAAAAATGTCGGTAAAATAAGGGGAATAAATATCTCTTGAAAAAATAAGCAGTCTTGATAGAAGAGAACGCTTGAGGTTAAATGAATTTATAAATTTAGGTCTGTTTATCATCATAGTTTCGCATTTAGGGTATAAATATAGTTCCAACAATAAATAATAAGAAGCGCCGATTCCTAAAAAAATCATGAGTCTTATCATGTAGCCTATATAAATTTTTGTTTTTATTTTTTTCTTATTACCCTGGTGAAAAGAAAATATTTTTCTAATTTATTTTTTTTAAAATTAGAATTATTTATTAATTTATGATAAACGGATTATAAATAATAATGCCTATAACTGCTTCTCAAGCAACTTGATGGCCCAAATCAATTTTTTATGATAATCATATTTTAAAATCATATCCCTTAAATAATTCTTATTTATAGAAGAGTTAATAATCCTAGATGTATTAGCTGTTTCAGATGAATAATCTACTCCGTGAGCTGTAATAAGCCTCTCAATACAAGCAATTTTTAATTTAGCAAGAGATGGCTGGGCATTATTTAATATAAAATTTCAATACTCATCATGTTTTCTTGACACAAGAATTATAAATCCAATCACAATTAAAACCAAAGCTCCTAATGCTGAAAATCCTGCATATAAAAGTGCCTTTATATTGATTCCAGTTGATTTCACTCTATTTACTTCGCAATCTACAATTCCAGTCATTGTCATATTTAAATAGTCCCATGTATATCCTAGTCCATTCATTATTAAAAATTTTGCATTATCTTCATGAGTTATATTTGATTTTATTTCAGATATAAATGAATTTCCAGTAACGATAAATCTTGAAACAGTGTCATAAAGATTTTCATAAATAATATTAAATTGATCTTCATGAAAAAGCCATATAGGAATATATGGTTGTATTAAAATATCTGAGCTTGAGCAGTATGACCATTTACTGAAATCGCTCAATAAATATTTTTGGATAATTTCGAGGTCTTGCATTATATTGGAAAAGAATTCTAAATTTTCAGCAAGGGATGAGGGCTGTGATCTTGAAATTGCTTGTCTGTCAATTGTTCGGGCATAGTCCGAGCATAAACCAATATCATAAAGCAGCCTTCCCATGCGATTAAAGGCGCTCATTGATAATGAGTGAGATACATCCACTACCATATATGCAGCTATTGCGATTACTGTTGTAATTCCGGATAATATCTAAGTTTTTTTTACCACAAAAAATAATACTCATTGAAGAATCCTTATTCTTCTTTTTGTTCCTATAAGAAGCTTCTTTGCAACATCTATATTAAGATTACTCTTATTTGATAAAGCCTGCTTGGAATAGTCTTCATTGTGCTGTCTCTCATGCTCTATTGGATCCTTCATAATAGAGCTATCCACATTTTGTGTAAAAATATCAGTATCAGTTTTGTCTGTGGTTTTATGTAAAAAATTCATTTCACTAATTGAAAGATTTTTTAGCTCAGCATTTTTCTTTTCTTTTTCCCATTTACCCTTATCTTCGCTGCCCATGTCTTGGTCACTTATCATATCGAAATGTTCTTGTGCTTCTCCTGTTTTTCATTTACTTCTCTTTTTAAAATATGTTTTATTTTTAATTAATTAATTAATTAATTAATTAAGGACAAATATGTTTTGAATTATATGAGCATATTTTATAAAACTGACACGAATTATGAAGAATTAAATTAATTTTGCTTTATACCAAAAATTAAATATAATTTTATCATTTATTCTTTTTAAATATAAATTTCTGAAGCATAATTGATTTTTTTTTTTAAAAAAGCTAATAAAAAAATATTGTAGCAGAGCTAATGATTTCTTCTTCCTTATAAGCAACAATCAATAAATATACCGAAATTGATTTTATTTTTTTCAGAACTTTTATGAAAGCTAATTCGCGATTTTCTCAAAAAATAATCCACGGTTCATAATCCCTCATTTTTTCTATATTAAGAAGTGGAACTAGTTCCGATAAATTTTGATTTTTTAAAGATTTTTGTTCTTTTCCTATATAATAAGAAAGCAATTCTGTATGAGCTTTAATTATACCTTCTTCAGAGACTATAGCTGCCTGATGGTCTATTTTTTTCTGCTGAAAAGACATCAAAAAATAGGCCGAATCGTGTAGTGCTGTCAATTTTATTAATAAATTGCACTCAATAAGATAGCCTTGTTGGTCTTGAAGAAACAGTTTCTTATGGCCTTCTAAGTCAGTGGTATTACACTTTAAAAGAAAATTCTTTGCAAGCTTTATATGAAATGAGTCGTAAGGAGCTGGAAGAAAATAAGTAAATTTCAGTTCTTGTGAGGCTATTAATGAAGTTTTTAAAATTTGTACAGCTTTTTCATTAATATAAAGAATATTTCCAAAAAATTCATCTGAGCATGAAATAAGCATTATGGCTACTTCTTTGCCATATTTTTCTAGCCTTTTATCCTCATTTCTTTGATTATATACACTAATTCCGTTTTTTCTGTTAATAACATGATCAGCTTCATCATAGTTACTTACTCCCGCGAGCAAACAAAACCATTGGAAAAATCCTATTTTTTAGATAAAAACCCACTCTCTATGAGCGAACAAAAATTTTTTATGAATAAAAGTTTAATATGCAAAGTGATAATTATTATAAATGGAATCTCTAGCTAATTCTGTTTAATTTTAAACAAATTGCATTTTAAAACATAAATTTTACAAATTAAATTAATATGCTTTCCAATTTTTGTGATTTGGGATTTTTTTTTTTTAAATTTTGAAAAAAAAAAAATTATATAAAATTTATATAAAATGTTTTAAACAATAAAACCATTAAGCGAACAAAAATTTTTTGTTCGTGCACGGATGGGGAGGAGTTAAAATATTTTCAAGAAATCCTGCATAAAGCTCAAAAGTTTCAGTTGTTTTGTGTTTATCGATTATATTTTTATAGCCTTTTTTGATGCAACTTATATTAGCTGAAGTTTTGTGGACTAAATGAAGAATTTTTTCAATTCTTGACACTCTCTGTGAGAGCTCACTATGTAAATCAATTAAAATATAGCACAATTCTTCATCCATAGCTTTTATTCTGTTCAGTTCTCTTAAATACGCTAAATAGTTAATATCAGGAAAAACAAAAGACCTATTAGTCGATAACCAATTAAAAATTTTTCATTCTTGGATATCTCCTTCTAAAGAAGATGGATTTTTTTGAATTTTTGATAATTTTACTCTGGCAAGTCTTTCATCTTTTATTACATAAAAGTAAAAATTAAATTCTCATATAGCGAAAAGCTTATTTTTTTGGAAATAGCTTAATTCAGAAAATTTTTTAAATAGGTTTAGCACGTGGGATTGTTCTTCTAGATTTGAATTGGATAATAAATGGCGAAATTTTAGTTCAAACTCATATTGATTTTTTGGAGTTTCTGTGCTTTCTTTTGCTTTTAAGTACCTGCGTTTAATAACACGATAAACTAGGTATAATGTAAGTGGCTGTAAAAATATATTAAAGTTTACTATAATGGTTCCATTATCCAGCAAACGGCCGAATAAGAATATTAATAAGCTTAAAGAAATCATAGCCATTTTGCATGATTCTATACAATTTTCAAAAATATTATAATAAGGAAGGTACAATATATCTTTAATCATAAGATAAAATGAATAAATCAATGCTAAAATCTGTAGTAGAGCAACATTTGGGTAGCCAAAAGTTATATAAAATATGCACATCATCACATAGAAACCTTTTTTTTCTAAATCTAGCTGAGCACAAGCCCTTGCTTTTATATTTCTATTGGAATTTACATGTTTTATATCACAACTAAAAATTTCAGAAAATATAATAATAGGTGCTAATATACAAAAACAGCAAATTACAATGATAATGCCAGCTGGGCCATAATCCAGACTATCACTATTTACTTCTGCAGAGTATTCTTCAATTGTTTTGGAAGTTATAATTGAATATTTAAAAGTCATTAATAGGATCATTACACTTGGAATAAAACATATAGTGCCAAGAATCCATATGATTTTTTCAAAAATCATGATAAATAATATTGGTATCTGCTTGTCGAATTTTAAAAAAAATCCAAAAAAAACAAAAAATACAAGGCATAGTCCTATTTTAAGATTAATAAGTTTCCGGCCATAAGCACTCTTCAGGCACTGACCATACGCCCCGCCTCGATTCCAAAAATGGCATGACGCCATTTCCGGCCTGAAACATCTATCCAGGAGATTAGCTCTTCCTAGGCAGAGCCGCTTCTTGATAGCACCCCAATGTTCCGATGAGAAAAGACCATGTGGTAGGCAAAATTTGTCTAGCCCACCTGGCAGGGACAGGGAAAACCTTCGGGGGAGAAACAAAACACCCTACTTCGGCAAGCTTCTCCTTGAGACAGTATACTTGAGCCCTAAAGGCGAATTCGCCACCTCTCTCGTCAGTCCACTGCACCATCAAGGAGGTGTCGCCTCGGAGTCCAATTTCCGTCAACTTCATCATTTTATTTCTATAGTCCTATTAAGGAAGATGTCCCATAAAAGCAGAAATTCATAATGTAAAAACTTGCACAAATATTATCGTAGCTTGAATAGCTTAAAGTCATTCATATAGTCTTATAAGAGCTCCAATTAGAAATGCCTAAATTTGGGTATCATGCTAAACTGTTTAGTTGGAGAGCTATAATAATGTTTGTCACAATTTCGTAGGTCATCTGAGTTTTGACTGAAATTCTTCTATGATATTTTGTTCTGAAAACCTTTCCAAAAATCCTGAAAATAAAATTTTCTGCTTTTTCTCCACAGGATATAGGATTTAGATCACCTTGAAATTCATTGTTAGTTTTTCCAGTTAATTCACTTTCATCAAACATATTAAATAATAAATTTACTGAAGTTTTTTATATTTGGAAACTATAAGATTTTTTTATGTATTTTAGAGTTTTATATAAGTCTCTAGTTAGATAAAATTTGTTTTTTAAATTGCGAGAAGCTTGTAGATGTTGTTTTGGTACAGGCTGAATAATCATTATCATTAGTACTAAAAAAATTTTAGATAAAAATACAAAATTTGAAAAAAATCAAATGAAAATGAGGTTTTAAGACTTATATGACTCTAAAGAGTTTATTATAAAGTAAACATTTCGTATTTCTGCACTAAATGATTGTGCTGATATATAATTTACTATTGGCTGCTTTAATGCAATAACACGAAATGAAATGGGTCCTTTAGCCCTTACGAGATAAGGGATTTAGGTACAATAAAAGATCATTTTTTCAAAAGTGCGACTCCCCCCTTTAATACATTGGAATTGAATAATTTGCCTGCAAAGTGAGTGATGATTTCTCTTATTTAGCAAACTTATAAGTTTTATAGAGAGAAGCACGATTTGAAATAGTTTTTTCATGCAAACAAACAATGAGAGTTAATAAACTTTTTCTTTATACAATCTCTGGGCTTTAAAATAAATTTTTATTTTATATGCAAGAGCTTCATAGAAAATTAATAAAAATTACACAAATTTATTAGAATATTAAAAGTGCCCCATATTTTAATAATAATTTTTGAAGCAAAATTGGCTCTATAAATATCTTTAATAAAGAAAAGCACTATGTAATAAAGATAATGAATTTCTTTAGTGATTGAAAAATAATAATTGTTATATTTATAATGATATCGGAAGAAGAAGAAGAAGAAGGCAAGCAGCTCGAAATTGCTTCAGTTAGTCCTTTTAATTTTCATGATCTTAATCTGGAAAGAGATTCACTAGAAGAAAGCAAAGCTTGCTTAAAGAGAAGTCTGGAAGGAGTTAAAGTTGAAAATATTCGAAAAGCTTTGGAAAGACTAGAAAGTCAGAATGAAGTTTTTCAAAAGAAAGCAGCCGATGAAATTTCGTTTTGGGCCCTTAAAAACAATCTGGAACTTTTGAAGCATACGACTATGATTAAATATTTCTACAATGAACTTTCCTATAAGAGGCTAGAAAATACTGCTGCTAGGTATTTTATTGAATTTTTTCAATTAAGAGGGCCTGAAAATCTTTCGTTTTCTGAAAAAACAAGTGGTATTCAGCTTGGAAGAAGAATTCATATCGCCATTTCTCCTACAGAATCAAGGACGTTTTTCATTAAAACTCACAAGCATGGAGCGTTATCGTATTCAAGCTTAAAAAGTTCAGTAAAAGAAATTGATCCAAAAGAGGTTTTTGTATATCATCTACTTCATCAATTGAATTTAGGCCCTGAAGCTCACTTTTTCTGAGAAGATAAGAAGAATTTTTATATAGCTACAGAAGATTTGAATGAGAGAGGATCATTTAATGAGTACAGCAAGTTCTATAAGAAATTTCTGAATCCAGACATCCCTGAAGAATATCCTCTTATTTGTGACGAACTCATAAAAATAGATGTGATTTCAAGAATTTTACGATTATCTGATACCACAACAAACAAAGAAAATTTTGGATTTCTTGAAATTAATGGCCAAATTTCTTTACATTTGATTGATTTTGATATAAAAGAAGAATTTAACTATATAGGAGACGGCTTATTTGAAGGATTTTTAGCAGGCAATGGAAAATTTCAGTACGCTAGTAATACAGACCCAATAATTAGATACGCCTTAGCAAATAGAAACCAAACAGATCGCGTTCAAGCAGCGGCTCATTTCTTTGATAATAATTTCAATATCTTTCAAGCTGTTGAAACTAGCATGGAGCATTTATTGCATATCTTTAAAGATTTAGATGTCAATATTAATGATCTTTTAATTTACTGCGACGGCATTAAGAAGAACATTCAACTTTTTAAAGAACGACTAATGCATTTAGACCTGGCCTCTCAAAATGAGGCATAGATTAACCAATAGATATTAATCTAAACTAGTATTCAAATAATTTAAGCTTACTCCCCTCCATTTGTGAACAAAAAAAATTTTGGGAAGGGTTTAATTTTAAAAAATTTATATATAATTAAATTCTAGTTGCTAGTTACCTACCATTGCATGTATGCAAATATATAGAAGATAACTAGCCATCACGAACATTTTATATAATTTATAAATTATATATTTAATATTGCATATATAACTCTAAATTTTATTTAAACTATATATCATAATTATGTCTATACAACCCTAATCAGACTCAATTGATAAAATCGTCGGCAAAATTGCAAATTTCTTCAGCTTATTAATTTGGCGATTCAAGTAAGGCAAATAATAAAATAAAAACAGCACACACATAGCTGATGAATAAACCGCCATTACATCGATAATAATTTCCAGCTGGTCCTCTATCAGCTTTTTTGAGTCTCTATCTGCCAGATCAAATTCCTCCCCAACTTGTCTTTGAATAACAACTGAATAATCAATTAACTGTTGGAGCACTGAAGGGTCTGATAAATTATTATGAGAAAAAGACACTAAATCCCCTACCAAAACCATAACACCGTCCTCAATCCCATATGCAGTAAAATCTACTGTCGAATTTTTTTCATGTTCGAAAATTTTGGTTTTCAGCTCATCTGAAAGTAAATCAATAAAATCCTGCTTTTTTAGCTCTTGGACTTGGTCGTTGACGGCTTTTGAGGTTCTTTCTATCATGATTTTTGAGCTAGGATTAGGATTATTAAAAGGAAGACTTTAGCCATATTGGTGACGCAGTCACCAAAGACCTACTGTACTGGAGGTTCTCCCTTTTTTCAACTCCAGCTCAGAGGGTCCTTCCCCCCGAAGGTGGATGACACTTCTGGTACCTTCCGTATCCTCCTTACCTTGCGGCTCTTGAGAGGGTGGCTTATATTTTTGAGCCAGGATTAGGATTATTAAAGTCAGGCGCTGGCCTATTGGTGACGCAATCGCCAAAGACCTCCCGTATGGCAGGCTCATCCACTTTTCGACTCCAACTCAGTGAGTCTATCCCTCTTACGAGTGCCCTTCCGCTGCATTCTGCTTTGTGGCTTCAGTCTTGAGTGGGCGGCTTATAGATTTCTGCGGCCTTACTATGGGCGATTGGAGTAGCTTGATTCCAAGGATCCTTGGAGTTTATCGGGTATTGAAGTGCCTTCCTTCGACAGTTACAGGAAAAAAAAGACTGTTCCCCTGTGGCCTAGGCCGAAACCCAAATTTTTCGGCAGAGGAATGCCCATGGTCCTCAGATCCAAAAGACGTTGTTTAGCACCTCCAATTCCAATCACAGGTAGGCAGCCAAAATCTACCCGGAAATATACACCTCTGGAGCCTGCACTTGATTCTCAGCTCGGATCCGTCCCAGTTCGCCGTAACCATAAGGTCTGGACTGCTGCGCCAAGAAGGCAGTTGGGATGTTTCGCCATTTAATGTATATATTTTTGAGCTAGGAAAATCATAAGTTTCATTAAAAATGTTGATAAAATAAGGGGAATACGCATCTCTTGAAAAAATCAGAAGCCTTGATAACAGTGATCTTTTAAGGTTAAAAGTGTTAATAAATTTAGGCCGATTTATCATCATAGTTTCACATTTAGGGTATAAGTACAACTGCAGCAGCAAATAATAAGAGATACCAATCGTCAAAAACATGGTGACTCTTCAGATATAGCTAATATAAATAGTAGTTTTTATAGTCTTTTTTATGTGTTTTTGTACATCAATTTTAGTTTCCGACGCATAGTCTACCCCATGTGCTGTAATTAGTCTATCAATACAAGTAATCTTTAATTTTGCTAAAGACGGGGCTGCATTATTTAAAATAAAAGTCCAAAACTCATCATGTTTTCTTGAAACAAGCATAATAAATCCAATTAATATTAAGTATAAAGCTCCTGAAGTAGAAAGCCCTACATATAAAAAAGCTCTTATATTGCTCCCAGTTGTCTTTACTCTATGCAGCTCACAATCAGCTACCCCAGCCATCGTTCGATTAAAATAATTCCATGTAAACCCTAGCCCATTTATCATTAAAAATTTAGCATGTTCTTGATATGTAGAATTTATCAGTGATTCTGCCATTAAGGAATGCCCATTTATTATAAATCTGGAAACTGTGTTAAAAAGGTTGTCATGGATCATAGTCACTTGGTCTCCATTAAAAAGCCATACTGGGATATAAGGGCTTACTAAAATATAGGATATTTGTTGAATATGGAATATTTTTTATAAAAATAAAAAAAATAAATAAATTTAATGGAAATTTTTTATCTGAATTTGAGCAGTAAGACCATTTGCTAAAATCGTCTAATAGGTAGCTTTGGACGTTTTCTAGGTCTTCAATGACAGTGGCCATGCTGTTTACATTTGATTGTAAAGAAGATTTTAATGAAGATGAAGAATGTGATGAATTTAAGGATAGCCAGAATGTGTCTGCAACCCTGTTAATTGACCGGGCTCAGTCTGAACATAAGCCAATGTCATAGAGAAGCTGCCCCATACGATTAAAAGCGCTCATTGACGTAGAATGTGACACATCGACCACCATATATGCAGCTATTGCTATGACTGTTGTTATGCCTGATAATATCTATATTAAATTTACCACAAAAAATAACACCCATTGTAAAACTCTTATAGTTCTTTTTGACTCTATTAAGAGCCTTTTTGCAAAATCTTAATAAAAGTTACTTTTTTTTGATAAAGTAGGCTTAGTCTAACCCATTTTGAGAAAGCAAATTATATGCAATTTAAAATTAATAGCAAGATATATAAATTAAATTTTATAAATATATTATATTTTCTTTAAATAAATAAAATTTTTTTTATAATTTTAATAAAAAAAAATAGAGCAGAAAAATTTTGCTCACTATTAAAGTAGGAGGGAGCTAGAATGTTCTTCGTCAAGCGACCTTTCGTGCTCTTTTTGGTCTTTCATCATAGAGCTGTCCATATTTTGTGTAAAAATATCAGTTTCAGTTTTATCAATAGATTTCATTGAAAAAGTGACTTCCCCTATCGAATGGCATTTAATTTCAGCCCTTTTTCTTTCTCTTTTGTCTGAATAGCTTTCTTCATTATTTTCCACATCTTGATCACTTATCATATCCAGCTGTTCTTGGGCTTCCCCAGTTTTCCATTTACTAATTTCTTCTTCATTGTAGGCCACGATTAATAAATATACCACAATAGATTTTATTTTTTTAGGGATTTTTATAAAGGCAAGTTCTCGGGTTTCCCATATAGTGATCCAAGGCTCGTAGTCTTGCATTTTTTCTATAGAAAGGGCTGGGATTAAATCTGATAGGTTTTTATTTTTTAATAGCTTTTTTTCTTGGCCTACGTAGTAAGGAAATAATTCTGTGTGGGACTGTATTATGCCTTCTTGTGAAACAATAGCTAGTTGATGATCTTTTTTTTTCTGTTGAAAAGATACTAAAAAATAGGCAGAGTCGTGAAATGCGGTCAATTTTATTAATAAATTACACTCCATGATGTAGCCTCTCTGATCTTCAAAGAATAGCCTCTTATGGTCTTCTAAGTCCGTTGAACTGCAATTTGTAAGAAAATCTTTTGCAAGCTTTAAATGCAAAACATCATATGGGGCTGGAAGAAAATTTGTAAATTTCAGCTCTTGGGAAGGAATTAATGAGGTTTTTAAAATTTGGATGGCCTTTTCGTTAATGTAAAGAATGTTGCCAAAAGATTCATCTGAGCAAGAAATAAGCATTGTAGCTATATCTCTGCCATATTTTTCTGTGGCACCTCTTTTGGTCGAAGTTTTTTCTCGTCAGGAAGCCTATTATTTTTCAGCGAAATCACCAAGAAAATATCTGTAAGAGGAAATTTCCTAGTGAAAAGGCATTTAGCCATTTTTCTAATCTTTTGTCTTCATTTCTTTGATTATATACACTCATCCCATTTTTTTTACTAGCAATTTGGTCAGCTTCATCATAATTGCCTAGGATGTCACCAAGAAATCCTGCATATAGCTCAAGTGTTTCTGTTGTTTTGTGCTTTTCAGCAATATTTTTATATCCTTTTTTTATAATCCCAATACTGTCAGAAATATGGTCAACTAAATCAACAATTCTCTCAATTCTTGGCTTTCTCTGTGAAAATTCACCCTCTAAATCAATTACAATATAGCACAATTCTTCGTCTTTTGCCCTCACACTGCTTAACTCCATTAAATACGTTAAATAATTGATGTCTGAAAAAAATATCAACTTTTTATTAGCACAGAGCCAATTAAAAATTTTTCATTCATAGGCATCTCCTTCGAGAGATGAAGAATTTTTTGAAATTTTTGAAAGTTTTACTCGAGCAAGTCTTTCGTCTTTGATTACATGAAAGCAGAAATTGAATTCTCATATGGCAAAAAGCTTGTTTTTTTGGAAATGGCACATTTCAGAAAATCTTTTAAAAAGGCTTATTCCCCCTTTTAACTGGAAATAATAATCTGTTCCAATTAAAAATTTTTAAAAATTTTAATTTGTAAAATTTATCCTTTCAAAGTATTGGAATTATTTAAGTATTATTCTATTTCACCTTCTCCTTTAAAGCAGAATATATATACCGATTATTTGTATAAAAATTATTATTTTTATTTATAAAGCTATTTTTTTTAATTTGAGGGAATTAATACTTGTGTTTTGTCTTCTAAATTCGGATTTGTTAATAAATCCCGGTATTTTAGCTCAAATTCATACTGATTTTTTGGGATATCTTTGCATTCTTTTAATTTTAAGTATCTACGCTTAATAATTCTACACACCATATATATTGCAATTGGCTGCAAAATTATATTAAAATGCGCTATAACCGTCGCATTATCCAGCAAATTCGCAAAAAGAAATATCAGTATACTTAAAGAAACTGCAGCCATTTTGCAAGACTCTATACAATTTTCAAAAATATTGTAATAAGGCAGAAATACTATGCATTTTATCATAATATAAACCGTATAAATCAATGATAGTATTTCAAGAAGGATGACATTACCATTTCCTAAAGTTACATAAAATATGCACATAATTACATAAAAAATCTTTTTTTCAAAGTCTAATTCAGCACAAGTTCTCGCTTTTACATTTCTGCTGGAATTTGTATGTTTTATATCACAGCTAAAATTTCAGAATAAATAGTAATAGGAGCTAAAATGCAAAAACAGCTAATCACAATAAAAATCCCAACTAAGCCGTAATTTAAGCTGTCACTTTTTATATCTCCAGAATATTCTTCAATTGTTTCTGAAGCTATAATTGAATATTTAAGAGTCATTAATAAAATCATCACATTGGGAATGAAGCATAAAGTCATCATTATTCATATAAATTTTTCAAAAATTATTATAAGAAATATTGGTATCGGCTTCTCGATTTTCAGAAAAATCCTAAAAATTGCTAAAAAAGCCAAGCAAAGCCCAAATAAAGATGAAGTCCCATAAAAACAGAAATTCATGATATAAGACTGTGCACAAATGCTATCGTAGCTTGAGTAGCTAAGAAAAAGCCTGTTTTTCATTCTCTCATAGGATTTTTTTCCTCTTGGGACATTTTCTCAGATTTTTGGTCGTAGTGAGAAGCAACCGTTATAGTTTTTTGCAAATTTGATTTAAAAGTTCGATAATTAAAATATGGCGTCTTCGTCTGGGCATGGCGTCTTCGTCTGGGCATGGCGTCTTCGTCTGGGCATGGCGTCTTCGTCTGGGCATGGCGTCTTCGTCTGGGCATGGCGTCTTCGTCTGGGCATGGCGTCTTCGTCTGGGCATGGCGTCTTCATCTGGGCATGGCCTCTCGGCCATGCAGCCTCGACTCATATTTTAATTATATCCGGCAAGGTTTTTCTAGCCTTGAAATGGACGGCAATGCTGGGTAATCAATTCTGCAGGAGGCAGAGCCTAGCCCAAGTCCACTTCGAGACTGGTTTTTACCTCGAAGGAAAGGAGGGTTCAGATTTGGAAGGGCAAGCCCACAAGGTCTACAGGTAATCCCTAGACCAATCGGGCAACTGCCTAGCGTGAAACTGGGCGTTACGTCCCAGGATCTGAACTTTACCCTTTTGCCGATAGGCTACCAGAAATTCCATTTTTTGGAATTTCGGAATGCCAACTTCGTATTCCCTCAGCCTCAGGAGGGCCGCACAAACCCGTAGCCTGCCCACTCAACACTGGAGCTTTTTACAAGAAGCAAGGAGGAGACCGGACGGAAGGAAGGTCGCAAAGCGGGTGAATCTCCCAGGGGATCCTCGGTGATTGCATTAAAATTAAGGGCACGAGCCCGTATATCTAATAAGACTCATATTTTAATTATATCCGGCAAGGTTTTACCATTTCAGAGATGGACAGGATTACTAGGTAAGCAACTCTGGTTATGTACAGAGCCTAGCCCAAGTCTAATCTCAGGGGTGGATTTTTCCTCATGTGGAACGAGGGTACAGAATTTGGAAAGGGGAAGCCCAGCGAAGTCTTTTGGACCCTTCGGGCAAACTCCCTAGCGTGAAACAGGGCGTTACGTCCCAGGCTATGTACTTTTCCTTTTTGCCGAGAGCAGACCAGAAAATCCATTTTTTTGGATTTTCGGAAAAGCAACCCATGTCACAAGCAAGTAGCTCACTCATGAGCCGTCGAAGCCGGCAACACTTGCCCTAAAGCACCCTGGAGTAACAAAGCAGCTCGACCCAGCGACTTGTGGGCCCGATTGACGAAGGCGAGCGGAAGATCTGAGGACGGTCGACCCTGTAGTGGACGTTAAACGTTATAAATTTAATGGTAATGGATTTAAAAGTTAGAGAATTCAATTAGAGGAGAAGCCTATTTCGATGGCATACATTTTTAAAAACAAAGCAAAGAGAAAGATACACTGTGCCATGGAACCGAAAAAGCCATATAGGTTGGTATGAACTTCAGTCAGAAATCTTTAAATCTGGATATCACACTAAGCTGCTCAATTGCAGCACAATTATAATGTTAATAGTTATTTCGTAGGCCATCTGAGTTTTAATTGAAGTCTTTCTGTTGTATTTTATTCTGAAAATTTTACCAAAAAAGTTTAATATGCAATGATTCAGCCTAGTCGCAAAATTCATTCCTTTTAAAAGTCCTCTAAATTCATAACTGCGTTTTTCTGCTAATTCATCTACTTCAAACATATTTGTGGAAATATTTTATTTACTCCTCCCTCCATGAGCGAACAAAACCATTGGAAAAATCCCTGCCAAAAGACCTCTCCTTGAACGAACAAAATTTTTTATCAAAAAATATTTGAGATATATGAATGATAATTGTTATAATGAAATCTCTAGCTAATTCTGTTTAATTTAAAACAGCTTGATTTTAAAACATAAATTTTGCAAATTAAATTAATTTTTGCACTCAATTTTAAAAAAAAAAATTTTTAATATTTATAAATTATAAAAAATCACCTCCATAAACGAACAAAATTTTTTGTTCGCTCACGGAGGGAGGAGTTAATATTTTATTTTACATTAATTGCATAGTTTTAATTACTTCATAAAAATTTAAAAATAATTATTTAAGCTATCAGCAATTAATACACCTGCCCTGCGTTCATAGGCAAAATTGTAGGTAAAATTGCAAATTTTTTCAGTAGTTTGATTTGGCCGTTCAAATATGGTAAATAATACAAAAAATATAATACACAAAGAGAAGCTGAATAAAGCGCTGTCACTTCTATAATGATATTCAATTGATTATTTATAATTTCTTTAGAATCATCGTCAACAAGCCCAAATTCATACCCAATTTCGTTTTGGATTTGTGTGACTTGGCTTAAAAAAGCAACTGTTACATCGCCTGGCTGAAGGGTGGTTCTGGCAGCTAAATTTTCTAGATCTCATACGATTGTATTAATTGATGATTCAGTGCCATAGTGCAGCACTGGCAGGCTCGAGTTAGATTTTTCAAAGAGACTGTCCATCAATTCTTGGGACATTAGGCTTGAAAATTTATTTTGACGGATTTCTTTATTTAATAAGTTTAAGTCATCTAGAGTTTTATATAGCATGGCGTAGGAATTGGCAAAACTATAGTTGGATGGGAAATTTAAAATGATATAGGGCTGATAGATATCTCTGGAAAATATGCTTAATCTTGATAGCAATGATCGTCTTACTCCCCCTCACCTCCGTGAGCGTTAAATTTTTTTAAAAAATTTATATAATCAGTTGCTCAAATTTCTGATCGGCTCCCACGAGCTAAAGATTGATTTCATGCATGAAAATCCAGAAATTCCACGTGGAAACCCCATTTTTGGCTCGTGGGAGCCGATCAGAAATAACGCCAAAAGATCATATATACAATTTAATAGATTTTTTTTTTTTTCAAATTTAAAAAAATCCTATTCAAAATTGGAAAGCAAATATAATTTAATTTGTAAAATTTATGTTTTAAAACGCGATTTGTTAAAAATTAAACAGAATTAGCTCGAGGTTTCATTATAATAATTATCATTTATATATCAAAATTTTTTTCCCGTAAAAATTTTTCTATAAAAAAAATTTTGTTCGCTCACGGAGGGTGGGTTTTTGGTCAAAAAATATTTTTCTAATGGCTTTGTTCGCTCACGGAGAGGGGGGAGTTAGGGTTAAAATTACTCAAAAGTTCGGGCCTATTTGTCATCGATTTCTCACAGTTTGGGTATAAAAATGTACCAATTAATAAGTAATAAGATGCAGCTATTGTAAAAAATATCATTATCCTTCATGAGTATTTTATGTACAAAAACGTTTTAACTTTTCTATTTTTATTCAAAAATTTTTCTCTTTCCATCTTCATATCAGAATTATAATTAACTCCATGAATAGTCATTAACCTTTCAACTGAAGAAAATTTAAGCTTGGATAATGAGAGCTGAGCATTATTTAACAAAAAATTTCAAAATTCATCATGTTTTATTGACACAAGTATGATAAACCCAATAATAATAAATTCAAGAAATATAAGCGCACAAAATCCAAGAATCAATAATGCTCTTATAATAGATCCATTGCTTTTTACCCGAACTATTTCGCATTTTTTTATTCCTTTCATAGCAATATCTGTATACTCATAAGCAAAATCTAGTCCATTCATGACTAAAAACTTTGAATTGCCCTTATAGTCTTGTTTATTATTAATATTTGCTATTAAGCTTTTTCCCTGTATATAAATTACATGAAAAATGAATTTTCCTATTGTGTTATATACTCGCTGGAATATTTATAAGATATCTCTGGCAAATAACAATAATTTTATATAATTTTTAATAGGAACATTTTTATTTTGTATAGGCAAAAGATATTTTTATAAAGAACATACAAGTTTGCATATGAAATTTTTGGGGGCATTTCTTCAAAAGACCACAAAGGAACTAAAGAATCATGAAGTATGTCAGCCGCAGAGCAGTAGCTCCATTGTGAAAAATCCCCTAGAATATGATTTTCTATATTTTCCAGCTCAGCAATGAGGTTTTCATATAAATGCATATGGTTTACTAATAATGGCTTTGAGACGTTCATAAATATCATTCGATCCATAGTTCTTGCCATATCAGATGCAGATCCAAGATTATATAATAAATCTCCTATCAATTTAAATGAGCTCATTGATGTAGAATAAGACACGTCACTTACCATATATCCTAATATCGCAGCTACTGTCCCTATAACTGACAAAATTGCAATAAAAAGCACCCATTGTAGTACCTTTATTCTTATTCTTGATTCTGAAAGCAATTTTTTAGCGTAATCTATATAAAAAATACTTGATTTTGTGGACAATGCTCTTGCCCTCTCAAAAGACATAGATTTTTCTTCATGGAATTTGTCATCTTTAGACATGCCTTTAATAAATGAGTTGTCAATTGATCTAATAGAAGAAGAATAATTTGTTTGCTGCAATTTCCTGTCAAGGTGGCTACTAAAAATGCTTAAATCTTGGGTATTTTCACATGTGGTGTCTCTTATTTCGGAATGATCAGTTTGGTTTTCAGGACTATTTTTTATATCATTTTCATTGGGAATAATTATTAAAAAATTAATAGTTTTGTCTGATATTGATAAAGTTTTTCTGGTCATAGTGCCTTCTTGGCATACAAAAAGCTCATTTTCTTGGAGATTTTCAAAATTTAAGTTTGGCAATAAATCAGACAATTTTTTGTTATTTAGGTATTTTTCTTCTGATTTTAAGTAATAAGGAAAATGCTCAGAATGGCATGTAATAAACCCTTCATCAGAAATAACCGCAGCTTGCTTATTAGTAATTATTTTATTAAATGAAATCAAAAAATAAAGGCAGTTGTGAAAAGCAGTCAATTTTATCAGTATATTGCACTCTATCAAAAATCCAAGCTGGTCTTTGAGATATAAATTATCATGGCCTTGGACATCAATTGTGTCACAATTTTTCACAAATTCCCTCATAAGCTTATCATGAAGCGCATCATAAGGTTGTGGTATAAAATTCATTAAAAATGTCTCATAAGAGCCTGAGCCAGAAATTTTCAAAATTTTGGTAGTTTTTTCATTTAAATATAGAATTTTTCCAAATGAATGGGCTGAGCAAGCTAAAAGCATAATTGCAGTATTTTTGCCATACTGTTCCAAAGACTGCTCAGATTTTTTGCTATATACATTAAGCCCGGCTTTTCTCCTTATAATTAATTCAGCTTCTTCTTTATTATTGATTATATTTTCAAGATACGTTGAATATATATCGTAGGATTCTGGGTTTTTATATTTATTTACCAAGTTTTTATAGCCTTTTTGGATTGCTTTGACTAAGTTAGAAGTCCGCTTCACGAAATTTATAATTTTATCAATTCTTGGCGATGATGAAGAAAATTCAGATTGCAGCTCAACTATCATGTGGCATAAGGTTTCGTCCTGATTTTTAATCCTGTTAAATTCTTTCAAATATTCTAAATAATTGGTGTCAGGAAAGATCTTGCATTTTCTCATAATGAGCCAACAAAAAATTCTCCATTCTTGAACTTCTCCTTCAAATGAGGATTTAAACTGTTTTATTTTAGCGAGTTTAATTCTTGCTAGTCTTTCATCTTTTACCACGAATACACAAAAATTGAATTCTCAAATAACAAAAAGCTTGTTCTTTTCAAAAGTGCTTAATTTTGCAAAATTTTTAAAATGAGTTATATCTTCTCTTATTAATTATTTAAAATTGATAAAAATTGTAAAAATAAGGCATAATTAATAAAAATGATAGTCTTTTTTGAAAAATAAATTATATTAAATAAACAGCTAACACCTTATTTACAATAAAAAAAGGCTTAGCTGTGAGTCCTTGGAATACCTATCTATTTATATGAGCATATAAAACTTTAGATTTTTCAGCGAGATTTTCATTTGTGACTCCCCCTTTGAATTTCTGTTCAAATTAAAGGGGCTAATATTTTTTTAAAAAATTATAGAAAAATATATAAATTTATTAAATTATTTTTGAAAGTGCTAATTTTGATTAAATCGTGTTCTATTTCACTGCCGATTTAAAAAAATCAATTTAAATTTTTGATTTTGTCAAATAAAATCGGATATTAAAGCTATTATACTTATAAAAAAGAAATTTAAAAAGAGAGTAAGCAAATGTCGATATTTTCTTTCAAATTCAAACTGATTCTTAGGGTTTGAAGCAAAATTTGGAAGATGTTTGGTATAAAGTTGCACTAATCGAATAACTATGAGTAAAACTAACGGTTGCGCAAAAATATTAAAAAGAATTATGACAGCAGGGTTATCTATTATTTGCCCGAATAAAAAAATTATAGCACTTGTCATTACTGAAGCTATTTTCCAAGCTGCAATTGAATTTTGTATAGAATTATAATAGTTCAAACTCAATATTCCTTGTAGAGCAAGATAAAAAGAATATACAGATACTATAACTTGATGAATATATATATTATAGCCAGCAAAAATGATATAAGAAATACACATAAAAACATAAAAAATTCTTCTATGCAGGTCAAGATTTACGCTGGATCTTGATTTTATATTGTATTTCTGATGAGAATGCTTGACATCGCAGCAGAAACTCTCACAAGATAAATTTATAAATACTATCTTCCCTAGACTACTTATAATCCAATATATAGCGAATAATTTATTTATTTATTAGCAAATTTATTTTTAAAGTTTTTTTAACATTTAAGAATAAATAACACAATTTTTAAGAAAAAATTAAAAATGCTTAATGTTCGATATTTAATTAAGGAGTAAGGAAAATAAAAAAACAATCCCAAATATAAAACCAGCTGGCCCATAATTTAATTCACTTGCCTTTGTAGACCCACTATACTCTGTAATATCATTAGTATTTACAATTGAATATTTAATAACTAATAAAAAAATCATTGTACTTGGGATAAAGCAAACAGTTGTTAGTAGTAAAGCAATTTTTCTAGTTACAACTGTAAAACGTGCTGAGATTTCTTTGTCTGCATAAATAGAAACTCCAAAAATTGCAAAAGTGACATAGCAAATTCCAATCAATGAAAGTGTGCCATAAAAGCAAAAATTCATACTGTGAGCTTCGGCACATATTTCGTCATAGCTTAGAAATCCTATATACTGCCAAAAATCCATGTAAGATTCCCAATTAGTTATATTCATTTTTGGGTGCCAGGTAAGTGACGTCAATTGTAATACTACTATAATGCTAAGGGTAATTTCATATACGACTTGGACTTGAAACTTTGTTTTTCTGCTATATTTCATCTTAAAAAGGTGCCCAAAAAAGCCAAAAAAATAGCTCTTAAATTTGTTGGAAAATAGAGTCTGGGATAAAAATCGATCATTATCTTTATTTGCTTTATGGTTTGAGTCCATTTCTTCCTGGATAGCAAGCATTTTTTATAATTAATTAAATTTATGAGCAGGGTAATAGATAAAAAAAATTATAAAACGATAAAATTTAACTCAATAGAAACAATCAGAATTCATGTATTAATTGTCTTAAAAATCAAACACTTAGTAAATGCAATGATAATATAATAGTTTCAATTAAAATTTATAATTTAAAGAAAAAAAGAAGAGGTTTGTTAATCAAATATCTCTTTATTTTTAGTTATCTAAATAAATTCCTTAAATTAAAGAACTTTTTATAAAATCTAGAGGTGAATTTTTTTATGATGATATTTCCTCAAATTCTAATTAAATTTTATAAATCCATCACTTGAATTTATAAATAAAATCCTAAAAGGCCTGCATATTTTTTACCATAAATTCGAATTTAATAATATTCATGCAAGGCTTTTCAATTAACTCGAAGTATTCAAACTCAAAAACCCAAAAATTTAGGGATAAGGTCGCCAAGTAAATGGTTGTTGTATACTCAGGCAAATGATTTATCTAGTACCCTCCTTCAAAAACAGAAATTAAAAATTAAGCTATTAAGCAAGTGATATCTTAAATTCCTAAAATCTGCTTAATCAGCCATGCATTTACACAGAATCTTTGATTAAAATGACTTAAATAATTATCACAACTCAAGAATGCTGTGATTTTCAGATCCAATTAAATGATCTGAAAAATAAATAAATTTTCCAAATATGCCGTTTAAATATGATTTTATATCAATGGAAGCCATAATAGTTTATAAAAATACATTAGAATAAATTAAATTAGCAAATTGATTTTGAAAAGTAATTTAATATATAAAACATCTTATTTATATTTGCAAATGCTAATTAATTTCTAAATTATATTATAATTCATTGATAATAATAAAGGATTTCAGAATTTATTCTTAAGCTCTACCAATCAAAAGAACTTATAATAAATGCAAATTTTGATTATAAGCATTTAATAATGGCTAAGATAAAATTGCCAGCCATTTTATATTGACTATTTAAATCGATAATAATTTTAAACCGCAGTCAATATTTTCAAACATAGATTAGTCTCAAGGTTTCTGCTTTTAGGAGGGAAATACTGATTCCCCATCCGATCTTATTCATGCTGGGTTCTTTTTGAACTGACCCTAGCAGTAAGGTCAAAAAGCGATACTTTACTTCACAAGAAATTAATTATGAAGATCAAAAACTGAATCAATGAAACTTAATAAAAAATGCCAAATAGTATGAAAGAAATTGAGCCGTTTGTTATGAAAAATTGTACGGTTTCTGAATAAGCCAAGGGATAATGAAAAGCACTTCTATGTTAAATATAAACAGAATTTGATTAATAGCTTGATCATCGATCAAGAGCATCATAAAAATTCATAAAATATATGAGAGCCCTCATTATACGCATTTAGTCCTGGATTATGCTTAAGGGGGGTGATTTATTTCAAAGAATTCTAAAAATGGTCCTATTACGGACAAAAAAGCCATTATCCTTATAGAACACCTACTAAATGCCCTAAAAATATTTAAGTTGCAAAGCATCTTTATGGTTTCAAAAAATAATAACACCAAAATCAATCGGCGATTTTGGACTTTCATGCATAAATACAGAAAAATTAACTCAAATATGTGGTTCTCCTGAATTTACAGCTCCAGAAATATTAAAAAGAGACATAATGGAAGTAAAGTTGATTTTTTAGAGTTGGGGTAGTCTTATTTATGCAACTTAGAGTTAAAACCCCGTGATCTGGAAATAATAAAAAAGAGCTAGTTCTACAGACTGAGATTGTAAAGTTCCTTTTGCTGAAGCAAATTTCAAACCAAAACTCAAGAGAAATGATAAAGTGGATTAAAAAGTTAATGATGCCAAATCCGAACTCAAGGCCAAATAGTTCTCAATCCTTAAAACAATTATTTAATGAAGCTAAAGATTCAATTTAGCCAAGAAGATCCCAATCATTGTGTGGAAGCATTTTATATGAAAAAAATGGACAAGGAAATAAAGATAATAAAAAAACCCCTACATTGTAGAAAATAAACAAAAAAGAGTTACAAATCGGATGCTAAATTCAGAAGCGTTTTAAAGCTACTTTATGAATCCAAGCTGAGGTTTGTATTTAACTAAACATTTTAGATATTTTTATATTAAAATATCAAGAACACTTTGTGTTTTTGTTTCGTAATATAGAGCAAAACACTAACTCCCCCCCCCCCCTCCATGAGCGAACAAAAAAATTTTGTTCACTCACGGAGGGGGGGTTAATTTTTTTTTTTAAAAAACAATTTATATATATAAATTTTATAAAAAATATTTTTTTCGAAATTTAAAAAAAAATCCTAATTTGCAAAAATTGGGAAGCAAATACTAATTTAATTTGCAAATTTTATGTTTTAAAACGCAATTTGTTTAAAATTAAACAGAATTAGCTCTAGATTTCATTATACTAATTATCACTTATATAGCAAAATTTTTTTCTATTAAAATTTTTCTCTATTAAAAAATTTTTGTTCACTCACGGAGGGTGGGTTTTTGGTCAAAAAATGGCGATTTTTTCTAATGGTTTTGTTCGCTCACGGAGGGGGGGGGGGGAGTAAGAAAAATAAAAAAAATTTAAAAGTAATTTACTATCTTTAACATAAAAATCTACAAGAAATTTGATTTTTCAGCCATCACAAAGCTGTGCGATAATATTCCTAATTAAATGAGTAAAAATGAACAAATTCCCAAGCCAAGATCAGGGTTTTCAATCCATAATCTATCTCCAGCCCATCATATGCACAACACTTCTTTATCCCATGACACTTCCAAGCAATCTTTATCATCTGAAATCCCGCCTGAAAGCAATCAGTCAAAAAAATCTCCGAATTCTTTTATATATAGATATCATAGCTCCAGAAGAACGCTTACAGGAAATATAAGAAAATCGCCAATGTCAAGAAAATCTTCAAATAGAGATACCTTATCGTCTCCTAATACAAGCTTGATGTTTGCATCGGGTGCAGGCCCAATGACATTGCCTTTTTGACAGTGTCTATTTCACCGAAGTATTTTTGTCCGAAAATTGGTTGAAACTTTTTGATAGTGAGACATTTGACCAAAAAAACCTTAATTTTCGACCAAATGCTTCGATGAAATGTGTCAAAAATCCACTGTCATTTGACATGGAGCATTTGCATCACCAAAATCATATGAGCCGAGAAAAGCTACAATTGACTACTTAGAAAAATACAATCTCCGGCTTAAAAGAAACAGCGGGGACTCTAGCCAAGCGTCAGCAAATGCTATGATGGAGATTGAAGAATGCAAAGAAATTGACTCTCGAATGGAAAATGAAAGAAATAGAATTAACGTATTTTTTACATCAGGAAATGCTAAATGTGAGACAAATGCTGTTACCGTTTTCAAATCTACAGAAGGCTGCAGAAATTATGTCAAAAACAGTAAAATTAAAATAGTTTATACTGTGTAACTGGTTTACTCCAGGAAATAGGCAGCATGCTTTATGTGAAAGCCATCATATTGAAAAACTGGCTTTTGAGTCTATAGACTTATTAGTTGAAATTTTCGATAAATCACTTGAAAACCAAAACAGTGCAGAAATTAATTCAAATTTGGTAAAAGACTTGACAGAAAAATGCAATAAAGCAAAACGAAAAATAAAAGACATGAAAAAGAAAATCAATAATTTATCTCAAAAAAACGCTGGGGAATCACTATTTTATGAAGCAAAAGAAAGGCATTGAAATATGGAAAAGGCTAAGCTAGAAGTATTTCTTAAAGACCAAGAAAAAATACTATATGAGCCTACATTAAAAGTTAAGCAAAACGAAGAAAAAACAGAAATTATTTTAAAAGAAAAAACAAATCTTGAAGATACATTAGAAAAATATAGGAAAAAAATCGAAAATTGCAAATTAATGATACACAAGCTACAATTTGAGCTTGGGAATGTAAAAGATTTGCTATCTGAAAAAGAAAAAAATGCCAAAGAATTCGATAATTTATTGATGGAGGAACAATCCAAAGTCAAAAAATATTTTGATGAAAATTTATCTTTAAAAGTAGAATTAGAGGCAGAAAAAAATAAAAATTCCGAATTAAATGAAAATTATTCAATTCAGACAGAAGGCTTAAACGACCTGAAAAAAAAATTTGATGCAATAAACTCAGAGCTTTCACAAGCCAATTTAGAATTAATTGGGCCTGATAAAGATACGTCACAGACTGACTTAGAAATTATGGTGCCACTATCTGATCCAGTTTTCGACAAGCTGAAAGCTACAGCTGGATCTTTATTTAGACCAAAACATAATTTATTATCAAGGTCATTCAGCAGAGAAAGCAATCAAGCCAACTTATTAAATTTTAAATACATTAGGCCAACTTTTGCACAAATTCTTGATGCGCCAGATTTAGAAAGGGCAAAATACAGCCCGCCCTTTAAAAATTGGGTAAATGTGGTGATCAGAGGAATTTATGACTCAAAATTTTTTGAGCATTTAATATGTGCCTCATCACCTTTAAGGGCTCCTTCAAGGTTCCTTGACTTTGTGCTAGCTTGGCTCGGTCAATTTACAATTGACGAAAATTCAAGGGTTGTAAAAGAGCTTGAATGGTGAAAGCGAGATGCAACTGACGAGATCAAATTTCAGTTTTTATTAGGAATTTCTCAAGAAAACTCAAAGAAATTGTGGGAAATAAACACTTTTAAAGAATTTTTAAACGAAGATCTTATGCTGGATGAGTTAGGATTTTTTTTGCATTGTAGATATTTGTTGTTTAGAGGTCCAGAGCTAAATTATCCTCAAGCCAAGACTGCAGTGGCTCACTTTGTTCAATACAGCCGAGTTTTAGAAATAATTGAAAAAGTCATGACTGAGATTCCAAAAGAAAATTTAGAAGACTTAGTAGCAATTCTTTATGATAAATCCAAAACCAAAGGAGGAATAAGGATCTTAGAATGCTCTCTCGTATTGAGAATTATGCTAGAATACTATAAAAACGAGAAGCAGATGAAATACAGATCAGTTGTAGAATTATTTGAAAAATCTCCAGCCCAAGAAGATTCTTATGCTATTTCATATTGATGGCGAAGCCACCAAAGACTTCCTGTACGGAAGGCTCTACCGTTTTCGACTCCAGCCAGAGGGTCTATGTCACTTCCGGTACCTTCTGTCTCCTCCTTGCCTTTTGCTTCAGTCTTGTGGGCGGAGAAGATTCTTATATAAGTTTCAATATTTTCCAATCAATATGTAAAAATATTTCTGCCAATATTTCAGATTACACTATCATTAAATTATATAGAGATTGTTGAAGCATTTCTAATGGAAAAATCACAGCAGATACCTTCTTTTTAGTTGCCAATGAAAGTAGCCTACTATATGATTTGCTTTCTATTAAAGGTGACTGAAGCTGCCCTCCTCTCACTTCTAATCATGAAATCGATACAAAATCAGGAAAATACGCTGAAAGAATGAATAAAATTTACCAACTTCATGTAGCTGATGAAGAAAACATTGAGCTTATAAAGCACACAATTCACAGTATGGGTATATCAGAGCTTAGCTATAAATACCGCAAACTGGAGTCCTTAATTCTGCATAAATATGAAGTTCCAATTGAAGAGTACTGAATATGAAATTTAGAAGATATTCATAATAGACTATGGAGCTTAGTAATTCAAAGCCAGCATGCGTTTTTAGAATTCCATGCTCATGATATTCGATATTTAGGATACAAACATATAATAGAAGCTAAAGAAAATGAAAGACATAAAGACATTTCAGAAATTTGTAATAAGTTTATTGAGATTATCAGACATATGCAAAGCAAAAAACCATCTGGTCATAAAAGTAGTGCTGCTAATATAAATATCAGAAAAACAGCTATAAGATTTGTAGGGATTTTTTCTACAGTCGCAAAGTGTATTATCAAATTAAAACGATTAAAAAAGAATAAAAATTAAGTTAAGTCTGGCAGCTCTTTGCTTGTAATAAATCGGTTTCTTTTATTTTTGTCGCTTTTTTTTATCAGATGCTTTCATAGAGACTTTTATCGAAGTTTCATGTGCTGCTCAGGGATTTCTTCATATACAAAATGGTGTATAATTTTTAACTTATGGTAAAAGAGCAAAATCCTCTTTTTCGAAATTATGGTGAGGCCATGGTTGCAGGGTTAAAAAGCATTTAATTATTAAAGATATTATTAATTTAATAATCTATTAGCCTGATTTTTATTCAGATTCCATCACCAATATAGTTGTAAGCACTGAAAGTCTATTAAATTGCTTTACTTCATAGAATATATTTAAATATAGCGTCTCAGTTTAGGCCTGGCCAAAGGTCAGGCTGCTTCAAGTACATATTTAGCTAAACCGGCAAATTTTACTATTGGAAAATGGGAAAAACTATGCTAGTAAGCAATTCTAGCTGCTCTTATAGCCTAGACCAAGTCTTCCTTAAAGGTTTGATTTTACCAAGCGGGATGATTGAGATACAAAGTATAATGGGTCAGCCCAGCAGAGCCTAGATTACTTTTGATCATTCAGAACTTTCACCAGTGTCATACCAGGCGTTGCATCTTGGGCTTTTTAAATCCATTTTAACCCAAAAAAATTCTTTTTTTCTCAATCTCTGGGCTGGCAACCCAATCAGTTGGTAATCCATGCCGCTTTACTCTATATATATTACCAAGCCCACCATGAAGAATCAGATAATTTTGGTTATTGTTACCGTCAGATCGGTATCTTCCCTCTGTATCGATGTGTGACTGAGTGCTATGAAATCACAGCTTACGCCATGAATGCAGAAACATCTAAATAGCTAACACCAGCTTTACTTTATAGCTGAAATAAGGCCAATAATAGACAAAAAATAGCACACAAACTGCTATAGAGTATATTATCGTAATATTTATTATAGCATTCAATTGATTACTAATAATATAACTCTGCTGCATAATATTGATTTCAGAATATTTTCAAAATAAGTAAAGTTTATAGTTTCCCATAAATAAATGGGCTAGAATCCCATACAATTTTTTAATATTTTACGTCAAAATCACCTAGAGCAGCATATTTTTTGAATCACGATCAGCAAGTGAAAATTCATATAAAATTTCATTATTGACAGCATTGATTCTTGCAATATAAGGATAATACTCAGCTGAACTTACTGAAGTTTTATATGAAATACTATAGATTTCGTCTGTGATTCCAAAAGCTGAAGCATCACTTCCATATTTTAATAGCTCATTAGAGGAATTAGCGGTCTTATAAATTCTGTCTAATAGTTCTTCAGACATTAAAATCGAAAAATTTTCGTCTTTTAGCTCTTTTATTCTCAGCTTTAAAAGGTCATATGATGCATTAAGGTGGTGAAATGTGTCGGCTTGCCCTCTTGGTATAGATCTGGAAGTCAAGGCGAACTGGAATGAACTACAAGTTAGGAATAAGTGCAGCCTTAGCAAATGTGTATTTTGGAAGATTTTGGATGTTTTCTGTGATTGTAAGTGGAGGAGCCAGAATTTTTCAGAAACTTGGACATTCCTATTGTGAGAAACTAGAGGTTATGGCCTGGGGGGGTAGTTTTTTTTTCTCCAGTAGTTATCTAAATGGAGCAAATTTTAGAATCAAAGTAATCCAATAGTCCGTATCAGGGCTGCAGAAGTCCATAGCTAGCTCCTCAAGAATGGACCCCTAAAGGCATGGAAGAGGTGGCCAGTACCGACTATGACTAGATCTATTAAACAGATCGCCGCAAAGCAGATGAACCTCGTTGCAGAGATCTTTGATGACTGAATCACATATATGTCTATTACCTGTCTTTAATAACTTAGCCTAATAAATCTTAAGGTCATATGTTTTATTTACTGTCCTTTGATTAAGGTTATTTTTGCTCGCTAAAGGGGATTTTTTAAGATTTCTACATAAAAATATTTCTTTAGAACGGGCTTTATCATTAGTTATATATTAAATATCTCTTATGCCAAACAATTTTATTTAGCATTGTTTTTGGATTAGGAAAATCATATGAATTTTGAAAATTTGAGACCATATAAGGACTCATGCATTCCCTTGCGAAAATGCTGAGTCTAAAAATTAAAGCTCTTTTTGCATTAAAATTGTTTAAAAGTTTCGGGCGTTTTATCATCATTGTTTCGCAGCTTGGGTACATGTGAAAGCATATTAAACAGTAGTAAGAAGCTGCAATTAAAAAAAATATAAAAATTCTCCACATGAATTTCATATATAAATTTGACTTAACTTTATGGACAAAACGGTTATTTTTGATTGATTCAGAGGGTGCTTCAATATTATAATCAATGCCATGCACTACCATTAATCTGTCAAGCGAGGCAGATTTAAGCCTTGCCATTGAGATTTGTCCTTTATTTAGCAAAAAATTCCAAAAATCGTCACAAGTCCGAGACACTAGTGCTGCGAATCCACAGATCACTAGGATAAGAAGTACAAGCATAAACATTCCTACGATGATAAGCGAAATAAAATGGTGACGTTGACGGAACTTGGACTCCGATGCACACTCCCTATGGAGAAGGTAGGATCCATCCTGATGTGCTGAAATAGGACCTCATCCCTTGGGGATGCCTTGCCGAAGATGGAAGTTTTATTTCTCCCCCGAAGCTTTTTCCTGTCCCTGTAAGATGGGGTAGACAGGATTTGCCTACCACATGGTCTTTCCTCATCGAGACCATCGGGGCGCTATCTAAGAGCGGCTTTGTCCAGGGCGAGCTAATCCCGTGACAGGTGAATTATATCGGAAATCCAAGATGGCGTCCTCGGATGCCATTTTGGAGCCGAGACGGGGTGGATAGTCAGAGCCTCATGGCAGGATGCTTAATAACTTAGCTTAAGATGATAAGTGCATATATATTTGTCCCTGTCAGCAAAACTCTGCTTATTTCACAATTAATGATTTCATTGGCTGTTTTATTTGAATAATCAAAACCATTACTAATTCCATTCAAAAATAAAAACTTCGAATTTGCAGAATAGTTTTGTTTTAAGGCTATCTCAGTAATCATATTTTTCCCCTAAATAACGATTACATTTGATATAAATTTACTGAGTGTGTTATAAAGGTTACTATAATCGATTTTCGGTCTTTCTTTTTCAAAATTCCATAAAGGTATAATAGGTCTTGATATTATTTCAGCGCTATTACAGAAGCTCCATTCATCAAAATCGCCTAAAAGATTCGCACGAATTATGTCTAAATCGTCTAAAAGGTCAAGAAAAACCTTTGTGTTACTATCCTTCTGAGCCTGGGTAGAATTGCTTTTAATTTGTTTTTCTAAAGTTCTAATAGAGTCTGTTACAGCTTCTAAGTTATATAAAAGCTTGCCAAGGTCTCCTAAACTCCCCCTTCTCCGTGAGTTAGCAAAACCATTCGAAAAATCCATATTTTTCCCAAAAACCCACCACAAAAATTTTTTATGGAAAAAAAATTTTGATATATAAGTGATATTTAGTATAATGAAATCTAGAGCTAATTCTGTTTAATTTTAAACAAATTGCTTTTTAAAACATAAATTTTTATAAATTAAATTAATATTTGCTTCCAATTTTTGCGACTTAGGATTTTTTAAATTTCGAAAAAAATTATTTTCTATATAGTTGTTTTAAAAAAAAAAATTTAACCAACAAAATTTTTTTGTTCGCTCAGGAGGGGGGAGTAAGGAACTCATTTTTGAGGTATGGGAAACGTCTCCTATTATATAATTTAAAATCCCTATCATTGTAATGATCACGGAAAGTATCTAAATATTTTTTACCACAATAAATAAAACTCATTGGAGAACCCTTACTTTTTGCTTTGATTTTAAGAGCAGCTGCTTTGAGTGGCTTGAATAAATGCTTCTGCTGCTTTTTGATGTAGAAGGCTTTGAGGTATTTTCTAATTGAATTTCTCCATTTTCTTTGCTGCTAATTAAATAATCAATTTCTTTTGGCGTATATTCAATAATTTCACTAAATTTGTGTTTTAATAAGGCTTTTTCAGCTATTTCTTTTCGATAAGCGCTTCCAAGGAATTCTTCTTGGTCTTCATTATTCCCTATTTCCCATTCATGAATTTCATTATCATTATGAATCATAAGCAAGCAATAAAATGATACCGATTTTATTGCTTTTTTGATACGCACAAAAGCAAGAGGTTTTTCGTTGAATTTGATAATCCATGGCTTATAATCTTGCATTTCTGCAATATTAAGGGGAATAATATCAGAAAGAAGGGAACTTTTAAGGTCTTTGGTATCGTTATTTAAGTAATGGCTAAATAGTTCTAAGTGATTTATAATCACGTTTTCTTCAGAAATTATAGCAACTTCTCTATTAGTTGCCGATCGAGGCTTAACTGATGCTAAAAAATAAAGAGAATTGTGAAATACAGTCAATTTAATCATGACATAACTCTCTACTAAAAATCCATCACTTGTCACAAAACATTGAGTTTTATGAGAAGAAATATCTACATTTTTACATTCTTCTACAAGATTTTTCATTAATTTCTCATGTAAGTTGCCATAAGTATGAGGGATGAAGTTTGACAGAGAAATTCCATTAGCATTTGCTGTGGAAACTTTTAAAATCTGTGAAGCCTTTTCGTTAATATAGACAATTGTTCCAAAAGCTTCATCTGAGCATAAAATTAGCAAAATCCCGACATCTTTGCCATAATTTTCTAAGTTTTGATAGTCGTTTCTGGCATTATTAATATTCAATACATTCCTTTTTCTGTGTATCAAATTTGCCTCTTCTGCATCATTTACTATATTTTCTAGAAAACTCGCATAATTATCATAGCATTCAACGTTTTTATGTATTTCAATTAACTTTTTATACCCATCCATTACTTCATCAAGACTTTTTCCTGTCTCGTCAACTAAATTCATCAATACTGAAATTCTTGGCTTTCTCGAGCTAAATTCAGTATATAATTTTATCAGCGTATCGCAAATCCCTTCATCCCTAAACCTCACTTTACTGAATTTTTGTAAAAATTTTAAAAAGCTTGTATCTGGAAAATTCTTGCATTTTCCACTTGTAAAATATTTATTTATTTTTCATTCTTGAATATCGCCTTCTATTGAAAAATCTGCTTTAGTAATTTTTGAAAATTTTACTCTTGCCAATCTTTCATCTTTTATTATTGAAATTACAGCATTAAATTCTCATATAGCAAAAATTTTATTTTTCATAAATCCTGGCATATTTCAATAACTCCGATACAAATCTAAAATTCCTATATCATTTTCTTTATTTTCCCCAGTCAGAATATGCCTGAATTTTCTTTCAAATTCGTATTGGTTTTTTGAATTTCACTATTTTCTTTTAGTTTTTTATATCTGTGGAACACAAGTTTTACAATTAAATAGGCAGCAATTGGCTGTAAAATTATACTAAAAATCATGATAATCTCTGAATTATCCATGACTTCGCCAAAAATAAAAATTAGTAAGGTCAATGAAATTGAAGTAATTTTGAATATTTCAATACTATTTTCAATGCTATTGAAATACTGTAAACTTCATATATTTTTAATAACCAGATACAGTGATAGTATTAAGCCTGATACTTGTAATACCAAAATATTTTCTTTTCCACATGAGACATAAAGAATACACATAAATAGGAAAAAAGCTCTATTTTGCAAGCTCAATTGTGAAGAGCATCTTGCCTTTATGTTTTTCTTGTGGTGTGTGTGCTGCATATCACATGAGAACACTTCAAAAGAAAAATTGAAAAGAAGCAATATCAAAATAGAGAATAAAGGGAATAAAATCCCAAAGTAACTATAATTTAAATCGCTCCCTTTGGCATTTCCATTATATTCTTCTGTTGAAGACGATCCAATTATAGAATACTTAAAAATATTCAGTATTATCATAAAGCTTGGGATCATTCCGATGGTTGTGAAAAACAGTGATACCTTTCTTGGAAAAAGGGCTACAGATTCAGGTGGATTTTTATTTATTGATATATAATACCCAAAAATACCTAAAAACCCAACTTCAGCTCATATCAATAAATAGTCCCATAGAAACAGAAATTCATTATTCCTAGCTCTGCACATATAGAGTCATAGCTTAAGTAACCAAAAATTTCTCAAAATGGTTTGTAGCTCGACCATCCAGAGATGCTTAAATTTGGGTACCAGCTCAACGAAATTACTTGTAAAGCTAAAATGTTATTCATCACAATTTCATATAGCAGCTGCCTTTTGTATGGAGATGTATGACTGTATTGGACCTCAAATAGCTGAGCCAAAATACTATATAAAAAGATTTTCAACTTAAAAAGTTGTGATTTTGGTAGAAATTTAAAAGTTGTATTTTCTTTTTCTCAGGCTTTAGACATAAATTATGGTTTCAATTATTAAAATTCAAATTGATAAAAAATAATAGACTTAATTATAGCAAATTTGAAACTTTTAGCATTATTTGATAAAGTTTTATATAAAACTAGATAATGATGCAGATTAAGGTTTAAATTTAATAAGAAGTGTTAAGGATGTAAATGAAATATATAAATAAAATAATTTATTTTCTAATAAGATATGCATTTAATTTTTTAATAGTAGCTATTTAAAATAAACTTCATTGAAAAATCAGATTTTAGCCTTTTATTTGCTAAAGTGATTTCTTGATTGAATTTATTTTATATTTTTAATTTATCAAGTACAGTCCCAATTGAAATTTTAGTAGCTTCTATAGAGAATTAAAAATTCTAATGTAATATATCTTATTATCTTGTTTAAAGCCGCAATTAATCATTTGTATATTAATAAAATCTATTATGATTAAATAAGTATGTATGTTCACCTATTCAAGATCCATCATTAATATCGTTGGAAGCACTGAAAACCTATCAAATTGCTTCCTTTGATTGTTAAAATACGGTCAATAGTAAAAGAAAAATAATACAAGCACAGCTACTGAGTATACTATAGTAGTATTCATTATCTGAGTTAATTGATCATTTATAATATTTTTTGAATCGTGATCAGCGAGTTTAAATTCAGCTAAAATTTCATCTTGAACTGCATTAACCCTCGCTATGTACGGATAATACTCAGTTCCAGTCATTGGGGTTTTGAAGCAAATCACATGTATTTCTTCAATAATATTAATAACAGAAGCATCACTTCCATAATCCAGCATCGCAAAAGATGAATTCGTACTTTTATATACTACTATAAGCTACCCTTATTAAATTCCTTTTTTATATTTTTGATAATTGTAATTAATAAAGTTATATATTATAGCATAAATACGGTCTTTCAGCTTTTGAGACATTAAAATAGAAAAATTATCTTCTTTTAATTCCTTGATATTTTGTACCAAATATTCATATGTTTTATCTACCATAGTTTTAGCATTCGGAAAATCATAGGAATCTTTAAAGTTATAGCCCATATAAGGACTCATACATTCCCTTCCAAAAATATTTAGCCTTGATATCAGCACTCTTTTAGAGTTATAGTTGTTCAAAAGTTTAGGTCGTTTTATCATCATATTTTCGCAGCGTGGGTACATATAAAAATATATTAAAAAATAATAAGAGGCTGCAATTGTAAAAAATATAAGAATCTTTCACATAAATTTTAGATATAAATGAGACTTTATGCTTCGTATATGGCTGCTGATTTTCATGTATTCTGCACTTGTGGTCTCAGAATTATAATCAATCCCATGTACCACCATTAATCTATCTATTGAGGACGCTTTAAGCTTTGCCATAGACACTTGGGCTTTATTTAGCATAAAATTCCAAAATTCATCATATGTTTTTGACACTAATACAGCGAACCCTAAAACTACAAAAAATAAAGCGCCTAAGGCCAAAAGTCCTGAAATTATCAGTGCATTTATATTGGTTCCTGTGACTAAAATTCTATTGACTTCGCAGTCTGCAATATCATAGGTAGTCCTATTTATGTAATCAAAAGAGTCTGAAATGCCGTTCAAAAATATGTATTTTAAGCTAGATAAATAATCTTTATTCAAATTAATATTGCTGATGAATTTTTTTCCCTAAATATAGCTTACTTCAGCGATAAAGTTACTAATTCCATTATAAAGATTTACTTTTTCAATTGTTGGGGTATTTGTGTTAAAATTCCAAGTTGGAATAATCTCTTTACTCCTCCCTTAGGGAGCGAAGGGTTAACAATTTTTTATTTTTTTTTCTTTTCAAAATTTATGCTTTAATATTGAAAAAATTCAACAGAAATAGCTAAAGATTTTATTATCCTTATTATTTATATAAAATTGTTTTTTAGCTTACTCAGGGTGGGTTTTTATCCAAAAAATAAAAATTTTTCAAATGATTTTTACGCTCACGAGGGGCGAGTTTAGAAATAATTTTTGAGCTATCACAAAAGCTTCAGTCTCTGAAATGATCCAAAAGCACATTTTGGATGACTTCTAAATCGCTTACAATACTGAGAAAATAATTTATGTTGATAACTTTTTGAGCTTGTGTCGACGTGCTATTTGCTTTTACTTGCTTATCAATTGTCCTAGACCAGTCTGTAATAGTCTCATAATCATATAAAAGTTTCCCAAGATCTCCTAAAGAGCTCATTTTCGAAGTATGGGAAACATCTGAAATTATATATGAAAGAACCGCCACCATTGTGATAATTACTGTAAAGATCTAATTTTTTCTTACGACGATCAATAAAGCTCATTGAAGCATCCATATTTTTCTTTTTGATTAGATTAGATTAAGCCGTTTGCCTTGCAGGGCCGGGGATTTGCACCCCTACACGCTCATCGCCCCTGAGGAGCCTCGGCGGACACCCTCCTTGTTGCCTCAAACAAGGGATTCGCGCGACCAGTCTTGACTTCCATGGCTTCTGGAGTCTAAGGACCAACCACCTGGGTCGAAACTCCCAGTTTCTCGTTAGGCAAATACCGTCTGCGGGGTCTGAGGGTCATATTGCCCTTCAGACAATGGCCGACCTTGCCCTTTCCAATGGTTTTCCTGGGGGAAAAACTCCAAGTCCGAGAATTAGCTCCTCGGGCTCAAAGAAAACCCAGCCCGATAATACATAAAGGATTACCGGCCCTTTCCACCTAAATCCGCAACACTGGGCCGTTGCCTGCTGCTGTTGAGGAAATAGGGTCGAGAGGTCGGGTGGTCTGTCGTCACCATTTTTATGTATTTTTCTTTTTGATAAAAATAATAATTTCTTGGCGTGATTTGAGTTAATATTACTGCTACTTCTTGATGAAGAACGCTTGGACGTACTTTCGAATTGATTTTCTGATTTTTTCTCTTCTGATAGTGGCAAAAACGAATTTTGAGCCAAAGTATCAGTTTCTTTATCGTGCTTTTTTGGCGAAGTTTCGTAGCTAGATAATATAAAGCTATTTAAATTTCCCAAACTTTTATATTGGGCTGAATTATTGGCATTTTCAATATAAAAATTCTGTAGCTGGTCTTCGTCCTCACCTAGCTGCCACCGGCGAATTTCGTCATCATTGTGAACTACAATTAAAAAATAAAAAGATACCGTTTTTATTATTTTTTTGATACGGACCAGTGCAAGACACTGGTTGTTAACATTACGGACTACGGGCTCATAGTCTTGCATTTTCGTGATATAAATTCTTGGAATAATATCAGAAAGAGGGATATTTCGCAAATTTTTTGCAGTGCTGCCTAAATAGTGTCCAAAGAATTCTGAACTATTTATTATGATATTTTCTTCAGAAATTATGGCAACTTGTCTAGTTGTCGATCGAGGCTTAAACGATACCAAAAAATAAGCCGAGTCATAAAATGCGGTTAAATTTATATCATTTTATATTAATTTCTATATTCTGAAGGCTTGCAATAATTTTATTGAAAATTAATAGTAAAAAGCATATCATTGTATAACACTCTATTAAAAACCCGTCATTTGCTTGTAAACACAAGGTTCTGTGTGAAGGGATATCTACCCTTGTAGATTCTTTTAAAAAGTTTTTCATCAACATGTCATGCAAGCGGCCGAAAGGATGTGGAATAAAATTTGCTAAAGGAATTCCTAAAGCATTTACTATTGAAGTTTTCAATATCTGGGAAGCCTTGTCATTTATATAGCAAATCGTCCCAAAAGCTTCTTCCGAGCAGGAAACAAGAAGCACTCCAACATCTTTTCCATAATTTTCAAGGTTTTGGTATTCCCCATGAAAATTATTAATATTTAACACATTTTTCTTCCTATGGATTAAATTGGCCTCTTCTATGTTACTTACAATATTTTCAAGAAAACTGGCATAGTGGTCATATGATTCAGCACTTTTATACTTTTCGGTAAGTTTTTTATAGTTTTCAGTAATATTGCCAATATTGTCCCCAGTCTTATAAACTAAATTTATCAATTTTTTTATCCTTGGCTGTCTGGAATTAAATTCGTTGCAGAGCTGTATTAAGATGTTGCAAATTGCTTCATCCTTCTTTTTAATTTTGCTAAATTTCAGCAAAAACTCCATAAAGCTGGTGTCTGAAAACTTGTGGCGATCCCCGTTCTTAAGCCAAGTAAAAATTTTTCATTCTTGGATGTCTCCTTCTAATGAAAATTCTGCTTTTGAAATTTTTGAAAATTTTACCCTTGCAAGTCTTTCATCTTTAAGTATTGAAATAGATTATATTAAGCTAGATTATTGAGAAAATCCTGGTAGCACCTGCGGGTGCGTTTTTCCACCTTGCTTCGTTGGGCCTGCCTCTGCCTCTCCAGGGCGTTGACTCCTCTCAGCCTAAGGCTCGTAAAGCGGGCTGGGTCACCGTGCCGTACACCGGACGAGGGTTGCTACATGAAAATATCTAGCCAACTCTCAGAAAAAGGCAAACTTGTAGCCCAGGGCGCAACTTCTGTTTAACTCTAGGGAGCTGCTAATAAGCAAGGCAGTCTTTGCTAGGCTTCCCTTTTCAACTCCAAGCTTTCCTTTCCCTCGAGATAAAATCAAGATCCTGAAAGGCAGACTAAGCTAGGCCCTAAACTTACTACTACTAATTACTAGCATAACTATCTATTTCTGGGCTAGCAAAATCTTGACAGCCAGGCTGAGCCGCCATATTTTGATTATAATTATTGAAATACATACATCAAACTCTCATATTAAAAATAGCTTGTTTTTCTTAAATTGTCTAGCATTCCAATAATCCGTAAATAAATTCAAAGATTTATCTGCGTCAAGATCATGGCTTCTTGTAAATAAATGTCTGAATTTTCTTTCAAACTCAAACTGATTTCTCGGATTTTCAGAATTTTCTTTAAGCTTCTTATATTTATAAGCTACAAATTTTATAGTAAAATACGCTACAATTGGCTGCAAAATAATATTAAAAACTATGATAATTTTTGTGTTATCCAAGATTTCTCCAAATAAAAATATTAGCAAAGTCATCGAAATCGCTGCCATTTTATAAATTTGTATACAATTCTCGACCACATTAAAATATTGCAAAACGTAAATACTTTTTACCATCAGCCCAAAACTAATAATAAATGCAGATATTTGTAAACCTGACACGTTATCTTTTCCAAATGAAACGTAAAAAATGCACATGACGATATAAAAGGCTTTTCTTTGCAAATCCAATTCCGATGAAGACCTGGCTTTTATATTTAAATTATGGTGAGAATGCTTCATGTCACATATAAAAAATTCATAAAGAAAATTGATACAAAGCAGCAAAATCATAGAAAATAAGGAAAAAACTATCCCAAAGGTCCCGTAATTAAAATCTTTAGCGCTAATTCCATTGTCATATTCTTCTATATATTCCGCATTAATTATGGAATATTTAAAAACCATAAGCATTATCATGAAACTTGGTATAATTCCTATTGATGTAAAAATATGGGCTATTTTTATCGGGATAAAAGTGAGGATTTTTGGAAGGTTTTTGTTCAAATAAGCAAAAATTCCAAAAATAAATAAGAAAACAAACTCAGCATATATCGCGAATGCCGTTGCTCCAAAACATAAATTCATTATACCTAAATCGGCACAAATAGAATCATAGCTTATATATCCTAAAATCCTTAAAAATGATAGAAAGGTTGACCAATTGGAGATATTTAGGTCTGGATATCAAGCTAGCGAAACTATTTGTAGGGTTAAAATTAAATTCAAAATTGCTTCTAAAATCGCTTGATGTTTTAACTGAGGCTTAGAGCTGTATTTTGCCACAAAAAGTTGGCTTAAAATGCTGTATGAGAATTTTTTTAGTTTTCGATAGGGTGTTGAATTTACTGTGAAATCTTGTGCATGTGCATGCTCTAAGACAGTCATTGATTCAATAAGGAATTATATGGTACCATATTTTCGAATAAAAGTTCGCCTGGCCAGGACATTAAACTTCTAACATATAGGTTTTTATAAGAAATAGCTTGGAACATTTTTATTAAAATTTATATAGAAATTTCTGCTTTTATAAATAAAAAAAAATTTTATTGGATTGTAGAAGTAAGCAAATTTAATAATGAGGAGAGACAGAAAAATTATAGAGAAAGCCTAATATGAATAATTTTGTAAATGGCCTCCAGAGCCACTAAATAATATTAAATAAGAATTAAAATTTATATCTCATTTTTATTGCTCACAGCAAAATATTTTACTTTTCTTTTGGTCTTTTCTGACTTTGTTTTTTTGATATATAGATTAAATTGTATTTATGATTTAATCCTCTCAAATCCCAAGAATTCATATTTCAATTCAAAAAATTCAAAAATTTTATTTTGTTTGCATTATACTAAAAGCAAGACTAATTAGCACTATTCATTTCTAATTTTATAACCTTTTCATATTCTTCATTTCGAATGGTTAAATTTTTCAATTTATAGATTTTCTTATTCTCCCCACTTTAAATTGGAACAAAAATTCTATTCCAATTTAAAGGGGCATGTGTCTTTTGACTTTTAAATTATACTTTTTTCCCTCCGCCTCTGTGAGTGAGCAAAAACTTTTGCATGCAAAATGAAAATAATTTGTAAAATTTATGCTTTAAAATGGTAGCTGTTTGAAATTCAACAAAATTAGCCAGAGATTTAATTATAATATATATCACTTATACATTAAATTATTTTTATAAAGAATTTTTATATTTAAAAAAAAAATTTAAGATTGTTTTGCTAAATAGGATTCGGTCAGAGAGGGGAGCAAGTACTAAAATTTTAAATGTGTACATAAATTTATCGGTTCAAAAATAAATATCTATTTGTACTCTCCCATTTAATTTAAAACAATTTGCAGGTAAATTTTTAATTTTAGCCACATTAAATTGAGTATTAAAGATAATTGCACATAAATTTCTACAAAATAAAAAATTAAAAATTTTGTTCCAGGGACCAAAAAATTGGTAATTTTGTTCAATTTAAAGGGGATGAGTAAGAAAAAATTTCACCAGCATATATTAGGAATTTTAGGAAAAGTATCTGGATTATCAAATTTTTATCGTTGACTAACATCAGTTGTCTCTGTTTTTGCCACTTACTCCCCCCTCCGTGAGTTAACAAAAAAATTTTTGTTCACTCACGGAGGGGGTTAAATTTTTTTTTTTTTAAAAAAATTTATATATAAATTTTATAAAAAATATTTTTTTTCGAAATTTAAAAAAATCCTAATTTGCAAAAATTGGAAAGCAAATATTAATTTAATTTATAAAAATTATGTTTTTTTAAAAGCAATTTGTTTAAAATTAAACAGAATTAGCTCTAGATTTCATTATAATAATTATCACTTATATACCAAAATCTTTTTCCATAAAAAATTTTTGTTCACTCACGAGGGTGGGTTTTTTTAGGCAAAAAATATGGATTTTTCTAATGGTTTTGTTCACTCACGGAGGGGGGGGAGTTAGGATTCTCTTTTATAGTGGAAACATTTTTATTATATAATTTAATAATTTTTCTTTTTGAGCGAGATCTGTTAAGCATAATTCAAGACTATACAAATTATTATTTTCACTTTTTACAAAAAGAAATTTTATTACTTCAACAAAAATCTATGTATAAATGAATTTCAAAACATCTTAATACTATTTTGGCCAGGAAGTCAGTATATTACTAATTGGGCTGAATATAGCACTGCCTGCTGAAATAGCAAGTTCTATTTTATATAGTAATTAAGAATACCATTTCATAATTGCGAATAGTATATTTTAGCTCTAATTTTATAATTTGCTTATCTGATCTGTATATAACGCAGAATTCTTATTTATTATATTCAGAATTATTTTATAAAATCCTAATAAAAGATTATTTAAAATTCTTAATTTATATTTTCTTTATTAAATGAATTATAAAAAATCCTATAGGCTACCTTAATATATAATTAACTCTCCTATTGGCAAAATATTAATTAAAATTTTCTATTTTTCTATCCCTTTTTCCTAAATCACACTGATATTTATTTAAAAAATATTTATATAAAATTAACTTAAAAAAAATTAACCTCCTCACTATAAAAAGATTAAGAAAATGGGGGATCAACTTCTATTATTAAAATGGTCAAAAGGTCTAATGATTCTGAAGACCCCTCGAAACCTCGTAAGAAACCCAAACAATTTATCGATCTCATCAACCCACTCTCTCACAAAATTCCAAAAAAAGAAGAAGACAGCGAAAACGAGCAAGAAATAATCAACGTCGACGACAACCCATTTTCTGAGTCCAAAACTAACGAATCTGAATCTTCTAGCGATTACAAAGTTTTCAGTGCTTCTTGGCAATCAAATTTTTGCAATAGAAAATTAACTCTCAGAGACCGCCCTCTCCATAAATGTCAAGGGCTTTCTTATGCTCTTGAATGTGCCTTTATAACAGCTGCCATAGGAATGAATAAGGTGGTACCTGAAAACTTTTTCAAAATAAGGAGAAAATACACGATTGAAAAAGTTATGGCAAAGGTCGGAATTAAAGCAAAACAGCTATTTTTAGAAGATTATGAAAGGGAAATGGGAAAAAAAGGGAAATTAAATTTAATTGTCCATGCTGATGACTGCTTGTCTAGCAGGAAAAAAAATTGGTGTTATGCAGTCGCTGAAAGGGGGAGGGCAATTTTTTATAATTGTTGACAAATAGAGCCTTGCTTTGGAGATTCCGCAATTATTGGGCAGAAGATAGAATTTCAAAATAATGGAGAAAATTTTAGATATGTGATTTCGGCGTTGTGGATGCTTGAAAATGAAGCGCCGAGGTAGTTAATAATTAACAAGAAATTCTATGTGATAATAGCGACTTGCTTTAAAAAATAAATATTTTAATGAAAAGCAGTTGAGATATTATGGAGAAAAACTGCTAATTTAGTAATAGAACATTGAGGGAAAATTATTTAATAATAAATAGAGAATTTAATGTTAGAATTTGTTTTAAAAATTTGATTGAAAAAATTATTGAGCCCAACTTTTCATCGTAACAAAATTTGATGAATTATTTTTAATGAATATTAATAAATTTTTAATAAGACCTACTTGTACATTACCTATGCCATGAAGCTCCATATCTCTAAATAAAATATTAAAAAGTTACTTCATAGTATGTCATAAATAAACAATTAAATAAGTATCAAGTTTAATTATATATTAAATTAAAAATTAGACAATGAAAAGCATATTAAAATTCTATATGCTCATTCAAGCATTTTTAAAAATTCAGCTTACTCCTATAAATTTTTAATTAAAGTTTTACTAGTTAATACTTATGCTTATTTTTGCTGAGATAGTTATAGTCCTAATGGTCTCAAAATCTTAAAATTATACAAACTATTTTTTAAGAAGTAAGCATTTTCCATTTTAAAATTACAACCTCATAAGAATCTATAAACTTCATCAAAAGTTTGCTTACTGTTAAATCAAAGATCCAGATTTATATTTTTTATTATAAAGAAAAATTAAAAATATTTATATCTTTCAATATAAAACTCACCAAAAATATCTCAAGGATCAAGATTATGCATACGATCCAAGCTGCTAGTATCAGCATATGAGTTTTTTGCTTCTTATTTCTTCAATAATAAATTTTTGGGGCTAATTTATGTTCATTTCTAACTCCATAATTAATAAAGTGCGTCACAGCTCACCATTTCTTGAATACTGATTTGAATCCACTCATCCCAGGGACTTTTAAAAAATACTCAAAGTTGCTCGTCTTCAAAATATATTTAATATTTTATTTATGCTTTATAGCATTGAATTCTACACAAAAAATAAATAAATATTGCATCATATTTTTTTATTTTTATAGAATTTTTTAGAAAATTTAATATAAAAATTAAAAAAAAAATAAATAAAATTTAAATCAAGCTTGCAGGTCAATTCAATGTTCTTTGCTCAAAGAAGTGACACAATGAGCTCTCATTTCCCGCAATCTCCGGAATTGCTTATTGACTTTAAGTCTGATGTAGAAATACCTTGACTGGGCTTGTTGCACAGTTTTACCAGACACTTCTTTAATAACTTGCTTCCACTTTATCCCTTTGGAAGTTGAAAATTTTATTATTGCTTTGATGAGATTAAGAGTTTCGCACCGGCTCCAATGCTTTCCTTTACCCAAATTTGGGTCTTCGAGGCATAGCATAGAGTCTGCGAGTTCTATTATACCTACTAATAGTGTTTATGATATTTTATTTAGCTTATTTAATTAATTATTTATAGAAATTAAGACAAGAATCCATAAAATTAATTGTTTTTTTATAGTAAACAGAATATTTTTTCTTCACTCATGTCTTGGGAAGAATTTGCTTCTTCTGCGTTATTGGTTATTTTCACCATAAATTTGTTTGTGATTAATAACAATCTTATCTTATAAAATTTATAACACTTAGCGTCCACTACGGGGTAGCCAACTCCAGAGCTGCCACCATATTTGTACACGTGTCGGGCCTGTGGACCGCTGGATCGATCCCTTTTGATCGCCAGGGCACGGACAAATAAGGTGTTCCGGCTTCGACGGGCTTCGCTACCGCTAGCTTTATTTCAACTCAGCTCCTGCGCGTGTTCCGCCTGAGGGTCCACCTTCCTTCGGGTGTGCTGAGGGGTAAAAACTCCAGATCTTGATCGTGCTGAGGAGCAGTTCCACTGGTTATCTCCAAAGTTAAACCGCTGTTGCTGTGCAGAAGTTCTTGAGGTAAAAACCCAACCCCATAAATAAAATTGCTTGAGTGAGAGAAAGTTAGCGGAGCTAACTTCGCTTGAGCGAAAGCCATTTTATTTATATGATTAATAACAATCATTTGTGCTCATTTTTTGGGCATCTTTGGAATGGTAATAATCTGAATTTCATTTCATGATTTTTTGATTTTTAAAATTTCTTCAAAGTCTTGCTTTTTTTGTAGTTTTTTGTTGAAATTTGAGGAATTTGATGGAAAATTTTGGCTTTGGGTAATGTCAAGAATGGGATTCAGGAGAATTCACTGTAAATTAAAAAGAGCTTGGACTTTTGCACTTTTCATAATTTCCCAATCCCCAAACCCCATTTCCAAGGGCTTTTTTGGGAATTCGGGATTTGAAACATTGGGATCATCGGATGATGAGTTTCTTCATATAAGTATGGGCCGTGAAGAGCTAAAAAATTGTGACTAATTGGTCGAGCATTTTTCCATTTTCTTGATTTATCTTGGGAATAGATGATAAAATTCTGCACCCCCTAATGATTTCCGAAAAAGGTTTTTCATATAGATTTCTTGGAGATATCGGAGAAATCTGAGTTAAAAAGATGCGGGATTCTATGACCTGAAGCGATAAATCCTCAATTTTAGAGCTTATCTATGAGATCTTGAGAATCGCCTGTCCTTTCATTTTTAGTCATTTTAAATCACTATTTTATTTAAAAACGTTTAAATTTAATCGTAGAATTCAAAAGCTTAGCTTGAATACAAATAGAAATATAATTTTTTTGTGGCCATATTGAATTATAAACCGCGAGTTTTAGATGGTTTTATGAGAAAGATTCTTGACTTTCCAATTTTTCTCATCTAGAATTTTCTATCTTATTTATTAAAGAATTATTATTATAAATCTTAAAATAGTGATAATAATTAATTTAAATTTTGATTAACGAAATAAATCTTAAAAGATATTTTATGACATTTACAATAAATAGAAAGATCAGGCTTATAGAATAAAGAAATAAGAATTAATGAAAAGGATATACAATATTTATTTTTAATTCAAAAATTAAGATTAGGAAATATAGTTTTTATATCAATTATTATAAGTATTAAAAAATAATTTGCATTATTTCTTATTCTAAACTTCCCTTACTCCCCCCCCCTCCCGTGAGCGAACAAAAAAAATTTGTTCGCTCACGAGGGGGGTTAATTTTTTTTTTTTAAAAAAAAATTTATATATAAATTTTATAAAAAATATTTTTTTCGAAATTTAAAAAAATCCTAATTTGCAAAAATTGGGAAGCAAATATTTAATTTAATTTGCAAAATTTATGTTTTAAAACGCAATTTGTTTAAAATTTAAACAGAATTAGCTCTAGATTTCATTATACTAATTATCACTTATATATCAAAATTTTTTTCCATTAAAATTTTTTCTATTAAAAAATTTTTGTTCACTCACGGAGGGTGGGTTTTTGGTCAAAAAATGGCGATTTTTCTAATGGTTTTGTTCGCTCACGGAGGGGGGGGGGGAGTTAGTGAAAGAGTTTCGTTTGCAAATGAGGAGGATTAATTTTTAAAAAAATGCTAGATGCGATAATTTAAATAATTTATAAACTAGCTTTGAATTTTAATTGGCTAAGTTTTGTCTCCATTTTGGCATGAAGATTTGGAAAAAGAGGCTTTTATCCCCTTGAGGCCAGTAGTAGCAAAAAGACAGTGTAATTGGTGCTTATAGTAGATAGGGGAGCTTATCTCAAACTAGAATTCTAGTCACTGAAGCAGGAACCATCAAGTCCATAAACTGTGTGCTTCAAAGTTCCAAAGCATCATCAATAATCAGGCTGAAAGCACTCAGCTAAGTTTAACTGCAGCTGAGCAAGCCTTTTACGAAGGCTTGCCTTGAATATGACATTAAACAAGGAAACCCTAATCTTTAATCCTAATCATAATTATAAGCTTTAGCTTAAACTAAATATAAGCTTCTTATACAATTCAAAATAAATTTATTTTTATTATTTTTGCTCGTTTTCCATAGGAGTAAGATATAAATATAATTTATATAAGAAATTCCAAACCAAAATCATAAATATTGAATTTACAATAAAATTTTTAATTTATATCAGCTCTCTAGATCACCCTTCCAATTTTGGGTAATCCGTCACTTGAGCTTTATTAAACAATCTTCTGGTCTAGCGTCATCCTCTAGATCGCTTACAAACATTTGGATACCTTTCCTCCATATTTGGTTTATACCTAGTTGGGGCATTCATAGTTTCCCTAAAATACGCATCTCTTTTTCTCGCCCTTTCTTTCCTTTCTTCTTCTTGTTTTTTCTCTTCTTCCTCTTCTTGGTTCATCTCTTTTTCTTCTTCCTGCCTTATCCTCAATTCTTCAAGCTCTTTTTCCCTTCTTTCCCATGAAGATTTTTTTCGGTCTTCATATAAGGAAGTTCTTTGTGTGGAAAAAGTCTTTTTCATGTAAATATAATTTGAAATTTTGTGGTAAAAATAATAAGTAATCACAAAAATAATTAGGTAGATTCACATGAATGAGTAGTTGCCTGGCTGCCATGAGCTGGGCCGGAGAGGCTCTAGAAGAGTCTCTTTAAGAAAATCCATTTTTATTTTTATTATTTGAATTACCATCCATGAACCCTGAGGGCTCGTCTAAACGCGATTTCAGCTTCATTGAGAGTGTAGTCTCTGTCGTGGTAGCAATCAAGTCTTCCATGGCCTTCCGCTATATTTGACAAAATTTCCATAAGTATCCCATCGATGTTTCTATCTGGATTTCAACCTGAAGTAGTTAAACCATGGATACAAACTGAACCTCCTATCGTGATATGGCCAGTGCGAAATGAAAACCTCGGTCTTATAACTCTGACAAATGGAGGCTCTGAAGGATAGTTCTGACCGTATCTGACCTCGAAAACAAGTTCTTTTTTTCTACCTGGATTTCTTTGTACATATGCATCAAAATCACTATTTAATATAGAAGAAATTTGATATAAAGCCTCAGATTATTTATTACCATGGATTTACCAGATAATTTTTTTTTTTAGAAATTAAATGGTTTTAGCTAGCAAATTATGGAGATTTTAGTTTAAATAAATAAGAATATTTGTTCATGTCAATATGAATATTTCAAACATAGATATTCGAGCCATTTTCAAATTCAGTGTGGATTCCTTTGCATTCTTTCGTCCGAACTAAAGTTTTGTATTCTTTAAGGATTCTCTGAGTAGACAAAGCAGATTCCAAAGTGGGGGCAAATTCTCTGAACCTTTGAAAGGCAGTTTCTAATTCTTCAGGAGTCTCTTCATCTATTAAACTTTCCATTTTATTTCTACGAATTTTAAAATATTTCTGATGTTTTGATACAAGCAAACCATTTATTTCATGACTTAGTTTCCTGAAACTAATTTATTTAATTTATAGTGAGTAATTTCTTATTCACATTTTTATTAATTTCCAAATTTTAAAGCCAAAATCTATTCGCTATTTTTAAATTTGCTTACTCCATTTTTTAAAAAAATTATTATTTCTTATTTTTATTCTGAGAATTCTCATGAATTATTTTAATGAGTTAACTGATTGAAAAATCCATGGAATTGTGGTGAATTATTTGTGCTTTTCTTTAATGCTTCTACATCCTCACTTAAGCTTGAAATATTTTTTACGTGGCTTGCGACTATCACCATTGCTGCTAAAAGATGTGTGAGCAGCTTATTCTTATGTTTTTGCTTTATTTCTTCATTCCACGTCTCTTTTGCGATATCAGCTAGCTTCTTCCATTCTTTATCACTTATTTCCCATTTCTTAAGGCCTTTTTTAATAATTTGTAAAATTTCGAGTCTAAGTGAAGGCTTTCTTCCTTCTTTTGTGTATTTAAAAAGCGTTCGCTTTATGCGATTTTCAGGTTTAATAATCATGATTATATCGGCTAAAGTGTTTGTGCTCATTTTTGCATTGTGATCTTCCATAAATTTTTTAGTGCATTCAATGACGATTTTCTCAGCTTCTTCGTGATCAAAATTGTGGATGACCCTTATCAGGTGGTTAAGATTCCGTGATATCGAGTTGTTTAAGTTTTTGTCCTTCGTCATAGCTTTAGCTAGCTCGTTTCTTATATAAATAATGCAATTAAATAAAATCAAAAAAATTATTTATATATTTTTATGCAGCAGGATAAGGAATTTGCAATCTCTGTTAAAATCTCATGGTGTTCTGGCTTGATATCTACTTGTGTTTTTGTAATATTCCCAAGCAAAGCTTGATATCTCCCTGTCAAGCCTCCTTTGCCTTTGGCTTTATATGTTGACTTAAAAGCTGTAAGCAAGGTTTGATACAATTTTATATAAACGTCTGCATCTTGTGTTTTCTTTATCAAAACTTCTAATAAATCGCAAGCACGAATTAAAAAATTTTGCTTCAAAGTCGCTTCTTGGTTATTTTTCTTCGGCTCCTCAAAAATACCTTCGATTCCTTTTTCTGTGTCCACTTCTACATCTTCCTCTTTTTCTTCTTCCTCTTCAGTTGGCATACATTAAAATGGCGACACGTGTCAGCCTGCTCTTTTGGCGCAACAGTCCAGACCTTATGGCTACGGCGAACTGAGACGGACTCCGAGCTGAGAATCAACGCAGGCTCAATAGATGTGTATCTGGATAGGTTTTAGCTACTTTCTGTGATTGGAAATGGAGGTGCTCAACAATATCCTTTGGATCCATTCCTCTACAAGAAACTGGGGGTTTCGGCCCAGGCCACAGGGAAGTAGTCTTTTTCCTGTAGCTGTCCAAGTAAGGTAGTTCGACACACTGATATACTCCAAGGAATTTATCTATGGAATCAAGCTACTCCAATCGCCGTTAGAAGAACCGCAGAAATCCATAAGCCGCCCACTCAAGACTAAAACCACAAGGCAAGGAGGAGACAGAAAGTGCTGGAAGGGCACTAGTATGAGGGATAGACTCTCTGGGCTGAAGTCGAAAAACAGTAGAACCTCCGATACGGTAGGTCTTTGGTGACTTGTCACCAATATATCTAGCATCTGACTTTAATAATCCTAACCCTCTTCAGTTGGCATCTCAATTTGAACATTCCCACTCTTCATCATCTCACAAATCATTTCAATAAACTCATTAGAAACTTCACCCACAAACAGCTTAAAAGTCTTTTTTATCGCATCTCTTATATAAGAGACTGGCTTCACAAGCTGTGATAAAAAGAACTTAAAAAGTTCATCAAGCTTGCTGCTTGATTTTGCTGACTTTTTTGAAGGTTTTGGGGATACTAAAGATTTGATGATTTTGTATAAATCTTTAGCATCTGATATATTTTCATAGAACAAGCCTTCTAGGCAGAGAAGGAGATTTAAGTGCACAAGTCTTTCGAGTTGTGTTGAGGTTATCAAGCTTAAGCCTTGGGCTTTTCTTTTGCCAAGCTCCTCGTCTTCTGTGTCTTCAATTTTAAGCTTAAGTAATTTTGCTTTTAGTTTTGTGATGAATGATGTGGTTTCTATGGTGCTTTCAAAATTAAGCTTGCTCCAGATTTCGTCGATATTTTGGATTGAGCCTGATGCGGCTGATAAGAGAGTTTGTTTTAAGGCTGAAGCTTTTGAGACCTCAGCTTCTGAGGAATTTTTTGATTGCTTGTTTTTAGGCTTGCCTGTGGTGTTTTTGTGGGGAGTTTTGTTTTTATTGTGAGATTTCTCTTTTGGAAGAGGTTTTGCTTTTTTATTGACTTTGGAGGTCTTATGCTTCTTAGCTGGGATGTCGACCTTTTTATGGGACTTTCCAGCCTTAACCATTTAATTTTTATTATTTCATTACACTCTCTTGCAAGATATTCCGAATAATCACAATTTGAAAAATTAGTCCCCTTTGTTGACAAAACAATATGAATCTTCTTACTCCATCCCCCTCTGTAGGCGAACAAAACCATTGGAAAAATCCCTATGTGTGCACAAAAACTCACCCCTCCGCGAGCGAACAAAAAATTTTTTTTTATAGAAAAAATGTTTTGAAAAAAATTATATATAAAAGTAAATATTAGTATAATGAAATACGTAGCTAATTTTGTTTAATTTTCAACAAATTGCATTCTAAAACATAAATTTTACGAATTAAATAAATATTGTTTTCAAATCTTTGGAATTGGATTTGTTTTAAATTTTGAAAAAAAAATGATAAAACTTATACATAAATTTTTAAAAAAAACAATTAGCATTTCATAATGAACAAAATATTTTTGTTCACCCATGTTTTGTTATAATCATTTTTATAAAACTTTTTTATCTGTTTTCTCTTTTCTAATTTTTTATTCTCAATTGCTTATTATATAAAATCCTCCATTTTACTGGGAATTTATAATTATTGCTCAATTTGTGTTCATTAAGAATCGCTTATATCCTTTAGCCTCTCTAATAAGCTATACTTTAGTATTTCATCAAAAATTCATTAATTTTTATATAAATAATAGCTTATTCAATTTATCTTAATTTTTTATTAGAGCATTTAAAACGGCAGCATTAAATAAATCATTATAATTTGAGTATCACTTAACTTATAGAGACTCAATGCCAAATATGTAAACTCACAATCTTCTCCGAAAGCTAGCTTTGATATTATCTATTTATCATATAATTAAACTGATAATGGTTGAGTATATCCGCCCTAATTCATCTAAAATCAAAAGGTCAGATCTCTCTGCCGAGCCAATTCTTCGCCAACAATTAATCATATCTGCCAACAAACTAAAAAGTAACACACGTTTAACAAGCCCAATCGCCCTTGTAAAAAAGTCAATATCATCAAGTCGCTCTCCGAAACTTGCAAATAATCGCAGCAAAAACTTCTTTAATCCTCCACAGCCAAATGTAAAAATTGACTCACAGAAGTTTGCAAAAGCTCTTCAAGTCTCTCTAAAAAACACCTCATCCCGTAAGCCCTCCCCAATAAGAATAGAAAAAAATCAATCTCGGCCTACTAACCCTTTTGTTGTAAAGCCGAGTCATCGACGAGTAAAATCTGATATCCCGACACTGACTGAAAAATTATTAGCCTCTCCATATATAGTAAAAGGAAGGCTTGCAAATTTCCAGGCTTCAAACCCCAATCAAAAGCATTATAAAATCCAAGAGCCAAGCGTAATAATATGCCCATCCCAAGAGCAGACATTAAAGAAAACACATAAAAGAAATCTCAGCGAAGAAGACTCAGACTTACACCGACAAGTTTCTCTTAACCGAAGCATAGGAGCTACCTTTGAAAAACATGAAACGCCAAGACGTGAAAATGACGAAAATGAACGTCAGAATCTGATTTTAGCAATTATTTCAGGTTTTCGCAAGACTGGGCTACCGCCTAAGACTGGGACTGATTTTTATGACTTAATAAAACAGCTGGGAAAAGGGTCTTTTGGAAAAGTCTATTTAGCCTTAAACAGGCTTACAGGCTTAAAAGTTGCAATAAAAGCTATACATAAAGGCAATATCAAAGATGAAAGAATAAGGCAAAAAGTTTTCCAAGAAGTTTTCGTTATGAATAGGATCCACCATGTAAATGTTACAAGGCTATTAGAAATTTTTGAATCAGAAAACCATATAATGATGGTTTTAGAGTACTCTGATGGAGGAGATTTGTTACAATTAATTAAAGCAAAAGGAAAATTGAATGAAAATGAAGCAAAATTTTTGTTTTGGCAGGTGGTTTTGGCTGTAAAAGCCTGCCATGATAAAAATGTGATACATAGAGATATAAAACTTGATAATATTTTATTATCAAATAATTTTTCTGTAGCAAAATTGTGTGATTTTGGAGTCAGCAGGGTGGCTAAAAGGGACCAAATCATAGATGAACAGTGTGGAACACCTGCCTATTTAGCCCCAGAAATCATTGTAGATAGAGGGTATCAGCCATTTTATGTCGACTTGTGGAGTATGGGCGTACTTTTGTATGCCATGATCTGTGGAACGGTCCCATTTAAAGCTAAAACTCTAGTAGACTTGCATAAGCTGATATTAAAATGCAAATATAGCATGCCAGACGGCCTATCAGCTGGAGTCCAGGATTTAATAAAAAGGCTGCTTAATCCGATTCCTCATTTAAGAATTTCTTTGGACGACATAATGTCCCATCCATGATTTGATGACTGTGGGATAAAAAATGACGAGGCTTCAACTAAAGCAAATACAGAAATGGCTGACTCAGAGGATGTTGCCATTGATAAAAAGATTTTAAACAAATTATTTTTGTATGGATTTCCACAAGATTATGTATTAAGGAGCTTAAAAGTCCACGATATAAATCATGCTACTTGTTGCTACCAGCTTTTAGAGATGGATGAAAAAAATATAGCCTTAGATCATTATTGGCAATCCAATTTAATTTTCAAAATTAATTAGTACTTGTCAGATTTTTGAGAAGTCAAAGTGAAAAGGGCAAATCTCCATTTATGGTTCTAGCATGCCCTAATCAGATAAGACAGGTGCCTTGGACCATATTTTTTCTGGCTGGTATGATGATGGGTTATAGCGATCTATTATTGTGGATAAATTATATTTAATTTTTGTTTATAGCGTAAATTGTAAAAATATGATAGTTAGATCTAAAATTAGGAAAGATATAAGGCTGAGCAGACCGCCAGAAAGCTATGAAAGACTGATAGAAAAATTGAGCTCTGTTTATAATGTAGATGAGAAAAACATGTGAATTACTTATAATGATGGAAGTTTTGAAGAAGAGGTGGGAAATGAAATTGATTACAACAAATTGCTAAGTCTTTTGCCAAAATTAATATTTTATAAATAAAATTAATTATAAATTTTGCTTTGACTATATAAAGAGTAAGTATTATTGTTAAATTAAATATAATTCTCAGAGGAAAAAATAATTTTTAGTTATTTATAAATAATAATTTTCTCTAGGATATTATAAGAAATTGGTAATTTTAACTTACTCCCCCCCCCCATCCTTGATCGAACGGTTGACTGTAAAAATTCCTAAAAAATTGGGGAAATTAACCCCCATCCTTGATCGAACGATTTTCATATCATGCAAATTTTTTATATATATAAAACATATTAGTTATCAAACGCTTTGGAAGATGTGCCTAATGAAGTTGTTTTCAGAGCTTTGAGACGACAGAAAGCTGCGAAATCAACCATCCGAAGTGATTTAGACATCAACCTAGGCTTTAAAAGCTCAATAATCTAATAAAATAGAGATTCTTTAAAATTTTTAAAAAATATTTAATTTAAATTAAAATTTATACAGTTTAAAAGGGTAACTAATAAATCAAAATATTAAAAATTGGTATTTTTATGAAATTAATTCAATTTTTTGCTGTAAAAATAATTATTAAATACTCTTAACCCTCTTATTTAACCCCCATCCTTGATCGAACGATGGCGAGTCGTTCGATCAAGGATGGGGGGGAGTTAGTATAAAAAATTAAATGAAGTTGAAGTGAACGCACATATAATTAACAGAAAGAAGGAGAATAAAAGCAAAAATACCATTTTATGGGTAATTACTACAATTGTTTTGCTTATCTTGACTTATCTATTTTCAGACAAAATTTCCATGGATGCAATAGAAAAGGGAGCACACTTTGGATATACTTCTTTGATATGAATTGGAGAATATTTAGCAATTCTGCTTACTATGATATTTGATTTTATACTCAATTTCAGCATTTGGGCATTTTATGTGATTTCTTCCTCTTTATCTGCGTTTTTAGGGAATTTTACAGTCATTTTCTATTGAGTCCCTATTTTAGTCCCTGGCGCTCTGCTATCAAAGCTTGCCTGGTTTTGGATTGCAGCATGCATAAGAGAACGAATTTTTCCTAAAATCAAAGCCTTTTATTTTCTTCTTATGATCTACAGCTTTATTCCTAACACCCTTGGATTTATTGTATCAATTATCCTAATAGTATTTTTTACTGTTTCCTTACTCCCCCCCCCTCCGTGAGTGAACAAAAAAATTTTGTTCACTCACGTCACAGAGGGGTTAATTTTTTTTTTTAAAAAAATTTATATATAAATTTTATAAAAAAATATTTTTTTTTCGAAATTTAAAAAAATCCTAATTCCCAAAAATTGGAAAGCAAATATTAATTTAATTTATAAAATTTATGTTTTAAAAAAGCAATTCGTTTAAAATTTAAACAGAATTAGCTCTAGATTTCATTATAATAATTATCATTTATATATCAAAATTTTTTTCCATAAAAAATTTTTGTATTAAAAAAGTTTTTGTTCACTCACAGAGGTGGGGTTTTTTGGCAAAAAATAGCGATTTTTCTAATGGTTTTGTTCACTCACGGAGGGGGGGGGGAGTTAGCAGTTCTTCTGCATGAAATCACGGGTTCAGGCTCAATGATCGTGCATGCATTTCATCGATGAAGATTTGGTCGAAAATTTTTAAATAGTGCGGAATTTAAGGGTTTTTTTTCAGTCAAATGCCTCACTCAAAAAATTAGAACAAATTTCAAGCCGCACTACCAAAAGTAAACAATCATTTGGCATGATCCGAAATCACACAAATAGGCTACAATCAAGAAGACTTAGTCTATATCAAAGAAGTCTTAGTTTTTCAAATCTCTGCTTTAATTCGTCTATTTTATTATTACTATCATTTTATATATTATTAATTGCAGATTTGATAGAATTCAAAAATAATCAAAATCACGCAAAACAGTATAATTTTTAAATATAAAATTATAAAAAACTATTGCTTACCCTTTCATGAGATTTACTTCTGAATTTCGATAGCGAATTTATCGTGACCTTATAAATTTTGAAAATACTTAACAATAATTCTCTGATAGTCTCCCCTTTACCGTTAACTATATCATTTTCTATAAAAAACAATTTACTTGGAAACTTTGGTTTAGCTTTTAATACATCCAAAGCTTTTGCAACGTTATGTAAACACACAGGAGTCGATTTAGGCCTCGCGTCAACTCCAGGAATCTTCCTTCGTTCTAATTTTTGTAGAATTTCACACAGTAAAACTCCTGAGCTGAATTCAGGTATCACGTCATTTTCCATATCAATATTTATTCCAAAAATCTGCAACCAATTAAAGTTAAAGCTACTTCGGTAACTGAAATTTTGTCGGCTTTCTTTTCTATCAGGAAAAATATCTTCATTTTTTGCTGACCTATTTAATGAAAAATTCCTGGAATCTTCTAAAAAAGAAATTTGTTTGGGCGATCTTAGCTCGTCTTCTTTTGAAAATGGTAGCCTTGGAGCTGCTTTTTGAAAAGCAAACATTGATTTTTCTAATTGTAAAAGAAGCTTTGGGTCAGAAATTCTTTCATTGGATAGTACTCTGTGTGGGGAATTTTCTATCATAAGTTCTTCTAGTAAGCATCATATTGTTTTTTTCTCTCCATTAAGAATTTCATCTATGTCGTATTGGTAACTGCTAAAAATTGACCTATGATTTGTCTTTAAAGAATCTAAAGATAATCGAATATTTTCTTTGGTATTTTGTACGTTTTTGCAGGAAGGAAAGGCTTTTGATGATTTTTCTCCGTCAATGGTTTTTACAACTTCTGAGATTATATATCCATTTCTAAATGGGTCTTGCAAAAAATGCTTTCCTTCGAGCTCCAATAAATGCCCAAGTCCTAGGTTTCTTAGTCAAAATTTTATCTTTCTAATAGTTTCTTGAGAAATTTCTTTATGTCTATTATTTTCTAGAAAATTTGGCTCAATCTGCTCACTTTCAGTAATGACAGGCCTTGGTGATAAAATCCTTGACGTTGATTTTCCCATATCAAACCTATACAATCCTTTGGGCGACTTATTATTTCTAGCTGAGTAAAATGAGTTATTTTGGCTGTTTTGTGATTTTGAGATGGAATAATAGTCATAAATATCTTTTAGCAGTCCCCAAATTTCGTTTTCGTCCCCATCCATAATGTTGTGTCCGTTTCAAAGATGCTCGCTAGAAAATTTTTCAAGCTGCCTAAGGTAGCTTAATGCTTTATTTATGTTTGCTTGTATGGAAGACTTATTCTTTGTTCGGTGAATTCCTTTGATTACTTCTTGCCGTCCTTCTAATCTATTAATTAAATCACAAAATAATGTCCCAGAGCTGGCTTCTTCAATTATATCATTTTTTACAATATTCAGTCCTGCAAGCCAGTCATGAACTTGAGATTTCACTGACTCCCTCGTAATAAGCAAATTCTTGCTTATTTTTTAAGGTATTTTTAGACAAAATTTAAATTGTAAATTTTTATATTAATAGATCGTATTGGATTTACACTTTTTATATGAAAACCCCAAATATAAGCAAATTCTATTTATATAAATTTTATATTTGAAAATTGTGTGGAACCCCCTTGTATAAGCAAGAATTTGTTTATTACTGGAGAAGGGGAGTGAGTCAGAAATAATTCTGATTTCCCTTCTAGTCCTTTGTGGAGGATCATAAGGCTGCTCTATATCTTGCAGCTTATTTAAAGGCAAAAATGTTTTTGGTGCAGCTTGTTTTTTCACAATACTTTTCGGACTTGCCAACCTGTTTTTTGCCTGCGAAATCGGTGTATGAGATCTCGGAGTTTTAAATAGCCTTTGTTGTGAATATGAAGAATTTTCTCTTGCTTTTGGAGTTGACACTGCTCTTTCATAGGATTTTGGAGGAGAGCTCTGAATTACCTTTGAATAATTCTTTGTAAGCGATTTGCTATCTGTTGACGTGTTTGGCCGTTTGATTTCTCTTTCTGTCAGCTCTTCATTGACTGTTTCATGACCAAAAATTGCGGAAAGCCATTTGAGAATATTGTAAAGTTTATTAAAGTCCTACATAGAAATCACTGAAAATAAGTCTTGAGGTGTGTAAGAATTGAGGGGAGAAGGAAGTGAGCTTCCAACTTCTCTTAAAAATACTTGAAAATTGTGTATTGCAGAAGATTTCGGGGATTTTTGAAAATTTGAATGTCGCTTTACATCTGGGAATGTTAAAATGAAAATAAGCTCTTCTTCTTCGACTGAGGCGGAGTTTCCACCTCAGCATGCTCATCGAGCCGAGGGATCCTGGAAGACACCCTTCCTTGCCACTGCAGGCAAGGAGTTCGCATAGCCGATCTTACTTCCATGACTCCTAGAGCCTTTGGACCCACTACCAGGGGTGAAACTCTCAATTTCTTAAGGACAAATATCACCTCTTGAGCCATGCTCGAAGAATTATCATGGGCTCAGGGCTTCTGCTAGTTTTCTCCTTTTCCAATGATAATCTCAAAGGCAAAAACTCAAGTCCCAGGCATTAGCTACCTCGGAGCCTGTGAAAAACCTAACCAGATATACATAAAGAATTACCGGCCTCTTTCTGCCCTTTCCCTTACACTGGGCTGCTACCTGCTGGTGTTGAAGAAATAGGGTCAGGAGGGGTCGGCTGGTCTGCCCTCACCATTGTTCATATATATACATCTAGGAATAAGGGACGGGATTTTAGATAGGCCAGAGCGTCACAGAGGACGATTCCAGATTTTAAATCTTCAATAGAAGAAGCTAGCAGGCAAGAAGGGACGTCAAAGGAATTGATCCAATCAATTAAGTCTGAGAAGTCGTTTTTAAGTCTCGAATCCGCTTTCATTTTTGAATTTTTTAATAAAATTAATTTTGTAGCTATAAAAAACGAAAATATTTTAAATGTTGTTGATCTGCATATCGAAATTGTATTTTAAGACATTCCAAATACAAATATTTTTAATACAATTTTAATATATCAAATATGAGATTAAATGTGGGTAGAAACAATTATTCCATTAATTAAGAATAAAGTCCTTACTAATGAAATGCTAAACTAATATGAGCAGGGTCATATCTCTTCCTCCGCTAAAAAAGCAGCAAAAGCAAGAACGATTTGGCTGCCTATATTCGCCTATAAGTCTAGATGAAAAAATTCCTCCCCACAAATTCAGACATTTAGTAGGATCTTCTCTTGATTTTCAAAAGAAATCAGAATCCAAGCATGAAAGTATTTTTTCAAGGTTTTGAGAAGAAAATTCTATTAAAATTATGAATGCTCAGCCGCCTTCTCCATCGGCTCAATCAAAGTCTTCTTTTGGGTATAATATCTCAAGGCTTTTTACTCATGGAAATTCACCAAATCACTTAAAATCTAATTCTGAGCATCAAAGGGCTGAAAAATCGTATATAAAACCTGAACGCATTTTTCAAGGAAAAAATAAAAAAGGAAAAAGAATAAAGCAATTATCTGCTTTGTCTTGCATAAATGACTCAGTTGAGGCTTCCCCTCAAAATGAGGATTATACAAGAGGCCTAGTCCCAATAAAAGAAATTAGCTTTCAGGATAAAAATCGAGATCTGTCCTTGGAAATAATGCCTAACTCCTCCTTCTGTGAATATTAAAGTCATTAGGTATTTGTATGAAATTAACCTTCTACATGAGCAACGTTTTTAATTTAATTTGTTTTAAAAAAAAATTATTTATAAATAATTTTATATGAGGCATCTCTCTAATTAAAATCTAAATTTTAATCAAATTTAGTTTCAAACATTACAAAACTGAGACTTTTGAATTGCAAAAATAAACCTCTTCTTGAGTGGCTTGTGGAGGAGAATAAGAATTTAAGCCCTGCCCACAAAAAAGTATTAACAAGATTTTCTCAAAAATTAGCAAAACCTATAAATATCATCAAAATTCAAGTTACAGATCAAGGTTTACAAACAGACGAAATAATTACACCATTCTCCAAAACTCCAGAATCCGAGCATTCTAGCTGCTATAATGCTTTTGATATTGATACTTGGGAATTTAAAAATAATTAAAATTTTGAATTTATATACTATTGCGCAATCATAAATAAGCAAATTATTTGTTTTTCGTCAAAAGCCTATATTAATCTTTTGTTGACATATCCCTATTTAGTTGAATAAATCCTCTAAAACTACTGTTTTTTTAATATGAAAATCCTTTAAAATTGGGTATATTTTTCATTTCACCACAGTTTTTGCTTCCATTTAAATTTTGTAAACTAACGCATATTTTTTAGAGAACTGTAAATGGGCTGCTGTGGGACTCGTACTGAATATGAAGGTGACGTTAATAAACTTGACTTTTTCATAGCAAATGACTATAAAGAATTAGACGGCAAAGAAGCAGGAGAAGGCATTAAAAGAACCCCAGCTTGGCAAGCTACTATTACAGGTGAAGAACTGAGGCGAAAACGAGAAGAGTTTTGGTGTGTACAAAAAACAGGTCACAGACATATATGACTGTACATCAGACAAGCTGCTGAAGCAGATGCAGAAACTGCGAAAGCAATTCTAGAAATGGCTGAAATCAAGGTCGAAAAAGATACCATGTCTGTATGCGTTGACGCTGAAGGAAATCGGTATAATGTCCCTCCATTTATGATTAATGACCCTATCTTTCCACCTGGAGGATTTATATGCTTTTTTATTAAAAATTAAAAAATAATAAAATAGATTTACCAAAAATCAGCATAAATTTGTTTAGAATATCAAAAAAGATCATCAAGCAAGAAATTATAAAATTAAAAGGAAGGATCTCTTCAAGTCCCAATGATATTGAAGTAGAAGTTGACAATACAAAAACTGGTAGAGACCTAAAGCAAATTATTTTAGAAAAGAATGGGATTCAAACTGATAAAATGAGACTTTTTTTCGGTGGAAAAGAAATAAGAGAAAATGACAGTTTAATTAGCTGCAATATTGAGGATGGGATGGTTTTCCAAGTTTACTATAGACCAAAGCCAAGAACGATGGAGTAATATAAAATCTTCAATTTATTTCATGCATTTTTAAACAAATTAAATATGCTTAATCCCTATTCTGCATGGGAAAGAGCCCTTGATATTGCGAAACATAACAAGAAACTTGATGAAATCAAGAAAAAGCCTTCAAAAAACATTGATAATCGTATGCCAGAGCAGTACCTTAATCCTGTCACCAAAAAGTATGGCCATGGATCTTATCCAATCCAACGATCTCGAAATATCCAATCAGAAAACTATCATTTATTAGAAAAAATCGTCAATATTCACCAAAAAAGTAAAAAATTCGAAAACCACCACTGAAGCCCAAAATCTTTACATGTCCACAAATGAAGACTAACTCCCCCTTTTTCCTTTAATTTAGAATAAAATATTGGTAAACTTTAGGTACTTAAACTCCCTTTAGATTGGAACACGAATTTTTATATCAATTTAAAGGGGTAAGCAATGCCAAAATTAATGAAGAAAATCAAAGGATTATAAAACGGATCAATGAAGCCAGCTCAGGACTTGACCGAAAGTCAATGGAAAAAGAGTTTCAACAGTTTCAGCAGTATGCTGGGAACCGATCGAGGTTCAAAAATGCACAAATTCAGAAAAGTATTTCAAAAAGCGAAGTGAAGAAAGGTAAATTACCTCCTATAGAAGCGGATACAAGTCTTTTTATTACAAAAGAAAACTCGAAATCACTTGGAAATTCGCCAATTTCTAAGTCCTTTTCATTAGCAGGGATTGATTCTAAATCTCCAGCAGAGTTATAGTCAAGTATTACTCCATGTAATCTATAACAAAATATTAATAAATATGAAATTTCATGAGAATAAAATAAAAAGTATTAGATGCTATATTGAAGAGTGTCAAGAAAAGCCTATAAAGACTTGTAAATGCCTAGGACTCAAACAATTTATATGCGCCAAACATGCAGGTGAACATCAAAATATAGAAATACACGAGATGAATGGTATTTTTACAGTTATTAATGAAAAAAGCAGAGAAATATTAAGGAGATGCGCAGAAGAATTAAAGAGCAAAGTGAATTTATATTGAAATGAAATAAAAAATAATGAAGTTTATGGCTTTACTCACAATATGTATTTGATGAATTTAAATGTTGGTATAATCAATAAAAAATGTGAAGAAATAATTAGTTTATGTGAAAATTTGACTGAAATCCCAGAGTATGGAGACCCTACATTTATGGAGACTATTCTGAAAATGCCCATTGAATTAATAGAGGATTATGTTAGACATTGAAAAATCACAACTTTTAAAGATTATGAAGGAGTGATTTTCTCCTTAGGCAATTGATCCAAATTTTAATTTTGAGCATAATTTAAATAGTGAACTCTCTATGCTTTCTACTCAGCTTATTTACTTTAAAGAATTGGATCCTACAATTTATGTTTTTGATTTACTGAAATCCCAAATTCCACAAATTTAACTTATTCAACCGAAATTCCTGACTATTATGATTCTATATACTTACTACCTAACAATGAAATTTTTTACCTTTCGAATTCAAGTTCAAAAGCTTTTACAATTACATTTGGGTTTGGTATAAAAATTTATCCTCCTCGTGTATTTACAAATTTTACAGCGCTTGCTTACTATAAAGGCTATGTTTATGCTTTTGGTGGGTCAGGCGATTTTTGGGAAAAATTTGATCTTGATAAGTCAGTGTGATTAAAAATAGCAAAGCTTCCAAGAGCCACTGATTATTTTTCTTGTGCTGTTCTTGGAGATACAATATTGGTAGTGGGATATCATTCTTTAAAATTGCATGGATGTTGCCCTGATCTTAATTCCTATTTTGATTGTATGGATTTTATTGGAGACACTCAAAAAAGAATTTTTACAGGAAACAATAGAGGATATTTGATAGAATTTATAGGATGGATTTTCGAAAGCGAAATTAATGATCCATTTTCTTGACAGAATATCGGCTCAAATTCATACTAAAATGCATTTTTTCCCTCACATAAGGCTTTATGTGAGGACGGAATATATCTTCTCAATTATTATTATGATTTATACAGATTTGACTTGAAAAATAAAACGATTAGTGTATAAAACAATTAGAAAAGTTGATAAAGCTTGAGCAGGAATTTCACATCATGCCCAAAGCTCTCCCTCGTCTGGCAGTTATTTTGAAAGATAATGAAAAGGCTCTTCATATTCTTTTAAAAGAACTGAAATTCTCTCATAAAGAAAAGAAGGAATTGGAAAGTCTGGTAAAATTGGCGGGACACCTTTGTATGGACAGTAGAGAGCTGCTTTATGAGCATGGACTGGAAACAACCCGCGACGTTCTTTTACTTCAAGTCGCACAGGGTTATAACCACATCTTGCTTGAGCAACTCCAACTCTCTTGGGAAAAACCCGTTTTTCCACTATCAGTAGAAGATTTAAAAACTCTGGGGATTGCCCCGGGTCCTCTATTTGGAAACATGCAGAAACCTAGTGGGTCAAACAAATTTTTGCTCCTGACGCAACCCAATGCCTGGAAGAAGCCAGAAAGTATTCCCAGTCTTTCACTTCTCACTCCTAGAAATATTTCGAAATAAAAAAGCTATTGAATACACGATAAAATTTTGATTAATTATAATTAATGTATTTTGGGACATCATAATGAATCATTCTACACCTTTTCAACAAACTTTTCGTCAACCTTTTCAATGCCGCGGCGTAGGGCTGCACTCAGGACAATCTTCGGAAATGACGCTGGAGCCTGCACCTCAAGGACATGGTATTGTTTTTGAGCGAAGCGATTTGGAGGGCAAGCCAAAAATCCACGCCCGCTTTTCCAGTGTCGTGAATACATTCATGTGCACCCAATTAGGAAACAATCAAGGCGCCACAGTTGCCACCATTGAACATCTTATGGCAGCCTTGGCAATATGTAGAGTTGATAATGCATTGGTTAGGCTGCAAGGACCAGAAATACCTTTTATGGATGGGAGTTCTCTTCCTTTTATTCATATGATAGAAGCTGCTGGGCTGGTGGAGCAATCCACGCCTCGATCTTTCCTGCGCGTCCTGAAGGATGTACGACTTGAAGGGACAGAGGGACGATTCGTACAACTCTCTCCTGCCGAAGCGTTCTCAGCACACGTGTCTTTCGATTTTGGTGGCAGACAGGGGATGGGGGAATACATAGGTTATTTTTCAGGAGGACTGGATGCCTTTAAAAATGATATTGCCTCTGCCCGATCTTTTGGTTTTTATGAAGACGCGCAGAAGCTTTATGATAAGGGGCTGTCTTTAGGAGCTTCTCTGGAGAATACTGTTGTCATTGATAATGGGAAAGTCATGAATCCGGACGGTTTGCGCTTTGATGATGAATATGTACGTCATAAAATCCTGGATGCCGTCGGTGATCTATATCTTGCGGGTGCCCCTCTTCAGGCCGCTTATACGGCCCATAATCCCGGTCACGAATGGCATCATAGATTATTGCAGGCTTTATTTTCTGATCCTTCGGCATGGAGACATGAAATAAGAGAGAGCTAACTAATTGACAAATAGCTGAAGTATGACAATTTTAGTAACTTAAATAGTGTGAAAATCTTATTGCTTAGTCAATATTCTGAATTAATTTTAGAAAACCAAAATAAAAATAGGAGATTAAAATATAAAAATAACAGAAATTCCAAATAAAAGGATCTTACTTATAGTCAAGTATTATTCCTTGTAATCCATAACAAAATATTAATAAATATGAAATTTCATGAGAATAAAATAAAAGTATTAGATGCTATATTGAAGAGTGTCAAGAAAAGCCTATAAAGACTTGCAGATGCCTAGAATTCAAACAATTTATATGCGCCAGACATGGAGGTGAACATCAAAATATAGATGAAATACATGAGATTAAAGGTATTTTTACAGTTATTAATGAAAAAAGCAGAGAAATGTTAAGGAGATGCGCGGAAGAATTAAAGAGCAAAGTGAATTTATATTGAAATGAAATAACAAATAATGAAGCGCATGGCTTTACCCGCACTATGTATTTGATGAATTTAAATGTCGGTATAGTCAATAAAACATGCGAAGAAATAATTAGTTTATGTGAAAATTTAACTGAAATCCCAGAGTATGGAGACCCTACATTTATTGAGACTATTCTGAAAATGGCCCCAGAATTAATAGAGAATTATACTAGAAATTTAAAAATCACAACTTTTAAAGATTATGAAGGAGTGATTTTCTCTTTAGGCAAGCTATTTTCAATTGATCCAAATTTTAATTTTGAGCATAATTTGAATAGTGAATTCTCAATGCTTTCTACTCAGCTTATTTATTTAAAAAAATCAGATCCTAATATTTATAGTTTTGATTTATCGAAATCCCAAATTTCTAAAAATTTAACTCATTCAGGACAAATTCCTGACTATTATGATTCCATGTGTTTACTACCTAACAATGAAATTTTTTGCCTTTCCAATTCAAGCTCAAAAGCTTTTACAATTAAATTTAGTTTTACTGTAAAAATGCACCCTCCTCGCGCATTAACGTATTTTGCAGGGCTTGCTTACTATAAAGGCTATGTTTATGCATTTGGTGGGTCAAACGCTTTTTGGGAAAAATTTGATCTTGATAAGTCAGTGTGGTTAAAAATAGCAAAGCTTCCAAGAACCACTGATTATTGCTCCTGTGCTGTTCTTGGGGATACCATGCTGGTAGTGGGGTATCATTCTTTGAAATTGCATGGATATTGTCCTGATCTTAATTCCTATTTTGATTGTATGGATGTTACTGGAGACATTCAAAAAAGTATTTTTACAGGAAACAATAGAGGTTATTTGATAGAATTTGGAGGAAGAATTTTCGAAAGCGAAATTAATGATCCATTTTCTTGGCAAAATATCGGCTCAAATTCATGCAAAAAAACATTTCTTCTTTGATATAAGGCTTTATATGATGATGCGATATATTTTCTCAGCTATTATTATGATTTATACAGGTTTGACCTGAAAAATAAAACGATCAATGTAATCGCTAATCTTAACAATAACTAATAAAGCTGCTTAAGTATGATAATTTTAGCAGCTTAAATAAAGGAACAATCCTATAGCTTAGTCAATATTATGAATTAATTTTAGAAAATCAAAATAAAAATGAGAGATTAAATTATGATAATAGCTGAATTTTTAGAAGTTCCAAATAAAAGGATCTTACTTCTAAATCTCCAGCAGAGTTATAGTCAAGTATTATTCCTTGTAATCTATAACAAAATATTAATAAATATGAAATTTCATGAGAGCAAAATAGAAAGCATTAGATGCCATATTGAAGAGTGTCAAGAAAAGCCTATAAAGACTTGCAAATGCCTAGGACTCAAACAATTTATATGCAATAGTCATGCAGGTGAACATCAAAATATAGATGAAATACATGAGGTTAAAGGTATATTTACAGTTATTAATGAAAAAAGCAGAGAAATGCTAAGGAGATGCGCAGAAGAATTGAAGAGCAAAGTGAATTTATATTGAAATGAAATAAAAAATAATGAAGTTTATGGCTTTGCTCACAATATGTATTTGATGAATTTAAATGTCGGTATAGTCAATAAAAAATGTGAAGAAATAATTAGTTTATGTGAAAATTTGACTGAAATCACAGAATATGGAGACCCTACATTTATTGAGACTATTTTGAAAATGCCCCCAGAAGCAATAGAGGATTATGCTAGAAACTGAAAAATCACAACTTTTAAAGATTATGAAGGAGTGATTTTCTCTTTAGGCAAGCTATTTTCAATTGATCCAAATTTTAATTTTGAGCATAATTTGAATAGTGAACTCTCAATGCTTTCTACTAAACTTGTTTATTTAAAAAAATCGGATCCTACTGTTTATATTTTTGATTTATCAAAACCCCACATTTCAACAAATTTAACTCATACAGCCCAAATTCCTGAGTTTTATGCTTCTATGTGCTTACTACCTAACAATGGAATTTTTTGCCTTTCTAATTCAAGCTCAAAAGCTTTTACAATTAAATTTAGTTTTACTATAAAAATGCACCCTCCCCGTGCATTAACGTATTTTACAGCGCTTTCTTACTATAAAGGCTATGTTTATGCATTTGGTGGGTCAGGCGATTTTTGGGAAAAATTTGATCTTGATAAGTCAGTGTGGTTAAAAATAGCAAAGCTTCCAAGAACCACTGATTATTGCTCCTGTGCTGTTCTTGGGGATACCATGCTGGTAGTGGGGTATCATTCTTTGAAATTGCATGGATATTGTCCTGATCTTAATTCCTATTTTGATTGTATGGATGTTACTGGAGACATTCAAAAAAGTATTTTTACAGGAAACAATAGAGGATATTTGATAGAATTTGGAGGAAGAATTTTCGAAAGCGAAATTAATGATCCATTTTCTTGGCAAAATATAGGCTCAAATTCATGCAAAAATTCATTTCTTCTTTCATATAAGGCTTTATATGATGATGCGATATATTTTCTCAATTATTATTATGATTTATACAGATTTGACTTGAAAAATAAAACGATCAGTGTAATCGCTAATCTTAAAATAACTAATAAAGCTAACTAATTCACAAATGGCTGAAGGATTGCTTAAATATAGGAGCAATCCTATAGCTTAGTCAATATCTGAATTAAATTTAGAAAATCCATAAATAAATATGAGGTTAAAATATGAAAATCAGAATTTCTAGAAATTCCAAATAAAGGATCAAAATTTAAAAGTGTACTTTTGTGCATTTTTAAGTATAAAATCAGTATTACCAAGATAACTTGAAATCTAAAGTCAATACTTGATCCTTTTACTGGTAAAAAATTTTTCATCAATGTTCGAGAGATGATAAATTTAGCCTAAGAAATTTGAAGGGATTACAGCAAACACCAAAAATCCAATCACTCTGAGTAATATTTTACCAATTTCTATCCTTTTCATTTTTTTTATTCCGAGAAATTTTGGAATATTTTCTAAATCTTGCTCCCTCTTCCAAGATGATTTTCATGACAGAAAAAAACAAAGTCTCAGAAGGGTTTACTATAAAAAACTAGTTACAAATAACATTTAGTTACATTAAAATATCATCAAGGCACATGCCGTCAAAGAAACTCTTTTCCGAATCTCTCATCTGGTCACCAATTGCCTTAAAGTCAATAAAAGTCTTGCTTTTACTCACCCCAGTGAAATTCCTGGACAGCATTTGATTGATTTTATTTTCAAATTTATGGATCTCCCTCACCGAAATTATTGCGTTCCCAGCTGCCAACTCTCTATATTTGCTACAAATCTCTTGGACTGGGAATTCTGTTCTTACCGAGTACAGGGTGATCCAATTAACAAATCGTTTTACGAAATGTTTGTATCTTCTTTTCATGCATTTCTCATAAAAAGAAAACGACTTTTTGTCAGAAAAACAGGCTTTAATTACAAATGAGGCGAACATCACAAGTTGTTTTGGATTTGAAGCAACTGTGAGCTCAAGCGACTCCAAGAGGATACTTAGTGCGCTGATCTCGAGCTTCGTGAAGTGGAAGGTATTAGCGGCTTTGTTGAGAAGCAAATACAGCTCATAGTCGTCAACTATTCTGTACAAGGGATTCTTCAAGGACATCCTATAAAGAATCTGCTGACGCTCGATTGTTGCTAAATGGGAGTGTTTAATTGCGTACAGTTTATTGACGCTGATCAGATGGCAACTTTTTGACATTTATAATCCAAGAAAAATGATCAGATTTTTTTGTTTGAAACCATGTCGAGCACACCATTTATACTTGGAAAGGTAAAATACATTATCAAATTCGTGACTTGAAACTGCTTTTTTGAATTAATTGAGATAGATAAATAGTAAAAAGTATTTTATTTTGAGGGTTTGATAGATTGAAATTATATTTGTTTACCAACAAAAATATGCATTTTGTTATAAATTTCTAATATTTATGATTAATATTTGAAATCAAAAATTCTATTAAATATATAATTTTAAATTTAATAAATAAAGGCAATAAGAGACACAAATTATTGATTAAAAGGCTTTTGACTGATCAGAACGTGTTTCAAATAATAGCCATTTATTTAAATCATAATATTAAATGCAAATTATTAAATTCTTGCTTTTAAGAAGCCATATTTGCATGTGCTCAGTTTTTAGCTATAGCAAGTACCTAAATAAAGAAATATATTTTAAACAATTTTGAACATTTTTGATAATTATCAAAACCTTTTAAAGCACGCATATATAGCGATACATAATTATAAGGCTCGAAATTTCATGAAAAACTATAAAATTTGAGATAATCTGATCTAATTGCTCACAGAATCTATTAAAAATGCAACTAAATAGTATAAATTTAAAGCATCTATAAACCTAATAGGAGTTATGGCAAAAACTGGGCTCTAGCAGAGCTTATATAATAATCTTTCTTAGCTTTTGCTGACAGATTTGTTGTGATTAAAGAAAATTTTAAATTATCAAAAATTCTTGGGAGAGTATTGAATTCCATATTAAACAGAAAATTAAAGATGACCTAATTATAGAAATTATAAGATCATTAAAAGCATTTATAAGCAGCTATAAACATTAGTAATTTAAATTATCATATTTTCTTGCATTGAACTTCTAAAAATTTACACATCAATAGCATGAGTGTTATAAATAATATAGGATTGATTTTTATCAGAAAAGAGTCTATAAATCCTAAATTATTTAAATTCTGATAAATTGATTTATAATTTTCAAAGATATGCATAGTTGTTATATAATTTTAATCAGCAGTAATTTGTGTGAAGTTTAAATTTAAGTAGTGAATGGGTTTCCATTCATAAAGCCATCAACATCACTTATAGTGTATTGATCTAACAACCCTTGATTGGCTTTAAGAAATCTTTTTAGTCTGCCTTGGGGATCGAACATACAATTAACAAGGCCTTCTTCATATACTGACATCTCCATTCTAAATGAATGAAACTCTAGCTTATTTTCATCATTTGTGCCTTCTACTATATCCCCTTCTTTATTTTTCACAAGAAGCTTAAAAGTGCTGATATATCCAATATCAATAACCCATATCTTTATATGGCACTTATCCAGATATCATCTTAACTCGTCTATCTGTTCTTTATATATTTCTGCATTACCAGAAGTACATATCTCTTTCAAGTTTAAAGATTCAAACTCATAAAACTCAGGGATGATATCGGTGATACTATCTTCCGTTTTAAGTTTGTATCTGTGGTATGAAGGATATGGCTCTTTATCCAAATAGGACTGAGTCTTATATTTGCTGCTTTCTAGGTTAAGATTTCTATAGGGAAGTAAACAGCCTTCGTACGTATTGACGTCAAGGACTTCGACCTTCGGATTTTCTGCGCTACCAATTGAGGATATTGTATATCCTGAATCTTTATAAATTTTAATCGATTTTTCAAGAGTTTTAAACATGTTTCACTCAAGAAGGTCTTCTAGCTCTTTTAAATTCTCTTTTGCTAAAAGCGATAAAAACATTCCACAGCTGTAGGCTATACCTTCTAGTTCTTTTTTTCAGTGATGATTGTAACTCTTTCTAGTCTCTTTGCTTTCTTTTGGGTATTTTTCAGAATAAAATTGCAAAGGAAAATCAAGTAATTTTTGGGCTTCGGATTTTGTAATTATATGATATGGATAGTGGCTTGAAAATGCTCTGCTTATTTTATTCATACTTTTTAAATAGCAGTTAGCTAATCTTATTTAATAAAATATTATCAGAAACTAATATTGATTAGAATTTAAAATTATAATCAAAGAGAGCAGAACCAATAGTTATATTTTTTCCCTTCTGGGCTTGACACACACATAAAATCCATAATATTGTCTGAAGTAAAACTCAAAGGTTTTTACTAAATGTAATAAGAAAATAATAAATTCATTAATAGACCACTAAACTTCATTGATGAAATATTTTGAATTATTACTAAATCTTAAATTTATTGCAGGATATTTATTATTACTAATTTTGCAAGCTAACCTATTAATGATTAATTATCAAGCTTGCATTACATAATTTATTGAAGGTTTAAATAAAAAAGAATAATTTATTTAATTAATTTTGCCACCCTTTATCTAATAATATAATTAATATGTCGCCCTTTATCTTTTATTTTACGAAAGATAAAGAGAAGTTAATTTTATTTACGTTATTTCAAGTATCTCTTTGGTCCTTTCACTTGCCTAAATAATATCTTGCATCAAAAATATCATATAATTGCTTCTCTATTTTTTTTTTATTTATTTTACGTTTTATCACGCCCAAGGCGTCTTATTTTTTTGCTTTTCGTAATTATCTTGATAAATTCCTTAGCATGCGCATCAATTTCATCAATCTGACTTCTTGTCAATTTCAACTTGCTTTTTTCTTCTTCATATCTTCAAGAATTGCTTCTCTATAAATTATCTAAATTTCAGCTTTGTTGCCTTTTAAAAGAGATCGAAATTTTGTGTCTCTATTATCTTATCTTAATTGCCATCATTTTTTAAGGTCTCCTAAAGGGTCCAACTCATGGGGGTTTTCATTTTCTCGCTATTATGGCATTTAATGGAAGATTTAAAATAAGCCAATAAATAGACCTTACTTTCCAATTTTGGCTTTCCTGATTGAAAATCACTATACTTTCCGGCTCAGCAAATTTATCCAAAACATCAGGAAGCTGGCTTTGAGAAATTTCTGAAAGTCGTTTTAGCAAGAAAACCATGAAGTCTGTTTTTGGAAAAAATAGTTAAGTCGAATAAAATAAACTTTTAATAGAAAATTTTAACCGACTTGCAATGGTTTCATTTAATAGACATGGATAAATGGTATGAAGTCGGAGAAGCAAAATACTAGCGTGACTGAGAAATGAAAAATAGCAGAGTTGGAGATAAGAAATCTACATAAGTCGCGATCTTAGGTTATCGGCAAGTTGGTGCTAAAATTAACGGAAATTTTGATGAACCCTACCAAGTCTTCAATATAAAACCAATACAAGTCGAGTAATTAAAATATGATCAGATCAATTAATCTAAATTTAAAAAAAAACACACATTTTCTTATATTTTTTCGATAATGTAAAATATATATAAAATTTCAGTGTCGTGATTATGAAACCATTTATAGTAGAGAAATTAAAACTGTAGCAGGTAGGCTATGAGAAATATTAGGAAGTCGTTGCGAGTTTTAGTATCCAATAAAATAAGTATAGTCGATTAAAAAAAATAATTAAATTAAAATTTAGAGATATTTAAAATTTGTATCAATGAGTCTATTCTTTCTGGTATATTTTTTAGTTTGAGAAGCCAATAAAAAAACATACAGTAATTATCCAAATCTTTTTCATTTTTTGGGCGAAAACCATTTCTATAAGCCTTTAGTCTTTTTAGCCTGCTCCAAACGTTTTCAATATGATTAGTTGTTTGCCTTCCAATTCCAAAGTCTTGATTATGAAAACAATTGAATGGCGATATCCTAATGTTGGAAGCTGTCTGTAAGCTGCTCAGCCATCTGTAAATACTTCTGTAGCATTCGTTTGATCGTTTGATACTGCATTTAGAATATATCCTGATAAATTTTCCCAAGTTCTATCGTTGCCTACATAGTAAAATCTATAGTCTTCTGTTCCTCTGTCAAAAATTCCGAATAGCCATTTGGGATCATGATCCATAGTCATAATATGAGTTTCATCAAGTTCTACAGTTGGATGATCCTGCCCATCTTCATCTTCTATTCCAAGCTGATTATCAGTAAAATAATTTTCAATCTCATGCTCACTTATTAAAGCTCTCAGCTTTTTAAACAGCTTTATAACAGCATCTTTTGATATTTCGCTGTCTTCAACAATAGTTATCATGGACTGTTCTCGGACGAAACAATGGAAAATTAACCTAACCATCTTGCTTATTGAGAGTCTTGATTGGGAAAATATGGATCTTCTTCGAATTGAAAAACTTAAATTGCATAAAGTACAACGTAGAAACATAGATCCTCCATTTCAATAAGAGAGGCATGGATTATGGCATATATCACAAATGTTTGGCTGCATTATTTTCACTTCTTGGCACCAATTTATTGCGTTATCTTCAGTTCTGAGTATCTCTGCGAAATTGCCGTAAAGAGGGTGAGTAAATCTTGGATTCATATTTAATTTTATATGCCTTATTTTAAGACCCCCAATCAAAGATTTTAATTTAATTATTTTTTTTAATCGACTATACTTATTTTATTGGATACTAAAACTCGCAACGACTTCCTAATATTTCTCATAGCCTACCTGCTACAGTTTTAATTTCTCTACTATAAATGGTTTCATAATCACGACACTGAAATTTATATATATTTTACATTATCGAAAAAATATAAGAAAATGGTGTTTTTTTTTTAAATTTAGATTAATTGATCTGATCATATTTTAATTACTCGACTTGTATTGGTTTTATATTGAAGACTTGGTAGGGTTCATCAAAATTTCCGTTAATTTTTAGCACCAACTTGCCGATAACCTAAGATCGCGACTTATGTAGATTTCTTATCTCCAACTCTGCTATTTTTCATTTCTCAGTCACGCTAGTATTTTGCTTCTCCGACTTCATACCATTTATCCATGTCTATTAAATGAAACCATTGCAAGTCGGTTAAAATTTTCTATTAAAAGTTTATTTTATTCGACTTAACTATTTTTTTCCAAAACAGACTTCATGGTTTTTCTTGCTAAAACGACTTTCAGAAATTTCTCAAAGCCAGCTTCCTGATGTTTTGGATAAATTTGCTGAACCATACTTTCCATTCTCATAGCCATGAGCCCTCTTTGAGTTGCTGACTCTTTCTATCCGTATTCTCTCGGATAGGATTAACCTTCTAATATTAACCAGACTATCAAACATGGGCTGAAAGCAGAAATTTAAATCTCATCATTCGCGGGCACTTCCATATCTCCATTATTCATGGACTTCCATATCTCCATTTGCACTTTCTGAACCTTCTGTATTGCATTTAAATTTAGCAATTATAGCATAGCTCTCATTTTCATGCTTAGACATACATCTCCATACATCATAGGGCTCATAGTCTCTATTTATATAATCTTTTCACAAAATTTCTTCTCTATTTTCCACCACCATCTCCTTCCAAATTTTCCCTCTCGAAATCAGCTTCCCATCTTCTTCTTTTTTTAAATTGGGATTTTTTTAATAAAATTTATATATAGCGGGCTTTTATGGATTGTCGTCAAGCAAAAAATGCCCCGTTTTATTTTTCCTAATCACTATATAAGTCCCTTAAGCGAACAAAATTTTTTTGTTTGCTCACCAGTGAGGGATTTAGAGAATGCCGCACTTGACTATTCTAATTCCATATATCAATATCATCTATTCTTGAGCTATTTAAAATAAAATTTTATGCCCTCAATAGTAAAATGGAAACTATAGCAAGCTACATTCCTTCTGTTGTTCGAAAAATCACCGAAACCATAAGCAACTCAAAAGAACTCGACGCTATCACTTATATCGAATTTCAAGAAATTAACTTCAAATCTTCTTCAAAACTGGTAGCTCTCATAGGATATGAAAGAGGCTTCCAAGCCTGAGATTTATCCAAGCCATCAGAACCCAATTTATTCCTATCAAAGCGCAATTTAGGTGTTTCCCAGATCACTTGCATCCCCAAGAATCCTGAAGGCTTGCTTGCAATCACCTCTCTCTATCATTCTATAGAATTTCCCAGATCCACGATTCAGCTTTTTTCAATTTTACAAAAAGAATTTATTTTTCTCATAAACGCATCCTCAGAAATCACAAAAATCTCATGTAACTCCCTAGTAATTTGTGCAGCTCTTTCAACTTGTGAAATTGAAGTTTTTGATAGTAAATCATTCGAGAAATTATACATGATTTCGCCGATTGTAAATAGTGAAGAAAATTCAATAGTAATGTCATTATCAAATTTATATATTGCTTATTCTTTGAAATCTAAAAATGCTCCTATTGAAGAAGGAGAAATTAATTTGACTGAAAAAATCTCAAAAACTGTGATGTCGATTGCTGAAAATGGTTTTACCAAAATTAAGGCATATATGGAAAACGCTGGGGTGTTAGCAGATTCGAGGTCGCAGCATGGGAAAATATGAATAAAGCATTTGCCAGACAACTCTGATATATGTGAAATCCAAGCTTTTTCGACATCAGTATCAATGCTTAAGTTTAGTGAGTCATCGCACTTATTAGTGGTGTCGACAGTCTCTGGGCAGACTTTTCATATCTACCGAATCAATCCTACAAAAAAAAATCAAATTTCAGGTCCTGAGCTGAGATATTGCTTGATTTACAAGCTTTATAGAGGAATGACATCAGCAGATATTAATGATATTTGCATTAGTAAAAATGAAAAATGAATAGTAATTTCTTCATCAAAAGGAACCTCACACATATTTTACGTCAACCCTGAGGACATGTCTATGAATTTCAACCACCCAGCACAAATGAGAATTTACCATGGCTCTGTATTAGAAAAGCCAATTTTTCCTAGGTGCCATATACATCTAGTCGAAAAAATGAGGCCTAGAATCAGGGTTTCTTTGCAAGAATCCGCAGTGGAACCTTGTCCGCCAGAACTCTTTACTATATGCCAAACAGGACAGTTCACCAGGCATGTTATGGATAATGAGCAGCATTTAGTCTTTTCTGTAAGCCTTAATCGGCCTATTTCTTTTAAAGAAATAGAGATGGAAGTTAATGATGAGCGCCAAAATAACCATGAAGTACCAATTGGCATTGAGAATAATACATCAAAAGAACCCAATGGGTGGGTTCCATTAAAGCGATCCCCACAGTTTACATTTTTGAAAGCAAAGATGGCATATGAAGACTCACTGAAAAAGGACACTGAATATGAAGAATGTGAAGAGGAAAAATCGATGCCAGCGTTTACAGTCCATTATTCAAATTATGTAGCAAGCCCTAATCGGCTTGAGCAAGCAATGAATTCGTGCATTTATAACTCAAAATCGAAAACTCCTCAAGTGACTGGCAAGATTATAACTAACCATTTAAAGTTGGGAATTAACGCCAATGAAAAATTCTATGCCTAACTTGCCGCTTAATAATGGGAATTTTATAAAAATATTTATTTGATAACTCTATAATTATAGATGGAAAAGGTTAAGCAGTTTTTTAGAATATAGAGTTAATTTAATAACAAATTTAGCAGGTCATTAAGATTATTAGTCTTTAATGAAAATGCACAGAGGCTTATAATAATTCAAAATAATAAATTGAGCTAGATAGATATTTATAAAAACTCTCTAGGGTTTATAATCAGAAAAAGCATAAGAAAATTATCCTCCACGGCTTCATTTTATATCATCAAAGATGGGATTATCAAACATTTTAGTCAGATATTGAGAATTATTTAATTTAAATAGATTATTTAAGAGCAATAATTGATTATGATTAAATAGTAAAAATTATGCCTTAATCTCTCACAAATTTATCTAATTGTGTGTTTCTGCTAAATTAAAATTTTCAAAGCAAATGCTTTGTTCATTTCTCCATCAGCTTTGCTAAATTTGTATAAATCTTTTACGCATATTATTACATACATAAATCCTCGATTAATCTCAAGAGAATTATAATTGAGCAAGCCTAAGAAGCCTAAATAAATTTTCATTAGCAGGCCTTTAAAAAATCAAACGCAGCATGTGCTCCATTATTTATTTTCACTATAAATAATTAGTAAATTTTATTATTTGTATAAAGGATTTAATTATTCAATTTTCTCAACAGCTTTTTGCTTTGAATATTTTATCTAATTTAATTCAGACATGAGTAAACACATGTCGATGACGTCGAAAATATGGCTAATATTTAATATGCCAAAAAAGCCATGGGTTATTACTCCCCCAGTTCTTGCTTATTCGTGGAGGTTTTTGCACAAAAATTTATGTAAATAGTAAAATTTATATGAATAGATCCAAATTTGCTTATCATTGGCAAATGCCCAAAGTTTGCGTTTTTCATGTTGTATCTGAATACCCAAGCAAATTTCTATTTATTCATATAAATTTTACTATTTAAAAATTTTGTGCTAAAGCGCCCCACGAATAAGCAAGAATTTTCTAATTCCTTGGAGGAGCTAGTGGAATTCTCGGTGGACTCGGCTTAATTTTGATTTTAACAGCTGCCATAGCTCCTCTAATTATCGACAATGACCTAAAATCTCAAATGAAAGCTCGCATTATTATGGATGATCGAAGTGACCATAATCTCTGAGGGTCTTTGCCTGGCAAATCAGAAATCGTCCTGCTTCATGAGTATCATTTTTTTGACATTAACAACCCAGAAGATGTCTTAAAAGGTGCACTCCCTAGCTTAACAGAGCAAAATGGCTATTACTACCAGGAATTCGATGACTTTTTATATTACAACTATTCAAGCCACCATGGGACTTCCAAAGCTTGGCTTCGTTATTTCAATTACCAAAGAAAAGCAAAAACAAATCATACAGTATGGAGAAATGATACCCACGAAACTGACAAGATAACAACGGTAAATCTTGGACCTTTTGGAGCTTGGAATACAATGAAGCATTCCTCACCTGAAAAATTAGCTTTGATTTCCTTATACCAAATAATTTATACGTTAAATAATGATTTAGCTATAGCAGCTTATTGCCAAGGGATCGAAAAATTACTAGGAAATTACACCTCAGCACAAAACCTTATTTATGATCCAGCAGGGATTAATAATGAAATTGGAGCAGAAATTTGGCAGGATAAGTACTTTGGAATGGGAAATTGGCAAACTTTGCAAACGTGGATAAAGGCACTTGAAGAAAATCTGCAAAATAACGTTTTTGTGTTCCCTAGACCTATTTCGGGTTCACTTTATCTGCTTCAAAATAATTTTGGACTTAATGAAACTCAATTTGAGCAGATTTTTACTGGGGAGTTTAAAAATTACCATGATACTGTAATTCAAGCGTTTTTTAATGAGTATGGGTGTCAGGAAACTGATGGGAGCCAAATTTGTGATCCTGCTTATCTGGGAGCTTTACAATGGTCAGCTTCAAAAATTACTTTAGGGCCGCCTGGGGATTTTCCTTCACAAGGATCGACTATTAAATGCTTTAATAACACTATATATGGATACCCAGAAATGAGCTACTTTTTATCAAGCACCAGCACAGGGGAAAAATATCCAGGAGTTTCATTTACACCTGGAGACTATTTTGAGCTCTTTTATTATGATAGAGTCTCTGGGTTCCCTAAGTGGAGCAATTATACACTTCTTGATGTAGGACATATGAATCATTTTTTTGCTTTGGGAAGAGAAGGACTTTTTAGCCAAATCCAAGCTGATTTTAATTTATTTTCTGAAAATCATGCTCTTGTCTTATGGGACTATATAAATGAGCTAGTTTCTTCAGCTGCGCTGCAAGGGTTCACTGACCAAGAAATTTATAATTATGATAACAGAGGAATTGCTAGTGAATTTTCTATTGGGAAATTGGGGAGTCAGGCTCTTTTAGAGGTGACTGCAACACTGTCAGATATTTTATTGACTGAGATTACAGCGACTTATGATTATTTGAGGCTACAATATGAACTGGGAGTCTTAACTTAACTTAACTTATTAACCATCACGTTTAACGTCTCCTACGGGGTTGCTCTTCCAGGACTACCACCACGCTCTCGTCGCTCGGGGCCCACTAGTTGCTGGGACAGCTAGCTTTGATCTCCAACGCGCGCCTCCTGCGCGATGTTCCGGCTTCGACGGCTCATGATTGAGCTACTTTCTCTGTAACGAGGGCTGTCTGCTGGGAAATTCCAAAAAATGGTATTTCTGGCCGACTTTCGGCAAAAGAGGAAAACTTGTAGCCCGGGGCGAAACTCCCGGTTTCTCGCTAGAGATTTGCCTGAATGGCCTAGGGATTACCTTTAGGCGCTGCTGGGCTTCTCCTTTCCAACTCCAAGCTCTCCTCTTCCCTCGAGGTAAAATCCTAACCCGAGAACGGACTGGGATCAGGCTCTGTACACTGCCAGAATTGCTTACCTGATATTGCTGTCCATCTCTAGCTAGGCAAAACCTTGCCGGATATAATTAAATAGGGCTCGAAACTGTCTGGCCGAGAGGCCAGACCCAAGTTGAGACGCCATATTTAATTATATATGAACTGGGAGTCACATGTGAAGGAATTTTATCTGATACCTTGCCAAGCCAGACTGAAATCTGCTCGATTCCACAAATTCAATGGAGCAATGATACTACAACAATGAGTTATTGGCTATTGCCTTACTGACGTGGAGAGAATTCTGAATCTTGGGTTTGGTTTCAAAATATAACTGGGCTGTCAGATGAAGAAATGGAAACCTTATATGGAAATTAGGTATTAGTATTCAGACCATATGATAAATCCATTTTATTAACATTTAAGTTTAAGAAATCGCTTGTAAGTTCCATTCTCTATCAGTCTCAACTTGGACATAGATCTGACTAACGGTAGTTTTGGCTGGCCTGGTCTTAGACCTACTTCAGTCCCAAAGCCTTTTAGGAACTCTTTTCCTGTATCAGATTCAATGCAAGCACTTCTCTTTGAGCCGAGACTATCAAGAAATATATGAGCTTGGTTGTAGTTGCGTAGCACTACCCATAACTGCCGTTTTATATTGTGTTATTAATATTAAATATTTTTTTCGAAATTTGGGGGTAAAAACTCGGCTACTTATATATTTTTTTCCTCATGATAATTCTCTCAGCATGGAAATGAAAGCACTTTAGTTTCAAATTTCACTGAATTTGACTCTGAGCTTAAATCTCATTATTCTTGCATCAACCCAGGCTCAGCTTGTTTCTCATGGGACTTAAGCTCAAAACAGTGGGGAAATGGCTATGTGACTAAAAATTTGCCAGAAATTTTCAGCATTTTTAATATAAAAAATGCATCCTCAATTTATGGTCTTATTCCCAAATATCAACCCTCTTTTGCATATCCTCCTGAGTACTTCTCTTACATCATGACCAACAATCTCACGACTGATGCGCTCTCCGACGAAGAAATCGACCTTTTGCTTAATTTTGACTACCTTTTCAGTTCTTCTCAAGTGCAAAAGCTCTTTATTTTTGATTTCCAAGAAAATTATACATCTGCATCAGAGTTTTTCAACCTGACAGACCCTGAAACTATGGCTAACTACATAAGATTCGTCATCGATAAATTCATGTTTGGAGGAATCTTCAGGTCTAAAACAGTCCAAGAGCTACTGTGGACTGATTACGACCCATTTTTAAACAGAATTAAAAACTTGAATCCGTTATTAGGCGGAGATCCCTCAATTGATCCTTCAATTGTAACTTTTGGGAAAAACCAAACAAGAGATATGTATGAGTACATCCCACTGCAGTTTAAAAATGCTATAAATACAGGAAAAACAGATATTGATCAGCATCGATGGTATAGACTCTATGGAGGAGTCTCGTATGCCAATATAGTTAAAAAGCAGTATTTCGGAGAAAGTCCTTGGGATTCTATAATAAACTATGTCAATTATAATCCATGGGATGAAGAAGTCGATTTAGTTGGCGGAGACTCCTGGGGATTCCAGCCGGACTTAGACAAAGATTCAAAAGCAAAATATTATAATCAAGAACTTGCGATTAATTTTGAAGCTGAGTACTCGAAAAAAGTTGAGTGGAGAGGATTTAACTGTTTAAGATTCAAGCTAAACTCAAAAGCTATTCAGAATAGTACTCAAAATCCAAGCCACGCTAAGTTTTATCAATTTGGGCCTTCAGGGCTGGTAAACCTGGCTGTGCCTACCTCATTCGACTGGCAGTCTGGCTCTAGAGTCAGTAGAGCTAGTACAGCCGGATTGCCAGACTGCCAGGCAGAGCCGGACTGCCAAACTGACAGGTAGAGCCGTAGAGCCAGACTGTCAGTAGAGCCAGGTAGATCCGGACTACCAGACTGCAAAGGTAGAGTCGTAAAGCCAGGTAGACCCAGCCAGATTTGACCACAGGGCTGATCAACCAAACAAGTGCTTTAAGCAGCCCCATTTTTGCTGCCAAGCCTTATTTCCTTGACGCTGATTCAATGCTAGATCAGCTCGTAACATATATGAAGCCTGAGCTAAACCAGCCATCCGAGTACAATACAGTGATTGATTTGGAGCCATATTCAGGAACTCCGTTTTACTTATCTGAAAAGCTCATGCATACAGCTGAGCTCAAACCAGATGCTTTGTATCCAAATTTAGGAAAACTGAGTATGGAAAACACTGGATATAGGACTTATATGCCTCTTATGTGGGTATCAAAGAATTTAGAAATTTCACAGCATTCTGCTGATAAGTATTTTGGCGTCATTAATAGCACGTCATCTGCTATTGGGTTAATTAAGCTATTAGGATTTTTGTTTGGGGCAATGCTGATTGCTGCAATGGGGATGTATTTACTTAGGCTTTATATTACTACGAAGAGACAAAAGAAAGCTGAGAATCCAATTAATGGCAGTCAGGAAATTCTTTTAGAAGTATAATAACAATAATTCTTTCATAAAAGTGAATAAATCAGATAATAATATTAGAGCGCAGTTTTATTAATATATATATTGTGATCCATAGACGAGATACCTTGAAAAGTTTGTAGTATCTATTTTATCGCAGCTTTTCCCCACATATTTTCTCGCACATTTTGATGGATCTGAAGGAAAAGGTTTTGGGGTTCACTTCCTCCTCAAAAACAGGGGAAAAAAATCTGATTTAAAGTGGGTAAATTTAAGTAAAATTTTACGAAAAAATATATTTATAAAATAGCGATTCAAAGTTTTAGCTTTATTTAAATAGTATTCTAATATACTCTTCACTTAAAAATAGAATAAGTATTGTTAATTTACATTAAATTGAATTTCAAAAGTATTTGCATAGAAATTATTACTTTTACCTATAAAAGTATTTTTCCCAATTATTCTCAAAAAATGAAATTTTTTCAATTTAAAGGGGAGTGATTATTTAGTGCGATATGAGAGCTCGATAAATAAGTGATTAAAATAATCTCCATTTGGAATCTCTCTCTAGGTAAAAAAGCCATCAATTTTGAATTAAGGGTTAAAAATACTTCAATATGAAAAATTTATAAATATACTACTGAGATCTTAACTTTAGCCAATCTATATTAATAAGCCTTCCTTGGACTATCGCTTAAAAAATACTTCACAGAGAGTTTTGCTGCGCAATTTGCATTTTCAGGCAGCCGTCCATACTCGTACATGTTGATGACGTATTGGACAAAATCTGTGAATCCTTCAACTCTGACCACAATCGGAATTTGATCCTCAATTGTAACGTGCAGATCTGCAGTATTATTTTTAAAGTTTCACGAAGCAATTGAAGACGGAATTATCAGCATACAATCTCTAATTTGGCTTAAATATCGATAAGTTGTAACAGGCTTCATAAGGATCCTATTTTTAAGGTCAAAAGGCTCGCTCTGATATACCATCTTTAAGGACAGTTGCTCCTGCATCACTTCTATAACTACAAGAACTGGCCTGTAAAAGTTACAATTCTTAATTTTCACTTAATATGAAAAGGTTTTTCAGCTAAAAGGTAGGATAGTATATTTATTTTAATTTTAATATATAAATTTATTTATTTTTTAAGATGTCAAATTAGAGCTTTGAAATTGAATTAATTCGTTTTAATTAAAGAGTTCAGCAGAAAAAAAGGTATAGAGAAATTGGATGACATTGCCTTGAATTTTTTTTTTAAATAATGATTTTTACAATATCTTTGCCATTATCCTAGATGGAGTAAGAAAGATGTGGGTATATGATAGAGAAACGTAATAGTTAGTATCTTCGAATCTCACAAAAGGACTTCCTCCGCGCAAGGCCTCTGGTTTAGAATCGTAATTCCCAGTCATTTTCTTACAAGATTCATTTTCAGCTGTACAATCAACACTATGTTAAGATTAATAGCTGTTGTTTAAAACGCCCAATACCACATCATATGCTTGGGCTCATCCTTGCTTCTAGGCTCCCAATCTACCATCATAGGCAGTTTTCCCTTTGAATAGTCCATACTCTTCAGGCATAAAGACTTTTACAGCCGTCTTTTCGGCTCTCGGGTAGAAGAATCAAATAGGGTCCGTAAGGCACCCTAAAGGTCCCAATCTCCACCATCTGAGCTTCGTCTTCAAGAAAATTCGATTTCCCTAAAGGAAACTTGTCCTGCTCTGTCATAGCCAGGATGAATTGCTAGAGGAAGCAAACCTCATGGTCATAAAATTAAAAAAGAGAGTTTTCGGTCAGTAGACCAGAAAATTCGAGTGATGCCATTTTATGATTATGCTGTCTAATCAACAACTTGTAAGTTCTTGAAGTTATAAACAAAGTACAAATGCTCATTATCAATAATCAATGGGGTCCAATTTTTCTCAATAATATTTTTTTTGCCATTATGCTCATCTAAATATAGCATTCTAAAAGTTGCAGTCGAAAACCGGTAAAGGTGTATCATCCTGTTTTTATCTTTTCCTAACAAATTGAAAACAACGAAAATTTCATTATTAAGTGCCACAAACAGTCGAGGATCTTCTGGGCCAGTTCCCTCTTCTTTCTGCTTTATTGTGATAGGAATAATTCCAGGTACTTTCGTTCTCCCCACATAATCTTCTTTTGTTACCTCATTCCATTCTGAGTCATAAAAAGTAGCATATAAGAAGTTGTACATCCCAAATAAGGAGATTCTTGCTGTAGCTAGGTAGAGATGCTTTTCAGGAAGTCAAACAGCTGAAGGGAACAAAATTAGGCTTCCTTGCCTGTCATTATTTGTTACTTGCTTATACCTGATTAGCAAGCTTTCATGTATATAAGGCTCAAGTAAACGGATAACTTGATTTAAATCGAGAAGCTTCTTAATGTAGACTATTAATCTTGATTAACAGATGAATTTTTAAAAAAAAAAGAGTTGTGAATAGGTCTAGGATGACCTGCTGAGCTGATCCCAGCCCCAGGTAAGTGGATCCAATTCTTTTAGAAGTTGGGTGCTGAAGGACGCTGGCCAGGTAACCCCTTTTCTAACTATCGTTATTTGGAGATTTTTGAACTTTATCACCTAAGTGTGGAATCTTTTCCGCGTGTGAAAAGAGGATTCCACATGTGAAGCCTTTTTGATTTCACATGTGGAATCATCTTTTCACACGCGGAAAAGATTCCACACTTAGGTGATAAAGTTCAAAAATCTGCAAATAACGATATAGGATTCGAGTAAAAACTACCTGAAATGCATTAAGGCATATCAAGCCTGAATCTCGACTGGTTTCTTACTCAGTTCATGCACTATGTCGCCATTTTTAGGAGCTTCATGTAGACATCAATTGTCTGGGAATATTTTGTGTAAACAGTAGGCTCATTCAGTAATCGAATATTGTCATTGATATAAAGACCAGGGCATCCTTCAACAGTTTTAACAAATTCCTCTTCAACTGAGAACCCAAGGCAAGTTGCTCACTTTACAATTAAAAGAAATACCACTAGCATAATACACTTTTTCAAAATGATAATAAAAACAAAATATGGATCTGCCAACTCATATGAGTTTCAATTTTCAAAATTCCAAATTTTTATATATATAGGCTGTTAGAAGGTTATAACTGCTGATTACAATCTTGCCTAGGCGAAATATTTAAATTTAATATCACTAATAACATATTAAACTTTTCGAGTTGATTGCTAATTATAATGAAAATTAATATGAAATATTAAAATGCATAATCAAAATTTAAGAAAATAAATTAATAATCAATATCAACAAATAATCCTTCGGGCAAATTGTTGAAATAATCTTCAGCAAATTTCTGAGCGCATTTGTTTTCATCAGGCAGTCTCCCATAATCATAAACATTGATAACATATTGCACAAAATCAGTCATCCCAGTTATTTTTGCAGCGACAGCCAAATCGTCATCAATACTCAGAGTTATATCAGCAACGCCACTTTCAAAGTCTCATCTCGCTATACTTGTGACCATCAAAACCCTCCGTAAATCGTTATTTGATAGTTTTGTTTTAACCCATTTAGGGTCTGAAAGCGCTGTAGATGCAAAATGAAGAGGCTCACTGGTATAGATCAATTTGAATTCTCGTCCTTCATCTATCACTTCTATAATAGACAATGCTGGGCGATGGTGAGGCTTTTTAAATTCAATATTTGTCCAGGCGAATGAGACAAAATAATTTGTGTTTAAAAATCTAACATAAGGACTCGAACCATGAATCCGGCTTAATTCTTTTTCGGAGCCAAATATTCTTTTGCATGGCAGTCGTTCTTCGGTGCAATCAATTACTTGTGTGCCCTCGTACTTGTATAGGAAATACAGATGCTTGTCGTCAATTGTAAGTGGGCTTCAGTTCTTTTCAACACGCCATACCTTCCCAACGTGTTCTTCTAGCTCAAGCTTCCTATGAGTTGCAGTTGAAAACCGATACAGATTTATTTGTCTGTTGAAATTTGGTGCACCTTCCATCAAAGTCGCAATAAAGAAAATTTCGTTCGACAGAGCTCGAAAGATGCGTGGATCTTCTGGTCCTCACCACAGGGCTCGCTTCATTTCTCCTAATTCTCTTATCTTTAAAAACTATAAGATATGATTAAATACTCTATTTTGACAGGACATAAATTAAATGATCTAATCAGCGTTTTTTATCTGATAAATAATTAAAAAATTATTGGTCCCGAGTAAAATAGCCTTATTTTTTTTAGAAGAAGTAAGGTAAGGATGCTAGGGACTTTGGTCTTTCCTATGAAATCAATTTCTCGTACTTCATTTCAATTTTCGTCAAAGAAAGTGATATAAACGTAGCTATATGAATCAAGAATAGAGACTCTGGCAGCTGCAAGATAAAGCTTCTTTTCTGGGAGTCAAAGAGCTGATGGGAAGAAGAGATGAGTTTTTCCTTTGTCATCTGGGCTCATTCTTTGAAATCTAGCTTTTTCTTCTTCACAAATATGAGGTGGCAGCAATGTATAAATATAGTCAATGTCAAAGAGCAGCTTAATATAAGCTTCACTTGGCGGGGCTGGCTTCTTCACGAGAGAAATATGATCCTCGACATCAAGGACTGGACAGCCCTTAAAAGTCTTTAGAAATTCATCTTCTACTGAGTAGCCTAGGCTGCAAGGATATAGCGTCATAAAACAGATGATTACAAGAGTAATCATTAAATTTTATATGAAGGCATTTATTATCGAATGCATGAGATTTAAAGCTAGCCATTTTATAAAAATAAAAATACCTGAGACTACTACAATTATTAAAATTCGTTCGTATATATAAGTCGCTGTTGGGAAGAAGTAAAGAGAATTTCTTTTGACACTCTATATGATCAGGAAGCAGCTATATGAAGATATAGATAGATTGAGATACCAGGATCAACATTTTCAAAGAATAAACAGATTGACATGAAATCCGGCATTTATATATTTTAGAATAGCAATTATACCACTTTGATGCTCCCAAAGACTTAATTTACTAATAGTACTCAAGCTCTTTAAAATTATCTCTGACAGGTATAAATTATGCTGCTACATTACAATAAAATATAAAGAAAAATAGGATCCAAATAAACTGAACAAAAATGGGTAATGTTTAAAACCCCCTTATTAGAAAGATTTTAATATAATAGCGGCCATACGCATTAAAATTTATAAAACTATTAAAAATCTGCTTATCTTATATTATCATCTCAAGCTTGCAAAAAACTAATAAATTGACTTCATCAAATTTTTATTTATTTAGAAATTGAACTCAAATAATAAATATTAAATACTGCATTAAAAAACTTGAATATTCCTGTCATCTATCGCTTAAACTAATTTATAATTAATAAGCAAACTTTGGACTTTGCGCTAAAAAATACCTTTCAGAAAACTTTGCTGCACAGTTATCGTTCTCAGGTAATCGTCCATACTCGTACATATTGATAATATATTCAACAAACTTTGCCAATCCTTTCACCCTAGCTACAACTGGGATATGATCCTCAATTGTAACGTGTAGATCTGCAATGTCGTCTTCAAAATTCCACGAAGCAATCGAAGAAGGAATTACCATCATGCAGTCTCTAATTTGGCGGCACCGTGCCATTTGATTGGAACATTTTGATATTGTGACGTTTCCTCAGATATTTTTGGTCAAGTTGTTGCTTCTCGTGAAAATGTGACTTAAATTTTGCCGAGAAAATAAAAAGACATGGTCAAAAACTCCTATATGAGGAAAAAGTTCCAATCATATAACTGGCAACTAATTTGGTTAGGATACTTATAATTTGTAAAAGGCTCCAGAAATACCCTATTGTTTAGATCAAATGGCTCGCTCTGATATATCATCTTGAAGGACAACTGCTCCTTGACTGCTTCCATAACTACAAAAACAGGCCTGTAAAAGTGGCAGTTTTTGAGAAAAATATGGGTATATGAGAGAGAAACGTAGTAGTTAGTGTTTGTAAATCTTACAAAAGGACTTCCTCCACGCAAGGCTTCAGGCTTAGGATCAAATTTTCCAGAAACTTTTTTGCAAGGCTCATTTTCTGCTGTGCAGTCAATAATTTGTAAATTCTTAAAATTGTACACAAAGTATATACTAATTGACCAAGAATAGCCCACTATAGAGCCATTCTTGGTCTGCCAGAAAAAATTTTGACAAAAAGATCCTAATCTGCCATTACCACTGAGTTTTGGTGTTTCCAAATTTTTTGGGCAAGCCAAATGCAATAAAAAAAATTGTTCTTTTGCGATGATGCATTTGGCTTGTCAAAAAAATTTGGAAAAACCAAAACTCAGTGGTAATGGCAGATTAGGATCTTTTCTGCCATTACCACTGAGTTTTGATGTTGCCAAATTTTTTTGACAAGCCAAATGCATCATCGCAAAAGAACAATTTTTTTTATTGCATTTGGCTTGCCCAAAAAATTTGGAAACACCAAAAACTCAGTGGTAATGGCAGATTAGGATCTTTTGTCAAAATTTTTTCTGGCAGACCAAGAATGGCTCCTTAGTGGGCTATTCTTGGTCAATTAGTATAAGTGTTCCTTATCAATAATCAATGGAGTCCAATTTTTCTCATCAATACGTTGTTTTTCAGCATCCTCTTCTAAATAAAGCTTTCGAGAAGTTGCTGTAGAAAATTGATAAAGGTGCATTATCCTGTTGCGATCATCTACAAGTCGGTTAAAGATAACGAATATTTCATTATTAAGCGCCACAAACAGTCGGGGGTCTTCTGGCCCAGTTGATGCGTCTTTATCTTTTACTGAAATTGGAATAATTCCTGGGACTTTGGTTTTTCCCACATAATCTTCTGTGGTTACTTCATTTCATTCAGAGTCATAAAAAGTAACATATAAGAAACTGATTCATCGAAATAAGAAGACTCTTGATGTAACAAGATAGAGTTTTTTATCAGGGAGTCAGATTGCTGAAGGGAACAAAATTGCGCTGTCTTGCATATCACTGCTTGTTATTTTTTTATACCTTTCTAGTAAACTTTCATGCAGATGAGGCTCCAGTAAGCCAAAAATGTGGTTCCAGTCAAATAGCTTCTTGATGTAGACATTGAGGGGTTGAAAGTTATTGGCATAGTCAGGTGATTGATTCAATAATTGGACATTGTCATTTATATAAAGGCCAGGGCATCCTTCGATTGTTAGAACAGTTTCGTCCTCTATTGAGAATCCCAGGCAAAGTGCTCACTTACACTTTCAAATAAATTGCGAAAAAAGCTAGAAGTTTTATTTATATAAAATAATTTTGCTAACTCCCCCCCCCCCCTCCGTGAGCGAACAAAAAAATTTTGTTCACTCACGGAGGGGGGTTAATTTTTTTTTTTAAAAACAATTTATATATAAATTTTATAAAAAATATTTTTTTCGAAATTTAAAAAAAAATCCTAATTTTGCAAAAATTGGGAAGCAAATACTAATTTAATTTGCAAAATTTATGTTTTAAAACGCAATTTGTTAAAAATTAAACAGAATTAGCTCTAGATTTCATTATACTAATTATCACTTATATAGCAAAATTTTTTTCTATTAAAATTTTTTCTATTAAAAATATTTTTGTTCAACTCACGGAGGGTGGGTTTTTGGTCAAAAAATGGCGATTTTTTCTAATGGTTTTGTTCGCTCACGGAGGGGGGGGGGAGTAAGCAATTTTTTTAATAAAAATAATAAAAATGTTTTAATCGATATAAATATAAAACTCATTACCTTACTCCCCTCCAGAAGCTAACAAAGCCATTAGAAAAATTGTTTTTGGGTAAAAAACCAAAATTTTTATGAAAATAGTTCGATAAGTAAGAGATGCTTAGGTATAATGAAATTTCTAGTCAATTCTTTTAAATTTTAAATAGCTTGCATTTTATAAATTAAATTAATTTCCCTTTCCAATTTTCGCAAATTGGGTATCTTAAAATTTGGAAAAAAAATTACTATAAAATTATATACAAATGCTTTAAAATAATTAACCCCTTTGTGAGTGAATAAACTTTTGCTCGCTCATGCAGGGGGGGTTATTTTTTTAAGATGTTGTTTATAAGCCTTTTGTTTGAAAATTTCTCTAAAATCTTCAATAAACTTTATTTATAAGTTATACCTTAAAATATAGCAAATAAAAAAATGTTTATAGTCATTTTGATTGAAGTTAGCTATTAAAAGGCATGCCAAGAGCATAAATTACTTTATTTTAAAATGCTGTACCAAAAATAAGAAAAAGGTAAACTCTAATTACAAAATTTTAGTATTTGATTGCAAGCTATTAAATGAACATAATGTTTGGAGAGTCTTACTATAATTTTTTATTTGAAAATTATGCATTTTTTTAACTCCCCTTAGGCTAGTGATAATATTATTGGAAAATCTTACTTTTAGGGAAAATTCGCAAAATTTTTTAAAGTCATATAATTTTGATATAATATTAATATATTTATTATGAGGTCCCTCCAGTTAAATCTATTAAAGTTTAGGCAGCTAAAAGCAATTTTTTTTTTTAAATGGAAGTCTTATAATGTTAAAAAAATAAAAATCACTCTCATCTAGTACAACAAAACATTTTTCTTTTTAACCAAAGGAGAATAGAAATTTACAAAAGATAATGTTTAACCGATTTATGAAATTAATTAGCTAAATGAATCTTTATTTTTATTCTTTTATTAAGAATTATAAATAATTTACCTATATTCTTGGTTTTATCTAGTTTAATCAAATAAATGAAGTTAAATGCTATTATGATAAGAAATTAAAAGTAGCCTAAAATTAAAAAAGTAAACTAAATAGTACTGTCCACAAATGTTCCCTTACTCCCTCCTTTTAATTGGAACAAAATAAAGGCAAAATTTCTTTTTGGGTACTCTAACCCTTTTAAATTGGTTTCAAAAAGGTAAATTTTATAAGTTAAAATACTAATTTTATAAAATTAGTTTTGACCTAAAAAATTAGAGTAGAGTTTATTTGAGCAAAACCAATCATTTTTTAAATAAATTCTTCATAAATAAAATTAAAATTCACAATATTGCGTTATTATTTCTACTTATCTAAAATTTTATAAAAATTTTTAAATAACATTAATCCTGAAACAGAAATTTTTTCTCCAATTTAAAGAGAGGAGGCTAGGCAAACTTCTGTAATAATCTTTAGCAGTTTTTTCTGCACAACTATTCTCGTCAGGCAGTCTTCCATATTCATAAACATTGATAATATAATGCACAAAATCAGTCAGCCCAGAGACTCTAGCTGCAACTGCCATATCGTCATCAATGCTGAGGTTTATATCAGTAACTCCGCTTTCAAAATCCCATCTCGCTATACTTGTAATCATCAAAACCCTTCTTATAGCTCAAGCACGATTATAGATCGTCCTAGCTGGGAAATGTTAGGCAAATCCTAGTTGGCTCTGCAAAAGGGGGTAGTTGACTAATGCTTCACATCGGGTATAATTTCCAGTTCCCCAAGCTGACCCGTCAGCTTGAGTTGAAGAGGCAATTAGGAAAATATCCAATCATAAGACGACATATTATCGTTCCTGAGCTATAGATCATTATTTGATAGTTTCGTTTTAAGCGATTTAGGATCAGAAATTGCTGTGGACGTGAAGTGAAGCGGCTCACTCGTATAAATTAGCCTGAATTCTTTTCCTTCATCTAGAACTTCAATAATAGACAGCGATGGCCGATAATGAGGCTTTGTGAACACAATGTTTGTTCATGCGAAAGAGACGAAGTAGTTCGTATTTAAAAATTTGACATACGGGCTTGAGCCATGAGTGCGACTCAATGGCTTATCTGAGCCAGAAATCCTTTTGCATGGCTGGCTTTCTTCAGTGCAATCAATTATTTGAATACCCTCGTACTTGTATAAAAAATACAAATGCTTGTCGTCAACTATTAGCGGACTCCAATTCTTTTCAACTCTATACGATTTCCCTATGTGCTCTTCCAGCTCAAGTTTCCTGTGCGTGGCAGTTGAAAACTGATAAAGATTTATTTGTCGGTTGAAATTTGGTTCTCCTTCTAATAGGGTGGAAATAAAAAAAATTTCGCTTGAAAAAGCTTGAAATATACGTGGATCTTCAGGGCCCCACCACATTGCCTGCTTCATTTCTCCTAGGGTGATCACGCTGGGCACTTTGGTTTTGCCTATATAGTCTGTTTCTCGAATTTCATTTCAGTCCTCATCAAAAAAGGTGACGTAAACGAAGCTAAACCAATCAAAAATGGTAAGTCTTGCAGCTGCCAAATAAAGCTGCTTTTCTGGTAGCCAAAGAGCTGTGGGGAAAAACAAATGATTATTAGCTTTATCTTCAGGACTCATTCTGTTGAATTTGGCTTTTTCTTCTTCACAAATATGTGGTCCCAGCAAGGTCACAATGTACTCTTTATCAAAAATAATCTTAAAATAGCCACCACCTGAAGTATCTACAGGCTTCTTAGCCAGTGAAATATAATTATTGATGCCTAAGATTGGGCAGCCTTCAAGAGTTTGGATAACTTCGTCTTCCAACGAGGAGCTGAAAGTTCCAAACTCCAGCACCACTCAGCAAAGGATAAATGTAACAGCCATTAATTATCTATGAAAATTCTTATGTTGAATAAATTTATAAAATTTTGGATTTATTCAAGCTATAAATATATATAAAATGAAGAATTTCTTAAAATGAATACAATTATCCTTAGTCTGCTTATGATATGTTGCAGTTGGCGAAATAGAAATGAGGATTATTTTTGAGTGTCCTTACTATGACATTAATAAGCAGCTGTCTATTCTTGAGCAAGAAACTGACTATGATCGCCAAACTAAAATTTTTGACGCATATATAAAGAGGTTCATAGATGGAGAGGATCTTTTTGATAGAATTCTAAGCGTTATTCCTACAAATGAAGTAGAGAGGCTTTATAAATATAGGGAAAAAGCCATCAAAGTATTCCAAACTTCAGCTGTTTGGATTCCTGAAAGGCAATTGTTCCTTGCATCAGTGAGAGTTTGGGTATTTGAATATATATGCTATATATATACAACCTTTTTTGATGAAAACTGAAAAGAAGTCAAAGAAGAAGTGATGATAGGCGCCACGAAAGTTCCTTCTTTACTTAATATTCCAAATGACTGGAGCATTGCAAACTCTGGACCTGAAGATGGAAGAGTCTTTAGGGCATTTTCAGACCAGTTTTTCATTATCTTTAACATGAAAAGGAAAGAGCCGCCAGCAAGGCCTATATACTTGTATAGCTTTACCACTGGCAAATTTAATCAACTGAGAATCCCTGAGCATGATGGTAAAACTGTACTGATTGAAAAAAATTGGTCACCTCTGATAATCGATGATAATCACTTGTACTTTATTTATAACTTTGAAAATTTCCAAGTTGTTGACTGCACAGAAGAGGGTAGCTGTACCAGGATCACAGGAAGTTATAAAAGAGAGCCTGGGATCTTAAGAGGTGGGACAGCATTTCAGAAATACAAGGACACTGATTATTATTTATCCCTAAGCTTCACTCATTTAGAATATATCAAAAGTGGCTGATGTAAGCTTTACAGGCCAGCACTATCACTAGTTAAGGCAAATGGCAATGATGAGGATTTCAGATTAATTTATACAAGTGAGCCAATCGATTTTAGAGACAGAATCATCATGTACCCTATGACTAAGTACAAATCACAAAGCGAGAAAGTATTTTGTGGAAGTGGTGCATGGCTGATTCCAAATTCAATAGCCAGAATAGATGAAAAAAGTGATATATCTGACATAACCTTTAGCCTTGGCGACGAGTTCCAGCTTGTTGTCAAAGTTAAAGGAATATATAAGTTTGTTGGAGAAATCATTGCAGATTATGAGAAAGGAATTCTTCCAGCAGAAACTAAATGTGCAGAGAGGTTTGCATATGACTATTATAACCAAAGAGATTTAATCAGTCCAATAAAAGGGCTTGAAGAAAAGGATTTTGAAAAGAACGTGAAAAGTGTTGTTGAGGTAAAACCACAATGCGAGCATATGAATTATTTTGACCAGGAAACCAATAAATGTGAAAGTAATTTCTATTTAGGATGTTTTAATCTCTGCGCTAAATGTGAAATTTATGACTACTGCACCGAATGCAAAGACCCAAATGCAGTTCCCAATGGAGGCTACTGCTTCTGCAAAGATGGTTTTTACATGGATCCAGTAGCAAATTCTTGCAAATGTATTTTCTATTTAGCTTGCTCTCAAAGTTGTTCTATCTGCTCTTCTCATGATGACTGCTTAAAATGCAAGTCTCCTAACTCAGTTGTTGATAACGGCTCCTGTAAGTGCCTCGAAGGCTTTATAGAAGTTTTTAACTCGCAAACCAAAACATACTCTTGTGAGGATATTACAAAAATAGATGCTGAAAAAATGTTTGGATGCTACCGTAGTCACACAGAAATCGACAGGCAGGAATACACGCTATTTGATTCAAAACTTGGCTATTATATAAGCCCTGATAAAAATTCCTTATCAATGGTTTTATCAGGCATAAGTCCAGGAAACGAAATGGCTGACCAGGAAATAAAATATTGTGAATTTGACATGAGCAAAGAAAAGGTCCAGAAACTCGAAACAAGTATTGTTAGAGATGGGTATATTATAGAACTGCAAGTGAAAGCAACAAAACTCTAGATAAAGATTTATTAATAGTAATTCTAGTCACTTTACGCTAAATTTAATAGTATTGAAAAGATGTTTTGGCCATAATTGTCTGTGATAATTGAAGGTTAATAAGAAGAAAATGCTACTTATGGAAGTGTTTTTCTCTGAAACACTCGTAGAAGTTTCAGAATGCTTTGTCATTATGATGACATAAGCAACTAGATGGTATTGACATCATTTGGTTGTTGGGGATAGCTGTTGTCTCTGAGAGGGACTTAGAAGGATCTACCCGGGCATGCCTAAATCATCCTGTTGAAGAGGCTGAACGTTAAAAACTAAGGTATTAAGCAATAGTTAAAGATAATTGAAGGACAGAGTTATTGCACAGTCTTCTTTTTCATCAAGCCTTCCATATTCATACATATTGATTAGGAATTGAATAAGTGCAGTTATGCCTTTCACTCTAATAGCGAGAGAAAAAGAATCATTAATTGTGAGTGTTAAATCCACAATGTCTTCTTTATAATTCCATTTTGATATAGAGTGGACCATCATAATCCTTGATATAGTACTATCAAAAGTTTCACCTATGGATTTATATTGTGTCACTGGAGACAAAAACACTCTATTTCCAAAATCAATAGGCTCACTTTCATAAATCAGCTTGAAGTCTGGCCTGACTCCTTCAATGTACTCTATTATGGATAACGCTGGTCTATAAGGCTTCATATTGATTTCAGGAGCATCTGCATTTACATTTGTGTATATAAAGGAGACAAAATAGTTTGTGTCTGCATATCTTACGTAAGGAGATCCTCCCCTTATAGAGTTAGGAACAGAATTGTAAGTCTCCCTAACCTTTTTGCATATTTGGTTTTCCTCAGTGCAGTCAATAATTTGCAAATTTTTATAGTTAAAAATGAAGTACATATGCTCATCGTCCACAATTAGAGGGGTCCAATTTTTCTCCAGGATATTTTGGCTGCCAAGATGCTCTTCCAAGACGAGCTGCCTTGAAGTCCCAGTAGAATAGCTATAAATATTCATTGTCCTTTTATAATCTCTTGTCAGCATATTAAAGATAAAATGCAGCTCTCCTTTAGGACCTCGGAAGATTCTGGGATCTTCAGGCCCTGACCAATGCTGCAACCACATTTTTTCGATTTCCATAACTCCAGGAATCTTGGTATTGCCAATGTACTCTTCGTCACGAATTTCGTTTCATTCTGAATCAAAAAAAGAGGAGTAAAGGAAACTATAAGTATCTCAAAGACTTGCTCGCACAACGGCAAGATAAAGCTTTCTTTCTTCAAGTCATATAGCAGAAGGGTAAAATATTCGGATATCGTCTGGGCTGTTCTTGAATTTTTGCATTTCTTCAGGGATTATGTAGGGTGTGAGGAGTGTATATATATACTTAGAGTCAAAAATCAATTTCATGTATATATCTGTTTTTTCCCCTTTTCTATAGTAAATGCTAGCCCTCATAATCTCAATCAGTTTGTTTGCATCTAAAGCAGGACAGTCTTTATAAGTTGGTAACGTTTCGTCATAAATTGAATAGCCTCTTGAGAAATTGCTTACTCCCAGTCCATCATGAGAGAACAAAAAAATTTTATTTTTTCAGGGTTTGAAAAATCCCAATTAGCAAAAATTTTATTAATTTAATTTGTAAAATTTAAGTTTCAAAATCCAAGCTGTTTAAAATAAGAATTGGCTTGAGATTTTTAAATTCATTATAGCTTATGTATCAAAATTTTTTCCATAAAAAAATTGCTCTTAAAAAATTTTTTTGTTCATGCACAGAGAGTGGGCTTTTAGGCAAAAAATAAAAATTTTTTTTCATTGTTTTTGCTCGCTCACAGAGGGGGAAGTTAAGAAAAGAACAGAAAGCTCAATAAATAGCAGCCAATAACTTGATCACATTAAATATAATTTTAATGATTATAAATAAATAATCATTAGTCTCATTAATTCAAGCTTAATGATATGGAATTGCAAAATACAAAAGTTGTTTTGGCTTGGATTATTGCTTTGTCTTTATAAGGCCGATTCTAGCGTTACAGAAGGACCCAAGCTTATACATGGATGCCCATACTTCGATATCAACAGCCAAATCCGCATTCTGGAAAAAGTAACTCAATATGATGACAAAGAAATTCTCAATATCTATTCCAAAGATTTTTTAAACAAAGAATATTTGACAAATATAGTAAAAAATGCAATGCCAAGCACTTATTCATCAAGGATCAAGTCAAATGATGATATCAGATATCTGCATCCTTCAGCTATGTGGATTCCTGAAAGGAATTTATTTTTAGTCGCAGTAAGAGTGTGGGCTTTAAGCAGGATCTGCTATCTGTACGTCACTTTCTTTGACTCTGATTGGAAAGAAATTCGCACAGAAGACATGGTTGGATCCACAAAGGTGCCTTCAATACTCAATATCCCAAGTGATTGAAATGTGGAAAACTCTGGCCCAGAGGACGGGCGACTTTTCAGAGCACTAAAGGACGAATTCTTTATTATCTTTAATATGAAAAAATCAGACTCATCGGCTAGACCGATGTACATGTATAGATTTTCAACAGGGAGTATGCAAGAACTCTCTATACCAGAGCATAGAGAAAAGGCATTTGTAATAGAAAAAAATTGGTCTCCAATTATCATTGATGACTCCCACATCTACTTTGTCTATAATTTCGAAAATTTTCAGGTCATAGACTGCACTGATGAAGGGCCATGCAAAAGGGTGCAAGGAGATTTTAAAAGGAAGCCAGGATTTCTTAGAGGGGGATCTCCATATGTGAGACTAGGAGACACAAATTATTATTTATCTCTCGGCATCATACATGCAGAGTATCCAAAACAGGTATTTTGCCATGTTTATCGTCCAGTATTGACAATAGTTCAAGCATTTAGAGATGAGCCCTCTTTCGAACTTATATATACAAGCGAGCCATTTGACTTCGAAAAGCGAATATTTCTATATCCACCTGGCCATTTTCGTTCATTAAATGATATGCACTTGTGTGACGGGCCGATGTCCTGGACTGTAGGAAACTCAATTGCAAAATTAGATATGGAGAATGACATATCAGATATGATTTTCACTCTAGGAGATGCAAGGGCTGTTTCTTTAAAAGCAATAGGCTTGAGCGCAGTTGTCAACAAAATTATTGAAACATATGAGCTAGGAAATCTTCCAGTAGAAGATAAATGTTCAGAAAAGCTTACCAAGTTTTATTTTAATTTGGATGATCTTTCACTGCCGAAAATTGGGAATGAAGAAGTAGAGTATCAAAAGAAAATCGGGACTCAACCCAAAAGCTGTGAGAAAGGGTTATTTTTGAATAATGAGGGAGAATGTAAAAGTAACTTTCACATAGGATGTCATAACTGGTGCTCAGATTGTCTCAGCTGCGACTACTGCACCTCATGCAGTGATATAAATGCGAAACCGCTTGAAGGATATTGCCTATGCCAAGATGGGTACTTCTTTCATGAAAATAGCAAGTCATGTAAATGTAAGCTTTATGCAGCGTGCTCTGAAGGTTGTGCTAAATGTTCAGACTTTCAGAACTGTCTAAAGTGCAAGAATGCGAACATGGTTGTGGATAATGGGGCTTGCAAATGTCTTGAAGGGTTTCTAGAAGTGTTTCATGAAGAACTAAAAAGTTATATATGTGAAGGTAAGAAATATTTAGACTACGAAGCAGCTAAAAAATATAGCTGCTATAAATCACATAAGGATTTTTCAGAAATTGATAAAAGTGATTATGAAAATTTCCATAGTGTAAATTTAGGATATCAGCTGAACAATGATAAATTATCTGTAGCTCTATCAAGCAAAGACTCAGCTGGAAATCAGAATTCCTTGTTTGAAGAAACCCAGTATTTTGATTTTGATGTCTCCAGGAATAAAAACCAAAATCAGCAAGCAAGCTTTATTAAAGATGGGATTTTATTTGAAATCAACATCAAGATAGCTAAATCATAAATTATTGGAAAAATTTATATATTACAAATAAGGTATGCTTACAAACTCATTTTAGTCTCATTAACATATAAAATCTCATTTTAATTTTTTATTATGCAATCAGTAGGCAATTATGTCTATAGGTTTTCTGATATTGTTAAGTTTTTTTGGAAGTTATATAAAAGCAGAAGACGAAGTAGTGATTCGTAATGGGTGTCCATACTTAGACGTAAACAGCCAAATAAATTTACTGAAAAAGGAGACCTATTTCAATGACAAAGAAAAGATTGACGTTTATATAAAAGGATTTATTGATAAAGAATCTCTTTACAACACCATTCATAAGGTAATCCCTGATGGCTGAAAACCCAGAGTACAAATAAAAGATATCAGATATCTGCACCCATCAGCAATCTGAGTCCCAGAAAGAAACTTATTTTTAGTAGCGATGCGCGTATGGGTTTTATCCAGGATCTGCTACATTTATACTACTTTTTATGATAAGGACTGAAAAGAAGTAGGGGATGAAGTTATGATTGGCTCGACAAAAGTTCCTTCCGTCTTGGACATACCTCATTCATGGAATTACGAAAACAGCGGCCCAGAAGACGGAAGGCTTTTCAGAGCTTTTTCTGATCAGTTTTTTATTGCGTTTAACATGAAGAAGCTTGACTTATCTGCACGGCCTATGTTTATATATAGCTACACAACTGGGAAAACCCAGCAGTTATTCATTCCAGAGCACCATGGAAATGTAGTGATCATGGAAAAGAATTGGACGCCACTCATTATAGATGATGAGCACATGTACTTTGTATATAACTTTGAAAACTTCCAAGTCATTGATTGCTCAACTGATGGAAATTGTGTTAGAGTTAATGGGGAGTATAAGTGAAAGCCAGGATTTCTTAGAGGCGGGTCACCTTATGTTAGGTTTGGCAATTCAAATTATTATGCTGCTCTGAGCTGGACACATACTGAGCTTCCAAAGGAAGGGTGATGCTATACTAATTTACCATAAATTGCCCGTTACTATTACGAATGAAAAACCAATATTTTTATCAAATATTTTGCAAATTGGAGTTTTAAATGCAAATAAAATTTAATTTTTGTTACAATTAAAAAATTATAGTTCATTGGGCCTTTTTGGTCACCAATATAAGGCCATCTGGTACCCAAAAAGGTTCAAGGCACTATAACCCCTTTAAAAAACCTCAAAAGATTTTCTGTTCACTCTTAAAAGGAGGGAATAAGTAGTATTTTTGATTATTCAGGAACCATATTATTTGGCTTCTTGGTAGTCTATTTATTTATTGCAAACAGGTATACTTGTACAGACCCGCTCTCACAGTAGTTCACGCAATCAGTGAAGAACTGCAATTCAAGTTAGTCTACACAAGTGAGCCAATTGACTTTCAGAAAAGCCTATTCATCAAGCCTGCTGGCCCAAACAGCTCGCTTGGCGAAGTAAATTTATGCTACACTTGGCTTATGTCAAACTCAATTGCAAAATGAGACACTGAAAACGATATAGCTGACCTCACGCTGACACACCAAGATGCTTTTCCTGCAGCAATAAAAATCACTGGCCTTACCAAACTAATTGAGAATATCATCCACTTATATGAGTCTGGAAAGCTTCCAAAGGAAGATCATTGTGCAGACAAGTTGCTTTATTTCTACTACGATAGAAATGATTTAGCTTACCCTGGAAAGGGAATGGAAGAAAGCGAGTTCGAAAAAATGCTTGCTGCGGCCCCCAAACCGAGCTGCGCAGGCGGACAATATCTTGACACCGAATCCAAAACTTGCAAAAGTAATGATAATTTAGAATGCTCCAGCCTTTGCTCTGAGTGTGAATTATATGACTACTGTACGAGATGTACTGATCCTAATTCAAATCCTTTCTCAGGCTATTGTGTATGCAAAGACGGGTTCTACTTAGAGAAGAGCAGCAATTCCTGTGAAAGTAAAGTTTATTTAGTGTGTATGACTGATTGTGCAAGATGCTTACTCCCCCCCTCCGTGAGTGAACAAAAAAATTTTGTTCACTCACGGAGGGGGTTAATTTTTTTTTAAAAAAAATTATATATAAATTTTTATAAAAATATTTTTTTTCGAAATTTAAAAAAATCCTAATTCGCAAAAATTTGAAAGCAAATATTAATTTAATTTATAAAATTTATGTTTTAAAAAACGCAATTTCTTTAAAATTAAACAGATTTAGCTCGAGATTTCATTATAATAATTAACACTTATATATCAAATTTTTTTTTCATAAAAAATTTTTCTATTAAAAAATTTTTGTTCACTCACGGAGGGTGGGTTTTTTGGGCAAAAAAATAGCGATTTTTCTAATGGTTTTGTTCACTCACGGAGGGGGGGAGTTAGCAAGAGATAATTGCTTGGCTTGCAAAAACTTAAATTCTGTTTCAGATAACGGGATTTGCAAATGTCTTGAAGGATTTGTGGAAGTTTATAACAAAATCAGTTCAAAGTATTCTTGCGAACGTATTACTTAAGCAGTTTATGACCCATATCGAGACATTGAGTGCTACAGAAGCCGCTCAGAGATTGATACAAGCAAGTACCACAGTTTTGTAAACATGCATTTTGGGTACAGCAAAAGTGATAAGCAGCAGTCTCTTTTTCTCTCAACCCAAAAGGACTCAAATGTTGCCGAGCACAAGTTTTGCTCCTTTGAAATTGCAAGAAATAAAGCGCAAAGCATGAAAACAAGCTGACATGAAGATGGGTTTGAAATAGAAGTTGAAATGAAAATCACCAAATTAGGATAGCTAATTTTGATAGAATTAATTTTATAATGTATTAAATTAGTGTTTTATCATATGATGCTCTCTGTGTGGATGAAGACCATCTGATATGAATCAATTAGCTTTTCCCACCCGTTTTTTAGCAAGAATTCGGCAGCAAGCTTACATTTTCCTCCTCCAGGCAAAGTGCAGTCATCTAGCAAAATAATTGAGTGCTCATGGAGTTTTCCATAGGCAGCTTTAATTTCTTTTAAGCTGTGCTCCTGGGAAACCTTGGGGTTCTTAAAATCATAATCAACGCTGTCCAAATACAAAAAGTCAATTGGGTCTCTAAACTCTTTTAAAAAAGCTATTGAGTCACTTTTTATTACTTTTGAGTTGTCAGCATAAGGCCTTATTGCTTGTCGCGATTTCTCACAGTTTTTCTCGCTGATATCAACTGATATGAAATTTCTTCCAGTAAGATAAGAAAAATGAGCGAAAATGGGTGTCGAGCATCCATCTCCAGCGCAGCTTCCTTCGCCCTCACGAGCAGTTCCAGCTTCAATCAAAGTATAGGAATTCCTGTCAACCATAAGTTTGAGGACTTCTGTCAAGGTTGGGTACCTTTTATCTTCTTTTGAAATCCTCCCAGATAAAGCTAAAAAAATAGATGACCTTAAAATTGCATTGGAGTACTCTCCAAATTTCTCGAAATCTGGGTTTGGAGAATCGCTTAAAACATAATTTTCAGTCGTTATAGCATAAGCAGATAGGCAAAGGACCATTTGAAGTAAGAGAACTGAGCTTGATACCATAATAATAAAATTGTCGATAAGCCGAGACATTTTTAAAGATTAAGTTAGTCTAGTAAGGCGTTTCAAGCTGACCACTTTATTGTGATTTTTTATACAAGATCTGTTAAATAATCAATCTGAAAATGGAAGAGTCCTATTTCCCAACCCAAGAGCAGCACCATCAGCGCTCCCGTGGCAGCACTTTTTATCTTCTATACGCCACCTACACTATTGTAAAAATTGGATGCATTATAGGCGTTTTGTCTGCAGATGGCTCGCTTTGTCCGAGAACTCTATATGTCTATTTGATTCTGTATACAGCGACAGAAGGCTACGAGCTTCTTTTCCTTCTGCTGCTTTCTTTGCATAGGTACTGCTTGCAAGTGACGACTTCTTCCTTTTTAATTAGGACAGGCCAAGCAAGCTATGAATGGTAATCACTATCCAGCTTTCGGCTTATCATCACTATTGCGATAACAGTAGAACTCTGTAAGGAACCTTCTAGTATCCATCACTCCTCAGGGATCCTCTCTCTGATCCTCATAATTGCAGGGTATTTGAAATATTTGTTTATCGTGGCAATTGGAGTGCTTTATTATTTTTATTTCAGAAGGTTCATCACGGCGAGAACACCTTCAAGACTGCAGCCTGTAAGCCTTATGCAGGTTTCAGAAGACGAACTAGACACCTATATTGGCCCGATGCCTGAAGGAGAGACGTGCTCGATTTGTTATGAAGAGTCAAATGTGGATTCGCTGTGTGTCGTTTTAAGGTGCAAGCATGGGTTTCATCGTCACTGCTTAAAAGACTGGGTGCTCATCAAAGGATCATGCCCAATCTGCAGAACCCCAGTGAGAAATGTATAGAATTATATAACTCGATTGTTAAATTACTTTAAGGTTTAGCAATTTTCTAAATGGCTGACCAGCAGCTGGGTTTTGGTAAAGGATTCCAAAAATTTCTTGTCAGCAAGGTGAGAGGATTCTATGACGGGGGAGAAATCGTTGGGGTTTATTCTTCCAGAGGTTCGGCGAGGAAACTTCTCAAGGAGTCTGCCCCAGCAGCCTCGCAGTAAATTCGCTATATCTTTGCAAGCGTTTTGTTGGGGGTGTGAAGGGATGTAGACTGTTCTTTCTTGAGTAAACTCGGCATATAGTTTGTTGAGGACAGTTTTGAAGTTATCAAAGTATGGCTCTTTTACGTCACGAAGAATTTTGGTGCTGGCCTGTAAGCGTCGTTGAGGGCTTGGCTCGTCTAGCATTAGTCATATTAAATTTGAATAAGATTTTCTTAAAGGAGGGGCTGGGGCTGGCAGTCCAAGAAGAACTGGAACTGGAGCTTCCAATATTTCTCTAAGACTATCAGGGACAATTGGAATAACCACATGAGGCCATATCAGTGGCTTAAGCAACTCAGCAAAAGCCAAGCTAAATAAATCTTACACAGATGAGGTCAGCAATGATAAATTGCTGCTGACCACTACGACTGATTTTTCCAACAATAAAGCAATCAGGACTCAAAACGTGTCTTGGAACCGCAAAGTTGAAAAAAGAGGAGATAGCAGCCATGGGATATCATAGAGCCAAACTTCTTCAGGTCAGGTTATTGATATAGGCTCAATCATTTCTTCTTCAATTCTTATAGTTGAGTTTGGCTGCTGGCTATTAATGCCTATGCATTTTGCAATTAACTTGGTTTCGGATTCTCCTAGTTCTTCACTCCTTCTCAATATATTAGGCGCATCAATAGGCTCAATATTTATCAGTTCTTGCATTCTTCTTACTCTTTTCAGTACTAAAACTTTTGAAATGATGTCAAAAAATAAAGTAAAGTGAGGATAGTATGACACAAGGCAATAGCATTTGGGGACAGCTCATTCTCCAGTACCGTATCCTACTCCTACATCGTTTATGGTGACACAACAGCAGTATAACACGTCAGACCAGTTATTATCACCTAAAAGCCTTGGCTCATTCGCCTTTATGGTGAACACATAGGAGTTTTCAGCTCTTGAGATATAGTTGTAATAAATAAAATGGCATTCGGTTCGAGAGAAATTAGCTTTGCTAATTTTCTCTCCCTCTCATGGAATTTTATTTATAGGGTTAGGTTTTCACTCGAGAACTTCTGGACAGCAATAGCGGTTTAACTCTGGGGATAACCAGAGGAACCACTCCTCAGTCCACTCAAGATTTCGGGCTTTTACCTCTCAGCACATCCCCACGGGAGGATGACCCTTAGGCGGAACACGCGCAGGAGCTGAGTCGAGCGACAAGGGCGACGGCAACGCGCCGGATGAGACGTGCAGCAGGGCTGGTGAAGCAGGAGTTGTTAGAAGGCTTGGACGGGGCTGACCCATGCCAAGATGGCTCGCCTACGTCATCAGTTTTGCCATAGGCCCTTTTGGGCTGCGGCACCAGACACCTTAAACACCAGATAATTAAGTAAGTAAGTAAGAGATATAGTTGTGACCGAAGATTAGCTGGTTAAGTGCGCTTCCGGACTTAGAAAGCACAAGCTCACTGGCTGATATCCCTGCTGGAAAACAAAAATCAGCCAATACAGATAAGCCTGCCCTACGTTAAGTATACCACTCAATATTGTCTGGAACTGACATTAGAATCGCAGCTTTTCTGTTTCTTTGAGAAAGGTCTTCAGCTGAGACTCCCACTACAAAAAAGTATTCCACAAGTCTCGGCTTCTCAATGCTTTGCAAATTCATTGAAATTCTCAAATCTACTTGACTTTGGATCATCGGCTGGAAGTCAAAATAGCTTTTTTTGCTTGTGTTCTGTGGGGATTGGACTTGGCGGATTGAGTATCTGCTGGAGCACACGCTTTGTGCCAAGCTTTCAAAGTAGCTATCATCTTCAAATCCCCAATCTTGTATTGGAGACATTGAGATCTCTTCACTTAATTCTTTGATTCTCCGATTTGCATCTTCATTTTTTACGGTGCTTTTATGCAATTGCTGTTTTAAGCTTTCGATTTCTGATTTTAACTGTGAATTTTCAGCTAGAAGCAGATTGCAGCGCTCTTTTCAGTAAGCTAGAGTGTTTTCCATTTATAAAATTACCAAAATTACATATAATTAATCGCTTCTTCAGTTGACAAACTCCCATTCCGCCACTTCCAAACTGAAGGCTGAGGTAGCAGTGGCTGACCTTCTGATCCTGGAGTCTCTGAAATGGAAAATAGACTGTCAGGGACGTCAGAAAACTCAGCGTCTATATACAAATCGTCCCTTTTCCAGGTTGCCTCCAGTGGGTCCAAGTCTCCAATTGGTATTTCGAAGCCGTCTGTGATGAAATCTTCACTTTGGTGTGTTAGCAAAAATTCGTCAGGGAAGGTCTCAATTGTGTCACAGATTAAGGAATGGTTTTGTGTGGAGTTGGCTTGTGTGGATTTTTCTTCTACTCTCTCGATATGAATGGTTGTTCCACTTGATATTGAAATTTCCCATTTTGAGCCATCCTCAAATTGGTGAATAAGCAATGCTTTTTGGTCAATTGGTGAAAGGTCGTTCAAAAATGTGTTATTAAGGGGCTTTGAGAGCTTCAAGCTGATGTCCAAAAGCAAAGAAGCGAGGTAGGAAAAAAGTGCGTTTGGATTACTCATTTTTAATTTATAAGTGTTTATAGCATTTTGTATTTAACTTTAAAAATTGAATTATGGCTTAGGCATATGATTTAAAGCTGAGGAAAGAAGTCAATTTTGTCTAAATGTTTAATGGAAATAAAATTACATTTATATAATCCTCAAAAATAGCAGAAATCTTATTAATTTATACAAGACTTGTGAGAATAATTAAATATCCCAAGAATGCTTTATAAATCAAATGAAAACTATTGTGTTAAAAATAAACAGCTTATCTACAAAGCAAACCTATTTACCCTGATATATAATTGCAAATAATCTGAATCATCGTTTTTGTTGGAAATGACGATAGCTTGTAAGAGTCTCGATTAAAGCGGCTAAATTTGCTGACAATGCTATTCAGTGCTGAAATAACTTTTGCACAGTCTTCACTCATTTTCTTTAGCTTGCTCATTTTTCCCTCTAAAACCATTTCCGAATGTATAATCTGTTGCTCAATCTCAAATCTTCTTTTATTTAGGTTAGAATCGTTAAAGCAATTCTTGTGACTAAAATCTTCATAAATTCTTCTTAACTCGCATATTTCGATTTGCTGCTTACGAAGTGTGTCTTGGAGTTCAGTTTGCAAATTAATTAAGTTTTGCTTCGTTTCTTTTTGCTTACTCCTCCCCTCCGATAATGAGCAAATATCCTTAATTTTTGCCCAAAACCCCCCCATTAGCGAATAAAAAATTTTTTTTTAATATAAAAACTTTTATATGAAAAATATTTTGATATATAAATGATAATTATTATAATGAAATCTCTAGCTAATTCTGTTTAATTTTAAACAGCTTGCATATTAAAGCATAAATTTTACAATTAAATTAATATTTGCTTTAAAATTATTTAGAATGGGGGATTTTTTTTAATTCGAAAAAAAATTATATATAAATTTATAATTAATTAAAAAAAAATTTAGGAAAACAAAATTTTTGTTCAGGAGGTTAGCCAATTTATGACTTAGCTCAGACAAGGAGCCACTCCCAGTTTCATTTTTAATGCTTTGAAGATTCTCCACATTAAGATTGAAATCTCTCTCAAGTTCTGACATATAGTTTTCTTCAGAAAGTGATGATTCCTGCTTACTTGCCCCTATCTTGCCAATTTTCTTTTCAAGTATTTGCCTCTCCCAGCGATCATACCAATTTTTTTGCGAAATCTTATAAAAGGAAATCAGAGTTTCACGGCCTTCAAATTCTTTTAGTTCTGAGTTGAGTTTCTTTCTCAGTTCATTTTTTTGACTATTCAGCAGACTCTCTTCTCTCAATAAATGAGTCTCATCTTTGCTTAGAAATTGAAGCTGTGTACTATTTTTTCTATCCAAAAGAACTTCTAAAGATTTGGCTTTAGAGACATCTTTTTCCAACTTCAATGCTCGGTCTTTGAGACTTGTCAAGCTGTCTCTTCTGACGTCAAACATGTGATTTAAGACATCTCTATTTTTTTTCTCATTATGAATATTTTCAATTAATTTTTGATATTTTTCCTCGAGCTTTGAAAGGGAACTACTTTTCCCACTTTCATTTATGGATTCTTTTATACTAGCGAACTCCTCTTCTAGCTGCTCAAGTTCTCTAATGAGTTTTGACTTTTTGCTCATAATTGAATCATACTTTTTTTTCTTACTTCACTGTCCTTTTGAATTGGAAAAAAATATGTAGGTTAAATTTTATGAAAAATTAATTTATATATTATACTATTTTTACAGTAAGGAAATCTGCTTTTTGTAGTATTTTCTCATAAAAAGGACGTTTCTGACAGTAAAAATTGTATATCAATTTGAACTACTAATCGCATTATATTTGCTATCTCCTTTAGAATAAAACAAGCTTGGTATAGCTTTTTGCTTGAGTGGCGCGGTATGGGCGCCACTTCGGCAAGCTCCTTCTTCCAGTTGGCCGAGCCAACTCAGGTTGGTTCGACCAACTGGAGAATTGACAAGTGAGGCCTTTTGGGGAGACTTGTCAATTCTAGTTGGCCGAACCAACCTGAGTTGGCTCGGCCAACTGGAAGAAGGAGCTTGCCGAAGTGGCGCCCGTACCGCGCCACTCAAGGCAAAAAAGCATAACTTTTTTGATTTTGGTTATATTAAATTTTGTATTAAAGTTACTTATATAAAACTATTAATTTTAATTTAGAATATAAAATTTTTTGTTCCAAATTAAAGAGGCGTTTAATTTAATTGCAAGTTTATTATTGCCCATAGATGTTTTTGATTGCTAGTTTACTGGCTTATGACTGTAGCCTGCTTTCTATTGTGATTGGAAAATAGAAGACAGGCTACAGTCAATAAGCCAGTAAACTACTGACCAAAAACACCCCCAAAAGGCAACAATATTTTGTTCAAATTTTAAAGGAAGGGAAATTAATATATACTCTATCATCCAGACAACTTACGATTTCCCTTCCATATCTTGATTTTTCCAGTCTTTTGAGACATTGCGAAAGCTTGGGCGACTTTGTTGCAAAAGATCTCTTTAAATCTCTATGTTATGTATACGTTTCAGCTCTCAGCTTTATGTTGGCAATAATTTCAGCTATTCTTGGTGATGATTGGAGTCTTGAGCTTGGTGACGTGCTCGGCTCACTTATTGGGCTTAAGTAGCCCCTAGAGGATCTAGGTGAAACTGGTTTTGAATTAAGATTTGGACTTGATTGAAGTGATCGAATTTTGTCTGTGCTTGATTTCTCTATTCTGTTGATACTGTTTAAAGAAGTGAGTCTAAAAATCTGAGGATCATCCTTTGTTGTAGCTGATTTATGAAATTTCATTTTAATTTTAGACTGATATGAGTCCTATTCATAAGCAGCAGAATTAAAAAATTAACGCATAATAGTTTTATCAATGATCAAGAAAGCTGCTTTTTTTTCATTCATTATGAAATTTCTTTAAAAAATAAAGCACTTTAGCTTCAATATTAAAATCATTGCGTAAAAAATTGGGAGGAAGAGTATGAAGACGATTCGGCTTTTTTCTCTCAAAATTCTATTTTTGAAAGTCAGGCTAGGTTAGGCGATTAAAGTCAGGCGTTACCCATATTGCTTACGCAGCTATTTTAGACCTCTCTTACAGGAGGTTAGCTGCTTTTTAACTCCAGCCCAGAGGGTTTTTCTCCCGAAGGTGGATGCCACTTCAGGTACCTTCTGTCAGTCTTGAGTGGGCGGCTTATGGATTTCTCCCGCGCTGCTATGGGCAATTGGAGTAGCTTGATTCCATGGATCCTTGGGATCTATTGGGTGTTAGCGTGTTTTCCTTTGGCAGTTGCAGGAAAAAGACTACTCCCCTGTGGCCTCGGCCGAAACCCCCCAGTTTCTCGGAATATCAATGGGTCATCGAACTTTGTTGAGCACCTCCGCATCCAACCACAGGAAAGCAGCCAAAATCTACCCCAGATACACATCTATTGAGTCTGCATTTGATTTTCTTAGGAGTCCATCCCAGTTCGCCATAACTATAAGGTCATGACTGTGGGCAAGAAGACACATGCCGCCATTTTATGTATCCGCTTTTTGACAGTCTTTGTCAAATTTTTCAGTGGTATTCATGCAATTATACCAGCAAACTCTTGAATGAGTATTTCTCAACTTTATTACTGCTCAAATTGAACCTTGATTTATACTGGTATAGAATTAAGTCAGTATCGCCACTTTAAATTAAATAAAATTATAATGATTATAAGAAAATTCAAAATGTTCATTTCTATTTTCTCAAAAATTTCATTTATAATAGTCATGGCAAGTGTTACTTTGTATATTTATGACCTAACTATGGGTATGGCAAGGATGCTTAGCCCAGGACTTATAGGCCGGCAAATAGAAGGAATTTGGCACACTGCAGTAGTCGTTTATGGCACTGAATTTTTCTTCGGAGGAGGAATATGCGAAGCTCCTCCTGGAAGTACGATGGCAGGACGTCCAGTTCAAACCCTAAACATGGGTGTCACAAACAAGTCTCTTGACGACTTTAAGCAGTTTTTGAAGTGCATTTCTCACAGATTTACAATGACGACTTATCATCTCATTAAGCATAATTGCAACAACTTTACCGACGAGTGCTGCAGGTATTTGGTCAACAAGAGAATTCCGAGCCACATCACAGGATTGCCTGAAGATCTCCTCAGTACTCCCTTAGGTAGACAATTTGCACCAATGATCGAATCCATGTCTAGCGTCGGCACTCAACTAGGATTTTCTTTAAATCCCACAACGGACTACTTTGCAGATTATATAAGGCATTCTGATTTCCTCTCGGATTTCAAGGATATTGATTCATATCCATCTTTTGACGAATTTATTCAGAAAGAAGGGGTTATTGTGTACTGGGATCCAAGAGATGAAGGCTTTATTGACAAGCTGGAAATTTTGCGAAGGGTTAGTGAGAAGATTCAGCTGGGGTGTGTTGACCTTTTAAGATGCTTTTACTTAGCCCCTGGAAGTACATCTGCAGCTCAAATATATCTTCAAGGTGAGTGCATCAATACGTATCCACTGGATGAGCTTGAAGCAGCACTAGCTGAATTGGATGATGTCAGAGAATGCATCAAAGAATCTCTAAGTTCTTAACTATTCTATTACATTTTCTTAACTATTCTATTATTTTTTATTATTACTGTCAATATGGAACCTTATAGACGACAAAAGTAGCTTTGACTCTTACGGTAATGCTATTCTTGTAGAATCAATTGAATAGATGGGTCTGAGAGTGAGGCGAAATTTAATGAATCAGAAAAAACAGAGGGAGAAGGAAAAGGAGAAAAGCAAAGAAAAAGTCAGCCATAAAGCCGGCCAATGGCTTCTACCGTTTAAGCAATTAGTCATAACCCTACCTCTTAGCTATTCTATTATGAAAATAAATAAGAAATGATAACTCATAAAATTGCATCATTTTTAATATAATGTAATTTAAAGAATGGAAGAAGAATACTCAACAAGAGAGCTTGAATGGTTCGACATAGAAACAAAGATGCGTGAGCTCATGCAACAGCAGCTGGAGCCTGTCCTTTCAAAAGCAAGAGAAGACCGAGAAACGAATGCGAGGTTAAAAAATATTGTAGTTCAGTTAGAAGACAGAATTAAAGAGTTAGAGCTATCTGTTTTAGGCGATCAGCCTTTTGAAACTGTCATAGATAGCATTAAAAACAAGCATACTGAATTAGAAGGCAATCGGAAGAAAGATGCAATAATAGTAAACCAAGAATTCTCAGGAATTAAAGAAATCATAAAATCCTTTCAGTTTCAGCTGGGTGGCTTCCAAGAAATGCTCAATAATTTCGACGAATTAAGCAAAAGCACTCGAAATGAAATCAATCAAATGAGGATGGGTATTGATGCTAACCAACAATTAGTCATGAATGAATTTAACGGTGTAAACGCAAGATTTCAAGAAATGACGAAGGCATATATAGATTACAATCTTAGAGCTGAGGAAAAAGCAAATAGATCGCTTATTAAATCATCTGAAAATTCTATAGAAATTGCAAGTTTAAGAAAAGATGTTAATTCTTTGAGAGCGGAAACTGGAGGACTGCTCTCATCAATGGAAGACCAAAATTATAATAAGCTCAGCATTGCTACTTTTAATATAGAAAAGGCTCTGATTGAGCAAAGATTTGAGAGCTGTAAAGAGAAATTAGATAAATTCAATGATGAATTAATCAAGAGAGATTCTTTTATTGACAAGTATATTCCTCTGAAAATCGCTACCATTGTTTCTGATTATATGCATTCTTCACTTGATTTATTGGCGCGAAAACGAATCGCTGAGTTTGAGATGAACTTTTTAAGAGACCTAAATTCTGAAGCATTAATAGAAAGAGGGGTGGAGCCAAGAGAAATCCAAGTTACAAAAATCCTTGAGGATATGAGACATATTGAACAAAGAAAGGTTGACCTTCTCAGTGATAAAAAATCTAAAAGACAAAACTCAGCAATGAGTTCTCAGAGGGCTTTATCAAATCCTTCTGATCCTGAAAGCCCAATAAATATGCAAAATGTAAAGGCACCTCTCCCACAAATTGAAGAAGTCGAGGTTAATCCAGCTAACCAAATCTATAATATTGAAAATATACAAGAAATAGTTGAAAAAGTATTTGAAGAACAATTTGAGCCCCATATTTTAAAATTCAGGTTTGAAATCAAAGATAAGTTTGCAATGATGCAAAAAATAATCAAGACTGGTGACGACCAATGTATGGCTCTTGCAAACCATTTGATTGAAGAAATTGAAGACCTCAATAAAAAAGTCAAAAAAGATAGAGCTGACTTCGAAGCAAACACTGCAGAATCTAGGGAAAAACATAATAAAATAGATGAAAATTTGGAAAAAATAGAAAATTCTTTAAGCAACACTGCTCAAATGGTCGTCTGTCTTGTTGAATGTGCTCAGATTCAGCAAGCTTTGGAAGCACAAGATGAAGAAGATCGCCATTCAATGGCTCAAAACTATGAAAGGGACCTTCAAAATGAGCTGGTCATGAGCAAGCCTAAATATTCACCAGAGCCTTATAGCTCAACTGTACCTTCTGCCAATTTTTCACTCCAAAAAAAATGCCTTGGGTGTGGAAATACAACTTCAATTATTTCAGGTTATCGGACATCTATAATGTATAAGCCGACGCCGCTCTTTTATAGAAATAAAAAGCTTGATAGGCCTGAACTTATATCATTAAAAGGAAATATTATTAAAAGATGCTGAGAATCAGTATCCCCAGCAATGCCATGAAAGCAAAACGACTTTGAACAAATCATATTGGACGCTTCTAAAAATTGAAATAAAAGGAATATAAGTAATGAATCAACGCTCTCTGAGCCTCTTGGAAGAGAGGCTTTGCCAATGCTTGTATCACCTGCAAATCGATCGTTTAGCAACTCTCGAAGGAGTAAACTAACAAGCTATCGTTAGTGTGTTTAATAAAAGTATTTATTATATAATCTTTAATTTAAAATATTTTTACTGCTTTCATTTTTAGAAGGAAAAAACAATTCGAAATATAGAATTGACTGAGCTGAGGTTAGGTAGGTATCATTAGCTATTTATAGTTTATAGCCTCATAGAAAATAAATAAGTTGGAAGGATATGACCCAGAAACATTATTAATTGCTTCAAAACAATTTTCCTGCCAAGATACACATATGGTCTAGAAATCTATTAGAGAAAAAGGAGCAAGACTGGTATTAAATCAATACATAGGTGTTTTAATAAAATTATAAGGGAAATTTGCCATTTTTATTAGAAAATACCAATTGAAACTATCCTAGTAGACTTAAAAATTCCAACGATAGAATAATATACAGATTAGATGAGTTTATATTTCCTTCAAAAAATATTTAAATGTCATCATATTTGAAATTTCAGTTCATTTATATTGCCTGGCTAACTAAAAAAATTTATCTTACTCCTCCCTTTAAATTAAAACAAAAAATCTTGTTCCAATTGAGTTTTTTTTTTAACAAAATTTTTATAAACTATATTTTTTAACTTTTATTTATTTTATGAAAAATTAATTAAAATAATTAATTATTCAGTGTGAAAACTGTTTAAATAATAATTTACTTGCACTTTCTCGATTAAATTATGTCAAAAATAATTTATATCTATAAAACTTTCTTATTGAAAAATAATTGTTCCACTTTAAAGTGGGTTATATGACCCAAAAATTGAAATTTTCACTTATATTTTGTTCCAATTTAAAGAGGGGGAGGAGTGAGTGGGCTATTCAACGTGAGTAGGATAAATTATTTAGATAAAAAATTTCATATGTCTTTTACTAAAATTGACCTTGAGAGAAAACTAAAAGAAGCTTCTGGATTTAAAGAAAAAATGCAAAACGAGTTCTCAGAGAATTCGAGGTGCTCAACTTGGACGAGACGCAAATGGCAAGAGTTAGAAAAGCGAAAAATAATTTATCAAAATGAGTTACAAAAAATCAGAAATTTAAGTATAAATGATTGTGAGTTGGAAGCACTGATCAATGAAAATACAGAAATAAAAGCCAAATATGATAATTTTAACGAAAAAATTAATGAAATTTCTAATGACTTGGAACTTTTTATTCAAGAAATTATAGAAGTTTCCTATGTTTGGCGCTGTAAGGCCGATAAATTCTGATCGGAATTTATCGGTAGGTTGCACCAAATCAATGCCTTGGTCGGACCAAAAAGCGATTTGGTCCGACGAACTTGGAAAGCTCCTGGGAAAATGTCTGCGCTTTTAGCGCTATATAGAGGAAACCTCTATAGTTTTGAAAGCAGATTTTTATACAGGTCGGAAAGAAACCCCTATGGCTCACAAATTTTGGTTATTGATATCGTAAAACATCAGAGGACAGTAAAAATAGTTAATTCTGAACCTTTAATAGACGAAGGAACTACAATTGTAAATCTCCCTAATTACGAGCTTTTCTGCTACAGCAATTGGAGGCATAAACCTTGAGGGATTTCAGGGGCATCTCTTATAGTTGATCTTATTAGCTTTACAATCAAAAAAATATTGCCTCCAGGGCTTCCCATAAGATATTCAGGTGGAGTATATTGGAATAACTCAATTTATATCTTTGGAGGCTATGATGGTAGCAAAATTAAAAGTATTGCTAGCTCCTCTCAAATATCTAGACTTGCTCTCTTCTAAGACAGCAAAATTTCAATTAAAAAAATTAAATTATTTATTATTAATAACTGAGAAAATTTTATTTGCTGCTTTGGCTAAGCTAATTATGAATTGCCATAAGACTAATTTTTAGAATTTATAATTCTAGAGTAAAAGATTTGATTTAGTTCAAAATAGATGATATCATATTTGTGATCTGCCCAAAGAAAGTGATTATACCTCATGTATTGTCTTTAATAGGAAAATTCTAATATCTGGACTTAGCCATACAGACATATATGAATACGATGAAGTTATTGACGAATACTCTGAAATTCATGTAAAAGCTCTTAAATGGAGAAAAGAAAGACAGCTGATTTTAGGAAATTCAAGAGCGTATATAATACAATTTCCTTGGTCTATTTTTGAAAGCAGAGTTAATGATCAATATCATTGGCGCTATATAGATGATTATAAGAATCATATCCGCCTTTCCGTTTTCAGCAATTTATAGGTAGATAAAAGCCTTAATTTAGGAAATTTTCAAACAAATTAATTTTAATCCAAAAATATATGTGCAAATTTCCCGGCATACAATATTGGAGAAATAAAAATTCAGCCTTATATTTTCAATCAAGAAAAAGTCCATAAAAACGCTATTTTTGTTAATTTTAAGACTTCAAAATGCAGTTATTTCTTGAAATTTGATTTTTTCAATAAGACGATAGAAGAAATAAAAATTAGTGATTTGACCTTTATATTAAACAAAAAATAAATTATCTATAATATTGTGAAAATATTCTCTCTTTTAAAAATAGATATGCAAAGATCTTTGCGATTGCAATCCTTCGAATACCTTATTGTAAATTTAGATTAATCAGCTTCATATGATGGTAAATATTCTTTTAGAGTAATTACTTAGCCAAGAATATGACCATTAAAAACTATTAGGGTGTTAGGGTGTTAGGGTGTTAGGGTGTTAGGGTGTTAGGGTGTTAGGGTGTTAGGGTGTTAGGGTGTTAGGGTGTTAGGGTGTTAGGGTGTTAGGGTGTTAGGGTGTTAGGGTGTTAGGGTGTTAGGGTGTTAGGGTGTTAGGGTGTTAGGGTGTTAGGGTGTTAGGGTGTTAGGGTGTTAGGGTGTTAGGGTGTTAGGGTGTTAGGGTGTTAGGGTGTTAGGGTGTTAGGGTGTTAGGGTGTTAGGGTGTTAGGGTGTTAGGGTGTTAGGGTGTTAGGGGTGTTAGGGTGTTAGGGTGTTAGGGTGTTAGGGGTGTTAGGGTGTTAGGGTGTTAGGGTGTTAGGGTGTTAGGGTGTTAGGGTGTTAGGGTGTTAGGGTGTTAGGGTGTTAGGGTGTTAGGGTGTTAGGGTGTTAGGGTGTTAGGGTGTTAGGGTGTTAGGGTGTTAGGGTGTTAGGGTGTTAGGGTGTTAGGGTGTTAGGGTGTTAGGGTGTTAGGGTGTTAGGGTGTTAGGGTGTTAGGGTGTTAGGGTGTTAGGGTGTTAGGGGTGTTAGGGTGTTAGGGTGTTAGGGTGTTAGGGTGTTAGGGTGTTAGGGTGTTAGGGTGTTAGGGTGTTAGGGTGTTAGGGTGTTAGGGTGTTAGGGTGTTAGGGTGTTAGGGTGTTAGGGTGTTAGGGTGTTAGGGTGTTAGGGTGTTAGGGTGTTAGGGTGTTAGGGTGTTAGGGTGTTAGGGTGTTAGGGTGTTAGGGTGTTTAGGGTGTTAGGGTGTTAGGGTGTTAGGGTGTTAGGGTGTTAGGGTGTTAGGGTGTTAGGGTGTTAGGGTGTTAGGGTGTTAGGGTGTTAGGGTGTTAGGGTGTTAGGGTGTTAGGGTGTTAGGGTGTTAGGGTGTTAGGGTGTTAGGGTGTTAGGGTGTTAGGGTGTTAGGGTGTTAGGGGTGTTAGGGTGTTAGGGTGTTAGGGTGTTAGGGTGTTAGGGTGTTAGGGTGTTAGGGTGTTAGGGTGTTAGGGTGTTAGGGTGTTAGGGTGTTAGGGTGTTAGGGTGTTAGGGTGTTAGGGTGTTAGGGTGTTAGGGTGTTAGGGTGTTAGGGTGTTAGGGTGTTAGGGTGTTAGGGTGTTAGGGTGTTAGGGGTGTTAGGGTGTTAGGGTGTTAGGGTGTTAGGGTGTTAGGGTGTTAGGGTGTTAGGGTGTTAGGGTGTTAGGGTGTTAGGGTGTTAGGGTGTTAGGGTGTTAGGGTGTTAGGGTGTTAGGGTGTTAGGGTGTTAGGGTGTTAGGGTGTTAGGGTGTTAGGGTGTTAGGGTGTTAGGGTGTTAGGGTGTTAGGGTGTTAGGGTGTTAGGGTGTTAGGGTGTTAGGGTGTTAGGGTGTTAGGGTGTTAGGGTGTTAGGGTGTTAGGGTGTTAGGGTGTTAGGGTGTTAGGGTGTTAGGGTGTTAGGGTGTTAGGGTGTTAGGGTGTTAGGGTGTTAGGGTGTTAGGGTGTTAGGGTGTTAGGGTGTTAGGGTGTTAGGGTGTTAGGGTGTTAGGGTGTTAGGGTGTTAGGGTGTTAGGGTGTTAGGGTGTTAGGGTGTTAGGGTGTTAGGGTGTTAGGGTGTTAGGGTGTTAGGGTGTTAGGGTGTTAGGGTGTTAGGGTGTTAGGGTGTTAGGGTGTTAGGGTGTTAGGGTGTTAGGGTGTTAGGGTGTTAGGGTGTTAGGGTGTTAGGGTGTTAGGGTGTTAGGGTGTTAGGGTGTTAGGGTGTTAGGGTGTTAGGGTGTTAGGGTGTTAGGGTGTTAGGGTGTTAGGGTGTTAGGGTGTTAGGGTGTTTAGGGTGTTAGGGTGTTAGGGTGTTAGGGTGTTAGGGTGTTAGGGTGTTAGGGTGTTAGGGTGTTAGGGTGTTAGGGTGTTAGGGTGTTAGGGTGTTAGGGTGTTAGGGTGTTAGGGTGTTAGGGTGTTAGGGTGTTAGGGTGTTAGGGTGTTAGGGTGTTAGGGTGTTAGGGTGTTAGGGTGTTAGGGTGTTAGGGTGTTAGGGTGTTAGGGTGTGTTAGGGTGTTAGGGTGTTAGGGTGTTAGGGTGTTAGGGTGTTAGGGTGTTAGGGTGTTAGGGTGTTAGGGTGTTAGGGTGTTAGGGTGTTAGGGTGTTAGGGTGTTAGTGGGTGTTAGGGTGTTAGGGGTGTTAGGGTGTTAGGGTGTGTTAGGGTGTTAGGGTGTTAGGGGTGTTAGGGTGTTAGGGTGTTAGGGTGTTAGGGTGTTAGGGTGTTAGGGGTGGTTAGGGTGTTAGGGTGTTAGGGTGTTAGGGTGTTAGGGTGTTAGGGTGTTAGGGTGTTAGGGTGTTAGGGTGTTAGGGTGTTAGGGTGTTAGGGTGTTAGGGTGTTAGGGTGGGTTAGGGTGTGTTAGGGTGTTAG